CGCTTAGTTTTCTTCTAGGAGCCTTAGTTTTAGCTTAGTTCTACTTAGTTTTCACTTAGAAGTCTTAGTTTCCGCTTAGTTTTCTTATAGAAGTCGTAGTTTTAGCTTAGTTTTCTTCTAGGAGCCTTAGTTTTAGCTTAGTTCTACTTAGTTTTCGCTTAGAAGTCTTAGTTTTCGCTTAGTTTCCTTCTAAAAGCTTTACTTTTTACTTAGTTTCCTTCTAGAAGACTTAGTTTACTATTTCTACTTAGTTTCTCTTAGTTTCGCTTAGTTTCCTTCTAGAAGCCTTAGTTTCTACTTAGTCTAGTATATATAGTAGTAATTTTAGAGTATCTTCTCTCTTTCTATCTCTCTACCTATTCTCTTTAATATTCTACTTCTTAGCCGTATATTACGATATATAGATTTTCATAAAGAGTATTAATAGATAATTCCGAGGCGCTCTTTTAGGCATTATAGGGTTTTAGTAGCCGCCGACGCTTGCATCGGTTATCCGAGGTAGCTTCTACGCCGTATAGCTGCATTCCCTATTAAAAAGTCGAAGACATCGAGATCCCGCACCGATCTTATCCTCCCTCTTTAGCTTTATCAATTATCGAGGCGTGCTACGTGTACTCCCGACCATGGACATCACGATTAACAGTCAGGCCTTCCACCTGCCAGTCGAGATTATCGACCTTATCGTGGCTAAACTCAAGGACGATATAGCGAGTATTAAGAGTCTCCGACTTGTGAACAAACTCTTCAGCCGGTGTGCGACACCTTATATCTGCGACATGTGGACGTCGCCATCAGAGCTCTTCACTTTGCCAGACGGCGTCGCGGAATATTCGAAACTGATTTGGCCTCTTTCGAAGAACTCTTTACCTAGCATCCAGCGCTGCTTGACAACTTGGACCTGGGTCGAGGTGCCCGAAAGCTGCCATCTCCAGGATGAGACCACGCCAGAGGGTGCCATAATGAGAGAATTGATATACGCCTCCAAAACGACAGAATCCTCCACCTATAATGACCTGTCTCAAGATGGACGGGTTGGCACCTGTTGGGGTCGTTTGGAGGAGGCTCCAACGACCCTGTGTATCATCCACAGTACAATTCTCACCCATCATCTGCTGTAATTTGCAAAAAGCTAACATCGATATGCAGAGTGGCCCGACGCTTCGTACTTCGATGCATATCGTTCCAGTACCTGCGCAAAGAACCTCAAGGAGTTCCTCGAGAAGGTCTGCCAGGGCACCGTTTCAACCTCAAGGGGCGAAAGAATGTTCCTAGGAAATCGCGAGAGGCGCAGAAACGCGCTGTTTGAAGGATATTGTGAGGTACGAGACCTTCACTTCAAGGTCACAATGTCCGAGGCCCAGCGAGTAGCCTTCGAAAGAGGACTGCGATCAAATGTGCACTTCCTTGGTGCACGACAAGTTTCCAACTACGTCGCACCAGGTAGGTGGTGCTGGCTGGCCGGGCTGAGGAATCTTGATGGCCGCCCAACTGTCACCGCTCGATTCATTTTCTCTTGGACAAGTGCTAAAGTGGAGACAATTCACAAGGCCAGGATGCGCGAGCGAGACGATGAGGGCGAAGATGAAAACCTTTTCCAAACTGAGACAATGATCGGTATATCTCAACACCGGCTTGAAAACGCTGGAATTGTCGATACCAAGTCTCTACACGGGGTCTTTCAACAGGGCCCACATTGGTGATCGCTTCAGCAGTGGCAGAGCCCTCTCAAGTCCCTTGAAAGAGATAGACAGTCCACAATGCCATGGAACCTATGAGACCTACTCGTTCAGAACACTACTCGGATTGGCCTGCACTGGGAGTCGGCGTCGCTTGCGCTTGCCGACCCATAATACCCTTCGTCACCGTCACCATGCGTGGAGGCGAGCCGTGATCCCGACATGCTCCAGTCGACCAGTCTTGGTGATCTCTCCCCTCCGTCGTCATGTACAGAGCCAAACCGAACCAGGCATACGTTTCTGGATCTTTGATTCCTTCGAGATCTGCTTTCGCAGCGACGGGCTCGGCCATATCATGCAATGCCAGATACATACACATGATTGCTCCATCAGTGTTGTATTTGCCGAGTTTCCAGGCAGACTTTTGACGGGGCCAACTTGTTGCAAGTCAGCTGAGTTATGTTCACGCAGGGCGTGGCACTACCTTTTCAGAGGGGCTGAACCCTTCTTGTTCTTATGCCCCGCCCCTTTCTTAGCCAACCACTGTATTGCATCGGGTGACTGCATAACAGGACCTATCGGATTTTCATCAGCTCGGCTCATGCAAAGTCTGACGACGTGGACTCACTATCCGGGAAGGCAAGATGGAACATTTCATGGTACAGATTTATTGAGCGCGTAACCATCGTGTCCAGTATGGTCCCCAAAGGCTGCGCACTCAGTTGGATATTGTCGTGGACCTCCTTGTTGAAAACATTGGGGCACAGGACTATTGCTGTCACGTCTCCAGCGTCGACTGTCCAGCCATTCATATCCTTCTCGGCACAGTAAGTTGGGAAGCCTTCGTCGATACGGATAACTCGGAAATGGCGTGTCGCCAAATGCAGACTTCGGAACCAACAAGTAATCGTTCTTTGCAGCCATCCAGTAAGCGTGTACCTGCTTCACGTTAAAACTGGACTCCATAGGCATTACGTCGTGCCTCGCAAACCTCGCCTGGGTCTGTGGAGCGTTAGCCGATGGACGACATTTCATGCTGTTTTGGAGCTTGCCATAATCCTTGCCAAACTTGCGGATAAGCCCTTCCGCGACAGAGAGCTGTCCGCCTTTGTCGTCCAACATCGGCCGACCCTGGGTATCTAGAGCTGGCCTTTGGTCCATCGGAGTATAGGCCATCCATGTACTGTCGCAGTATAACTCTGGTTTTTGTGTCCAGCCGGCGGAGCCAGTCAGTTCTTTCTCGACCTTTTGGAACCAACTTGTGCACCTTAGGTCAGTTTGATGGCGGTTTGAGGGTGATATGGGTTACTTATTTGATCTGGGTGATCATTGCGCCCTCTAGGGCTTGCTGCTGCGAGGATCCATCAGGTCTTGAACTAACGCCGAAAAGCGTGCGTAGCAGCTTGCGGGCATCGTCGCTGCCAGCTCGAGGCTCCAGTTCCAGTGCCTTGACGACATTGGTATTCATTCTTTGGGTCTCGTCGAAGATGGTATCCAGCATCCCATTGCCAATGCCCTTTCGGTAGCGATCACAGCTACCTTCAGCGGTGCCTTTGGTAACTTGAAAAATGTCGTCCAAGCCCACACTGAGTGCTCTTGGTGCCAGAAGCAAAAATGCGACAAACGAATTCTGCACAAGGCTGTTCAACAACGCCATGACTGAAACGGTACTAACAAGAGTGCGAAGATTTGGAGTTGAGTATGCTCTTGATTTGCATATTGCCGGCGGAGCTGGATTGGTTTTCTGTGATGGGCGGCGCTCCAATCGATCACTCCCAGGCGCTTCCCACACGAGATATTGCTTCAGATCTCGACGGCACAGTCTCCAACCCAGCAGCCATTCGACAAGAACCGGAAGTGAACGCCCCGGAACCGAACTTGGCGCCCATGCGGCGTAGACTACACTTCTTGCTTGCAGCACGCAGGCGCCTACAACATACTTTGACACTTGCACATCATATTATCATAGACACCACCGCGGCATACCCCTTGAACTAGATATCTGTCCGTTTATGTATGCGTCGGCGTCACGCGCCGGAACCCAAACCGTGCCATCTCTCGAATCAAGTCTTCGGCTTTGGCGACAACAACACCTTTGGAACAGTGACATTGCGGTAAGTCTTATGCCAAAACTATCAACCGAAGAGGCAAGCGAGCACTGGCATGATTATACCCTTACCAGTTGCCGTTAGACAAACCAAAACAACGTAGGAGCCAAAGCTCAACTCGAATTCCGTCAAATTCAGCCAATGCGACTGCCAGTAGTACCGCCTCCATCCAGAGCTTGAAGCATGATCTTGGAGGCGTCTTCAAAAAAATTGCAGCAGGTCTTATCCCTTCTTCAAGCCCAGCGACGTTAACTCTCTGATCTCAGTTCCAATTGCTTACTTTGAGTGCAGGCGGTTCACAATCTGTGCGATCACAACCTTCACGGCCTTGCTATCCTCTTCCGCGTTCTCTCTGAGCGCTGCTTGGGATGATGTTTGGCTGGCTCCTTTACGGCCTCTTGTTGCCGCTGCTCTTCAAGGCTGGCTTTGGATACAGACTTGAGAGGGCTACAACAAGAATTGTTACTGTCGCTGCCAGGCGCCTCGAACTCGAAACTCCGCCTCAACGGAGAGACGCATCCATACTCAGGGAACTTGCTGTTGAGCCAAGCTGCTCCATGCAGATGTATCCGGTGTCCAGTACTTGCAATATCGGCGTACATACCGCGGGCAAAAGGGAAATTCCGGCGACTGGACGGCCCTCTCGGCGTGCAGTGGCCTCCAATCCGTTACAAGTCAAAGCAATTGCGGCCAGTTGTTCCACTATCTACAGCTCATCGAAGACTTGCTGGGCAGGAGCGCATCCTCAACCAACATTTGATGGGGCACCTCTGACTCGAACTGAGACAACGAGGATTGGTCCATCCTCGCAGCTCCAGACAATGACTGTCGTTGCAACGGCACAGCTAAGCATTAGCGCCCCTCCAGCGACGGCAAGCGGCGGCAATTTTGGCGTCCTCATCACTTTCAAACTGCGAGATCAGATTATCGATGCCGCGAATCAGTACTGCTCCGCCGGCAAGCGCAACGGGAAAAGGACTGACTTGGCTTGCGCTATCCCTGAGAGTTCTCGATCTCAACTTCTGGACGATATTAGAGGCCTGATCACGAACAGCATCGATCCAGCCAGTAAAGATCTTTTGGTTCTACTTCCTCAAGCCTTGAGTGACCCAGCCGTATTCCAGGCTGCCATGGCCACAGCTGGTACTCTAGCAATTGCTGGTCTCTTGTTCGATGGTATGAGGCTGTCGACCGAGTTTCAATTCATGCCCGGACTTCTCAGCTCAGCGATCGACGAGCATACGAGCAGCAGTACTCAGACAAGTGATCAGCAGATCGGTATCGCAACGCCGGGTCCCACCCTGAGGAATGTACCACCGGCGGATCCAGAAGACGTCTCAATCCTCACTGTGTACCTTCAGTCTGTCCTGGCTGTTCCAATCACGGTTACAGTTGCTCCACCGACGACCATTCCACAAGCTTCTGTAACAAGAACTCTCACACAAGCATCACCTGTTCTTGCATCGCCTTCCTGCTTCAGTGGAGGAGCGGCTTTCAGACTGTCGGACATCGAAGACAAGGTGACGTCGTTCTGCAAGACAGCATCGAAGGAGAAGTGGACCGCAAAGCAGACCAGTTCCATCTCAAGCATTAGCAACGAGTTCTTCGGTAAGCATGTGGCAACCTTGAAAAGTGCGGTGTCACCTACTCATTGTCTCTCTAGCTGGACAAGGGCAGTATCGATGGAAGGTCCCATCCTCCAACAAAGACACTGAGCTTTACATAGAAGCGAAGTTCCGAGCCGACGCTTGCGCTTCTGGAGCTCCGCAGTCTGTGGACTTTCAGAAAGACAAGGGAAAGTGGTGCATCTCCAAGTTCCTACAGGTGGTAAACGATTGTAAGCACGTGGAGTTACTGCGCGAGTCTGCGCTATAACTGATGCCTTCTACAGGCCAGACCAGAGCTGACAATCCGCATCCCGGTCTCAATGATTTCTGGAAGAAAGGCGGGATCATTAATCAAGATTGTATCGAATGGCAAGTTGGAGATACGGCGGCGTGAGGTTTCTACGGCTTATATATAGTATACTAGCTTAGCGAAATATAGAAGATCGTAAACGTAGTCTGGCTCGAACTAAAGAAGCTAAACGATTCTTAATAACTTTAATCGTAAGTCTGTTCAACCTCGATTGCTTTCCTCGTCTGGACCGATCTTTGCCGGCGCGCGATGTTGAGCCCGAATTGATCGGTCTCTCGCAACTCGCGTTTCTTTTCTGATCGTTCACTGCAGTTGAGATGGAGAAGTCAATATAAGATGAAAGGCAGGGTGGGCTCCCGAGCTCGAGAAATCGTGGGGGCATGAGAACGTGTGTTGAATACTATAGTCGCAGCAAGCGGTCTCCTTCCCTGCGTCCTCAACACTCGTAAAGATCGTGGAGATCGTTGAATCGTGATTCTGCACTATGCTGACGAGGCTCGGGTACAGCAGAGCGTCACCCAATTGCTAAGTTGGAGCAGATTGGCGCCAGCCAAAACTGATGGGACGATTCCACCGAGAAAGATCCCGAAGACTTCATCTCAACTCTCTACTCTGCTTCCCCATCTCTTCGCTTCTACACGACACCAGGTTCCAAACAAGTTCGGGATTGCGGGCACCTAGTATCCAATCAGTGTGTCTTAGCTACGGACCGACTTGTGCATCTCACAAGAAAGAGAGAGAAGATGGAGGCGATGCTTAAGATCTCTCCTGCAGTCGAAATACACTTCATCCCTCCGCGGTATGAAATGACGATCATTGCCAGACAATGCGTTCGAAGCCCCGCCATTAATCTTCGGTGTGCGCGTGATGCCACGCGACTAGAGATTACATGTACATGTAACCGCATCTCGACGTCTTTCTTAGCCTCATCGCCTTCTTCTCCTCAACAAGATCTTTTCGGATCTCGTCTTGTCCTCTCACTTCTCATTATCAAATCAACATCAGCCGCAGGATAATCCGCAATGGGCCTCCTCCTCAAGAGGCCGGAAGGCGAAGAAGGCGCCGCTTGGCCTGCCATTTGCGTAGGCCTCTTCGCAGCCTTTGGAGGTATTCTATACGGATACGATACAGGTGAGCATGTCCGCCTGAAGAAGCGACGACTCTCCTTAGACTTAATGACTGACATGCGCTCCAGGAACGATCGCTGGTATCCAGAACATGACCGCCTGGAAGCAGCAATTCTTCCCTAACGATCCTGGTACGCCTCCGTCCAGCGAGATCTCCCTCATTGTCTCCATCCTATCAGTCGGTACCTTCTTCGGTGCGCTTCTGGCCGGTATCATTGCCGACATACTGGGTCGCAAATGGGGCATCATCGTCTCAGCCATGATTCCCTTCAACCTGGGTGTCGCACTCCAGACTGGTGCATTTCACAAGTCGACATTCATCGCGGGACGTTTCTTCGCCGGAATGGGAGTGGGGCTGGTGTCGGTGCAGGTGCCAATGGTAAGATTGAGGCTCGATGTGACGATGATAGAAATATATTGATTGTCGCAGTTTCAATCCGAGACCTTGCCCAAATGGATTCGTGGCTTCATTGTCGGAGCCTATCAATTGGCAATCACATTAGGCCTCTTCATAGCAGCTTTGGTCAACTACGGTACCGAGAACCGCTCAGACAGTAGTGCATACCGCATTCCGCTCGGCATCCAGTTTGCATGGGCTTTCATTCTATGCGGAGGACTGGCCTTCTTGCCCGAGACACCAAGATACCTCATCAAGTGCGGGAAAGACCATCAAGCGATCAAGTCACTCACACGCCTGCGCCGTCTTCCCGCCGACCACCCAGCGATCCAGGCGGAATTTGAAGAGATCAAAGGGAACTACGAATATGAGAAGAGTCTCGGTTCTTCTTCGTACATCGACTGTTTCCGTGGGAATATTGGAAAGCGTACGCTTACGGGTATTGGTCTTCAATGTCTCCAACAGCTTGTCGGTGTCAACTTCATTTTGTGAGTTCATCCTCGTCACATTCAAGCCTGGAGATAATTACTCATCAATCTTCACAGCTACTATGGCACAACGTACTTCTCCAGCGCCTACGGACCAGCTTTGCCAGCTCCATTTATTCTCCAAATCATTACAAATGTCGTGAACGTCGTCAGCACGTTTCCAGGTCTCTGGGCAATTGATGCACTGGGACGTCGCACCGTCCTTCTTATCGGTGCCTTGGGAATGGGCATCTCGCAATACCTTGTTGCTAGTATGTCTACTCCCTAGTAACAACGAATAGCACCTGTACTGACCGCGTTCCAGTCCTGGGAGTGGCAACGAATCAAGACAATAACAGCTCTGCTCGAGCGCAGTTTGCTTTCATCTGGTACGAAAAGCCGCATCGCCTTCTAACGACTGGTACTGACAGGTTGAAATAGCATCTACATCTTCTTTTTCGCCAGTACCTTTGGGCCAGGAGCCTGTAAGCTTTGCGATCTTCCACAAGTCCTGTAAAGGTTGCTGATATCTACGAAGGGGTCGTTACAGGAGAGATATTCCCTCTCAAAGTTCGTGCCAAGTGTCTCTCGATGACAACTGCCTCAAATTGGTAACCCTCTCGAAGGTTCCAATCTAATATACCAACAGCGATGTTGACTTTTTACAGGCTCTTCAACTGGCTCCTGTCCTTCATCACACCCTATCTCACAGGTGCACAATACGCCAATCTTGGCACAAACGTCTTCTGGATCTGGGGAGGTTTCTGTTGGATCGCTGTCGTCTTCGTCTGGGCCCTTATCTACGAGACAAAGAACACCACTCTCGAGCAAGTCAACGAGCTTTACGATAACGTCAAATTTGCATGGAAGAGCCCTGCATACAAGCACCAGTTGCAAGACCGTAGATGGTCTGTCACTGGTGCGGAAGGTGAGAAAGCGGAGAAGGTTGAGGATGGGGATGTTACCAGGAAAGAAAGTTTGTAGAGCTGAGCGAGGAGATGGGGATGTGGAAAGAGATGCAGAGACGTACACAGCTGGAACATGAGGTGCACCAACACTTCGCCGGGTACTCGGCATGTTTTCTGGCCTACCTGTGGTGGCATTCATGTCTCTGCTCAGCTGCGGCTGGGCTTCGTTCCGGACCGGTGAGCCTCCTGAATGAAGAAGACACTGGTACTACCCGAGCGGGACTACAGCCGCACCAGGAAGTCGAATACAGTGATCGTCCGATGTATTGCAAGACTGATCAAGAAATCGGCATGTCTCAGGAAGCGCGGGACCTCGACCTTGCATGAGAAGTGCCGTTTTCGTTTCTTCACATGCGGTGTGTTGGTGCTCGAGAGACTGAGACGGCTGCTTCTCTTGCAAGTCATTGCGACGAACTGATCCCATCTTTACGAGCGTGTCGCCTTTCTAGGCGGAAATCTCTCACAGTCGATGGATTGTAGTCTGTTCGCATTACACGTTAGCGTTCGAGGGATCAAGACTATTCTCGATCTTAGCTAAACAAATCCTGGTTGTGGTCCCTTAGAGAAGCCTACTCCAGGCCGCTACCAAGAAGCACTCCTTGCAGTGGTGTCCAGGAAGGATCAGAAAAATGTCACTTGTGAAACTAGGGACTTTGGTACATTAAAAGTGTGTGCATGCTTCTCGCAGTTCAGAAGTTCAGCTGCGTGCACTCGAAAGGCATATAAAAGGCCCTCTACATCCGACCTTGTGAATACCGCTTATAGTAGTCAAGCACATCTCTCCAAATTACCTCTCCACTATGAAGCCAAAACAATCCGCAAGCATCCTCGCCCTTGCCAACATGGTAGCAATCGTCTCGGCAGGCTGCACCGCCAGTCCAGGAACATGCGGCGTTATGGCGAGTGGAATAGACATCACACTCTACGGCGGCGACTGCCAGGAGATCGGATCAACCTCGATCACTAGCTCTGACGGCTACGGTTCAATCGATTCCAGGCTTCCGTACACAGTCGACATACACCTGACGTCGGGCGGTGGTTCCGCACTTGCTGATCCAAAAGGGAGTGAGTTGAAAACAGTGTGAAAGTAGTTCTACTTTGTGGCTTGGTGACTAACAGTGGAACGATAGCCGTCAAGTACGCTGCCCAAACGGAACTTTTGCCTGGAAAGTGTTTTGAGTGCAGTGGGTTCAGATGCTGCTGGGTGTATTTCAATGATGAGAGCTGCTAGCTGACTTGGTCGCAAAGTGGCGAGAAGGAATCAAGAAGAAATCAAGGTACATCCAATGTGGTGCTCCGGGGAGGGACGACTGTCGCTACAGGCTCAATCTATTCAATTGAGGAGGTTAACCACAGTGAATCAGAAATTTATATGATGCTCGTTACCGCCCGCAGACCAAGATGACTCCGAGCACCTCTATCACAGCAACCTACGCTAGCTTACTTGCTAAAAAACTGCCTCACTGCATTGAGGGACATAGGCTGTACGTTCGTATCATGGCCGTGAGATTCGAGAGTTCGTCAAGCCGTCAACTAGGCTACCAGAGTCGCTTTTTTCTGCCGCTCAAAAACGTGGTCCTGCGATCTAGACGATCTTGCCACAGCGCTAGGAAGTCCGTCTACAGCTTCAAGCCGCTCCAAAGGGACATAGAGCAGCGCAGCACCTAACATTGAGTCCCGTAGTCGGAAGAGAGGCCGGGGAAAGACGCACGCAGTGGGATTCATGGTCTTCCATCCAGTCCGGGAGAATGGGCTTGTAAATTCCTGTTGGAGAAGAGATCAGCACTTCGAAAAGCAACGCTCACACCGTGCCAGAGACCGCAGATGCGGAAGATGTGTGCTCGCATATTGACGACCGGTTCGTGACGATCTGAGAGCTCTACGAGATCGTCTTGAATGATGGAAGTATATATTTCCGTCCATTCGGGCTCGGCAAGCTATCAAGGAACAAGCTCTTTGAGAGTATTGGATACCGTCCGCTTCTGAAGTGCATTAGATCGCGGTGTCGAAACAATCCTGCGGAGTTCTTGACGTAGAGAGAGAGAAGGCGAGCTGATGTGAGGGATCCGACAATTCATGAATACTCATGAGGTGAACTGCTCCAAGATCTCCGCGTTGGTACCATATCCCGAATCCGATACAGCTCCCCTTAAGAATTCGATCGCTCTAGAACAGAGCCGTAAAGTTCGTTCTGGGTCTCAAGAGGGTAAAGAAGAACATCCGAAGCCTCAGAGAGAACGCAGTCCATGGCGGCCGCCAGACAGGAGCTAGAGTCGTACATGGCTTGGACGTACTCAAGATAGGGTCATTGTTTGTCTTCTAATAAAGGTGGTCGATAGGGATGAGACCGTAGATAGATGGGGGATATCGCGTGAGCACCGATATCGAAATGAGTGAGCATGGATAGCTGCACGAGATCGATATGGAACAATGACCGGGAGCGCTCAGATGCAGTTTTTGGGGCTCAGAGCACACGGCGCAAGGAGCGCTGTCGCTTTATAGATTAAAGGTGTCTGGTTCTCTTGAGTTAATGAACATCTCTTGTCGATGCAGTCGGCTCTGTCCTCAGTCACTGTATCTTCAGATAGTTCCGCCGAGCAGCTATGGGCCCTTGGGATCACTAATGGATGCGACGAGAGCTCTATCAAGGTCGGGCTCGAGGCGTATTGCCAGGCGGCTGGACATTCGCAATCAGGCGAGTAAGGCAGGACCGGATTGCAACCGACGCTGGAGAGGTGAAAGGCGGACAGGATCCTTTGAACGATCCATAAGGTGGCTTCTCAGCCCAATTGTGTCGTCTATGAAGGTCGTACGGGATCAGCTTCAACCATCCATGGTATTGTCGTCCAGCTCCAGTCTGTCCCAGCTCCAGCTTTGTTCGGTCTTCCGCCTGGTAGACCTTGAGAAAAGGGATCGAAGGCCTTTGAACGGACAGAGCTGTGGGCGTGGGGTCAATAGAATTGTAAATCATGTTCCGTGGGGAGAGTTGAGAATGGAAGTTATAATCCCAGTCAAATTTTCGCTCGCAGGCTATGGGGTATCATTCGTAGCACACGCCTTCACAAAAAGAAACGCTCTGTGTCTGGCGGAGGCGCCTTCAGTGGGCGGGCTCAGCTCTGGCCGGTTTCTGGTGCTGGCCTCTGTCCCTGAGTACACCCATGTCCATGGCCAGTGTGCCTCGCTGAGGTGCTTGTACTTGGCCTAAGCCAGCAGACTGAATGCTCTCCAGCCATGCTGCTTCGCCCGCTTCCTGCTCTTCTCCATCTTCGTTGTTATCCGCACCGTTATGGGTAGAATCCGGTTGGTATTGAGGATCGTGGTTGCTCATGGTTGTCGGATTGTGGTGCCAATCGTCGTGGCTTGGGTGTAAGACATCGATCATATCACTGTCGCCTACGTCAGCGATCTGTGGCCCGAGTAGAGTAGGACAAGTCACGCACTCGGCGGCCTGCGCCGTGATATGTTCCAATGCCTCGCGCTCTCTCATCAACTCTTCTTCGTCCGGCTGGGTGAGGTGTGTGTCGTCGGCGGTGCCATAGGATTGCTGCTCGGAGTCGAGGAGACGATCCAGGTGGTCGCCCTGTCGCAATGCGCACGTCAGTATCTCCCAGATCGCAGTGTCTCCCGGATCGAGGCTGAAGAAGGAACTCACATCCTGCGAGGGATGCCGATTCAGGCCCAGACAAGACGCACACACTCCCATCCCAAGAATGTGCCTGGAGTGTCACGTCGCCGCCCACACCATCTCACTGCGCTTCAGCCCGCTGCTGCCACTCTGACCTGCAAAGAATTCGTAAACGCCGCCACTCTGGACAGCAATTCTTTCGGACGGCAATTCTTTCGGACGGCAATTCTTTTGGACGGCAATTCGAGTGAAGAGCAATTTCTATGCAGAGCAATTCCACAATAGGTCGGCAGAAAGTGGGGTGAACAGGAGGTTGCCTGGTGCTCCGCTGCACCTGCCGTGTTTGTAAATATCACGTGACTAGCTTATTTATTCAACCTCCTCTGCTCGGTCTCAAGCGAGACATGTTGCATACATCTTGCATACATCTTCGTTCCTGGGCGGAGTTCACGCATCGGAGTGAGCCTCACCATCTACGCTAATTCCCTGTCTCTGAATCGGTACAATGACACTGCAAGTTCTCTTTGCTGTGGTCTGCGCCCTGCCGGCTTCCCATGAACCAGGAGAGTGAGAGTCTACTGCCATGGCATCCACCGGCTTCTTCAGCAGGCCTCATATCACAATCAGCATCGATTGCGTCTTGACTTGATGTTCATGATACCTGGATGTAGTGGCACCTGTCAATCGCGGAGGCTGCCCTCGACATTCCTCAGCGCACCCACTGAGACGCCCTCCTTGAATTCCAGCAAGGAGGCCGGAGATACAATCTCTCGGAATGGATCGACCTCAACATCACTCGACCTCTTGTGAAATCATGGCGGGAAAAGTATTCACCGCGCGCGCAAGGTCGCCAGTGTCATTCGAACCATCGTCGCACATCTCCTACTACCCCTTTCCATTCCGTATGCCACCTCCTCCACCCGTCACCTGCACGAGAGCTCTTTGCTCACCAGCCTCTGCAAGGCAGAGCACGCGCGACGCCTCCAGACTGGCTGGCTTCACGCGAATCGGAGGCTGATCTGCAATGTCCTTGGTCTCGCACAGTCTATAAAGCAATTCCAAGCTGCTCCTTCACATCAGAACTGTCACAGCACACAGCAACATCTCACAGCCATTCGCTCAAGGCAATACTTCACCCGCGACGCTTGCTCGTCACTCGCTAGCAGCAGCGGACATCAGGATGCGCTCTTTCCATGCGCTGGCCCTCGGCCTTTCTCTCCTTGACCTTTCGGCCGCCCGCGTCACACATCAATCTCTGAAGGAACTCCAGACACGGGAGCGGAACGGACAAGCTGATTCGAATGTTGTATCTTGGTTCAAGCACCTTCTCGGCAAGTCCGACACCAGTGATGTCGCCCCTCGCGCTGCTCTCGACATGACTTGCAACCCACATGACGAATACTACAAATTCGTGGACGACTCGACGTTTGGCCTGAGCTTCTGCCGCAGGCTGATGAACTATCCCAACGTTACTACGGTCTCAGACTACACGCCTGTCAGGTAAATTGCCATGCTGGATCACATCAGGTATACAAATGCTGACAGAAGGAAGCACTATTGTCCACACCACCACAACCAAGGTCGTCACCGACCACACCACAATCCGCACAACTCCAATTACTACCACTACGGTCACTGTCGGCGGAGCCCAGAAGCGCGATGCCGAAATCACTCACGCTCCTCGCGCTGTCTCTGACGAACAGGTTGCCGAAGTCTTCAACATGTTCCGCAGACAGAAACCAGACTCGACCGATACCCCGACTGATCCCGAGCTGAGTACCTCCTTCTCAAGTGCTTGTGCCTGTCACACGGATTATGACGGAGTCACAATTGTCTCTACATACACCAACGAGGCTTCTCTCACGACTCAATCTGTGTTCTGGCTTACCACGACCACTGTCGCAACCACCAGAACCGCTGCAGCCCAAGTTACGAGTGTGACCGTCACATCAGGAGCCTCGACCGCTTCATCGCCAGAGGCAGCTGACGCATCAAGCGGAGCTACTGCTGCATCAAGCGCCCCGGCAGGCTCGTCTGTGGCCGCCGCCCCCTTGCCATCTCCGACCAACGAGGCATTCAGGTGTCCCGAAGATAACAACTCCACTGTCAGCCAGATGGTCGGCACCATGCGCTACGACTACCTGGTGCTGTGCGATACCGATATCACGGACGGCGACGTGTACAGCAACACGCATTACAGCAGCTTCTCGGAGTGCGCCGCCGCCTGCTCCATCGTGGACACCAGTATTAACGGTCACGTCTGCGAAGGCTTCTCATTCTACGGCGCCGCAACTGGCGATGCGAACAACTGCTTCCTTAAGAGCAGTGCCAATAGCTCGGTAGCGGCCGAAGGTGTTGACAGCGCTATCCTCAAAGAAGTAGCTGTCGGCCTGTCCGACTCCAACCCTGCCGGAACCAACACTGAATATGGTCCTTTTGCCGATCCAACGTCCGTGTCTCCATCTGACATGAGCAGCTCCATCTCGCAGGTCCTCGACGGCAGCAGCACTTCGATTGCCGTCATCACCCCTGCTGCTGTCCGTCCCAGTGGTCTGCTCGTCAACGCCCCCGGTGTTGCAGGCGTCACATCCTTCTCTACATATGTGTCTGACGGCTCGACATTTTCCACTGGCACGGTCTACTCGACATACTACTCTGATTCCACTACCTGGTACTACTCATACTACACCTCCTTCTCCGTAGCTTGGGCATCGGCAACCACAGTGTACGCAAGCTCAGAGACAAGCACTGCGATTAGCAACGTGACCAACACCGACACCAACAATGTGAGCAACGGAAATGGAGGCTACTCCACCATCTCGAACCAGACCACGACGACCCCCTTCGAAGGTGGATACAATGTCACCACGGTGATCAGCAATGTTACTTACGACCAAAACGGCTCTCAACTTGCTTCTACTGCCACGACTTACGTCAACACCTACCAGACGGCGGGTGCGGGAGGAGCGAGCGGTAGTGGTGGTGCTGGTCTCATCACATCTACATACCCTGGGTCTACCTCCATCTTCACGGTGATCTCGACAAGCGGCGCCACAGCTGGCCAGTCCGGTACTGCAGCATCTGGTGGTGCGGCTCAGACCCCAGCGCCAAGTGTCATCATCAACAGCTACGGCACCGCTTATAGTAGTGGATACATGCTGTCGGGAGGCGCTGGCGGTGCTGGTGGCGCGAGCAGCACTGAAGGCTCTGGGGGTGCACCTCTCACTCCCATCTCTTCGACGCTCTTCTCGACCGGCTTCTCGGGCGAAAGTGGCATTGCTGCCTCTGGTGCTTTCATCCCTATATCATCCACCATCGGGTCTAATGCCATCAGCGGCGCCACTGGCATTGCTGCGTCTGGTGCTTTCACCCCTATTTCATCCACCATCGATTCTACTGCCATCAGTGGCGCCACTGGCATTGCTGGCTCTGGTGCTTTTACCCCTATTTCATCCACCGTCGTGTCTACTGCTATCAGCGGCGCCACGGGTCTGGCCGGATCTGGTGGCCTGACCCCCATCTCTTCGACAATCTACTCGACTGGCATCTCGGGCGAAAGCGGAATCGCTGGATCTGGTGGCTTCACACCCATCTCTTCCACTGTCGTTTCGACCGACATCACCGGTCAATTTGGCACTGCGGCATCAGGAGGCCTGACGCCCATCTCTTCTACTGTCGTTTCGACCGACATCACCGGTCAATTTGGCACTGCGGCATCAGGAGGCTTGACGCCCATCTCTTCCACCCTGGTCTCCACTGGCTTTGGCGGCGCGAGCGGTACTGTTCTGTCAGGTGGCCTTCCATCAACTACGACACCATTCACGAATAGCAATGCTCCTCGAAATGGGACAGAGTTAACAAGCTCGCGGACTGGCCTTATCATACCCTCTGGTGGTCCATTGGTGCCTATCTCGTCTGAGGCAGGATCGACCGGCTTCTTTGGCGCCAGCTCTACCTTCCTTGCTGGATCAGGTGTGATTCCAAGCTCAGGCACTGCTCCCTCTTTCTCTCCCATTGCATCGACCGGAGTATCCACTGGCACTGAGTTCTTCACTGGCAGTGGTGCCTCCGGAGGATCACCATCCACCGTCTCGCCATTCTCGAACACCAATGCTCCCCGATCTGGTACCATGCCATCCTCCGGTATTGTCCCAACAGGGTCTGCCCCATTGGGCTTCGCTCCATCTGGTACTGCTCCTCTCGGCACCTCCGTGTCCCCTTTCACCAACAGCGAAGCGCCTCGATCCGGCACTGAGAGTACGCAGAGCTCTCCAACGCCTTTCACTAACAGCGAAGCCCCTCGATCGGGAACTGAAAGCACTGAGAGCTCTCCAACGCCATTCACCAATAGTGGAGCGCCCCGCTCAGGTACTCTGCCATCTTCTGGTTTCGCTCCATCTGGGACCGCTCCTACTGCACCTCTTGTGAGTGGCCCGTCAGGCACTGCGCCAGGGCCTGCTGGTACTACCTTTGCAGAAGTTGTGCCATTCCCAGCTCCTCATCATGGCAATGGTCCTCTCCAGCCTGTCTCGTCACATGTCAGTACTGCGGCTCTCTCGGGATCAAGCGGCTCGCCGTTCACGAACTCTGGCGCCAACAGATCTGGAACTCTTCCCACCAGTCCCTCCGGTCCCCTTCCAACCGGCTTCGTACCTTCAGGGACTGCTCCAGGCCCAGTAGGAACTGGCACAGCACCAACGCCCATAGGAACAATTCCTCTAGAAACTGGTTCAACGCCATTCAGCAACACTGGAGCGCTCCGATCCGGTACTCTTCCTCCATCAGGCGTCGCTCCCACCGGCACAGCACCGCACCTCGGCACGGCGCCTCCTGGTACTTCCCCCGCCACATCACCTTTCCTACCCTTCCCAACTGGTGCTACTAGCTGTGTGACCAACTACCTCGGCACCATGACCATGTGGACCACCGTCACGGAGTATGGTTGCTACTCCAACTGTCCACCAAACGCCGGTGGGTACGGCAGTCTTCCGACCTCGTGGCCGCCTTCTGCCGGAGGGAGTAACTACGGAGGCGGCTCCCACAGAGGCCCGCCTTGATTGCAGCGAGCAAAAGGGAGAGAACGAGATCTAACGACGCTATGGACATTTGATTGATTGTTTGGGCGGGCAAAAGGAGTTTTCACATGTGCAGGAGTGGCACATAATGACGGACAGGTGGCTTTGGGCGCAAGCAAGGATGCGCGTGCGCATCTTCACGAGATTTATCACGATAGAGTTTGCTGGGCAACATACATCAAATGGCAATGATTTTTGAATTTTGACAATTCTCCCTCTGAACGCGATCTCTTCCTTTGTGTTTGATTATCTCAAACAGTAGGGGCTCTTTGGTTCAAATGATGCAGAACAGATGCAGGAGATGACTCGAGAGAGCATTTTTCCCGCCCTTGATATATTGGCCCGTCTAGTCCGACATCAAAACCTTCTGCTCTGACCGCGAAAATTCAACGTTTCCTTAGGAGTTCTCATTCTTAGCGATCAAGACACCCACGTGGAGTCCAAACAGTAAAGTTCTCGTATGTCGTGATCCGAACAACGATGCCTCTCACAAGTCCCTACCGAATGTCAAATGCTGCCTAAAAGGTTTCCCGTTCCTCGGACCGCAAATTTCCCTGCCATCACAGCTCCCGTTAACATTCAACTCATGCAGCGGAACCTCAAAAGAACGAGAAGTTGCGATCGAAGAAAATGACCGACCAGGTATGCAAACTTACTTGACGATTAATCTTCTCAACGGCTCAAAACGCTCCAGATCATCTTATCTATGTCCGTCCCAATCCCCCATCACGCATCCATCTCACCTTCTACAGCGTCGATAATCAACCGCAACACTGGAAGAATTGTATCCTCCCAAAACGGCTCGCTGAAAATCTGTAATCCTGTCGTCTGTGCTCGGAATTCGTGATGATGTTAGAGAGAGAGAGAGAGAGAGAGAGAGAGAGGAGGGCCTTGGGGAGTCAAAAAGTCTTGCGATTGCGAAAGAGTTCGAGTGAGGGACGAAGGGAAGGTGTCCTGTGAAGAGAAATCCCAATGGTCACACGAAGAAGAATGGCCATAAGGGATTGCTTTGGGCGTATCCTCGTCTCCGCCTGATTCTGACTCTGCCCAAGTGTCTCCCGAGGTAAAGGCATCTCTGGCTTGTCATCGTGGTCAATGTATCGATACGCTGGCCACGACGAAGAAGGGGGAAGGAAAAGATACCCACCGGAGCATCTCCCTTGCCCGGTAAGCATGCCGGATCTGAAAACAAACCTTTTTCAGCCCCATCACAAGCAGTCCCGTGTGAAAATGAACAAAAGCAGCGGGAAAAGCGCGGCATTCTACTCGCAAAGCTCAAAGCGTGAGAGCTCTCATCTTCTACACCATCAGCAACCCCCTAAGACCCGAGGCACGTGTATCCGCTTCGCACAAATTTTGAATTGGTGTATGTTGAAGCTTCATCACCTCAAAGATATGTATTCCTCCTCTCGCGGGGCTTCCCGCTCGCTCTTACGACTTCTGGCCCTGCTGCTGCAGATACTGATACGCAAAGTACGCAAGAGCAGCACCGACCACAATCACCCCGTAGACACCCACACCCAGCCCGCCGCCGGAGGAGGAAGAGGAAGTCTTGCGTATCTCCGAGACTTGTTGGGTCGCGGTCTTGGGGGCTGGGTCACCTTCCTGGAAATCCAACCCGTATTAGCATTGTGCCCGCTCGAGGAAGATTGGCTGCCGCATCTCCTTCTTACCTGTCTCTTCAGATTCCCGACCAGCAACCCCTCCAGAATCTCCCTCGCCTCATCCGAATGTCCGACGTCTTCGAATGCCTCGGTGGCATCTTGTCCGCCGACATCGAGGAGGACTTCCTCACCGCCTCTAGATAATCATCAGTACGAACCCAAGGGCCAGCCAGCCAGCCAGCCAGCTCGCCGGAGGAGAAGAAGAAAAATGCTGACGGGTGCTCATCCACAAAAGAACTCGTGTTGTAAACCTTATCGTGGATAACAAGGTACAGGTCCTTCTTCGACGTATGCTCAGACACGTCCGAGTAGGTGAACTCCTTCGTCGCCATTGTCTCCCGGTGCTGTATCTCTCGTATCTCCCGAGTCCCCACTCTTTCCCTTCTTTGGTATGCGTGCGTGCGTGTGGGACGTAGTAGGAAGTGTCTGTGTTGTTGTTGTTGTTGTTGATCAACGAGATCAAATCATCCGTACGCGAACTGTGTGGTTATTGTAATGGGTCGATTATGCGAGTGCAGTAGATGGAGAAGTTCGGAAAGCGACGTGGTCGGTGTCAGCAAGAGCTCCAGCCAACCTCACTGGCCCCCTCGGCCGGCAAATGCCTTGGCGGCTAATCGCGGAATCAGTTTCCGTCGCAGGCTTGCCGTGGACAACATCCGTGCATTCCTCTTCGCCCACACCTACCTTGTTTGTGCAATTCATAAAATCACGAGCTTCCGAGACATGCGGTAGTAAGTGAACGGTGCAGATGGTGCGTATGCCGTTCCGCCCACCTGACCCTTCTAAGAGATAGTGCGGAGATATTTCCATCCCACATCATCATTCACATTCAGAGAAAAAGCTCTATCTATCTCAGAAGAAAACATTAGCCTCACGCTTCCTGTCACGGGCGGGCTTCCTAGTAATGCTGAAGAAACTGGAGCTACCCAGAATCACACTCCCGCTTCACTCCACCGCCATACACACTCTCCCAGACGAACAATAGCAGCCATACCCAGCCATACCATGGAGGAGCCCTCCTCCGATGCGAAAGTCAATTCGCAGCCTGTCTACGCCACGACCAGAAGCTGCTGGCCATGACCGCGCGTTCTCCCTGTCCCACTCCGAGGTTTTCTTTTGGTAACGATGGATACTGATCCGACTTCCTAGCGCCCATGTGCGAGAGATGGAGGAGATAAATTTGTGGTACACACCGAACGCTCAGTCGAGATGCATGCTGACGCTCGATTTGATTGCGAAGAACATGGAAGCAGCAACGCCGCTCCCGGACGGGACTGTTGCTCCAGAAAGCCAGAGTACGCGAGGGCCAGAGTACGCACAAGTCGGAGCGGCATTCGCTATGCCAGTAGTCAATGTCATATTATACGAGAAAAGTCGCTCAATTGCCCTTGTTCTTGCGCTCCTCTGCTCGGGCTAATCTGGCTGCTTTCACAAGAGGTGCCAGCGTGGCGAGCGGCTCGGCGGTTTGGATGAAGCCATGCTGTATACGTGTCAGCATGCAGGAATACCATATACGGCAAATGGTATGTATGTCTAAGCTTACCTTGAGCAGATCGTGCGCAGAGGCTCTCTTGTCCGGATCGACCTTGAGCGCGAATCCCAGGAAGTCCCGGAACAAAGGCGTCAGATTGTGCTCTTCTTTGATCGTCGGCGTCCCGTTGGTCGCGATCAGATACAGTGCTCGCAGAGGTGATTCTGTCAGGTATGGCGGCTCGCCCTCAATCATCTCAATCGCCATGATTCCGAGTGACCAGATATCGATCTTGCGGCCATACTCTTTCCTCGTCACGACTTCCGGAGCCATCCAGTACGGTGTTCCCACCATCGTCGTCCGCTTCATGTGCGACTCGTTGATCTGCGCGCAGAACCCGAAATCGGTGAGCTTGATGCTTCCCTCCATCGACAGCAGGATGTTGTCCGATTTGATATCTCGGTGTATTACTCCCTTGGAATGCAGGAACTGGAGGCCGTGTAGCGTTTCCCGGCACACGGCTGATATCTGACCCTCCGACATCATGTTGAAGGTCACCACGTCGGTCAAGCTGCCGCCCTCCATGTACTCCATGACCACCCACAGATCGCCCTTGACGAGGAAGCTGTCCATGAAGTTGACAATGTTCCGGTGCTTGCTGTCCCTCATCACGAGGATTTCATTGATGATCAAGTCCTTCTTCGGCTGCTGCTCCAAATTCATCTGCTTGATGGCCACGCACTTGTTCGTGCCGACTTCAAACGCAGTGTAGACACCTCCCGATGCACCTTGCCCGATCTTGATCAGATTCCGGTATTTCTTGGTCGGATCTGCAGCATTGCAGATGTGCTGAAGTTTACTCAGCACCTCGGCATTGGTGATGGACTGCCGTGGACGCTGTCTCGGCCTTGGCGCAGGTCCTACTCGAGGATCTACGGCAGCAGGATGAGGTACTTGTCTGCTTTCTGAAGGTGATGATAACTGCGGCTGTGGAGGTTGTGCTTGTTGCGCTGCGTATGCGTTGCTTGGCTGCCGTTGCGATTGCGATCTTTCCAGTGAAACGTCCTTGAGCTTCTGCTGCGCGGCCTTCATGGCTTGCTCTTGCTGTTGCTGGTACTGTTGCGGTGATGACACCGGCGATTGTGCTTGATATGTTGGGCCCGTATTGGACCGACTCCGCGTCTGCACTGGTTGCGTGTTTGATGAAATGTCTGTCACTGTAGGAGGGGCATAGCGTACAGGCGGCAGTCCATTCTCGTCTCGGAGCTGCTGCTGTGGCATCGGTATAGGCGGTGCTGGCCGTTGTGGTACCATGTTCGCTGATTGACTGCCCGGTGGCCTGGGCGCTGGTCGCAATGGGAGCATGTTCCCATTCAACGCTGGACTTATTGGCGATGTGAGGCCCAATCCCTGATTCGACATACCCCTTGGGACGGGAGGTGGTGCTCTCGGGTTCTCGAAGCTCTCGCCGTCGTTCTTGGGGAAGCGCGGACTTGCGGGTGGGCTCATTACTTGACCATAGCCTCCTCCCGGACTCAGATTAGATTGGCCATAGGCCTGGGGTGTCAATCCCTGCGGACTGTCCTGTGGCTTCGCGTTGTCGAATTTGTGGTAAGTCCAGTCATCGCTGCTGTTGTCCTGGTTCTCGTTGAAGAACGTCACTACATCTATGATGGCCTGGGGATTCTTCTTCTGCTCCTGCTCTGTGATACCGTTCATCTGAAGTGTACGCTGCCATTCCTTGGGCAGACCCTGCGAGAACAATCAGCAAACATTCGACGTCTCCGCGAGCTGCAAGCTACGATTACGCTGCTGAAGCCTCGTCGGTGTACCTACCGTGAACTCGCCCGTCTCTGTATCATATCCAACGTGTGTGACGTGCACCGGGTTCTCTGGGGCTGATATTGTGGGCTTTCGAGGTGTGCCAACTAGACTTGCGAATATGCTCGAGAAGCCGCTCTTCTTCTTCAGCGCCTTGCCGCCCTCTTTTCCCTCATCGCTGTATCTCTGTCGCGGACTCGGAGCGCCGCTGACGTTTGTGATATCCTCCATCCTCCTGCCTGTGGCCGCCAAGGAGGTGGAGAGGCGCACGTTGGGATTGGCGATGGCTGTGGCGGGCTCGTGGTTGGCGCTGTGCGAGGGTGATGGTCGCGCAGGCGCCGGATTGGGAGAAGCGTCAGGATTGTGCGGAATGGTGGGGGATTGCTGCTGCTGCGGCTGCTGGAGCGCAGGCTGAACGTGGGCGCGCTCGTAGTAGTCGGGGTTGTAGGTGACGGCGTTGAGGTTGTTCAGGACGTCGGCGGAGTCAAAGCGCTGGCCGAGCAGGTCGTAGCTGGACTTGCGGCTGACAGAGAGACGTGGGTGCTTGGAGTCGAGGAGGAGCTGGCCGGCCAGATGAGGTGCGGTGGTGGTGGTGGTCGCGGCGGTTGGCGAAGGATCAGGATGGCGGGCGGGATGGTGGTGGTCGAGGCAAGGTGTAGCGACGCCGTGGGAGCTAGCCGGAGTGGTAGATTGCGGTTGCGGTTGCGGTTGCGGTTGCGGTTGCGGTAGCGGTGACTGCAGCGTGGGCGAGCGCTTGTGCTTTGGGTTCGGACGTTGCGGGGAGACAGAGGCAGCTGGAGACGTTCGACCCCGTCGCGCCGACTCTGAGCGGCGCAGATGCGGATGCGGATGCGGGTGCGGATGGGGATGGGGATGGGAGGTGGAGGAGTCGAGGCGACTCGGCGGCGAGTGGTGGGCGGGCGGCTTCTTTCGGAGCTTCTGGCGCTGCTTGGAGGTGGCAGAGGCAGAGGCGGAGGCGGAGGCGGAGGCGGAGGCAGAGGCAGAGGCAGAGGCAGAGGCAGAGGTAGCGGCAGAGTCGGGATCGTTGGACGAGGGACTGTGGGTGTGGGTATGAGGGTGATTGTTGTGGGAGTGCTGGTCGTCAACACTGGGCCGCTCCTGCATCGTTTCCCCGTCGGACTCGTGCCCTAGCGCGCGGTTAAATGGCCATGGACAAACAACGTCACGGAGTCGAGTCGGGTGCGGTGCGGTAAGGTATGGGATGCGGCGATGGCGGCAGCTGACACAGTGACACCAGATCCCCCCGTCCCCGTCCCAGTCCCAGCAATCTAGGAGTCGCAAACGGAAACCCGGTCGACGGCGGCGGCAGCAGTGGTGAATGAGGGGAGGGATGGGCGAGCGGCTCAGCCAAAGTCTCTGCAATGCAATCGTCAGGAGAGGGTGATGCGCTGCAGCAGGCAGTCAGACGTCTCTGGTCTCGGGTGGACAACAGCGACGCAGACGCAGATTCAGACGCGGACGCAGACGCAGACGAGACAAGACAAGAACGCAGCAAGGCGGATGGATGTACAGAGCAGAGCAGAGCAGAGCAGAGCAGAGCAGAGCAGAGCATGTACGCACAGTACGTACAGAGATTCCACTAGGACCCGACGAGACGAACGAGGTACCCGCAACTACATGGACCAGAATGCTCCATTACGACGGCACACGGAGCCCGCGAGAACAGCATCCTTGCAGCGCCCTTCTTCACACACTACGCGAAAGAGCACCGAATCTTGTTTGGCACCGCCGTATCCACCAATAACCGCCGCCCCCTCCCACCAGATCATTCTAACACCCTACCTCTGACTAGCAGTAGGCTACTATCTCGCCTACCTGCTACCCATGCCCGTCGGCTCAGCCTCCGACGTCGATGGGCTCGAATGCATATCGTATAGAAGACCCTCTGATGCCATCTGTCTTTTATTACATGTATCTGGGGTCTGACAACGCACCACATGCCGCAGCCATACCCTTCCGCTGCCCTGTTTCATCCTGCCCGATCCGGCCACCTGCGCCGCCAATCTATTCTGTCACGTGGTAGCCCCTCAGCCACTATCACACCTCAGTCTGCTTATCGTCAGAGGCAGGGAAGCATGCTCGTCCCACGCGGCGTGGCGCAGACCGTCCATCATGCAAGCCTCATCTACCTTACGTGGTCTGCCAACGAAATCGACGCCACCTCGCGACTCCAAAACAACAACACAGAACACGTCCATCATCTGCGCGGCTGCTTGTTGGTACTGCTTACAATGGTCGGCGATTACTTACCGGCCCAAAGTACCGAAGGAGGCTGCTGCTATCGCCGACTGTCGGGCAGAGGTATCCCATCTGTCGGCATCCGTTGGTCGCGTGATCAGTACCACCGCATCGAGATCTCACTACCAGGTTGGACGACCAGCTCATATTCAGCTGCACGCCCGCTGTGCCCGCATCTCATCAGCAGGCGCCTGCCAACAACCAGAACCCCTCAGATCTCGAACTTGGATCTTGCAATCGGCTTGCCGATTGCCGGCTGCCTATCCCGAACCTGGCCGGAATCACTCGTCAACTGCAATAATGCATCATGATTCACCACGCGTGTACTCCCAGCAGCCTCGTGCGAATGCCGACACGTGTGAAGATGCCCCGTGAGCGCTCGTCTGTGCTTAAGTTGCCTCTCAAGATTTAATCTCCTTCGTGGCCATTCGGAGACGCACTGCATACCCAATCGGTACAGCCACAGATCTCATCCCACGTTGCACGTAACACTGGAAAAGGTTGATAGAGTAACTGTGGCGTCTTGTTGTGGCCGCGGGGGCAGCGCCCAAAAAGAGATAATGGTTCGGGGCACGCAGCATAAATATGCACATACACATATGTAACAGCTCGGTTCCATACTCGCGGTACTTGACCCCAAATTCTCCATCTCTCATCTCTCGTGATTTCATCATCATCTGTAAAAGTCGCCTGGATCACCGCCTTCCCCACCCGAAGGTACTCTTCCCGGATACTGCTGCTGTGGAAGGGGTTGCTGGTATGGCTGGTACGCTTGATAAGGTGCGGGTGCCTGATGTTGCTGCAGGGCAGGACTTGTTGGCACAGCAGGCGGAGGTGCACTGGGCTGCGGCGGATGTGCTTGTTGCGGCTGCGGAGGTTGCGAGCTCGATCCATCTGGTTGCGGGGAATAAATGCTCGACGGCGACTCGAAGCTCTGTGTCCTTTGCCTACTAGGGAGACCATCGCGATCACTTCTGGATTGTGGCAATGGAGCTTGTTGTGGCTGAGGAGGCGGCGGTGCTTGCTGTGGTTGGGGAGGGTAGGCATCGTACGGTTGTTGTTGCGGAGGCTGTTGCATTGGAAGCACCATTTGCGCCGAGGGATATGAATGTCTGTTGTCGACCGGCGACTCGTAGCCGCTCGTTGCCAATTCTTGTGGGATACCACTGTTCAGCGTGTGAATGCTGTTCGGCCGGATCTGACCTTGAAACCCTTGTCCAGCACCATAGGGATCGTTGGGACCATCCGTCGACGGTGCACCAGGACTGGGCTTCCTTCGGATTTCACATTGAGGCGGCGCACCCTGCGGCTGGATTCCACCAGGAATGAAGTGGAATGGAGCTGGGCCGTTTGCTATAGAGAGCGGTCCGTTCTGTTGCGGATATGGACTTGAAAACCCAGGCTGCTGAGGAGCTTCTGAAGGAGCAGGCGAGTAATACCGCTGCGGGTCTTGCTGCATGGGAGGAAGATGCTGCTGGCTTTGGGCTGCGAATGGCTGTTGTTGCGGTGGATATTCACCCGCCGGTGGAGGGCCTTGTGGAGGATATCCTTGCGATAGAACTTGTGGAGGGGCTCCATATGGTGCTTGTTGTTGCTGAGGTGGATATGCTGGCTGCCGCGCGCGGACAGGGTATTGCTGCTGATATTGAGATTGCGACATGGAAGACTCTAGTAAGGCTTCATAATCTCGTCTCGCTTTGATGAACTTCTCGTTCAGCTGCGTGAAGTCGTCTGATGGATGCATTAGCCTGACGCCACAAGAACCACTACCTGGTACTCACCTTTCTTTTGCGAGTACCTCGCGATCAGCTCTATCAGCTTCGGTCGGATGCTTAGCGTCCGTTGGTAGAGCTCGCTGATCTCCTCTTCTTCTCGCTCGCCTCTCCTACCACCAGCCTCCCCACCAGTGCTCAGTAACGCCAACAGCTTCTCCACGCTCTTGATTTCGCCGAACACCTCTGCCTCCATTTGCGCATCGCGCTCAAGCTCCTCTTTGGTTGGGTCTTGGAGCTTCTCCACGTAGTTCAAAGGGAAGATACCAGTCTGTCCTCGCAAGCTTCCCTTCCACCAATCTTTGTAGACCGACTCCAGCACAGCAATGACATCGTTCTTGCGGAAAGCGAGTTCTCCTGGCTCTGAAGGCGTAAAATCGTAAAGCGCACGGACTCTGCTTACTGTCGCCGCGGTGGTACCCTGTGGAGGTGCTGGCTGTGCTGGCGCCTGCTGATGCGCCGCTCCATTGCTCGCCGTCTTCTCAGCCTGAGGCGAAGGTGTTCCCTTTTCCTGCACACTCAGTTTCAAAGCCATTTGAAGCTCCTCTTCCTCTTTCCTTCGATCGTCACTACTGATTTCCCGCTTGACCGGCTTGCTTGGCGGCATCAGACTCGGCTGCTGTAGCCTCAGCTTCTGGTACGCTTGCTCCATGATGCCCAATTCAGGCGAAGAGCGGAACTCCTCCGTCCAGGCGGCCATGCGCTCGAGGACCTTTTGCTTGACCTGCGCATGAGTATTTCGGTCTGCTGCTAATCGGAGCAGCGCGTCTGTGAAAGCTTTCGAGGCTAGCTCGCGGTGAAGGGCTGGCCCGCAGTTTTGCGCAAGAGCGTTGGCGAGTTCGAGGGTATATAGTTGAACGTTCGCATTTCGGTGTGCTAGGCGCTTGATCAGGGAGGATATTGCCTGCTGCGGTCCGGCGGAGTTGGCAGCTACACGATCGCAGACATCGAGGATGTATTCCCAGTTCTCGCTGGTCAGATTCTCATCGGTAGCCTTGACCACTGTGCTTTGCGTTAGTATCCGAATCGCATCTCGCAGCAGGCCGGTGAAACTCTCTAGAGCATGGGGAACGGGAAGCTCTTACCGGCATCGTCCATAGGGTTGGCCTGGGCGCGGAACATGATGGTGGTTGATGTGTCGGCAGTAGATGAAGGGGTGGCGGAGAAGGAGAAGAGTGATGGGGGTGAGTGCTGCCTGGCGTGTCCGTACCCTGCCGCTGTTCACGCGCCTCGAGTGTCTCGAAGTGAAGGCGAAGGCGGGCCCGTCGAACCCAGTCCACCGACGTAACCGCCAAGCAAAATAAGCTTGCGCCTAGTCACACTTTCACGGTACAGGTACCGCTGGAGGTTCGTACCTCACCTCTCGATATGCAGGCACCATCACTTCACTCACCATCCGAACACCACCTCTACCATCGCGAACGCGCCCTTATACCGACCAAGAACAGAGCCCGGGACCGAACTAGGAGCTGCCAAAGCCAGGATTCCGTTCCTCATGTCAACCCCTAACCTGCTGAAAGCATCCAACTTCGAGCTGCTGCGCCACGGACAGACGCGCATGGACAGCATGACTGCGGAATTGGATCATATCAAATTGGAGACGCGTAATATCTGTGTCTCTGGCGACTAAATTCAACAGGTTCACGGCAGCTTCTATGGAGAGCGAGCCAGCGCCGCGTTACATCTTGTTTCAGACTTTGGCACATCTGGTTGAATCGAATAGACGCCAGTCGTCCTCTATCTCGACGATTGATGATGTATTTGGGTCTTTATACACTCGATATTGGCTCTGTCGTACTTTGGTGAGCTGGACCGAGTCTAAGGCCCATATGTCATGCTCTGGAAATTTTCCAATATCGCGGCTCATGTCACGATCCACTGTTCCAGACAGTGTTGCGAGTCTGTAAGGCTTCACCTTGACGCCAAGAAACTTGGCACGTGAAAGCCGCGTTCAAGAGACGGAGCCACTGCATATCTTCAAACCACAGCAAAGCGGCAGCCATCTAACACCAAGCGCCAGCTATTGACGCACAGGGGATATCTCCAAAGGGACAAAACAAAAGCTAAACCCTACGCCAAGCAATGCAATCCAAAAATCGCTAAAATACGAGAACCTCGCACAATCACCAAATGAATACCTCCTCAGCAACAGCCGCCCGTCCAATCTCACTCATCTCCCTCTTTTCCTCGACAACTTCTTTCACATACTCATATACCCATTCGCGCTCAGTACAGATCCCAAAATAAGCACAACTATCAATCCTCGCAACCTCGAAATCCTCCTTATGCATCGTAAACACCGGGACACCTTTCAAGATCTTGATCTCGAAGATTTCGAAGAAGCGTTTGTTGGTACAGAGACCAGGCCAGGAGTCTTTGATAGCGGGATCCACGGGCTCGGATGCCGTGGCGGATTCGTATAAATCGTAAAGGGGTGCAAGGAAGTATTTCGGCAGAGGGAGATCCTGATCGCCGTGAAGATGGCCCTTCTCCCTGAAATGGATGCCGTGTCGTCGACATCGCGTCACAGTACAATGCCATTCGCTCAACTTCTCCCTCGTGAAGCCGAAAGATTCCAGGTCCGGATCATGCGCAGACACGACCCATTTCTCCCGGTCCATCATCTCTGTCACCATCCATCCGGAATTGGACAGGAGTCCAACATAAGGCAGTACTGGCACATGAATCACATAATGTAACACTACCAGTCCCCTCGCGATCCGTCTAATTTTTGCCAAGAGGTGATCGATAGGCAAAAGATCCGCGGATGTGATCGATCTAAGCTCTTTTGTGAAGAGCGTCTCCTTGATTAGCCTGCGAAGAGCAGGATGTTGCCATTCCAAGACCGCAGAAACCGTAACAAGCGCGTGATCATATCTCCGATAACCCGAAAGATGGCCTCTGTGGGAGAAGAAGCGGCGGAGGAGTTCCAAGAAATCGTACTTCGAGGTGTCGAAGTTGTAGATGTGGTTGCGTTCCTTGCAAAGACGCCGTTGAGTATAGTAGATGCTTTTCTTCACAAGAGTCCTCTGGCTGGTAGTGATGAGATCTTGGAAAGCCTTGCAGGTCCTCATGGAGCGTTGGAGATCTCTTGGAGCGACGTGGCCGAGGACCATTATCTGAAGTTCGGGTGGGAGGTCGAAGAATGGAAAAGGTCCTTTTGGCGGGCGATCGTCTTTGACAGCGGGAGCCAGACTCGGATTGATTGTAGTGCGAGACGTGGAGTTGTTCGCTCCTTGGGGCTCTTCCACCAGGCGCAACTGTTCCAGCATGTGCAAGATACCCGCTGTGGAGGGAAAGTCGTGCTCCATGAAATGAGACCTCGACGGGGTCTTTGAGGCTAGGCTGGCGGCGATGCTCGGTAGATAGATCGGAATGAATTGCATATGACGATATCATTTTCACAATATAAAGTGTAGTAGGTGCCTCTGGCTATTAGCAAGTGCTTGGAAGTTGTTATAACGGACTCTGTCGATCAAGAGGACAATTTTATAGTGGACGTCCTTGTCCTCGCTGTAAACAGAGGAACCATCTGGGCCAATCCAATAGCTCTGTGTCAAAGTCCCGCTGACAGATCTTGTTTGTATTTTCGAGAGTAGCACTCACACTACGCAAAATCCTTACAACTTGTAATTTTCCGTTTGGGCAATGGCTAAGGAGTGCAAGCACCATGAATTAAGTGACTCTAGAGTAGCAAGGTTCATACATAGTAATTCAGAACTCAAAAGGTGCGGTTTTAGAGCTTCACCCGAGGACCTTAAATAGTCGACCTACTGCAATACCAGTGTAAGTCATTCGGTCTGCCCCATAGAGCCTCAAGCGGAGACGCTGCTGACAAGGCACTGCGATGCCCCTCTTGCTCTAGTAATTTTTTTGTGAATCTCGCAACAAGCGTCCAAGACCTTGGCTTTGCGTCCTCAGATCCGCTCGCCGCGATAGGACGGTCACTGGCTTCCGCGTCCCTATCCCACAAAGCTGTGGCCGAAGCTGCAGTGGAGCTGCGCTCACCCTACAACATCTCACCGCGACGACCATGACTTCACCAGATCGGTGACCTCAGAAGCCAAGGAGCGCGCGTCTGAGGCATCAGGATTCGAAGGATGTTGCCTTTGACGCTCGCGATCGAGCTGCCACCTTCGTTGCACGTCCCTCGCTAGCTCCGTCTCCCGATCGACGACTCGTTGCACGTCCCGCTCATTTCCATTCTCCTTCCTCGCTAGCTTCGTCTCCCGATCAACGACTCGCTGCATTTTCTCGGCCATGACTCGATTCTTATCCTTTTCCCTGTCCAGCGCGTCGTTCACCTCTATCAGTCCCTCGACAATGGTATCTGTCCACCTTGGCTCTCCCGCACTCTTCGCTGGTCCATCGTCAGTCTCTATCGAAGACCGTCGTGATTCCACGCCGCATATATTGTAGACATGCATATCCCAATAGTTTTCCTGCTTCGCAATCTTAAGGGCCTCGATTAATTCCAGCCGTCGATCATGTCTTCTTTGCCGCTGATTGATTCGTGAAAGCAGAAATGCGCTGAGATTTTGTGGCTGGGGTTTTTTCAGCCTCAGAACAGGAATGTGGTTTGCGCCGAAGAGTACTGGGACTTTCCTTCGCTGACCAGATAATTTCTCCAGGGGCAGAGGCCTTGAGAACAGATCCAACTTGTTTCGCTCTCGCTCTTCTCGCGCAGCTCTCATACGTTCCTTGCGTTTGTCGTCCCTTTCTTTCTTTTCCCAGGCTTTATTCCTAGGTGTCCTCTTCGCACTCTCCGGGGCTGTTGCCAAAAGACTGATCAGATATCCTTGACTCTCCTCATTCCCGGCAACAGCCGCATCCAGATGATCGATGGCCTCATACCCAGCAGCAAAGTTGATTTTCAGCTGTCTGTGACTTGTGACGTGGCGCTGTGATTTGAAGCGGTTGCGAATGACATTTTGGAGATCGTCTTTGGTCTGGTCGGGGAGCTTAACAGCTCTACATTGCTGTAGTAGAGCGCGAAAGAGGGCGATCGCGGCGACGCGGTGAACGCCGGATTTGTGAGGGGCGAGAGGGCTGGGCATGTATCATCTCATCTTATCGTGGTCGAGGTTCTGATGAAGGAGAGCTCTTGGTGGTTGAAGGTTAGAAAGTGAAGTCAACAGCCAGTCACCGGCGGTCATCAATATTTGATGGGTCGAGAAGCCGACGGAGCCAACGTCATGAAGAGCTGCCCCTCAAAAGTCGCGTCCTCCAGCGACACGAACAAACTTGCCGCAATGGATGTGGACGAACAGGCTCAGAAGTTCGCGATACATGCGGCATGCCGGGAGGGCCAGAGTAAGACCAATTTCAGCTTCTCGTGTTCAATCTCACGGACGCTGATAGGGACTTTCAGCACAAAAGGTCGAATCTCTCCTCAACGCCGACAAACGACTCGCCTCTCGCCGCGACGATGATGACCGGCTACCTTTACACTGGGCCGCATCGTACAACCGCCTCCCCATCGTCGAACTTCTCTCCGACCAGAAATCCTTCGATGTGGACGCACAAGATGGCGCAGGCTGGACGGCATTGATGATGGCAGCATCACTCAAAGACTCCGAACCCCTGATCGATTTCCTCCTCAACAAAGGAGTGGAAGTAGACGTGAAGAACAGTGCGGGACAGACTGCGGTGTTCTTCGCCTGTAGTAAGAGTAACCTCGACGTGGTGAGGAAGTTAGTCGTCGAGAAGAAGGCGAGTGCGAGGATACGGGATCGGAGGGGACAGATGGCCATTCACAGGGCTGCTGCAGTGGGAGCCACGGCGATAGTAAAGTTGCTGTTGAAAGAAGGCAAGAGCCCTGTCGATGCGACGGATCAGGATGGATGCACGGCGTTGCATCATGCTGTTGCTGAGGGACATGGAGATACAGCACTGGAATTGTTGAAGGCTGGTGCAGAGTCGAACAAGAGAGATCGAGACGGAAAGCTCGCGATTGATTTAGCACCTGATACCCAGGTCAGAGACTTCATCTTAAGGGCCGCGGAAGAGGAGGGGATTGAGTTGGCGACTTCGTGAGTAAACCGTTTGTCCGGCTTCCGACAACCTCCTTAGCCAAGGCAGCAACGGCAAGAAATCGCTCGTGCAGAAAAGTCGCCGTCTAGATTTGCTGGGTATGCATTCTCGAGCTTACAGGACTCAGCCCCCGAGGCCGCCAGGACAGCTTTGCACAGCCATGGCAAAGGCGGGCGCGAGGTTGCGCGCCGCTCGATGTCTATTTCTCTAACACCGACAGTTTAGCTCATCTCGAGCGGTCCACGACATGATCTCCGCGATATGATCGGCATTGATGAAGTTGGGCGACCACGTCTAATTGGCAGAACAAACAAAGCGATTGTCGAGACTTTGAGCTCGGCGACATTCACAATCAGGGGACTTTCACAAGTGGCCGACCAACAAGGACTTTGCCAATTTTGCGGCGGTAGGAGGGTTTCTCAATTCGTCGCAGGCTTGCGACATAAGTTGGTCATCGAATCTCGGTAAGACCATGGAACAACGCCAAATGTCCATTGTGGCGGCTGTTCAAGAGTCAAGTAGACTTGAGCATTGGCTTCCGAGTCAAATCTGGCTTGAGAAGAAAAGATCTGGACTTCGTGAAGCTCCGAGGCATCTTGAAAAGATCGAACGACCGAACATTTCGTTCAGAGGTCTGTGGTCATGACGGTTCGGACATCCTACTCTCGACCGTGAACCATACTCATCTGCAAGCTGTTCCTGCAGGAAGGAGAAGACCCATTCCGGCGAAATTCGATCCCAACATGCTGCTTTCTTGGACCTCATTCTGCGAACGCGAGCACAATCATGTACTTTCGAATCACGAGTACAGAGGTGCTCTGGATAGACTCTCGAAGATCAAGCGATTCCGTTTGATAGACGTGGTGGAGAGCACGGTGGTAGTGGTCCGGCCAACCAATAGATACCTGACCTTGTCTTACATACGGGGCACCTCCTTGGCGCGGTACACAAAAGCTCGCCATGCAGCAGCTAAAACTTGCGCAACAGACGGCGGTATGCCTTGTATCGACTGGGACGTCCTGCCTCGAAGTATCAAGGATACAATCTACAAGGTCCAAACCTTGCACGAGAGATACTTCTGGGTCGAGGCACTTTATATAAATCAGGCTGACGATGACAAAGGAGCGAACATAGTGGCAATGGGTAGCATATACAGTGCTTCTCATCTCACAATCGCCGCCGGACGGACAGGAACAGCGACTGGATTACCACGATTGCGACCTCCGTGGCACATCCAACAAGAGCCGGTCTATGTGTCTGCCGACCTTGGTATATTACCTGTACTGCCAGAATTCTCCACAGAAGGGACAGAAGGGCTTTGAGGGGCTGAACGTTTCAAGAGAAGATGCACTCAGGAAGATGTGTCTACGTTCTCGACGATGGCGTCCATCTTCGTTGCCCGGAGAGACACTTCAGGGAAGGGTGCAAAGAATTTAAAGGCCAGAGTTGTATCAACTGTTGTGGATGACTTCAGTCACCGCTCTTCAACGGCTGCAGCCATGGTCTTGAAGGGAGAACCTCTCGTGTGCAGACAATACAGGAATCTGGTCGGAACCTACCCGCTGCGTGACCTCACCCACATTGATGATAGGCTAGATGCCTTCAGCGCTATCACGTACCGCACGCAAGGCATAAGAGAAGGAGACATGGATGCCTCACCTGGAGAATGCGGAATACCTCTTTCCTTGACGTTCGAGAGCCTTCTGTGGCGTCCGAGACTTCAAGATCTTTCAAATGGACCGGACAAAGCCACTTAGAGCTGGGACACATCGGCATCTCTCTACCCGCTGCCAAGTCTGGTGAGATGGTTGGGTACGCTGGGTCACCGCCTGCGTTGACCACCGACCTTACGCCAGAAGATGAGTTCACGCAGGCTCTTCTGGTACAAAGCACTGCAGATGGGTACCCTTACCGCTTGCCATCTTTTGCACGATTCGAGGGCTTGTGCAAGAAATGGGTTGAGAAGAAGGATACCAGGTTGAGGTAGAAACGGAATCTTTTGAGGCAGAGAGAAGATTCTTTGCCTCGATTGATGTATACTCCTGCGTCAGTACTTCCAGCGGCATTGTGTGAGAGTTACGATCGCGTGTTCGTGTTGCACGCGATCGACTAGGGTATGTGAAGGGTGCAGTCACGGATGTCCGAATGATTTCAAGTCTCGTCGGCTCATGTGCATCTTGAGAACCGCTTGACTCTGCTCTGGACTTCAATAATCGTAGGAGATGGAATAGCTGCTTCTACGGAGAGAGCAAGCCTTTCATCTTACAACATCCTATTGCTAAAGGGACGCCGTACTGTGCCTCTCGAGTGGATAGTCTCAAGGGAGGGACATGCATCACGCGGTGAAGAAGTCCAGAAAGGGTGATGTAGTCGTTTTAGTCTCAGCGCACAGACTGCGCGACTCGCGCTAGGCCGGAAGGGCAGCGATGCTGCCACGGAGAGTAGGTTTCCTCTCCGGAGTCTGTGCGCTGAGACCAGTAGTCGTGGACGTGGAGCTCTCACTGTTGCCATTATTGTGAGGCTCTGTCGTTCATTGACGAGGACTGGGAGAGAGGATCCATAGTGGAGACCTGAGGTCGACTCACATCCGCACAACAAGACCAAAGTGGTTCGATTGGCTAGATGTGACAGGGAATCTGAAACATGGACTTTGTATCTTTCTCTCCACTATATCGTTGCTATCCGCGCAAAACGGTGGACACTGCCTGCTTTGTATAGGGGGCAACCGGGTGACCTGTAAGGCCTGGAAGGAGAAGTAGGAGGCACAGCAATTGAAGGTGCTATCGATTTTGGAAGTTTGTGAGAAGAATCTCGAGGATCGACTCACACAATGTACTAGACTTCGGTTCCAAGGTTCCGTCGGTATATGCAGGGTGATGTGGTGATGTTCTTGGTCGGCCCGGCAAGCTAGTGGGAGAGATGCGCGGTACCCGATACTCCAGGCAACGAGACGAAGCCAATTGCGTGGTCGGAAACCTCCCATCGTGCGACATATTAGCACATTAGTATACAATCGCCCCGCAGGAGTTGTGAGGAGTGATGAGAGAGGTGAGGTGGAACTTAATGCTGTTGCTGCGAGTCGAGCTCTGGACCTCCACCCGACCGTTGCTGCTCGGCAGATGGATTTGCAGAATTTTCATCACCTCATCCTTTCGCCTCCCTCCGGAAGCACGCCAGCGTCTCCGCAATGCTCGTGCTAGACACGATGGATGCGCCCGATCATGACATTCCTTCTGCGTATTACTGTCGTTATTCACATGTCGACGACAGGCTTTTCATACGGCGGGATCAGGTAAGGCGCGCGGCCGCGGCCGCTACGGGACGGGGATGATGTCCCCATTACCATGTAAAGTTTGAGGAGCTTCAACGTCCACCCTGCGAACCTACTTTTGCCGCGAAAGGCATCAAATTCTCGCGTCTTCATCCATTCACTCGCACACGTTCGTGCTGCTTGGATCCAGGCACCCAGGCCGCTCCGCCCCCAACGATATCAATTCTATCCTCCACCATCGCCAAGGAGAGGCCCAGCTCCACGCATCGCGTGCACAACGAACCAGCCACGGACGTGACGAGTTACTAGTACATAACGACAGCAAGCTGACAATGCCCTGAGTCCTGCATCTTCGGCCCGGAACATATCTCCTCACATTCGTGGTACTTTCCTGGTTTGGCTGTAGCCTGCGCTCACGGATCCTGCTGCAACCCTGCTACGCTGCATCAGACACTGCCTGCCCTGCAGAAAACGCAAAGCAGCTCACCTCCCACTCGCCGGCGCCTCTCGGACCCCGCTGGTGCCATATTGCTCTTACATCGGCCGACATGTCCTTCTCCAGTCGCCTCTTCAAAAGGCGGAGGATGTCGTCCAACACCACCGGCTCGCTGCAGTCACAGGCCATCCACGATGAGCTCCCCGGCGGAGGCGCGTCCGCTGCTACTGGTGCCCTGTTGGAGAGCTCGAGCAGCCCCAGGAATTCGCTGTCAAGGCCAAGAGCGGTCTCTACTACCACGGTGCCTGGCGCTTCCAGCCTACCCAGTAGGTCTCATATCCACAACGTGAATCATTCCAATCAAGGTAAGTCGAGTGGAGAGGGCAGAACTTGGGTTTTGCACGTGGATGAGGACATCGGATGAGCTGATTGCGAATATGATTGGCAGATGTTCAGTATTCGTCATCCGGGGTGCGTGAACAGACTGCGGAGCTCTCTTCATCCTTCTTGAGTGATTCCGAGATGGGCAAGCATGTCACTCTTGAAAACAACGAAGACCAAGCCAGACTTGGAGCACCACAACGACCGGATACCATTGCGGAGCGTTCGGAGCCTCCTACGCCACGGGCACTTGAGCCCCGAGACCCCACGCAGGTGCTCCCGGACGCCACGGGTGCTCTATCGATCTACTCGGACGGGCCTTCACACGACTCTACCGGACTGGGAGCTCGTCCGCAGCCTGCCGCTGGCGACGTACCGGACGTGGTCGTCACGGATGAGCAGGGCGGTAGAATGGGCGAAAGGACCCCTCTGCTCCCTCAAGCGCGGCTATCAGGCCCGCGCACGAAGCGTTATGATGGTGCGCCAGCGCTCGAGAATCAGTCGCAGGCGAAATTGGAGCCGCCGAGACAAGGAATCTGGAATCGCTTTGGCCATCACTACCCTTCACTAAAGGCACTTGGCCATGTAGGTCGAGTATTAGCAAATCCGAAAGGCTGGGACATGCGAGCAGTTGGTCAGAATGTGATTGTAAGACCCGCAAGTATGCTGCCGTCCGTCTTTCTAGGCTTGCTCCTGAACCTGCTCGATGCCCTGTCTTACGGCATCATTCTCTTCCCGCTCGGAGAGGAAGTCTTCTCGTCGATGGGAGCCGATGGTGTGTCGATGTTCTACGTGAGCTGCATAATCTCGCAGTTGACCTACTCCACCGGCAGCATATTCAGGGGTGGTGTCGGCTCAGAGATGGTAAGTTGATCGATCCTGACAAGTGATGCATGGCTAAACAAAGACACCAGATTGAAGTCGTACCGTTCTTCCACAAAATGACTCACATGATTATGGAGGAGATGGGAACAGGCAACCCCGATGCACTCCGGGCGACAGTCATCACGTCTTACGCCATGAGCTCCATCCTGACCGGCATCATCTTCTTCATCCTCGGCAGTGCTCGCTTGGGAACGCTGGTCAACTTCTTCCCTCATTCGATCCTGGTCGGATGTATCGGTGGCGTCGGCATCTTCCTGTTCCTCACTGGCGTTGAAGTCTCCGTTCGTCTGGAAGGTAATTTGTCGTTCACGAAAGACGTCTTTTTCAAACTTGTTGAACCCATGAGTCTTGCTCAATGGCTACCGCCGCTTGCTCTGGCTATCCTGCTCTTGGTCGTCCGCCGCTATTACGACAAGCCATTCTTGGTTCCGGCATACTACATTGCTATCACTGCCATCTTCTACATTGTCACCGCTGCTGTGCCGTCGCTCCACATGGAGACACTGCGGAAAGCGGGTTGGGTGTTCGAAGCTCCCGACGCCGACAAGTCGTTCTACAACTTCTACAGCTACTACCAATTCCGCCTCGTCGATTGGAAAGCTGTCGGCATGACGATACCATCGCAATTCGCGCTGACGTTCTTCGGTATTCTGCATGTGCCCATCAACATCCCTAATCTGGCCATGAAGATGCAGGAGGACAACGTTAGCATCAACCGGGAATTGATCATGCACGGTATCTCCAACACCCTTTCCGGATGTGTCGGGAGTATTCAGAACTATCTTGTCTACGTCAACTCGGTTCTCTTCATGGACACGGGAGGTGACAGTCGGCTTGCTGGGTACCTTCTTGCTGCGGCGACTGCGGCTTTGTGGGTCATCGGACCGGTCGTCATTGGATACGTACCGGTCATGGTTGTCGGCACGCTCATCTACTACCTTGGCATCGACCTGGCCAAAGAGGCTATTGTCGACACATATGGAAGACTCCATCGCTTGGAGTACTTCACCATTGTCGTCATTGCCCTGGTCATGGGCATCTACGATTTCGTTGTGGGCGTTGCAGTTGGCATTGGGCTTGCTTGTCTTGTATACGTCGTGCAAACGTCTCGGAAGACGGTAATCCGAGCTCAATTCTCTGGAGAGATTGCAGAGTCGACTGTGCGCCGTCATCCCCGGCAGCGCAATTACCTACACCGGGTTGGACCACAAATCCGGATTGTCAAACTTGGGGGCTACCTCTTCTTCGGCAGTATCGTCAACGTAGAGAAGACGGTTCGAGCGCTTATCGACGCGGAAGCCTTTGCCGCATCTCCTATCCGATACCTTATTCTGGACTTCTCGCACGTCACCGGTGTCGACTTCTCAGCCGCCGAAGGCTTTGGAAGGATGAATCGCGTCTTGAGGAGAAGAGACGTGGAGATGGTCCTCGCAGGAGTCAATCTCAATGACGAAGTCGGACGAAGCTTGAAGATGGACGGTCTCTTTGAAGAAAGCGACGAGGACCCACCAATGCCACCCCCAAAGGTCTACGAAAGCCTTAACGGGGCCCTCGAAGCCTGCGAGAACGGCATGCTCGTCACGCTCACGGAAAAGCAACAAAGCGGCATGATGCGTTCTGCAGGCGACTCCTCCCCACCCATGCCCATACCTTCCGAACAGCCCAAACAGGCATCCATCTCCGACCTCGACAGCGTCTTCGGCTCCCCACGAACGAACCTCCGCCTTCGCGCCGCCACAGAGACCATCGTTGAGGATCAGAGCACCTCCTCCCCTCAACAAAACAAATGGCAGAATCTCAAACAACCTCTACCCCTGATCCTCCAAGCCTTCCAGGACCTCACGTCCCAAAACGAAGATTTCTGGTTCCGCGCGGTCCCCTACTTCACCAGGAGGGAATTCACCAAAGGCCAACTGCTCTACGCCCGGCACGACAAGCCGAACGGGTTCTACCTGCTGCAATCCGGCATCCTGAGAGCGGACTATTCCCTCGAACAAGGCAACTATCAGGAATCCATCGTCGCGGGCACCACCTGTGGCGAATTGCCGTTCTTCAGCGACACGGAGCGGACGTGCAGCGTGCTGGCGGAGACGGACTGCGTGGCGTGGTGTCTGACGCCGGAGCAGTGGAAGGCCTTACAGGGGCGAGATGTCGAAGTCGCGCAGGAATTGTTGAAGGTGGGGCTGAAATTGAGCGCGGAGAGGATGAATGCTATTACTAGTTATGTTCTGATCACGGCGAGTTGAAAGCAGAAAAAGAAAGGGAACGAGAGAATATTGGATTGGATTGGATTAGATTTGGGGGGGTGTTTTTGATGAGCAGCGTAGAGCGAAAAACGCGGCGTTTTGCCTTTTTTCTTTGTTTTATTTTAATGGTGGATGGATGGATGTTTGGGTAAAAGGAGCGAGCGGATTGCGGTTTTCTTGAGGAGCTTGGAGGAGGACTTGGAGGAGGAGGAGGACCTGAGCTTCCCGGTTTTTCTCTTGAATGGAGCTCAAATCAAAGACTGTATAAAAATTTTCTGTATGAGAGGAAGAGGGAAAGGATGTCTTTTCCGTCGCGTATGAGATTCGGCGATTCCATCAGTTTTCTCTCTCTCTTATGGCCGAATAAATATCTGACGCCGCCAGCCCGATTTTTGTGACCCCCTTCTTCTTCCATTGTCAACAGCCTCTTCACATAGATATCTCAGCCGAGCTCAAAGAAAACAACACAACGACACAACGACATGTAAAACAAAAGTAAGCAAACTCATGCATCTCATCTCCTCAAACACCCAAAATTTTTCCAACCTCGCTTGAAACGTTTGTTCCCCCCCCCCCCCCCCCTTGCCGATCAACGCCGCGGCGCCGCTTTCCCACCACCACCACTTCCTCCTCCTCCTCTTCGTCCTCCTCCTCCTCCTCCTCCTCCTCCTACCCTCGGATCCTCATCCATATACCGGCGGCGGAAATCCAAAGACCCCGCGGGATCTCGTACTATGAACCTATGAATTACGACGAAGTCGACGAGATCTCTCACACAGCTCCACGAGGACGAGATTTGGGAGAGGGAAGGAAAATCATGCATGTCAGAGCTGGGGGAAAGATTTCGCAGCTGGGACGAAGATGGGCTGCGTTTTGTATGTATGTATATGGAAGGATGGATGGGAGGCAGGATGGATGGATGGATGATGGATGGATGGATGGATGGGTAGATAGAGAAATGTGATATGGTTTAGATAAAATTTCCGAGTTTCTTACAAATTGACAGAGGGCGTCCAATGAAGAGAGATGTTCCAATGGGAGGATCAGATGGTGGGAGGAGGGGGGGTTTAATATGTTTATCCGCAATGATGTGGGAAAAGTGGAGGAGAAGAGAGAAAGGGAGAGAGAGGATGAGAAATTTCCTCGTCACAGAGCGTTGCGGAGATCGAAATGGTTTCGATTGAGGCTGGATCTCGAAGGAACTTCTCGCGCCAGAGGGGACTGAACTTCTGGGACGGTGCTTGGGACTTACTTGTTGGGACCTTTTGGATTGGAGAATGCAATAGGGAGTCGCCGAGGCAGAAGAGGCAAGCGATTGGACTGGCGGATAGTTGTTGAGAATGATCGTGTCTAGAATTAGAATCGATGCTTCAGTTTCATCGTGGATCCAGATGCTCAACCAGCGTCAGTACAGCCGACGAGATGTCCTGACCCGCCAAGGGCATAACCACCTGAATCGAAGACGAAGCGTTTTACCTCCTGGGCATTTGCGATGTCAATATGCCGATGCTCTAAGTCGAGGGGAGCAAAGCATTCACTCGGCTTCAGAAGGAAATCATCCAGGAGTCAAGCGACCAGACAATCTTCGCCTGGAGCGATTCGGAAATGCAGCTATCGGCAACATCACGGCAAGATACGTGGACTGCGCCTCCTTGGTAGCATGTACCTTGCGCAGTAGCCCACAGAGTTTTCTCGAGAATCGAACAGATAGGGTCCTCGAATGATCAATGAGATCGTATTTCTGCAAGTCCGGGATCTTCGCATCGGTCACGATCAGATATCGCGGTGGAGTTCTGGTCCTTGGTGGGTCGGGAGATACACATACAACCGTCGAGACAATCCAATACGAGACATTCGCCAGCACATTCTTTCTAGTGCTTGGGTGTTGTGATATCACCAGACCGTCTCTATTCGCGGCTCTCGAGCGCTCAGCCTTGTCGTGGGAGTGCAGCACAAAAAGTGCTGAAAAGCCATCGGCTTGTTTATCTTGATAGCTACCATGGTCAGCGGGTCTGGTTGAAATGTATCGAGAAGCCAAAAGTAGAATCGCCCACACACAGGGCCTACAGACTCTTGGTCGTGAGTGCACTCCGGTGGAGTCTCATCTCATCCAAGAGAAAGGTTTCTGTGCGTCGAGAGGAGCAGATTGTAATGACATTGTAGGATTTTGGACACAACGAGTTGAGAGGATTGCCGATCCCGATCCGTCTTGCTTTCACATTGGAATTCAACCTCAATCAGTGCTGGCCTGAAGGTTCCTGAGACTTGAAGACACGAATGGTCCAGCTCCTGCAGGCATCGTTCTACACTTCGGCCGGTTGGTTCCTCCGAGAAGATCGTCTGGATCCTTTCGAGCGTCGAACTACCGTCACAAAATAGTCGGTTTGAAAGATGAACAGTTGAGTTGTACATGGCGCGCAGTGTAGATGGACGAGAAATGCCTGAGAAACCGTGAGCTTCCTTGACAATGATGCCGGGATGAGCCGACAGACACTTAATGGCGTACGAGATCGCTTGAGGATAGGTGCAGCTTGCACAGTCCAGGTGCACATCCGTCAAAGTCAGGCTGCTTACGCGGAAAGAGTAAAGGTGCTAGTGTCAGTCAGCAACGTATCAGTCCGTGCGTTCGCTTCTTTCACTCGGAATAAAAGGTGCCAGTTCCGTTCTGGCTGTGGCTTTGACGATCTTACTCCATGCGCTTGGCTTGCCTTTGATCACTCGGGCACTTGCGTTCGGGGCCGGTGTCGCGACTCTGTTCGCACGGTTCTCGGGAGTATGCAGGGCTATCAGAGCCAGCGCGATTGCATACGATACCGCCGAGGAACGAAGGTCCCGTCTCGGACTCAATCACCACAAGTATACATAGTCTGGACTCGCCGTTCGCACGTGGACGACCAGAGTGTTTGCTTGATAGATACTCCCTTATCTGAATTGCTCGGCACTGAAGGATTGAAGACTGCAGGATCGAAGGAGCGGAATGCCAGTACGCAAATGTCGCTCCGATAAGTCCAAAGAAGCAAGTGGTTCTTGTGCCGCATTGTGTCTCGATCACATGTGACCCGAACATGCAGAAGCTGCTCATCTTGATTCTGCGTTCAGCGAACAATACCTGCAAGAGTATCTGCAGAAGATTCGCATGTACTCATAGGTATGGACGCATTCATGTCCAGTTTCGAAGTCTGAAACGGCATATCGGGATTGGTTCGTGGTCTCATACTTGGCTATGATCTCGGGGCATTTGGAGGTGCTGTTCGTATCCTCCACATGCGCGTGTCGTCAAGTAGCTGCCGGTGATGCCACACAAGCACGCGCACATGAGAATGCATTGCTTGATGATGAAGCTGCATGGTGGTTCCCAAGATAGCGCGCGCGCTTGGCAGGTGGTGGGCCGGCATCTCCTCAGACAAAGTACTTGCATGTGGAAAGTGACATCTGAGGAGATGACCTGCCTGTGTGCCGGTGGATGAAGTCGAGCAGTACAAGTGAGCCGATGTCGATCCCGAAGCGGTAGCTGTGGTAGGGTGCGGATCAGCGAGGCTACTGGCAGCTGTTACGAAGAAGGAAGCTGAGGGGTAGGACGGGGCCGGCCGCGAGAGCCGAGGAGAGACCGACAGGCCGATATCAGATCTCCGCGAACAGCTAAGTTAGAGGGGATGTGGGATGTCTCAGGAAGACGAGCGGACCTGGATGACACGCTCGCGCGGTGCGACGTAGGCCAGCTCGCTTGATGAAAGAAGCAGCGGCCGCGTAAACCGTGGGCGGTGGCACACGGAAGCGGCGGCACGACAGGAGATGTGTCGCATCTTTTTCGCACAGCAGTGTGGCCTCGCGGGTGTTGGCCGGGGCGGGCGAGCGAAACGAAATTGAGAGCGAGTAGTTGTTATCGATACGGATCGCCGCCGAGACTGCGGCGCGCGGTGTTGGGGTTGCATGTGGTCAAGTGATGGGCGCGATGTGAGCGATGTGAGCGATGTGTGCGATGTGTGCGATGTGTGCGATTGCGCGTATCTGCCTGCAATAGGGCGACGAGGCGTCCCTCCCTCTCAGGATGTCGCAAAGTGGGGTGTGCATTTGGCAATGATGTCTGCTGACACCCGACTGGAGCTGACATGCTACCTGACCTTATGGGACGAAGCAGTAGTGGGGATGAGTAGGAGGTGTTGTGTTGGATGTCTGCTTAAACTCAGGACTTGCGGTGTCGCCCGCAAGGGTCTTCGCGCTTGCAGGGGGGGGGGGGGGGGGGTGCGGGGCCGCGGTATTGCATGTGCACATTGCACGGTCGCGAAGAATTTCCCTTTCAACGGGGCGGGCGGGCGCGCAGGTCTGGATTCTCGATTGAACGAGAGATGTGGCTGGAACATGTGAGCGCGCGAGTGTCGCGCAGATTGCAGGCCGGCGGATCGACACGTGATGGGAGCGCGCAGGTGCGGGAAAGAGAGAGGAGAGAGTCGGGAAGGGGGAAGGAGTTGGTCTGAGACGCCGCAGCGGATATGGCCGCGGCCTCCCTGCCGGCGTGAGGGCTAGTGCTACCGTCCCCTGTCCGCATCAGTGCTGCTGGTGTGCTGCTGCTAGGAGCGAGCTATCAGACCAGAGTCAAGCAGCCAACAACAAGCAGCAGCGCAAGTGCAGCGCAGCGCCCAGCAGAAGTCATGCGGTACTGTAAAGTACGGTACCGTACCGTACACGCGGTGATGGCCGCGTAGCTATTGCATCGCATCGCTGTACCTCATCTCCCGCGCCCCCCCCCCCATTGCACCACCTGCAGCTGCACGCGGAATTCGTGTCCATCGGCCACGAATATTGATGAACATTCCCAGACAGACAAGCAGAGTGGTGAGGATAGATGCAGCCCGTCCGGCGCGTCTTGTTTCGTCCAGCTCACTGGCCAGGCGTTGAACTCGGACTTCATTTCGGCTATGGGACCGTGCGCCTTCCCTTGAAAAACACTTCCGCGCCTTCTCCCTTTTCCTCCTCGTACACATCCTCGTCCCCGTCCCCTGCCTCTCCCGTGACACTCCTCTTCACTCTCTCCCAAGCCTACCGGCTCTCACTCCGCACTTGAATTTCTCTCCTCTTCTTCACCCACTCACGGAGCACCCTCCTGCCTCTCCTTCTTCACGCATCTCGGCTTTACGCCTCACGACTTCATACATCCCCCAAAATGTCGGACGTCCAGAACACACCCGCTCCTGTCACCGAGGCCGGCGAGGCCACCGCTCCCGCGGCCGCCATTAACGCAGACACCACCGCTCCAGTTGCCAGCGAGACCAAGCCGGAGGCTACTACAGAGACCTCAGCACCTCCCACCACCACCGAGGAGGCCACTCCCGCCGCAGCTGCTCCCACGGCCGAGGAGACGAAGGAGGAGAAGACCGTGGAGCCCATTATTGAGGGCCAGCTCGCCTACAAGGGACCAGGTCTCGTCAAGTAAGTGAGACGATTTCTGATCTGTCGTGTTTTGCCGCAGAGCAGCACCAGCATGACATGGACACTGGGGCTGATTATCCTGCATAGATCCCTCATTCCCAGCAAGAAGGAGTTCTGGTTGAACGACGACGCCGTTTCCCCCTCGAACCTTGGCCTCTACCTCCGCGGCGAGAAGCCAGAGATTGCCAACTCTGTCGTCGCCTGGGCGTCTCAGACCGGCAAGGGTCTCCTCTTCTTCAACAAGAAGGGCGAGACAGAACGCAGCCACCCAGCCGATGTCCTTGCTCTCTACGATGCCACTGACCTCAAGAAGCAATCTCCTCACGAGTTTTCCCTCAAGATCAACGGCCACAACCACACTTTCAAGGCCGCCAACGACGCCGAGCGTGATGGCTGGTACCAGTCGATCGAGAAGGCCGTAGAGCTTGGCAAGGCCTCGAAAGAGGAGGTCCACAACAGCGAGGGCTACAAGGCCGAGCTCGAGAAGCTGAGTAAGTCGGAGCCTACCTGTCCTGGAGAACTCCCTACTGATTCCGTTTCAGGCAAGCCATCTACTGTCGCCGGCGCCGCTCTGCGCAGCCAGTCCAAGCCAAAGAAGAGCACTGACGCTGCCGACAAGACCGTCGAGCGCACCGGCTCTGTTGAGGATGAGGACGTTGAGAAGAAGCAAAAGAGCCGGTCTACCTCCCGTGGTATGCTCAACCGCCTGAAGGGCAAGAAGGAGGAGGTAGCCGAGAAGAAGGAGGAGAAGAAGGAAGAAAAGGAGGCGGAGAAGGAGGAGAAGAAGGCCGAGGAGACCGGCCCCGTGTCTGACTCTACTGAGGCCGCACCAGTCCTCGCTGGTGCAGCTGCTCTCGAGACACCTGCCGCTGCCGAGGCTGCCGCTGCCGAGCCAGCTGTCGAGACTCCCGCTGTGGAGGAGAAGGCCGAGAAGAGCAAGCCGGCCAAGCGTGGCAGCATCTTCGGCCGTGTTTCTTCTGGCTGGAGTGGCCTGAAGAGCCCAGCCAAGGAGAAGGAGGCAAAGGATGCCGAGCTCAAGGCTGAGCCGAAGGACGCCGCTGTGTCGGAGAACCCACCAGTCCTCCCAGAGACCGCCACCGCAGAGCCTGCTCTCGAGACCCCTGCCGTTCCCGCTGTCGAGGAGCCCACCGAGGCCAAGCCTGAGGCACCAAAGGACGAGACCGCGACCCCAACCAAGGAAAAGAGCAACTTCCTCTCCGGCCTTGGATTCATGAAGCGCAACCGCAGCGTCAGCCCATCTACCCCGATGAAGCAGGAGCCAGCCAAGAAGGAGACCGACGAGACTCCAGCTGAGGCCGTCAAGACTGAGGAGCCCGCCATCGAGGGTGCTGCCGTCGAGACTGAGGCTGACAAGCCGGTCGAGAAGGCTGAGGAGCCAGCCAAGGCTGAGACCCCAAACAAGCGCCAGAGTGTCCTCGGTAGTCTCGGACGCCGTGCAAGCAAGGCTCTCAACCGCATGCAGGCCCCCAAGAAGAGCGAGCCTACTGCTGCTGCCAGCACTGAGGCCAAGAAGGAGGAGACTACCGAGGGTGCCAAGGCTGCTGAGGAGACCCCCGTCGTCAACGGCGAGACCAAGCAGACGGAGGAGGTATGTGCCGAGCCCATACCACACATTTGGCTACACGCTGATCATTCACAGGAGGCCCAGAAGAGCATCGGCGACGTCGTGCCCGATGCCGTCAACGTTGGCCAGCCTCAGGCTCAGCAGAGCGCCCCAACGGTGACTGCCTCCGCTTAAATGCCCTGAACTGCCCAGGCCGTGCGACTGACTGAAAATCAATCTCTAGATTGGTTAGGCATCATCGCATCGGCCTGTCTTCTGGCACTCGTGTCGGTAACATCGGATCTCGACGCTATCGACGTGCTGCCTGGATCGGTTCAACGGCACAGTCTCCTCGACGACTGACGGCGAGATGAGCTCCACTCCTACGACCTGCTTCGACGGTGCGCCACGCCTAATACCAACTCGATACCTTCGCTCTCGGCGTGGCCCGGGCTGATGTGTGCTTTTCTTATTGCATGGCACGGAGCAAACGGGTTTGGAATTGATACCACACTGTTTGCATGCGTTAGCATTGTGTTTTGCTGTTTGATTTTGCTGATGGATTTACTGTCCGGGATGAATGTGTGCAGGGGCGGATGTGGCACTGATGTCGAGGCATTGGTCCTGGTTCGTGCCCACCTCATTCTTATGGCTGGGCAGTCGCGCAATACCCCCTCTTCAAGTTTCGAAAATGATACCCTGAGTGTGGTTGCTTTTTATCCAATTTTGTGCTGCGTTGGATTGGTATGGTAGTATGGTAGATAGGTAATCTTGCTCTCTAGCGGTAATTCAATGGTCGGGTTTCTGGTTCACGATGCCAGACTTCTCTCTTGACGTGTCTGTCAATCGTCTCATTACCCGCGGCGTCTGATGACGATGAAGCTTGGTAGTCCTGAGGCGGCGATGACAGGAGGGCCCTGCTTCAGAACTAATTCGGTCGCGTTTCGAGAAGCGCCATTATGGACGCGATGTTTCATGGCCTCGAAACATGTCGGAATCCAATGTTGGCTTGTGTCGGACAGGGAACATGGCATGGGAGAGTATTGGGATGGAGCTCTATCCAAGTCCCTGAAATTCAACCTGAGGTCGTCGGAAGGATCTCTCCGGTGAAGTCATTGTACCGCATTTTGGCCACTCTCCGCGACGCAGCTACTGCAAGTGCATACGACGACGATTTCACTTTACTTTACCTACTTTACTCCGCGGCTTTGGTGGGGGCGGTGCTGGAAAGATCTGGCCGCGCTTGATTGAGGGATTGATTGCGAGACATTGCGCGGTCTCTGGGTGATTTTTTGATTGTCGTCTACATCTACATGCACCACGTGAATATATTGCTGGCTGATCACTCGCTGGCGCCGGCTCTCAACTGCAGCATTAATACCGGTATCCTGCACTTCTCGGCTTCCTTCTTACGACGAGGAGGCGAGCGTCTTGACTACGGAGATTTCCCGTCGACTTATCCGGACCGAAACGGACGACGAGGAGAACACTTCGGGCTTTGGGAAGGGCGAAGAAGCCCCATTGATATTGATAAGGAGTGGTTTCCGAGAGGAAGAGCGAGCATGAGAAGTCATGGTAAGGCGCATACAGCGGTGGAATGATGGAAAGTATTGAAATGCTGATATCCGAGTCGACTAGGGTTGCTGCACTTCCACACCCAATAACGCAAACAATGCGGAAGCCGCGCGCATCCCGTCGAACGGGAACCGCCCGGCCAACCTCTCCTCCTTCTCCCCGTCCTCCTTCTCTCCGAATGCGACCGGCGACCATCATCATCCCCAATCCGAGATCCCCAACCAACACATCCGCCCGCCCTCCCCTCTAGCCAAGAGCCCCAAGGACTGGTCCACCGTGCAACCCCCCTGGACGCGCTCCCACCTCGAGCAGCAGCGCGAGATCTTCTTCGAAACGCGCGTCCAGGGCAACGAGGAAGTCTGGGGCGCCATTCGTCTCATCGCAGAGAGTCTGAGGCGCGGCGATCTGCAGGAAGCACAGGGAATCATCGACGCCGCGCGCCTGACGATCCCCAGCGGGAAGATCGCAAAGGGCAGGAGTACCAAGACCCGCGGCGCGGATGGACACCGGATCCGCGGAGGCATCTTCGACGAGAGCGGGAGGAAGTACGAAGTGCCCGACTGGGTGCTCACGGATCCGGCGGACATCATCGAAGATGGCGGCGGTGTCGGGGACGCAGGGGAGAAGGAGATCGGAGAGGACGAGGAAGAAGAAGACGGCACGAGTGACACGGCCTCCTCTCGTCCCGGATCGCGAATGCAATCCGCGAAGAAGCCGCAAAAGGGCAAAGGCAAAATGGAAGATCTCGGAGACCAGATCACCCTGCGGGTGCGGTTGAGCGATCAGGGCACCGACACGCTGCTCTCCGTGGGCACGAAGCAACCCGTCCGGGCCGTCCTGGACCAGTTACGCGAGAAAGCGGGCGCGACAAAGGTCAAGCTGGTGTACATGGGCCGGCAATTGGAAGTGGAAAAGACGCTGGAAGGACAAGGGTGGACGGAGGGCAGGACGGTGCAGGCCTTCGTTCTGAGTCGAGATTGAGACGGGCGAGGTCATTTGATGTGATGTGAAGTGAAGGAAAGACGACCGACCGACCGACAGCATGTGGTCTTTCTTCCTTCTGGGTTGGGGTGGGGGTAAAGCATTGGCGTTCTTTTTCTTTTTTTTTTTTTCTGTTTATTGTTCTTTTGGCTTGTTGGGTGGGCTACTACATGGGTTTTTGGATTGATACCACGGTACTACAGCACGGTTGAAGGGATCAAGAAATGGGAATGCCTGTGTGTGAAGTGTATGTGTGTATGCGTGAGTGTGTGTGTGTGTGTGTGTGTGTGTGTGTGAGCTTGTGTGCCCCGGCTTTCTCTCTTTTTTTGTCTCTTGGGGGTTTTCTGTGTACAGACAGACAGTATATGGTTCAGATTTTTTTTTTTGGGTGAGAGAATGAGAATGAGAACTTTCTGTCTTCGATCGATGAGTGCGTGGGTTGGTTGTATGTATCTATCTAGGGTCTGATGATTGATGGAGAGAGTCTCTGGTTGCTTTCCTCTTATGATGAGAGTTGCTCCGGCTCGGTGAAGTAAGTAATGCAGGGTAGGGTGGGTATGTATGTTGAGAATTTGGTGGGCTGACGGGGTTGATTGAGAGTCTGGTTGGTTTACTTTTTGTTTTGTGATGAGAGGGGTTCGGCTTAGTGGAGTGATGGAGCCTCCAGGTCGTTTGTTGGAATTTAGTGGGCTGTAGGGGTTGATTGAGAGTCTGGTTGGTTTGCTTCTTGTTTTGTGATGAGAGTTGGTGCGGCTCGGTGGAGCAATGGAGCCTCCATGTTGTTTGTTGCAATTTGGTGGGCTGGAGGGGTTGATTGAGAGTCTGGTTGGTTTACATTTTGCGATGAGAGCTGGTTCGGCTCGGTGAAGTGACGGAGGGTAGCGCCGTATGTTAAAGCTTTGGATGCTGATCGCCTGTGCTGTGTCGGCTGTTGTCGCTTTTCTCCACAGCGCCAAGCGCAAGCAGAGCATGTGAAAGCTAGCGCGAGCTCTCCTGCTTGACCGCCCTGAACTGCCTATTGTACCACCACAAATCCATGACTTCACAAATCGTAAACTCCCTGTCCATATTTGCTCCTTTCGTGGCCGTGTGATAACAAATTTTGTCGCGTACCTCAAGCCACACACCAGCATCCAGGCGTTTGTGCAAGATTCTTGAAGCATGGAACACTGTCGGATGTGCATCATCGAATTTGGGTTTCTTGTCCCGCTGCAACCAATCAAGCCTAATCTGCAAAATGGCCTGCCGGTTTGCGGATGTGAGCGAGTGAATCCAGGCGACGCAGCCTCCGGGGTCTTCGACGTCCAAGGTGAAGATCTTATCGTCATAATAGCGTCCCATGAGCTTAGCACGAGAAGCGCGGTCGATTTGCAGGATGGCGGGTGGTTTGTAGGCCTTGGTGACCTCGACGATGTCGTTGTTGCTCGGGGACAGGGTGAAGGTGTAGTCCAGAACGCGATTGAAGAGCTCGGCCGGTAAAGCTTGCACGCGCTCCGTGAGGCTCATATCGCTTGTCTGCGCCGAAGACATGATTTGCGATTCCAGTCAGGCTGTTGTTTGGTATGCGACGGTGTGTATGTCGTGGCGAGATGAGGAGGGGAATTGCTAAGTGTAATTTGTTAGTGTTGGTGGTTGATGTTGAGAAGGTGTTCGTGCCAGCTTGATGCTGTTAAGAAGTTGCAGTTCGTTAAAAAAAAAGGGCATGGAGTGTAGACGAATTTGAGAGCTCGCTTAGCGCGCACAGACCTCGTGCTATCACATGCAAATGTCTTGGCGAGCTAACTTTGTGCGGCATGTGAAAATGGACTTATGATATGTCTTATAAAGGCCAGATCTATTCCTTAAGAGGCTTCAATGCATGCTAGCACTTTCTTCCTACTATAAGTCACCCCGCGACACAATCGTTTCTCGCTAATTCGTGCTCTTTATATTCGAGTCCCTTTTCCTTTGGTTCTGCGCGACAGGTGACGCACTGAGTCTTTCCCTTGGTCTCACTTTACAATTAAACGTACTTCACTCGCGGAAAGTGTCGTACTGTCCGGCTTGCACTTCTGTTTATATACAGAATATTGCTTTATACTACGATTAGGTACTATACATGCTCCACAACCCCTTCCTCCCAACGTCTTTCCCGTCTTTATAGCCCGCCTAGATCTTTTCAAAGAAGACCATCATATCTAGACCAGCCCACAACACGAGTTCTTTAGTACCCTTCCCCAATGTGAAGCAATCGAAAATCCACTCCGAGTCTTGACGCACAAGCGAACGACTCAGAAGGTGATGTGATCGCAAGTGTAAGCGAGTGCAATGAATACGACAAACAAAATCCATACTGTCGTAATAGACATCCGGATGCTCACTCACTTCGACTGAGCGGAAGTTGCGTTGCCAATCCGCATTCTAGCGTAGATTTCGATCAAACCTGCGACATCCGACGCGACCATGTCGGGCGAACGCAAGCTTGCGCTGATCGAGCTTACCAATTCTTGGAATTTTGAAAGAGATAGACAAGCCTGGAAGCTGACTCAGCGACTCCAAGTGCTGTAACATTTTGAGCTCGCAATGATACTATAATCCTCTAATCGAACGATCGCATCGTATGAATGATTCTTCCTTCTTTTCAATGCCGTCAATTACTTTAAATCAGGATGTTCCCAGCAGCTTCTGATTTCGGCGCGATCGCTCGGTATGGTGGCCTCTGATATTTCTCCATGTCCTGCGAAGCGTCAACGACAGAATCGTGGGGTAGACTCTGCCAATCCATTGCAGCGTCCTGCATCGATGTTCTTCGCCGTTCCACCGGAGGCGCAGGTCCCCTGCCATCGAGAGCAGGCAGTACACAACCAGGCGGGATATTGAAGGAAAATTCACGGCCTCTAAAGTCACTGTGGTTCGTGAATCGCTTGGCATCGGGGCTTGATCCTGTTTGCTCGTATCCAGTTGGGGCTGCTTGAGCCCGATTTCCATCCGTGTCGCCGGTCTCTAGTACACTGGGAGGGCGATGCATTGGCTCTAGAGACGCACCAATGCCTTGGTTACGGGCTTGTGCACTCTCGGCTACAATATTCTGCCGGCCATCGAGGGCGCCCGCGTGTTGATTGCCCGAATTCTGCGACACCACTCCACAGTTGTCTCCAGAGGGATCATGAGGGTACTTCGGAGGCCGACAAGTCTCCTCCTGGTGACGCGGGTGTTCAGGAGCAGCGATGTATACTGGTGTCCCCGTCGGATCTTGGTACTGGTAACCAAGGTACTGCATGCCTCGTCGCGGGGTAGCGCGACTGTCTGGTGCAACCTGCTGCACTGAACTTAGCAAAACTCATTGTTTCACATCAATGTTCCAAGGATTGGAGTCAGGCGGTACTGCATTCTCATCATCCAGCGTCGAAGGTTGACCTCCCTGTCCGCCATATCCTCCCCAAGTAGCGAACTGTGCACTTGGGCGCTGGGTATTGCCAGAATGTCCCATGGGTTGCTGGCTGTATTGTGTATGGAGCGGCGGCGGGCTGAAATCATACACTGTTCGCTGAAACTGAGATTGTTGTGGTTGAGGATAGCCACCGTTTCCAATGAACTGAGCCATTTCAAAGCCGGAAGGGCCAACTAGTTGTGGCTGATACTGCGACGTTTGTGGCGGTGAGCTGACCTTCTGTTCACAATTAGCACATGTCTCACGAGGGCCAGTCGGAAGTGCCGCTGCGCACGAATCTGCTGAGGTCATTCTGGGTCTCGTTTTACGTACCTGGACTGGTTGCGCCTGGGGCATCCCGGCAGTCTGCTGCGCCGGCAGATGTGCTTGCGGATACGCTGGCGGAGTCGCCATGTTCGGTGGCGGAGATGGTTGAAATGACATAGTCCCGCCATTTTCGACTGAGCCAGTAGAATTTTGGTGCCACAGACTCCGCCCACGAGGACCCTCTATTTCCCTGAGCCAGAGATTGAGCTCATCGAGCATTGGCGAAGTCTCGCTCTGGTACCGTTGATTCCAGCTCATGTATCCCCATCGGACGCCAAATCGGGAGAGGCTTTCCGTGATCTTCTTGATGCAATCGATACTGCGAACGATGTTGCATCGCAACACTGAGTCGCCAGGCTTGAGAGGTACCACTGGCATAGCAGGTGGCGGAGCCGATGTGGGCTTCACCTCCGGGTGGGGAGGAATGTGGCCATGCAGAAGCCCATCCAAGTTGTGCTGCAGGACGTCTAAGAATTGTCGTCCCGTCATGTATACCCTCATGGCGTCGTAAAACGTGAGGGGTGCTGTGTACGCAGGATCACTGATCAGCCGCAGGATGATGTCTGCGTATTGTATGCAGTACTCAAAGATCAGCTTCTGAGCAAAAGGGCTCACCACAGGAACCCGGGGTGAGGGCGACAGTACGTAAACATATGAGTAGAGGAGGTCCAGCTCGAAGAATGCACGCATATTGGGTGAAGTGGATGCCGGAAGTCCCTCGAACCATTTACGCATCAATTCGCAAGTACTCCAAATGTATGGGTACGGCTCTTCCCATCGACTGCGGCCGGACTGAAAGAGATCCATGTACCACTGCGACTGTAGCTTGCGCAGATCGACTAGATTGCCGGCGTGTTCGTGCGATGAAAGCCACAAAGTCTGCGACGCCGAAGCAGCCGGAGATGTGGGCACAGAAACATGCTTATTGTTGAAAGGCATCTTCACCTTTGTGCTGTCATCGGAGAATGAGAAGGCCCTGGTCTGCACAAGTGATGTCGACCGATCCAGGGCGTAGACACAATAGAAGACGCGCCGGCGAATGTCAAGTTTGCCTTTGGGCATCGCTGTACCCTTTGGGGGATCCTGATGCAAGCCAAGGTCCACCATCGCTCGCGAAGCAGCACCAATCAAGCCCCAGGAGTCGAAGTGATGAGGGTCGAGCATTGCGTACTCGGTGAATAAAATGAGCGCTTGGATACTACTGATAGCGCCCGGATGGAGCACGTCTTCGGCATGCTCGAGTGCAGCACACACATGGCCGACAGCCTCCATGTAACGCTGGTCACCGCGTTGTTCGGACATGGAAGCAGCGGAAATGGCAAGCACCATACGGACGAGCCAATGATCGAGGGGCTGTGCTTGATGGGCATTTCTAGAGTACACGTTGTCGACTGAGGCGTAGAAGCTCGCCTCGTCGAAGACGGGCAGGAGCAGAAATACGTTGTTGAGGTAGTGCTGCACGAGCGAAGTGGCAGTGTAGCGAGGTGGCAGTGGCTGGGTCATGCTCTCGGGCAAAGGGTCTTTTGAACAGGCCCACAGGATCAAGCGAGCGTATGACATGGCGGTAGTAAAGCCATAGAAGTCTCTCGCTGTGGCGTTGACGGATAGAAAGCCAAAGTCGGAGACGAGATCGTCTATGGCGGTAGCTTCTCTACGCCTCATTGCCTTGCTGAGGGTGGGCGTTGGCGGTTCCTGAACTTGGTGTGAGGGCCGGCGGCTGACGGTTTGATCGTCGTCGGGGAGGGAGATGACAGATGGCTTGCGCGCTCGCGTCTCCTCCAGCTTGGCCTGCAGTCTATCGATGCGCGTTTCCAGGGTGGAGACATAGCTGCGCTCCTTGCCTCGGGCAAACTGGTCGTTGGTACTGGTACACTCGGCGGCCCTGCCGTTCTTCTCGCAAGACGTACACGCCGGTAGCTTGCCATCGCACTTGATCTTCGCGTTTCGACATCTCGAACAAGCAGCAACCGGCCTGGCATGTCCCACTCGTCAGCAAGGAACGTCCGACAGAGGTAGGCAGCAGGTGCACGTACCGCGAGACCTTGAGGATGGGAGTCTCGAGAGGCATCAGAGGATTGGCATGAGCGTCTTCTACCATGTTAGCGTTCTGTGTATTGAGTGACGTCGGACGCAGGATGGAAAAGAGGGAAAGCCGGAGAGATTAGCGAATGAGAGGGAGGCAGTGATTCCATATACCGCCAGATGCGGGTGGACAGCCTGGGGCATGAAACGTGAATGCAGCGAAGGGAGGCGTAGGGCGCTGGAGATGCATTGCTGGGTTCGTACCGTAAGGTATCACACGTGCAGCCTTAGTCCAGCCGGCGCCACTTGGATGGTCGACCGCTTGATGACATGAGAGCGCATGCGATTACTCCAGTGGGCCGACGGGACAGCTACCGGGCACGATGCTGTCGCTTTGCAGAGGGAGGCGGCGGTGCATGAGAGCGGTGACAGCGGTGTCAGCGGAGGCGGTGGTTGACCTTTCTACGGCACCGCGGGAGATTGGAAGACGACGACGGCGGCGGCGAGGTGTGATGTGTGATGTGCGAGGGTGAGGTCGGTGAGGTCGGCAGGGCAGGGCAGGGCAGGGTCGGGAAGGTCGGGAAGGTCGGGAAGGTCGGGAAGGGAAGTGACGAAGCGGAAGCTTGCTGGGCTGAGTCGCACTGCCGGGAGATCTCCCCCACCACCGGGCGCCGCTTGCCCAAGCCACAGATCGAGAGCCATCCGCACGCACGCACGCACGCACGCAGCCAGGAATGCACTACCACAAGCCAGGACTATTTCATCCTCTTCCATGGATGCTATCCCGGCCATCACGCTCCTTCAGCATGCGCACGCACCTCATGCCTCTGACTGGAATCGATAGCGTGGGCTGTGGCGTGTTCACATATCGCAGCCCCAGTCGGTTGGAGGCAACAGGGAGCGGATCAGCTCGCCAGCGTCGAGAAGCCGCTTCCGCAGACTCGGGACACCAAGGAGCACGGGTGAGAAGGCATGCGAGTCTCTGCTCAATAATCACCGGTAGGCTGCAGCAACGGCGGGAGGTGAGGTGGCAGAGAAAGTCTAGTGTAGTGTGTAGGGCCAACTTTTTGTTCGCCAGCTGCAAGTGCCGTGAGGATCTTGCTGACATTGCACTGTCTTCGAGGTTCCTGATGAGAGCATTCGACTCGAGTGTTCCAGTCAAGTCGTCGCCAGCGATGATGGTGCGGATGGGAGGGGGCGCCTCGGAATTCTCCTATCCGGATGTAGTGGGGACCGCGGTGTTCCAGGAGCTGCCTGTGGAAGGATCCATCTCACATGCTTCCATTTGCCGACCCGATTTCGACCAAGGCCTCGCTTTCCCTGCGTCTCGTCGGTTTTTTGGGAGCGACACCTGCTTCCTGACTCTGCCTCACCTTCCATTCGAGCTTGTCGAGACCGCGCAAACCGACGCCCGTAGATGCCTCCTCCGTAATGTGCGATGATGGAATGACCACTCCATGCCCGCCCTCTTCCTGACCACCGCCCTGCTGCCTACCCTCCGCTACACATCGCATTCCCGCCCATCCACACTCCGACCCTAGTACCACCGCACCGCAAAAGAGCTCCGTCCTGTGTGTACTACAAACAGCGCGGCGAGCACAGTGGTAGACTGTGCGCGGCATGTAGGACCAGACAAACACATCGCGAACCACCATGGCCTCTGCCGCGGCCAGACCGTCCACCATGTCCCTGAATGCCAATGGTCCTGCTGCGAAGAGGAAGACGGCCCCGCGAAGCGATGGTGCAGAGCCCGAAGCCTCGTCCAGCCAAGTCGCGCATACTCTCACAGCGTGCACTCGATGTAGACAGGTGAGAGGAGGGACAGCACGAGAACCAACGACACGCGAGATTACTGATCTCGTGCCTCTAGCGCAAAACCAGATGCGATCCAGGACTACCGCGCTGTACACCTTGCGAACGAACGAATTCCATCTGCGAATACTACGACTCGAATCGGGGCCACAACGTCAATCGAAACTATGTCGTCTATCTTCAACACAAGGTTCGAGAGCTGGAGGAGGAGCTTGACAAGGCCGAGAACGAAGACGCGGCAGAAGATCCGGAAGCCATGATGCGAGGGGGAAAAGTACAGATGCACGAGACGAGCGAGTCCAAATACTTGGGGCCCTCCAGCGGCATTGCAATCACACGGCTGGTCATGCAGCTCGCCAAGCAATTCACCGATGCCAAGAGTATCAAGGATGTTGTCCCGGAGCAGCGAGCTCGCCAGATCAAGGAGCTCTACGCTCAGGAGCAGGCGAAGCCCACCTCCAAGATTTACCCCTTGATCAGTGATGTTGCCGCCGTGGACTTGCCGAACAGAGCGCTGACCAACTTGCTGGTCACGCTCTACAAATTGAAGACCCAACCATTGTATCCCGCTCTGCACGAGCCAACATTGGACAGGGACGTGGATGCCGTCTACCTCAATCAGGCAGAAGCGACCCCATACCAGAATTTCGTCTGTCGAATGGTCATTGCGATCAGCCTGCAGAAGATGGACACGCAGTACGCAGGCTTGGCAGACAGCTATTATCTTGCGGCTCTGAAACACCTAGAGCCAGTAGTACGTCCCATGGACCTCAAAACACTCCAGTGCTTCGCTCTCATGGCCGAGTACTCCATGCTGACTCCCACACGCACGGCCATCTACTATGTCGTAGGGATCGCGGTGCGGCTTGCACAAGCGCTTGGCTTGAATGAGGAGAAGACCATTACACGCGGGCGTGCAAATGGCTCTGTTGATTATCTCGAAGTGGACATGCGTCGAAGACTCTTCTGGTGCGTAATGGTCATGGACTGGGGACTGGCGCATTCGATTGGGCGACCTTCCATGCTGGCAACGTTACAAGAGCATATCGACGTGGGCTGGTTCGAGACATGTGACGACCGGTACATTACTCCCGAGGGAATCGATCCGACAGCTCCACGGCCTACGCTGAAGAAGTGGGTCGCAATACACTTTTTCAAGATGCGACTATTGCAGCTCGAGATCAGGCGAAAGCTGTACCAGCGTAAGAGAACAGAGCCGAAAGACGACAGCGACCCGTGGTTCCAACAAATGGACGCGAAGCTGGCAGCTTGGCGAGACGCGTCTCCTTCCCAGGACGAAGGCGCCGGACTCGACAAGGTCTGGTTCATTGGCCGGTACAACACCATAATCGTCTTTCTCTACCGGCCTTCTCCGCAAGTACCGCGACCAAGTCTGCAGGCAGCTCTGAAGTGCTTCGACGCGTGCGAGTACAACATCTACATGCACCGGGAGCAGATCAGCAGAGGGAACGTGGACTTGACTTGGATCTTCACGCAATCGCTTTTCATGGCCATCAACACTATGCTGTGGTCACTCAGCTATATAGAGGTCCGGCGGAGACATAAACGCCAAGATGTGGAGAAGCACTTTGACATGGCCATGGAGAGCATCCAACTTGCTTCGAACCGATGGCCAGGCGTCGCATCTGCGGTTGAGCTTTACCGCAATCTTATTGTCGCCATCATGAAGATCTATGAAAAGGTAGGGGCGCCCTTGTCGTGTCATTCATTGGGTCTTCATTCCACCAACCCCCTCGAAGTCGCTTATCCGGGGCTACAAAACACTGACATCTTCCAGGATTCCGACGTGCCTATATCAGCAAACACCCCTTCGGACACGTATTCGCCTGGTTCCACGTTTCCCGATGGTCGCTCTAGCGCGGCAAGTCCGGCGACTGCTAGTAGCCAGTCTGTCGCAACTCCGCCGGAGAGACTCAACGCTCCCTCGGGATACATCAATCAGCGATCTCGACGCAGCGTTGAGGAGCCGCCTCCATTGCCGTATCGTAGCGAATCCGGTGGACGCTCCAGTGCTCAGGTATGCGTTGTAGTCGCGATGGGTGGCCGCACTTGCTGACTTGGAACAGACGCCTCCGGCGCTGCAAACGACGGGTCACAGGCAGAGCAGCTCGGAATCTGTCCCGACACTACGAAACATGCATCACTATTCCTCATCACAACACATGCGATACGGCACCGGCGCACAATTCAATGCGCTTCCGGAATTCACGCCTGACCTGACCGTTCCTGGCTGGACGGCGGCGCAGCAAGCACCCATGACGTTCGCACAAGCGCCAATGCAGCCGATGGATGCGTACGCGAATCAAGCATTCGACCCGAACCATTCGGCGTACCCATTCCCCGGCACATTCGATCCCGCTAGCCAAGGCGAACAACCGTACATGCCACAGTACTGGGACATGGACACTGGCGTGTTCGGAAGCGGACTCAACCAGATGCAGCAGGAAGAACTGATGCATTCGCTGGAGACGGACGGAATGGAAGACATTCAGAGTATGATCTCGCATACTCTTGCAGCCATTACTCCCAAGCAGACGCAAAATCCCACCTTCTGAAGGTCTTGACCGACGGGTGTGCTGATTGAATCTGCTTATAGACCAGGTCGATCTCATTACGAGGCATCTCCTGTATCATGCTCAGTGAAGATCGCGTCTCGAGGAGTTGGAGGCATCCTTTGGAAATGAGGCCGGTGGGATCTCACGGCTGTAAGACATGGGCAGGGGTTTTCTTTTTCAAAAGGAGCGAGGGAGTTTGGCGTTAAACTTGTACAGCGTGGTGTTGGAGGAGTCGTACAATGACTGGGAACAGGGTCTTTACTACGGTCGAGAGAGTCTTGAAGAAAGTTTGATATGAGAGGCGAGAGGAGGTTTTCCATGCTCTGAAGAGGACGAGGAATGAGCAATGAGGAAGGTTTGGAAAGAATCGAGAAACGACAGCCGGTTTATCAAGACAGAAACATTCGCAGGAGATGAATCGAATTCGAAGATGGCTGTGATTGCTGGAGATGTTCCCAGGCTTCACGACGTTCCCAGTCCCAGGCTTGTGATATCGCCAAGCGCTCCTTCCCTTTTGGGAAATATGATTCGATGTGGGTGTCACTTGCCCACCTCAACTTCCGCAACTTCCACTTCCTCCTCCTCGTTCCTGCGCTACGGACAAATCTGCGGAAGGCGCGCGCGCGTGTTGGTATCTGCATTGGACACCTCGACCGGACTCAGCTTCCTCTCGTCTGGTCCCTCCCTCTCCACCACTATCGCCATCGCCATCGCCATCAACATCACCCGCCATCCATCCATCCTTCGACGCCCGCCCTCTCTCTCTCTCTCTCTCTCTTCATCTTTCATCACCACTACCACCTCCTCCTTGTACCGCGTCTATTCCATCTATTCCATTCCATCCATCCATCCATCCTCCATTCACACGCGCCTATCACGTGTATCGTTTCGTTCCAACTGGAGGCGCACGCACCTCGATTCCCGCACGCCTGTTTTCCAGCACAGCAGCCTCCCCGGCCGTCTGTTGTTGACTGACCTTCTGACATCACCTCATTCTTCGCATTCGAAATCTACCTTACAGACCTTTTCTTCTTTTCCTTTCCTTCGGGGGTATCACCTCGGGGATAAACACCTACACGACACGACCACGCCACGCCCCTCGAAGACATATCGATACCGATTCCGATACTTTGAAGCTCGGAAAACATGCGTGCATCTACTACCATCCTCGCCATCCTTCTTCCTCTTGCCGCCCTGGCCAATCGCGCTCCACAAGTCACCGACAACCCGCCGGACGTCGAGTATGTCGCGACTCTCCCGAATGGGACCACGAGCACCACGGGCTCGGTCACGATCAGCTCCGGCTGTGCGGGCGGCGGCGAAGAAGGCGTCGAGGTCCAGGTCCGCATCGCCGGCTTGCCGACCGAGGGAGGGCCTTTCCGTGAGTCAAACAAACAAAAGAGTACATCTATTCTTCAAGGTTGTCACGTGCTGACGCCGGATCTCCCAGTCTACCATATACATAAGCGGTACCTCGACGCCACTGGCGCTTGCTCGAGCGCCGGCGGCCATCTTGATCCGTTCATGAACAACGGCACGGGCTGCAATGCGACTGATCCAGCGTCGTGCGAGGTCGGCGATCTTTCGGGCAAGCATGGGGAGATTTCTGATACGATTTTCTCGGCCAGGTACGATGCAATCTTTGCGGTCTGAATTACGAGATTTCCGATGCTAATGGTGAACTCGTAGCTACCAAGACGCCTACATCTCCGTTCAGAACCAGAGCTTCCCGGACCCGAAGAGCCCGTCTGTCGCCATGCGCTCTCTGGTCGTGCACTTTGCCAACAAGACCGCCATTACATGTGCGAATTTCACTTTGAACAGCATGTATGTTTGTTCGAGTTCAAGTTCGAGTGCGGGTGGTGGTTCTGGTGCGACCGGTTCACCCGGGTCGAATGCTGGTTCTGGCGCAGGCTCAAGCGGCAGCTCGGGATCGAATGGTGCTTCTGGATCAAGTGGCAGTTCAGGGTCGAGTGGTTCTGGATCTGGCAACCCCGGCTCTAATGGCGGATCACCATCTGGACAAGCATCAGGTTCCGGCGCTGGAAGCAGTGGAAGTGGCGGGAATCCGAATGGGAGTGGAAATGGAGGTTCCGTCGTGACTGTCACACAAATCGTGACGGCACCTGTCAATGGCGGAGCTCCAGCATCAGGGGCGTAGAATCCCCCTCCGGGCAGTTCCAAACCGAACACCGCTGGCGCTGGTGGCAATGGAAATGGACCATCCACCGTAACAGTGACAACAACCGTGGCGGCTCCTGGAAATGGCGGACCTGCATCGTCGGCTGCACCAAGCACACCACCAAGCAGCTCCCAGCCAAGCACTGCTGGTGCTGTTTTCAGCTTCTCCCCCAATCTCTACTCGGGGGGAGTGCCGCCGCTTATTGGGCCCGTTAGCACGATCTTCCAAACTGTTGTCTCTGCTATGACCATCACTGGACCGATTTCGCGGTCGAGCAGCAGCCCGCCAGCTCCTTCCTCGGTGATTACGCAGACCACTATGATCGCCTCTTCTGTGGTACTTGGCCCCGTCAGTACGGTTCTGCAGACAGTCATCCATGCGATAACGATTCCTACTCCAGCGACTGTGCCAAGCAGCAACTCCTTTGTTGTGCCATCGATAGCCACGCAGACCATAACGGCCAACTCGTCTCCACCTGCCGGGCCAACCTTGACAGTCACGGTTCCTGGATATGGCAGTCAAACATCATCTCCATCGCCGTCTTCGCCCAAGAACTACGGTACTACGTTGACGGTGACCGGAAATGCAGCATCCACCGGGACTGTGACGACAACCGTGGCGGCTCCTGGGCATGCGGCATCCACCACGACAATGACAAATGCGGTATCCACCGCGACATTGACACATGCAGCATTCACCGCGACAGTGACGGCGACCGTGGCGGTTCCCGCACATGCAGCATCCACCGCGAAAGTCACCACAATCGTGGCGCCTCCTGGGAATGCAGCCTCCATCGTGACAGTGACGGCAGTTGTGACGGTTCCTGGGAATGCAGCATCCATCGCGACAGTGACGACAGCCGTGACGCCTCCTGGAAATGTAGCGTCCATCGCGACAGTGACGACAGCCGTGGCACCTCCTGGAATTGCAGCATCCATTGCGACAGTGACGGCAGCCGTGGCGCTTTCTGGAAATGTAGCATCCATGGCGACAGTGACGGCAGCCGTGACGCTTCCTGGAAATCCAGCATCCATCGCGACGGTGACGGCAGCCGTGACGCTTCCTACTGCAGCCGTGGCACTTCCTGGAATCGAAGCACCCATCACGACGGCGACAACGGAAGATCAATCATCCACCTCGACAGCTACAACTGAAGATCAGTCATCCACCACGACAGAGACAACAACCGCGGCGAGTACTGAGACTGGCGAACCTCCCGCCCCAGACACACCGTCAAGCAGCTCGCAGCTCATGGCTCCCGTCTGGGCTCGAATGATTGCCGAACTATTCGCACGTCCTTTCCATTAGGGGAGGGATGAAGCCCGGGATACAGCGGAGAGGATCTGAAGGGTTCGGAGGATTGCTTCTCTTCGGTCGTCCGCGTGAGCGGGAGGTATCGGTTCGCGTATGATTCTCTGTATTTGTGTGGGAGAGTTCGATGGTGGATGTGCGGAAATTGGTTGATTTCGATGTTGGCCTCGCTCACGGCGGCGACGGGCGTGTCTGGATCCCGCTGTGCCTTCCTTCTTCCTGACATCGGATGGAATGGTGGTGGGCGATGGAGAGAGAAAAGGGGCCTGCGGCAGAGGGCGGAGAGTAGCCGCCAGGTCACGCTGGGGACTCGCTCGAGGGCTGTTACCTAGATATCTCGAAGGCTGTCGCGGCGGGGAATTTTTATATCTGACACACAAAAACGTCTTTTCTTAATCATCGACTGCCCCTTCTTCCATGACTCTTCCGGCGGACGTACCCTTCTGCTGGAGTTGTCTGACGGCTATGCGGAGTTTGTTGTATACCTCCCTGACTCCCAGTGGCACTCCCCTGACGACTGCGCACGCGCTCCTCGGCTTGCTCGACGAGTCTGCGCTTGCTGGCTTTGTCGGAGGCCTGCGACGAGGAGGCCGAAGACGCTCTCCTTGGTGGTGGTGGTGGTGGTGGTGGTGGTGGTTGTTGTTGTTGTTGTTGTTGTTGGCCGAAAGATGGATTATTACTGAGGCGGGAACGAGAAGTGGAAGTGGGAGCGCGGGAGAGGGAATTATTCTCCTCTTCCGGGACGGTGGAGAGTCGTTCGGGGGATGCTGGTCCTGTTACCGGTCCCGTCTTCGATGCCGTTCCGTTGGGCTGTTGTGGTGGTGGTTGTGATGGTGGTTGTTGCATGACGCGTGGGATGTGAGACTCCCCTGGGCTGCTGAAAACGGCGAGGGGGGGTTGAGGAGGGGTTAGGGTCGGTGGGCTGGGTCCCGGGCGTAGGGTGGCGGTGGAATCCCGAGAGTGAGAGTGGGAGTGGGCATGGGAAGAAGGGGGGGAACGCCGAACAACAAGACCGCCGAGGGCTTGAACAAGAGCGGAAGCGTCGGCGAATTCGTCGTCGTCGAGCCCGTCAGGGGAAGCGTAGACGTCGCGGATGGATCTCCGGGCGAGTTTGCGCGCGTGGTCGTGCTCCCTGGCGCAGTCCCAGAGGAACGCGGCGTGTTCCAGGGCGACGGAAAGGCGGAGGGCGTGGGTGGGGAGCAGGAGGCGGGTGGCGAGGTGGTGGGCCGAGGCGAAGTGCTCGCGCGCCATGGGGAGGAAGTTGAGCGGGGGTAAGAGGTAGGAGGCCGCGGCTTGGGGCGCCCGGATGGTGATGGGGGCCAGGCCGGGGGGTCGGGAGGGAGTCTTGCGCGTGTCGCCCGGGAAGCCGGAGGAGGAGGAGGAGATCCAGAGGCCCGGCGGGGGAGGGGTGGAGAAGGATGCTGGTGGGCCCGCGGCGAAGGGGTTCGTCACGTAGGAGGCATCCGATGTCGTGGAGGGGATGGGGTCGCGGAGGGCGGGTTTGCCAGTGCGGCGTCTGCCGTCCCCCCCGTTCTCCTTTTCCTTTTCCTTTTCTTGCTTCGGCGAGCCCCTCGCGTCTCGCGCGGCTCTCGGCGTGGTCTCGCTCGAGGGCGGAGCCGGTGAGGCCGGTGAGCGGCCGGTGAGTTGGCTGAGGGGAGGGTGGTTGTGGAAGAGACAGAAGACGTGGTAGAGGGAAGCGCGGAGCTTTGCGGCCATGACGCGGCATTCGGGGCCCAGCTGTCCATCTTGACAGTAAGGTAGGATGTAGACCTCGGTGATGGACAGACCTTCCCGCGCGAGCCAGATGATGTGATGGTACAGCTCGAGGGATTTGGTGTCGCGGGTGATGTCGAGCTTGCGGAGTCTGCGGGCCCGATACAGCTTCCGGGACAGGAGGATGGAGAGGCCGAGGACTTGGTAGAGGGATGCGGAGAGGAGGGCGTTGGATGGGGCAGTCTGTCTGGCGAGGCGACCCAAGATCTTCTCCTCGATCTGAGACACGGCCATGGACCGGCCTGGTCCGAGGCGTCTGATTCTGATGGTGATGGTCGGCGTCTCTCACCCTCCTTCCTTTGCCGGCGGGGAGTGTTGGTCGGGGAGACTATCTCCGGCATCAGTCGTCGTGGTCGTACATGTAGTTGTGGTGGTGGCAGGACCAGATGGGACGTGAGCAATGCCTACCTACTCGGTATTACAGTCTACTATTACTACAGTATATGCAGACACGTGAGTTTTGGGCCTGGGCCTGGGCCTGGCCAGACGGCAGCTCGTGATTTGACAAGTAGTACCAGCGTCACCTCACCGGCAATGGTGGTGTCGTCTCTCGGCTGGCTGTGTGGCTGCTTGCGGGCAGGAGCATTAGCATTGCCGGGAAATAAGAATCTGACTCGAGCAATATCTCGATAGCTTGGAAGGCTCTTTCTGACTGGAAGAGCGACTGGAATGGCGACTTGGAATTGCTTCCTCGATTCGAATTTCGAAGTCGGACCCCGGCTTGGTGCGCGCGCTCTCGCTCTCGGTCGCTGCGTGCTCGTGCTCGTGCCCGTGCCGTGGCCGCCGCAATAATGTCTCGGCGGGATAGGGTGGTAGTGTCGTTCGTTTCCTTGCCAATTCCTCTCTCTCTGATTATTAGTAGGACAACGCCAATTCCTCCCACGCCAGCACAAAATCAGGCCGTCAATGTCGTCGATGCCGTCGATGCCGTCGATGCCGTCGATGCCGCAGTCCGGGCTCGCGGTGCAGAGAGGGAAAGAAGCAGCAGCAGCAGCAGCAGCAGCAGCAGCAGCAGCAGAGAGTGGGAGAGCTGGGAGAGGCTCGGCTGCATTGCATTGCACACTGCACTATCCTGCACTGCACTGCACTGCGTTATCCTGCACTGCTACTGAGCACTACTGCCGGCAACGTGCAGATGCGCAGTGGAGCTGCTGCAGACGTGGCACCGCAGACCTGGCCCTTCCCTTCCCTTCCCTTCCCTTCCCTTCCCTTCCCATCTGCATGCACCAGCAGTACACGCAGTACACGCAGCACACAACAACGCACCTGTTATTATTATTATTGCATGGCCTGCAGCACCGCCATTCCCCGCCCAACTCTGTCCCCAAGCATTGTGCAGGACTCTCTCCCTGTACTGTGCAAGCCGAGCAGATACTCAGTAAGTACTGGAACGGTATGGTATGGATGCGCTTGCTCCAGCATCAATCAAGTGATGAGATGATGCGTTGGCATCACAATCGTCCAAATCCTTCCCGTCCGCCCGGCCACCATCCCCCTCCTGGCTAGCGTCCTCTTCCATACATCCCATCCCGTCTGCATCTTCTTCCATCTCCACCTCCACCAACCTTAACTCCCGTCATCACTCGGCCATGCCATTATTCTTGCCCTCTACCGCCTGCCCCATTCCTACACCTGCTGCTCACATCAACTCCTCCTCTCCTGAGAGAGCGGCGCATCGCGTCCTCCCGACTCCGAACGAAGCAACATCACATCGCGGCTGCTTACATCGACACTACGTACGCGTACGTGCGATCGGGCCCATTGGGTGACGGCAACCCGGCGAGCGGATTCCACCAGGCAATTGACTCCAAATTAACCCCTCGGCAACCAGCCTCTTCGTTGCGACGGGCACTACTCACATGCTCACATGCTCCCTCCCGCATGAGTCCGCTCCATCTGCTAACATATAGGTGGTCTGAGCCCCTTCACCAAACACAAATCCAAATGGCGGTCAAGACTCGATGCTGATTGGCTGCCTGCCGGCCTGCCACGTGATGCTATCGATTGCTGACAGAATTCAACACTGCCAGCGATTCCATCCATCGCAATGCCCTTCAGGAGAAGCTCGCAGACACGTATCATGAGTCCGTCGTGGGTAATGAGACGAATGCGTTGTCCTGGGGCTTGGTCAGAGGGATCAACGCCTGTCATCCATCACCCTTCCACCACACTATGGCCCTGCAGCAGTTCCCGACACCTCCACATTCTACTTTCCCAAGGTACATGCTACTTACCCAAGGTACATACTGCAACCGTCGTCATCGTGTGGTGTGTTGGGGACCAGCAAGGCATTATTGGCCAACTTTCCCTTCGCACACTGCCGACCGCACATCGCACTTTCGAGCCAGTATTGAGTACGATGTCTGTCCTTCATCTTACCCCTGGAAATGAAACCAAACAAGCAAACTCGTCGGACTCCGATCCTCTCTCGCATCAAAAGCAATCTATCCCAGCCCATGGAACCCTACGAAAACAAAGTCTCAAGTTTAACAAACGCGAATAACTGTCAACAGAGGACATGGAACACGCACGGCTCGGGGCATAGGATGAGAAGGCGCAGAGATTGCCTATTGGGTTACTCTTGGCGCGTCTCCCACACATGCGCAAGGCTGAAGAAATTTGTCAAATGGGGTTGGTTGGTTGGTGGTTTCTGTCACCGCTTCAGCCCTACCATGACTCTCCATGCGGGCTTCCGTCCGTCCTACCCATGCCAGATGCCGACCGGATCGATGCATCCGTCGCGAGGCTGGCATTCGACAGACCAGGCGATCGGACGGTGTTGCGATACGAATGCGATGCGCTGCGCCTTGCCGTTCGGGGCGAAAGAAAGGCCGAGTGTTTGCGTGGGCCACGGCATGGCATGCCATACCACGGACCGGGATGCCACCGTCTGTCTCTCATCAGGAACAGGAACTCGTCCGCGGTGCACGACGGGCGAGGGAGGACTTTTGTCATGCATGCCGCGCAAGCGATCTGGTTGGCCGGCGAGAGACCTCGAGCCCGATGACGGTGTGTTCGACGAGCATGTTCGACGGTAGGAGCCCGCCTTCCGCGACGGATGGGTGCATCCATGCCTTGGCTCTCTCTCTCTCTGGTGGGTCGTGGTATACCAGGGCGCCCCTTTTTTTTTGGTGTGTGTGTGTGTGTGTGTGTGTGTGTGTGTGTGTGTGTGTGTGTGTGTGTGTGTGTGTGTGTGTGTGTGTGTGTGTGTGTGTGTGTGTGTGTGTGTGTGTGTGTGTGTGTGTGTGTGTGTGTGTGTGTGTGTGTGTGTGTGTGTGTGACTGTGTGCGTGATTGATGGAGGACGAGGACGAGAGCCAGGGGTTTTGGAAGACTGGAAGGATGGATGAGAGTCGAGGTGGTCTATAAGTATGGCAGAGGCAGTCTATCGTGATTCTGCTGGCCATTCCATCAACACAGCGACCAGCGAGATACCGCAACACAATCCAGCCAGCCAGCAGGACCAGCTCTTGTCGTCGTCTTTTTTTCTTCTACTCGGCACGCTCACTCGCTCATTCACTCTATTCCATTCCTTCTTCCAATTCCATCCAAGTGTCTCCCTCCCGTTTGAATAAGTCGTCCTCGAAGCTTGATTGATTGAGTCGAGTCGAGCCCTGGAGGAGGTGCTTTTCAGATCAGATCAGGTCAAAGGTATGTGTATCTTTTCAGGATGTCAGATCGAATCGCTCACCGTTTGCCACAGCGATTCCGAAGAAGAGTTCTCATTCATTCAATCATTTGGCCTTGTCCTGTCTTGTCGCAGTGAAGGAATCGAGATTCTGTCAAGACTTGTCAGACTTGTAAGTCAACCCGCCTCTTCCGGTTACAATGCAATGCGATACGATGCGATGCGATACTGTATAAAGCTAAAAACTAAAACATCAACAGCAGCAAAAGCAAAAGCAAAATATAACTTCTTCTTCTTCACCAAACTCCCGACGACTCCTCAGCCCTTCCCCCTAAACAACCCCTCTTCATCCCCCCGACAAAAAAATAACCAAAAATGTGCAAATACTACGCCCACTCGCACCCCTGCGGGCACGTCCGCACCGTCTTCGCGGCCTTCTGCCCGCCCGCCGCCCTACTACAGAAGCCCTGCGGCGGCGGCGGGAATCATAAACAGGGCGACATCTGGGCTACGGTGCAGATGGATCGGGAATGCGCGCATTGCTATGAGGAGCCGGAGCCGGCGATGTCGCGATCTCGTGCCACGGGCGGTGCCGGGGGGCGGAAGAAGGTTGTTGTTGTTGTTGGAGGTGGTGGTGGTGGCGGAGGGGGGCGGCGATGAAAGGGATATTAGATGTTTTTGCTGTCTAAGGTTTTTTTTTTGGGTGGTGGTGGTGGTGGTGTGGGAGGAGAGGAGAGTGGTTTGGGAGGTAGGAGGTGAGCTGGTTGGTTGGCTTCCGGATGAGGGGTGAGGTTGTTGGTGTTGTCATGCTGTGGGGGGCCCCCCCCCCCCCCCCCCCCCACGGGATGTATATACAAGCGGCACCAGTCTGGGATCGCAGAGGCTGGTCTGGTACAGGTATAGCCATCAGGGGTGAAGCAAGAGAGTAGGGTATGTAGAAAGTGTGTATTATTCGGTGATAAGATTAGATGAGATGGGATGGGATGGGATTTTGCTTGCTTGCATCTCTGCTCTCGGTTTTTCGTTTTTGTTTTAATTTTCGCCTGTCGGACGGAGATGCCATGTCCCGTTTGTGTAGTGTGTATTGTGTGGTCTACGAGCCTGTGCATGTGACCTGGCGGTCCGTGCACTGTCCGTCCTATATCAGCACCACAACAAGTCACTGGAGGAGGCGCCGAAAGAACGTGAACATAAACCGACATTCCAACGTCATCCGAATTATTGTGGCGTACCGCAGGCTTCACACGGCGTGTTTGAATCTTAGTAGAGATGTAAGCCTACCTCCTCTCCCCGCGCTAGAAAATTATATAGAACTCCTCGTTACGTAGGCCTAAGATTTACCCGCGAAGCTGTTCGACTACGTAATCGAGCGATCTAGGATTACAAATCTCCTACTTTACTACAGTTAAATAGTGAATACTTTGTCTAATAATTTAAAAAAAACTTGGAGATTGTTTAGTAGTAAGCTTTTTTCTTAAGGAGAGATCTCGTAGAGTTATGAATGTATATATCTGGTTCTTAATATATACTACCTCGACTAAGGGGTAAGAGGAAGTCTAGTAGGCTCTATATACCTAACCGAATCTAGAAAAAGCGAGTGTAGGAGGAAAAGTCACGAAGCGCGTCCTAAGAAGGAGGTAGAGATTGCGTAGTAGGGGCTAAACATTCATTCACTCGAGCTCTACCGCCAAAGACGTAGCGTCTTGGCACGGGAAATACAAATTCTCGTCATGTCCGCCACAAAAAAAATCTTCCACATGAGGCAACAACCAACCATTCTCCCCGCCACGGCCATGCGTGTGCCCTTCTTGGAGACCCTACCGTAAGAAGCTCTACGATACAAAATCCTCGACTTGACTTGACTCTCACGCCAAACAAAGGTGCGTGTACTTATTAGTCGTCTCCTGATGCACCGCTCAGACTGCCAACTCTAATACGGCAGAGATCGCCAGCATCAGTAAAAAACCTACCGTGCCCCCCCAGTGCAACTCCAAGTAAGTTCGGTCTTCTTCCGCGCCGTTTTTCGAAAGAAAAATATTGCGGAACCACGACCTTCGTCAACCCCCAAGGAAGGAAAACCTGAGGTGTGTCTTGACTTTCCTCCTCCTCCTCCGCGCGTCGGAACATCGCCAGCATTCAGAATTTCCGCGAAGCGCGAGCGAGAGAGAGCCCCCCCTTGACGTTTTGGCGGCCGAGATGATGCAATTTGGCGAGCATGTTACTGCTACCTACACGTTTTGGCGCGCAGGGGGATATGAACGGGGTGTGTTCTTTACGCATCATCGGGTTGGGGAAATGAGGAGGACGGGGTGGTCAGGTTCTATGGACATGGGCAGAATGTTAGCATTTTGGAGTAAGGGGGCTGAGGGGATATGAGGGAGGGGAAATGCTCTAGGAGGTGGAGAGTTGGGTTGTGCGTTCGTAGAGCATTGGAATGAGCGAGTCGCTTCTGGATCCAGACTCGAGTGCAGGGAATACAGAGTAAACGCGACGATGTGAAAGAAATGGTTAGGCTCTAGGTCGGTCTGATATCCACACCTCGAGACTTCCTCTGGGAAGATGTTCTCTAGCAACTTTCTTAGCTCATGAGCCTCACCTCAGGGCACATCCGTTCGGTTCGCTCCGAGAGCAAGATGATAGAAATATAGCTCGTGTGGCTGGGACATTTCTACCGTCACCAGAAGAGCCAGCACAGAACTGTAGCAGCCAGCACAGAACTGTAGCCATCAGGGAAGTTCATCCCTCTCAAATCTGGTGGATATCATGCGCACTAAATCTAAACAATTAATAAATCTTAAATCTTGATCATTCCTTTCCCATTTTAAACGCCTTGCTTGCTACTGCAACTCATGCTGTGCATCACACACAATTCACGTCCGACTCCGCGAACTCGCCCGCGATTCTCGCCTCGAACCGCCCCTCAGACCGCTCCGCAATTCTTTGCTCTGATTCGCAATCGTATTCGACTTGAAGCTATCCATCGTATTGACGCGATCGAGATCAAAGGGACTCTCGTCATAGTAATAGTGGTTCTGACTCCTCTGACTCCTCTGGCTTCTCGCCGTCTGCTTGCTCCTGGTAGCGTGAATCGGCGCAAAACGGCGGTATCCATCCTCTGCCTTCTCGGACTCGGTGAGAGAAGGTTGACGTTCGACTTCCTCTACGGGCTCGGTGGGATGTTCGCCGTGGTGCTTATGATGGGGCTTCTCTTCATCGGCGGCCTCGGCGGCATCCATGGGAGTAGCGAATTCGGAATCATTGTCTTCGTCGTCGTCGTCGTCGGAACCGGAGCCCTTCATCTGGTTTTGCATTTGTCGCATGAACGCTTCGGATTCGGCGGCGTACTTGCATTTCGCGCGGATTGCGGGGCCGTATTTGTAGAACAGGAAGGGGAAGGGCACACAGATGAGAGCGAGGAAGCCAGGAATCATGGTCGCCCAGTGGATCCCGAGGCCGTCGTACATTTGCGTCGTGAAGAGCGGGAAAACGGCGCCAAAAACCGAACGCAGGACGGAGTTGGCTGCGAGCACAGAGGCAGCGAAAATGGTGTAGGAATCAATGAGGTAGTTCATGATTCCGAGGAAGATGAGAACCATTCCGAAGCCAAAAGGTGCGAGGGCGATGATGGGCACCATGAATTGGATCGAAGGATAATTTGTCCAGGCGAACCAGATCAGACTAATAGGAACAGCGACAGAGCCAACCATGCAGAGTGGGAGTCGTGCTTCAGGAGGCGCGAAGCCGTCATATTCGTCGGAGATTTTGCTGTAGCGTTTGTTTGCGTAGACGGAATAGGCGACTGCGAGGAGCATACCAACTGCGACGCCGAGGAAAGCCAGACCGCCGATCCCGGCACTCCAACCTCGTTTTTCTTGGAAGACGATGGGGAAGGCGCTGAAGCACATGTAGAGCGTTCCGTAGATGATGGCCATATAGATGGACAGGAGAAAGACGATTGGTTCCTTGAAAAGCAGAATCCATGGCCGGGACAGAGAGGTCTTGAAGAGCTCGGCAACATTGGTCGCTCCCTGTCGAATCTCGCCCTGTGTCTTGTAGACCTTTCCAGTCATCTGGGAGAGCTTCTCCGCTCGCTTTCGCAGAATGACCGGTGGGTACGTCTCCGGCAGGAAAAGCGTTGTAAGGACCCAAAGAACTCCAGTGAAGATGGACATGACACCTTCGTTCCATCGCCAGCCGACGGTCTCGCCAATGAAGCCACCCGCGATCGGACCCAAGACCGGACCCATGAAGGGTGCAGCGGCGAAAAGGGACATGGCGAGACCTCTCTGCTTGGCCGGGAACATGTCGGCAATGACACCTCCAGCATTGGTGAGCGGGCTAGATCCAATAGCACCAGAAAAGAACCTCAAAATGATGAGCGTCCAAATATTCTGCGATCCAGCAGCTCCAGCATTGAAAGCCGTAAGGCCTAACGACGTTCCGAAAAACAAGACCTGTCGTCCGAAAAGCTCCGAAAACGGCGCCCACCTATCATATCCCTCGTCAGCACACCATGCCTCCTTTCCTCCAAGAATAATGAGTTCGATACTCACAGTAATGGCCCAATGGCAAAGCCCAACACGAAGAGCGAAATGCCCAGGACAAACACTTCCTGACTGCATCCAAACTCCCGAATCACCTGTTCTGCACTCCCCGAATAAGCCGACGAGACAAACGCCACAGCAAGCGTCGACATGGCCACCAACATCGTAAGACTCCATTTCTTCGCCGGGCTGTAATGCATCGGGTTTCGAGGGTCGTTGTCGATCCAGACGACGACGTACGGGTCCTCTTCTGTGCCGCTGCCATCGTAGTCCCAGTTTTCGACGTCGGGGGTTACGCCGCCTTGGTCGAGGACTGTAGAACGTATTAGTCTTACAGGAAGGGAGGGGTTGTGAAGTTTATATTACCTTGTCGATAATGTGGGATCGTGCAGTGGGATGAATTGGGTTGTTTCCCGCCTTCCACGTCCTTGTCCGCCATGTGCGCGACTCAACTGTCTCCTTCTCGTTTGCCGTGTGGTATGGGTTATCTCATCCGTTGATGCGACTGATGATCCGTTGTCCCGCTGGCCGGCTTCTCTTGCTTCTTCTGTGATCCTTCTCTTGTTCTCCGTTCTGTACTTCGTCTATCCCTCTCTTGATGGATGGATGACCTGTCGACAAGCCTTCACACCCGGCCCCGTTGAAATTAAAGATTCCAGGAATGGTCGTAAACGTCGCAAACTAGCAGCAAGTGAAAGCCGCGGCGCGACAACGCTTTTCTATCGCGAGATCCAACCAATCTCCGTTCCCGTGCTATGCGCAACCCCATGACGATTGGCGCGAAGTCAAAGCGTAAGCGAGTACGATTGGTCAGAAGCTGAGCCGGACGGCGCTATCTCTCGTCCGAACACCGCACCCCGTTCCCATCCCTCTCCCGTACCCGATTATGCTTGCATAACATCACGTCATTCCGCAGAATCCGCACTTCGCTTCAAATTTTGATGGTCGATCATCAAGTCTTTCATGCCCCCGGTCTTGGATTCACGCCCCAGCTTTCATCCTGGTGGGACTCGGCGTGCGACGAGCGTCCGCCCCATGTTTGGCCGCCCTTCTGCCATTTGATTGGGCTGCTGGGTGGTCTCGGATCGGCCGGACCTACTCCCGCCCTCGCCCTCGCATTCGCATCTTGACTTTTCACAATTCTCTTGCATACATCCTGGCGGTCCCCGGAAGACTCCGCCTTCAGCTAAGGTTCCTCTTGCCCCGCACAGCCGGACGTAGCGGGCGCCGCGAATGTGTGGTTTGCGGACTACTCGCCACGTGGAACACGTGGTCTCGTTGGGACCCAGATCACAAGATGGCCGTTGAACAGCCCGGCCGGACCAACTGGTTGCACAGTTGCTATGTGCTAGGTAGGCCGAGCCCCCGGCCCGGACGTAGATGACAAGCCCGATTGTCGCCCCGCTCCGGCGTTACGGATCGGACCTGCGTCTAAGGTAGCACACGTAGCGTTTGTGTGGCACGTTACCGGGTCACGGCCCTTGTGTCGACCTCACCTGCAAGAGCCAGCGGAGCCTAAGCGAGTTCGGTTTTCCAGTCTGAGAAACCTTCGAGATGATGATCTGGACGAAAAGAGCGCCCGATTTGCCGGAAGCCGCGGCGATGCCGTAGAACGAACAGCGGTATTTGGTTGGAAAGACTTCTGCTGGTATCTAAAGAGATCGGTCAGTCCGAATGGACAGGTGGTCGCCCAGATCAGGTTGCCTCCATATACTTACGATGAAGGTCAGAGTATTCGGGCCAAAGCTGAACAGAAATGAGATCACGGCCCAGAATACAATCAAGAGCACGTAGAGCGACTCGTGGTGGAAGAGTGCCGCGAAGCTCGATGCGACAATGATGAGAAGGATGCCGATGGCGAAGAAGGTGACGGTCAGCATGTCTTTGCGATCGAAGCGATTGATCGTCGCAATCATGAGTATGGATCCAAGGATTGACGCGATCGACACGGTATAGATAGCGTGCAGTATGTTGGCTTCCAGCACTGGGTGGATAAGAGGGCCGGCGACGCTGCCGGCTGTGTAGTTGACCCCATCTACCATGGTAGCCGCCGTGACAGTTCCGTTGACTACTGCAACTCCGTCAATGGTTGCATTGACAATCGATGAAGAATTCAACCACCATGGCGAATTGGAGGAGAATTGTATGTCCTGATTGGTCCATAGCTTCGCGAGCGTGGATGGGTTATTGAAGCCCATGCCATCTACGAGAGAGAACAAAGGTCAGCAGTGTTGGCGACGAGGACTTGGAGGTGCGTAGGGACTGACAGAAAGCAAAGTCGAGCAGGAACCAACACGCGCACGTTCCAAAGAGGTATATCCAATGGCCTTCGCGCCAAATGTATGTCCAGAGCTCGCCAAGATGGAAATTCTCCCAGCTAGCATCATGCACCGCATCTCTCTCCCCTGTGGTCCCGCTGACTCTCCCATTCGCCATGTAAGAGTCATCCTTTGGGATACTTCGGCGTACGTCGAAGGTGTATCGACCAGACTCGGGCATGTAGATTCGGAAACCCAAGGCTAGAAGAGTCGGAAAGGCGCCAATCCCAATGACGTATCGCCAGAGCTTGTCTATTTCTACTGGTGACGTGCCAAATATCCGGAGAGCTGTTAGGCCAGCCCCATACGCGCAAAGCTGACCTAGGGGCTGCATGAAGAAGACTGCGCTCATCAATCGACCTCTCGACTTGGTGGAGGACCATTCTGCGGCAATACCTGACACGGCATAGGTTAGCTAGGTAGGTACTGACAGCGACATGAGCTGGTTTACAAGCGCTGAGCGGATATTCTGTGATCGATGAGCACGTGTCTTTGATGATAAGATTGAAGTAGGGCTGCCTTACCTGCGCCGATACCCAAGCCCATGATAGCTCTCCAGAAGATGAGCCATACTGTGACATCCCAAGTGGAATGTTCGCCGTCTGAGTAGCCCCCCGAGCTCTGAAGTAGTCCTACGGTGCTAACGATGACGATGATCAATTCAATTCCATAGAGAGATCGACGACCACCAATGTCGGCGAAGATACCGAAGACAAGCTGTCCTACCGCAGAGGCGCCCAAAGTCGCGAGGTTGAAAGCCGAAGCTTTGTTGTGATTCTCGTCATCGGCCCAATAGACGTATCCGAGAGCCGGCAAGATAACGTTCGATGCGAAAAGATTGTACGAATCGGTGAAGAAGCCCGAGCCAGCTACGGTGCGCCCGTATTTCTGGGCGATCGACCTGTGAAAGTCGATTCCCATTACTATGTACATACAGTATTGTTGGCTGCTTCGTTGCACTGGAACTTCAACGTGACGGACGATTTGTGGTACCCGGCGCCATTATCCGCTACCGGCTGCTCGGATACTACTGCGAACAGTCATCGACACCTCCATGCAAGCTATACATATATACATGTATATATCGCACTCGGCCATTGAGCGATCCTGCCGTCTCCTCTACTATCCGTTCGTCTGGTTACACTAGCTGAAGGACGTTTCTCCCCTTGAAGCCTCAGGAGTCTGCGACATTAGTCACTGACAAGACCGCGAGCGCTACGTCGTCATCGGTATTGCGGCCTCTCATGCTCGCGATTCCAGGTGACGGGCAGCAAAGGGCGAATGCTCATCCAGGGGCTTCATCACCTTTCCCGTCTGGCGCCCGGTCTCCCTCCTCACACATCTCATCTTAGCTGAGGACCCAAGACGTCAACTGCGAGCAATCGTTCATCTACCATCTACCAGCGACCAGCACATGTTCCAAACGGAGATTCCAACTACGAATTCCTGCTGACGACAGTCGCCGATCTCGTGGATGGGCCTTGATGGCTTACCGGAGACCGACCACGAGCATCAGCAGGATATCCTCACAGCAGCGAGTTGGCACCCCTTTGGATCCCGGACGTCCTACCAACACGTGTAATGTGGACATCTATCTCGATATCAAGGACCATGTCCCGCTTGCAGCTGCCAAGTTCTACCTGGACGAGGGCCAATGCCTATGGTACAGCGCAACCGACGAGCTCGTCTTGGAACACCTTTTCCCCGCCCACCATAAAATCTTCCCGTGGAAGCACGGGGCTTTGAAAGACCTTGGCCACGGCCCACTGACGGTCGCATTCACCAAAGCTGACAAGGAAGTGTGCAAGGTACAGTGCCACGGCGCTTGCGAAACCCTTCACCATCCGACAGCACCCAGATACGACTTCTTGGACGAACGGTCATACATGTGCTTTCAGAGTATGATCTACGGGAATCCTACGTGAAGGAACTTGAAGTCGACTTTTTCAAGCCGAGAGAGGGTAATAACACTGAATCCCAGTTTCTGAAGATCTGGGAAACCATCGACCCTCCGGGACAATGGACCTTCACCATACCATACGCACACACGACCAATTCTTCTAAGCACGTCGAGCACCCAGAGTTTTGGTTCAAATGGCTACTGAAGCCCGAGAGAGTATCGTCTTCCAAGACGGTCAAGCTTGAATTCAGAAAGCGAAGAAGAGGTTCCTCTGGTGTCGCTCACGATTGTAAGCGTTCCACTGTGCTTCACCTTTTGCAACAAGTTGACACTCGGCAGCTCGCCCCAGTCCGTCAACCCATCGTACGCCAACTGGCCTCTTCTCCAGTCCTCGTAGTCTGCTTAAACGTGACTCCTATTCTTCCGATCTTTATATGCCACAGGATGACCCCGCGCCAGAAGAATTCTTGAAGCGGTTCGACCATGCGACACTGCGCTTCGGCGATGCTAGCCGTAATGTCCCACGTGTAACGGCGCTAGTCCTTCACTGACTGGCGACTAGTGCGAAACGAGTACGCGAGTCATTTCCACGTATCTCATGTCCCTCATCAGGTGTCGCCTAGAGACACTCCTCGGGAGCCTTCGGTTACTTCTGCACCCAGTTTGCGTCTGCCATCGCCTGTATGGACCAATGCGACGACTTCGCCTGACACCCGAGCCCAGGATACACCCGCAACCAGTGTCGGTGATAGCGGCAACGTCAGCATATCAACTAACGATACGACTCCACAGCCTCCAGAGTACAGACTGCCAGGTCCTGCGAGGCACCAATTCGATTCCCAAGAGGGTGAATCTTCTTGTACGCTCTCGAATTCGTCCCATGAAGAGAAATATGGCAGCAACTCTTCGCGATTCTATCGCACGCTTCCGAAGGGTCTCGACTGGATCCGCATCATCGCTATCGAGCCCGGAACTGGTTTACATATCACCTGCTCCTTAGAGACCCGCCAGCTGATGAAAACACCAGAGTACGAAGGACTGTCCTACTGCTGGCAGAAAGGTGGACCCATGAAACCGATTGACGCGGGTAATTTGAAGGGCTTCGAGGTCTCTGAACACCTCTGGAATGCTCTTCGTAGACTTCGGTTGCGCAATCGGCGACGACTAGTCTGGGTGGATGCTATCTGCATTAATCAGGATGATATTGGGGAGAGGAATCACCAGATCACACTCATGCGCAGGATCTACGCTTCGGCTCTCAGGACCCTGATTTGGATTGGCGATTTCAGCACGGATTCTCCAACGTGTATGCGGTGTTATAGTAATGCCGGAGAAGAGGGTTTCACTCTGTGCACGAAGACTGGACTCCCGGCGCTCGAGCACGGAGGTATTGGAGACCTTAAGAAGTACTTAATCCAGCTTCGACAGAGCGAAGAAGGTCGCAAGTCCGCTGATGTCTGGTGGAAGCGGCTCTGGTGCGTACAGGAGTTCAAGTACTCAGGAAACACGCCCACCGTGTTTGTGGGTCCACACGCTATCAGTTGGGGACACTTTGTTGAACTATTCGACCCCGGAAACAGCCCACTCACGCTTTTCCGCAGGCTTGAAAAATACTCTGACAGAGACGACCACACCTTGTTCTCCCTCCTATCCATGACTGGCCACTTTCGTTGTACTGATCCTCGTGACCGAGTTTTCGCCTTGCTGGGAATGTCAAGACCCGCGCCGAATACAATCAGGCCAGAGCCAGACTACAGGTCCACAGTAGTCGAGGTCATAGAAGATGCTTGTCTGTACCTCATTCAGGAAGCAGGTACAGTCGACGTGCTTCTGGACGAAAGAGTAGATCGTACCAAACGGAGTGTGGATTTCGATGGCGAGTTCATGCCCTCGTGGTTACCCGACCTCACTTGCTTGCAGAAACGGCGGGAGACTATCAAGGGTCCCAATGACTACAACGCCGGCGGCAACCAGGTCTCGAAGGTGCAATTAATAACCAAGGCCCCAAGTGGCAAAACAGATGCAATCGAGCGCGACACTGCAAGAACTCTCATCATCCGAGCCATCCCTTTCGACGTCATCGTCGCACGTACCGAAGAGGATGACATTCCACGGCATGAAGAGTCGAACGAGGGATGGCTAATCTACAACAGTCTCCACCGACGAGGAGGAGTCATTGACAAGATCTTGAACGTGCTGAAGTACAACTTCGAAGATCATCAAGCTCGTGCGAAGGCCATGCATCTTCCTCCAGCGCCGTTCTTGGGTCGGCTCATGCTTGATTACCTGTTTGAAGACAAGCGAAGCATCTTCGAAGAGCACGACAGAAGGGCGCGCGGTTACCGCCGAGACGAGGTCATGACCTATCGCCGACAAGAAAAGGAGGATCTCGCTTTCCTCAAAAAGGTTGGATCGTCTCTCGATCAAAAGTTCGTGAAGAAGCGCTGGCATACCAAGATTGAGAACGCTCATAACCGCGATATCTTCAGACCTGTGCGTCTGCGGACGGCACTGGACATGAAGGATGAGACCATTCTTACGGACTTCAATGTCGCCCGCGACGTCGGAAATCTCTTTGCTTATGCTCGACACACAAGGGACCGATACTACTACTCCACGAAAACCTTCGATCCACCCATGCGCAAGGACGCGCTTCGGAAAAGGACGATTGACGAGGTCCGTCAGCTGCCCACGCAGTTCAGCGCCCCAGACGACGACATCGACAGCATTGAGATCCACGAGTATAACGAGAAAAGCCGCGAACGAGACTTTTTCAAGACGGCGGCGGAATTCATAGGACTAGGTACGAGCAGCTTAGCAGTAGGAGATGAGGTCATTGTTCCTATCGGATCTAGTCGCCCCTGGATTGTCCGCAAGACGCCTGGTCTGGGCGATGTCACTTATCGATTCATCGGAGAGGCGGTCATTCCCATGATCATGTCGGAAGGCTGGGCGCAAGTTGCTGCTGAGTCGGCCAAGGACTACTATATCAAGTGAGGAGAGGTCGCGTCTACTACACTAACGAGCTTCTTCCTGGGCCATAATTCACGCTGTTGCTATGGAGATTGACCGCGCCACTGGCCCAGTCCGTGCTTCGGTAGCTCACCTCGCTGTCGACGGAGCGCCATAACGACTTCCTGTCGGAGGAAGGCCGAACGCGTTGCAACGGGACAGGCACCATGCAGGCCCTCACATGGCGCCGCTTGCGTCCAGGAGGCTCCGACCGCAGAATGGTTCCCAGCTCCTTGCGCCCCTTCGGCCCCGGGGAGAAGTTGTCCACCTTCCTAGAAAGTCTCAGTAATCGACGACGCGTGGCAAAGGTCCCTCCCCATCAAGTAGGAACACAGTACGAGTACTCGTGCCGATACCAGACGCTAGATGACGGACATGTGTCATGAGATATGTCAAATCAATGTACACAAAGGTGCATTTGGGGATTTGTGTACCATGCAACCTTGAATCCTTCAATCAAGGAAGAGATTGAGACGTGGATTGATATCGCGATCCGGAATCGTACACTGTCCCCTTTACATCCTCCTGAATACATTCCCACTAGCGCTTCTCCTCTCTTTCCCTCTTCCGACCTTTCTCCCATCATCAGCTCCACCGTCCGTCTCTTGCTGCGGCCGCCGATGCTGCTTCTTCTGCGGCTTCGAAGGCGCGAATGTAACCTCCTTCTCCCCAAACGGCTTGTCGTCGCTCCTCCCCGCACCATTTGATCTCCGTCTTGACGGTATACTGGAAGCAAGATCGCCAAAGGATTTATTGTACGAAGTAGGTCGGACTTTCTTTTGCGTGGACGTGGAGACACGCATAGTAGGCCCGGTATTCCGCTGCGCCTCCCATTGTTCTTTGGATCTGTGACCACCCTTCTTGTAGGAAGTCGAGCCAATTCGGCCCTTGGAAGATTCAAGTTCGTCAGGTTTGCGGCGTTGTTGAATTTGGGCTTCCTCTTCGTCGGATTCTTCGTCTTCGTTGGAGTCGTCGCTTCCTCTCCTCTCGTCCAGGTCTTCTTCCTCAACTGCCGTGAGACCGCGCTTCTTGGCCGCGGTAGGTGCATAAGGTACTGAAGATGGATTGTGTAAGGCAAACTCCCGACTCGTCTCGTCAATCTCGAAGTCTTCATTCTCAAACAAGCCGCGGAAACGCTGGTCGACCAGTGGCTTCGTCTCGGCCTTCTTTTCGCCTTCAGTCCCGTCACTCTCCTTGCGAGGCTCATCGCCGCCCTGTCGAAGTACTCTCTGTGCCTTCTTCCTCTCGTGCGCTTCCTCTTGCGCGGCGAGCTTCTCCGCGTATTTCCTATTGACCTTGACAGCCATCTTTTTACTTCCTCTAATCCTGCTCTCCCGCTCCTTGTCGATCTTCTCTTGAATACTTCGCTGCCGCTGTTGTTCCGCAATGTCGGGGTTCACGAGCAATTTAGCCTGTTCGTATAGCTTCTGTGCAACAAAGTAGCCGTGCATGTAAGGCCGAAGAAGATTCGTCGTACCGATGAGATGATCCAATGATAGCCCGCGCAGTTGCTTCATGTCCAAGAATTTGTAGTTGTCGTACACTTCACCAGCGCCGGTGCCGGAAGACTTGAAGGCGTTCGGGTCATCGGCATCTTCAGCCATTTCTTCGACCAGGTTATCCAAGAAGGAACACCATCTGGGAGCGGGACCTAGCTGTGGAATGAAGAATGAATGCTGTTGTCTGCCTTCGTTTGCTGTAAGAAGCATGCCAGAATCCTTCACCCATTCGACGTTGTTTAGATCGACAGCGGGCTCGATACCGGTCCAGTAGTTGCCAGACTCATTGTCCCAGATCTTGATCCCCTTTCTATCCGAGCTGAGAAGCTTTGTGGAAGCATGGGGCGAGTCCAGGTAGAAAAGATCCTGTATCGGGTAGTCGTAGCCCTGGTGCTTCTCCAGTAGTGGTACAGGAGATCTTAAATCGTATGTCCGCACAATTCCTCTGCTGTTGCCCGTGGCAAGGTTGAGACCAGAGCTGTGGAAGCTGAGTGCCGTAACCTCAGGTCGACCATCCAGGCCCAGTCCTGCAGATGTCGCTGGCGGTCCCAGTATGCTCGCGCGATTCCGTGATCTTGAATCCCAGAACTCTACTGTCCCTAACGATGTGCCGAATGCAAGCAGGCCATGGCTCTCCTCCGCTATGGCGACACAGTTGACCGAACCAGCATTGATCCCGCCTTGTAATGCGCCACCGCCGAACGAGTCCAGATCATCGCCGCCGACATCCACCTCATAACCCTTCATGAATCGCCCCAGCTCCAGATTGAGTCTGAATACCTCTCCATTACCATCTCCATTTACGCCCACCGCCGGTACAAGCGCCTCCGCTGTCCTTCGATTGTACTTCAAATCTCTTCCATACCGCGGTATTCGTGTCGTGTAATGCAAGCCACCAGCTGTATGAAACTCGAGGAACCGATCTGTTTGTAGATGTAACGACTTCGTATAGTCTGATGAGAGGATCACAAATTTTTGGTTAAGCGAGTTGGTATGTCGAGCGAATGAGAGCGACAGATGTGGGAGGTAGTGAACATGTATTTGCGGTTTGTATGTGCCTGCATTAATCCATCTGTCAGCTATCAGCGCTAAAGTCGCCCTTCACACGCGGATCGAATGCTTACCTGTACTCATCACCCACTCCCCATCTTCGCTTACTCTTACACACTGACTGGCTTCCTCAAACTCGAAGTCCTGCAGTAATTCGACTCTGTTCGCGTACTCAGCGTCCCTCTTCAGACTTCGCTTCCTTTTGCGCGCCAGCCATTCTGGGAGGGGTCGCGCGGTAGATGCACCGGCAATCGTGTAGACCGGCACCGTGCCTTGATTGCTGAGCTTCATCTTGCTGGCGACAATGTAAACGGAGGCGATGGTGTCGCGGAGACGATAATTCAGAAAATCGCATTCGACTTTTCTGACGCTACTGGATTAAACTTTGGACCCCCACGAGCTACACGGTCTGTGCGCTGAGACTAGCTGCGGGCCGGTACGACAGAACGGGCAGGGATCCGGCTACTCTAGATATGAAAAGCACCACAGCACCGGACATGGCTTTCGCATGCATTACGCCAACCTCACGCTTATCACAATCTTCTAAAGCAGATCGCCTTCAATCTTATCTTTCGCGTCAAACACGAGTCTCATGAGGCCGTCTACCGAGACACGCAGGCGATTATACCACCCGAACGTGCCATAGCACGGCACACGCAAAGCTCCTTGAAGCCGTCCTTCCCTTGGATGTGTGAGATATGATACGAGATGGATTTCTTCAAATCGTGCACGACAAACGTGTATCTCATAGAAGAGCTACTCCAGACGCGATTCCGATCGTATAGACTGAAGGCAGACCCTACGGAAGAGTTGGAAACATGGAAACAGATCCAGGCGACTTTGGCGAGGCTGCGCGAGTTGAACGTTCTTTGCGTTGCAGATGAGGATCAGGGCGTTTGCGTCTTTGAGGAAGTTGGCGAAGAGGCTGGGAATATACTGCAGGCTTTCGATATGATTGAGGAAAACACTCTGGAGCTGGAACTTGCGAAGCAAAGGGATAGGAGCTCCGTGAAGGATGGGTTTCTTGACGCGATCGAAGGAGCGCTTGCTTTCCACCTTGCCAGAGATTCGTGCAGTGTACACGTAGCTCCTTGGACATGGGTATGTTATGAGGAAGGAGATGGGGAGCACGAACCGTCACCGAGCTTCATTGTGAAAGTGCTTAGGAAGATTACTCCATCCGGATCGTTGTATCTCATCCCCGAGGTTCAGGAAACGAACTGGTCCCCGATGGATAGACAGGGCCTTGCAACCGGAACTGAAGTGATTCTATCGCCCTATGGAAAGCCTGCAACTATCATCGATGGCTTCGCGAAAGACATGATTGCGGGTGAAGGATGGAAGGATGCTGTTACTGTGGGAATGCAGGCTCGGGGACTGCGTATCCCGGAAGATTCTCAATGGATTGCCGTCCAGGAGCGCAGCAACTTCGACTCCACCACGGCTTTTCTTTGGCCGGAAATCTTATGTCTAGTCCGCCATGGGCTCGACAAGCAGGATGCTGTGCCATTTGAAGACGATAGCAACTGGCGTCGGTGGTTCGAGACTGCGGATCGAAACACCTCTTTCCGCAATCCACTTGCAGAAGCTGAGGAATGGTTCAAGAGTGCTCGTGAAGCCGAGCGAAGTGGGCAAGACATCATTCAGGTAGCGGAGGAACTCACCGCATCTTCTGGGAACGCTGTCTCTTACAGCGCACAGGGTGCTGATGTCACCACATCGCCGCCTTTCAATCAACGCTTAATGGATCAACAAGCTGCACTGGCTGGCATCTATCCCACGCCACCCGACGGTCTTACTCAGGGTCCGCCAAATGGGCAACACAATTCTGCTGCAACACCATCCGTAATTCAAGGGGAGCCGAGCGCAATGAGCGCAGACAATCTTCCAACGAGTGATGAAGTTCACTTTCAGAGCTTTGACCACAAGCCATCTGTTGGCGCTGAAAGTTTTCAGATGGGCGCCGAAGATTTGTTCGGTGACGTGGGCGAAATGGAGATTGGTGAAAATGAGGTTGACGACGCTGATTTTAATTTCTTCGACGACGACGATGATGATGCTGCCCCACAGGCTGCACCGCTTGATCACCAAATTATGAAGCAGTCGAATCCCCAAATCAACCCCACACCAGCAGCTCAAGCGATCGACGAAGGGATGCAGCTTCCCTTCAGTGTCGCTGGTCATGGCGATCATGACGGTCTACCTGCTACTGAAATCCCACCTAGTTCACCTGTGGCAACAAAGGATCAAAACACTTCGGACACGCTAAAAGATGACATGGAAGGCATCTTCACAGCCAAGAGCTCGGCTGCAGAGATTACTGAGCCGGAGAAGCCGTTAAGCCCCTTCGGAATCAGGGAACGTTTATTACCGCCCCCTGTCCCAGCAAGCGTTGCACACAGTGATTCCAGACAACAATCCGAATCTCGCAGGAGTAGCCGCTTCGGCCCAATCAATTTTAGGGAAAACATGGATCTTGGACCAAGGTATGCTGATACTGGGGTTCCCAAAGAGGATCGCAGGATAAGTTCCACGATGCCAAACATCGGTCTCCCACAGTCAAAAAAGAAGTCCCAATCCTCAAAGAAATCCCCTAGGCTAGGAAGCCTGGTGAGCGAGCAAGAAGATAGCGACGATGAGTCGAACCTATCTTCTTCGAGCCAAAGCGATACCGACATCCCACCGTCGACACCGTGGGATATGCCTGATAGCCGCAAAAGGAAACGGCATGGCGAGCAGCGCACTGCCAACGTACTTGCTGATGCGCCAGAGCGGATAGGCTCTGACAGCAGCTTAGTAGCGACATCGCCTGTTCAGACCTCCGATCAAGATATGCTCGATACCATCAACAAGCTTGAAATTTCCGAACAACCACTCCTCGCACATCCATCCCAACCGATGAGTCGAAAAGCATTCCCATTCAAGGATCGTACAAAAGAGTCCTTGCGGTCGATTGTCGAATTGCACACGCTTCCCAAAGAAGACATCATCTGCATAGCTCAGATTGTTAGCGAACAGGCGATCACAACACTCGACTCAGCGGTCGTTGAGGGCAGTTTACTGGGACTGACACCTAGCATAGCTGCATCCAACTCCGTATCAAAGAGTCGGAGATTCATTACTTCTGCTCTGGAGACCGTGTTTCCCGAATTCGACATGTGCGACTTGGCGACCCTAGCACTCACGAGAGAACCTCTAGCTCCGGCGCGCTCCCTGACAAACTCCGGAAAGGGTGGGCAACCACTTCCTAGGCCACTTCAGCGCGCAGATAGCTTGTTGTCTGGGCCAGAGATCTTTTGCCTTCCTGCTCCGCATGTGAAGATCCAGAGGGGCAAAGAAAATTGGGAGATGTTGCCCACGAGCCTTGCCTTTTGGGAGACACTTGGGCTAGGGCCGGCGAGTGGGCCCAAGAATGTGAGAGCTTTTTGTGTCTTTCCCGACAATGATGACCTGCAGCACCTTGTCGAGCGCTTCATGGTCGACATGAGTACTGCTTACGAAAGCTGTAAGCTTGGTACTCATGTACACCATCGCAATGCCAGTGCGAAGGACATGATGGACAATTTCGAAGATGGCATGGCGCCTGTCGAAGTTACTGAGGAGGTGGACATCGAGAGCGCTTTGAAGTCTTACGCCAGCACCTGCGCAAATTTGGGAAAGGCGCTTTCGTCGATCAGCCAGGGCGAAAGCAACCGGTCTATTGTGGTGTATGTGGTCAATCCTTTTACCGAACAGCAGGCGACAAAACATCTCTGCGCTTGCTTCTGGCTGCTCTGGAAGGCGTACAGGGACAACTTACCGAGAGCACATCGGAACCAGTGCAACAGCGACCTCGTGATGCAGCTGCTACCTATCAACCTCTTCGCCTCGTTCGACATGCTTGTGATACCTGGCGCGAAGCGAATGGCTGCTTTGGCTCGCGAAGTATACGACCGATGTCCACCGTCACCTGATGCGCCGTCTCCAGATGATACCTCTCCGCTTCGGATCATGTCTGCTCCTTCTGTGGAGCTCGCGAGTTCAGCGCCCAAAAGGATAGCGTTCCAATTGTCCGCCGAACCTCCGAGCGACCTTCTCCACGAAGGATCAGTCCTTCACGTTGCTTATGCGATCAGCCCGGATGGCGAATGGTTGACTTCAACGTGGATCGATAATACGGGCCGGTATCAAGACAGTGTGTCACTATGTCTTCGCGGGGGGTCTTTCGCCGACGTGGCCAACGATGTATGGGAACGGACACGTGAGATAATAGCTGCTCGAAAAGTCACTTGGCGGATATTCATTGTCACGCACCAAGGCCTGGATCGCTCCATCTCCCTGTGTTGGCGGTCACTCGCTGGGAAGCCGAGAGCTCAAGCACTATGCGTGACGATGCTGACCGTTCAGGTCGATCCTGCCATGCACCTTCAGCCACCGGCAGAAAGCCAAAGTTCTGGTGGACAGGACAACGCTTTATTCACACCGGTCTCGACACCACAAGGCAACCCGAATTTAATCAGCTCTCCTGATGTTGGCCAAACCCCTACCGCCAACAACGCACCGCCCACACCTGCTCCTAGTGAGACAGCCGCCTCCCTCGCTGAAAACGATCCCGACGCTCACCTTGTCGACGCGACCGACGAGACATTCGCTCTCTTGTACCACCCAAAATTCATCAATCTTGGCTACAACACCGGCCTCGCGAATGGCGCTCTCTTTCAATGGGGTAGCGCCGAAGCTGCTCTAGATACAACCTTGCCCAGTCTTGGTGTGAGTGTACATTGGACCATTCAAGTCAAGCCTGATGGGAAAGTTGATGAGGGAAGCCCCAAACAAGCCGAGCTAACGCTGAAGGACGTGATGAGAATGTATCGACATTTAGGCCTGTTGACGAAGGCCAGAGGGTTGGAGAAAGAGGGCAAGGCTAGTGTGCCTTTGCATGTTGAGGTTGCGAGAAGGGGTGTTGAGGGATTGGATGGCATGCTGCCACCTATCTCAGGAGATTGAACTGCTGCTGTCCCGACAGACAGTTCTTCATCCGCTTTGCTCTTGGTTGAAGTGTCGGCGACAAAGACGGCGCTCATTGCAAAAAGCCATCGATCGTGGATGCGACTTACATGGGGTTTGTAATCACACCTCGACTTCCGATACGTTCGTCTTGTAATCAGCCCGAACCCTAGGGATTTGAGGTGAGCTGCACACACACAGCACACAACGTGTATCTCGCTATATATATGAAGCTCCAAGGCACAAAAGCACTTGCGCACGGATCCGAGCTGTACGCACAACATGAAAACACGCCCAAAAGGCCCCCTTTATGGCAGCGTGAAGCTATGATATCAGCCGAAAAGGAGCTCCTTCTGCTCTTATCTTTCTTTTTCACCATGACAATATCGCCGGCTATGAGAGATTTCTAATAGAGGTTGCTACTCCCGGGCCCTCGACGGTAAGGTAGTACGAGCAGAGCGATGGATTGTTTTTGGGAGAGGCCGTCGGCGTGCATTATTTGTCGTATCGGATAAGAGGTCGGATGATATGCTATGCTAAAAAAACACCATGCTTGCTTGAAGGTATATCATGATCCATCGTCAGAACGCGAGACGAGGACAAGAACGCTCACGAAACACCAAAACAAAACATAGGAGAAGCATTATCCCGAAACAAAAGACGACGACAAGTCCATCCATCCAAACTCGCACCGTCAATTCAGTCAGAACAAAAAAACAGGCAACACAGGCGACTTCGTGCATCGACGAGATGCTTCAGGGGAAAAACAATTCGTGCGGCCACAAGCCCGGGAAAGCAAACCAGTCCTTCTCCAACACCCGAAACGCGTCCTCGACACGCATGGTCAACTGGCCTTTGCCATCGGAGCATACTCCAATAACCCTTGGCCCAAGCGATGACCGTTCCGCCCATTCCCTCCTCCCCCCGGACGGCTGTCAAAGCTGTCAATCTCGCTTCGGCGCTCCCGACTGCTGCCACGCCGCCCACCCGAGTAGTTCGGCGGCATAGGTCCGACGTACCTTCCTTTATGATCCTGGTAGCCCGCCGCGACGGCCGTATTGATGGCCGCGCGCGCAGAATGCGCCGAGATGTCCGCAATGCGACTGGAAGCGTCCGCGCTGCGATGGGAAGCGTTGGCGGCCATCTTGGTCGCGCGGGCGGACTCCTGCGTCGCTTGCGCGGAGCGGTTGGTGGCTTGGGCGGAGATGCCCGTGGCGACGACGCTGGCGACGCCGGCGATGGTGCCGATGGTGGCCCAGAGGGTTTTCTTCTTGAACCACGGCTTGAATTCCGGGGGGAGGTGGTCGTCTTCCCCTCGTGAAGGCCTGTGGCGGGAGCGTGACCGCGGACGAGGGGATGGGGAGCGAGAATACTCGTCCGAGTATCGTCGTCGACGACGAGGTTTCCGCCGGGGCCGTGAGGGACCGGATTGCGTTCTCTCGGGCGACGAGCGCCGAGAGCGCTCCGAGGAAGCTCTGGAGGAAGGCACTTTGCTGAGCGTGCGGTTGCGTCCTCGAAGACTCGGGGGTTCCTCTTGGCCGGGCGGGAAGGGAGGGCGTTTGTTATACGGCTTGCCGCCGAAATTGCTTTCTTGTGGTGGACCGTTGGTGTCGGGAGGTACGGCGGCACTCCTTGACATGACTTCTTCCGTTTGTTGAGAAAGGGTACCAGCAGCAACAGACAAAAAAAAGAACAGATCGGGAGATCTGCTTCAGGCGACAGCACACAGGAGTTTCGAACGAACAGGAAGCTCTTCCGCAATTCTGCGCCGCCGAGTCCAGTGCCCGCTATAAGGAATAGAGGGAAGCTGAAGAACGTTGAGATGCACAACGAGCTGTCAAGCAAGCAGAGTGCCGACATGGACACCTAAAAGCCGCGTGGGGAAGATGCCATCTCGGGTCGCCTCACTCTGTTGGGCGAATCCAAGATTGTCCCCACGCAGACGACGACACCCCGCTGGAGTTCATGCAATCCATGTCCGGCAGGGAAGCAGTCGTTCAGCTGTTGTCGGGGGCCCTGCCTCCGATCATTGGAGCTCGAGGGCAATGTTTGCCGGATTCGTCGATTTCGTATGGGGATATCCTGGATTGGGGGCCTTTGCTGGACCACGTCGCTGCCCGAGAAAAAAAGTGCTCAGTCACACGGAACGACGTGGCAAGATCTCGTGCTCCCGCATCTCACGATGTTGTACGTATTTCGTGATTTGATTAGGATGACTTCCTCCCTTCTCGTCGACGGACTTGTCCGGCCGTGGCGCAAAGCGCGGCATATGCTGGAACCATCATCTCCGTCTCTGTCGGCTGGTTCATATCGATGAAGCTGAAGTTATATGCGGCAGGATTGTTGAGGGCGTTCGGGAAAAAAGCAATGTCAATTCCACGTCTGTATAATGGTCCAGTTGGTATCCAGACCACGCGGGGTCGTCTTATCACCAGGAAAATCTGAACCAAGTAGTAGTGTGCGCTCAGACTCCCGTTGACAGTGACGCTCTGCGCAGCGTCGAATCTGTGCGACGAGGGCTCGATAAGCTCACGAGGCAATGAGGTGCTGACCTTCCGGGAAAGGCTGCTCACGGGCCCAAGCTGAACATATTGATCGGGGGAGGCTGGTCTTGTATATCGAGCTCTTACCATCCGCGGAGAAAGCCTGAACCTGGGCAACTCAGAAGCTATTTACTGCTCACGAAAGCATATGACCGCACGTTTGGAGATTTTCGGACAGCTGACCTTTTTGACGGACCAGTCGAGCCTCGATATGATAGGAGTCTGATTGATTATTGTCCATTCGGAAGCATCGAGCGACCTGCAGCTGATTATTGCCTATGATACAAGAGCTCCATCAGCTTCTGGGCGCAGTGATGATATTCAGCTGTTCCCTGGCAGCATGAGGTCGGGAGATCTACGGATCTCGTATCAGATCTCGAGACACGACCGGTGACCAGCGGCGTGCTGCGCAATGCGTATGCACACGGCGTCGTTTGAAGCGTTCATCTTGGTGCTTATGGGCTATTACCTGCTTCGTGCGTACGCGTATCCCTTCATCACTGGTAACTTCGTGTCGGTGCCGCCTCGCAGTGGGCGAATGCGCTATCCATTCGTCTCTCGAGAGCTCCTTTGGGCTGCCATGTGTCACTCACTAATCCATTGCAGCCTTCACGGACACCTTGATTTCTTGCTTTCTTGCGTCAAGACCAACAACAGCTCCAGTAGCTTGTTTCATATCGACGTCAATGATGAAATGCTGCTCGTCGACTGGCATGGCGTGCTCCGGATCGATGCCAGTGATGACTTGCCTCTGGACACCATCAATCTGCTCATCGATCTCTTCCAGCGTCCGGCCCTTGGTCTCGATCCATGTCCACGCAACGACGGCAATCTGGAACAGGTCCCAAGCGCCGTTGATCATGTACGTCTTCCACCCAATGCTATCGAGAGCGTAGGGGAATGCAAAGGTAACGAGCAGGCCCGCACCATTGCTCCAGAACGTATAGATTCCCATGCCGACGGAGCGGATGTTGTAATTCAGGACTTCGGGGGGATATATGACTGACAACGGTGTCCAGCCAAAGCTGTACGCTCCTTGGAAGAGGAAGATGGCCGCGACCGTTCCGTAAATGCCGGGAGTGTATGTTGATGTTCCGTAGACTTTGGTGAGCGCACCGACGACGAAGAGTAAGATTCCACAACCAAGCGTCGAGATGATCGCGAGGGCCTTCCGTCCGACGAGATTGGCGCCAAAAGTTCCGACAATGGCGACGCACAGGCACCAGGCGTTGAGACAGACGTTGATCTCGAGCTGGGTCGTAGAGTCCGTAATGCCGGCTTGATCGAGCATATTTCCAACTACTGCGGTGTAAGTCGATTGTCCTCTCGCGGCTCCCCTTTGAGAAAGACTTACGGTAGTAGCTGACTATGTTGTTTCCGCAAAGCATCGAGAACACCGCGACGGTGCAGGCGAGAAAGATTCGCTTGCGACTGCTTGGGTCTTTGGCAACGGTTATAAGCGAGGAAGGCTTGTGTTCGTGCTCGAACGTAAGGTTGTCGATAATCTCCCGAAGATGATGCTGGAGCTTTGGATCATCGATATCGCCGTTGGTATGCGTTTGAGCAAGAGCAAGAAGTGCTTCCTCCGTCCTTCCCTGGAATTGAAGCCAGCGAGGACTTTCTGGAGTCCAAAACAATATGGCAATGCACATGAAGCTAAAGAGACCTTGGAGTAGGGAGGGAAGTCTCCATGCCCAGGTCGATTGCATCTTCGCGGTGCCATAGGTAATACCGGCAGCAATGAGTCCGCCTTCCTCAAGTTAATGCTTCTCCGCACGGTGGAAGGGAAGAATACTTACCGACATACCAAGCATCGTATACCAGTCCAAGACCCCAAGCTCGATCTTCCACTGGCAGTGTCTCTGCAAGATAAACCGGCACAGCGATCGATGTGCATCCTGTACCAAAGCCAATGATGATGCGAGCGGCCACAAACATGGCACCATTCTGGGAAGCGGCTTGCAGTATCACGCCGACGAGGGTGATCGCCGCTCCGTAGAACAAGGCCCACTTGCGACCGATGTAATCTGGAACTCTGGAATAGACGTAGGAAAGGCATCCTCCAAGCCAGACACTTGCAGTGTTCAGCGCAGTCGTCGTGGTGCTGAGGTTGAAGTAGGCCGTATACGATGGCAGGATATTGAGACCATTCATCATTGAGCTGTCATAGCCCAGAGTCTGTCCTGAAATTAGTTGAGCGCAGTGAGGGTGTGGCGGGCGTGGGCTTACCGTAGCAGTGACAATGGACGTCAGCATCAACAGAGCCCGAACGATCTTGGAGCTTCTCGGAATCCGCGCCGGATACCAGTCGTGGTAATAAGCCATCGTGTAAAGTCTGAAGGGTCAAACAACAATAGAGTCCCGGAGCCGTGGTCCTGGCCAAAAGCTGCGATTCAACTCGATTTATCTTGCTCTTTTGCCATCGTCGCAAACCTTGCCACAATCTTCATATCAATCACAGAGAGTGGATATCTCAGAGTTCCCTGTTCCTCCCAATCTTGACCCTTGAGCTCGATGGGACCTCGCTTGGAGAACTTGGCCGGCCGAACGAAATTCTTAGCGATAGCCAAATGCACGCGATCACCAGGTCACATGGTGAGGTTTTTCTGAATGGCTTTGATCTTAAACATATCCAGATGCGCTGACGGGAAAGGCTGTTCCAAGTCGGGGTGGTCATCAGTCCAAAAGCGCTCTGTCATCCTTTTGAAGTCCAACGTAGTGCCACACAGACTTCTTCACACGGCTTTCATTCGTCTGCTCATCCTTGATGCGCATCACTATGAGCCATAATCAGGACGACAAGAGTGGTGGATGTCTGGAACGCCAGATAGGCTTGGCTCATGGGGACTCCAGGATTTCGATAAGATAGGTGAACGGGCAGCTCTTGCAGCTCAACGCAGCGTTCACCTCTCCTCGGCAATACACGCATCTCGATTTTGGCATCCCTCCGCGAAATCCGTTCAGCATAGAATTTCAATAGCAATCCGAGGTGCCAGACCGATTCAGAATGCCTGGAAAGCTCGTTGACTGGCCGAACTGGCCCGAATTCAGTTTCACGAATGCCGAGACTGGAGAAGACCTCGTTGAATACAAGAAAGCCATTGTCGACAAGTATGGCGAGAATGCATTGAGAGAGAGCTGGCTGAAGACCTGCAAAGCTCTCGAGGGCATAACGGATGAGATTGCGCGGGCTGGCAGTAACTATATCCCAGAAGTAGGATTCGATGAGCTCTTCAACCAGCCAGTCGAGCGAAAACAGCGGCTGAAGGAGATTGGCTGCTTCAAAGTGAAAAGCGTCTTCGCCAGGGAGCAGGCAGACCAGTGGTTCGCTGATTTGAAGGCATATGTCGCCAGCAACAGAGAGTCTATCTCCGGTGAGTAGATGTATCGTTCAAGCTTGAAAAGCGCATCTTTAACGAGGCTTTCCTACAGGGTGGCCAAAGGAAACGCCATTCATCTTGAACCTGTATTTCTCGCCCACGCAAGTTGCCGCCCGCACGCACCCAAATATGCTGAAGCTCAGCCGAGAGTTGAACAGCTGGTGGAGCAGTGAAGACAAGAGCATACACGAGCCTCTTTCGTATGCTGACGGGCTCAGAATCCGTCCACCTGGTGTTCCGTTCTACGGTCTTGGGCCGCATATTGACGCAGGAAGTTTGGCTCGATGGACTGATCCGGTCTACCAGTCTGTCTACTCGGCTGTGTTCTCTGGAAAGCCCGAAGAGCTAGACAATTACGATCTGTCATTACGGAAAGACGCCGATCAAGCAGCATTCAATGGAACCGCTCACTCGACGGTGTTCCGTAGTTTTCAAGGCTGGACGGCGCTCTCCCCAGCAGCACCAGGAGAGGGTAGTTTGATGCTCTACCCTAATGTCAAGTGGAGCATCGCATACCTGCTCCTACGCCCATTCTTCAAAGAGCCCAAGAACGAATCGGACATTATGGATGCTACCAAATGGAGCTTCGATCCTGATACTCCGTGGTTTCCAGGAACCTGGAAGAGGGATTCTCAGATGCTGAGTCTTTCGTCGCATCCGCACCTCCGGCTGAAAGAATGCATGGTACCTATCCCAGCGATGGAGCCGGGAGACACGATCTGGTGGCATGCAGACATGTGCCATGCAGTTGAGGTTGAGCACAATGGGCAGCATGAGGCTTCGGTTGCGTACATAGCTGCCTCACCCAGCACCGAACAGAACAAGAAGTACATGAAGCAACAGCTCCAGGACTTCCTTGAAGGCAATACGCCACTGGATTTCCGTCGTGACAGGAGAATGGCGAGCGGCGAGAAAGGGCTGAATGGCTACACGGGTGAAGCGGGCATCCTGAGCGGAGAGGAGGGCCGCCGAGCGATGGGATTCGGCCTCATAGAAGCGTGATCAGGCAGTTTCAGCCATGGAAACCTAGCGTCGCTCAGTAGTTAGTAGGAGATATAGAACTGCCACTGCTCGGCACCTTGCCCCTGGTTTTTACATATATATCTTCCGCGCGTCCAACGACGTTTCCGCGCAGTTTCTGCGGCTTCAATTCTCCCGTCATCTCGACATCTTGAGCTGAGCAAGGGAAAGGCGGAAAGGCGAGATGAAATGATACCCGAGGCATCGACGAGCCCGGAAGAGGTGCTGTAAGGAAGATGCGATGTGTTAGTGGAAGGGTGAAGATGAGACGAAGATGGGAAAGAGGCGGGAGAAGTTCCTGCCTCAGGCACCAAGACGAACCATTCGGGCTTAGACTTCCGAGATGCTCATCTTCCATCTCGCATACATCAACATCAATCTAATTAGGAGGCAACGGTCCTCATCATATCATATCATATCACTGCACACAAAATTGATAATCTAAATCTCGTCGACGCCGCCTTCTTGAGTCCCTTCTTGATGCCATCTCTGGTCTGCCGCTGGCACAAAGCATTCCCGCTGCCAAACAATACCATCGGGCAAGGCGTTTGACCGCATCGACGATCTGGTGATAGCAGCAAAGACTGGAGATACGGCCGCCCAGCTCTTGGTCGATTTCTCCGCGGCACTGCTCACTCAAATGCTCAAGATCCTTGATGCAAACAATTACTTGCGGCATGTGCTACATGGAACGGACAGCCGCGTTTCAAGATTGTCTCTCAGTACCATCTGCAGTCTATCATACCCTCACCAACCTGCTCCTGGTCTGGTATCTGACAACACCATGCCAGACTCAGTCTCATGGAAAACTGTGGAGTTTTGGCTGAAATTGGGATTCTCTTCAAGGCAGAACTTGCATTGCAATGTGTCATATCAATGGACACAATCCACTCAACCATTCCCGGACAGACCTCTTTCGCATCGAACTTCGAAAACTTTTTGCGGAGAATTTGCTGATTTATGAATTCCTGGAAGTCTTGCGGGTCCGTCTAACGCAAGTAGCAGTCGTCGTCGGCTGCTCTGGGCTCCACTTGGGCCTGCTCCGGGTAGGACGCAAGATGCAATACGCGTGGCCTAGGAATGGCTCAGCGGCGTATTACAACTCGACCACTGCTATGCCTCATCTCCTGGCTTGCATTCACCAGCTACGAAGCTCAGCCAGGCCTCATTTACTTCGTATGTTGCGCGGATCTGCTCGTCATGCCCATTGAAATCGTTCGTGACCTTCTCCGCTAAGTGATCAGACGTTAATGGGAGCGTCAGATCTCGTCTGTACCTGGATAGCAGGTGCCATCCATCTCCTGAAGCAAGCGTGAAATCGTTCTCGGGAGTCATTTTCGTGTCCTTCAGCTCGGCATCTTTTTTCAAAGCGTGACTTTGAATGGGCAATAGCTGTCCAAATCACAGGATGCGAGATATTATGTGTCTAATTGCGGTTGGGAGGTGAGGTCGCACATCACCGTCGGCACATGGCACGTGAGTTTCATCCACATCACGTGCATGCACGCTAGACCCCACTATCTAGGCCCCTCCCGTCTCTTTCTCTTCGGGTGCTTGCACCATCCGTGGCGAGACATCCCTCGCTGAGCGACGATAAGACTTAGCTGACACATAGTACAGCGGAAAATGTTGTGGTGCACCGAGCCGTATCACTAATACTATAACACCCACGTTGCGCTGTGGGAGGTCGCTCCGGGCACACCCGTTCTCCTCCGGCGGCTGGTGCAGCTCCAAGAGCTCCCTCCTCCCATCTTCTCCCGCTGTTCCTTGCTTGGTTGATACCGCCGTGAGCTGTCCCGGACACGGAAAGCAAAGTCACCCGTTACAACAACAGCGTATCACCGCTTGTCTTGAGCTCCCTGCCGCCTGACCGTAAAGTACCGAAGTCACTGCTTTCGTGCGGGGATATCAGCAAGCAAGCGAAACGAGGCACCGAGCTCACGGCCAAACAAGGACAAGAGGGCAGGACGGCGCGCTCGCTCGCTCGTGACAATGTATCTCTTGCTCGTTTCTTGTCCTCCCACCGACAGCGACGAATTCCTCGACGCCGTCGGAAACCTGCTGCTCCAGCAACTTGAACGGTTCCAGGTTTACTTACAGGTTCTTGCGGTGATTCTGATTTCTCTGGCGAATACGTACGAGTGGCTGCCCAATCGCAATCTGGAAGACGTGGAGACGTGACGATTATTGGGCTGTAGTGGTCGTTCCGGTGGGCGTCGAAGTCGTTGGAGACGCGGCAAGACCTATCGGATAGGCAGTTGGGATCGTTGTTGGCCAGGTGAGTTGATTCATTCGCTTCGCTGGACAGCTTTGCGGGGACATTCGGGTTCGAGAGAGCTTCCAACGTTGCTTCTGCAGGCTCGGATGCTGGACGCGGAGATTGTGGCAGAAGCAACATCGAACAGAGCGACTTCGGGACTTCTTCTCTTTGGAAATGATGATGTTCTTCTGTGAACATTCCGACATTGCCTGTGTGGAGCATGTCTTTCTGACTTACGGCGTATTAGTTCTTGGAGCTCGTCCACCTACCTACCTGCGTTTCCATCCCATCGCGGCGTCGAACACCTAGCTTGTTGTCTTCGAGACCAGCATCTTTCTCACCACACCTAACGCAAAAGAGTCTCCGCAAGTGAAGAGTGAAAACATACAATATCGCCCACGATGAGCTCGGTAGTGGAAGCCGCGAAGCGCAAGGCCAACGAGGCCCTTAGCGCAGCTAAAGGTGCAGCAGAGGATGCTCCTGCGGCACTTCAGAAAGCAACAGAGAATCCAGCTCAAGCGAAGGCAGACTTTCTCCATACTCCTTTCATGCGAGCGGCGCTACCATTCGTCAATGGCGGTGCAGCTGGCATGGTTGCAACAACCGTCATCCAGCCCATCGATATGATCAAGGTCCGTCTGCAGCTCGCAGGAGAAGGAGTTAAAACCGGACCTAAGCCAACTCCTCTGAGCGTCGCACGAGAAGTCATCGCTGCCGGCAAAGTGCTTGACCTCTACACTGGTCTCTCAGCAGGTCTCCTCCGCCAAGCGGTCTACACGACCGCACGTCTCGGGTTCTTCGACACTTTCATGAAGTCTTTGAGCGCCACCGCTGAGAAAGATGGCCGTAAAGTGGGGTTCAAAGAGCGTGCCGGTGCAGGTCTGACAGCAGGTGGATTGGCCGCTTTTGTTGGAAATCCAGCCGACCTCGCTCTAATTCGCATGCAATCAGACGGTCTGAAGCCCGTCGCCGAAAGAGCAAATTACAAAGGCGTCGGCGACGCTCTTATACGTATCGCCCGTGACGAGGGGGTCGCGCGGCTCTGGGCCGGAGCAACACCCACCGTCGTGCGCGCCATGGCACTCAATTTCGGCCAGCTCGCGTTCTTCTCCGAGGCGAAATCTCAGTTGAAAGACACATCTCTAAGTCCACGAGCCCAGACATTGACTGCTTCCGCAATCGCAGGTTTCTTTGCCAGTTTTTTCAGCTTGCCGTTCGATTTCATGAAGACGAGACTTCAGAAGCAGAGTCGGAGGCCAGATGGGACATTGCCGTATAAGAATATGTTGGATTGTTTCCAGAAGGTTATCCGAGAGGAGGGACCGTTGAGGTTTTACCGTGGATTTGCAACGTATTACACGAGGATTGCACCGCACGCGTAAGTCATCGGCCAAGATATCTGGAGGCCAGAATATTCGCTGATGAATTCTTTTGCTGCAGGATGGTCACGCTCATCGTTGCGGATTACTTGGGCTTTATCACCAAGTAGCGAGAGATCCCGAGGAAGTAGGAGGGTGGCGATGTCTCTCCGGTGGAGATGAGCGTAGTGAAGATGTGTCGATTCCTGCCCAGTGCGTAGTCGGCATGAATGGCGCTGTGTTGTTGGTTCATGCAGGATGGAGTGTACATAGGTCGATGATCGATGAGTATATCATAGTGCCAATTGCCAAGTCTGAGTGGGTGGATTATAGTCACGTGCTCTAATATCACGTTCGCTTAAAGTCATGTGCTCCAGATGTGGACCGAACAAGTTCCGTGTAAGCAGGCACTGCTCGAGGTATCAACTCAACCGACCCGTTTCGGGATTACTTCCTCTGGCACCAACACGGTACATCGCGCGCTTCATTTGAGCGCTCCGCACGACTCTCAGACTGCGACGCTTCTGCTACGATGACTTACGATCGAACGTCCCACAAGAACGTCCCCTCAACTGAAGCTTCGTATACGCTACCTAGAATTCTCACCATGTCAGCGCCATATCATCGTGAGCGCCATACTTGTCGGGGATACGCCATGTGAATGTTGCGAAAGAGCAGGGTCAAGGGAATCAAGATGGATGGACGCTGCGAAGCATTCTCAGCCTCATAGACAGCGCCAAGTTCCCTCGAACGGAAGCATGACAGGTCGCACGAGACACCGCGAACTCTACATGTATATGTGCCTGGCATCATGATCATGGTGTAAAAGGGGCGACAAGGCGAGTAGGTCATGGCTATCTCGTCTGGACGATGATGAGTTTGCTGCCGGGGTGACGTTTGTGGACGATAGTCCCAGACTGAGAGCTCCTCCACAGCTCAGCCGGGTCGGGTCATCAAGACCAAGTTTTAGAGGCACTACAGGGAGATGGCGAGTAAGTCAAGCGTGAGAAGCGATCAGAGGGATGTGATGGTAGATATGATGACTCCGGAACGCACTCCGCCGTCGACTGACAGCCAGGTACCAGCGCGGCACCGCACGCGTCGCCCACACTGACACCTAGGGCGCGGCTCTCATCAACGATGAACGTGATCGTCAAAAAATCCTAATCATCTGGTTCGACGCTGACAACCCACTCGGCGCATTTCAGTGCAGTGGTTGGACGGGCCGAAGGAGAGCGCACGGCGCAAGAGTTCGATCGATGGGGCCGTTCCAAACCCTAGTGTGCTAGGTCAGTTGCAGAGTCAGGAATCCAAGCACACCTGCCAGAGAATTGACCATTTTGCATGCAAAGGATATTCCTTCACGGCACGGGCTGAACTCTGAAGTTGTTGCGATCGAGACGTTTGGCCCATATCAGCTTCCAGCATGACATGAAGGCGCGAGCCCACGAGTCAAGTCCGCAGATCTCTTCACCACCAAATGCAGGTCCGAGTCAGTAGCGCTCTGCGCCCTCACCTCGCAACAACTTCCATACTACTACGAGAAGAGGAAGGCTGGGCAAGATGTGTCTAAAAACGCCCAACGCCAATTTTTCAACGATAGTTCCGTGCCTGTATGCACTGTCAGGACTCAGGACACCTTTCCTCCGCTCGAGCCTATCGGAAAAGCAGTACGATAGGCTTAGCCTATGATGTCCACGACATTGCATCCGATACGAACAAAAGGCCTCGGTGCTGCTGCGTCGCTATCGCTCCAGTTCCGCTTGATGCTTTCGCTGCGTAGCACATAGCGCTCGATGAGTTTCCCGTCCATGGTGGTCCTGGCAACATGAGATCCTCCAAGTCCAGTCTCCTGTTGCCTGTGGTGGTATCGTTGCTGGCATTCAATGTACGGCCAGCTTCACCACAGAACCATGTCAACGTGACGGAGGCGAATGCACTTGCTCCGTGTGTGGTAAGTCACTGTCCTTCCCAATCCGCGTGCTCAGGTTCCGACAGCTAACTTATACCTTGCAGCAATCCTGCTCCGCCAATATTCTCTCGGCCTACTCATGTGATCCCTCTCAGTCCTGCTTCTGTACGGACGACAGGCTCAACCAAGCATTAGTATCATGTATCAGGGCGAACTGTACCGCTGAACAAGGGATCGAGGCGAAGCAGTATCAGGCCGACACCTGCGACTATCCCGTCCGGAGCCATGTATCCACGGGTGAGGCGACTCTCTGGGCACTCTTCTCCTTCGCCGTCTTATTCACAATCTTCCGGATCGTGTCGAGATGTCGAGCTTTCGGCGGTGCAGGGTATTGGTGGGATGACTGGACTTTATTCTTGGCTCTGTTGCCAACGATCGGAGTTACGGTCACTGGACACCTTGGATACGAGAGCGGGATTGGGAGGGATTATTGGGAAGTTGGCGTTGATGGTATCATGAAAAGCTTAAAGGTGGGTTCATCAAAGTGCAACGACTGCGAACAAGGGTTTTACTGACAGCCCGCAGCTACTCTACGCGGGCGAGCCACTCTACCTTGCAGTTGTGTACGTTACCAAGATTTCGATGGTACTGCTTTACCTTCGCATCTTCTTGACCGACTCACGAGGATTGCGAGGTACCTGCTGGAGCGCTATCGCAGTTCTGATCGTGGCTTTCGTTGCATTTGCATTTGCGACTATCTTCCAATGCACGCCGGTCAGCTATACTTGGACTGCCTTGACGGTCAATGCCGGACAAGGACACTGTACGGATCGGCTAGCGCAGCTTTATACCGCCGCGGCGTTCAACATTTTCTTCGACGTGGTGGTACTTCTTTTACCTCTTCCCCACGTTATCGGCCTTCGCATCACCTGGTTGAAGAAAGTCGGTGTAATGTGTGTGCTCTTGGTCGGAGTGGTGGTGATTGCATGCAGTATCGTTCGCCTGCAATATCTGGTTCGATACGGGAACGAGGAAAACGTCACCTGGAACTATGCTTACATCGCGTTATGGAGCATCATCGAGGTCTACTTGAGCATCATTTGTGTCTGCATGCCTGCAACGGCCGGTCTCGTGTACCGCGGATGGAAGTTTGCCCACGGTCAAGAGGTTTCGACACCAAACAAGCGTGCTTCCTTCGGCAACCAGAGTGAAAAGCTTTTCGGAGGTGAGGCGCCGACTGGAGGAAGACTCCTCACCACTACCGCGCAAGTCCAGCGCCCGGCAGCGAATGGCGCCGACCTGGAGTCGGGAAATTCGTCTGATGGGCAAAACGAGCCGGGTGGGTTCTACTTCGACGGCAAGTGGTTCAGTGAACGAAGGGGTGACGTCGAATCAAAAGATCAGTCCGAGCGAAGAGTGTCCAAGGAGCATGAGCGCAATGCAGCAGCCGCTGCAGCAGCGATGGCGGCATCTGAGATGCCATATTCTGAGGCACCTCAAGAGGATCTTCCTGTCAACCAGACCGACATTGAGGAAATCCAGGAGAATCCGCCAGAGATGAGCGAGAAATCGCTCGACCCTGAAGCCGAGTACCTTGCAGCGTATGCGCATACCTCCGATGCTCTACGTTCACAGCACAGGCGGGTCTCGAGTGCCAAGTCGGAGAATCCGCTACGTTCCAACCCGGTGTCGCGATCGCAGAGCAAAGACGGCAAGGATGTGGGAAACAGAGAGCATCCAACAGATATGAGCGAGAAACTGGGCGACCTCGAAGCCGCAGATATGAGTGAGAAATCGGTCGACCCCGAAGCCGAGTACTACGCAGCGTATGCGCATACCTCGGACGCCCTACGCCCACAGCACAAGCGGGTCTCGAGTGCCAAGTCGGAGGATCCGCTACGTTCCAATCCTGTGTCCCGATCGCAGAGTCATGATAGCAAGGAGTTCGGACTTTCGCCAGCCACTGTTCAACTTGGCGCTGAGGCGCTACATTCTCAAGCCGTCTCACCAGCCACGACGACCCCAGAACCAGACGACAACAAGCTTAAAGCCGGCGCCACCCGATCAGCATCTTCCAGTCTATTCTCAAGCAGACGACCTTCCGCCTCGTACATGAGGTCGAGAAGTGCATCCCGGCGTCCAGGCACTCCAGGTGCTGTGGATGCTGGAAATGGTCTGAAGCCAGCACGATACGCTCATTCGTATGTCCTATACAATGAGCGTGAAAGGCCGAAGATCTCTCCTCTGCAGCCGACGGACAATCTTTCGGGCGAGGGCGACGCGAACCAGCAGCCCGACAAGTCTGACACCACCCGATCTGCCTCATCGAGTCTGTTCTCTGGTAAACGAGAATCTCGACCGGCACCGACACCTGAGCAACAGTCACTGGCAGGATCTAAAGGAGCGGACGGAGTTCCTCAACTCCGCACAGAGTCCGAACAGCAGCTTGCGGTCGAGGCTGCGAAGGCTTGCCTGGGTGTGCCCGAAATTGATCCGCGACGATCTGCTTCCAGTGGCGGAGAGTCATATACATCAGAAAGCTCGAACCCAGATGCTTCACCTGCACCTCTACCTGCTTCCTCGAATAAGCCTGCCGATAGCGCTTCACTGCGCTCTGTCAGTACTACTCGATCAAATGTGAGCAGGGCTTCACAACGCCCTCGCATCTTGACCAACGATCAGATCTCGTTGCGTTCGATGACTTCCGGCTCTGCCCGAGATATGCAAGGTCCGTTGCCTTCCGAAGATCATTATAGAACTCGTCCACTGCCAAGGCATCCAGACCAGCCGAAGCAGTCGCTCGACTCTACAGCAACGCAAGGTAGATCATCTAGCTCGATGGATTCGTCAGTCTTGGCTGCCGTGGCCGGTAAGACTTCGATGAACGCGATGAGGACCCAGAGTAGTCAACGACTGCCCGAGGATTCCGAAGCGTCTCATCCATTGCAAGACCAGACCTCTACTGAACCATCATCGGAAGAGCGATACCGCATTGAGACCGCCGACCGCCACGCATCCATGTTGAACAATATGGCTGCAAAGCAAGAAGTTCCACAGGACGAACCTTCCGATCATCGCGACAGCAACGACTCGGCTTACTCTTCGGGCAATTCTCATGATGAAGCGTCAAACACTAAGCAGCAAGATCAGATGAATGCTCAGTTCCCTCGTGCCTCGCCATCGACTGCAGGCACTTACACCACTGCCGATGAGGACCATCCACTGTCGGCTAATGACGGTTTCATGCCCTACGAAGCGGGACAACAGGACAAGGAGAGCACCACGATCAAGCCTACTGCTTTTGTAGTCGAGACACCTCGCCTTTCATACGAGGTGCGTCGGTCGCTCAACGATGTTACGAATGACCATCCCTCTGCGGAACAGATTTCTGCTGTCACTCCCGCGGTAGGTTGGCGCCATCATGTTCTCGAGAACAACGGGTACTTCCCGAGTGATGCCAAGGCGCCAACCGACGTGTCTACTGATAACGACAGTCCTGTCTTCAAGCCTCAGCACGAACCTTTCAATGCTGCCATGGAGGCGGAGAGCGCTTGGAGGGACTTTGACCAAGGTATTGCGACCAACGCTGAGGTTGCTACGAGTCCCGCGCCGAAACGACGAATGGAGATGCTTTTGCCTTCTCCACAGCAGCGCCGAGAAGAGCGGCTGGGTCATGAGCATGGCCATCCTCAGGATCATGACGACAATCAGGATGGCTCTCAGCAAAACGACCGTCGGGACGAGCGCCATCCGCGTGAGGACGTCCCGCCTATGGAACGTGGAATGTCGCTGTACCAGAATCAGAATGGTTTCCGCTGTGAAGCAGATGCGAGCCTCGGACCGCGAAGCCGACTCGGCTTCGATCCGGTCGTTGTGTCTCCAGACAACAGGTCTCAGAACCGCTCCAGTGGAGGTAGTGCCGAGAAATGGGGTCCGGTCAGGCCAACAATGAACACCTCCAAGAGCGAATCTACCCTTCGTCCGACTAGCGAGAGCAATCACGACCGCGATTCTTCGCATCTGGAAGAGGAATATCAGCGTAACGCTGCGGAGGGACGAGCCGCGCTCTTGGGCAAGGACAGTCGTCGCAGTGGCTACTATGTCTATGATCCACCCTCTGCCGAGATGGTCACCGCCGTCGCCGGTCCATCCAACGAGTCTGGCATTGATGGTGGTGTAGCTCCCGGAACTAGCAGTGTGAAGTTGCGGCCTGTGACTCCTCCAACAACTGCGAAGTGGTATCCTGTTCAGTCTCAACAGGTGACTCGTCAACGATCAAATACTTTCGAAAAGCTGTCAACACCCCTGCATGAGACAAGACAGAAGGCTGCTGAGCGCGCTGATCACCCGACTCCTCGCCCTAGCACAGCCGATACATCCACGACCGCTCAGACAGGTCGCTGGGATCCGCGTCAGTCAGAGTCAGATTATGCATTTGGTCGACAACCTTATAGCCCAGCCGTCGAGAAGCGTCCTCCGTTCCACGAGCGGAGAACAGCACGCCAGGCTCCTCCTCGATATGACGACGAAGGACAGCGGGTCTCTCCTGTCGTGCAACAAGCCAAACAGACCGAAATTGTCGTCAACCACGAATCACCCACCGCCATCGCCTTCAGCCGCGAAGAAAGTGAAGATTCCACCTATTCCTCCACTTCCATTTCTTCGATCTCTTCGGGCAATGAGACTTCTCCATCACCTCCTCCAGCTGTCCGTAACTCGGATGGATCAGCTACTACGCAATCCAGCAGCGGCGCACGTGGTGTGAAGAAGAAGAAGAATGGCATCGCCGCTAAGCTTGCCAAGGAGATGATCCAGAGGAGTCGGGACGAAGAGGGAGACTATGAATTCGAGAGTTTGAGGAGGCCTAGTACTGCCGATGGAAGCCCTGACGCGGATGAGGCAAGTAAGAGTAACTTCTCTCCCACGGGTGATGGGGGGAGGTTCTCGGAGAGGAGTCTAAGTCGACTGGGGAGTCGGGATGGATTCCGGAGTAGAGGAGAGGGTGTTGAGATTCGACCCAGGCCCGGTATCACGGGACGGGAACTGAGGTCAAGTTGGCAGGGATAAGGATGAGGAAGAGGAATTCTGATGGGTGGCGAAGGGAGGAAAATTGGACAATCTACAGATTTTCTTTTGGTTATTTTTCTATTGTATCATTAGTGTGTATCTACTAGTGACCTTATTCTCATGTATAGTTCAAATACTTCATCTCTACATTTGGGCAAGCTCATGGATTGTGACCGAACCGACGACGGGAAAGGGTGAGATTGTTGTAGCGATCAATGTTCGGAAGCCGCTCGTCTTGACCAACATGCCATGCCGTCTTTGGTGGAAAACGACTTTATAGCCCCTTCTATTCTATTCTATCGCTGTGCTCGCCGGATCACTCTCCATCGCAGCAGAGAATAATAGCCCCTTCTCACGCGGTATACCCCCATGTCTCAACTCACCTCGAAGCCTCTTGTTGTTTCACTGTTCCTGTTCATCAAGACCACGTACGTTTCCGGCATCTCCCTCTCCCCCTCCCTCTCTCCACATCTCAATCACCTTCAGCTGTGTACCCTCGCGAGCCGCAGTTCCAATTGCAAATTTCAATTCCAATTCCAATTCCAATTCCGAGAGAGAGAGAGAGAGAGAGAGAGAGAGAGAGAGAGAGAGAGAGAGAGAGAGAGAGAGAGAGAGAGAGAGAGAGAGAGGCGCAAATCATCCCGGTTCGATTTTTGGAGAACGGAAGGGAAGGGAAGGGTAGACGACCCGCGTTTCCAAAGCGGTATATTGCGATTGCGATTGAGTAGTGGTTGATTCCTCGACTCCAAACCTGCTCTTCGGTGGTGGACGACGGTCGTATTCTGGCCCGAAGATCCTCATGTGCGGTGTGATGTGAAATGGGCGCTTGAGTTGAAGGCAAGAGAGCGCTAGGAATGACCAAGCAAATCGCATGCGAACGAAGAGCAGTTTTCGTACGCCATCTTTACAACTCACTACCTACTCGAACAGGGGGTATCTCATTCCATAACAGACAGTCAATCCCATGTACTGACCACACAACCATCATCATAATGACTCCTCAAAAGCACCCGATGAATGAATCCCAGAAAACCTCAACTCCCATAATTCTTCCGCCCGCCTCGCGTCCCACCACCACCACCACCACTTGGCCCTCCACCATTGGTCTGATCGAATCCCCGATCCAGCTTCGCCAACTTCTCCTTATCGATAGTCATCCCCATGCCCATCTTGTCCCCAAGCGGCAAACTGCTCAAAGCACTATTCATCAACTCCGCAGCCCTCTCGGCAGTCAACTTGGTCGAACTTAATCTCGGCGGATTCTTGTGCTGTCCACTGCCGCCGACGTCCTTGCGCCTCAAGCCCACTTGCCCCTTCGGATCCATAAACGTCTCGTAGCCCTGCGTGTCGAGGACTTCCCTCGGGACGCTGCTCGAGTTGCCTTCACCCAGGATTCTCCCACGCTGTAATTGTTGCTGGTGGTGCGGCGGAAGCTGCGCAGCTTTCGCATTTGCCATGTCTTTGATGACCTTGGCGTTCTCTTCGCTTCCTTCAACAGCGAAACGCAGGCACATGATCGCGTGTTCGCGAATGTATGGATTGTGGTCGTCAGGTCTGCAGCATCCCACGAGAGCCTCGAGACCGCCGTAATTACGAACCTGATCCTGGACCGTCTTGTTCTTCCAAATGAGAGAAGAGAGCACGAGAACAGTGAGCTTCTTGAGGTTCCGCCATTCAAAGTCAGAAGGCTCATCTTGATCGTGTTGCAGGTCACGGGAAGCCAGTGGCGCAACCGATTGCTGGCCAGGGTGCTCGTCCGTAGGATATGCAAGCGGCGTCTCGGCTTCGTAGACCGGTTGTTTCGAAGATGACGAATTTGTTGGATGAGCCGGTGGCAAAGGCGGAAGATGAACATCAGGATTGGGCGGTTCCACATCAAAGGGTCTCTCGACAGCCACCGGAACCTGGCTCGGTGTGGGAGCATTGGGAGGCGGATTCGAAGGACCAGGCATGACAGCAGCATCCGCACTCATTGCTCGCTGCGGCATCTTGGGTTCAACTCGGCTGGGCATGTCTCTGACCACGCTTCCCATCTTAGGAATGCCGCCTTCTAGCTCTCTGAGTAGCGTCACCAATTCACTAGCCATCTCCCACTGTCCAAGGATACCTTTCCATACCGACTCCTCTGTCAAGACAGCAAAGAACTCCAGATACTGATACACGCCTTCGTACATCCTCTCCATATCCCACAAGTTGAGCGGGAAGTCTTCCGGGCTCGCTCGACCAGCATGGATTTGGCCTTGCAAGAAGATGAGCGCACAAGTCTGTGGTATAATATGCTGTCGAAACTCCGTGAAGATGAAGTTGAGGATGTGCAAGTCAACGCGAGATGGCAAATTGGGAATGTTGCCCAGAGGTCGGTTGCCTGGTATCTGTCCCGTAGTTGCGATCTCAGCAATTGGATGTGGGTGTGGTGGAGCCGCGGCTTTGCTCTGCGGATTCGCATTGTTCTGCGCTTTAGCGGTTTCGCCTCTCGCGCGGAAGATGCATGTGAGTAGCTTCATGATGACAGCTTGCGCAGGACTGATGATGTCTTTGGACCTAGATCGGTCTCTGAAGGCGTGATATGCGTACGGCATCAGGCCGTTTTTAAGGATCGCTTCCATGATCTTGACCATGAATTTGAAGTAGAGCTCTTCCTCTCTGAGGTCCCATGCGGCAACGAAGATCAAAAGCTCTCTAAGCAAGTTGCGGCCGTTGCTCTGGGATAGCAGAAGATGCGTACGCACAGTGTGCATGTTCATGAGGGCATTCCTCTCTTCGGTTGTGAGGCTCGGAGGGAGATTTGCGGGCGGCACAATTCCACTCATGATGAGCATGGGAAGCACTTCAATCTCAGAGGGGCCAAGAATGAGAGGAACGTCGGTTAGCAAGCCACGTCCGTCCTCGGTTGAGCCTGGGTAGTCCTCTTCGTCCTCCTCTTCTTCTGCCTCTTCTTCGCTTTCGTCTTCCTCCTCTTCCTCTTCCTCTTCCTCTTCTTCTTCCTCGCCGGCGCTCTCCTCGAATGCCTCGGCACTAGGATCATGGCTTGCAGACCGTTGAGTCTCTGGCATGGGCGTATTGTTCGGCGGGGGAGGAGACTGCGTCATGCTGCGGCCTCTCTCGTGCGGAGAGTATGCCGTCCCTTCAGTCGTCGGGATCCTCGAAATGACGCCATCCTCACTGCGACTTGTCTGTCGTCCCAAGTCGCTATGCGGTGGTGGGGGAGCCTCATAACCTTCCAGCCTCTTCATGAGCTCTGCCTTCCCAGATCCCAGAATCTTCGCGCCAGCCTCAGCAGTGAAGAGCATCCTCATGTCATCCGCAACAACGGGCCGTGACTGCAGACTTTTGTTGTCAAATGTGAGGTGTCCATCCCGTCCGTAATGCACGGGGTCAATGAGCCTGACATCTGCCTTCTCAGATCTGTACCTTTCGGCGAGCTGTTCCTCCAGCATGGCGATCTTCCTCTCGACTTGCTTCGTCTGCTGCATCACAGGAACATCGCTCCGCAAGACAGGTTGCTGCTCGGTGACGGCGAGCATCTTGGCCTCATACACAGCCAGATTCTGCCTGTACTTGGCCAAAGCATCCTCAAACATGCCCTGCCAATACTCGTGGTCTTCTTCTGTCAGAGCAGCCCAACGTGAAGGCATAGCCATGTGCAACTCTGCCAATGTTGGATCTCGCTTTTTCTCCTGTCTGAATGCCTCTGAGACGGTCGTAGCAATCCGACGTACCCACATCGCATAGCCATTCCCATAGAACTCCTCTTTCCCGTCCAACTTCTTTCTCGCTTCTACCACTTCCTTCGGCCACTCCTCTGGCCGCGCATCACCACTCAAAATCTCCGCATCATCCGTGTTCACCTTCTTATCGGCCCGATCGTCCTGTCCATACGCAAGCAGGAAGTCTACTCTGTTCAGCGGTGCCGCCGGCTTGCTCGTCGGATTCGAAGGGACATCTGTCAAGCTGGCTGAACTCGTCTCCGGGACATCCTCAGGGGCGAATACAGCTTCTGTACTGTGATCGAACAGACTGACCCACAGCATCAACTTCCTCCTCTCGTTCTGCGCCACCAAGTTGTTCAGAAACTGCAAACACGTAATAAGCAGTTTCTTATACGCATTAACAATCCACTGCCACCGCTCTTCATCGCCCGTTCCCGCATCCCCATCGTATCCCCTTGCAGTCACGCGGACACAGCAATTGATCAATCTGAACACTTCAGCATCGAGAGAGTACTGCGCCGCAAGATCCTGCACTTTCGCCCCAGCCGTCAAGCAATTCCGACTGATAGAGACCAGATCATTCAACCTCTCCAAGTCTTTCCATAGACCGGGATAGCTCGCCGCGATGAGCGCACCGCTCGTGCTCTCGTAATCCACACTCGAAGGATCCCATATCGTGAAACTCCTTCTCTCTAGAGACGGAATCGCTGCTTTCAGGAGCACCCCCAGTTCGGCCCAGAACCGAGGATCTGTCCCGATAGAGATGCGTACAGCTGGATCTGAGGCGGAGGACTTGAGTGTTGTTTTGCAGACTTTCTTATCGAGGAGCTCAAGGGTGGGTTCCTTCATGTAGTGCGAGGATTTGAAGTGGATGGTGTAGGGTGGGAGGACGAGGCGGATAAAGACACTGTGCGCTTTCGCGGTCGTATCGCTGGTGGAGGGAGAGCGTGCCATGATGGCGGCGGAAGGTAGGTCAAGACGGCTCGGGGTCGTATAGCATGCGTCGCTGGTGATTCTGGTTGTTTGGTGGTGTTTGAGAAAGTTCGAGTGGGAGTTGCCATCCGAAGCTGCAGATGAGGTTCACATGTACTAGCCGAGTCATTAGGTAAGATTTGATGAGGTTGATTAAGTTTTCCATGGATATCCCAAATCCATCTATATGGTACGCTGCGTACTATGCATATGCCCAGAGAAAGATGCACATGAACGCAGAGATGTATGGGCCATGAAGTGCATCCTCGTACCCGCGCAGAGTCGTTCCTGTCGAAGAGTTTGCCATTTTTCATCTATCAGGGGCATCTTCATAACAGCCACATCAAGTCATCTACACATCACGTTCTCTCTACTGCTTACTGCCCAAAACACTCTGAACAGCCTCGATGACCTTAGCATGCACATCTTTAGGCGCGGCAATTACTCCCTTGTTCTCCTTCAAAGTCCTTCCCAGCCCGAAAATCAACCTCTTCCCCTCTACATCCGTGACCTGTCCGCCCGCTTCTCTCACTATCAAATCCCCTGCGGCGTGGTCCCAGATCTTCTCCACGTAGTCTTTCTTCACAGGTAATCTCAGATACAGGTCGCCCGCACCTCTCGCGATGCTGCCGTACTTGGCTTGCGAATCCATGCGCACAGAAGGCTTGGTGATGCCCAGCTTCTTCGCAATGTTCGCCGCATCACCCTGTGAGGAATGACCTGCCTCTACGCTCTCACAGAACGTCGCATCCGAAATGTTGTTGAGAGGCTTCATGCGTATCTCCACCTCCTGCTCCAGGACTCCTCCCTTCCCGAGCGGTCGACTTCGCGAACCCTGTCCTTGCACGGCAGAGAAGAGAACGCCTTTGCCTTCTGCATCGGAGGCATCAGTGCCCATGCTTTCCGTCAGAGGCTCCGAATTTGAGACTGGCAGGTTCGGACATCCGAGAACTCCAACTTTGACATCTCCATCCACCATCAACCCAAGACAGACGGCATACTGTCCTCCTCGCAAGAACCCTTTAGTCCCATCAATAGGATCAATGGCCCAAATACGTCCCTTATTCCCTCCTTGTGAAGCTCCCTTGTCAATCAAATCCAACATCTTCTCCGCATTGGGGATCTCCTTCTCAGCATGCGTCTTCACCAGATCCCACACGGTTTTCCTCAAACCCTCATTTTCTCTCAAATCTTTCGCCTCTTCTTCAGCTACAATCTCATCCTCAGGGAAGTTCTGTTGCAGAGCAGCGATGATGATGGCTTGAGCGCCGAAATCGCCAATCGTGACAGGCGACGCATCGCTCTTGTTGAGAGTGCCTTTCGCATGGGAATGGAAGACGGATTTGGTGAGTGCGGTGGCTTGTTGGACAGCGAGCAGGGCGGTTTGAAGTTCCTTGTCGTAAGCCATGTTGGTTGTGTAATGGCGTGTGAAGGTGGAGGGAAGGAAGTGTGCAGAGAGAGTGCGAAGTCGTGGAATGAAGAAGGAGGCAGCCAGAATGAGTATGGATAAGATCAGGAGATTGATTGGAAGTGTTGGCCGTCTGAGCATTTCATGGGAAATTTCAGTGGTTATTTTGGAGGGGAGCTTACCGAAGTGGGCTGTTTGGGAGCTCCTGCAGGAACAGAAGACCACGTCATTCCACCCTCGGGCTGATGTCGGAACCCGTACCTGGATTCGAGACCATTGAGTCGGATACCGAGAGTACAACAATCTGCCTGCAATGCACTCGCTGGTAATTATTTTGAGCGATGAAAATGAGCCGCTGCTCACAAGAGAACGGGTCTTCAGCTGCACGCTGAGCCGCTTTGAGAAGGAAAGTCTTAGTATCGAAATCAGACATGACCACCATCAAACCAAACAAAGTATACAGCACATTGGGGACCATTAGTATCAAGTCTGAAGCTATCAAGTATGCTTCTCAATCCTCTCCAAAAGTTCGCCGCCCTTTTAAAGCGCCAAAAAGATCCATATCCTGCCGCTCCGCGCCTTCTCCAACACCGCCTATCACGCGCAAAGATGCAAAAAAAATTGATACAACAATCCTTTCCGAAACGGGGAATCGAACCCCGGCCTTGCCGGCACCTGGTAGAGGCGTGAGAACTCTGTTTGAGAGCGGCAAATCCTAGCCACTAGACCATTTCGGATAGCTGATTGGATGACGACTGCATTGCAAAATTGTATATAGTACTGCATGTTCCAGACCGGGGTGGGGCCGGTGTAGGAGCCCTAAGATATTGACCACCAGATCCGACAAGCCTTTGACTTACAAGCGAATACTCCCTTCTTTCACGATGTCCTTTCGATCTGGTCTCTGATTGACGGCAGATGCCGACATCTCCTTGCATTTGCTTGTGGGGCCATGACTCGTTGCCATTGTGCGTGAAGCTTGCTTCCCTCTGACTCGGCGGTCAACAACTACACAAACGAAAGACACCAGATGCGCTATTATACAATGAGTCTATCCAACGATTCCACGCAGCCAGCAATTCCCATATGTTTCGATAGTCTTACTGAGGACGTGAAGTTGGAAAGTATGTCAAGAGGAGATTGCATCGGATGCCACACCTCGGAGTGTGGAGTGTGGATATCAATGCGACCCCGCTGTAGCAACGGCAAGGCGGAGCAACGGCATACGGCATCTGCGTAGGCGAAACGTTGTCCATGGTCGAGACCCGATGTCGTCGTGGACTTTATCTGCTGCATTCATACAAACACCACTGGCAGTCTCCCTTGTCCTCCAGGATCAGTGTTTGGAACCAGCGTGATGGCCTCGATTCGCATAGCTCCCTCGCGTGCCCAGCGAGCCGTCAGCCTCCTGCGAACCATCAACTCCGGGAGCAGCACCTGCCCTTGCCATTCCAATCCAGGAGCCCACGATCATCACCATGGCCACATTCAAAACCCATACGCAGGCCGCGTGCGATCACTCGCCACACCCGCAGACCCGAGCCAGCAGAAGGAATATGCCTTTGAAATGGCCGCTTCTAGCATTCGCTTCGGACCAGGATGCACCAAGGAGGTCGGGATGGACTTTGCCAACCTTGGCGCGAAGAAGGTCATGGTCGTGACGGACTCTGTTGTGGAGAAGCTCGATGCTATGAAGCAGGTCTCGGAAGGCCTGGAGAAGGAGGGTATTCAGTTCGAGGTGTATAACAAGGTCCGCGTGGAGCCGAAAGACTACTCGTATGTTCAGAACAGGAACTTCTAGAAAACTGCTTGCTAACGATTCACAGGATACGAGAAGCAATCGACTACGCAAAGCCATATGCACCAGACGCATTCCTCGCAGTCGGTGGCGGTAGTGTCATGGACACAGCAAAGCTGATGAATCTCTACACCACCTTCCCCAATGCCGAATTTCTGGACTTCGTCAACGCACCCATTGGCAAAGGACAGCCCATCACTGCCAAACTGAAGCCTCTCATCGCCGTCCCCACCACCGCCGGCACTGGCTCAGAGACCACCGGCACAGCCATCTTCGACCTGGTAGACAAGAAAGCCAAGACCGGAATCGCCCACCGCAACCTGAAGCCCACCCTGGGAATCTGCGACCCCATCAACACCCGCACCATGCCCTCCGCCGTCCACGCCTCCTCCGGCCTCGACGTCCTCTGCCACAGCCTCGAATCCTGGACCGCAATCCCCTACAACGAACGCATCCCCCGCCCCCAGAACCCCATCAACCGCCCGGCCTACCAAGGCGCCAACCCCATCAGCGACATCTTCTCCCTGCAAGCCCTCCGCGACACCGTCAAATACCTGCCCCGCGCCGTCAAGGACCCCGACGACTGGGAGGCCCAATCCAAGATGCTCCTCGCCGCCACCCTCGCCGGGGTCGGCTTCGGCAACGCAGGCGTCCACCTCTGCCACGGAATGTCCTACCCCATCTCCTCCCAAAACCCCGGCTACCAGCACGCCGGCTACCACGTCACCACCCCCATCATCCCCCACGGCGTCTCCGTCGCCGTGACCGCGCCCGCCGTCTTCAAATTCACCGGCGCCTCGAACCCGGAACGTCACCTGGCGGCGGCGGAATGCTTCGGCGTCGACGTCTCCAACGCCAAGAAAGAAAGCGCCGGTGAGATCCTCTCCGAGGCCCTCGCCCGATTCCTCGTCGATCTCGGCGATCAGCCTCGAGGTCTCAAAGCGCTCGGTTTCCGCAGCAGTCATGTCGATACGCTCGTCGAAGGCACGATCCCGCAGGCGCGAGTCTTGATGTTGGCGCCGAATCTGGATACGAATGGTGGACAGGAAGAGAGGGAACAGTTGCGGAATTTGTTTGAGGATGCGATGGAGTACTAAAATTAAAAAATGAAGTTACTGTTTTGGTTTACAGATTTTGAAATGCAAAAGAAAAAAATTGCCGTAGAGCGAAGCAGTATGCTTTTTTTTCTTTCGATTCCACATTGAAAGGGGCTCCCAGGACCCTCATCTTGGCTTGTTTGAGTCTCTCCCGTACATATAGATGCTCATCACTTACTGACTGAAACTTTCACTTGATCAGATTTCTGACTGATGCATGTGAAAGCGAAGGGACGATTTCGAAAGAAAGCATACCCCAAACATGGTGTTGAAGATAATGAGATGGCACCTCTGCTGAAGAGCGATTCCAGGATCATTGCGCGGGGTTCGCCAGCGAAAAGACCGGGTAGTTATATATTGTGAAGGAGATCCTGGGGAGTGCGGGTTCGTTCGAGGGTGCAAAGCTTTCGGTCAAGATGACTGATTCATTTCATGCCTAAAGGCTGGGTATATCTAATCTATGCAGCTCATCAGCATCACGCTTTTGTTTCGACCCTACTCAAAGTAGCCCGGGAAGAGCCAGGTCAGCTTCTGCTTGGCCTCCTCGCTCCGTCCAGCAGGAGCCGTAATACTGCCTGAGAACTTCGTCTGGCCCTCGAGGTGCTTCGCCTGCACAACATCGTTGTGCTCCTCCTTGCTCAACTCATCCAGCACGGATCCGACAAACCGTCGCGCATTCTCGGCATTGGCTTTCATGTTACCCATGACCATCTCGACCGTCACGTCCTCCGCGGAAACGTGCCAGCAGTCGTAGTCGGTGCTCATGCAGATCATCTGGTATGAGATCTCGGCTTCCTTGGCCAGTTTTGCCTCGGGAAGCGCAGACATGTTGATGACGCTGCCTCCCCAGCTCCGGTACATGTTGCTCTCTGCTCGCGTGGAGAACTGAGGGCCCTCCATGCAGATGATCGTTCCCTTATCGTGTAGCCGTACGCCTTCTCCCTCGAGGCTGTGTCCGCAGCGACGCACAATCTCCCCGATCTTGCCATCAAAGGGGTCCGCGAAGCCCACGTGTCCCACCATGCCGCCCTCGAAGAAGGTGAATGGCCGAATACCCTTTGTACGGTCGATGACCTGGTCCGGCACCACGAAATCTCGGGGCTTGATATCCTCTTGTAGACTTCCTACGGCGGAGAAGGCAATGATGGTGCGCACGCCAATCTTCCTCAGCGCTGCAATGTTGGCACGTGCGGGCACCTCGTGCGGCGCGAGTTCGTGGTGTAGACCATGGCGCGAGAGGAAGGCGATTGGAATCGGCTTGCCGGTGGATGGTGAGGGGTGGTGAAGAACGGAGATGGGTGAAGACGGAGTGCCCCATGGAGTTGTTGGCTTCAGAGTAGCAACATGAGTGAAGTGGGGCAGGGACTGCAGTCCGGTTCCGCCGATGACTGCGATTGAGATGGGATCTGCGCTTGTCAGTCAACATCCTGAGCGTGGAGAGGGAAGCGGTACCGTCATAGTGCTCTGCTACGTTAGCCATCTTTCTGAAGCCGATGTGCACTCTCCGTGAAGTTGTTTGTTGTATGAGTGTCGAGAGGCGATGAGTGGTTTGGAAACGCATTCGGATTTTTTTTCCACGAGCTCGCAGCTTCCTGGTTCGGCTGAAGGTCGATGGCGGGGCTCTCGGCGCTTTATCGAGCTTCCATTAAGGTACCTTGAGCTTCTCATAAGGAATTGACGAGACCTCGTTACCGTTGGCGTCTGTTCACCTTCATGTGATGGTACAAGTGATTTATGTGGACATCTTCAAATGAGTCAACCAATGTTTTGTTTGGAAGACAGGAGCATGCCGGAAATGCGGCTGCCTCATGTCTCATGTCTGGTTAATGCTATCTCGCAGACCTGGATAATAATAATACGGTACGCGTACAGACTGCTTTTGGATCCCAAAAAGCGCCTAAGATTCTCAAAAATCACGCTAAGTATATTCAGGGCCTGGTAATGCAATCATTCTCAAGTCTTGTAGAAGCAGAAGGCATGGTAGAAACTTGCAGCTTCCATTTCTTGCTCCGAGACCTTCAAGTTGCCATTGTTATCGACAACTCTCATTCGCTTCGCCAGCTCACCGAGTTCTCGATCAACCGACTCGTGCTCGAAGACATCTCGGAATCCCTTACGATATAGGAGTTCGAGACCGTAGTCTTCTGCAAGCGCACGGAAAGCTTCCCAAGGCACGACGAATTCCGGCGCTTCGACAGCTTCCTCGAGATGATAGTGGTATTTCCAACCAAAGGGAGGACGGAAGATGCCATCTTTAGGCAAATGCTTCTTCACCAGGGTTTGCTGACGTGGGAAGCGGACGCTGTAGATCTCGTTCTTCCACTCTAGCGGCGGTAGATCCGGATCTTCCGCTACGTGAGATTCGCCGTTCGTCTGCGGTTGTTGTTTCGGTGCGTCCCCATCGGTCTTCAGTTCCTGTACCGGCTCAGATGGCTTTTCCGGGTCCCAATCGTCATCACCCTCGTCGTTCGTCGTGGCAACTGGCTCGCTCGGTTTCTCCGGATCCCATTCGTCCTCGTCAACTTCTCCATTTGGCTCCGAAGGCTTCTCGGGATCCCAGTCATCTTCCTCGTCATCCGGCTCCCTGCTGCTAGAGACTGCACCGTTCTGGCCAGGCGTGGTGCCATTTGGTGTCTTGCCCGACGATTCCTTGGCGAGGAGACTCTTCACCTGTGCCGAGATGGTATCGCTGTTTGGCATGACACCGATGAAGCGGCCTCCCTTTTTCAATGCCCCCGAGACGTTCCTCAGCATGCCCCTTGCAAGTTCTTCCGACTCGAAGGAGTAATGCAGGGCGAACATCATGCTGACGACATCAAACCCTCCGGACATCATGCCGCCTTGGATGATCATCGGTCCGGGACCAGAGTTTGGGTTGAATCCGACATTGCGAATGATGGGAATCTCCATGAGCGAGCGAGCAAACGTGTCTTGCACGTAGAACTCTGCTTGCATGCGGGGGGGTCTCCCTCTGCTCTTGTGTAGATCCTCCTCGTATCTCTTTCGGGCATCGTTGATCGAGACACTGGCAATATCGCACCCCACGTAGAGTACAGGTATCTGCGGTGCCTTCTTCCACTTGCCCAGATCACCACCCTTGCCACAAGCCATGTCCAGCACCTTCATGTCATGGACAGGTACTTCAGGCCGCGAGAATTTCTGAATGAGTGTCGACTTGATCCAATTGTTCAGGCTGCGCAGACCAGCAATTTTACTTTCGGTCGACCGCCATTCCCTACCTCGCTCTGGAACAGCATTGTAATGCTCGGCAATGACTTCTACCCCAGCTCTCTGTCGCTCTGCGATAGCTCTGCGTGTTTCTTCCTCTCTCTGTCTCCTGTCTCGTTCAGCAGCTTCCCGGTTCACGGTTGCTACGCGCGAACCTCCACCCGGTCTCTTCAATTTGCGGGGAGGAGATCGATCTCCATCATCGTCTGGATCCGGCGGAGGATCCCTTGGGGCTTCTCGAGGGGGTGAACGTCGTGAATATGCATTCGGTGTACTTGCATTGCTCTTTCGCTTCTCTGCAAGGCGTGACGCTGGCGTCTCTCGCTTTCGCTTTGCAGCTATTCGGCGCTGTGTTGACTCGGTTGACGGCTCGTCTGGAGGCATCGTGAGTGTTGGACTGGTTGAAGTTCAGGTTTGTGCGGAGGAGTATGGTCTAGTTCGATGGTGAAGATATTTCTGTATCAGAGTCGTGCTCGTGAGGTGAAAGTTCAAGCGATGGGAGCTGGCATGTGAGAGTGTGAAGGAGAGCTCTCTGGGTGACGTGACAAGGATCCCTGCAGGGGCCAGCTCTCGGATCGACGGACCGACCCATCAGCTCGCCGCTCGCCGAAGGTCAGTCGCATGTGAGGCCGTCTATGAACATCGGAACATTCAAACAACGCCAGAACCACATTCCCATCTACTCCTATCCACGTACGAGGTCTCTGGCGCTCCCAAGAGTAATCTCACGCTACGCATAGCTCAGAACAGACCTCTGCAAGCTCACGTGTCCGAGTGCCCAAGATGGGCGAGCCGCAACACCTCAAGTTTCCCATCCTCTCGTTGGCCCAGAATGTCTTCAACATTGCCTCGCCCTCGACCGACCAGCAGACCAAGCAGACCTCGGTAAAGATCCTGCAAGATGACATTCGAGAACACAAGATGGCACCACTCTATGTCTACCTCGCACATCCTCAGACTGGCAAGCTGAACGCTACGGGAGAGGGAAGCGCTGTGCTTTCGCCTACCATCAGCAGAGCCAATACCAACTCGTCTGCGCCTTCACCCATGCACATGCTGCGGCGGACGAGCAGTATCAATGCTCCATCGATAGTAGGCGTCTTAGGTGGCAACAAGGATACTAGCGTCGAGCTGCCTTGGGATGAGGCACTATACGAGAGCTTGCGCAAAGATAATGAGACAGAGCTGGCTGCCATCCAGAAGGAGGAGGATGATGCACAAGAGCAAGCAGGAGAAACGGAAGTGCAGACTGCACGAGGAAAGAGGGCGGAGTTCTACGCGCGTGTTGGTGATAAGGACAAGGCGCTGGATGAGTTCGAGAAGCTGTTGGAGAAGACGAGCATTCTTGGCACCAAGATCGACATCGTTCTATCCATTATTCGCATTGGCTTGTTCTTCGACGACAAAATGCTGGTCAAGAAGAATGTCGATCGAGCTCAGCAGTTGGTGGAGAGCGGCGGTGACTGGGATCGACGAAACCGCTTAAAGGCCTACCAAGGTCTGCATCTTCTGACCATTCGCCATCACCACATCGCCGCGCCTCTGCTTCTCGACTCCCTCTCCACGTTCACATCTACAGAGCTCTGCTCCTACAGTGAGCTCGTCGTTTACGCTACTCTCGCGGGTGCTGTGTCGCTCCCACGTCGGGACTTCAAGTCCAAGGTGGTGGATGCCCCTGAGGTGAGAGCTGTCTTCGGCAGCGAATCTGACTCTGACAGACTGGCGGCACTTGGTGGTGCTGCATCAGCAGGAGCAGAGGCATTGGATGGCGACGAAATGGCGACCGACGACTCTTCTGCAACCCCAAGACCAATTGCCGTGAACCTCACCACTCTTGCTTCAGGCTCAGCATCCGCCGATGCTCAAGCGAAGGCCGAGCCCAAAGTCGACTTCCGACCCCTGGCGAATATGATCCAGAGCCTCTACTCTGGCAACTACTCCAGCTTTTTCACCGCGATGGCATCAGTCGAGCAGAACTTCCTGGCCAAGGACCGGTATCTGTACGAACACAAGAGCTGGTTCGTAAGAGAGATGCGGTTGCGGGCATATGCACAGTTGCTTCAGAGCTACAAGGTTGTGGGATTGGAGAGCATGGCCAATAGCTTCGGTGTGAGCGTGGATTGGCTGGACAAAGACCTCGCGCCGTTCATTGCCAGTCAGAGACTACCATGCACAATTGACCGAGTTCGCGGCATCATCGAGACACAGCGTGCGGATGACAAGAACAAGCAGTAAGTGACTGTCCATGTGAGATTGTAGACAGCGCTAACATGAATCAGGTACAATGATGTCGTCAAACAAGGCGATCAACTCATCACCAAGCTGCAGAAGTACGGCCAGGTCGTCCGTCTGCGAGGCAGCGAGCGCAGTTAGATGCAGTCAAAGACAACTCGCACGGTCACGCATCCGCCACGAGACTCAGGATTGATGGACTCTGTATCATAGTTTACTGACGAGCACTAGAGGCAACGCATAGCGCGGCGCTGGTTTCACCAAAAAGCTGTAGAGAGTACAGGCCTCAAGAAAAGATTTACCATATAATTGCCTTCCGCTGCTCTGATCTTCTGTATGTCCGGCTCCACAACATCTAGACTGTGCCCACAGCTTCCGTCTCGGGAAAATCACTGCCAAGCTCAGCATGCCACCCTATCTGTCGTGGTGCAAAATCAAGAATCAGCTTTGACCGCGGCATTGACCCATTATCTCGTAGCATCCGTGATGGCCTCCTCTTCCCGGGCCTCATAAAGCTCCTACCAACCCGTCCGAACAATCTGTCCTACGAATTGCCACTGCGGTCTCATCCGCTATAGCCTAACTCTTCCCGATAACCTTACACCAGAAGGCAAAGAAAGGATAAACAATAGCACCTGCAGTATCTGTACGAAGAATAGGAATCTGCTGTTCTGTTCGAAGAGGGACGACGTTGTCTTCCAAGGCGAGTCATCCGCAGCAGAGTTGGCAAAGTATATGCAAGTTCTGATCATCCATAGACCATAGATGATCGCGACACGAGAACGAAGAAGTCCTACTTCTTTGGGAAACAAGAAAGCACCGCATCGCATCGGTCTTGTCCGGAAAGCTTTTCAAATTCGAGTTTGATTGATCTTTTTTTAAGACTTCGGAGGTATGAGCAGCAGCAGAGGGGACGTTTTGGGCTAATTAACGTGGGTATGTTCTTTTTTTCCTCGAAAGGAGAACACGGGAGCACTTATTATTTATTGCTGCTGTATGCCAGTAGGTCGAAGGATATTGATCTCTGCATAAGTCGGAATGTACGTATCTTTGATGGCAAGAATCGACTGGAGCCGAAAAGACAAGAGGAGAAGAGATGCCGAGAGATCAGGTCTATGGCATCTTGCAATCGGTCCCCTTTGTGAGGAAAGAAGGAAAGAAGAAATGCCATCACTTCTGCAGATGTTTGAAACCTCACCCTGTTAGAATCCTGCCATCTTCACACTAAATCTCCAGCCTCCCCTCCCTACCAATATCCCCGAGAAGGCCCAAAGCGCAGAGTCTTCGACCTTTCCTTTCCCTATACATATAAACACTTCCAGTCTCCTTCAACACATCGACGCCGGACGACGACGACGGACGACGGACGACGGACAACCTGAAACAGAAAGAAAAAAAAGGGGGTTCTACGCCGTGGCTCTGGGATTGGAGTTTTCCGCGTTCTCACATGTGAGATCAAAAGAAGTAGATCAGTTCTACCTTATTAGTCAATGAAGACTTACTATAGATACTGTAAGTAAGTCCGGACGAGGTTTAAAAACGACAAAACTAAAACAGGACATTCTTCGTTTGTCGAAGTGATTAGGGAGATGTGGAGTCTATCTTACAGGACTCATTTGAAGCGGCGGGAGAAATGTGTTTCCGACGGGAGGATTGTCCTCGTCGAGGAAGGGGAGGGAAAAAGAGCTGAGATGTTCAGAGGTAAGCTTTTTCTTCTGACCGACTTGAAGAACACTGCGACGGAGTCTTGAGACAAAGGTGAGCTGTAGGAGCGGGGATATCGACAGGAACGCAATGCAAGATTGGAGCATTGAGCTTGCGAGGCAGAGATCGGAGATTCCGAAGACAGCTTCTGCTCCTTCTTCTTCTTCTTCCTCTTCTTCTGGAAATGGCGAAGAAAATAAAGAGTTCAAATGCCAAGAAATCTCACATGCTCAGTGGAAAGCGCCCCGCCCACCGAAACTTTGGCGAGAGTTGGATATTCATAGATAGACTGGAGAACGTTTCGGGGAATGATACCCGACAACTGTCTCTTCAGTCCTGAAACAGCAAACCCGCAGCATATTCCACATTCCCGCCCGTGCTGTTCAGAGCAGCAATGGCCTGCTGATCCGAGAAGCCCAATTCTTTCAGAGTCCGTACACTCTCCTCGGGGAAAGGATGTGGCGGCTGCGAGAGCGGCGGCGACGGCGCCGCCTGTCCATAAGGTCGAATCGGCATCGGCCTCGGCGGGGGCGGAGGCTGAGGCGCCGGCGTCCTGATCGTGCGTGCCATATTCGCAGCCCATTCCCACGGCCTCGCGCTATCACCAGGCAGCGAATTGAAAAACTCCCATCCCATGACGCCCCCGAAATTGGGATACTTCTGCCGGAGCGCTCTCAGGACGGGTTCCTGGCGCGCCCATTCGACGTGTCCCGCTCCGTTTGCCGGGTTGGTGATGAGACCGAAGACCACCTTTTCCGGTTTCCATCCGACGCTCATGATGGCGTCGTACCATGCCGTGGAGCTCGCATCTCCCCAGCCGCAGTAGAATTGTGTCTAGAAAAATCCTCGTCAGCGAAGAAAAAGAAAACAGGGTGCGCGACGAAAATGGCGAATGGGGGGTTTTTAGGGTGGGGGTTGCCCACATTATACCACGCAATCTCATGTCCTCGCATCTGCTCGAGGAGTCGATAATCAAACGCCGGTCCCGACAAGTGCGGCTGATTCGGCAAGAGGGCCGTAGCAACAGGTGCCAGCGTGATGAGGAAGGAAGGTCCGAAATCCGCACGCAGACGATCGACAAGCCTCACGGTTCCGGGCAACGAGGTAGGCTCTTCGATATCGAGGTCCAGACCATCCAGTCGATGCCGCCGGATCATATCCCGGAGGGGTACGTAGTAGGATTCAAATCGGGCGGTATCGCTTCCATCGAGTCTCTCGTAGGAGCCCTTGGCAGCTCCGCCGAGCAGGCCGAGGACTTTGACGCCACTGGCTTGGAGCCAGGCTACTTCGGACCATAGAGTATTGAATCTCTCGTGGTCCGGTGGATGGTCGTTCAAAGTGATGTTTCCCGGGGGATCGTTCAGATGAATGGCCGCGACGATGACATGGGTGACGCCGGTGGAATTTGTGATGAGCGGCAGCAGGCTGACGGGCGGTCCGTTATTTGGCCCATGATGTGTTTGGTGATACACTATCACTCGAGGTCCCTCGCCGATGGGAAGTAACCGGCCTGAAGAGCCAGGATTGCTCATATTGTTCCGGGTGATGCAGGCTTGGCATCGAGCGTGAAGTCAAAAGGCGGGCACAGGCGTCGGTTTCGGATTCTGGAGTTTAGGCTAAAGTTGACTACATCTACTTCACGGAGGGCAATATGTCCTTGCTGATCTTTCATTGGATTTGTGAGACGCCGTGGTTATCGTCGTGATCTATTCGTGAATAGAGTACCATTCCATATTGAAAAGCTTAGGAAAAGTCATTGAAACGTTCCAATCGTTCCTCATGAAGCTTCCGATGCTCAATCTCGTCCAGGAACCACTCTGCCTAGCGATCGCGCCACCTCAAAAGCTCCCATAGAACTCATAATAGCAACATCAGCAGCTCGTCGAACCGAAAATGTCTTCATCAAAACACCAATCAGCCAATTCCCCAGTCCGCGGACCTTCAAGTAAGGTAGGTTGCCGTGGAGCCTGCTTGAGCTGTCTTGATGGAAGGAACCGAAGCTCTCGTGAGGCGCAGGGCTCCTCGTATAGTATGGGTGCTCCGTTCGTACCAATGAGGGTGCTTCGGTGTTGCAGTCATCCTCGTGAAGACGGTGCCGCCATTTCCGTGCACGGAAAAGGAGGAATGGGGACTGGCGCAATGGGGCGAGCGTTGGATCAAAGATCAAAGCTGGAAGGGAGAAGGCAGAGCGGACTTGGAAGGTGGAAGGTCCGTGGGGGATGCCGAAGTGGGGCGGCGATCGGATCTGGAAGCTTATTTTAGCTCGATACTAGACCGGTTTTGGAGCTAGCGGTGAATTCAAACGTGAGCCGGAACATCTTGAGGGGACCTCCGAAGAACCTTGTCTGTTACGTTACCGTCGACTCCTGGAAAGTCTCCCTCTTCATGGTTCGATGATGCCATCCATGGAGGGAGAATCGATGCCGTGCAAGAGGGACACGCTGAACAACAGTCGGCTGGAGACGAGAAGCTTCGGCATCAGACATCGACCGAGCACCGTTCACCGTTCACCCTCTGCTCTCAGCTGTTACACCTGCTGCACACTGCGTTGCCTTGTTGTACGACTCGCATGTCTCCCGGCCCCAGTGCACGCTTCCTGGGAAAGATACGCGACGCGACTTGTTTCTGAACAAAAGGCTCGGGACCCGCCTCTCCCGCAGCCTCACCTCATCTCATCTCTCGCCTTGCTAGACTCTGCTGTCTGCAAACTCGCCCGTCATAAGAGCTGATCCTGATCATATAGCTGTAGCACGAGAACATCATGGCTCCAGCTTCGCCCAACGCCCTCGACATCATCATCCTGGGAGGTGGCATTTCTGGCCTCACCACCGCCCTCGCCCTCACCAACTTCGCACCCCAAGGCCAGGTACCTCGCATCCACATCTTCGAGATCCGTCCCGAGCCCGCAACGGTAGGCGGCGCCGTCAATCTCACGCCCAATGCCCTCCGCATGCTCGACCACCTCGGTGCATTCAAATACATCCGACAGAACAATTTCGGCAAGGACATCGACTACCTCGAAGTCTTCGACGTTTATTCCGGCAAGATCGCCGAATCTCGATTCGATGGACCCGAGGGCAAAGGAATCGGCGAGCCTCCCTTCAAGGCTCTCCGAATCACCCGTGGAGATTCCCTCAAGGCCGTCCTGTACGCGCTCAGGGAGCACGAGAACATCACTCTGACCTGCGGCAAGCGAACGGTCAAGATCGACGAGACTCCCGACAATGTCACCATCAACTTCGAAGACGGCGGCTCGGCAACTGGAGATATCCTCATGGGCTGTGATGGCATCCACTCTATCACCCGTCTGAAGCATGTCGAACCCGAACGACAAGCTACGTACACCGGTGTCTCCAACGCCTTCGGCTTCGCTCCCGTTGACAAGGATTTCAAAGTCCACTTCGAATGCACCGCCATCAACTTCGCACAGCGTGGAATGCTCTTGACCAGCTACCACTCCCCCAGAACCGACTCCATCTACGTCGGTGGTCTGATGCAAGTCCCAGACGTCGGCTCACGAGACGGCTGGAAATCAGAAGGCGCAGACGCAGAGAAGACCAGGCAGAGACTGATGGATCGATTCGGCGACGCCCAAATCCCATGCATCAAGCCTCTGATCGAGCAAGCCCAGGATTTCTTCCTCTGGCCTGTATACACCCTCACCAAGCATGGCAAATGGTCCACAGACCGAGTCATGCTCCTCGGAGATGCCGCCGTAAGTCCCCTCTCATCTCCAGCAACCCCATCCGCCAACAAGACTCCCTAACATGTCCCCTTTTCTCTCCTTCTAGCACGCCATGCCCCCACAAGGCGAAAGCACCGGCATCGTCTTCGAAGACACCGTCCTCTTCTCCCGCTGCCTCGCGCGCTGGATCGAAAAGGGCAAACCCTCCAACAGCCCCAAAGAAGCCTTCCAAGCCTACGAGAACCTCCGCCGCAAACGCATCGAAGAAGCCTTCGAGGAATCCAAAAACGTCGTGAGCACCGTCTCCGACGCGGGCTGGCTGGGACACAAGATCAAGACCTTCATCGTTCCGTGGTACCTGTGGCTCTCCAAGGCGAATCGCCAGAAGCATTTCTTTGAGGATGTCACCAAGTCGGAGATTGGATATTAGTATTAGTCGTGAGAGGTGGTCTTTTATGGGAGCGTTGGCATGGGAGATGATTGTGGTTATGGTGTTGGGAGAGACCAAGGCGTATGCTGATGTAAACAGTTTTATCTCTCTGTTGTAGCGTATTTTAGACCCTGCGCAAAAATCTCGGTTTCAAGATCTTTTCTTCAAAACACATTGGTACCGGTGCTCTCGAGTATCGAACTCTTGTTTTCAATCTACTCCTGCCACCGTGCACACGTGTAACTCCTCCTACGATTACGATGTGGAAATATGGCCTCCTCGCACATCTGGGTCTCCCTATTAAAAAGCAACACAACCCTACGCACAAGCCGAAAACACGTCGTCCCGGACTCAACGGAGTTTCGAGAAAACACATATTCAGCTCCGATGAGACTTCCCAGTTGCCAGGGCCAAGAAAGAAGGAGAGAAAGAAAAGACTTCGCACTTGTGTGTGTGTGTGTGTGTGTGTGTGTGCGTGAGAGAGAGAGAGAGAGAGAGAGAGAGAGAGAGAGAGAGAGAGAGAGAGAGAGAGAGAGACAGAGAGAAAGAAGAGACTTCACATTTTCGATCGACAGAGAGAAAGTTGCAAAGACGTCAAACTAGGTCTGGAATTTGAAAGAATACATAGTTTTCATCATCACAATAAAGAGATGCCATAGATACATACAACCGGCCTTCAAGCGGCAACACGCAAAAACAATAAGAAAAGAAAAGAAAAGATGTAAAAGAGCCCCTGAGCTTTCCGGGATCGCGTAACTTCCTGTACAACAACGACACAGCATCAACAGCACCATTCGTTCCATTCTCTCTTCGAGGATAGCAGACCGTACCACATCACATCAGCTAAGAAAAGGAAGAAAGCAAAAGCAAACATTACGAGACCAGCAGCAATCGTCGTCAGAGTCGCCAGACGAAGAGCAATCCACCCCACCCCACCCCTTCCCCCCCCTCCCCCTTTCCACCCCTCCTCACTCAAGAAGAGCAATTACTCGGCTTAAAAACCCCCAAATTCACAAGCCACGCGCCGCTGTTGAATTCCGAATACACGGTCTGGATCAACCACGTGCCGCTCTGATAGACGGTCTCGAGAACGATGATGCCCGTGACCTGTTCCGGTTCCTGGCCGGTGCCCGACGAGACCCAGCGCAGGGTGACGGCGTCGCACGTGTGCCAGAGGTTGAGCTGCTGGAAGGGGATGGGCGCCTGGGCGCTCTGGCCGGCTTTGAAAGCCGCGAGGGAGTCGAAGGTGGCGCTGCCGAGCTGTAGGGGGGAAGAAGGAGTGAGTCGTTTGTGTTCTGGGAGTAAAGGGGGGGACGATGATGATGACTTACTGCTGTTGGGCTGTTGGGGCAGCCATTGTCCATCAGCTCAATGACGGAGTCGGAGTAGTCGTGGAAGTCGGTGGTGAAGGCGGAATCGGCCAACGAGTCGCTGTAGTCCGAAATCGACTGGGCGAAGTTGTCGGCGACTTGCTGCGCGTCGTCGTCGCTCATGCAGCTCGAGTCGCGCGTGGCGTACCAGCCGGCACGCTTGATGCTACCCCATGGGTTCCCGTTGCCCCAGGGCGACGCAAGTGCGGTGACGGCGAAGAGGGAAGCGGTGGCCAGGATGGTGGTGGTGGTGAATGATGAACGCATTCTGACGGCTGGTCTGCGTACGCCGGGGAGGAGCACAAGCTGCTGGGACTAGAGAAGTGAAGCGTGGTGAGAACGAATGACTGTTGGGTGAGAGAATGGTAGTAGATGCTGCTGCGGATTCCGTTTGCAAGTTTTCCGACGACGAATGCAACCGTTCTTAAGGACGCACCGCTGGCAAAGAGATCCCGACTAGTCATCAAACACACAGATCATCCCTCATACCGTCTGGGCGGTCGACGTGCTTCGTTCGATCTAGTACGGGCAGCGCCTGTTTCCTTGGTCAGTGCATGACGCAAGATGCTGCTCGCGTCGAGCACATCCTCTTGGATCAATACTCTACGACAGGGATGGGCACTGATGCTCATCAACGCACTGCAGCGCGCTGCAGCCAGCCATGGCAGCGAGACAGTGGAGTCCAGTCAGGTGCTATTTTGATGGAAGTACTCCGTATTCTCCGATGAAATGGCCTAAAATGGATGTGGTGGTGAGCATCGGGTGTGATGTACCACATGAGGAAATCGGCTAGCAATGCGCAGGCAGACCAGGTTGTGATCGCCGTGCATGTGAGCTCGACGCCCTGATGACACACGTAGCGGGAGCTCGTCCGAGTATCCTTGGCGGCTTGACGATGAACAACACTGCGTTTGTACGACGCCTCTTGCTACCCAAGCGCCGTTGGTAAGGCTGGCGGCATTCCATCTCACCCGGTGCTCGTGCAATTCATGGCGACAATATCAAAGTCAATGCGCCGTACCATGGCGAATGCTCCACCACATGAGTTGCGACACGCTGGTGCTGCAGTCAGAGTCCGATCACCACCGCAGCTACGGAGCATTGTTCTCAGGGGCCCTTGGCGCCATATGTCACCGCCGACCAGCTCCACCTCGACATTCCGCCGACCTACAGCGCGTCTGATGCCACTCTGAGATTTGAGATAGAGCAAGGGACATAGCAGTCTAGCAGTCTAGTGAATGGCGGAGAATGCAGTGGAGATCCATGTCCGGCTGACTGTTTTGGGATACACTAGACCGACATTCGGTGGTCCAATCAGCTCGTGGCAAAGTTTGTCTGGCATCTAATAATTCTCTGCCATCTCTAGCAGATACTGGAGAGGTCCGTGTCAGCCACGTGAGTCTCGTCGCAGACCCTGGCTGATATGATCTATCAGTTTTGGCGAGCCTCGTGCATGTCAATATCCGATCGAACTTTCAACGCTGTCGGCCGGCGACTAGCCGTGTGTACGGTACGACATAGGACAATTCTGCCGCTATCAGACGCAGATTACGTCGCTGTGCAATTTCACAGGCATCGAAATTGCTTCAAGTTGAGTGAAATAGACAGAACGATGCCTTTGGGAGCTGAGGTTTGGGCACTCGGCACAGTAATTTCGTGTGCATCCCGAGCATGCATCGCGCTGCTGCATGGCAGCTCCATCCTCTGTGGAATGCAGCTCCACTCGCGGAAGAAAGTGTTTCACGCATACGGGAACAGCGCATGTACAGCGTGCTCAGTTGCTTCTTGAGAGCCAATCTCCGCGATGAGCCCACTTGCTCCTGCACACAGCAGCTCGTCCAATGGAAGTCTTCGGAGAACATGTCTCACAAATCCGACATCATCGGGGATGCAAGTAAGAGTGAGCTCTGACGTGTGATCCGTAAGACCGATGTTCGAGATCTCCATTGTCGATAAGTTTATTGCATTGTCATGCACCGGCTGTAGCAGTAGGAGTCTTGAAGACTGCGCATGAAAGCTCTGTCATGCTGAGTCTCAAAGCTCCAGTTGAGATTCGGCAGATGTGATAGATCCGAGACTTTGGCTCTCAAACGCATCCGCTCGCTTGTCGACCCGAGCGTCATGTCAGTACACATTAGCGTGTGGGGATCGCGATGGGTCACTCAAAGTCCTGTGGAGTTCCCTGCATGAAATTAAAGCTGTCGCCGTGCTCATAAGCAGAAATCCTTCGGAAGAGGGCTCCCGGCTCCTGAAAACGTTCTCTCATGGATCCGATCATCAAAACCCGCAATCTATGAAATGTCCGTTGCCAGGGGCTTCCACGCGAGTACGCGAGTGAGACAACGTGGCAAACTCATCTCGATCCGGGCCTTCCTAGAGTCCGTGAAGCGGAGTGGTTCACGCGCCTAGATGCTCTGACAAGAACAGGAAGAGTATATGGCCCGCGCTTCGCTGGTCTCATCGATGCGCGTGAGAGCAATATCACTCAGCCAACATTGCCCAGTTTGGTCTTGCCATAAGCGCCTCCCATCTTCTTCCGTTCTTCCAGAGCCATCCGGTATGGGGGAGCGGTCGGCGGCTGTACCGGATCCAGGCTCACGTGGCCCTCTGGCAGCTTATGGCTTGCATCTGCATCAAATGCGCTCAAGTCCCCACAAGCCAAGAAAGGTGCGATCCATCTGGTTGTGCCATCGCCGTCGATGCCTCCATCAGTGTCCAGATGTACCTCGGTGATGCCATCCTCACGCAGAATCCGATTCGGCGGCTTGTTCTCTTTGCTATCTGCGGTGTCTGGTTGTATCTTGCGTGAGGAGCCGAGAGGGTTCTCGAGACTGGCTTTGAAGCCTTTTGGTGGTCTGAAATTAGTGCAGACGATGAATGCTTCCACGCTGCTGGCCCTGCTGCTCCTTGGCTTGGCCACTGTGACATCCTCGAAGACAACTTTGAGCTGAGCGTACAGCAGGTCAACGTCTTTCCCGCGGAAAATTTTCGCCACAAATCTGCCGCCAGGCTTCAAGACACAGAGCGCAAGGTTCAGAGCCGCCCACAAGAGCTGAGATTGCACGTAGATATCCAAGTCGTGCAAGCCTGTCACGTCTGGCGCGCCGTCCGAGATGACCAGGTCCACGGGCTGAGAGGCCTCGATTGAAGAGCTTTTCGGGTCATAGCTCGGCTCCAAAGCTTTGAGGAGCAGCGGTATGGTGGAAGGGTGCGTGATATCGGCCTTGAGACATATGATGCCGTCCAGAGGAGACATTGGCTGGAGGTCGATGGCCACAATCTTGACATCTTCCCGGGGCGTGTTCGCTGGTGGTTCGGGAACTGGCACCGATGGGACTTCCGGACCGCCGGATGTGTGCTGACGCTGGAGTTCATGGTAACGCTTGTCTTCCCATGAAGATCTGCCAATCTTCTCGCCCTTGATTAGTATGCGAGAGAGCACTTGCGACCAGCTGCCAGGCGCGGCGCAAAGGTCCACGACGCGCGTGACTCCCTCGAACAGGTTGAACTCTTCGTCGAGCTGAAGCAATTTGAAAGCTGATCGAGCGCGCCAGCCTTGTTCTTTGGCAAGACGATAGTACGCGTCGCGCTTGTCCTTGGAAGATTTGCCCATGACGAGGTATTGTGGTTGTGAGAGTAAAGCTGGATTGCAGGAAGAAAAAGGTTTGAGGTTCGCGCCAAGACCCTTGCAAGACATTGTTGACCGAGAGAAGTCACGAGGACGTCTAGATACTTATTTATCATATATTAACACAACTCACTGTAATGAACAGCAGAGAATTCCTGGGGATTTCGTCAGGTTCATTGTTGAATCTACGCACAGGTAGATCCTTAATCGTCGGCCAGACTTCAGACAAGCGGGCTTCCTGTCATAAGAGCCCACGAAAGAATTCCTGCTATGTATTTCACGAGTCTTTTGCTCGTATTTCTATCTTCTATGCGTACATATCATCGTACTCTTCCTCCTCGTCAGCCTCCGCCGGCTTCGGCACCTCCTTCTTCTTCAGCAGCTCCTGCCGATCCATTGGACACGTCGGATTGAGCTTCAACCAAGGCTGGATGCATTCCAGATCAAACATGTGATCCTTATGGCAAGGGAGTCGCACGACGAGTGGATGTGAGTCTAATCCCTCCGTTAGATCCATACATCCACAACTCCTCTTGTGTAGCACTCTTTTCACTCACCATCCAAGAACGGATTCGCGCAGATGGGACAGCTCTGGTCTTCCCTGAGACTCTTCTTCGGTACCCGCTCCAGCTGTTCTATGAATTCATCCGAGACGCCGTGGACTTCTGTCGGCGGGTGTTCCGCGCTGTTCATCAGGCTTTCGACCAGTCGTTGTAGGAGTTCTTCGTTCGCGTCACCGCCGTTTGTGGCACTTGCAGCTGCCTCACCACCACGCATCATCTCGAATGCATTCGCGAGTGTCCGCTGTCCACCTCTATCAGCCTCTCTTCTCTTCGATCAAACCCATGAGATCGTGTGTACTCACGAACGCCGCGCTGATGTCCTGGGGAAGCGGTAACGAGTTCGCATTTTGAGGCTGTCGATTGCCTGAAGTGTCTACGAGGTCGAGCGTACTGAAGAACGTTGAGAGATCTGGTCGGCGTCGTGGTGGTTCTTGCTGCTGTTCCTTGGGAATATTGTGCTCGACTGTTCGGCACCTTGATGGTTAGCCTGCGTTCGGACGGCGCGGATTGCAGCTTCGAATATTTGGTTTTACAAACCTTCGTAGCCCGACATGGTGGTGTTTTATGCTACTGCAACGCAGTATTGTGCGATGGTTAGTGTTCACATGTTTGCTGAAGAAAGAAGAAGGTCTTCTTCGAGCTGCAGGCTCCAAGACTACGTAACCGAAACGCGGAATTACCTCCGTTCAGCGATAGATGTCTATGTGCCGAGAGGCATTTGGAGAAACAATTATGGATCAGTAGTGCAGAAATCTAGACATGTTTAAACTGCAGATATATCAAGATGGAGGTGGCCGAGGCCCGTCTTGGAAAAGCTCAAACCTCTTCTTTCCTTCGTCATCTACCCACGCATGGAACATGCCGCCGCAATTGAAGTCGAAGACTATTTTGCCTTCACCTTCCACGAGCTCAATGCCAATTATGCCACCCTCACCCTCACCCGTCACATGCCATCGTTCGCCAGCTGAGCGTTGCAGCTGCCCATGCGGCCCTGCCACGGCGTTGACAGCTTGCTGTAAGCTAACTCTGCCTGACTCGGCCCTGGTAGATTTCGAAGAATACCTTGCAATCGCAGCAGCTGTACGCACAGCATTCGTTCTGAGGAAACTGTCACCATTCCCAGTTCCAGACATTGCAACTGCTCTGATGCCTGATTCACCCTTTGCTGTGGGTGCTGGTAGAGGAGTGTAGCCCGAGAGACTCGGTAGACAGTCGCCGATCGAGGAGAACAATTGTGATAGCAGAGCTGTGCTCGAGACTTCTGTGCTTCTGACCTGTGAATCAAACCATTCTTCTGACCAGAACCCAGCTCCTAGAGTGGGTGTATCGCCAATTCGTCCTGGCAATTTGTTCGTGAGACCACCGGTGGATGTCGCAACGCAGAGGGTGCCGAAGCTGTCCAGAACGACTGCTCCAACAGTCCCTTGCGGTAAGTACTCTTTCCCGTCCCATCCTATTTCAGATATACATGATTCCTCGTTCCTTTCGTCTTCAGTATCGGACTCAGAAGGCGTGCTCTCAAAGCTGTCCAATGCATCACAACCGCCAGCACGCTGCGATGACTTACACGCATGGCCACGATCTGCATCCTCCTTTGCTTCCTCGTAACTCTCATCATCATGAGGCAAACCTAATCCTCTTCGATGCTCATCCCACCTCCTTCTTGTCCAGAAATAACTGGGCTTCGCCAGATCCAGTCCCCACTCCTCTGCCAATCGATCACAAGTCTCGCCGTGTAGCTGGCAATGCCCCTGAGCGCCTCCTCCATCCGCGAGCTCCCCTCTGACCAGCATCTCTTTCGCAAGCTTGATCGGGCTCTTGGCTTTCTTCACTCCCATAACGCCCACGCCTCGCTTTCTGTAGCCGTTGCTCACCATGACTGAAGCTTCGAGCTCGTGCGTACCAGCGGTGGTATAGACTGCTCCACGGCCGGCATTGAAGAGCAGGTTCTTTTCGAGGAGGCTGACGGCGTAGGTTGCTATGTCGATGGCTCTGGCGCCAGGCTCGAGCAGCTTTGTGTTCGACTTTCCGACAATTTCTATAAGAGCTTCTCGATAGGCATTGTACGATTGCACGGGAAGATTTTCCGGTGTGATGTTGCCAGCACCGCCGTGGATGATGATCCTGGGACTTATTCGTTCGGGCTTGTGAAAGTAATCCATCTTGTTGGACGTTGAAATTCGAATAATGAGAGAGGGAAGAGGTGGAGACCTGCCTTGCGTTCAATGCGTTACATCAGCTATGGGTGAGGAAGATGTTGCTGTCAAGAACGTTGCTGTCGTTGCCGCGAGATAGGCCAGCAGAAGAGATGGTCCAAGCTTGACTTTGTTCACCTCGACGTCGCCTCCTCTCCCTTGGACACGCCCAACAATCTTCCACAAACACTTCTCATGGTTCGTCTCATACGCCGATATAGAGAGTCTGCCGGGCTTGAAGAGCTGCTACAGAGACGATGATGCATTCCAATGTCAAGCCTACATCCGAGGTCCCTTTCCCTGCATGTTCTAGCGCGACGAGAGAATGAAGGAGAGAAAGGACACTCGTTCCTCATGGTTCATCCTACAGTCATCAATTGTCGGTGTCGGGGCTTGTTCGCCCAGTTCATCCACAATTTCATCTTTGACATGTGCAGCAAAAGCTCCAAGCAGTGTTACATTGGTAGGAAGCGGGGAGCTCTGTACGCATTACCTTGGCTAAGTGGACTATTGCCCGTTCCACTCTCCACCTTTCCATATACTCTGTCTCATCTCTCAGGAGATACTCTGGAGACAGTCTCATTCTCTCTGATTTTTGAGCAAATCACAGTCTGCAACAATGTCTTACCGGACGGACCTGTTCATCAATGGCGAGGTCAGTGCTGTCATTGCGGCATGCTGACACTACTAGCGCTTTTACTGATGAATTGAACAGTACGTTCCGTCCTCAAGTGGCGAGACTCTCTCGATTCATAGCCCGAACGACGACTCACTCGTCACGGATAAAGTCCAAGTCGCCAGTGAACAAGATGTCGACAAGGCAGTCGCGGCAGCAAAGAAGGCATTCCCTGCTTGGCGCGATCTGGCTGGCCACAAGCGAGCGGCCATCATGTTCAAATTTGCCGATATTCTGGAAAAGAATGTGGACAAGCTAGCAACGCTTGAGTCGGCGGCAATGGGCCAGCCGGTACGGTACCAGGATGGAAAACCGCTGGTTGCTATGGAGCATTTGCTGACCCACACGGTAGGTATCCGTTGCGAAGAGAATGATTCTGGGGCCTGTGGCTCTGTGGCGATACTACGCTGGATACGCAGGAAAGGTCGCAGGTGAAAGCTATCCACCAGACGAGGATGGCACATACAAGATCGTCCAGTACGAGCCATTGGGTGTTTGCGCCGGTATCTGCGCGTGGAATGTAAGACGGGAGATTGGAAGGAGGATCGTGATCGCATGCTAACGACATGTAGGGCACCCACGTACTGGCAGCTTGGAAAATGGCCCCAGCGATGGCTACTGGCAATACATTCATCTTGAAATCTAGTGAGAAATCGCCTCTAGCCACTTGCGCATACGGTGATCTTCTGAACGAAGCTGGCTTTCCACCGGGCGTGGTAAACGTTATTACAGGTGCCGGGCCAGTCGGTTCTTTGCTTGCACACCATATGGATATTGCCAAGATTGCGTTCACTGGCTCTGCGCCAGCCGGACGAGCAGTGATGGCTGCGGCAGCTAAATCGAACCTGAAGCATGTCTCTCTTGAACTTGGTGGGAAGAGCCCAGCTCTCATCTTCGACGATGCGGACTTGGATAACGCTGTCGAACACAGCTCGACCAGCTTCCTGCGAAACTCGGGCCAAATTTGCTTCGCCGCGTCGAGAGTCCTGGTTCAGGAAGGCATTGCACCAAAGTTCATTGAGGCAATCAAGGATGCTTTTGGAAGCGCCGAAAAGAAGATGGGAGATCCGTCCCTCGCGGACACCGCCTTTGGACCTCTAGCGGACAAGAAGCAGTTCGAGCGCGTCATGGACTTCCTTACCGGCGCCCGAAATGAAGGCGTGCAAGTCCTGGTGGGAGGCGAGAGACTTGGGGACAAAGGTACCTTTGTCAAACCCACGGTGTTCTTGAATCCAGACGTCAAGAGCAGAGTCTACACCGACGAGATCTTTGGTCCAGCGATCTCGGTCAAGACGTTTAAGACCGAAGATGAGGCCATTGAGTTGGCCAACAACACCAGTAAGTGCAGTAATACTGCAATTCAACCCTCTTGAGTTTTTGCCACCTGCTTACCATTCAATCTTCTCTCCACAGCGTACGGCCTCGGCTCGACCGTGTACACTTCGGACGTAGCTCGTGCGCTGAGAGTCGCGACAAAGCTGGAAGCTGGTACCGTCGGTATCAATTCCGCCTTCAACACGAGCCCTCAAACTCCATTCGGTGGCTTCAAGCAGAGTGGCTATGGCCGCGAGTCGGGCCCCGAAGGTTTGAAGGAGTATGTTCAGCCCAAGACTATTCATATCAATATGAATGTGCCGCCTAAGAAGTAGGTCCAGCGGCGCAGTAGTCCATCGAGATGGACTCGAATTTGACAATTCGAAAACGAGACATTTCGAGACTCGGCGTGCTGAGGATATACCTCTTGTCGAGAAACATTCAGCGGCCAGGTGAGAGTTCGATAAAATGGAGTCAAGCGGTGAATAGTAGAATCTACACGAGCGATTCTAGTGAATCTAGCAAACAACCACAGGACATCACAGTGATGGAAATGCACATTGCCCAGCGGATCAGGAATTTTACCATCAGCTTCGTCTAGCAGGCCGCTACTCTCAAATGACGGAAACCAAAATATCGGACGCATTTACATGCTAGATGTAGGACTCCAGGATCTTGTTCCACTGCAAGACTACCTCAATTGGCATTGTATCGTCTTGAAGGCGCGCAAAAGAGCTGGAGTATCATGGCGCCGAATAGCAAGCAACACTTTGCATGATGGCACCGACAAACAGAGTCGATTCCAGCAACAGCAGATGATGTCTAGAAGGGTCAGTCAGAGCAAACATAGTTGTGTGTAAACATATGTGCACCCACTGAACATCACTTGACTCTGGAAAAAATCGCTGAATCACAATGTCAGGCACCACTCCATACAGACACGTCAAAGAAAACCAGGGAGGCACGCTAGAATTCAACGAGGCACTGCCTCATATCGGCACCGACGGCTGCGTCACCTGTGTCGGCGTATATTTCCCCATCGACGCGAAAAGATGCTTCTGCGCCCACATCAACGCCTACGTCTCTGTGAACGATGGCCGAAGCACGGAATACGACATCTTGACAACCAGAGAAGGCGAGGAAGTCAAGAACAGTGTACTTGCAAGATTGCAGAAAGAAGCGTCGCGATCAGGTTGGAAAGCCCAAGATGTCGTTGCTCAACATCCTGAGCGCGTGATCCTCGTCTGTCCGGACCTGAATCGGGGAGAGAGGAGTGAGAGTCGAGTGGGTCACTGGGTCGTCGAAGCTTTCAGAGAATTTCTGGGCCATATGGAAGGACTTTTGGAAGTCGACTCCGATTCTCAGGGATTCGTGGTGAATCACGAGACTAGAGAGAATCGGAGAATCTCTAGCAAGGGGCATGGGGAGGGAATTGATGATGGGGTATTCGATGGCACGGAGAGGAAGAAGATGTTTGAGAAGAGAGTGGAAGACTTTGATAACCGTGATGAGTGGTTCTTTGTCGTGGAAAGGAGTAGCGCAGAGTAGGCAGACTTGGTCGGGAGAAGTACATCGAGCACAATTCAATAGTTGCTGAATTCTAAAAGCTGGAGAAGTACCTATTTTGAGAGCCTTGTGATACTGCTCTCTGTCGATTCATGTGATCTCGGGATCCGTGCGCACGCTAACTTCATTTGGTACCATTCTCACGAGAACAACGCATCATGATTGAAAGGAAGAGGAGAATGGGCTACAGAATTTGATTTCAGTCTCACGAAAGCGCCAACGCCTCTCAGCTGTTTTCTGTCTCTCAATGCCCCTTTGAGACTGCTTGCAACAGTTTGACTTGAAAGCCGAATGTCTCTCTAAGGTGATCAGGGCAATCATCGAAAGTTTGCTCTTTTCCACTCATAACGGGAAAGTCTTGCGTAGACCATCTTGCACTTCCAGCTCACTGATCTCCTCACCAATTCAACGCAAGTGCCATCCCAATGTCCCACTCGCAAAAGACATACTACATCGACGTCCCAGAAGGAGCAGGAAACACCTACGACTTCAACAACATCCCTCCCGCGCTTCCCCAAAACACGCAACACATCCTGACAAGCGGCTGCCACACCTGCGTCGGCGTCTATTTCAAAATCGACAACGAGAGATGTTTCTGCGCCCACATCAACGCCATGTTCGCTCCGGGGAAAGTCCGCTTCGTGAAGACCCAAGAAGATGCCGACAAAATCAAGCGAATCGTGCGGGGGAAACTGGAGCGTGAATCTTCCGCCTCGAACTGGACGGCGGCAGAAGTTCGTCAACGTGCTGGGTTTCCCGACACTGTCGTCTTGGTCTGTCCGATGCTGTATTCGAACGACGAGAGGTGGAAACAGACGGGCTACTATGTCGTCGAAGCAATCAAGGAATTCCTCGAGCTCGATGCAGATTTTCCGGTCGATTCCGAGTCCCAAGGGTTTCTTGTGCATCATGCTAGCGGTCAGGTCAAGAAGATTCCGAACGGCGGAGTTGATCATGCGGAGAAGTTGAAGAGCTTCCTGGCTGCTAACAATTTACGAAAGGCCAATCTCAACCTCGATAGTTGGACGATTGCTCTAGACAGCGTAGAATATGCGTAGACAGTCGCAGAGTAGCACGAAATCTGGAGCATGTGAAAGATGGTCTGTGCTTCTCTCTGCGTCGGAATGCTACTTTGAGCACCATGCCTTGATGGACATCGTTTATCTGAATTCGTAGCAAGAATTGCAAAAACGATTTCTGCCATTCGTCCAAAAGTTTTAGAAGCCTCGAATGAAGCTGTATGTTCGCTTGTCGTAGAATAAGAGCACTTCTTGTACCCTTCTACCACTCCCACAGGCACTCACGTCTCGTAACATGACCCTTTACAGATACGTCTCCGAAGACGGAGGAGAAACCGCAGTGGTCTCCAACCCCACGCAAAGCACTGCAAAGCCAAATCGGAACATTGGTCACCATAGCTGTTCAAGCTGCATCGCAATCGACTCTAGCATGAACACGAACCATTGCTTCCACGCTCACGTCCACGCCATGGTCTCCAAACGTACCCCGTCGGTCCAGAGATCCATACCTGCAGCATAGAAAACAGACTCCCAAGCCGACTACATCAAGCAAGAAGTCAAGTGGAGACTTCAACAGGATGCTGACAAACATGGCTGGACTCCTGCCCAAATACAGCAACAGCCAGACTTTGACGGCAGAGTAGTCCTCATGGGACGCGAAGGCAACACTAAAGCGCAGGTAGGCTATCCCCTCGTGTCCGCAATCAGAGAGATCTTGGACCTGCCGGAGGTCAAGTGTGACAGTGAGGCGCAGCCCTGGTTGTCGTTCATCGAGACGGAAAGACATGGAAAATCGGCGGCGTTGGTATAGAAGCCCTGCTCGCTGCTCGACTTCTAGGAGACGGCAGGGTTCCAAGGGCAAGAGGGGGACTGCAACGACCAGCACTGGGAACTTCGGGCGCCAGTAGCTGAAAAGGCTTGAAGACAACGTTGGCAAACATTGAGTAAAGCAGAGAGAGAGAGAGAGTATGGCAATTGGAATGCAATTCCTTGGCGATTATGTCGATCAAGAAGTCGGTGTTGACAAGATACCGCACCAGTGGTACTAGGATCTATTCCTAGCGCATAACTATCCTAATCGCTCTCCAACCAGTCAGGTTCCGCATCGTCGTCTTCTGGGTCGTGAGAAGGCATAGAATCATTATCCGAAGCTTCTTGGTCTGCACCAAATATTTCGGCATCAGCAGCCTGCGTGTCTTCAGCAGATGTGATAGATCCAGGACTGAGCTGTGCAGTGCTTTCTTCTTCTGGCAATCTGGTGCCAATTTCTTCTCTGAGATCGGATCCTCTGCCGTCCGAGCGGATCCTTCTGTCGTCGGGGTAGACCTCTTCAACGGCCTCATCTGGTACGAAACCACCGCCCCCTTCATCATGATCGTGATGGTGCAGGTCCTCCAGTGGGTTTCCTTCCGGGGTAATGAAGCCACCTCCTTTTTCACCCCTGTCTGCAAAAAAGCCGCCTCCGCCCTCATCGTCGGCATCTTCAGCAAGGAAACCACCGCCATCCTCTTCGTTATCCACGATGAAGCCACCTGAATGACCATGTTCCACTGGATTGGCCACAGCATCAGTTGGCAGAAAGCCACCAGCAAGACCGGGATCTTCCGTCCCTTCGTCCGCGGCGTAGAGAGGCTCTTCATCCTGCGCGTCCCAGTCTTCTTCGCTGTCTTCCTCGATCTGACGTTTCTTGGGCTTTGGCTTGCGCGTTGGCGCTTGTAGTTCTCTAAGCGTGTATTGCCCCGCAGTAACCAAAGGCTTGTCATCGACCGCGAATGTCGATGAGATGGCCGTGTCTGTATCTTGTAGATCGTCCCCTTCTTCTTGAGCACTATCCAAGCCGTTGCCGTAGGTGCTGACCCTCTCTTGGATCCTCAAGCCGGTCAGAAACCTCTTCCACAGTTTCAAGGCCTCTATGCTTCGAACCTTGCACTCATCTTTAATAACCTGTTCTTCGAAGCCTTCAATAACAGCTCTGATAGCGTCATCATACTGTTCAGCGACAACTACACCTTCAATAACAGCTGTTCCATGTCGCCCTTGGAACTTAAAACCCGTGACGGCATCTGCGTAGTCGATCCTTAGCAGCTTCGCAGCCTGCTGGGCAAATTGATGGCGTATATGAACACCGCCAGATGGTACCATGGAAGGAACGTAGATGTCCAGGTTTCCAAAGCCATTCTTGGGTATTCTGCCGCGTTGGACAGGCGGAGGGATGTATAATTGTGTTTGGTATGGAGCATAGAGCGCAGTCTCGTTGGACAAATCGGCGGCATCGTCCTGATCAGGCGAACGCGGCCGTCTTGTCCTCGCTGGCACTCGTTTGAGAGGCTGTTCGCCTTCTTTGATCTCCCTGCCGAGCCGATACCATTTATCGGCACTCTTGCAGTTAAGTACATCCTGCCTGCGATACACCGGTTCCATCCTAGATTTGGCAGCTGTTCCTGCGTTGACTTTGCCTACTTCGCGCTTCGGATGTAGCACCTCATGCCTCTTTAGGTGCCGCTCAAGCGCGTAGTATGGATGGTCTTTGAAGTCCAACACATTCGCAGGCATGCCCTCCCTCGCTTCTTTCTGCGCAAGCTCTGCATCTTCGACTTGATCTCGGGCCAATGTGCCTTCCCGGCGGCGGAAGATCCGCATGACCTTCTTGAACCATTTTGTGCCCTCCGAAGAAGTCTCAACTCTGTGCCTACGAGTCTTAGCGTTGTAAGCTTTCGCATAGCGCTTGGTAACGTCTCTGGCCGCCCCATCGTTCTCAAATCCTATTACATAGGTCATCTGATTCAGCTCGTAGGAAAGGGAAGGCTCCAACTTTGCAGGTTTGTTGACTGTGCGTGTGACAATCGGATCTACAGCGATCCACTTCTGCTGCGCTGCGTTAAATGCTTCAACCCAGAAGACGGGATGAGAGAGTCTTGGTACAGGACGGAGCTTCTTCTTAGTAGGTGTGGCGGCTTTCGTCTCGGCTGCAAAACTTGGCTGTCCGAGTCTCCTGCGTGCTGAAGGAACTTTGCCGATGCTCGCAGAGCCTTTGACGGCAGAGTCTTCGGCATGGGCACCGCGCCTGGGTGTTTCTGGAGCCATTGCGAGAATGACCTCCTTTGCGGGCTTCTTCGGGGTTGGTGCTTTGGGTACGCTGGTAAAAGGCAAAACCTGAAGCGAACATACAAGTCGAGTCTCAACGCCGGCTGATCGAAGCAAAGCGCAGAACAGCTGATTTGCAACATCTTGCGACCCTTGAAGGTCCTTTGCGGCTTCGATGAAGTTCGATCTATCCATCGGCGGAAGATGATCGTACTTGCGATTTAACTCGCCATCCACATCCCACTGCGCTTTCGTCATACCGCCACCGGTCACTCGATATTCTGGCACGAAAATCTCGACTGCTTGCTGCAAGCCATCCATGAAAGATCTGTTGCGGTCGAACTGGCTCATGGTAGTCTTCGGGGTCAGATAGGACACGGTCTTTGAGGATAGCAAAGATCGAACGTGGCGCTGGACAGTCGCATTGTTGCATCTCCCATTGACATACATACAATGACCCAGGAGGCAAAGCACGTGCAGCTTGTGCACTACTAGCCGATGCGCCTTCTCGGCGAACGTTGCCGGCTTCCTTCTCGCCGGAGTCGCTGGCTTGGTGCTGCTTTCAGGCTGCACGGATATGGCCACGTCTCCAATATCGTCGACTGGATCGGGTAAGCCTTCGGAGGGGCCTTCAAGATCCACATCTTCGAACTCGAGATCGCTCGCATCGTCCTCTGATGACTCCTCTACCGTCTGTAGGTTTGAGTGGCCCGGTTTAGGGGAGGATGTGGGTTGTTCAATCTGTTCTGCGCGTGCGTTCCGCCTTGAAGCCTGGGATGGCTCTAATGGTTCGGCTTCGGACCGAGAGACGACTTTTCGTCTCTTCAGCGGTCGATCAGACCCCTCATGACCGTCGCCGTCCGCTTCTCTGAGCATATCTTGGTAGACATCCGGAACGTCATCGGTTGCTGCAACACGAGATCGGGTAGTTCGTCTTCCGCCTCTGTTATCAGGGAGCCTCGCAGGTGCTTTACCCTTTCCTCTTTTCGGAGCCATGTCTCAAGCTGTCCTTGTTTGTGTATCAGCGCAGGCATCTGACAGACACGAAACTGCCACGACCTGCACGTGATGTCCAGCGGGCCAACATCGGACCTGCTGGCATTATATGGCGCCCGCTTCTCTCGTGGATCGTTCTTTGTATGATGGCGAAACCAATGACGGACGTCAATATCGACTGCGATGGTGAATGAGTGAAAGCGACATGGGTTGTTGGAAGACAGATGACTGCGTCAGAGTGAAGTGAATGAGAACTCCGGAACCCGGAACCCAGGCTGCGTCTGTGCGTCCCGAACGCGCTGCGGCGTCCCGAATGTTTACAAGCAAAAGCCAATCCACGACAACAACGACAACCAACTTCCCCTTGGAGCAAACAACATTCGCTGGACTGGATGGGGCCGCCGTATTCCCGGTAGCGACAACACCTCAACATCTTACTAACCACCCAGCAGCCTCCCCAGGACCAGGATCAGCGATACCGTTCCTCTCACCACAACCACCGCCGCGATGGAGAACTACCAGAAGATGGAAAAGGTCGGCGAGGGTACGCCATGACAGTGTGCTTTTGCACCTCTTCAACATACTGATATACCATTCAGGCACGTACGGAGTCGTCTACAAAGCCCGCGACCTCACCACTCCCGACCACCGCATCGTCGCCCTCAAGAAGATCCGCCTCGAAGCCGAAGATGAGGGCGTTCCCTCCACTGCCATCCGCGAGATCAGCTTGCTCAAAGAGATGAGCGATCCAAACGTCATGTCCCTCCTCAACATTGTCCACGCGGACGGTCACAAGCTATATCTCGTCTTTGAGTTTATGGACCTCGACTTGAAGAAGTACATGGAAGCGCTGCCCGTCGCCCAAGGAGGTCGCGGCAAGCCCTTGCCAGACGGCGTGTTGAGCGAGAAGGGACATCTGGGTCTGGATGCTGCCATGGTACGAGCCCTGAATCAGCAGCATGAGAAATATATGCCGTGTATACTGACTACGTTGATTGTCGCAGGTCAAGAAGTTCACCCTCCAGCTCCTCCAAGGAATCAAATACTGCCACTCCCACCGCGTCCTCCACCGCGACCTCAAACCCCAAAACCTCCTCATCGACAAAGACGGCAACCTCAAAATCGGCGACTTCGGTCTCGCCCGCGCGTTCGGCGTTCCTCTCCGCACATACACCCACGAGGTCGTCACCCTCTGGTACCGCAGCCCCGAAATCCTCCTCGGTGGACGGCAGTACAGCACGGGCGTCGACATGTGGAGTGTCGGCGCCATCTTCGCCGAGATGGCAACGCGCAAGCCCCTCTTCCCCGGCGACTCGGAGATTGACGAGATCTTCAAGATCTTCCGTCTCCTGGGCACGCCGTCGGAGAATGACTGGCCTGGCGTCACCAGTTTCCCGGATTTCAAGGCTTCCTTTCCCAAGTGGGAGCGTAAGGAAGACGATCCGCTCATCAGCGTCGAGGGCGCGAAGGTGTTGGGCCCGGACGGTCTGGAATTGCTGGATGCGCTGTTGGTGTACGATCCCGCTGGCCGGATGAGTGCGAAGCAGGCGGTGCACCACCCGTACTTCACCGACAAGCGGACGAATGGCTTCCACTAAGAGTCTGAGATGGATGGGAAGATTGGGAGGCACGAAGTGATGTGACATCGGAGGGAATGACACCAGCATGGGCGATGAAGAATGAAGGGGAACAAGGGTAGAGAGGGTAAGGCTTTCCACACAACATCTCCTCGTGTCAACAGGGTCCATTGATTCTTCGGCATGGGACTTTTCTATTGGAATGGTCAAACAGGTCGGACGGCAGGATATTATGGCGTTCAACAGGCGTTCATTCAAGCATGCATGCGCAGAGGGTCTTTTCTTTACCTTACCCGGACGTGCAATGATTATTGGCACGCTACTGCAATCAGTGCTTGTGACAGAATGAAGCTTTCTTTTCTCGACTTGAAAGTGTCCTTCCGAGACTCATCATTTCATATCAATTTTCTAAAGGCTCTTCGTAATGTGATCCCATTACTCGCCCGCTTTTCCATTTCCTTCGAGTCTATCTGATGCCATGATTCTCGTCACTTCATTCTTCTCATTTCATTTTCAATCCTGCTTTGTGAAAGCTTCCTTTTTTAATTTGGCAAGGACGCCTGTCTGTCGTCGTTCTCATTCTCATTGTCATTCTCGAGCCGATTCAGAGCTGTGAGTACTTGGGATACAGTCAGTGGGACTTGACGATCTGACCACCCTCAAACGTCTCGCCCGGCTCGAGCTTCTGCCAGCCATTGACGGCGCCGACTTCCACGCAAATCTGAATACTCGGTCAGCTTGGACAGGTTGCAGAGGGTGCAGTACAGTAGTGGGTTCTTTAACTGACCATCTTCTTGTACCCGTCCTTGGGCTCGAAGTCACCCATTCCCTTTGCCTTCTCAATCCATGGGTTCCAGACGACGGAGTCCTCGAGGTTGTCGCGGACGACATCCAAGTGTGGCTGCCCGTCCACCACGATGGAGGTGGTGTCTTGCTTGATGCTCTTGTAGACACGGTCGACTTCGCCCGTGATTTTGAGTTCGTGGTCTTGCTGTTGGTGCTCCTTTGCATCGAGGACCTTGTCGATGTATGTTGTGCTGTTCCCATGTCAGAAACCTAAAAACGCGAGTGCAATGACCTCGATGTGGGGATACATACCTTCCCAGACCAGTCACAGCCGTCTTCGAGATATCGTCTGTAGCAAAGTATGTATGCAGGAGCATCTGGAAGTCGAATGGCTTGGTGTCCTGGTTCCTCACGTTCAACATCGTCTGCAAACCATCTTTGCCCAGTGTGACAGAGTACGCCAATCCAAACTCATACGGCCACGCCTTCTTCGCGTCGGCGCTCAGATTTGCAGCACTGAGTCCAAAGTCCAATTTCACACTGTCGTCTCCTCCCTTGGAGAGCGTGCCACTCTCACTGCTGCTCTTGCCAAGGTACTCCCAGTGGCTGTTCCGCGCAAAGCCGTGCTGAGGCAGAGCGCTGGTTGCGTGGTCCTTTGGTGGTGGGCCAAAGCAAGGAAAGACAAGAGGAATACCTCCCCGAACGGGCTTGCTGCCGTCGAGTTTGGCGGCGGAGCTCAGCCATAGACGCTCTTTGCCATTGCTCTTCCAGGAGATGACACTGGCGCCATAGAGGAGGACTTCGACGCTGTCACCGGTTGGCAGCGAGGCAGTTACGCGGCCATTCTCGGCGCGAACGATGGGCTGAGGGCCTGTAGTGGAGGGCGAGATGGCAGAAGGCTTGTTGGGACGATCTGTTTTATGTGAAGTCAGCACGTGTTCTGGTATTGTGCATGGGCGACGGATCAGATGTGGTTGTTCTCCGCATGCCAGAGCAGCTCGAAGCTCAAGGAGGGAGCTACAGTCTCACAGCATCTCTCAGCTCCCGCGAGATGGTGGAACATGTTGTGCTCTGGCGTAGCAACCTCCTGTCCCGTCGTTCATTGCTCGTCATTGCTCGTCATTGCACTTACCCATTGAGCCTGACATAATTACTGTCGGTCTGCCCGTTCTCAGCACGAAAATGGCAAAGAGGAAGGGTGGGAAGAGAGTCGAAGAAGAGTTGGGCAGTGCAGCAACACTTGAGAGTGTTTGTTGTTGTTTGAGGGAGAAGTGACAGAAAAGTCAATGTGACCTCACGAACCGCCCAAGAAAGCCCCCACCAAGTTTCAGATTCCAACGCGGCAGGCGGCATGTGAAATCCGGCATCCCGGCGTGACATCAGCCAATCCCTGCCCCGGTCTCACTTGCAGCTGAAGCATACTGCAAACTGGTGAACCGAGTGAGGCCTCACCGTCTTCTGCCTTGAGGATGATCTTCCTTACAAACAAACTCTGTGGCGAGCTGTGAAGCTCGTCTGGACTAGACTGGACTGATATGATTCATTGTTCACACCTCGCCGGGTGGTGCCGATTCCATTCGAGATGCCTGCCTGCCTGTCTGCCTTCCACTCCTATGAACACCAATAGGCAAACATCTTCTGTAGCAATGTCATTCGCCAACGATCCAACACCTCTCCTCACCGTTCCCGTGTACGCCGCCCCGCGTCGTGGACTTCACGTCGAATCTCGAAGAGCATATCGTCGAATTGCCTTTCCTCCTCAACAGATCCGAAGACCATCTTCTTGCAATCGTCTAGAACGCCCCGAAGACGGCCCAATATACTCTTAGGCTGGGCGATGCGTCTCTCTGCCGCAGATTGTTCCATAGCGAGCTGCTGATCTGGACTGACAACCTCCTCATCTTGCTCCTCCACGTCGTCTTCGGGCTGCGTAGCTGCGACTCTTCGCGATGAGCTGTCAGCTGACGCATCTTGGGAAAGGCGAGCCGACTTCCTCGGATTTGCAGGAGCCGGAGTGTCTCTCACAACACTGACGCTGGATCCGTTGTCGTCGCTTGTCGTTGAGGGTTGGCTGGACTGGCGTGATCCTGAGCCTTTGGGTTGGCCGGGCTTGCGCTTGGCATTCTCTTCCGTCACCACTTTCCTCGGTCGGCCACGCTTGCGCTTCACCTGAACAACAGGAGAATCACCACCTTGTCGGCTCAGAACGCTTGTCGGCTCCTCCTCTGGCTCGCGCTTAGGAAGCGGCGAGGTACGCGGGCGACTAATTGTAACAACAATCTCATCATCGATATCATCCTCTTCTTCTGCTTCTTGCTGACTTCCCACAAGGTTGCTGAAGAATCGCTTGAAAGGCGATGGCTTGCTCCGTTTGGGTTCGCTCCTCGACTCTGCTTGGTCTGTTCTCTTCCGTTTCTTGCCTTTGAGAGAGGATCCTAGGGTGTTTGCTGGAGAGGTTTGAGATGCAGGTTCGTTGTCTCCTTCGGTCGGTTGCAAGATGGACTCTGAAATCCGGGAGACATTTGGAGATGCATTAGCACGCTTCGATAAAGATCGAGGGGTATTGTTGCTGGATGTCAGCTCATCCCCATCCTTTTCCCCTTTGTTTGTTGCAGCCTTGCGTGCAACTTCCTCCACCTCTCGGATCTCATCTTCGAAAGTTTTCTTGGGCTTGCCGTACGTCCAGTGCTTGTGAGAAGTATCTGTGCTTTCCCCGACTGTCTGTTCTGTGTCTACCAAAGCAAGCTTTTGTGCTTCGGCAGCTGCGGCTTCTCGTTCAAGCTGTACTGTGGGAAGTTGCGTGTCTGAGGGAAGATCTGATGTAGTTGCCACAAGCGGGCGGGCATCGCATTCCGCGTCCCTGTCTCCAATGTCTTGTCCGGCAGATACCTGAGCAGAAGGATTAGATTGACCTTGCTCGGAACCACACACAGCAGTCGACTCCACCACAGTCGTATCGTCCGGGCCAGTGACCCAATTTTGAACAGGACTGGCTTCTCGCCGCGGCGGCGAGGATGGTGGGTCCACTATCGTCTCATTGTCGTCCTCCTCATTGTCGTCGTAGGCCCCTGTGTCATCGCTAGTTCTTGCTCCGGCTTGCGCGCGCGGCGTAGGCGACGACGGCAAATCATCGCTCATCAGATTTCCGTCTAACGGAGCAGGTGGCGTAGCAGCAATCGCCTCTTCATCATTGTCGCCAACATCAGAGATGAAATCCAGCTTCTTCGCAATGCGCCTCCCTCTAGCACTTGACTGTGCGTTAGGGCTTGAAGAAAGACCCGGAAACATTTGCGCGTCACCCTGCTGCCGTGTCTTGACCTCCTTCTGCCGCTCGGTCAGCAATTGGTCACCATGAGCGGGAGAGCTCGGAAGAGAGGCCTCTATTGGGGCAAAGTCGATCTGGGAGTCATCGTGCCGCAATTTTGGCTTGGCCGATTCTCCAGCGGACTTGCTGCTTCGACTCTTGTCATCGTATGGGAGCCCTTGTGCGGCGAGATGCTGCTTGATCAAGAAGTTATCCACCAATGGTCTCTTGCGAACACCCGGACTCACGCGAGGGGAGCTGCTGAAAGCGACGTCTGACACCGCTCGGGGACCAACCTGAGACTCCGCGAAAGCTGGCAGGACAGCAACTTCGGCATTGTTGTCATCTGGCAAGCCTGGCAATCGAACTTCTGTCTCAGCTTTCCTCGCCCTGAGCACAGGCACAATGCGTGAAGGGTAGTCAAGGCTAGCTTCTTCGCCGAACGTGGAGTTCCAAAAGGAGAGGCTCTTGTTGACAATGTCCTTACTCGGACTTGAAAGGCCAGCGATCAGCAACGGTTCAAGGGATTCAAGCAGAGTAGAGTCTTTGCGTGGTAGTCCCTCGACCAGATGAAGAAGCTCTGACCACACTTTGAAGATGCAATGTCTATCGAAAGTCGATGGAGCATCTCCTTCGCACAATGGAAAAATGCTGCGCTGACGGTCTTCTACCCATACTGCGAAGCCATTCTGCGCTTGACGAAGCGCCACCGGCAGGATAGAGTGGGGACACCGTCGAAAGAACGGGATCGATGAGCTCATGAATTCAGACAATGCCTGCAGTGAGCTGGTGTCCATCTCCGCGACGTGCTTATATGCGCGATCCGTGACTCCAACGAACAAGTTGTAGACATGCTGGAATGGGTCAAAAACTGGGCTTTTGTGCAGCTCCAGGCTTATCGTCCATAAGGCTTTTCTGCTCTGATCCAGTTCTTGTCGATTCTTTGGCCAGACACCGTTTTGCAAAAGAACTTGCCCGGCAAATAATGCACTGCTTAAAGGCATTTCGTCCAATCTAGGTGTCAGGAGCTTCGACAGCGGCTCCATAACACCCAAAGCAACGCCACCATCATGCCCATGGTGTTTCGCGGCCTGACAGATTGCCGTATATAGTTCATCCGCGCTGGCACTGCAGTAAGGAAATTGGACGCAGCGAAGACCATCCACGAAAATTTTGATCGCCCAGCTCAGGGTGTTGCCCATGATTTGAGCGTCGCGAGGAGAAGCCGGTGCAGTGACTTTTATGCCATCGATTGCAGACTCCGCTAGCACACTCCATACCTGACTAGAGACGTCGAGATCTGTTTGGACATCCGAAGCAAACTGGAGAGAGCGATACAGCAGCGCCATGTTGCTCGAAGCTGATGTCTTAGACCGTCCCAGCAAGCGAAGAAACCAGGCAGCGGACTTCTTGTAGAGACCAGAAGCTTTTATTTCGCTGCGGGGCTGGTAATAAAGAGCAAAAAGAAACACAAATGCTGGATACGCTGGCGTTGAATGCTTGGAATGTCTGTGAGATGGCGTTGGCGCTGCTTCGATCTCGTCTGTCTCCGTTTTGGCCAGGACATCTTCGACAAAGTGTGAGGATCCCAGAGCCTCGACAGCTAGCGCCAAGAGGGACTCATAGCGTTGCATCCACACGGAACTGTCCACTTCAGATCGACGCGGTGATTGAGCGGACCATATTCTCCGAAACAAGTTGGTGATTTGTGCAATGGCATCCTTCAATTCATTCGACGTCTTGACTTCTTGGCTGCCAGCCTCCGCGAGAGCCTGTAAAAGTAGGCCCCAGCAGCCATCAGCTGCTTTATTCGAGTCAGGCATCGTCCACATTCCAGCAACAAGAATCCGCTCTAGAATCCTGAGGACGCGGGCTAGTCGGGTCCGCAGCCATCGAGGATCCAGCCTTGGCAGATCTTCTGGCTTGATGCCTTCCCGTTCGAGGGCGGCATTAACGTTCCAGACCCCATTGCTCTTTCCAAAAAGTCCCTGAAGAATGCGACAAGCATTGTGCTGGCCTTTGCTTCTCGATCCGGCCATGCTAGATAGGATAGGATCGACGTACAGATCCCAAGCAGCGTCGAGTTCTTCGTGGCTCAGAGATGGACGTAAGCCGTAGTGGAGCAGATTGCAGTAGCTATCCATAGCAATTTGTCTCTGCTGTTGGGAGAGTCGGTCGTTGCCGCGCTTGTCGAAGGCAACCGATATGGGAACCCGTAACATGGACCTCATGGTTTCTGCTGTTGATGAGTCGGGCATGACTGCGAAGACCAGCTTGTTCCATGCGATATTGGCTTGATGCTTGACTTCCAAGTCACTCGAGTTAAGGCATTTCTGGATCGTCAATAGCCATTCCTTTATTCTGGGCCACTTCTCTAGAGGCTTTCGCTTGCACCGGAAGAATAGAATCATCGCACCCCATATCTGAGGTACGAGGGGTGCCAGCTCTTTTGCGGCAGTCATCTGAATAAGGCGGAAGTTGAAGTAGTCGCCGTATGTCTGCCCATCCTCCGATTCGTCCACATTCTTGTCGAACATCTCAAGGAGCACCTTTGTGGCTGATGGCTGAGTTCCTAGACGTATACCGGCATGTGAACATGTTTCTATCGCTCTAGTTCGGATGTCGTCAACACTGCTCAGCAGTCCGTGGAAGACATGTTCCATCCAGTCTCGCATCCGATGAAGCATGGTATTGGGCACCGAGTCAATGAGCCTCTGGAAGATGATAAGCCTCGCCGAAATGAGGCTATTGCCCTTGCATCGCTCTTCTATTCCCTGTACAGCATTGACGAGTCTGTCCGCTCGAGCAGGGGTCATGATGGCTGGACCAAATCGTTGCTGTGACATGAGATACATGTGATTCTTCACGATAGCCTTTGAGACGTCGCCCTGCTCGATGATCGCGATGGAGCGATCGACTAGAAATTCTTGAAAATCGCTGTCGAAAGCAGTGGCCACATCAGAGTTGAATATGAGCATTCCTGTCAGAGTCAATGCCTGAGAGACGATACTCGTGTCCAGACGACCATCCGCGCCTTTCCACTGAAGATCACGGCTAATGAATTGCTGCAACAGCCCGAGCTTGTCGATGATGGCTTCGGGATCGGGGACTCCTTCGTACTGCCGGATGGCCCCTGTGAGGACGAGATACGCATCGCGCCGGTTATCTCGCGAGGTACTGCCTAGCTGCCCAAGGATCGACTGCAGCATCCTGCGGAAACTTCCCGGTTCTTGTGGTGAGAAGTAGCTCAATTTGCTCTCCAATTCATCCGGTGTCGGTGGCAATGGTTCGCTGGCCGGCTTCAGAATCGACTTGAGCGGCTTGCTGTCTCGGCGTAATGGGGTCTGCTTGGATATGCGCGCCTCGTGAGGGCCAGTCTGTCCGGGCTGAGAAATCTTGTGATAAGTCGGCCAGGGCGAAAAATCGACCTTTTTGGTGTTTGTCGAGTCCCGAGTTTGTGAAGATGCAGGCGATCTGGGTGGCGGAGTGTCGGCGGAGGGTCTCATTTTGGTGGAAGATGCGTCTGGCGCGTCGTCCTGGTGTCCTTCGCGCAGGAAATGCAGCGCATTGTCGACATCCTTGGAGACGTCTCGAGGCGGCGTTGGAGGGCGAGCAGGCAAAGCAGCAAGAGAAGACAACATGATGCGCCAACAAGACGCCGAACAGAAAGATCAAGATGCTGTAGACATGTCGTGAGTGGTGTAGTCCAGTGGAAGATTGAATCGTGCGGAAGGAAGGAAGAGAAGAGAGCGAGAAGCTGCCCGGTGGAAGGTGGAACATCCCGGTCACGCGTCGAGACGTGTCGCGCGTTATAGTGAGGCAGGGCCCGCTTGCCGCTAGCTCCCGCTAGTGCCCGCTCATCCTTCCGTCATCCGACGCTGGTCACGTGTCTATGACCAGGATCTCGAAGGAGCAACACGACGGGCAGAAGGAACTGGAAAACACGATCGCCATCTCCATCCTCACACATGCTCTCCTCATAACTCCCCATCACGTGCCAGTCTTCTCGCATTTCCACGCGAGCATCTGTCTCGCGAGCGTTACATCCGCACCCTCACCTACACGTCGTACCAGCCTACATTCACTCACGCACCGGCCTTCAACCTTAATTGCAGGCTAGTGAGCCGGAACGATGGCCATGCAACCGCTAAGCAGCCAGATAAGCGGGAGTGCAGCCCAAGGTGCGTGATTTAGGCCCGTTACGACACGTGCAACACTAAGCTAGCTGCAGGCATCGCGGAAGTCGATCGACTGCTCAAGGAACTGGAGCAGAACCTAGAGGATGCAAAGCTGTCACTAAAGCGTGCGTATTGATGCGGCGCCTTTGGTCCATCGCTGCTGACTTGTGGATTAGAGCAGGAGGACACGCTCGGCAAAGTCAAAGTGCTCGGCCGCAATCCTGACAACGCAGGCTCAATTTTCTCGAAAAGGGTACGTGACACCAACGGGGAAAGCATGTTTGGAGTAACTTACGCAAAGTAGGGCATCAGCATTCTGTCAAAGTATGGACTGGATCAGCAGGATGCGAACGTCTCACGTGAAGCGCTCAGATGCCTGGCCAACGCTCTCCTCCTTAACGAACCGTCACGTCAAATCTTTGTCGACCTCGGCTACGTTCCGAAGACCGCGGAGCGACTCAAGATAGACCATCGAGACGACGAGTTCCTGGCAGCCAGGATTCTGTTCCTCCTTACCTACAGTACCAAGGTCGACTTCCAACCGCTGATTGACGATCACCAACTCGCAGACAGCATCAACAAGCAGATCGCACGGCATGCGAAGAATTTCTCCAAAGCCGGCCGTAGGAAGTCCATCACCTCACCGATGCAAGACATGGCCCTGATCGAGACTCTGAAACTCACTTTCAACATCACTTACTATTACCCCGACCAAATACCCAAATTCACGCCTTCTGTCGAGCCCTTGATCAATATCGTCCTCCACCATCCCCTCCCAAGCCCGCCTTTGCAGCCTCCCATCACCTATCTACTCAATGCTTTGCTCAACTTGGACCTCAAGGCTTCTGAGAAGAAAACTCCCATAGGCCCAGAGTCACGATCAAGTCCTCTCTTCCCCTACTCAGACCCGGAGTCGGTTATCGACAGACTGGTGTGCATATTTGACGAAGCCATAAGGACCCAGGACGAGAAGGAACTTGACCAAGCCGCCGCTCCGCTTTGCACTCTGATCAGACGAATCTATGAGCTTGCGACGCCTCAGATGAAATCCTGGATGCGATGGATCCTCCTACCAAGAACTAAAGACCGTGACAAGCCACTGGGCCAGGGCGAAACTTTGTCCGCGCGTCTCCTTCGGCTCTCATGCTCTCCCAATCTTCCAACGCTCCGCGAGAACATCTCGAGTCTCCTGTTCGAGCTTAGCGACAAGGATGCCAACAAGTTTGTGCAAAATATCGGCTATGGCTTCGCGTCTGGCTTTCTGATGAGCCATAACATCGAAGTACCTGCCAGTGCCATTGAGGCGAGCAGCATCGGCAGTGATGATACTGAGGGAGGAGCTGACGCCAACCCGATTACCGGACAGAGGTGGGCAGCAGAGGAGCGGGACGGACCACAAGCGAGTGAGATGACACAGGAGGAGAAGGAGCGAGAGGCGGAACGGTTATTTGTGCTCTTCGAACGTCTCAAGGCCACGGGCGTGGTGGATGTGAAGAACCCGGTGCAGCAAGCCATCGACGAAGGCCGGTTTGAGGAACTGGACTGACGTTGTCGACTAGCGAGTTCGTACCGTTGCAAGTTTGAGATATCGAGCCTTCGGAATGACGATGACGCAGAATGTATGCTACGATCGAAAGTCGAATTCCGCCAAGTCGACGCGATATCGTGATCTTTCGGCGCCGGACCCACTTTGCGTGCATGTGATCCTGACTCAGCTCAGCGCTAGTGGCTTGGCACAGTTGCGAGTGAATCCTGCCCCTCGATGAGGGGTCGAGATATTTGGTCTTCCAGTCTAGAGAGTAACTTTACATATCACCCGAGCGACAGTCGTGAATAGTATATTCGCTAGGGTCAGTGAATCGAAGCGCATTGTATGCGTGAACGAAAGAGTGAAGGACAAAGAGACTCTAACAACACACAGCAAATCACCGCAATATTTTCTATACATTCTATACTTTGCAGTAGTTAGCAAATGCCAAACATACTGCAAGCCTCGCTACCTCGACAACACACCTCACGCCTACCAAAACTATCACGATCGATAGAAGACTCCGGAGCGAGAGATCCACGACCATGAAAGGCGCACTTCGACTCGCGAAAAAGGGCCTGCGCAAATGTCTGAAGCTACGAGCGCGGTTTTGCGAGGACCGACGTAGGGATGGCGATCATACTCGGAAAGGTAGTGCGATCGAGCCGACAGATCCCCCGTTGTCCGCTAGGAATGAAGGCTCCTATGCAGCGGAGCCATCCAAGATAATTCGTCTTCAAAGTGACTCGAGGGAATACATGGCTATAGTGCCCAATGCCGAGTTTCTTGCCGAGATGAGGACCGCGGTGCTGGAGCACAGGAAGATGACAAGTGTCGAGGAAGATTTCAACGAAGAATTAGAGGGCTGGAAGGCAGGATACGATCAGCTCGAGCTACAGATAGCGGAAGTCGCGTGGCAGATTGCAGAGGCTGAAGCTAAGACCCAGCAGGAGTCCCAGGAAGAGAAGTTTGGCGGAGAAGCAATCGACTTGATGCGCGAAGAGATGCAAAAGCTGCATCGCGAACGGCAGGCTGTCCTGGATCGTCGAGACGCGTCTCGAACAAAGATGCATGCTCAGTATGAAGACCTGCGACGCAAACAGTTCCTCTTCTTCCATCTGCTCGAAGAGCTTCTTGTAGAGGACCCGAATGAAGCAGCACGACAATCCGATCCATCGAATTCCAAGCTTGCGCCTGCAACTCCGCATGCTCTCCATGGACCGGAAGGGGAAGCTCAGCAATTTGAGGATATCGGCCCAACAGAACAACTCCATCAATCCGAAGACAAGAAAGTTAAAGAACTGTTCCATCTTATTAACGGGCTCGCGAGATGCGTTGAACAAGCCGAGTACGACCTGGACCATCGACACGAGACGTTCGCACGCCTGCAAGAAGAGCGAAAGCGAAAAGCCGAATTCGGTGACCCAGTCCAGAGTCTTCCAGAATTTGAACTCTTCCAAGTCACCGAGACGCAGAGGCTCACTCGGGCGCTCATCGATGCAGAAGCACAATATCAAGACGCCAAGCAAGCCGCGATAGATGCGGGTATCCAACCCCCAGGTTCCGAAATCGAGTCTGGATTCGTCAGCGACATCGATGATGGGTATAGAGAAAGCGAAGAACGGGAAATCAGCGAGACAGTCGACAAGGCTCGTGTATATCGCTGGCGGGTTGATACTAATGCTTCCGTGGACCATCGGCCCCGCGAGCATCCCTATGACCTTGCGTCAACAGAGCTCGAATTCCGGGCGGCGAATATCTCCTTCCATCCGCGCGACTGGAGGCCAAGAGAGGTGGAAATGTGGGAGAGTGCCTCCATGCTCGCGCAGGGTCCGGCTAGGAGAAGAATCGACAAGTGGAGGGATGTTGTACGCTCATCATCAGGTTTGTCCAGATTGAGGAGTATAGTTGCATCTCAAGAGTAGCTAAGGAGAGAAGTATCGCTCTCGACCTCTTAGGGTAGAGACCTGTCCGCCGCTATTCAGGAGTCGGATCGTAAGGTGTGAGGTTTGGAAGGAATAATCGGGAGCTGTGGAATGTGTTCTTTGAAATAGGGCAGCAAGCAGACGAACAAGTAGTCAATGTCTCGAAAGAAAATCGAAAAATGAGATGTCCTTGCGCATTTTGACCCAAGTTCGAGTGTGATAAGATGAGCAAGAGAACATGAAACCCTCAAAGTGAGGTCGGATCAGAGCCCAAAGCTTAATGAGATCCTCACGTGATGTCGTGTCAGTTTTGTGTAGTAAGAGCATACGACATTCTAGTTTCAAGTACCTCAGAAGCATTTATGCAATCTGTTCATGTCCTAAACAGCCTTCGCGAACCAATCTCCAAGGTATTATCCATGCAAATCCACTCATCCAAACCAAATGCAATATGAACTCACAGAGATAGCCTCTCAGCCAGCAATCGCGCAGCCATAACTCCAAATCCGCATCCCAAACGAATCCTCCCTAGACCCAAAAATTCGAGGTCGAACACATACCATCTCATCCATCGAATAAAACCCCAATCACAGCGTGGCCTTCGCGGGCTAGCGGAGCCTATCGATGTCGAGAGTTCCGACGGAGCGCATCGAGCTCATTCATGGACGACGTCTCCAGCTCCCCCAGGATCCGGGCACGTCGGTCGAACTTGAATGGGTGCGTTCCGGTGAAGTGACACGTGGAGATGGGGTTGATGTGGAACGAGGCTTCCCGCATAGACTTGACCACAAGGGGCTTGTGGTCGTTCTGTCTGAAGTTCTTCTTCCACTCTGAAGGCGCCACCCCGAGCGGCCGAATGCCGACGTGCTCCTGCTGGATGTCTGCAGGCTGATGGTTGAGGCCCACGCCGTTGAAGGTGTAGAAATACGCCTCGTCGGCGTGGAAGGCGTAGATGTTCAGCAGAGCGGTGATTCGAGGCTTTTCCAGATACCAGCGTCCGCCCTGACCTTGGAATACTTGTGCAGGGGGCGGACGGGGCCCATCGTACTCACTGACGACGTAATGATATAGAGGGATGCCGCGTTGGAGCTCACGCACGTAGATGCATTGAGGGATCCTGGATGCAGACTCGGTCTTTGCGGCGAAGTGCACCCGCAGTCTCTGGGTGATGGCGGTAGTAGCTACACGCGTCACTTTGCCCCATGTGGACGTGGCCCTCGGGTCACTACGAGGCTCGGGCTCGCGCATGATCTCGAGGAGCCAGCCCTGCTTCCGATTCTGTTTCGGCTTCTTATTCTCTACGAGAGAGAATCCATCGTCGATTGTGTTGGATGATGTCTCGACATGCTCGTCAGCGAGGCCCGAATCTTTACGCGGCTGCACAACCGGTGCCTGGACAGCCTCGAGACCCTCCTTCTTTTGGTCTTTTATCCCAACTTGCTTGGCCTCTCGCTCCGCCTCAACCTCCTCGATACTCTCATCTTCCTTCTCATCTTCCACAGACTTATTGTGCAATGTCTGAAGCTCCTCTAACTGTGGCTTGGAGGCGGCACTACGTTTTGGCATGGCAGACAGCTTCTGGCCGACACGCCCCCCTGTTTTCTTGGACCAACCCATTATCTTCTCGCTCTCTAGACTTTCCAGACCAAGCTTTGTCTGCTATCAGGCGGATTGTGGCCAAGTTCGGATCGATCGACGATATTTTGAGCGTTGCCGTTTGGGTGTTGATGCTCCTTGCGGTGCTTCAGGAACTGTTGAGCCATGGAGGGCCCATATATTGCAGATCGTCCGAACGTGTTGTTAGAGATGTCACTCAACAACGCATAGTCATTCACTGGGCGAGTGAGGTGTCGCTACTCACTGTTTGGCCCTTCACGACAGCGATTGATCCCACAAAGAGGCTTCAATGCCAGGAAGGAACAAAGCATTGTCGAATGTGTTGTAGTGCATGAACGGTGACTGGCAAGCCAACACAAATGCACTCTTATCTGACATAAATGCACTGGATCAACCTCCATTGCTTAGATCACTCACCTGTACAGACCTAAAGCAAAGTCAGCACACTTCAGTTTGGCAAATACAACCAGTCCCCGGTAAGACCTGCCATATCCACGTACAGGTTGCACGTCAGCTAAACCGAACATGTTCAGCAAGTCTGCCGTCATCGCAGTCATGCATTCGGCTCGAAAGCGACATAACAAGAACACTCCTGGAGATCAGGTTGATCCTGGTCTCACTCAGAGCGACCGGCCGGATGACGGCGACACCCACACAGCGACAGGAAGTACATTGCAAACGCGAGTCCGGAAGATTTTCAAGCGTCTTTTTCGAAGTAGAAATGTCAAAAGCTCCTCGGAAGGGTTGTTGCTGGAAGAAGACCTCGTTGAAGCGCTCCAAAATGGCTTTGTCCTGAGACGCAAGGCTCAAGACCAAAATCGGCAGTTGGAGGTCAATATCAAAGCCTTGGACGAAACCATTGAAAGAACCGCCGAGAGCAAGCTCAAATCAGAGCAGAGACTTGAGGCATTGGAGGCCAATTCTTCCGAAAACGCCCAGCAACAGCTTCCCACGGCTCGGCAGCACTTGGAGTCTGTAAGCACGTTTGCTCGAGGGCTTGAAGTGCACAAATACAAGCAAGAACGAAAGCTGATGCGCTCTAAGGAGCGTGAGCAGGGAATCAAGGCCAAAATCTCCGCAGCTCTTGAAGAAGCTTTCGAGCATGGTGGTGCGCTTGCACAGGTCGATGAAGTCGACCCTACCGTGGAGTTCGATTTGCAGGAGTTTCTCGATTCGGCTGCGACGGTACTCGCCATTCCAGAACTTGCAGACGAGCCGGCTCCAGCTAATGACCCAGAGTTTCAGCCTGGTCCAGACGCTGGGCCGGAGCCAAAGCCAGAACGGGAAGAGGAAGAGTCTTCGCAGGACAACGATCTCGAGAGTGTGCGCAACGATCCCACGGAGGAGGAACTACTCCGGACATACGCAACCATGAAGACGTATGCTCGTCTCGCAGAAGTGGAATTCGACATGCGGCATGATGTCTTCGAGGAAGAGCGCGAGGAAAACGATCGAGCCGAAGAATGCGGAGAGGATTTTGAATCGGCTCTGGCGCTGGACTTGCGGCACTTGCAAGTGACACAACGACTCACGCGTGCTGTTGCATTGGCCGAGGAAGACCTCATGCGAGCCAAGCAGGCGGTGCTTGCCGCAGACATCGCTGTTCCCGGCTCTGACTTGGAGTCTGGATTCAAAGACGATGTCAACGACGGCTACCGAGTGAGCTTGGAGCAGGAGATGATGGATAAGTCCGTCGACAAGCCGCGACTGCGCAAGTGGCTAGCCGGTATACCCGACTTCCAAGTAGGGGCCGGAGACAGCGTCCCGGAGAAGCTCTTAGCAGATGAAGCCGCCTTCCAAGACTGGGACGCAGCATCAGTCGAGATCTGGGAGAGCGTGAGCCTCGTTGCAGAAGGTTCTGATAGGCGGCGGATCGATCAGTGGAGAGAGCTGGCTAGCTCGAGGAACGCCGTGTCCGTGTCAGCGCCACCAGCCTTGTACATTGCAGCATCGACCGACGAAAATCACGCTCCATAGGATTTGAGACGAAAAGTAAGGGACCGAGGCAGAAAATGAACAAACAAGAGTTTGGTTGAGGAGGTGAGGTTAAGGTATGGAACCGCGCCAAGACTTGGCAGTCTGGTGCCTCAGGCCACAAATAGTAATGCTGCCGTCGGGAGGATATAGTGTTGATTTGGCTTCGTCGGATAGGTTGGAATGGTGTATGGAATGGCGTAAGATACATGTAATGTAATAGAATTCAGGTGGTTGGGAAGAGCGGCTACCTTATTTGAACCCCACCATTACCTTAGCAATCGGAGAGGGGTGGGGGGGGGGGGTCGAACATGCAGTGAATCGTCAGCAGAAACAAAACATCAAACATTAAACATTCTTAATGAAAAATGCGGAAATCAATCATATCGTGTCTCGCGACTTGTGCAGTCTCAGTGTTGGGCAAATGCTACGAGCCCAGTCCCGCATTCCCCGTGCCATCATGGACCAGCAACTTAGCCGCCAAGCTGAGACCGACCTTCGATATCATCCAAGAGAGAATCCAAGAAATCGTCAGTGAAAGCAAATACGACAACACATCCTACTCCGTCGAGGTGACATCGAGCACCGAGACGCTGTGGGGAAGCTGGCATACGGCTCGCAACCAGAACGAGACCCGCCCGGGCACCCGACATGTCGATGCATCCAGTCAGTACCGCATTGCCAGTATCACAAAGGTCTTCACCGTCCTCGCGATCCTGCACCAGCAAAAGGCCGGCAATCTGAGCCTCGAAGCTCCAGTATCCCAGTACATCTCCGCCTTGAACTCTCCCGACTACGAACTCCCCTGGAAGGACATCACCCTCCGAGCCCTGGCGAGCCAACTCTCGGGCATACCGCGAGAATTCGCCCAGGGCGACATCCTCAACCTCGTCGCAGACCCAACGACTCTCGGTCTGCCACCAGTTTCCCAAGAAAATAATCTCCCTGCCTGTGACGAATACAACAAGTACAAACCCTGCAATGCCAGCGATCTCCTCTCCACCCTCAAGAACTTCTCCCCGCTCTTCGCGCCCAACCAGAAATCCACCTACAGCAACGTCAACTTCGAACTCCTCGGCCTCGTCCTCGAAAACGTCACCGGGATGCCCTACGAGGACTACATCACCCACGCCATCTTCCAACCCCTCAACATGACCTCCTCCACCCTCACAACCCCTCCCTCCGACACCCACGCCGTCCTCCCCCTCGTGCCCCCAGAAGGCCTCTACAGCGAGGGAGGCAACTACTGGGACGTCGACGAGGGCATCCAAGCCCCGACAGGCGGAATCTACTCCTCGAGCACCGACATGTCCGCCTTCCTGCGCTACATCCTCACCCACTACAACGCCCTCGCCACGGGCGTCAACTTCCTCCTACCGCAGAGCTACGGAACCGGAATCCACAACGCCTACGGCCTCCCCTTTGAGATCTTCCGCACAGACACGCTGCTCCGCCCGTCCACCCGCCGCCCCGTCACGTTCGCCACGAAATCCGGCGGCCTCCCGGGCTACTACTCCCTCATCAGCCTCCTCGACGAATACGCCCTCGGTTTCACGATTTTGGTCGGAGGCGACGCCCCCCTCGTCCCGAGAATCCAATCCCTGCTCGCCGAACTCCTCGTCCCCGCGGCGGAGCAGGTCATCTGGAATTCCATCGATAAGACTTACACCGGCCACTATCGTCCCGTTTCCCCTTCGCTAAACTCCTCCCTCTCCCTAAAAACCTCCCCCGCCAAGGGCCTCCACCTCTCCCACTTCATCTCGAATTCCACCGACGTCCTGCAAGCCCTAGGCGGCGAACTGGGCGCCGCGGCGGGCACTCCGTGGCACGCGCAACTCATCCCGACACTGCTCTTCGAAGACGAGGAAAACCAGCAGGGCGAGATCTGGCGCGTCACGGCCGTGAACGAGAGGACGGAGGATGCGGAGGCCGGGGTGTGGGATGAGCATTGCGTGACGGATGTCGATGTGCTGCGGTATGCGGGACAGCCGGTGACCAAGGTGGTGTTCTGGCATGAAAAGGGCGTTGTGGAACTACCGGCGTTTCAGCTGACGTTGAGAAGAGTCCCGGAAGGAGAGGGAGAGGAGGGATTGACGGTCCCAAAGGTGGATCTGTGAAAAAATCGTGTACAGGATGTCAAGACCGCAGATAGATCGCTCGAACGCTAAGATAGGCAATACAGGATAAACATCATATCAAATCCCCCTCCCATCTTCGTCAAGCGAATTCCATCTTCGTCAAGCGAATTCCAGCTCCCTCTCCTTCTTACTGGCGCTCCTCCCCTTGAACAGACTCCTCAAGACAGAGGGCGCCTTTTTGCTCTTCCCATTCTTGACCCTGCTGCTGCTACTGCTCACTTCACTCTTCGCCTTCGTACTCTTACTCCTACTCTTCCGATGCGACCTCGAGCTCTTGACCGTTGCCGTATCCAGAGGTTTGAGGTCGGCTTCCGTGAGCCTGCCGTCCTCGATGAGAGCCCGCGTAGCAACCGGTGTGATGAACTCTCCATCGATGCTCGTGCCCATGCTGTTAGCCTGCTCATCCGCAATACCACGCCGCCATTGTTCAATTTTCGAGATTTCGCGGAGCGTGTTGTCCTCGTCAAGCGGACTGTCCGCACGTTCCTGTTCGATTTCTGCAGGTCCGACGCCTTGCTCGATCAGTCCTTCGCGGCTTTCGTTGCGGGCTTGGATCTTCTTGATGATCTTGTAGCCTCCCAGAGCAATGATGGTGACGCCAACGCCCACTCCGGCAGCAATCATGAATTGTGGACTAGCCAACAACGCCACGATAGCCGGGAAAGAAGTCTTCATCGCCGCAAGGGCACCAGGAGCCATCTTCGCAGCGATGTTGGAAACCTCGGCCAGTGTGAGGGCAACAGCAGCAAGTGCATCGGGATTCTTCTGCAGATTGTCGATCATGGCTGTGACGGAGTGTTGGACGCAGTTCCCTTCGTCAAGCAGGAGTTGAAGGTAGTTCATCTTGTCACGGAGTTCGACCTCGTCTTCGTGTTTGGACTCCGGCCCTGCAGGAGGGAGCTCACCGTAGGCGAGATCCATGTCGATGCTATCGGCGCTGGATCTGCGTTTGGGCTTCATCATGCCGTCGGTGTTGCGTCTGGTCAGCTCTCCGACGCGCGGATCGTCGGCTTGTGACGCGAAAGAGCCGTATCGCAGCGGTGATGGTCTCGGTGCATGGGATGCGCGTCTCGGTAGAGCATCATCCGCGTAGAATGTATCTGACAACCCACGCTTCATAGGCGGACGAGAACGTTTAGCCTGCGATGGCACCGGCTTTCTTCGTACCATCGAACGCCCGTCTTCACTTCCTCTTCTTGAGCTTCGTCGCGAAGCTTGTGATCTCCTCTCCAGCTCGTCGTCATCGACAGCTAACCGCTCCATCAGTTTCCGTGCTTTACGCTCGCCCTCCCTGGCCTCCGCCTCGTTCTTCCTCTGAGCCTTAAGCTCCGCCTTCCGCTCATTGTAAGCGCTCTTAGCCTCGTTGAAGACGTTGACGAGGTGTTTCGAGGTGCTCACGATCTTCCCCGACTTGTTGACGATCGTGATCGTCTGGTTGATCATGGCTGTACACTCCGCTTGCGAGCTCTTCTCTGCCTTCTGAATCCCAACAGTAAGATATGCGACTGGTCCAGCAAGTGTTTCGTAGACGGTCGCGTTCGTGAATGTGTCTAGTGGCGTTTAATCGTTTTCGTGATAGTACATACAGCAAACCATGCAGCGGTGGGTGGGGTGATCAATGGACAAGTCGGTGGACGTCCTTTGTCTACAGAGACAGGAATAGACTCTTGTCTCAGATCAAGGAAGGTGTCCCTTATTCGCTTGTCCGCAGTTCGAAAGGGGGCCGCTGGGACGAGTAGGAACAGGTCCCGAGCAGCAATGCAGTGTTGCAGAAGCGAAGGATGGTCGTGCCTGTGCCCGCGATCGCCTCACGCACGCCCAGAGAAGGGCGTGGTCGTCGCCAACAGGTATCGCCGGGAGTCTCGGGGCAATCGAGCAAATCGTATGGTGTCACCTGGAGGGCAAACGTGCTTTCACCTGCGATTCGTCCAGCGCAGCCTGGCAATTGGGCGGCAACGATATTGGGAAAGTTGAAGCGCCGTCACTTGCCGTACTTCTTCACGGAATGAATGGAAATGATTTCGAGCGAAGGGAAACGTGCGAAGGCCAACTTATATGGCTGGATGGGCTCCACTGCCACCAGGGCGGCCGTGGGCCTGTTTGAAAGAAGCGGTAAAGACATGGCCAGTTGCTGCTGGGAGATGTGAGCCGCCTTACTAGTACCAAACTTTCGTCATTCCAGACCTGTGGCTGTGGCTGTGGCTGTGCGCCGCCACATCTCTTGCCTCCCCCAGTCCTCTCTTGATGCGAGAACGATGAGGAGCATCATGATTTGTTTGGACACATTGCGAGGGCATGCGAGCGTATTGAATATTCGATCGAATGGTGGCTGTAATTAGAGGATAGAGACATGGATGGGAGAGTTGAAAGTCACAACCTCCTCGGAGGTCACTTCATCCTGTGCTACGAATGCTAGTGCAGTATTGCATATCTTTCGCCTCTCTCATTCACTCACGCCCACATCATGCGCTGGCCATGCTCATCTTGCATCCTGGAGCGTCGTACACCTTGACATCCTTCAGTAGATCTCATCCGGCAGCTACTTCAATGCCTTTATTTGTGAGGGATACCCTCTACAGGCTGTGGCGTCACCTCGGCGACCTCTGCCGCCTTCTTGGCAACATTACCATCATCCTTCATGAACGGGAAGGGTAGAACCTCCTTGATGCTGTAGTGATCCGTCAAGAACATGCACATGCGGTCGATTCCCATTCCCCAGCCTCCAGTCGGTGGTAGACCGTGCTCGATGGCCTTGAGGAACGGCTCATCCAACGGCTGGGCTTCGTCGTCTCCCTGAGCCTTCTGTCTCGCCTGCTCCTCGAATCGAAGGCGCTGGTCGAAGGGATCGTTCAGCTCAGTGTATGCGTTGACGATCTCCTTCTTGCAGACGAAAGCTTCGAAGCGCTCGCAGAGACCAGGCTCGGAGCGGTGGTACTTGGCGAGCGGGCTCATCATCTGCGGGTGGCCGGTGATGAAGGTAGGGTTGATGCACTTCTCCTCAATGAACTCGCCAGTGAGCTTATCGATTATGCGTGCGTTGGTGAGTGGTGGGGCACACTCAACGCCAACCTTCTTGAGCATTCGCTTCAAGAATTCGTTGGTCTCGTCCGTATGAAGCTGGTCGCGCGCAGGAAACTTCTCCCCACATGCTTCCTCGAGCGCCGGAATCATCTCGATCCTCTTCCATGGCTTGGCCCAGTTGACGTTGTAGACCTCGCCGGTCACGGTCTTAAAGGTTGTCTGTAGGCCTCCTGTCACGTACTTGACGATGCCTTCAACGAGTTCTTCAGTGCGGTTCATGACGTCGTTGACATCAGCATATGCCTCGTAGTATTCGCATGTGGTGAATTCAGGGTTATGCGTAAGATCGATGCCTTCGTTGCGGAATTGTCGGCCTAGCTCGTACACCTTGGGCATGCCACCGACGACCAGTTGCTTCAGAGGGAGCTCCGTGGCAATGCGGAGTGCAAGTGTCATGTTGAGGTCGTTGTGATGGGTGTAGAATGGCTTGGCAGTTGCACCGCCAGCGGACTTGAGCAGAATAGGCGTCTCAACCTCCTCAAAGCCATTGTCGTCAAAGTAGCGTCGAATGTACCTCGTGATAGCGGAGCGAGCCTTGAGAGTATTGATCGTGCTCTTGTTGATGATCATGTCCAAGTGACGGTTTCGGTACCGCTCCTCTTGATCCTTGAAGCCAAAGTGTTCAGAGGGAATCTGGTGAAGGCAAGGCGCGAGCAACGTAACTTCCTGAGCAAAGATCGACAGCTCACCAGGGTTGTCTTCGCGCTTTGGATTTGTTCGTCCTGGAAAGCCTTTGACTCCAATAATGTCTCCACGTCTCAAGTGATCGTGCTGCTCGTTGAACGGAATGCTGCTGGTATTCTCAAAGTTCTGAGCCATAATCTGAACCTGGGCGCCATCATGCTGGACTTCGTAGAAACGCAGGTTCTCTCCAGAAGTTCTGATGTTGTAGATACGGCAGCCGACACTGATCTCTTTCTCCTTGATCGTCTCTCCCTTCTTGAGGTGGCCAAACTCCTGCTCGAAATTCCTCAGATCGTAGGTGACATGGAACTTGTGGGGATAGGGATTCGGCGAATTCGTCTCCTTCATACGCTTGACGGCACGCGACCGGATCTCAAAGTATTGCTACATACAATGTCAGTATCATGTCCAATCCAGAGGGTGACACTCGCACTCACGTTTGCATTGAGCTGAGATTCGTCGTCGGCGGCATTGGCCTTGCGCTTTGGAGGCGGAGGCGCCTGCCTGGTTGAGGCAGCCTCAGCCTTCTTCGCTTCCTTCTCACGCTGCTTCTGGCGCCTCTTGAGCTCCGTCTTGGAGACCATCTCGCCGGTAACCTCATCCTTAAGCAGGTTGGGCTGGCTGGTAGCGTCCGAGGTGGTCATTTCGGAGACCTTGTCGGTGACAGTGTTGACGGCGTCCTTGACCGCATCTGCGGCCTTTTGTGCCTGTTCTGCCATCTTGTGCTAGTTGTTTGGACGAGACAAGGTATGAATTTCGAGCAGTTTAAAAATTGGATGGAGCTCTCAATGACTGTTTGTGGGAGTCAGGGATTGGCCGGCTCGTCAAAGTGGGGGCCAAAAACATCCCACTTCAGCACGGACAATACTTTCACAGTCTTGGAAGACTCGGTAATGCAATCAGATTTTTCGCATTTGCGCATACAGGCTCCCGGCGTCCGGAACTGGCACTCTTCCTATACCCATACTCGCACACTTCCCTCTGGGTGGCTCACTGTTTCCATCCCAATTTCGCATCCGCGCCAGTACTCTCTTCGAACAGTTCATCTCCACAGTCAGGCATGCAATTCTGATCACGGTCACAAATGAGTTTCGTACGAGAGAAGCCGCTCACACTGATGTGGTTTGTAGGTCGGTGAAAGGAAGCGGTGCGTACAGAGGGATCAAAGACGTTGGTAGGGGCCAGATGGTCGTCAGCTCGCGCTGTTGGAAAGGTCTGTAAACTGGATAGTAGTACATGTATCGAGTCACAGTTGTGAAGGAAAGGAGCTGAATGGACAAGCAATCTTCCGGGTCATATTTGCCTCGCACATAGCGGAAAGAGCCAATAGAAGAAGGCACTCGTCCCATGATGTGGGAAGCGGCGACACCACATCGGGCCACACACGTCGTAAGTTTGAGACCACGCTCCAACGGGATCACCACTTCTCAAGCAACGCGAGAACATTCCATTGCTTCAGTAGTGTAACAGGTAGGAGCAAGCGCCATTGCTCGATGACGACAAGTAGACATCCTCCCAGGGGTATCGTTAGCCCAATAACAAGCTTGAGGTACCACGAAAATCCCATAAGAGGAATTGAATCCTCCCAAAAGCAGATCAGACGCTCTGTCCGCCCAAATCATTCCTTCTTCCTCCGTCTCACGACTATTCACAGTGCAAAGCCTTTGTAAGGCCGTACTAAACCTCAGCCCGCGTATCGTCCTACGATGATCGCTGTGCGAAGAGCTTGTTCGTCAGATGGTTGAAATCGGTCCTAGCGACAATGTCCTCCTCCAAGATCAGTTTGAGGTTATTCAGCTGCTCCGTTGTAACAGTCTGCGCCTCATTAAGGATCCTCTGCGCCGACGGAGTATATTGCAGGTTACCAAGGATCTGAGTAACTTCCGGGTTCGGGTGCGGTTGAAGTCCCTGAGGTTGAGTCAATCCAGGAATAGGGTAGACTACTTGTTGCTGTGGTAGTTGGGGGCTGTAGGGGTTTGGCGGGATGCTGCCTTGTGAAGGCGGTGCACCGTAGCCTATAGAAAGTCAGCATATGTAGTCCAGCAGTGTAAGGGAATAGGTATACGCACCGGCCTGAGGCAGTGGGAAAGTTGCATTCTGTGTGTTGAGCGGCGAGCCAGCAGGACCACCGATGCTGTTCCTAACGTGCGGTGGAAGGTGGCCATTCGCCGGTGGCTGCTGCGAAGGCGTGCCATCCTGAGGAGGCGAGTTTGGTGCACGCGCGACCACCATAGTAGCCAGCAGCATCCTGTCTTCGATCGGCTTCTTGATTGTGCAATGCTCCAGCATTTCGACATGCTCAGGAAACTTTGTTTCGTTGTCGAGCGGAATGATGTAGAGGTCCTTGACCATTGAGGGCTTGTCCTTCTCCACGACCGCGTACCTCTCGCGACTCTTGAAATAATCGAACAGACTGTTGAAAGCCTCCGCATTGTCGTACGGTGTGAGTGCGAGGACTGCCACGTCGCTGGTGTGGCTCCATCTCAGTCCACACAGGTACTCCTCGGCCTTGGCAACTGCGAGTCGCCCATCGATTGAGAGCTTACTTGGAAGGAGATCTTGCCACGATACAGTAGATGCTAAGTCACGGCCAGCGACAAAGCGAGCGTTCACGGTGGGTGATTCTTCTTCGCGTTGCCCTTGGATCAGCTTTCCACGCCAGACCACAGCATCCGTGCCTATGCCAGCCGTAGGCGAGTAGGAGCCATCGTCGTCTTCAAGCATCCGATCAATGTCAGGATCGTCCTTAGCTCCATTATTATGGGCAGTCTGAGCAGAGCTTGGACGACGGACAGGAGGTGCGGCCGGGCGTGGTCCGGCAGTATTAGTCGGTGATTGTGCCGTCTTCGCCCAGATGTTGTTCATGTCAAATTGTTGACTTGAGGGACGACGGTCCTGTGCCGCGTCTGTTTGCTTGCTGGTGTCGATGATGAGTGGCGCTTGATTGGCAGGGGAGCCAGCCTGAGCCCGTGAAACACTACTTCTCGCCGCAGCCGGTTGGGCCTCCGCAGCTCCGTCAGTGTGCGCACCATCCTCTATCAGATGGAAGCCCTTGTGATCTTGCTTGTACTTTGGTCCCTCCTCCTGTACCGCGATGGCCTGGCGGTCAAGAGCTTCCTTCATAGCAGCTCGTTCGCGCTGCTGCTCCTCGCTCGCCATGTCACTGCTGGGCATGATTGAGAGCTCGTCTGCCGTCAGCGAGCCGTCCATCAACCGCTCAATGAGTATTTTGTTCTTCTTCAGGTTCGCGTTCAAGGCCATAAACTGCTGCTTGTAGGCCGGCGAGCCCGATGTATGGTTCATGTGCATTGCGTACTCGATCCTTGCCGCGTGATGCTCTCCGAACTGCTCTGGAGTGCCTCTGGAAGGAAACTGCACGCCGGAGCTGACACGCTGCTTGAGATCTGCTGTGATGATCTTATTCAGCGCTTGCGCGACGCTTTGACGGTCTTTAGGTAAGTTCTCAATCTTCACCAGCGCTGTATCTGTGTCCTGCAAAGCGGCGGCTTTGCTCTCGGAAGCAGCAGCAGATTTCCTCTTCTTGTCCTGCCTACCAGATCGCGCTGGCTTCTCTTCTGCAGCGGCCGGCTGCTCCTCTTCCTCCTTAGTGTCCTCTCGTTTTCGCTTGTTGCCTGCCGTCTCCTTTTCGCCATTGGTCGCTGGTGGAGTCTGTTCCTTTGCTGGGGCAGGATCTTCGGTTGCTTCTGCTTCAGGCTCGGCAGGCTTGACGAAGTTGTCCTTCTTGAGCCAGCCTGGCTTCCCATTGTCGCCTCTGCTCTTGCTCTTCCGGTTTTTGCTCATCTTCTTCTCGTTCTGGTATATCCTATTTCGCGTCTCCCAGATCTTTTCGCCATTCTCCAAGGCTTGAACGGTTTCTGCATGTTCCTCAGGTCTGCACTCCTCGCAGAAGTAGTGATCCGGGACATCGGCATCGTTCTCAGGCACGCCCATACACACGCTGTGCTGCCAAACCGTGCACGCGTCGCACCCAATGAAGGTGCGCTTGTCTTCGGGATCAGTATCGCCGCAGATACAGCGGATGTCGCCGTCCTCATCCTCATCGCTTTGTGGTTCAGGCTCTTTCGATTTCGACTTGGACTTCGCCTTGGGCTTTTCAGCAGCAGGCTTGCTCTTCACAGCTGCTTTGGTGGGTTTAGGGTTGGGCGCTGGGGAAGAGGATGCATTCTTATGCTGTCCCTTGGTCGCTCGACCGGAGCGCCGCGGTTCATCTGTGTCGCTGTCAGTATGTGGTTTCTCTTGGTTTTGTTTCAGCATGAGACGACGCGGTCTGGTAAAACCAGCGCAACGCCGTCTGCATGTGATGGGTGGATCTGCTTACCAGCCATAGTGCTCTCGACGTGCACTCAGTAGGGAATGGATCGTAGAGTGTAGAGGACAAGTAGACAGAATGACGACTTCACACGCTCTCACACGTCACAAATATCTAGACAACACCGGACGTTTCCCACTGCTTCCTCCGCACTATGCCTTCGTAGAAGAAGTAGCAGACAGTTCTCCCACAGTCAGCGTGCGCGTCGCCGAAGCGTTGCGAAGTCGCAAGATGCGCAGTCCTTGCGATCAACGACGCGATAACGTGTGTGCCTTGGTTAGACGATCGCCGCCCGCTGCTGCTCTACCCTGCTCTGTCTCCTCCAGACCTCCGCCGCGCCGGTCACGCGACCCCGTTTGTCTCTTACCGTAGAGAAGGACCGAGCGATGGTCGCTGAGATTGCGCGACTGCAATGCGCGTATCGTCGATGACTTTGCTGCTGTAGAAGTGTGCGCGATGGTGGCGCTGGTATTTGGTGGGTGGTGTTTTGGTGAAGGTGTGAGTGAGAGCTTGTGCCGAATGGAAGTCTCCGCCCAAGACCGCAGCAGTGGCCGCCCGCAGATTCCACGCTAATCCTCGGAGCCGGCTAGAACTCAGGGTCTCGAGACTTCACGGCGAAAGTGATGGCACGACGACAAAGCGGCCAAAGATCGTGGTATCAAGCAACTTCCTGGCTTCGCAGCGAACTACCAACTTCTTCCTCGAGCCAGACACAGGAAAAATGACCGATGTACGCTCGATGCTACGCGCCCAGCGTGAGGCGAGAAAGATCAACCATCCCCACGCTTCTTACACATCCGATGGAAAGCTCCTGTGCAATCTATGCGAGACACCCGTCAAGGACGCCGCCTGGCAAGGCCATCTTCATTCTACACAGCATATCCTTCGACAGACAAGAGTACAAGAGGCAGCAGCGACCCGGCGCGAGAATGGAGTCAGCAAAAAACGAAAGGCTTCGATCATAGACAGCCCGTCACCCGAGGACAGGAAGAAATCAAAGCCCTCCGTCTCCTTCGCGCCAGGTGCCGAAGAAGATGATAGCACGGATGCTGAGCAGGTAGATGTAACTGCGTCCGCCGATCCCGAAGCTCCAGTTGCCAAAACGCCTTCAGAAAAAGATGGTCAAGCGGAGGAGTTAGTGGATCCTGCCGAACAAGAAGCATTTGAGCGCGAGCTACAGGAAATGGAAGCCAGCCTGGCCGCGGATCGAGCTGGTCAGAATGGGGTTACCATATCAGCCGCGCCAATGACAGCGGAAGAAGTAGCCGCTCACGCAAGAGAAGAACGCAGTGCGCAACGGGGAAAGAGGGATGCAGAGATTGAGGGAGAACGGGAAGATGCAGCGCGTCTCCTTGAGGACGAATTCGAGGAGATGGAAGGATTGGAGGAGAGGGTCAAAAAGTTGAGGGAAAAGCGAGAAGCTTTAAGGAATCCCGATGGCGAGGGTGTAAATGGGAATAGCGAAGCCGGCCCCCCTGCTGGAAATGCTACCGGAGTAAACGGCGATCCGGCAGAAGACAGCGATGATGAGGACAGCGAAGAGGAATTCGACGATTGGAACTTTGGACGGAGATAGCGGGACCAGCTGTCATTTGAAGCGATCGCATGCTATCGCATGCCATAATCGCCAAGCTTCTACAACAACGCCGACCTGACTTTGGCACATGTGAAAGGGACGTCGACGCGTGTTAGCTGTCTCATGCTTTGCCTTATCAGCACTGTGTGGGCAAGGCAGCGTGGCGCCACCGAAAGTATACATAGAAGACAGCCGCAGTGTTTTACGGGCATCTCAAGAAGTGGCCATGGCAAACACGGCTGAGTTTAAGCGCGGGGTCTTTGTTGAAGATCGTGCTCCTCTGCGGATAAATGAGGTCGATCTCGTGGAAGACTTACTTCTGGTATGGGACCCCTAACGAAGATATTGTGCAAAGAATTGCTGCCGCAGCTGTGGCAGACATGCTCAATTGCATTCCACACAACCCGCACCTCGGACCTGGCGTACAGGTCATAGCTCTGCTCACCGCAGCCCAATTAGAGCAACACAACAAAGGGAAGGATATAATTGTCGCTCTATATGTAATACGCGGCAGGCCAAGCCTTCTATGTGGCCGCGAGAGCCCTGAGCTGGTAAAGCAAGGAATTGCTGCCCCGTCGTGATTAGACCAAAGCGCTGCTGGTGCACTCACCTTTCGGAGTGGTCGACCGCAAAGGCCTGCATTGGCTCCAAATAGTGTCGCAATGGCGATGGAGGAAACCAACACAGCAGTTGGCATGGTTCAATTCCTCCGTCACACACGAACTGACCTCGATGTCTTCTTCGCGTACGAGAAAAGCTATTTTTGAAACCGACGCGACTACCCAATAATGAGCCTGTATCTCGTGTTTCTCTCAGAAAAAGGAGCAAGAGCAGCGGCCAGATCTCCCACCAAACTCAAGAGCTGCTTCGAAGCTAATGCCATGGATTATTCTTCGGGGTCGAAAGTTCTGCTAGAAACTGCCGGGATGATCAGTCCTCGGCCAGAAGTGGATCACAAGGATATGGACGTCTCGAAGCTTCTTGTGAAGCAAGGTCTCATGGAGGCTTTTCCAAAGGGCGTTATTGAGTCGCAAGTAATCAAGCCAGTGGCGTTGCAGTACGCAATCGAGACATAACATACCAAGAAATCCGACTCGCGTGAGCAGCAGCAGCAACACTTGACTCCTGAACAATGCGCCTGAAAAGTCATCAAAAGGTATCTATTCGCGATGGTTCCTGATAGGTCGAAGGGGTCTTGGAAGGAGAGACGGATGAAGAAGAAGAAGGGCATTCCGCGTGCTGGAGGGCATGCAGGTTTCAAAGTGCCTGGGTCTGCCACTACTGGAACTGCGGATGGTCATGGTACCGCTGAGGTTACCGATTCCACTGGGGATGCACCACCGCTGACCTACAAAGACATAGCAGGATCAAAGGCTTCTTAATCTCGAAGAACAATGAGAGTACGAGGACCGACGCAGACGATGTGAAGCACTAGAAGTAATTACTTTATCTTCAATAATATCCAACCTTATCCATGGGGTATCATTGCAATCGCGTCCTGTAGCGAATACCGAATTTGCCCAAACGTGTGTTCTTCGTGGCCCATATTCACATCAATTTACACGCCCACTCGTCCCCGGAGCCATACGTTTCCCTGCCTTCGTTCTACAAAGCAGCACTTGCGGCGCGTCGACTCAGGAGTCTACTCGTCCAACGTCTCTGCTCCTCCGCAAAATCATTGTTAATCTCAAGCAACTGCTCAGTTTGCAGCCGGAGGCTTTCCAATGTCCCTTCCAAAGTCATCCGGCCGCCTTCTTCGTCCTCTCCCTCTTCGAGCGAGTGATCGTTTCCATTGGGCATATACCGCTGTCGAGGAGGCTGTCGTGGGCGATAGCTGAAGGGATCAGTCATCTCGTCATCCGATCGGGCGTAAGAAGCCCCACTGTATGCATCGTCGTCTTGGTCTTCGTCTTGGTCGGCGTCTGTATAAGCCAGTGATGTTTCAACACGGTTGATGAGGACATGATCCAAGCCACTCGGAGGCTCCTCGAATTGCTGCTGGATCTGGAAGGTGTCGGCAGTACCGTGTAGACGCATTAGCTCCCCCCGAGCTCTCGAAAGAGATCCTTCTGCCATTTCCTTCTCAGCTCTCACATGCGCCAGCTCGGCTTCCAGCTCTTCAACACGCTGGTCATCGCCACGCCAACTTTGCTGGCTGTTATTACGCGAGACCGCCACCTCTGCAATGAGGTCTTGGATTCGCCGGTCTTTGCCGTGGTGGTCTTGCACCGACGATGAGAGACTGTTGCTGAGCTGGTTCAGCTCGCCCTGAATCTCCAATAGGGACTTGTTTACGATCGTGTTCTCGCCACGAGCGGTGTTCACGGCCCCTTCAAGCTCCTCAATCCGCCGGTCTTTCATTGCTGCACCTGCCTCAAAAGTGTTCAGTGCAATACGAAGACCTCCCGCCTCGATGCGCAGCTTGTTGAGCTCGTCTTCCGCCGCGCCTTTACCCGCGTGAGCCGCAGCGACAAAGGATGCCAACTCTTCAATGCGGCTATCTTTCTCTCTAGCTGTCCTCTCGAAATTTTCTCGTGAGCCCTGAATGCCTTCTAGCTCAGCTCGGACTTTGGCGAACTCATTCTGCAATGCTTCCAAAGTCTTTGTAAGGCCGTCGTTCTCGTGCTTATGTTGATTGAGCTTACTCTGCAGCGCGAGTGCTGACTCTCCGGCAGCTTGACCAGATGCGCTGTATTCTGCCTGCGCTTTGAATAGCGAATCCGTTAGACCGGCGATGCGTGCGTTCTTCTCGTCTCGCTCGTTTTGCAACACTTGTTGAAGGTCGGCTAGCTCCCTTTGCAGGATTTCATTCGTGTTCGTGAGGTTGTCTGCTTTCTGCCTCCGCGACTCAATCTCATCCTGCAGCGCTTTCGTGATGCCGTCGGCCGCTTGAGTAGTGTGTTGTAATTCCTCAAGCTCACGTTGAGACTGAGTGAGCTGTTCAAGCAACTTGCTCGATTCTTGGCCGGTGGCGGCAGAGGCCCTAAGCTCCTCAAGAGCCTGCTGCGAACGGTCAAGTTCTTCTTGAAGGATCTTACGAGAGGCTTCTACAGCCTCTGCAGATGCCTTGGCCTCCGTCACTTCGTCTTGCAGTTCTTCAATGACTTTGTTGAGACTGTTCTTTGCTTGTCGGTAAGATTCAATCTCATCCTGCAACGCCTTGCTCGATCCCTCGGCAGCAGCCGCTGTACTTCTAGTCTCTTCCAAGAACTGTTGAATCTCAGATAGCTGCTGTTGCAATCTCTCGTTCTCTTCCTCCGCTACGGCAACGTTAGAGTCAGCATCTTGACGAGCTGTTTCAGCCTCTTTTATCTTTGATTTGACGGCTTCAAGTTCAGCTCTGAGGGATTCATGTTCGCTCTGGGTTGAGAGCGCAGCCGACGAGGCAGTTGCATTTGCTTCCTCTAAGGCACGTTGCGCTTCCGACAATTTCCCCTGCAACTGCTTGTTCGTTTCTTCTGCCATGGCATGGGCGGCTTCTACTTCAGCCTTGAGTCTCTCAGCCTTGCTCTCTTCTGTTGCAGCCGAGGATTTATATTCCTCGAGCGCCTGTTCAGTCTCCAATAGCTGCTCTTGCAGTCGCTGATTGGAAGTCTCTGCTTCGTTCGCGCGAGTTTCTGCTTGCTCGAGTTCGCGCCTCGCATCCCCAGCATTTGTTACAGCGGTCTCTGCTTCTTTCTTTAGTAGATCAATTTCTCCTCGCAGCTGTTGCATACTTTGGGTGGCTGTTGCTATCGCCTGCTTCGACTGCTCGAGCTCTGACCGAGTATCATTGAGCTGATCCTGCAGCATTTTCTCACTCGCCTCTGCTGCTGCCGCTGAGGCCTTTGCTTGTTGTGCTTCTTGTCTCAAGTCTTCAAGCTCCTGGCTTTGATCTCCAGTCTCTTGCCGCTGCGATACCATCTGCTCTTCAAGCGCCTTGTGAGATGCCTCTGCCGCAGCAGTTGCGGACTTGGCCTCCCGTAGTTCGTTTTGCAGTTGCTGAAGCTTCTGGTTAAGTTCGGCAGCCTCCTTGCTGTGCGTTTCGACCTTTGACTGCAAGGCGTCTTTTAATTTGTCCGCCTCAAGGGCTTTTGCTTTGAGCTGCTTGGTTTCATTCTGTAAATGACCGACGGACGCGTCAGACACCGACTTCACGGCCTTAAGCTCCTCTAAATCCTTTCGTGATGATTCCGTCGCCGATTTGAGGGTCGCCAGTTCGCTTTCCAACTGTGAATTTGATTCAATGGCACGAGCCTCTGACTTTTGGAGCCGATTGACTTCTTCTTGCAGGCGGGCGGCATTTTCAGAGGAGGCTGATCCGAATGCTTTCAGTTCTTTCAGCTCTTGTCCGGCGGCCTCTGTAGCCTGCTTGTGACTTTGCAATTCGCCCTGCAGGGCTGAGTGTAACTGAGCAGCGGTAGCTTCAGCCGTTCTGAGCCGCCCCAGTTCTTGTTGGGATTCGGATAGCTCCTGCTCAGCCCTATCTGCCCTTGCTTGCACTTCGGTCTTGGACTCCACAGCTGAAGCCGCCGACGCCTTGAGCTCTTCAATCTCTTTCTGAGCACTGCGGAGCTCATCCTGAAGACTCTTCTTGGCCTCATCGGCAGCCTGCTGAGAGTGCGCAAGCTCGGCTTGCAATTCTGTGCTGGACTTCACATCCGCGACTCTGGAGCTCTTCAGCTCTTCGATCTCTTGCAAAGCCCTTTCCAGGTCTTGCTGGGCACGGCTTTGCTCTCGTACATTCTGCTCTTTATCGGACGCATACGTCTCAATGTCTGCTTCCAGCCTTCTATTCGCCTCGTCTGCATCTTCAACACGCTTCTTCAACTCCTCAATCTCCTTTGTGATCCGCTCGACTTCGGCCTCCTTCTGCGATCTGGACTCGTCGTACTCATTGGCTGCGCCCTTCAGCAATTCGATCTCAGCACGAGTCGTCTCTAGGTCTTTTTGTGCACGTTTGTGACCTTCCTGTGCTTGTTCTTTCTCAGCATTGTGATTTGCAACCTCAGCTTCAAGTCGCTCTCTAGCCCCATCAGCTTCAGCATTGGCCTTCTTCAGCTCCTCTATCTCTTTGCGAGCATTCTCAAGATCGGCTGCTTTTTGACCCGTAGATTCGCTGTCTGCGGTAGCGCTGCGCCTGAGCTCTTCATTCTCGTTCAGGAGACGCTCGATCTCAGCCTTTTGCTGTGCGGTTGATTCGGTTTCCACTGCCGCAGCCTTCTTTAGCTGCTCATGCTCTTGTAGTGCGCGCTCAGATCTGAGCTGCTGGCTGGCCTTCGCTTCATCGCCGCTTGTTGCAACTTTCTTCAGCTCTTCGATCTCTTTGAGCGCGCGTTCAAGCTCGGTCTGTCGAGAGTCATTTGTCTCTTGTTCTACTGCGGCGGCCTTTCTAAGCTCTTCGTTCTCCTTCAGAGCCCGCTCAAGCTCTGACTGCAGATCTCCGCGGCGTCCCTCGTCCGCCGCCACAGACTGCTTGAGCTCTTCATTCTCCTTATGAAGTCGCTTCAATTCGGCCTGTCGCTCAGTGTTCGAATCCGTGTTTGCATTTGCAATGCTCTTCAGCTCCTCATTCTCCCTAAGGATACGATCCATCTCAGCTTGTTGCTGTGCCTTTGCCCCATTATCCGCCGCAGAAGACGTCTTCAACTGCTCCATCTCTCTGAGAACACGTTCAAGATCTTGCTCCTTGTATCGTACCTCCTGTCGCAAAACATACTCTTTCTGCATAGAACGCTCCTTGGAGTCTCTCAGAGCCTTTTCTAATTCCAGAACCTTACCCCCATAGCCTTCAATCCTGCCAATCTGCAACGATTGTGCGCGGGAGGGACGCATAACAGCTTGCTTTCGTCTCTCCAATTCGCCATCAGAAACTGCCATTGATCGGATCTCGATTTTGCGGGGATTTCTGGAGGGGGAAGTGAAAGGTCTGAATGGGATGAGCTCGGCCGCTGGCTCCAAATCCAGTGCGCCGGCCAGGTCGCCTGCGGAGACATCGAGGGCAGAGATAAGGTAAGACGCAACGTCGGTACTATTCGTCTCTTCAGGGATGGTGTCTCTTGACATTGGACGACTTGAACCAGTGGTCGTTGCACTACGCGGAGAAGCTACCTTTGACGCGTTGGCAGTGGTGGGCTTTGGCGTCGTCGACGATGGGGTAGACAGCCGAGGCTTCGGGGTAGTGTTAGAAGGCGTAGATCGCGTCGTGTTACTAGAGGGACGATTTGCAGTGGTTGAGGAGGTAGATGGAGATGAGCGCGCTGCGGATGCAGCAGTTGGAGTTGTCGCGCGCGAGAGTCTCCTGTTCTCCGCTGAAGCAGCCGAGCTCCTGGTAGAAGCAGAGGCTGTTTCGCCTGCTGCCCTCCGTGCGCTTGAGGCAGTCGACGAACTTAGAGATGCCCGAGGAGAGGCCTTAGCTCCAGTAGCGGGTGTGCTGCTGGTTGAAGTGTTGGCGGTCCGTGAGGCGGTCGCATTCGGTCTGGAGGACGTGCTCGACGAGCCGAGTCGGGATGAGGCTGTTGTCGGCTTCTTCGCGTCGTCCTTGCCATCTTTCGCAGCTCTCGACGTCGCGGACGTTGACGTCCTCGTTGCGCCTGGCTTCTTGTCCATGATCGAATTCCTCCCTCACGACCTTTTGCCGTCTCTTTCCATCTGAAGCTTCCTATCTTGCCCTCATCTTCTCTTCAATCACCTCTTCAAGGAAATCCGTGTAAAGAATGTCGTGGTTCAAGTCGGACATAGAACTTGCAAGATGATGTCGTCTCAAAAGCAGGGCATCCCCAGATGGCTGCCAGGGGCATAATGGGGGTCCGAGCCGGAAGATTGAGCCGAGCGTCAGGTACGCGGCACGTGCTCCCTCACATCTCGAATTGCTTTGCTTTGCTTTGACGCTTTTGACACTTGACTACACCATTCAACTCCGCTTCCACTTCGACAATACCATGTTCCATCCCGTCGCCATGCGTGATGAACGACTCGCAGGAGCAGGCCGATAAGGGCAGTCTGGATACACCCGCTACCGGCAATGGACAGCTTCTGCCACCTACTCTATCGCCCATCAGCGAGCATGGAAATGGAGACGCACCAACCTATCCCGATATATCGCTGAGTGCCAAGAACGGCAACACACCAGCTTTCCACCAGAGTGGCGAGCCTGAGCAACATGAGCGACGCCGCAGCAGCGACAATAAGCTACTGAAGCTATCGCCACAACAGATTCAAGATTTGACCACCTCACGCGACTCACTTCCGCTCAGGCAACTGGATGAAACGCTCTCTGCTCTCGACGAAGAAGATGGTAATGAGGAGTGGCACGATGCTGCTCCAGAATCACGTGGCTTGGGGCTGGCAATTCACGCCGAGCCATCGCCTGTGTCTCCATTGAATGGCCTTTCGAGCGTGGCAGCGACACCAGCTGGCGCTCCGCGTCCTTCTTCTACGCGCTCCTTCTCTACATCTGTAACGCAGCGAAAGAGCTCATCTTCCAGGTCTTCGAAGGACAAACCACAGCTGCCTCCGTTGAAAACTGAAGAAGCCAACGCAAGAAGGCCGAGTGGGACTGCAGTGAAAGCATCCCCCATGCCGGGCAGAGATGCCTCCCCTATGCCATCGATTCTCCCTATTCCACCTCTATCGCTGCCCACATACCTTCATTTGGAGCTTTCCTCCGATAGACCATCACCACTCTACATCCACCGGTCAGCGTCGAGCGAGTTCCCCTACGAGTCTTCCAGGGTCAAGTTCGAAAGACTTTTGAACTTCATGCGGCTTCCCGGTCAGCTCGAACAGATTCTGCTTTTCGGCGCAATAGCGTGTCTGGACGCATGGTTATACACATTTACGATTCTACCGCTACGTTTCTTCAAAGCAGTGGCAGTTCTGCTCCAGTGGATTGGCAGGAATGCCGCACAGGAAGCGCTTGACCTCGGAAGCTTCGTCTACAGTGGCCTCCGGCGTGTCTGGCAGCGACAGCGGGAAGCTTCAACGCCGGCACCACGTTTTGAAGCAAACATGCCGACTCCTTTGGTGCCTAGCAGTCGCCGTACATCAGTGTCGGAAAGTGAGCACTCCGCGCGAACTTCCTCTGAAGCCGCAGTATCTTCCGGCGCGCGGTTCAGCGGACATGTTGTATTACCATCGCCCATCAAAAAGCCACGAAAGCGCTCTTCGGCGTTTCGGCATCGTCGAACGCGGTCAACGCCCTCTGCTCTTCTACCAAATCACAAAGCCGATCTCTTGCAAGGACTCCTCATCATCTTGAGCTGCACAATGCTCATGTGGTTTGATGCCAGTAGGATGTACCACTCCATTCGCGGCCAAGCTGCCATCAAGCTCTACGTCATCTACAACGTACTGGAGGTGTTTGACAGACTATTCTCTGCACTTGGTCAGGATGTACTCGAGTGCCTCTTCTCCAAAGAGATACTTGAGAGAGATACAGATGGACGCAGCAAAGTCTTGCGGCCACTCTGGATGTTCGCGCTGGCTTTGGTGTACAATGTCGTCCATGCAACGGCTCTCTTCTATCAGGTGGTCACTCTGAACGTCGCGGTCAACTCATACTCAAACGCACTCCTGACGCTTCTCATGAGCAACCAGTTTGTGGAGATTAAAGGAACAGTCTTCAAGAAGTTCGAGAAAGAAAATCTTTTCCAGCTTACCTGTGCCGATGTCGTGGAGCGTTTTCAACTTTGGCTGATGCTGTCGATCATTGCATTGCGCAACATTGTCGAAGTCGGCGGCCTCAGCATCAGTCTCAGCAGCGCTTTTGGAGGTGGTAACCTGAAGGATACCTCTATCACGAATGGCACAAGTGTGCCACTCATTTCAGGGTTTGTCATACCGAAAGCCTTCACATTATTCCCCAAGTGGACGGGCGAAGTGCTTGGACCATTCCTGATTGTGCTGGGGAGTGAGGCCTTGGTCGACTGGTGCAAGCACGCGTACATCACCAAGTTCAATAACGTCAAGCCCAACATCTATGGTCGCTTCTTGGATGTGCTGGCAAAGGACTACTACTCTCACGCTTTTGCAGACCAGAACCTGACGAAACGCCTTGGTCTGCCTGTCATCCCGCTAAGCTGCCTCTTCATTAGAGCTTGCATGCAGACATACCACATGTTCTTGGCGACGCACATGCCTCTGCCAATCCCCTCAGCAGCGACATCCATCTCGTTAGACTCCGAGACATCCTCATCTTCACCAGCTACAACAGCCGCACTCCAGCACATCGACCAGGTCTTCCGTAGAGCTCTCGGCCGCTCATCGTTCGGTGCAGGCTCGCATACTGGCTCGGCTTTCTGGTGGAGCATCGACGACTTCATCGCTTTCGCGACCATGATCATCGTCTTCCTGGCCATCTACCTTGTCCTTCTGGCCTGCAAACTCCTCCTTGGCATGGCATTGCTCTCGTACGCTAGAAATCGTTACAAAGGCATGAAAGACCGCGAACAGCAGAGTGTGGATACCCACGGCAAGCGAGTCGGCGGATGGGGCACGACAGAGGTCGGCGAGGACAAGAGACGCTGGATTTATGAGGATGACCCGGATGCGTTGCGGGAACTGGAGAAGAAGGAACGGCGGGCTAGAGAAAAGGCTGAAAAGGGCGAGATGAAGCTTGATGGGGTGGAGAGGTATAGTATGGCTGCTAAGAGGATCTGGTAGCGCTTAATTCGAGATTTTGCTGTTACCACCTCTTTCATTTGCCGTCCGAGATGAGAGGTATCAAGAGGCTGCGGCAAGCTGCATCTAGCTGACTTTATATACTGACCTGGCATAGAGATCGACGATAGGAAGCGTAAAGAGGGCTTGCATAGCCTTGACGTGAAGCTTGCGTCGGGGATGGCTTCTGCGTTTCCAACCCATTTTAAGCCTAAGGCTTTTCAGGATGTGTGTGTGTGTCAGAAAATCTACAGCGTCAATATCCAGACAGTTTACCACGTGCTCTACGCCCCAACGCTTCTCGTGTCCCCTCGATAGACGTGAATGAAATTCGCTACCGCAAGGGATACCTCAACTTCACTAGTACTTTCCAACCACCACTTTTCGCTTGGGATTCCGACTTCGCCCTCGAACGGGATCGCAGATCTGGGTCTGGTGAGATTATAGCGAACGAGTCAGAATTCTCGGCGGTTGCTAATGGGGATGATATTGCGTTGGATGAGTAGAGGAATGCGTGGAGCGACTGCTTCGAACACGCTTGTGAAGGTTCATGTGTCGCGTGGAGGCAGACAGTTCCAGGGTGTTGCTGGAGGGGTGGCTAGTGTTGTGCTCAAGGGGTGCACCAGTGCTGCGTTTGGCAGAGGTCGAAAGTTGTTTGTTACTACCAGCGAAGGACCGCGGCAGACCCTTCCCCATTTTCGGGGAGGAGTGTACGCTGTTGACGTTAGCAAGTTGTAGATTAGATATGAGGTATCGATTGGTTGGGTCGGGCGTGATTGGGTGTCAAGATGCTATTGCCGGTTCTTCTCTCAACTCCAAGCCGCCCGTGAGCCTTCCATCGCTCTGATTACTTCTTTCTGTTTGGGGCATGACGCGATCTTCCGCTCTCTCTCGCCACAGTCGCATCCAGTGTAATTCCTCCCTAACGCGATGCTATGTCATGCAGAAAGCGGAGATGATCGGTTGGTTTCTTCGGACTGCTAATTTGATAGGGACTGGAAGATAGGATTCCAATAACCCATGCTGATCTCCTGGAATTGCTCTTCATCCGAGGGGTACAAATTGTGTACTTTGGTCCGCAGAGCTTGCCATTTAGCGGGACTCATTGCCTCCCTCGAGGCCATGTTACGGCTGATCCATGAGAGCTTTTCCGTCTGGATGAAAGCGGCTTGCGTGAGCAGTGAATCGCAGGGTGTCTCTTGTCCACGGTAGAACCGGTGCTGATCTTGGTGGAAAAACGCAAGTTTCAATGTCTTCAATTTGGCCGTGCTGTTGAGGGCTTCTGCGAGTTGCTGAAGACGATTCCCAACGCAAGACATTGCAGCGTCGTCGTGGCCGTTGAAAGAAATTTCGAGCTCCAGGTGACGAATGTTCTGGAGGAGACTGCAGTCTGGTATGGATCCAAGACTAGGTAATGACTTCCAATCGCTTTCGCTGCGGACTGTCATTTCCACGGTCGTAGAATCGTACAGTAAAGGGAGACATTCCACATAGAATAGTCTACAGACAAGGAGGACCGCGGTGTCGGCGATGATGCTAGAATCAGGCGAGCTGATACATACTGTATCCAGGATGACGACCGGCTTTCTGCATCGGATGTCTTCCTGTAGGAAACTGAATATGTGGGTTCTCAATTCACCTGGAAGAGCAAGAATGCAGCTGTGCTCCCGGGAAGTGATGCCGTGGCACATTGTTGCTGGTTGACGTTCAGAAAGCGAGCTACGATAGAGTCTTCCTTCAATTCGTCAAAGTCTTGTCTTAGGTTGTCTCGTCTGGGAACAAAGTGATGCTGAGCCTGTTGAACGGAAGGATCCCTCGAAAGTTGGTAGAGTAAGCAGCGATGAAGCTAGTCCCAATCTAGAAGCCTTTCACAAGCCACGCATCCCGCTTGAGCTCATCTCAACTTTCTGCCGAACATCTTCAACATCGATAAAACACATACGCCACATATTGCCACATATTGCCCGTCTCGAGCATTTGCACCGGCGCTTTCCTCCCTCGACATTCGGATGCGCTCCTTCGCGCGCCAAAGCGCTCGCTTGGCCAGCCAGAGCCGAGTTCGACAGCCCTCGCGTCCTCGACATTGCCCGGCACAGCATTCGCGAAGCTTCACTAGCTCAATATCACAACAAGTCGATAACCGTGGGACCGGAGGCCCTTCTGATCCCACAAACTCCCCAGACTCGTCGAAAGAAGAGCACAAGGAGAATGGCGCTGCTGAGAATGAGCCAAAAACATCAGAACACGAGGGGCAGAGCGAGGGGGCAGAGACGAAGCACACAGACAACCGATTGTGGCCGCAGACCAGGTCGCACAGGGACAGACGAATTAAGAGGATGAGCATCGAGAAACCGCCGCCCATTCCTCAATGGTTTTTAGATCACAACGTGAAGCTGCAGACACAGTCAGTCAAAACTAATACCCCCAACGGCAGGGCGAGACATACCAAGAATCTGCGCTGCATAGATAAGGAAACTGGCCACATCCTCTTCACACTGCCTTATTACACTGCGTCAGAAGAATCAGAAGCTTCCCATTCAAAGAAGAAGGCCAAGTCCGAACAGACGGATGTCTCTGAGAAAAAGCCGCTGGAGCGGAGCTTTTTTGACAATAAGTTCGAAGGACCACAGAGGACGGCATCGCCATCGAAACCTGATCTATCAGACGCCAAAGCGGAGTCACCGAAAGAGGCACCCAGAAACATTGTTACAGATGAGGAGCCTTATGATTTGCTTCGGTGGGCAATGTTAGAAGCTGAGACAAGTGTTCGCGCAGCTTTTGATATGGCCGCACTGAGTGGGGGGCCTCATTCGGTAGCCACAAGCAGACTTGATGTGTCGCTAGTGTGCCCAGACTCCCACGCGCATGATAAAATGGATGATCTCGTTGAGGATCTGGCGGATATAACGCAGGCGGACATTGTTCGAATTGATGCCAACGACGTTTCCGAGCTTGCTGCTGGGTACAAGGGAAGCGGCTCAGATTTTACTGAGCCCTTTTCCAATCTAGCCTATGAGGTATTCGATGGGTACGCCTTCGATCCAAGGAAGCCTGGTCGCGTTGTAGAAGAAGAGGATGAGGACGAGATGGACGAAGACGAGGGGGAGGATGAAGAAGACCCTCGCACTGGAACTGACCATAATCCTCGACCAGGAAGTCTACTCGACAGTCTTAGGAAAGCACTCTACAGTCGACGTCACCAATTGAGTAAAGCACTGGGCAAGGACGGTGTTGCAACTCTTCCAATAGAGATGACAGTGTCTAGCAGAATGGCGCCCGGCTCCCAAAGCACCGGCTTTCGCCATGAGAAAAGGCAGGATGCCATCGAATGGTTGGAAGTACGTCTACAAGCGCTTTTGCAGAGCCTTCTCGATGCGCCCAGGATTAAGCGCGTGTCGACGTCGACTCACGGTGTTGGAAACTTTGGACACCGGATTTCTCTGGATTCAGACGATCGCAGGCCGCAGGGTAGCTTAGCGTCTGGAGAGAAAGCGCCCCGGGCGCCTCACAGAGAACTGATCCAAGACCCATATCAGTGGCGCTCTCACGTTACAAACATTTTGAATTCCTATCTAACCGATCAATCTCGTCGCGAGAACGATAACGGGCTCTCGCTCGAGTTGACCCCTCACGATAATGACATCTCCCAAACTGGCTCGTCTGGCAGGACCATTGTTCACGTCCGCGACTTGAAGGATTTTTGCAATTCCAAGACAGGCGAGATGGTGCTTCGCAATCTAGTTTCCGTCGTGCAACAGAGTCGCGTAGCTGGAACGAAGGTCGTCATCGTTGGAACGACGGCGCGAGACGCCGGAGCCGGGCCCTTCATACCCTTTGACTCAACAATCGACGAAGACGGCTTTCGAAAGATCCAGGTGCAGCCATGGTTTGATGTATCAAAAGAAGAGCTCTTCCAATACGGGCTTGTCGGCGATGCGCTGGAGTTGAAAGGATGTCCAGAAACGTCATACAGAAGGATTCTCGAGATCAATCTGCGACATGTGCAGTCCATGTTACGGCAGATGCGACCAGAAGACGCCGTTGATTTGTTCAGTGACGGGGCTCAACGCCAACTCAAATTGGTCAACCACAACCTTCTGGGCCAGAAAGTGCTTTCCTTTGACCTGGTTCAAAGGCTTGTTCTTACCGCCATAGGGCTTTCGCGGACATACATGGAGTCCGATGTCGTCAATGCAGGCCATCTGGCGCTCGCAGCGTATGTCACAACGATGTCTGACCAAAAAGAGCGAGATTGGATGAGTATGAAATCTCACGCATCCACGTCAGCGACACATGTCGACCCAGAGACGAAGGAAGGTCTCAGTGCCGACACGTTGGGGCCTGCCAAGGCACAGGCGAAGATTGATAAGCTGAAGAAGAGCTGCAACACTCACGAATCGAGACTACTTCCAGGTGTCGTCGATGCTCAGAACATCAAGATCGGATTTAACGAGGTCCACGCACCCACGGAAACGCTGGATGCACTCAAAACGCTAACATCTCTCTCCCTGCTAAGGCCTGATGCGTTCAAGTATGGCGTCCTCGCTGCCGATCGGCTGCCCGGCTTGATGTTATACGGACCGCCCGGTACCGGCAAAACATTGCTGGCCAAGGCAGTGGCGAAGGAATCTCGGGCTACGGTGCTCGAGATCAGTGGCGCGCAAATCTACGAGAAGTATGTTGGGGAAGGCGAGAAGATGGTCAGAGCCGTGTTTAGCCTGGCGAAGAAGCTGTCCCCATGCATCGTGTTCATCGATGAAGGCGACGCCATCTTTGGCAGCCGGAGCAGTGCCGGCAATCGGAATACTCATCGAGAAATCATCAACCAATTTTTGAGGGAATGGGATGGGATGGACGCCAACCACAACGTCTTCATCATGGTGGCGAGCAATCGGCCTTTCGACATCGACGACGCGGTTCTCCGAAGACTGCCCCGCCGACTGCTGGTCGATTTGCCCGTCGCCAAGGATCGGGAGTCCATTCTGAAAATCCACCTCAAGGACGAAGCGCTGGACGAGACGGTCTCGCTTCCCGACTTGGCGGAACAGACACCGCTGTACAGTGGGTCTGATTTGAAGAATCTCTGTGTCGCAGCGGCGCTCGCATGCGTGCGAGAGGAGAATGAGCTCGTCAACTCGAAGCAGGACAGTCCTGACTTCAAGCTACCTGAAAAGCGAACGCTGTCCTCTCGGCATTTTGAAAAGGCGATCAAGGAGATCAGCGCGTCCATCAGTGAGGATATGAGTTCTTTGACGGCGATCAGGAAATTCGACGAGCAGTATGGTGATCGCAGAGGCAGACGGAAGAGGCCGGCGTACGGATTTGGCATGGGTGATGGGAGCGTTGACGAGAGTGCGGCGAGAGTGCGACAGTCGCCTCCTCCGCCGTGATCAATCGATTGATGAGAAGATAGCACTAAATATTGATGAGAAGTGAGTGAAGTTGTTGTATTGGTGTGGGTGGTTGGAGTGTGGTTGGAGTCTGACTTTCCCGCCATCCGACTCTCCGAGCCAACGTCCTGCACGGGCCTTCGCTGCGCCTACCACCACTGCACCGCTTCTCGTATTGAGAGATGAACGACTCGTGATTCCGCGCACCACTCCCTCTCCTCTCTCTTACACCCTCGGTACGTTCGCTTTCCACCTCAACGTCATCCTCAAAACTAGGCCTGAACCTTCACAATCTCCTTCGTTGGCCTCTTCCGAATTAGAGATCGTCAGCCCTGGCCCAAACGACCGCTTCCAGCCGGCTCATGGTGGAGGTGGAGCCCTGCGATAGTCCACGTCTACACAACACCTACCTCTCCCTCCCGCACACGCGGCCATGCGCCTCCCCTTCACCCTCCTCTCCCTAGCCGCTTGTGTCCTCGCCCCGATTGCGCAAGCCAGCTCCACGACGCGCAACCCGCTCTCCGCACTCTCCGATGTCCAAAATGCGACGATTCACACCCATAACCACCGTCTGACAGCGCTATCCCATTTCGACCTCAGTTTTATCCTCCGGAACGATGTCTGGGTGAAATTACGGCTGGAACCGAATCACGACATTCTGGGCGAGGACACGACGGTCACGTATCTGAAATCCGACGGGAGTCTGGACAGAAGGGAAGGAGTAGATCGGTTGGGGCATAAGGTGTACAAGGGAACGGCGTGGGTGCAGAGGCCTAGCATTGGGCCGTCAAAATGGCAACGGGTGGGTTGGGCGAGAGTATTCGTGGCTCGGGATGGCAAGGATCCTGTCTTCGAGGGCGCGTTTTCGGTGAATCATGATCACCACCATATCCAGACTACGACCAACTACAGACGGACGAAACATGCGTTGGATCCGGAGGTGGAGGATGGCGAAGAGTATATGGTCCTCTGGCGGGATTCGGATATCATGCCGGATGACTTGGATCACCACGAATTGCGACGGGATATGGATCGAGGTATTGGGTCTTGCTTGTCGGACCAGCTGATGTTCAATACCCGGCATGACCACCCGGTCTACATGGCGATGACCAAGCGCGACGAGAGGTCTTATGGCTTCATGGATTTCTCCAACGTCTTCAGGCGGCAAATCGATTCGACTACCGGGGGCAACAGTGCTGGTGGAAACCTGGTCGCTAGCATCGGACAGTCGAAAGGATGCCCGACTGCTCGAAAGGTCGCCTTGGTCGGTGCTGCGGCGGATTGCAATTACATGTCGGAGTTCAACTCCAGCCAGGCGGCGAGAGAAAACATCATCAACCAATTCAATACCGCCTCGGCGATTTGGGAGAACACCTTCAACATCTCGCTTGGTCTGCAGAACCTCACCGTCATGGACGCCAGTTGCCCTGGAACACCTGCTACTGCTACGGAATGGAATCAGGCTTGCTCACCTTCCGTCGATATTCAGGCTAGACTCAATCTCTTTTCAGCGTGGCGCGGCAACCAACAAGACAACAACAGCCACTGGACCCTCTTGAGTACTTGCAACACCGGGTCCGCCGTGGGATTGGCTTGGCTTGGGCAAGCATGTGTACAGAACGCCATCACCACCAACCAAAGTGTCACCGGAAACGGTGCATCCACTGGCAGTGGCTCTGAGACAGTCGCAGGCGCGAATGTCATCATGAGAACTGCGGGTGCCAACGAATGGCAGATCATTGCGCATGAGACCGGACACACCTACGGCGCCGTTCATGATTGCGATTCTCAGACCTGCGCAGATTCGCAGACTGTTGCCGCGCAGCAATGCTGTCCGCTCAGTTCGAGCGCTTGCAACGCTGATGGCCAGTACATCATGAACCCGTCGACCTCACAGGGCGTGAAACAATTCAGTCCATGCTCCGTGGGCAACATTTGCAGTGCTCTAGAGCGCAACTCTGTCAACAGCCGGTGCTTGACGGACAATCGTCAAGTCACTACCATCAGTGGTCAGCAGTGCGGTAACGGCATTGTCGAGCCTGGTGAGGAGTGCGACTGCGGTGGAGAGCAAGGATGCGGCAATCAGACCTGCTGCGACCCGAAAACTTGCAAGTTCACCCAAGGGGCTGTCTGCGACGACGCGAATGAGGACTGCTGCCATGGCTGTCAGTTCGCCTCGAATGGCACCGTCTGTCGTGCCAGCACAGGGCAGTGCGATCCGGAAGAGACCTGCTCCGGCACGACAGCTATGTGTCCTCAGGATCAAACGAAGCCGAACGGGGAGAGCTGCGGTAATGGGTTGCAGTGTGCTTCCGGACAGTGCACGAGTCGAGACCAGCAGTGCAAGTCCGTCATGGGATCTTACACGCAGGGCAACGACACGTATGCTTGCGACAGCTCTGGATGCGCTATCAGCTGCGCCAGCCCGGAGTTCGGTACTGGAGTCTGCTATGGATTGCAGCAGAATTTCTTGGATGGAACCGTTTGTGGTGGAGGAGGTCGCTGCCTAAACGTAAGTACTTCTATCTTGCGTGTTCTTGGATGAAGCACGGCACTGACATGTCATACAGGGACAATGCAAAGGCTCCACCGCCGGCGGCCAGATCAAATCCTGGATCGACGACCACAAGGCCATCGTCATCGGCATCTGTTCCGCTATTGGAGGGCTCCTCTTATTCTCCCTCCTCAGCTGGCTCTTCCGCAACTGCGGACGTGGTCGTCGCGGTGCCAAACGCGTGCCATCGCCGCCGATGCCGCCGCCTGGTGGCTGGCAAGGATGGAATGGAAATCCGCAAGGCCAGCCGTTGATGCAACAGCAACAAGGCAACTTTTACGCGCAACATCCCAGTCAAGGATGGGCGGGTCATGGCGGTGGCGGCGGCGGCGGGCAAGATGCGTGGGCGACGCCTGCTGTCCCTCCTCCTGCGTATCCCGTGGGAGGGAGCAGTGTGCGGTATGCATAGTTTTGGTTATTGTTTTTTGATTGTTCCTGCATTGTTTATGAGCCTTCGGAGGCTCGCTCGCATACTTTGAGATGACCCTTGTTCATGAGAGACTTTCTCGCTCGCCTTGCATTTTCTGGCGGTGTCGGTGTGAGGGGGATGTCAAAGATGGATCTCTTTCTGGCGGCTTGAGACAGGACCAAGGTCAAAACAGTGTTTTTGTTGTGGCATGATCTGCATCGCTTCTGCAAAGCGACCTGACGAAGAGAACAACAGTGGATAACGATCACCATTCCATCATCCAATGGGACAGATGTAGATACCTGCCGAGAAAGCGAAATCAAAGAGAGTTATTACCTAGAAGCAAGAGCAAAAGCGAGAGCTACTCGTATAGCAGTTTCCTAATAACCGCCGTATGCGGCAGGAGCCGGCTCAACGTGAACAACCGCGTCTAGGCGTCTTGTTGACGACCCTGCTTCTCTACCGCTCGCTCCAAAGAGGCGTGGGCCATAGAGGTGAGGTTAGTGCAGGTGGTGTTTCAAGAGCTGTAGATCCGCGTGCTGCGTAAACCTACGTAGACATTTACCTCGCGACTATTGTTAGAGATTAGCGACTTGGTAAAGGATCTGGTAGCCTAGTAGGTATATGCACAGAGGTATACGAAGTCACGTTAAGGAAGTGATAGTCTGTTAGATAATGCGGTGGATTGGTAGAGATGCCAAGGCTTTCAGACAGTTAAGGTAAGGAGGATCTACGTTGAGCCGTCGGCTGCTTCCGCCTACGTCGGTCAGATAGGGGTCCGCCACGAGTAAGGTACATGTAAATACTGTCCCGAGGACTCTTCCACCCCGCGCTTTCACAAGCCGAATACTTTTTCAGGAGAGAAGCTAGATAGGAAGTCGAGAGAAGTTGAAGGGCCGTTTTACCCGACGGGAAAAGGACTTTTGAGAAAGTTAGCCGATCTAGGGGAATGCCTGGACGAGGGTGGGCTTAAGGATGACGGATCTACCTTGTACGTCCAGGTACACGCTCGCAGGCCGAAGATTGAGTGTATCGGTTGATAGCAGAGTTTCGGAGATGAAGAGGCTACAACTTTCCACTGTGCGTGCTCTCTTATCACGTGTCGGGCAGAGTTGCTCGACACGGTTTGGGAAAGGCCCGGTACAGCTCGTATTATATTAATATTATTGTGATATCGTCAGGCGAGGCGCGGGAAATTTTGTGGCCATGTTCCTGCGTCTGGGCGTCCGATGACGTTCCCGTTCCGTGTGGCCGATACATGTAGTAATAATCGACTGTGGGCCCCCGTTGGAAAGGTGCCCCTCGGTGGTACGGCGCTGGTGGCAGGTGAAACACTCCGTCCTGCACGCACATGTGCATCCAATTCACCATCCACTCCACAACATACCGACACTTAGTACTCCATCATCTCAACATCCATCTCAACGACCGGCGACGAGGCACGAGGCAAGAATCTGGGCTGCAAATTGGGCACGAGCCGTCAAGGCGGGAAGGGAACCCTGCTAGCGGCGACAATCGCAACCAGACGGGGGAGCAGAGACTGGGATCGAATACACGACTGCACCCAACTTAATCCCGAATGCTGCCAATGCACTGCACCCACCCAAACCCTCCCACAGCGCGGAGCACAGCGCGGAGGTAATCTGCTGCGGTGCTGTGCTTTACTGTCCTGTGCTGCGGCGGTGCTGCTGCTGCTGCTGCTGCTGCTGCTGCTGCTGCTGCTGCTGCTGCTGCTGCTGAGCTGAGCTGAGCGTCCGTCGTCAGATCTGAGAGAGTCTGGAGCCTCCGCCGCGCTCCGTCACTTCACTTTCTCCTGCATACGGCATGCATAACGGGCATTATTTGGAGCGCAATCGCTGAACGGAATCACAGTGCGAGTAGTGCTGGGCAGTGCCGCTGCATGCGGGCATATATTTTCAATGCCCGCGCTGCACCCTCTGCACACGGCGGGAGCCTGGCACCATGACCACCAGGACAAGCCGCTGCCTCGTCTGCCCGACCTGCCAGACCTGCCTTCATCGCCCACCCTCACCAATCCCGACTGTATCCTCCCCGACACCCACCTGCCCGCCCTCTCCTCGCCCCCGGCCTTCACTCGCCGCCGCCCGCCAAGTCCCACCTACCTGCGCGACGACGGCGCCGAGCATCCCACCGCGTCGTCCTCCGCGGCGGCAGCTGCCACCATGGGCAAGAAGGAGAAGCTGGGCCTCATGTCCAAGAAGATGATGCTGCTGAGGAGTCGGACCGCCAGCAGCGGCCACGGCCACAACCATTCCAACCCCTTCTCCCGCAGCACCCCTTCGCGCGACTCGAACAGGAGCAACGACCCGGTCCCTTCCTCGCCCGTGTTGCAGGAACTCCAGGATGTGGGGAACCTCGCTCCCGAACAGCATGATCCCGAGCCAAAGTCCTTGCAACCTTCAGACCCCGACGGGCGTAGAAACAGTGGTGAGAGCTCCTCGAGCGATATCTCGGGAATGACGGCATTCCTTGCGCGCTACGAGAAGCCGGATGGGGCCAGCGACGATGAGGCATTATCCGACAATGGGGGCAGTCCGGTGCTGGCGCGGGGCGAGAGCAATGGTGTTGTCGAAGCAGACATGGACGCGGAGCGACTGAGGCTACAGCAAGAGGAGTACAACTCGGCTGTCCTCAGCAAACGGGCCGAGCAAATCCTGGCAAACGCGAAGAAGAGGCTGATGGTGATGGAGGGCAATCTGCGAGGTGCTCGCGACTTGGTCGCTCCACTCACCGCAGCCAACCTGAAGCGCGCGACCTCCCTGGGCTCGGCCACCAACTTCTCGCCAGCGTACGGTCTGCGGTACGCGCCCAATGGCTACCACTCCGACCATCCGAGCCAGTCCAAGATGCTCCATACTCAGTCCAGTTCACCAACCATGCGTCACGACTACCAGGCTGGTCACTCGCGCGGTTTTAGTGAGATCGAGCTTCCAGCGAGACCCTCCACCGCCTTGGACCGTCATTTTGTCATGCCGCGAAGCGTCCGTACGGGAGGAGGAAGAGGCCACGCCATTGTTCCGACGTATGGTGCACTTCGGGGGAGTCGAAGTTTCGATTCTCTCGGCGCGAGCAGCGGCGTGGGATATGGTCTTGGCCGCGAGCGCCCCTTGCATGCCAGAGCGTCTCCGGATTCGAATCATCTGGATCCCTTGCCGGAGGATGAGGAGGGGAGAAGGTCCAATCGTGCGAGTCGTGAGGCTGCAAACAATGGCCTTGGCATCTACAGGCCGTCTTCGAGGACATCAGATCTCCGCGAGCAGCTGAGCAATCTCAAAGGAAAGATCTCGACGCTCAAGGAGCGCGCGCGAGAAGACAGTCTGAGGAGGCAAAGCCACTCGAACTTGCGCAACCCTTCGCCGTTTAACAATGCGCTTGCCGCTGCGCCGGACTTCTTCTACACTGCCTCGTCGGGTTATGCAAGTCCAGTACTCGACACCAACTGTGGCATCGGCTACGCTTCCAATGGCGCCAGCCCGGTCTCTGCGCGGGTGTCCGACGATGTCTGGCAAGATGACACGCCTCCTCTGCCGGGCAGTCGAAAAGGCTCTGCCGCAAAAGCTACTGCTGGACCACAATTCGGTATCCAACAAGCTCGCGTTGTCGAGATCAGGGCACCCAGAACTGCCGACAGCAAATATCAGGTTCGACCCCGTAGAAATGTCACTCCTCAACCTTCTCCACCGACGACGACAGCACACGGACGGACGCCTAGTGGGACAGCGATAGTAGGATCGGCCAAGGATCAATCCTCGTATCATCAGCACATGCACAGCCAGGACAGCAAGATCAGCAGCGCGCTGAGTGATCATTCGCCTGATGACGAGCCTACAGAGGACGAGAACGATGGTCTGGGCGTGCGTTTTCCAGGGCTGACGAGTAACCAATACGGCAGCTCTCCTATCTCTTCGGATGTGGAAACACGCTCAGAGCAAGATTACGCGCCTTCTGAGGACGAGGTCAGCGTGTACGAAGATGCTCAAAACGAACAGAACGCCGTGATCGCACACGAAGACCGAGAGGACGCGTTCGACTACGAGCACTTCTTCCTGCACAGCGCTTTGGGTACCTATGGCCATAGTAGGGGAGGCTCTGATGTCAGCGAGACATCGACATTATCTGCGGCAACGGCAAGACTCCCAGCAGCTGGGAGCGATGAAGATGACGAGGTCTTCAACCCGAGCTCCGGCCTGTATCCTCCGCCCACCCCGGAGACGCCCGAGAGACTGCGGGAGATCGAGCGCAGTATGCATCGTAGGAATCTCTCAGACGAGAGTATCAGCACCCTGAATACCTACGCCACTGCCGACGAGGTACACTCGCCCATGACGCCAATTGAAGAACCAAACCGCAGGCTTGGCGGTCGCGAGCGCGGAATGGTGGTTCCTTTTCCAGAAGATATACCGCAAGCACACCCTGGCGGGCAGACTTGGTCACGACCTGCATCTAGGGCTGGCTCGCGACTGAGCTCGCGACCTCGAACGGCCGCGAAACGCAACATCCGCAGAGGCAGCAGCTCGGATCGTGCTGACTCGGGAGTTGGCATCAGCAGCAACGATGGCGACCTAGGACGGCCGGCACAGCCTCATGGATCGATGACGCCGAAGCCTACCAGGGCGCGGCCCCTGGGCAGCATTGTAGGTGTCAATACACCGCCCATGTCGCCGCCCGGAGTGACGCGCCGCGATCCCGCGACGCTGGCTGTCGATGCTCTTCTGGACCCGGAGGGCAAGTCACTCGGGCTGAGAAACAAGGCCATTCTGTTTAGTGTTGTGGAAAGCTTGCGGAAGGTCGTGCATCAGCTACAGGAGGAGGACGACACGCAGTATGAAAGCCGGATGCTAAGACGAAGACTGGAAGAGGCGAAGCAGGCATTGGACGGGCTTGCGGGCCACTAAGACGACCACCATTCACATTGTCGTCCCACTGTCGTGTAAAAACAATCTCCATCCTAACTGAGCGCTTTGAGCGCACGACTGAACCGGAGCGGGGGGACCTTTCCGATTCAAGTTTCTTACCATTTCTATTGGCGGCGAGGAATGGCAATCTGACGAGAAGGAAAGGAGAAGAGGCTTGTGCAAAGTGAACATCATATATACCCACCTTCGCGCGACACAAGTCTGTCTCATCTGTGTGTGTTTGGCACAAAATCTCTTTCTATTTCGATCCTCGGGTTGGTGGGGACGAAACGTATATAAGCCGTGAAACTTTTTTCTTCTTCTTTGGTCCATGTACATTATTACGTATTATCGTTTTTTGCCCACGCCGTAGAGATGCAATTCGCCGAGAGAAGATTTTGTGGAGAGAGAAAGAAGTCTATATAGATAGGGGGGCATTTGCCATGGAAAGAAGGAAGGATTACTTTTTCATCACCCTTGGTCTTCGCGTCTCGTTTCTTTTCCCCCAAGAACTTTTCTCTCTTTGCTTGCACATCTCCCACTCAAAAATCCCGAAATTGCTCTACGGCTTCCCTGGCCACCGAGGAGGTCGTCTCTTGCGTCCGGGGCCTGGCGTCTGCCGCTTGCCCTTCTCGCAGGTATTCGGCATACAGGCGCTTCGAAGTCATGGCATCCACCACTCCTATTCCTCCCCCTCCTCCTCTCGAAGGACCTCTAGACTGTTGTCCACCATTCCCACCACCACCATTCCCATTTAGCGCCCCCGTAATCTGCTCCGGCTCGACAACAACCACCATCCAAACCCCAACGGCCTGATTCGCATCAAACAGCGGCGTGCAGTGCAGGAAGCGACTCTTCGATTCCCCACCCGCGCCCTCTATTGTTGCTGTGCGTGTGAGCCAGGCAATCTTGGCCGTCACGCCCGTCGTGCCTCTGGAGAGGGCTTCTTCGAGGTTCTGTTTGATGCGCGGGGGGCCCGCGATGCGGTCGAGGAGTTTCGTCTGTAGTAGGCCGGGGATGCGGAGGGTTGGGGAGGTGAAGGTTATTCGCAGGCTGGGGGCGGGGCGCACGAGGAGGTACTGTTTTTTTCGTAGAAGGGGGGGGTGCGGTTAGTTGGTTGTGATGGGAAGTGATGTGATTTGATGGAGGCTTTTGGTTTTTTGGTTGGAGGGTTTGGAGGAGGAAGGGAGGGAGAAAGGGGGGTGGTTTTTCCTTTGAGGATCGTCGCGAATGAAGGGGTAAAGGGGAGTTCAGATGGCAGTGATGAATCGGCTGGATTGTAAGTTCAAAAGGACGATTTTTCTTCCAAATGCTGTGCATGTGCCAACGAAATAGGAGAGCTCCGCGACTTACGTTCTGATACACCCCTGGCAAGCGTCCCGAAGATCCCAGATTCGCCTTTGGCCAGAGCGGTGGTGGTCCTTGCGCTGGTGTTTCGTCCATCCCCAGGACGACTCTGCTATTCCTCGAACGATCCGGCGTCGGACGTCCACCGCCACCTGCTGCTGCTGACCGCACCGAAGCAGGCCCTTTCTGTGAGACGAAACTCGTCGCTGGAGCCGTCGTCGTCGTCGTCGATTCTCGATTCCGTACGGACTCCCTTTCCTCCTCGGAGAGCCAGAGCGTCAGTTCCCTCCACGAAGCAGCACCTCTCATATCATCTCCCGAAACAGAGCCTCTTTCCTCCCGTTCTTCGTTCTTCCCATGCAACAGCCGCGCGAAGGATTCCAGTCCGTTCCCGTCCCGGATCAGCGAGGAGACGTCGATCTGCGCCCCGAGGAAGTATCTCACGGCATTCCGGTGATCCTTCAGCGGCGTGATGAGCAGTAGGTTGTAAAAGGGGGTCCCGTTGCGCTTGTAATTCAAGACGAGCTCGCAGATTTCCTCGCCCTTTTTCTGCGCGGCGATGAGTCTCCGGATGGCTTCGGGGGAGGTTTGGGGGCCTTGGAGGAAGCGACAGTTTCGTCCGATGACTTGTTCTTGGCTGTATTGTGTTGTGGCGTAGAATTCCTCCGAGGCGTAGACGATGGGGTTATCTAGTGAAAGCCGTGGAGGTTAGCTCGTTTGCAGAACCACGTATGATGATGATAGCATTCTGGACTTTTCGCATTGGGAAATGTCCATTTCACATCCGAGAGCATTACAGCGTGAAATCGTGCCAGCAGCAGGTCGCATAGCAGCATTTCAGCTCTAGTTCTCATGGATATGACTGTCGCCAACGCAAGAAATGACCGGATATTCCATACCTTCTCGATGCGGATCCGAAATGCAATATACCTCCGCCAGACTCGGCACCAAAGCATGCATGATGGGCGAACTGGTCCCGGTGATCTCCTTGACCAGCGTATCCGTCACCAGCAAGACCAGACAATGTGTCAGATACGCCGGCAGGGCATCTCCCAACAGCCCATCGAGGATCTCTCTGGTTTTCGTCTCGAATGCGGCGTCCAGTGTAGCCGCCGCTGCGGGTTGCCGTATTGACCCGGCAACGACGGCATTGGCAAAGTTCACCGCCGCAACGGCTTTGCGGATATCGGTATACTGTCGTAGAAGTTGCTGGTGTTGTGGGCGATATTGATCGAGGAAGCGGTGGAATTTCAGGGAGAGTTTCGGATCCCGGAGTAAGAGGTCGAGATGCTCCTGTGAGAAGAGGGCTTTGGAGAGAGTTTCCAGATTACTATTCTGTCCATTCGAAGGAGGCATGGGTGGCGGTTTTAAGTCGTAAAGGTCTTGTTCTTGTTCTTCTTGGTCTTCTTCTTCTCCTCGCATTGTCGTCGGCTCGGTAGCGGTGATTTCTTCTTCTTGTAAGTCGAATAGACTCGGCGGCGAAGAAGCGGAAGAAGGCTGCTGGGCCATCTGTGGTTGTACGGGAGAACTATAACGCAGCGCCTCGGCGGGTGAGGTGGTTCCCGAATCATCCATCAGGCCTTCGTCGGGATCTAGTAAGGGTTCGGATCTTTCTTCTTCTTCTGCTTCTTCGGAGATGTTTACGACTCGAAGTCCTCCGCCTGCTGCAGACATATCCTCGGATCCACGCTTACGGCGGAGGGAAGGGCTACTGCGGCGTCCAGCGGGAATCTTCTCTGCGTCACTCATATCGCCATACCAGCACGACTATTTCCGTTCGGGGTACCTGGAGGGCTGGTTTAAGCTGGTGGAGATTAGTGTTTGGTAGGTTACACGCGACACGTGCGAGGAAAAAGGAAGTCATGAAGTCAACGAAAAGCCAGCTCTACAAGTACCGTACAGCGCAGTACTTCTCGTGGCGGAGACGATACGTCCATGATCCCGGTACATGCGCCTGGCCCGCTACCGAAGCCATCGCCGCCATGTCGTGTGCAATTGATTAAGGACAATGCGGGATCCAAACTGCCGGCCACCAGAAACAAGGAATACAAGGCATCATCATGTGACTCCCATCTCGTGTTTCTGCCGTTGCACCGTCATCTGAAACGCGCTACAGCATCTTAATCTGCTGCTACCTTATCCGAATCGCCATCGCTTTTGATACCTGTCGTCTGCAGCTCTCATCATATTCTAGCAAATCGTGCATCGCCGACAAACAACGCTTGCAAGCCATTGATCGCGAACCACGTCTATCTGATGTTCTTCTCAGACTACGCTGTGAAGGTCACTGACAGGCCTCCTCTCCATCGTCGTCCAGGATTTCGCAAAGATGAAGGAATCTCCTAATTCTCTACACGGCCTCCACTGGTGGTCGGTCGGAAGGCAGTCGACAACGTCTCAGCAGCATCAGAAAGTCTCGGCACCTTTCTTCGCCTTCGTTCAGGCCCCTCAACCAAATACGCATCATCCGAAGCATCGTCCGCGAGCGAGCCCGAATTCAACATCAAAAGCGGTGTGTCCGCATTCGCAGGCGGCGTCAACGAAGCATGCAATCGCCCCATCAACAGTGGCGGGTATTTCTTCTGGTTCGGATACTTGAGAGCGTCACATGCCTGATCCAGTGCAAATTCGAGCAAACAGCGCGTCTTCAATGCACACAGAGCCGGCCAGACGGACCTTTGCCCGCGCATCATCCAGAAAGCGACTTCTTCTTCGGTTGGATTCTTCAAGAGTCGTCGCCAATCCGCAAGGCTGATCTCTGGTACCAGCGTGAGGGAGTCTCCTGCTACCGTCTCGTCACTCAATACACGGCGGATACCATCAGGAAGCCATCCGAGGATGTCGGCAATCAAGAGGCCGTGTTTGACGGATTCGGTGAACATCATGGGAATGACGGCCAAGGGACCGGTCATCTTTTGGAACCTGGTCTTGGGCTTCCGGACGTATGGTAGTGACGGTTTAACAAAGGGAGCCACGTATGGTCTTGCTTGCGAGATGATGAAATGGTCGACATTGAAGAGCTGTTTCAATCTCGTCACAGGGGTCTTGCGATCCATTGCCGAAGGCGGTCTGCGGATTTTGGTGCGTTGTGGATCCGACTCGAGTGTTCTAATGATCCCGTTGACGTCTTTGTACAGGAGCTGGATCGGTGACCCTCGATGCCTTGCCATGTTCGTTATGTGTGAAGCCAACGCAGCCGATCTGATGAGCACGTTCGGCGCAGTGAGGTAGTTCATGAGGTTTGGAACGTCTTCGCTTGGCGAGGAGATGATGATGTTCAGCACTCGATCCGTTCGCGCGTGTGCCTCCTCAAACGTAAGATCGCCCACGTTGGCCTTCACGCACTCCGCGAGGACTTCGGGATCGAGTATGAAGCCCTTCTCGAACAGCCTCAGCATTCGTCGCTCCAGCGTATTGTACCAGTTATGGAATTTCGTCTTTGGTGGAGGGTCCTCTAGCAATTCAATATGCTCATCTGTCTTCTCCCGTGCCTTGCGAGAAGAATCTGCAAAAGCACTTAGATCCACGTATTCTCCAGAAAGGAACTTCTGCAGCTCGTGCTGGGGATGTATGCCGACAAGAGCTGCCATGAGAGCGCCAGTAGCGGTGCCCACTATCACCTTGGGGAGAAGGTCATGCTCCAGCAGAGCCTTGACAACGCCCAAATGGCACAGTCCAAACAGCGATCCGCCCTGCAGCAAGAGAGCGGTAGTTCCAAAAGTCGTCCGAGAATCGCTCAAGACTTGAATCTTCATATTGCGATCCATGCCATTCCCGTCAGCTACGTCCTGTGATTCTACAATGTACCTGATGGCTTCCAGACTCTCCTCGACATAACCTTCAACACTCTCTTTCGTGCTGGTGTAGGACTTGCTGTACAAGGGAAATTTCGTGATATTGAAGAGATTCCGTAAGAGGCCATGGCGGAGGTAATTCGCCACTTCGATGGCCTTGTCGTTACGGCGGAGCGCTCTGAGTTCTCTGCGGCGTTCATCCAGATGTCTGTAGTCGTAGAGATTATCGATTGGGTTGATACGCCAGTTGTATCGAGATGGAAGATTGTCCAATGCTACTGCTGCCTGCCACCACTCTCTATAGCTTGATGCTTTAAGCAGCTTGTCTGTCAAACGGTCCTCTGGTGACTTGGTCGTGCAAAAGTTGTATATTCGCTTCCAACAGTCAGTCGCCGTGTATCTCAAGCATATGGAGACCTTGTTACCTGTGCCCAAGCATGTATGATCTCCGCTATAGCAAATGTGAGCGTAAATAGAAGCCTCATCCATTCCGGCATGTTTGCGCCCGCCGCATGGTGCGCAACGATCGCGCTTGCTCAGCACGTCGTCAAATGGGTGCTGTAGTGGTGCGTGCAATCTGAAAGTGCGTAATTATCGATGAATTTCGTGATAGAGTCGAGCGGAAAGATGAGATCAGGAGGCGACGTTGTCTGGTAGAAGACGCCATGTGCCCGCCGCATTCACATGCTTCGGAGATTTCAAGCGGTGTCCGCGTGCTCCACATTCTGCGGCTATTCCCGGCCAATATCACGCGCAAAAGACAAGTGCATCTACACCGCACGTCACATGGTTAATGTGTACAGTCATCACCAACGGAAACGGTGTGAGACGTTGTTGCTACGATTCCCAGTGAAAGTGGCAGGTCCAGCGCATCGCATTATTCTCGGAAATCCAATTCCAGGATGCCGAGGCTTTTCTTAGGCTCACCAACGCTAGTACGCTAATGCTACCGCTACCATCCGCTGACTGATCACTCACACAACACCACATCTGAAGGACTGTCGTGGCAACGGACAGTCCAGGCATTTCGGCCTCGACTCCACTAGAGCGAGACTTCCTCATCCAGGCCTTCCACATTTCCAGTGCCATGCGGTCCGATCTCCCAGATACCCAGGTCCTTGCCCTCCCTGTCCTTCTTCGGCTTCCAACCTTTGGCCGCCTTCAAGACGAGCATGAGCTTACTCGTCTGCGCGAAGGACTTCAGCAGCTCGCGCATCCTGCCTGCTTTGGTAATGCACTCAGCAAGCGTGTTATCCTCCTTGGCGACGGTAACCGAAAGATCCATAGACTCGATGAGGTTGTCGCGTGAGATGAGCGAGCCCGCGGTATGTAGGACGGAGTTGTAAGCAATGATGAGTTCAGGAATGTAGGCGACCCGAATGTATGCGAAGTCTGCCGCCTCGTCGGTCGTTATGGGTTGCTGGAGGATGTTTCCCTCCAGAACTTGAGCCATTGTGTAGTCCACGAGCTTTTTGGCTTTCTTGAGTTCCTCTGGCGGTGCGGACATCCTCAAGTGTTTGCCACTTGTGTAGTCAGCTTCCAACTCGCGCCAGTCGCACAATGCCTTGATGGCGTTGACGATTTGCTCCAGCTCGTAGTACGACCGGCAGTACCGTCTCAGCGTTTCCCATTTCTTTCGTTCGTTGGCTGGTGGCGGGCCATCGTACTCCATCATGTTGACTGACTTGCCGAGGACGTGGTGTGATTTACGAAGCGACAGATTCTCGAAGGGGTATTCGCTGACGATGCGCATAGCACAGAAAATACGACCGCCCGCTGAAACTCGTTAGCAAAGGACCACTCGAATCACAAGAGCGCGACTTACCCAGACACTTCCGAAGGGCGGTGGCTAAGGCCTCGAATGTATCGTTCCACTGTCCCTCGACCATGTTGTACCATTGCAAGGCGTTCACAATGCTGCTGTCTCCTACAATTGGGTATTTGGGCAGCGCTCCAGCAATAATGCGTTGGCCCGGATACAGTCTCGTATCGTCTGTCTTCTCGAGGAACTTGAACGTGTTTCTCTCTCTGAGCGAAGGAGCGATGTACTTCGAGAGAAGCCAAAACAACGATTCGTTGAGAATCATGATGTTGTCCATTCCGTAGCCCGTTAGTAGCTTGAGAACCGTCTGCTGGTCGCTTGGTTCATCGATGTCCTCAAGGATTCGACTCAAACAGACGACATATCTTCCAACGCTGAGTCGGGAAGCGTACATTGGAATAAGATCGTACTTCCCTGCGGACCGCAAGCTCTGGATATATGCCATGATGACATTCTCTTCGGCGTCCAAGGCAGGACCTTGTATAATCTCATCGGAGAGGCATCGCAGAAGGATAGAGATGAGTGCCGCAATGCGAAGAGCTTGATGGTCCATAGCAATTTCACCTTCTGGTTGATTGCCTTCCCCTGGCCAGAACGGGTCCAGGGGAATAATCACCTCCTCATCCTTTTCCTCGTTCTCTCCCTTATTCGCGATTCGGTTTTCTCTATCTATGTACGCGATTGCGTAGCCGAGGGTGTGCACCATACTTCCCAAGTCATTCGCAAGCATGTAGCTCTGAATGATCTTCATCGGCAAGATAGCCTCATTACGCGTGGTAGGCTGCTTTCGAAGTCTCAAGACAAGATCTACGATTTGCTGTGTTGGATTCCTGAACGCATCTTCTCCGCGCCCACGGCGATTTTGCAGCGCCCGATCAGGGTAATGGGACGCAAGGTATAGGTCGAATTGCTGAATCAATGCGGCGCTGTAGTAGGCGTAGAGAGTGTCGTCGACGGTGCGACAAACTTTCTGTACAGCGTTGACACTTCCGCCCAGAAGCCCGTACACGGCCGCTTCATATTCGCTGGAGGCACCAGCTTGTGAAGCAAGATAGCAGACATTGCGCCAGGCTGCCTTTGATCGCACGGCCTCTGGATTAGTAGCTTTGCCCATGGAAATCGCACGCCAACTTTCATGGTGACGTCTGCACCACTGGCTCACTTCTTCCCATGACTTGCCGCGTCGCAACATCTCCCAGCAAGCAATCCACATCGCGCGTTCGAAGTATGCGTCTGGCTTCTCCAACGTTCGTCCTCGTCGCGAAGTTGCGTCGGGGTCTAGGGATGTGACGAGCATTTCGTTGTTGTCTGATCGCTTGATGTGCGGTAGAGGAGCGCCAGGAGTGCTCGGCCAAGAGCGCAGCCTCTTCTCTCCTTTGATCTTCTCTCGCGTGTGCAACCATCCGTCGGACCAGAGACCTTTGCCCCTTCCAGCTTTTGCCTCCAGCTCCTCCATGATGTTTGGAATGTCGCTCTCCTGGTGGTCTGCTGTCTCTTCAAGCCACTTCTTGATCATAGCACGCTCTTGAGCGACATCATCTTCGATCAGAAAGCGCGTCCAAAGGTCTTCTTCGCTTGTGTATCGGTGAACCTGGCCAAGGCGGTGTAGCGTCTGCTCTTTCTGCTGCTGTTGTGCTTGCTGGTCGGGATTGTGATGGAGCTCAAGTACCATACGAAGAAGCTCCCACAGATCGGCTTCTTGCTGCCACTGGCGGAGCTTCTGTATTTGTACCGAAGTGGCGTCCGAGATAGAGCGATCAGTCTGATTCTGGGTTGAGGTATTCAATCGCAAGGACTGAGAAGGGATGTCGGCCTGCTCACTCCACTCCTTGCGCAACTGCTGCGCTCGCTCGCGTTCGTGTTTTTTCTCCAGCGTCAAAGCGGCACGTTGGGCGGTTTCCTTGAAAGCCTTGACGGCATCCAACACAGCTTCGTACTTGTTGCGCGTGGCCAGCTCGCCCAACAATTTGTCGAGGTTCTGCGCAAATGTCTCTGCCTCTTTGCCCACTCGCTCGGCCATCTCGCGCATTTGTTGCATTGTGCCCATCGGCTCATCCTCTTCAAAACCAAGCTCCGCGGGCTCGCCGCTCGCGATAGCTAGACTGCCATTATAGTCGTGTCCCACGTGCCGATCGTTCTCGTCCATCTCTTGTGGTTGTTCGATGTCTTGGTTATCTTGCATTGTCCAGTCCTCGGAAGTGTTTTTGCTTGAGCGGGTCGCGCGTGATTTACGCGCAGGAGGAGCCTTTTTAACGCCAGGGGCTTGTCGGCTACGCGTTGCTGGCGCCATGATTGAACGTAAAGGAGAGTGAACAGACGAGTGAACGGTATTATTGTTCAACTTCCCAGCAATTGAGCGAGCGATCGGCGTCGGAAGCTCGCTGTTAGCGCGTCTTCGACGGGATCGGCCGCTTTAGCGTACCCGCACTTCCGCCCACTGTCCTTGGCATGGAAATTGACCTCTCGACAGAGAATCTTGGAACGAGCTCTCGCCGACGACGACGACACACCGCACCCGACCGCCAAACAAACGCCCAAAATGCGGTACATCTATTCCCAGGAGTCGCTCGACATCCCAGAGGGCGGTACGTACGGTCCAATTCTCCCGAAATCGAAGGCTTGCCAGCGTGCTACGGAGCGCAATGCGACTGTGATATTGAGAAGAGATGGAGGGAGACTTTCGGAGTCGCAAGAACACACATACTAACAACGCAATTGCTACAGTCAAGGTCCACATCAAGACTCGTCAGGTCACCGTCGAGGGCCCGCGCGGCAAGCTCACTAAGGACCTGGGCCATCTTGCAGTTGCCTTCTCGCACCCCAAGAAGGATGTCATCAACATTGAGCTGCATCACGGCTCGCGCAAGAACGTCGCTACCCTCCGAACCGTCCGCACCCTCATCAACAACCTGATCATCGGTGTTACCAAGGGCTACAAGTACAAGATGCGATACGTCTACGCCCATTTCCCCATCAACGTCAACCTCGACAAGAACAACGAGACCGGTCTATGGGAGGTTGAGATCAGGTGCGTAGGACCTGAATGAGAACAGAGTCAGAGGATTAGAGTACGGATTGCTGATGCTTTGGGTAGAAACTTCCTGGGCGAGAAGATTGTCCGCAAGGTCACCATGCAACCGGGCGTCGATGTCGAGGCCTCGAAGAACGTCAAGGACGAGCTCCAGCTCACCGGCAACTCCCTCGAAGCCGTCTCCCAGTCAGCCGCAGACATCCAGCAGATTTGCAGAGTGCGAAACAAGGATATTCGGAAGTTCTTGGACGGTCTGTACGTCAGCGAGCGCACCAACATTGTCGGCGAGTAAGCGGTACCTGGGCAAACGCGGCATGTTTTCTTCCTCAACACATTTGGCTGGCGCAAGACGATGGGCACGGGCAGATGCGGGAATCTGCTGTCTTAGAGCAAGACAGCTTATCATGGCAGATAGCCTCAGTGAAATGAAGTTCTGAGCTCATGTGTGCACTTTCGAAATTCCACCTGGTATCGTTTGAAAGGAATGCACGCATCTCTAGCGCTCCTGGAGTGCTTGTTCGTCATGCTATTCGGAAGTGAGGGAGGTATTGCTTTCCATGGGGGTTTTTCTTTCAAGGGATTTAGTCATATGTCCTCGCCCTGTACTGCTCTACTAGTACAACATCTATCGAACGATTGACCATCCTTGCTCGCTAAGGAGCCGAAACAACCTTGCAAGACATTATCCTGGGTATCATCGCACATTACTCCATCCCAACCACCGAGTCCATTCCTCTCGCCGAAAGCGACCAGGCGGTTGGATCCAGCCGAAATACTGATGAGCAAGTAGATTGAGCACAGCCGTGCTCTGTTGAACCCACACGATCAGGAATTGCTTCCACAAAGGTTGATGGCAAGCTCTGATCCATCCTTGAAGGTCTTTTAACAGCCCCTCAATGACGCGACTTGTCGCCTTCTCCAGTGTCATCAAATTGCGCAGTTCGCGCTCCCTTTCTTCCAGAAGACGCGCATACTTGCAAACCATCTCTTGCTAAGACTTGAACTTGACCTCGGCCTTCTCTTCTGGCTTAGAAGAGATACTGACGATTCTCTTGCCACCCATCGACTTGATCGTGTCGACGATCTTGCCGCTTTGGTGCAGCGCAGTGATATCGTCACCGCCTCCGATAGACTTGCCATTGATCAGTACGTTCGGCACAGTCCTACGGCCGGTGGATTTCTGAAGAGCTTCTTGAATCCCTGAGCCAAGTTCGTGATGATCCAGCTCGACGACATAGGGAGCAGGTGTGATGTTGTACATGTCAAGGAGAATGTGCTGCAGGAAGAGGTTAGCTTCTTGACCACTTCACAGAACCAAATACGGGATGCTCACCTTCGCTTTCTTGCTGAATGGGCAGTAGCTCTTTGAGAAGATGATGATGGGCCCCTTCTTGAGAATGCCGTTCAACTCCAATTCTACCTTGTGAGCCTCTTCCGTTCCAGGATCTTGCTTTTGTCCCTTCGCTGCTGCAGAGCTCTTTGCGCCGACATTACCAACTTTCGCTACTCCGTCGTCACTGTCGGACGCAGGTTTCTCATCCACAATCTTCTTTCCGTCCTTCATCTTCTTACGACCGCCCGTGGTCTTCTCCGTCTTACTCTCCGCTTCGTGAGATTCGTCAACCATTGGTTTCTGGTTTTCTGGCGCAGGCCCTACAGCAGCGGATTTGGTTGGTATGCTGGCTAATGCTGATGTGACAGTCGCCATGGCGGCGTCGTGCTCCTTTTGTAACCTCTCCACTCTCTCCAGTCGTTGCTTCTCCTCTTCAATGAGGTGTTGTCTTACCTCAGCATCTTTCTTGTTCTCCAGCGCTGCCAGTGTCTTCTGATAGAACTCGGAGTTGTGTGTGAGTCGCTCTCCATTGGAAACGTAGTACAGGACCAGAATGGTGAGCAAAGCGACCAGACCAATGGCCCGGTACTGTCTGCCTGAGGGCATCGTATCGTAACCAGAGAAGGGAGGATGGTGTTAAAGACTGGAAGAAGTGCACGTGAAGTCGTAGTGACCGTCGCAGGATCGCCGTCGAAAGAACGTCCGTTGGCCAGGTATTGATGGCGAAAGGCAGTAGTGATCGGCTATGACAGCGGGCAGTCATATAGGGAGGACGACGAGGATGACAGACACGTCCGTGTCTGGATGCTTCGAGTGTCCCGGCAGCACGGGAGTCTGAATCGAGGCCGGTGCAGGGGTTGTTGGCGGCTGCGAACCAGAGTGAGCTTGGACAACCTTGTTCCGGGCGCGAGACAGGGTATCAGTATTTGGATTGTTGATGAATCGCTACGAGCAGTATGTCTCGTGAAGAATAGCGTGTTCGGGTATGACAACACTTGCACACTTGCGATGGCGGTGTACAAGTACACAGAGTAGGTGGAAGCTCGAGCGTCTCTGGCTGCAGGCACATGACAGCCGCATGGCGCCTTGGCTTTGTGGCTTCATGTTCCCCACACGCTTCACCAACCCGGGCACCGCGAGCAATCTGCACCAACGCACGCGACCATCTCTCCCGAGGCATCCGGTCTCTGCTTGCCGACACCCACTGGACTTCTTCTCAGACCGCTCGGGAGCAATTGAGAGTGTATGGGCTGCCCCACATTGTCAAATCATGTTCCATTGGAAGCTCAAGCTTAAGAGAGAATTCACAGTTTGATTATCCCGCCGGGATGCTGCTCCTCGGCCGCGGACGGCCGCTTGTTTAGAGACGCGCCTTAAAAGGCCGACATAATAATTCACATATTGTCGTGCGACGACATACGGGAGTCTTCAGTGCTCCACTGAATAGCTAGACGCCCGGCAACGTTTTCCGTGAACGAAAGCTTCGTCCAGGTCAGATGTTGAAATTTCAATGCTCTGGGAAAGCGGCACTGTAAACTTCCGACCGCACTGTCAATTACACCAAGCTTTTGTGCTGTTTGACGGCGGCGGCGGTGGCGACATGTCTCTACCTTGAATACTGTGTGCTTTCAACATCTTACGGAAGGGTCGGGATGTGAAACGAGGTGTAGGCATCCGCCACTGCGGGAAAACAGAATGGGCGCAGTGCCCTATCTTGGTACAAGGCACTGAGAACTCCGAGTTAACGAAGCATTCTTTCTTGACGGGATCGAGTGTCGCGTCACAGCGTTGTGGCGTCTGCTAAAAAATGGCAGGTCTCACAGTGATGCCGCTGTCGAACGAGGCAGAGATCCACGGGGCACCCGAACGGCCAGCCGCTGTTGCCGCCGCCCGACAGCGAAAGCAGAAACAAGGTCGAGAATACTGACAAGAAGGGAGAGAACTTTAGGTCAGCGTGGAGGTCCAAAAATGCGGCGCATACCTGATCCTGATTGCGTTTCCGTTCCTTGTTGCATCGGTGATTGTCCCGACTCATAGAATCATGATACAACCAGTCGACGCCGGAGTGTAAGCGATGAGAAGAGGTTTTTGGAATCATGCGCATATGCGAATTGGGTGGATCTCGGGTCTTCTCTTCTGACCCCTAGCTGCCTAGTCTTTCTAATAGCAAGCCACCTTTCCCATCCGTCCGTTTCGCCATCGTGGAAGAATCAAGCGCTCCAGCATGCACCGTAAAGAAACCAGCAGTCAATGATGTCGTGATTTACGCAGCCTGTCCAGCATGTCAGTCTTCCGCGCTACCTGGCCCGCTCATTGCATTTGCGTATGGAATGTCTCATACCTTGACAGCGAAGGTTCTCTGTGGGAAATGCCTCTGCTTCTTCTTTTGCTTCTCTGTGACGAGCTTGGCCTCCTCTGGCGATAATCGGCGGCGAATAGCGCGAGTCTGCTTCGAGCGGAGGTCGAGTGGCAGGTACTTCTTGGTCTTGTAGAAAAGACGCAGTTGGGCGCGCTGGTTTGCGTTGATGATGGTGAGGACGCGGGCGATCGACTTGCGGACGTCGTGGCTGCAGCCTGTGTCAGTCTCTCATACTGCCATATTCCAATGTGTAGCGTATCGGTGTCGGATTTTCGCGAATAATCGGTCTCGAGGGATCGGTTCGAGGAAGGGACGTACATCTTGTTGAGCTTTGACTGGGCACCACCAGCAATCTTCTGTGTCCTCAACTGCACCAACTCGGCCTTGAGCTCATCGAGCTGCTTCTTCAAATCCTCCTTGTTCTTGCCCCAGAGCTGAGCGGCCTTGATCTTGCCGGACGACTATCGCGCGCACGTCAGTAATTGCATCTACATCCTTCTACTTATCCGAGTGCATTCATACCATTTTTGCGGGCTGTTGGTTAGTATTTGCCGATGTAGTCGTCACAGGGTCGCCTTGACCTCAGCGAGATCTCAAAATTGAGAAGTTGTTGGTGAGTTAGTCTTGGCAGTCCGTGCGCAGCCAAATCTGGGCTGGCGCCGGGGAACAAAGGCAGGAAATTCCGACGTCTAGACGCCTTAGGCAGAAGCTTGCTGGCTGGACCTCACCTGTTTCCCGACCATGTGACCATCTTCACCTCTAGATATATCTCTCAACAGTGGCCGTGCAGACCTAGGCGATTCTCGATACTCTTTGAAAGCCTATAGCCCATCATGGCAGCGAATGCGACAGGATGGGCACAGCTGCGACAACAAGCCAGAGCGCAAGAGACGCAAGTTAGTACAACGGGAACCTTCTTTGGCCAAACATATATACTTACGGGGGCATGCTCTAGACCGAATCTTTATTCCACACTTACGCTCAGTTCGCGTCGAAAACGGACTTGGAGAAGACACCAAGCGGTGACGAGAAGCGGACAGAAGACCAACTAAACGAAATATTAGAAAAGGTATGTCTACTGCACTGCTGGGAAACAGAGGTGTTGCGACTAACACTAACGCCTAGCGATCAGCTCTGCTCTCCCAGCTTGCTCGCGTCCTCGACTCCGAACCTGTACCTTCCGCCCTGAAATCGACGAATCTCGCGCGACATCGAGAAATACTAACGCAACATCGAACCGAATACTCGCGACTGAAATCCCAAGTCGCACACAACAGAGAACGAGCCAATCTTCTCTCCAATGTACGGAGCGATATCGATGCGTACCGGTCTGCGCAAAACCCCGAAGCTGCGGAAGCGGAGTACATGCTAAATGAGAGGAGGAGGCTAGACAACAGCCACAACATGACGGACTCTGTCTTGAGTCAAGCATACGCCGTGAATGAGAGCTTTGGCCTGCAACGGGAAAGCTTGACGAGCATACAGAGGAGGATAACAGGTGCCGCGGCGCAAATTCCTGGGATTAACGGGCTGATGCAGAGGATAGGGAGTAAGAAGAGGAGAGACGGGATCATTCTGGGGTCTTTCATTGCGTTATGCTTCCTCGTAGCATGGTTCTTTTGGTAGCAATTGGGATGCGACTCATGTCAGCGGGCAAGGCGCTCAGTGTGTGACGAATGTCGCCAGCATTTACAGGAGGTGCGTCGGTACGTATCAAATTGTATAGTATACGACCCATGGCTGCGAATCGGTCGGGCCACAATACTGATCATCCAAAATGGTCGCTTCTGAGTGCCTGATAAAGCTGAGCAGACGCGATCGGCATGAAGCCATATAGAAAGACAGAAGCTCAGCGAGTCTCTCGTTCGAGTATCTCGAACAGAATGGAGCGAAAGAAGGGCTTTGGAGGCCGGCCAGTGGCTTCAACATGACCGACACATTGGAGATGCCGTGCGTCCCTTGGACTCGTACGTACAGACTCTTGCCATATTCGACGGCAACGGACGCAGACTTTGGCCACATCCGCTGGAATCAGGAGATGTCCATTATCCTTTATCTCGACGAATGAGGACGTTTTCAGGTCTGAAAAACTCTCGGCATTAGCTTTGTCGTCCTTGATCAAGCGGAGATAAGACCAAGGTTTATATTTCTTGCTCGGGGAAGACCGTAACATAGCAGCGAGTGTAAAGAAACGTTCTCCGAGACAGGATACGAGTCTTTGGACGCCTGATTCCCTGTCCCAACGGTGAAAAGTTGTTTTGACATCTCGCTCGGCATTGGCTCTGCTGAGCTACATCAAGTCGAGATAGCTGGAGACCTTGGGCCACAGGATTCGGCAAGTTCAGGTGCTTGCGGCTAATGTCGCAAGCCCTTTCCACTGAACAGAAGTATGAGTCCGTAGTTGCTTTCCAACAGTGTCCGCTTTCCACATGCAGATTGGAAGGCATCCGCCAAGATCAACGAAACGCAGAGCAACAACGACAAGTACAACGCAGACAACCTACATACACATTAACAGATCCTTCTGTACATCTCGGACTGCCACTTTTCAGGCGATTTTCTCACCGTCGCGGCATGGGTCAACGGATCGTGAATTACGATCCCAAGCGCTGAGTACGACATCCCAGCACTGCTAAACGCCATTGAGTGGAAGTTCGGTGCCTACGTCTTGATCTCGATACCAATGACGCTGCATGCCATGATCAACCATTCGACGTTTCCGAAACGAGACATGTCCTCGGTGGTGACAGTCGCGCTAAGTGGCGATGTGATCACCAGAAGAGTTATGGAGAAAGTGACGGGCTCCTTTCCATCTGCGCGGGTCTTCTGTGGCCATGGAATGACGAAAGCCGGAAGCAATCTCTTTGCATGGCCTTGGGGCACCCAAATTGGGACAAACATGCCGTGTACCGTAGGGAGTCGAAAGAGCAGAGTCAGAAGGATTGAGGACAGACTATCTGATCACGTGGCAAGGCGCAATCGACGACAACTACCCTCGTCATGCTATGGTTGGCCGGCAGCCCGGCTTCAGCTGGGATGCTCGAGAACAGAACGAACGCTAGGCACCGAAGTTCGCCGCAATCGATTTTCGAGATGCATGGAATACATTATCGATAATGACCATAGTCCTACAGTCTTCTCCAACCCTGCACTTTTCCCTATTCCAAACGAACGCTCTACTCCCGCCCGCAGGAGATCGTATCCCAGACACCGTCCATCCTTTCAATATCACAGGCTATCCAACATTCTAATTTCAAAGAAGCGCCATAGCAGCTATCATGGCCAGAAGTGCAGCGATGCTGGCATCATTGCTCGGACTAGCGATGCCGACGCAAGGTGAGATTGTGGTGTTGGATGAGCCGTACGCGCCTGTTCGGTTATTGACACCTGCTGAGGCGGTGCCTGTGAGACCAATGCTACCCGTCATCGAGCTTCCGGTGCTGCTAGGCTCGGTGCTGTAAGACGAGCTTGCATTCGATGATGATGATGGGCTGGTAGATTTGCCGCACAGAGCCTGGACGTAGTGGAGAGCAGCTAGAGGACAGTCATTCGGTGTGTAAATGGGCTCCCGCCCCCCCCCTCTGATTTTGCCCAACTTACCTGAATTATCATGCGTAGCTGAGCATTCCTCAAGGGTCGAGTTCGAGTTCGTGGCGCATTCAGCGTCAAGGCAGCTGATGAGAGCTGGCAGGGAGACGGCGCTGCATGGGTTGGTGGCGTTGACGGTGCAGAGTGTCTGAGAAGCCTGTTAGAGTTGCGCTTCACAACATTTCGCGCGATAATGAGCTGTTTACCAAGCACGTTGGTCTGCACTGTTGAGTCTGTGCGGCCACGAGGCTACTGAGAAGCGCAGCTGCCGCGAGGAACCAGCTCATCAAGTACATGGGGCGCCTGTCGTTTGTGTTTGTTTGCAGGGCGAAAGAGATGCGCTGTGCGTTGGTCGGTCGACGGTCTTGATCATCTAGCGTAGATCACAGGAAGTCTACCTTAGGTTGTGGGCTGTAGGTTGCTTCCAATGCTCCAGTCTGGCCACCACCTGCTAGTGCTCTCAAGCCGACCTCTGGTTGTTTTGATCAACACTGCCTCTCTCAAGGTCGGACCTGCAGTGGTTAGCCGCATGCAGTTGCGCAAAGAGGTGGTAGCCGGAAGGGGAAGTGCCATCGCTTTGGGCCTCTACTTCAGATGGATCGTTGTAATACCTCCTGTAGCCGTCTGACCGGGCTAGTAAGGTAGTAATCGAGACAAGTACACCATCTGGCTATTCGTTTACCCTGGAGGAGTTTTTGGTCGTGGAGACATCTTATTTGATGGTATGCAGGATGGACATAACATTGATGGCGGCATAGTCAGCGACCAAGGCGCCCCGTATGACCTAGTCTCAGTGGTGTTCGCTCCTAAGTCAATGTCCAAAAGGCCACCTGCATGGGCTGTTGATGTGAGGAAGCTTAGCGGTAGACCATATGAAGGTGCACTATTTTCCTCTTGCAGTGTTCGTCAGGTCCCGATAGCATTGGATTTCCATGGAGATTTCCATGGAGATATTCATGGAGATATTCATGGAAAAATTCATCGAGCGCCGGGAATGTGGCGGCTTTCACATGTATTGGATGGCAGAGTTGGAAACAGGAAACAGCGGGAGAGACCTCGGCAAGCCGGTATCGGAAGACTTACCTCACCCCGCCGCTGATTGGCTGATCGACCGCCTCGCTGAATGCCCGGCAGTGGCCCTCGGCGGATCGACAACGTGTAATAGACCTCCATCTTGACTTTTACGACTCCGACACGCCTTCGACGGGAGCCCAATTCTCACCCAAACACAAACACATACGCCAATTGCACTGGATCGGAGTCCATCAAGGCGTTCACCATGTTCTCCTCCAGCCTGAGGCAGTTCGCTGGCCGCAACCTCTCCCATCGAGCAGCTGCTCGCAACTTCTCCTGCACCGCGCGCGCCAACAAGATCATCACCGGCAGCCAGCCCCTGCGAGCGAAGGAGGCTTCTGGAGCGATCGGACACAAGTACCCTGTCATCGACCACGAGTACGATGCCCTCGTCGTCGGTGCTGGAGGATCTGGCTTGCGAGCCGCGTTTGGTCTGGCAGAGGCCGGTTTCAACACAGCATGTATATCGAAGCTGTTCCCCACAAGATCACACACTGTCGCCGCTCAGGGTGGTATCAATGCGGCGTTGGGAAACATGCACACCGATGACTGGAGATGGCATATGTACGACACCGTCAAGGGCTCAGACTGGCTGGGCGACCAAGATGCGATCCATTACATGACAAGAGAGGCACCCGCGTCTGTGTACGAGCTTGAGAACTACGGCTGTCCATTCTCGCGAACAGACGATGGCAAGATCTATCAGCGAGCCTTCGGCGGCCAGTCGAGAGAGTTCGGAAAGGGTGGACAGGCGTACAGATGCTGTGCTGCTGCAGACAGAACTGGACACGCACTTCTGCACACTCTGTACGGTCAGTCGCTCCGACACAACACCAACTACTTCATCGAGTTCTTCGCCATTGACTTGATCATGGAGGATGGCGAGTGTAAGGGTGTGATCGCTTACAACCAGGAGGATGGTACCCTGCACCGTTTCCGCGCCCACAACACCGTCCTGGCCACTGGTGGTTACGGTCGTGCTTACTTCTCCTGCACGTCTGCCCACACTTGCACTGGTGATGGTATGGCTATGGTCGCCCGTGCCGGTCTGCCCAATCAGGACCTGGAATTTGTTCAATTCCACCCAACTGGTATCTACGGTGCTGGCTGCTTGATCACTGAGGGCTCTCGTGGTGAGGGTGGCTACCTCCTCAACAGCGAGGGTGAGCGATTCATGGAGAGATACGCGCCTACTGCCAAGGATCTGGCCTCTCGTGATGTCGTCAGCCGAAGTATGACACTGGAAATCCGTGAGGGTCGTGGTGTTGGTCCAGACAAGGACCACATTTACCTCCAACTTTCCCACTTGCCACCAGAGATCCTGCACGAGCGTCTGCCGGGTATCAGTGAGACTGCATCCATCTTCGCCGGTGTTGACGTTACCAAGCAGCCCATTCCTGTCTTGCCTACTGTCCACTACAACATGGGTGGTATCCCCACTAAGTACACGGGAGAGGTGCTCACAGTCGATGAGAACGGCAAGGATCAAGTTGTGCCTGGTCTGTTCGCCTGTGGTGAGGCTGCTTGTGTCTCTGTTCACGGTGCAAACCGTCTCGGTGCCAACTCGCTCCTGGATTTGGTTGTCTTCGGTCGTGCTGTCAGCCACACAATCCGGGACAACTTCTCGCCCAACAAGCCTCATACAGAGATTTCTGCCGATGCTGGTGCCGACGGAATCTCCATTGTTGACCAGATGCGTACTGCTGATGGACCTATGAGCACATCTGACATCCGTGCCGAGATGCAGAAGGTTATGCAGTCTGATGTGTCTGTGTTTAGAACTCAAGAATCCCTTGACGAGGGTGTAAGAAGGTAAGCAAGAGATCTCACACTACTGATTCTGGTATCCGCCCGACTAACGCTTCTTCTAGAATCAATGAGGTCGACAAGAAATTCAACCAAGTCGGCACCAAGGACCGCAGCATGATTTGGAACAGCGATCTCGTTGAGACACTGGAGCTCCGAAATCTGCTGACTTGCGCTGTCCAGACCGCCGAGGCCGCTGCGAACCGTAAGGAGTCTCGTGGAGCACACGCTCGCGAAGATTTCCCAGACCGTGACGACGAGAACTGGATGAAGCACACTCTTACATGGCAGAAGAAGCCACACGAGAAGGTTGAACTCGGCTACAGAGAGGTTGTGATGAACACATTGGATGAGAACGAATGCAAGGCCGTCCCACCATTTGCGCGAAAGTACTAGACGGAGAAGGATTCTGGTGGGCATCGTCGTATAGTACCAGGTAGCGAAGGCGTAGTTTATCTGGTCCCTTGTACATATTAGCGAATACGTCAAGAGCTTCTTCAAGTGAATCAGCACATACCCCGAGGGCCGGAGGCTCTTCGCGCACAAGCCATGTGTTCTTCTAGCCCCGCGAACTGATCGACAGTTCGAACTCGAACTTCGAGCTCTCGATATCTCGCAAACCAACATTTTCCCTTTCCTCTCACATTCAGAGACCACCTCACAGTCACAATGACCAACCCAAACAGCGCGCCGCAAACAGGAGGCGCACCGACCCCTCCACAGGAAGAACCTCCCAAGAACGCCTACGCAGCCTACGTTCCCCACGACCTCAAATACAGCACCGCATTCGAAGACGCGATCATGGCAATAGTCAACAACCCGCCCTCCGAAAGCCAAGACAGCGGCATTCGAATCATCCCGGAAGACAGCAGTGAGATCCCCGTGGAAGGCATCAGCGTGAAAGCAGACGCGATTTCATGGCAGAGTCTACCTGAGGTTCGAGAGGAGGAATTGCCGTTACCGCTGGAAGATGGACGGAGGGTTTTCCGGAGTCCGGTGAGGGGGGTGAGGGTCACGCATCCTGGTGAGTTAGAAACCCTATTAAAAGCGGTGGGATGGAAGCTGTGGGTACTAAAGCGTGCGAAATCTAGGAGGCTACCTACACGGCGGACCCGGTCTCGATCCGGAAATGGACACATTCGCGGAAGATTTCCTGCAGCGCAATGCCGCGAACACGAACGATGCGCAAACCCTCCGCGCGGCGCAGCAGGACGAGATTGCACAGAGTATTGGCGAGTTGAAGCAGAGGATGCGGGAGCGACAGAGGGCGATTGAGAGCAATGAGCGGATTGAAAAGGAATTGAAGAGGATGCGGGAGGAGCATGAGATGGAGATGAAGGTTCATCGGCAGTTGGCGGAGAAGAGGAAGGCGAAGAAGGAGGCGAAGGAGAGGGAGCGGGCTGGGAAGGGAGGCTAGGAGGTCGAGTGAGAAGGGGTTTTTCAGTGAAGGAAGCAAGCCTTTGTGAGAGGTTACATTGGAAAGTATCCTTGGTGAAAAGGACTTTTCACATGGGCGGTGTGGTCAACGAGCAGCCGCGGATAGCTTCCTTCGAGGCAGGATAGCCCATACGACACGCACGAGCAGGCGATCAAGACACGCATGAGCAGGCGATCAAGACACGCGCGTGCAAGCTATCCGACACACCGCCTTCTGGACTAGACCTCGCTCCGGCGAGACTACAACAGAGTCCAGGCTATAGGTCCTAGGGAGAGGCATGGACGTTGTCGTAGCCTTGCTGCAACAGAATGGAGATATGCTATGAACGGCGGGGAGAAACATGTATCCAGAGGGTTCTGAGACACCAAGCGCCAGAGCCCGCAGTACTGAATGCCTTTCTGAGCTATGATATGATTATATATAGCTGGACCGCGAAAGCAGTGGACTCAACCGCTTCATCTCTAATCCAATCCCCATCTCTCATCCCCATCATTTCTCCTCCACCCTCGCAAGCTGATCTCCCTAGCCGTCCTCTTAGCTTCCTCCCTCCCCTCCAACTGCCTACTCTGCTTCACTTGCTCATACGTCTCCTTCCTCAACACCCGTTCTAGCGCCGGTATACCACCCAGCACCGCTATTGCCAAAACCTTCTTCCAGAGTAATCTCCGACTAACAGAACTCGCACCCTTCGCATCGAGCTGTTTCCGCCCCTGCAGCACACCCTTGGTCAGCATTTCACTCCGATGAGGAGTGTACAGCGCGGACAGATTACTCGGAACCGCCCCTGTGCGTTTCGAGAAATCGAACTCTCTCTTCGTCGTTAGGACTTCAAACGGCTTGAAACCATACCCAGTCTTGCGCCAGGTTTTGGAAGTAAGCGGTGCCATTCTCCCTGTGGGTCCGAAAGCTCTCTCCACGGCTGAAGGGACGTGTTGGGATTCTGGTAAGACTAGAGTCGAAAGGTAGGTTCGGTCTGGGTGGACGAGGAGGGTCGTCATGCTGTTGAGGAGGCCTGTGATCTGTTTCAGGGCTAGTTTGTCGGAGCAGCTTTTGCTTAGCGTGATTGGGGCGTCGGGGCGTGAAGGTTTCCTGCGAACGATGCCGAGCTGGTCGAAGTGGCCGCGGCCTAGCATTGTGATCTCTTCTGAGGGCTCTGATGGAGATGAAGAAATGGCTGAGGGTGGTGGTGTTGTCCAGGGCGTCGCGTCTTCTTGCTCAGCCATTGTGAGTTCCATGCTGGCGTCGCCGCAGGGTGCTTGGGAGCAATACATGTGGATGGAGATGTTGGGTTGGAGTTCGAAGGGCGGTTCGAACGTCTCCTGCTCTCCAAGTCAGCGTGTGAAGAGTCCTCGTACGCTCTTCAACGCATATCAAGTCGAGTGAAACGTACCTCCTTACCCTCGACACGATCTCCCTCCTCCAGCATTTGCATCCTCCTCTCATCCCTCCATCTCACCCAAGTTCCCTCCTCCTTCTCTTCCCTCCGAACCAACTCCTCACACTCATCCAAAATCCACCTATTAAACCCCCTAATAGCCAACACTTCCGCATGCCAATCATGCAGCACGTTACCCTGTATCTCTCCAGCTTCCACCTTTTCCCTGGGCAGGCATTTCATTCCAGTCGCGAGGGCTGCGCAGGTCAAGGAATCGCGGTCTTCCCTGTCATCAACTCAACAGGTCAGCATTCGAGTGAAAAGCGCTTTTGACAGGGCCTTGCTTGGTTGTTTACCTCTGCTCAAGACAATGCCTGCCAAAGGAACCCATTCGCGCCTCCCATCCGCCAGCAGGCGAGGTTTGTATTTCTGTGGCAGGGCATCGAAGGTCTCCAGCACGCAGTCTGCGATGCTGTCTGGGTCGGGATGAGGTTGTTTGGTCATGTTTTCATGGTGATTGCTGGTACATTGAGCCCAGAAGCAACATAACCAGCATCTTCGCACGTCGGAAAGGTATCTCGACGGCTGCTACCGCCGATGTTGCGCCTTCCGACTCGCCGTTGCCTTGGTCTTGGCTAGGATTCTCGGGAAAAAACAATAACATTCCGCTGAGAAAGACACCGTATTGCATTCACATGCAGTCAGTCTACACCAGCTGAAGTGAAAAGAGAGGCTCGGCCCGGGAGGCGACTGCATTGGGAGGTCAGCACTGCGGGAAGCACACAGCAAAATGGGACTGTTCAAGACATTGGTGCTCCTAATCGCTCTTCTCATTCATGTAGGAGTCGAAATCTAAGCTACAGGCAAGCCAAGTCTGCTCTAGACTTTTGCCATCCATCGCAAACACAAGCCATCGTCGTTTCGCTTTCGTGATTTCATGCCGTTACTACAAAGGAAATGCTTTGGCCGATCTGCTAGCAGTAGTAGCAGAACACTGTCCGACCGACCCAAGACAGTGCAGCTGATGGTGTGTCGAATTAGAACATGGTGTGACCGGTTCTGATGAAGCAGGGTAGGGAAGAAAAGCCCGCTATCCTCCCGAAAAGAAGAAGAGAAGGCTCAAACAATACCCGGTCCCAACAAACACCCGCTTTTGGTGAAAGGGAACCAAAAGCATCGAAGTCATGCACCCATCTATTTCTTGGTGGCCTTCTGGGCGGCCTTGGTGACCTTGCCACCCGCCTTGTCGGACTTGGCGACGGCCTTGATGACCTGTAAAATTTGTTAGCATGGTTCAAGATTTTTTTTTTCTGGGGGCCACTTCCGCCAACAGCTACCGTCTGACGCATGTCACGGACGGCGAAACGACCGAGAGGAGGGTAGTCGGTGAAGGCCTCGACACACATTGGCTTGGATGGAACCATCTTGACAATGGCGGCGTCACCGGACTTGATGAACTTGGGAGACTGCTCAATGGACTTGCCGGAGCGACGGTCGATCTTCTCGAGGAGCTCGGAGAACTTGCAGGCAATGTGGGCAGTGTGGCAGTCCAGGACTGGGGCGTATCCAGCTCCGACCTGACCTGGGTGGTTGAGGACGATGACCTGGGCGTTGAAGGAGTCGCAGCCCTTTGGCGGGTCGTTCTTGGAGTCACCGGCGACGTTGCCGCGACGGATCTCCTTGACGGAGACGTTCTTGACGTTGAAGCCGACGTTGTCACCGGGAAGACCCTCGGTGAGCTGCTCGTGGTGCATCTCGACGGACTTGACTTCGGTGGTGACGTTGGCCGGGGCGAAGGTGACGACCATACCGGCCTTGATGACACCGGTCTCGACACGACCGACTGGGACCGTGCCAATACCGCCGATCTTGTAGACATCCTGGAGTGGGAGACGGAGAGGCTTGTCGGTGGGACGCTGAGGTGGGTCGATGGCGTCAATGGCCTCGAGGAGGGTCTTGCCAGTAGACTTGGTCTTGGTCTCCTTCTCCCAGCCCTTGTACCAAGGGCAGTTGGTGGAGGCGTCGATCATGTTGTCGCCGTTGAAGCCAGAGATGGGGACGAAGGGGACGGTCTTTGGGTTGTAGCCGACCTTCTTGATGAAGTTGGAGGTCTCCTTGATGATCTCGTTGTAACGGTCCTCAGACCACTTGGTGGTGTCCATCTTGTTGATGGCGACGATGAGCTGCTTGACACCGAGGGTGTAGGCGAGCAGAGCGTGCTCACGGGTCTGGCCATCCTTGGAGATACCAGCCTCGAACTCACCAGTACCGGCCGCAATGATGAGAATGGCGCAGTCAGCCTGGGAGGTACCAGTGATCATGTTCTTGATGAAATCACGGTGACCAGGAGCGTCGATGACCTTTCACGGGTTAGCGGATGTTGCGACAGCGACGGCGGCAGCGAAGAGTCCCCGTACAGTTACGTAATATCGAGGCGTTTCAAACTTCCACAGAGCGATGTCGATAGTGATACCACGCTCACGCTCGGCCTTGAGCTTGTCGAGGACCCATGCGTACTTGAAGGAACCCTTGCCGAGTTCGGCGGCTTCCTGTGGGAGATAGCGTTGTCAGCGGTGTGTTCCAAGAGTGCTTGCATGTGACAACGAAGTGAAGGGGAAGATGAAGGAGGGGTGTTGTCGTGGAGGCCCAATGCGTCGATGAAGGGGTGTTGGGGGTGGTGGGTGAGGTCGGATGGTGTGGGTGCCTGAGGCCGAAAGCGGCAAAGTGGCAAGGTTCTCGCTCCCCCACCAGCCGCAGCCCACCAAATTTTGCCCCTCCAGCGCACTCAGGCGATAAACGGCGAAAATTTGCGTGCGCGTCGGTGTGGACAACTGGACAGGCGGTGGACTCACCTTCTCGAACTTCTCAATGGTACGCTTGTCGATACCACCGCACTTGTAGATCAAGTCTGTGAACGTGTGAGTGATGTCCAACTCTTGCGGTCGCGTTTGGAGGGTGGGCGCTTACGTCCAGTGGTGGTCGACTTGCCGGAGTCGACGTGGCCGATGACGACGACGTTGATATGAGTCTTCTCCTTACTGTTGTCCGCTGTCAGTCTCCGGCGTTGTGTGTAGTTGTCTGAGGGCGTTGCGCTGCCGCCGCCGCCTCTTGATTGACGTACCCCATGGTGTCGGTATTTGAGTGTGATTTCTGGAAGTGGTGTGGAACGTAGTGTTAAGAGATCTGGGTGCTGTCATCAGTTATCGTGGTGTTGTTGAAAGTGTTGTTGGTGATTTGGAGGTGCTCACCGTGTTTTCGCAGAGTCGGATGCTATTGATCACGGGTATGCGGACGAACATCAAAAGGTCGGTTTCCAAAGGGAGTGAAGGGTTTTTGTGCTGGAGAGAGCTCGGACCATGCGGGCAGAGCCGACTGAGTCACGGCCTGTGTCAAAAGCTGCAGTGAGCACACTTCACATTCCAGGTGGGGAGACCGGCGCAGCTTCTCAACGCATGGATTTGACGCTGTCACATGCAACCCACTTCACTACGTCGTCAAAAACTGCAGACTCTTTTCTCTCATGCTATTCTTTGAATGACCAACACTCTGATTCATTTGATTCATGTCTCTTGCGACCAATCCGTGTTGAAACGCGATGGCAAATTTGGGTATCACCCCGCCTCAAAATATCTATTTGGCGGGGCAACCACCCTGGTAAGAATTCGATGCCCGACCACTTATTATTCAACTTGCCACCATCACAAGACAAAGGAGACCTCTCAAAGGTCTCGCAAAATGCAATTACGCCATCACATGGTGCGAAACCAAGATGAGGGCAATCTGACCTTTCCGGTCGTAGATACTCGGTTGGACCAGGGACTGGGAGTTGTCTACCTATCACGCTCACCTCGTCGACACTGCCGCTTCCTTCACACAGCTCAGAAGACTCTGGGCATCAAGGCATGCGGATGCCGATACCGTTGTAGCAGCAACGGACGCGTTGGCCGTTGAATTGGCCGGCGAAGATTCTGCAGAGAAATGATCCACACTAGCTCTCTCGAGTTCGCCACTTCGGTCCCTGCTTCTGATGGTGACAGGCTTCGTAATCTCATAGGCTATGCACCAATTGATAGCTACCTCATCTCAATGAGATTATTCAATCCGCCAGCTGGAAACGACAAGATACATCAAGCTTGTCTTGATTGACGAAGATTGACAATATATGAATCCCACTGGTGAGTTTGCTCTTTTTCTTTCTACTAACGATTTCTCATTCTCAAGACCATCTCCAACATCACAAGACAAAATGAGCGACGAAATACCTTCCTAGAAGCGCGAATCTTCTCCGCCCCTTGCAGATCCTGGATATGAGAATCAAGATCACAGGTACTACGAGCCAGAACAATGCGGTTCAGGATGCCTTCGACAAGGAGGGTGGGTTATCCCGGTCACCTGATGGGTCTGTGAAGCAATATTAATATCAATTCTGGAGTACGATGAATTCTTGTTTATAGTGGATAGTGCGCTCTCCGATCCGTTCTTACCACGCTAAGACTAAGACAAGGAAGGGGATGAAGTACAATAACCACATTATCGAGTGAACTAGCTGACCTTTCTTTAGCGAGGACGAAGCTAATAAGGCACCGCGTGCCTTCGAGGAACCGAAATGTCGGCAGTAAAGGCGACGACGGTATTCAATTCGAAGGCCAATGCGAAGGGGAGTCCATTCGCTACACGCTCGTATAGATTTGGACCGCCTTGCTGTGGGGCTATTGTCTGTTCGACATCCCTTGGACCCAGACCATGTACAGCGGTCTACGCACTCACGAGGACTCCAGGAATGTCTACACGCACTACTAGATAATCGGCAAAGACAACCCGCGATGAGTGTAGAAACAGACGTGCCGGCGCGAACAGCGTCCGAAACCGCTTAGAGCATTAGCAAAGACTCCTGATGCTACATCACCCTGCTCGTGACTGACCAGAACTCCAAACGGACCAAAGAAGAAACTCACAGACGCACACAAACCGACAGCATCTGGAAAGAGAATCCACTCGCCAGGACGGAAATAACGGCCTCGTACCCTAGAAAGTTGTAGACAAGCAGGACATGTTTGCTCTGTCACCAACCGTTTCCAACCACACTGTCCCTTGAATTCCCTGTCTTTCCAGCACTCATTTTCAGAGATCTACCCGAGGCCTGATTGTCATCCACAGTGCGTCTCTGCCGCTGTGTGCTTTGACTCTTTCTCACAACCCCGCTGCTAGCCTCTGTGCAATTCGGAAGAACATCTCGACGGCTGCTGTTACACCGTCCGACGCCCCGAGACCTCAAAAGTCTAGGCGATACACGGAGACAACATGACAGCTGCCGGCGCATGTATGATACTGTCCGACTCCCTGCGTCCTCAATCTCTACCCCCTACTCGAGGATAAGATTCCGTCTGTCTTTGAGAAGCGGTAAAACGACCGGAATAAGGAATCCGTCGATATATTACCTAGCGGACATCGTGCCGCTCGAATTTCTAGACGTGTACTTGATAAACTTCTTAAAGTCGTAGCTAATACGTACGAAGAAGTAGATATCTTTCGTATCTTCGTCGTTCCGGACTTTCTCGATTCGGGCCTTTCTTTCGACCTCTAGGCTTAGGCGATAGTCGACGGGTATACTCGTGTCTATTACTAGTCCCTATCCCTCGAAGAATAAAGTACCTATTCTCGTCTTATCCTTATCTAAAGTAAAATTCGTCCGAAAAGAAGACGTTATACTAATCCTCTTTGTGAGGACGTAGCTTAAGGGATTCTTCCGTAAAAGCTATTCTTATACGAGCGTGTTCTTAGCTATCCTTCTACGAGCGTTTTAACCCTAACCCTAACCCTAGCCCCAAAAGCTATCCTTCTACGAACGTATTTATTGTTTAGTTCTACTTCGGTACGAGCGATAAAGCGACTACCTTACATTTATAGCTACGTAGGTTACGTCGTATCGTCCCCTCCGATACGTCCGGTATCTATACTTCGTAGCGTAGAGAGTCGTATTCTAGGTCGTGTCCGTCCTACCCGTTCGTCTCGTCTCGATAATTCCGACTGCCTCTTCTATTTTATCTTACTTTAGGCGTCGTTTAGGTCTATATATTTCTGTCTCGAGCGTACGGGGCATACGCTTCGACTATCGTCGCTTAGAGACCTACTTCTCGCTCGTCTCGAAGCATTCGACGATAGTAGCTAGCTTTCGCTGCTTTATCGTCCTACCCTAGTGCCTTTCGAGAAGCTCGATATATTTTACTACTCCCCGGATCTCTACCCTCCTAGGCGTATCAAAATATAGTGATATGGTCGTGGGGGTGGTAGTAGTGCTGCTGCAGAGAGAGCGTCGAGATTGCGACAAAGATGCCCCGGTCTGTACGCCACCTCATGTTTAGGGACGACAGCGATCTATTGCTGTAAGACCACGACACCATCACACGGGCAGACTTCATTTGCTCGCCAAGATGGCCGCAACTGAGACGATTACTGGAGCAAAGACATCTTTTTACATTAAGTGCTAAGTGGAGAGTTCTCTATTCAATTGTGAACTTCCGTACAGGCATTTCTCTATCACGCGCAAACCGCGACAGAGAGCCATTGCTGGCACGTGTCAACAGGTTCGCAATCCCCAACGCAGCCGTGGCGAGCTGCAGAGGCGATGAGCTTGCTGAAGATGTTCCGGTGTGCGACTGTGACGCAGTGACTTGATCTTCGGTGGCCTCCGGTGTCTCGATAGAGGCTCCGGGAACCGCTGCTGTTCCCGCCTCCTTCTCGGACACCGCTTCAGTCGGCGTTCGAGAGCCCGGAGTGACATCAGCGGTGTCTGTATTCATGCTCTCTAGGCTTGTGACATCGCTCTGGGCCTCTTCCCCTGCTTCCACCTCACGAGTTGGTAGCGAGAAGGCGTCCTGGCGCATGCGCAGCAACAAAGACGTCTGACTCCCATGGATGGCACCACCTTCCACTTCCTTGTAATCCAAGTAGAAGTTATCAGGCAAGCTCCCTAGAGAAGCCTTGAGTTCCTTGTCCACAATTTCGGCGCCTAGACTATTGGAATCTGGCCTGAAGATCACGCTTTGAACCTGCTCAAATCTCTCTACAGAGTACGATATTTCGACCTCCTTTTCGGAGCGAGCCTGATCAATGCCTTTGCCACGGACAAGCCATCCCGGCAGACTGAACTTGATTTCCGAGGGAACATCCAGAGCGCCTTCTCCAGACTGTACCGACTCTTCCAATCGCTCCAGGAATTGGCAGATGTGTTGGTCTTGCTGTGCGACATCTAGACGGGATATCATGGTGACTTCTCGATTCAATCGCATATCAACCGCATGTTCGGGTAAGGGCACGCTGAGATGCTGCTTGTCAAGGGATGTTGATATGCCAGTCAGTTGAACTTTGCGACGCCAGCCGAATGAACTTGAGAATCTGAACTTCATCTGAATTCGTGGTAGCTGCGGTGCCTGTGTCTTGGTTGTTGACGGAATGAAGTAGATGCTGAGATACGGTATCCGCCTGTCGAATGTACGGCGGCCCTCCTTGGCGGTAGAGTTTAGTGGCGACCTCGTGGCAGTCGGATTCAACGGTCTTGGGAGTTCCTGTGGTTCAAAATACGAGAGAAGCGTTTCGATGCCCGTGCTGTGATGCTGCAAAATGGTGGCAAGCTGCGACTGTCTAGACGACGAGTCCCGCGTCTTTCTGCTTGGCTTCGGGTTTGAATTGGCGATAGCAGTAGGCCTACTTTGAACTTCGCGCAAGATGTTACAATACTGAGTCTCCCAGTCACTAAGGCGGGCTTCCTCACGCCAGTAAGACTTTGCGTGTTGCTTGAAGGGACCATGCTGAGGCTCAGGAACACTCCCAAGCTGCTTCGCTAGAGCTTCCGCAAGCTGTTCAGGAGTTGAAGACCGGCTATCGTCATCGACGACTTCCTGCTTCTGAAGATGACGAGCGAATCGAACTAGTTCAAGTGCACGATAGCGACGGTGCAACCCGCCCACCAAAGATCTGGCAGGTACGAAGTCGACAACTTTGCCGGTTCCTCGACTTTTCTTCCTGGCATCAACTTCTGCGTCGGCGAACGTGCCGTCGAAGGATGCTGGGGATTGCAAGTCGAGCAATGCGATAGCCATCCTCCGAGCACCGCGTCTGTTGACTTCACTGTTGCCATATATTGCAATGGTATCGCCTTCCAGAATGACAACACTTTTTGTCAGATCCGAAATGAAACGCAAATCGTCAAGTGAGACCAGTTCTTCGATTTTCAGCTCTGACCTGCTCCCTAGAAGTGGTCTGAATGCTTTCAGGTCGGCTTCAGACCGCGTGGCACTCAACAAAGCTTTATTGAATTGCCGAGCAGCTTCTTCAGCATCGTGCCGCCGGCCAACGATTCTTAAGACTCCGTCTGATCGAAGGTCGTAGACTTGACAAGCCTCGGTCAGGGCCTTGGATGCAATGCAATGCTCATAATATGGTCTGTTGTCCACATTGAGATCAAACAGCATGGATGACTGCCAAGGCTGAACTTTGACCTCAATCTCCCCCACCTCTTGTACCTCTGACTGGACAGTCAGATGCCAGACTAGTCGGAGAATGTGATCAGCGACCTGAACCTTTGTCTCCTTCCCTTTTGGCTTGGCAGCAAAACCGTGGCGTTTCGAAAGAGGGCTCTCTCCTGGTCGCCACTGCGAGTTTGCCAGTTCTTGTTGCCTTTGTCTATTTGGATTCGGGTCCAAAGCTAGTCGAGAGTCTGATTTGACAAGGTAGCGCCAAAGCTGCTTGTAGGTGTACCCGCTCAACAGATCCCTGTGCAGCCGCACAAATGATTGCTTGTCGAGGATTGTCTCCTGCGGTCTTAGAGCGTCGATGGATGTGTTCACCTCCGCTTCTGTTGGCGCGATTTCACGGCCAGTGACAGCGCTCTCAATTTCTTGCGTACTAAACGGCTGTGACTTGAACTCCTCCAATGAGGCGCTCTGAATCGCTCGGCGACGAGGAGAGGGAAGTTGTTGCTCCTGTTTCACGTCCCGCAAGACGATGACATTGGCAGGCCTGCTCAGGGAGTCTCTTGACAATCTTTCAGAAACGACCCGCTGTCTCTTCCCAGGCTTTCCAATGATATATCCCGCTTCATTTGTCTTCTTCCAGCGATACCCGTCCTTGGTCTTCACCAGGGTACCGTCTGCTTCTTCCGCCAGGTGACGAGATGTCGTAAGGGTTCGGCATCGTTGCTCGGAGGCCCGTGAAGGGGATTGCGTTCGAATCGGAGCGAGAGCTTTACGGAGCTGGCAACGCAAACATGCTGATGTCCCGGCAGAGAATGTGCCTGGCAACACCATGAATGTTTGCAATAATCGAAGAACGGAGTATGATGAACGATGTCATTTGTAGCTTTGGCATCTTTTCGCGTATCGAACTAAGGGACCGCGGAGGTCGGCCGGCGTAATCTCGGATCCAACTCCAACTCCAACTTCATCTCCTGTGCCTTCTCGACTTTCCTTTCAAGTGGACACTCATCATGTTCGGAGCTCACTTCGGATATGTGCAAATGCAAAAGGCCGAACGCTATGTTATGCAATCAACGACGGTCCAGGTAGGGGAAGTCTTTAGACGAGGCACGTTCGTACACCTTTTCTCGCATGTGATTGGCCCAAGCTCAGCCGCAGCCTTTTTGTCCACCACAAGGTAAGGTAGCTGCCTAAGACAGACTTGCAAGACACCAAGAAAAGCCTCTACGCGTATCAGAAGACACCGGTATTCTGCTTGCCACCACAAACCTCGCCTCGACCCTCAGCCAGCAGCGCGTCTGCCCAGACAACCCTCAGGAACGATCATCAGCACACGCAAAAATGTCCATCTTGAAACTGCCGACAGAGCTTCTGGACGAAGTCTTCTCATACCTGGATTGGGACCGCTCAGAGTATCTCTACCCAACGAAGCCGGATATCATCAATGCAAGCCTCTCTTGCAGAGAGCTCCGGGAAGCTTTAATTCCCTCGGTCTTCCGTGATGTCGTCCTGAGACTGCGGTGGGCAGGAGGGCAACTTGTTGAGCCTCGCCTCTATACGTTGCGGACCGAACATCCTGAGCTTGCAAGACATATTCGATGCGTCTACATACGGTAAGCCGATCTCAGCGAGAGCTCGACCTTTTCTTCTCTACATTCTGTCTCTGGGCGCCGCCCGGTTTGTAACAGACTAGATGTGCATAGGCTGACCAGATACGCGACAGTACTGAATATGAACAATGCCAACACTGTGCAGAGAGAGGCGATCCCCAACCCTTTACTGTGCCCCAGAATGTGCACGACTGGTTGAACCCATCTGGAAGCGCTGGCAGCCTACCAGTGGGCCAAGCCGGCCTGCGCACAAGGGCAGACGCACTTGCAGCCAAAATGCTCCAGGTAGAAGAAGGACAGGCTTCGTGCCTTTCATCAAAGGCGGAGGAGCTTGTGCTACGCAGTAAACAGGGCCAGCAGTCGCCACCGGAAATAGACGCACTCGCAATCGGTAAGCTTCACAGATATAAGCTCTTGTTAGGATTCTAGCTGACAACATTCCAGTCATGCTCTGCATACCAGCCTGCACTACTACGCTGGTATTCAAGTCTTTGACCAACAATGTACGGATGGCCTCACGAGACCGTTTCGCGCACCGTCTCCTTTCCACTGCCCTCCGGCTCCTCGGGGACAGACTACAAGATCTGACCACGGTAACAACCTCCGTCAAGAATCCTCTCGGAATGTCAAGACATCAACGTCAGCCGAGAATCCTCGCAAAGAGCATCGAAGACTTCGACGGCATCACGGGAGAGATCGTACAGAACCTCCACCTCCATCGTCTCTCCTTCGCGCTCAGCGACGAGGCCGAGATGAAACCCCAGACCTACCCTCCTGATCTGTTCTCCGCGGGCTACAGTCGCTGGCATCAAGCAGCAGACAACGTCCGAGAACTAAACATTTGCTACGTACGAGCCGAAGCCCGCGAGCTTCTGCAACTTCTGAAGGGGTTCCACTCCCTCCAACGCCTCTCGTTCCGAGACTGTGTGCTGCGAGTCCAGTCCAATGCCCTGCCAGCTCCACGACAAGTCCGGTTCGAGGCGCAGCAGAACGTCTGGCTCTTATTCGCCATCGAACTCCGTCAAGCTCTGCAGCACGTCAAGATCCACATGCGTGACATACGCTCACATGGAGAACAAGCGTACCTGACGCCTTCTACCGTCGCGTGGCTTCTCTCGCAAGCCGTGCCGCCCGGTGCTCTTATTGATGCGGACCGTGAAGAGCGGCTCATGCAGGACTTCGGCAGCTTCTTACCGCTGTGGCTCGCCGAGGACAGCGAGAGAGGTGCGGCGGCTGCAGAGGATTGGGTGAATACACGAGCAGCTCTCAGCGACACGGCTATGAGCCGACGGTGGAGATGATGGGCTCAACGACGACTCAAAAAGGTGACGCGGGGCTGGGACTCGATGAATGGACGACAGATTGATGATCTAGAGCAATGGACCCATCGAACATACTAGCACGTCGACCAAGCTCTGAACCACTGGCCAGAATGCTATGCGTACATTTCACGTGGCTATATCTGAAAAAGGAACCGGAATTTCATCTTGCGATATGGAAAAACGACAACACCCACGGTAAGACCGCAACTACCTCCCTGAATATTACACTTTTGATCAAGCCTACTATTTCATTCGACATCACCATAATCTCACCCGAACTACCTCTTAACCATATCCTACAGTAAATTCCATTCCCTCCCGTCCTGGCCAAAGCTCTCTCCCCTCCGCCACGCCACCCACCCGTCCATCTCCATCGCATCAATTCATCTGCTCATGCGGATTGATCCTCGAATTCCCATTCTCACTGAGAACTCTCCGCCCCTTGCGCTTGGGAGTGCACCTACAGCCAGCCAGCCAGTCAGCAAACGCTTTGTGTGAGGAGGGTAGGGCTTTCCGCCACACTCCGGGAAAAAACATGGGGCCGTACAAATTACAACTCCCCACGACGGTGATCCTTTCCGACGGCGGGAAGGAATCGCAACCGCTGCCCTCCTTGGCCCGATCGCAGGCTTCCTTGGTGACGGCAGAGGGCCGTTTCATGTGTCCGCAGCCACCCCAGAGCGCGGCGGGTAGGTAGGTGCACATTTTTCTCTCTCTCTCTCTCTCTCTCGGTGTGGCGTGGTGTGGTCTGGTAGGAGGTGGGTCGATTTTGAAGTCGTAGTAGTGGTAGGTAGAGCGTATAAATTTTTTCAAGTAAACGGTGACTGCCCCCATGTCAGTCAGGCCCAGGTGTTCCATCTTTCTTTCCAAAAGAAAAATGAATGCGAGATACGTACCTCGTCCACCACCAGCAGATCTCGTGGATTCCTGTTTCTCCCAAATCGCTTTTTTTCCCAAGAGAAGAAGAGCCGGCGACGTTCTCGCGAATGACAAGGTCATTGAATGAGAAGGAGAAGAAGTTCTGTCGTACTGAAAGAGAGAAAAGAGAAAGAGAGAGAGAGAGAGAGAGTGTGTGTGTGGTGTTGCAAAAGCAGACTCTCGATATGTTCGTGGTGGTTGTTGCTAGTTGCAAAGAGAAGAAAAGAACAAGATATATATATCTCTCTCTCATGAAAAGGTGCCAATTTTAGCGTATGTTGCATGTGACAGCGCCGAGGAAGCCGTGATAGTGAGTTACTGCACGGGGGAAGGCTATGTATGCGTGGAAAGCGCCGGACAAGAACAGTTTTTCATCTCATGCATGCTGTTGTCTGCTGCTGATGCGAGTCTTGTGATTTCCATCGCTTTCTAGTTTGATGTGCTCATTGTCCAGCCAAAAGGGGTTTGCCAAGGAAAGCTGATAGAATTGCATCCCATCTACTGCGAAGCCGTTCCTTTGCCTACTCGCGGCTGGCAACGAACACGTCTCTCACATTCAAGCGCAGGCGACAGATCGTGAAATCCGTGATCCAGCTTCTGAAGAAATCGACACCATAATCGTAGCAGTCTGAAGACGAGGCTTTCTTATCCCTCTCATTGTTCGATCTATTATACATTCCCTAGTGCCAATTCTGCATGCAAGTCATGAAGCGCCACAATAAAGCATTCCTTCTCATTATGCGCTCTCATAAGCGTCGACAGTCAAGTCATTCAACCATTCACCTGATTCCCATGCCAAACTCTTTTTGTGCGTCATGCCTGCCCCTATAGCTGCAACCTGCACAGCTCCGTACGAATCGAAAGAAGTCCTGAGTCAAGTGAACCGTGATGGAGTTAGAAGATGGTGCCAAAGTCCTCGTTGATGTCGGTCAATGGCTTGCGTGGGCTGGTCGGTGCACCGTTGTCATCCACGTTGGGTTTGCGATGCCTGAGAAATGGTGAGTTGGTGTGTTCATCTTCACTTGGAGTCAGTATACACTTACTTGAACGTGAAGCCCACGAACAGCGAACGACCCATCTCTCCTTGACGATCAGCCATACGCTCGAGGGCTTCTTGCTTGTCCAACACTTCCTTGTACTTCGCCATGTCCTTCTCACTGCCGAAATCGTCAAAGTAGCCAGCATCTGTTTCAGAGTCGAGCTCAGGCACGAACGGCGCACGCTCCTGGCGAATTCGGTCCCAGGCGACCTCGCGGAAATAGTCGTGGGCCTTCACCTGCTCAATGCCGCGAAGTCGATTGCTCTTGACAGTGATGAGACGGGTGATGAGATCCCAAGTTCGACGCGAGAGGAAGTAGTTGGGGTCTTCGTACTCTGGCTTCCGTAGCACTTGCTGCCAACGCTTGAGATTCTGCCAAGTCTCGTCGACAGAGGCTCCCGCGAACGGAGGGTAGCCGGCGAGTGCCTCAAAGAGCATGGCACCGAGGGACCAGTAGTCGACAGTGAAATCGTATTCCTCACCCTTGAGCACTTCCGGTGCCATGTAATCTGGTGAGCCGACAATCGATTTGGCGTAATTGACATCGCGCTCCCGAAGCGATCTGTAGCCTTCTCGACGCTCCTGAAGAGACCGCTCTTCTATGGGCCGACCAAAAGGAATCGCAGAAGAAGGAATGTTTCCGACTTCCTCCAGCTTGATGCGCATGCTTTCGATCTTGGCTGGCGCAAGGAAGCCGGCGGCCAAGCCGAAATCTGTCAACTTGACATGCCCTGTGCCATCGATGAGGAAGTTTTCGGGCTTGAGATCACGATGAATGTAGCCCAGAGTGTGCAGCGCGTCGACGCACAAGAACATCTCGGAGATGTAGAATCGAGCGTGTCTGTTGTGTAAGACGCCCGTGTTGTTGAGGAGCGTCCGGAAATCGCCACCAGGCACGTACTCCATAGCGAGATAGATGCTCTTGTCGTCCTGGAAGGCATAGAGTAGACGTACCAACCATTCACTCTTAGCGTTGGTCAGAATGTCCCGCTCGGTCAAGACATGTCGAACTTCATCAAGTTTGAAGAGGAGCTTCTTGCTCATGATCTTCAGCGCGCAGACTTCGCGTGTGTCCTTTTTAGAAGCGAGATAGACTTGACCGTAGCCTCCTTGACCAATCTGGGTAAGAATCTGAAAGTCGCCATGCCTCAAACGAGTGCGTCGCTTCCGAAGTGTCGCGCGCTCTCGCCCCAGATACTGTGTCCACCGGCGGTTGTATTCATCGGCTTCTTCCGTGGGCATGGATGGTGTGGGGGGCGCATTGTGCGTCTTGAATGCCTGAAGTCGCTGCTGGCGGTTGTGCACGTACGAGAGCAGGTCGTAGTAGTAATCGAGAAAGTACAGCTGGGTCACGTTCGCCAGTCTCTTAATGCTGGGCTGCTGCAACTTTTCGATCTCGTCGGGGGTGAGCCCGCCGGATATTGTCTTGTTCTGACGTGTCGGCGAGTGATCTTCACGCTGACGGTACGGCTCCTGTCTGCTAGCGGCAGCCTGCGTGATGAAGCTCTGTGTCTGATGTGGTTGTGGGCGATGTGTTGGTGGCGTGTTCTCCTTGCCATTCTTGCGCGTGGGGCTTCCTGGAGCCCCGGCCTTTGTGTCCTGACCGCCAAACGGATCGTAGTCGTGCTTGTTGGGCGTACCAGGGGCTTGCTGCTTGGCTTGCAAGGCGCCGTGGTTGGATTGTCCTTGAATCGGGAGCAGCTTCATGGCATTGGAAAAGACGTTTGGGAGATCAAACGCGCCAGGTGGCATCTTGTTCTTGCTTGGGCTGCCCTGCGGCGTCTGGACGGGTGAGATGAAGGCATCGTTTTCGCCATTGGGCGTTCCGGGCTGCTCGTGCACGTCGTTGCTGGAGCGGGTGTGAAGAAGAGGTGGAGGGACGGGCAGTCGGAAATCATGGTTCTGGCCGCCCAGCGACGCCATTGCTGCGATTCGGGTTGCGGCGTCGCAAGTCGCGGGTGGATGGATGATCAAGCTCGTTGCTCGCCTGCGTGGATCTCAGTTCTTGGGGCAGAGCTGTGGATCTGAGATGCGTGTTGTTGTGCAGAGCGGAGGAAGTTTGCAGATGCAGCTGCAGATCTGGGTGCGCAATTGCAGGTGCAGCTGCGTTTGGAACTTGAAACGCTGCGTCTAAATCGGGTAGGGCATCAACACCTGCCGTCTCCACAGGAACCGCCCGCTTTCCTCTCCAGAAAAGCGGACCGGGCGATCATATCACCACACTTGGGCTGTGACACCAACAAAAGATCCATCAACTTCTGACGGCCTCAGACTCTTCGAGAGGTTCGCAAGCAGCATACCGGCCGAGATCAAGCCGTCGAGGCGTTGCGGCAGCGGGTGCTGATCTGTACGCGCGGCATCCAAGTGGTCCAACATTGGTTGGCATCACTGTATTGGCGTCGAGGCTCGCAGTCCAAGTCCAGGAAGGGACAACTGGGAAAAGAGAATCTCGAAGAGCGACGGATATATATCCTCTGATCCAGAACAACAACTTCGATAGCAACGGCAATATCACGAGACTACTCGGTGTCATGGCAACCATAGTGTCCACGGCTGAAGTTCGCGACATGGCGGTGACCGCTAGAGTATTCCAGCAGGGCCTTTCAAGCGTATAGCGTATTCGCGCAGCGAAAGATGCACTCCCGAGGACTTTGGCAAATGCCAGGCCAACAGCACGTCGAATGACCCAGAATCAGCGGTAGCAGCGTTCGACATAACCCTCCAACGTGCGAAGACGCTGTAGTCAGACCCCGGAGATCAAGGTATGCACTTCTATACTCCTCCTTCCTGGCACCCGATCGAGGAGCCAGGATGCAGCCATCACAGCAGCGGCAGCGATACGGAACTCCTGCACTGAACAGATATCGGTATGCTGCTGATGTCCTTGCATTGCCGCTCGCATACCCGTGTTTCCTGCACTGCAAGACCGCGACGGCAGCATTATCCAACGGCGATAGGACAGGCATGATAAGCGCCGGCGCGCTAGGGCCGACTGTCGTAGTGTGAGTGTTGATGAGACAAAGCCCTGAAACTAAATACATTAGGGACAAAGCAAAACCACGGCCTTCTAAACAGGATTAGCACGCTGTCTCTCACTTTACATATAGGACTTCCTTCCACATACAGAAAGTGGATCCTTTGAAGTGGTAGTTTCGTATGACTTCATCCACTTATACGAAGTAACCTGCACCAGCCCCGTATTTCCGCCGAGCGCATAGGTACCCGACTCACCCATAGCGCTCGACGGCCGGACTTGGCTCCGTCCTAGTGAATACAGAGTAAGATTCATCGGGAACATCAAAAGCTCTGACGCAAAACAAGGGCCCCCCCGTCCAGAGCATGTGTATCTGGAAAGATCGGTCCGAAAAGATGTAGAAGACGACCAGCAGGACCACGGACAGCTCGCGATCTCAAAATTCCCCAATTTGCAGCCTTAGGCAGCAAGGACTCGACCTTACTACCTGCCTACCTGCGTATGCAGATTCTCCCTCCCTTGCAAGCTCGGGGGGCCCTCTCCCGCTTTGTACGAAAACAGTCCTACCACTCCGCGTCCTTGCCGGCTAGACTTGGAATATATAGCAGCAGACATCCTGAACATTTGCAAACCTTGGTAAAGAAATACTCCGAAACGTAAGCTACCCGGAACCAAAATCCGAAATCACGAGCTGTTCGGAGCCAGACAGACGCACACAGCTTCCTACTCCTAGATGGGAGGGGGTGAACGGGAAGGACGGACTGACTGACTCATCATCAAGAGTCGGGTTTGATAACGAAACTACCTAAGACTTTAAACGTCAAAAAGACAACTTCCCGAGCGAGACGAGTTACGGTGCTCGATAGAAATCTCAAAAAACTGGCAGTTCTCGGCGTAGGTTAGGTGGTCGATGATGGGGCGTTTTTCAGCCAACTTCTGGTCATGACCGGTTCTCATCCGCCTTACTTCACGATACATACACATACACACACCATCGAATGATCGTGCTCAGGGACTTGTCGAATGATAGATAGTGCTGACTGGAGCCTTGTGGGCGGATTGCGGGTTGCCGCGCCGGGGAGTGCGGAGTACAGCAGAGCAGATATCTATCTCGACTCTGCATCTGTGGGGAGACGAGAGGTGGTGATAGATAGATATCGCTACCTGACCAGACCGGGTTTATCGAGAGATAAGCTTTTTTTTCCCCAGTATCAGTATCTCTGATGTCGTGATAGGCAGGCAGGCAGGCAGGCAGGCAGGCAGGAGGGGAGGTGTGTGTGTGATGAGTGAGAAAAATCAGGCACGAGAACACACGACACACAGGTAGCTACCTGCAACAAGCAAGGGCTTCGGGAAAATGCTGACCGCTATCTTGCACACCATCGAGGGCAGATATGAGATATGAGATAGATACAAAAAAATTCCGATGGGCTCTCTCAGGCAGGGCAAACATAAGTATCTATCATACCCAGTGCAGTGCAGGGCGCTTCTTACCTTGGAGCTTTGCTTTGCTCTGGTCATTTCCTTCCCTCCTCTCTTTATATACCTTATCATTATTATTATTATTGTTACCACCACGGGATGGATCCTCTCATCAGCAACACTACATGTTACTCTCCGAGAGCAAGGGACCGGGCAGAGCGACAGCAACAGCAGACGACAACGACACTGTTGTTGTTGTTGAGCTCTCTCCCTCTCTCCCTCTTGTCCGCCCGCCGGCCGAACGAACTCCGGCGCCTCGCACATGCCGAATTACCTGATGGAGCAACATCCGCCTCGCCTCTGGGAATAAGTGAAGAAGGGGGGCAAACTACTACCTTACGCTGGCTGGCGTACGATGCGATGCGATGCCTCCGATGGATGGATGGATCGAAGGGCCGAATGAGAAGAATGTCCTGGCTGGCCTAGGAGGGAAAACGACGCTGAGGTGCCGGCTTTCGTACCCGAAGCAACCAGCTCAGCTCGGATAATGGGCACTGGCACTGGCACCCTGGACCTTTCGGCAGATGCACTCCTACCAATAGCCCGCCTTCCACGTCAGCAAGCAAGCAAGCAAGCAAGCAAGCAAGCAAGCAAGCAAGCAAGCAAGCAAGCAACGACTGGATCCCCCCCCGTGTGTGCACTGTGCAGACTGGCGCGGACGACGGAGGTATGGAACCGGGTCCTGCGGTTGAGGTTGAGAGCTAGGCGAGGCACACGAGCACTGCACTGCACTGCACATGTTTGCCTCGCCACTGCGCGCCTCCACCAGCACGCACACCCATCCATCTATCCATCCACTTCGAGGAGGAATGTGTGGCATGCTACGGCGGATATACAGTAAGCGATGGGTGGGCAAATGCGGCAATACCGCACGCGTACAGACGACCCGAGAGACTAGGTCGCGGGCCACGAATCCCGCTCGCTTCACCCCACGCACCTCTCATCAGGCCTGAGGTGTGTGGCTGGTGGAGAGATCGCGTTCTTTGGGTTGCCGCCAACCGCCAACTGCCTGCCTGTGCACACGCCCTACCTGCCTGTGCACGCCCTTCCTGTGTGCACGCCCTCCCTGGAGGTGCGACACCCTCCAGTCCCTCCGCAAAACCGCGAACCCTGAATTCAGGCAGCGCTGTCTGGAAAGGCAGGCGAGCATGTGACAGTGTGCTGCGAGTATTCTGTCACCCCTCGTCAAGCGCTGGATCCGCCTCGCGCTATGGCGGCACCCACACTGCACGAGCAACCGGCGGTCTCGAACTTGGGCACACCCGCTCGGAAGGGTCGCACCAACGTCCAGAGGGGATTGACAGCCGCGCCATCTGGCGTTCGCATATCCATAGGGTCCTCCGATGCAAAGCTAGCATCACTGATGAGAGAGAGAGAGAGAGAGCGCTGAGAGGAGCTCACCCAGTGGATGGTATCCGCACGCAGCCCACAGCAGATTGAAGCCGCGCGACTGGTGTTGGAGAGCTCGGGGACTGGAGTCGGCGAGGGGGCAACGACGTGTTGGGAACTTGGGACAGCAGCTGGGCCGGCATGAGGCCGGGTTGCTAAAGGACCCGTCGAAATCTGAAGGCGCACCAACGATGCGACGCGAAACCACTTTCGCCACGGTGCTACTGCAAGTCCGCGAGCGAGCAGACCATGCCTCTGCTGAAGCATTGATGATGAACACAGCACACAGAGACGGCGCTGCGTTGAGGACGTTGCTTGCGAGCCATATGCCACAAAGTATACAGATTCGGGGCGGCAATTCTGTGGTGAGTAATCCTCAGAGGGCTGGAATAATAATGGCACTGCAGCTGCTGGCCAGCTCGTACCGAAAGCTCCCACCGTTTCGTCATTTCACATTTGAGACTCCTAACACACTAACGTTGCTTTTAGCTGTCGGGTCACGCGCGTACGCCGCATGGAAGGGTTGGGGTACGCCTGCCGTTAGATCCTTGGAAGGAAGCTCTCCATATACGAAGTCTCACAGTTGCCGCAAAGCAAAGATGCCCGCCGCGGCGCATACTCATCATATCCACAGGTGTTTCGGAGAGAATCATAGCGGCCGGCTTTATTACCTTAGGCAGAGAGGGGTTGGCCGACACGCGAAGCAACGATCCAGCAACGCTGCTGATGATGGCTCCGACATCAGGCTGCTAGCACTGCGTCTCAGTGATCCCAGACCGATGCCAGGTAAGGCTGTCCTTGGAAGATTTGCCTTGTGCAACGATCATGGAATTCTCCATGGGATTTACCTCTCTTCTCCCAGTGTGCAGGCCTGCATCACACGCTTTCCACCGAGGCGTCAGGCACATGCGAGGAAATGCACCGAATGGATCGTGAACATTTGCCTTCTCTCCGCCCCACCCGGCGTTACATCTAGAATCCGTAGGCACAGCCAGGAAACTCGTGCGCGAGACCCTCATGGCGCAGAGGGCATGGCGGGCGGGTGGTGGATGTGGGTCAATGCAGGATGCGCATCATCTGCTCTGGACCCTGGCAATATACCTGTAGATTCCGGATATTATTCGCGCGGCCGAAGATCGCGGATTCGCGGCGCGAAGGAGGGCAAAGCACGATGGGCCTTGAGATGATGATGATGATGAATGCGAAGGAGAGGAATTCCATCTGGGAGAGAAGCGGCATGCACAGCAAGGGCGGTCGTGGATGATTAATTGGTGAGTGGGCAGTGGTCCGCAGTAGCCGTAGTACAGGAAGAAGTGGGATCACAGGATTGTAGTGAAGATGCGAGCGTTCACATGGGCGGGTGTATTCTAGGTAGTCGGGGCACGGGGCGTTGCATGGATGCAGTCGGGTGTGTGGTGGAGTGCCCGCAATGAATGCCCTCGGTCCGTCCCCACTCTTTGTCGAGCGCCCTGGGCGGCGTGGGATGGGACATGGTGGTGTGCACTCATTCATCAAGCACTGTGTAGGGGCAGCTCTGCAGCGGTGCTACCACATAACGTACCTACCGCACGTATACCACATTCTCGTCCGCACCTTATTGCTGCCGTTGTTTCGCAGAGCGGCAGAATTCCAGTGCATCATCATCATCATCATCATACCCACCCCGATCGCGCCGACACCAGCACAGCACGCCTCGACCGGAAAATAAAGGTCGTCGGGCGTCTCCGGGTGGAAGGGATCGCAGTGCGCAAGCGCAGGTTGAGATCGTTGTCAGCTCGCGTAAGGTAGTCTAGTCGTCTGCGACTAGCACAGTAGTAGTTGCTACTGCCGGCCGCAGTGGCGTCTCTGAAGCCGACCGAGCGACGGGAGCGACGAGCTGGCTCGCTCTCAGCAAAAGCTGACCCACGATTATTGCTGAACCTCCTCCCCACTACTACTGGCCCACGGGCTCGCGCTCGATTATTATTCACCATACCTTACCATACCGATCCCTTCGCTACACCGCCCGACCACACATCTTGACTGCTGCTGCCTACTACTGCCGAGGGGACTACGACAGTTCACTCACCTACTCCCTCTCACATGCATCGCACGTGCGTCGTGCTATCTCTGTATGTCTCAAGTCCAGCCCGCGCAGGCTAGCCACCAGCGCGACCAGCGCGACCAGCATGAGGATGAGCGGGAGCAGGAGCAGGAGCGTGGGGTGCTGTCGGACGACTCCATGAGCGTGTCTGCCAATGGCCTCGACGTCTCCCATTCCTCCACCACCACCTCGCCGCGACGAGTCCGCTTCCCAGAAGGCCGCTCCGACAACACCTCGGGCACCTCGAGCGCCATTGCCTCCCTCACCTCCCAATCCACCCTCGACACCCTCTCCACCCGCCTGGACCTGTCGCCGACGGAGAAGGAGGCGCGCAAGGGCGTGTTGCGCGAGTCCTTCTTCCATGAGTGGAAAGACGATGCGACCGTCGAGTCGGAGTCGCCCGAGGAAATGCAGAAGAAGGACCCGCTAGGCACGCAGATATGGAAGCTGTACCACAAGACCAAAGGCCAACTGCCCAACGGCGAGCGCCTGGAGAACCTCACGTGGCGCATGATGTCGATGAATCTGCGCCGCAAGGAGCTGGAGAGACGACGGTATCACGCCCGCCCGGGGTCGAGTCGTAGTAGTATGTGACCACCACACCGATGCTAACGTGATCTCCAGGCTCGCACCCCGCCCAGCAGGCCCGAATGCGCCCAGCGGCATTGCACAGCTGCGCAAGTCGTCCGAGCAAGCTGCCCGGGCGCAGGCGCAGGAGCAGGAGCAGGAGGAGCGCATGAATCTGGACGAGTTCATCGTGCCTTCCTCGATCGGCTCTCCCGCCGGCCTGTCACCCGCACCTTCCAGTGTGGCCGAGAACGAACCACCGGCGAGTAGGACGACGACGACGACGGCAACGACGGCAACGACGACGACGACGACGACGACGACGACGGCAACAGCGACCGGGGCGTCCGCGTCCGCGTCCGCGTCCGCGATCCCGATCAAGCAGCAGCAGCGACTTCAAGGCGAGGAGCTGTCGCTGTCGCTGGCACGTGCCTCCGCCCCCTCGGTCCCACCGCTCGAGCAGAACAGGACGAACCGGGAGTTTGGCTACGTCCAGAAGCACGTGCGCAAGACGAGCATTGACGAGCGCCGGGTAAGTCACCGTCCCCGTCCCCGTCCCCGTCCCGGTCGAGCATTATTGCAGCAGCAGCAGCAGCAGCAGCAGCAACAGCAGCATCGCTCATCTGACTGACTCTCCGCAGCCGCCCAAGCGACGGGCTGAGGCATCGCCGCAAGTCCCCCCCGTTCCCAGCACCGCCATGGAGATGCGAGATCCCGAAGCCGAAGCCGCTCTGCACGACTACTCCTTGGACACCCCCATCTCCCAGCCCCAGCCGCACGCCCAACACCCCCAGCTGCCCTTCAATCTCGACACCTTCGGCCTCGACAATGACCCCATCATCAACTCGGCCGGCGCCCAGCAGCAGAACTTCACCTTCTCGCCCGTCGGCTCGCCCATGGTCAACAGCGGTTTCAGCCAGATGTATGGTAGCATGCCGCTGCCCCACACCGCATCCAGCCTGCAGTCGCCTCCGGGTTCCGCCTACCCCTCGACCGTCTCGACCCCCCAACCCATCCCCGAGGGAGACCAGGTCTTCTTCGGCTCCCAGCTGCATCCCCACCAATCGATCCCCAGCTTCCAGCCCTCCTCTAACCTGCCTCAGAGCTCATCATCTCAGCAGCAGTTCGTCTTCCACCCGAACAGCGACTCCATGTTCAGCGCCATCTCCTCCAGTGCTCCCTCTCATGGATTCCAGCAGCCAACATTCCAGATGCCTGGTCACTTGGACCCGATGAATGTGATGCCGAACAACGACTTCGCTCCCCAGAGCCTTCCTATGAGACCGCACATGTTCACATTCGGTGCCGACGAAGATGAAGAGGACGACGAATGCATGTCATTCCCAGACAACGGCTTCATGATGCCACAGGGCTATTCTCCGGGTGAGGATCCGTCCTTCGAGATGCAAGGCAACTACCAGTGGGACAATACCCTTTCGAATCATTACAATCCTTCGAGCGAACGATATGGCGGTGCGCAGCGCAAAGGGGTTCAGATCGGACATACGGAGATGATTCCATCCCCCCAGAACTGGAGTCAGGGCGGATTGGGCAGAGGACATGGGTCGGCTGCCTCTGTGAGCGAGATCAGGAACCGCGGCGGTGATCCAAGAACTCGAAAGATTCCCCGTACGACGTCAACTCCGAATACCGCGGGCATGGCTACAGGCATGTTCTCTATTCGCACGCAATCTTCGCCCACCTCGCCGCAAGAGTCTGGCTTCAACTCTGCAGCACCATCTCGGCCCGGCAGCCCTCGACCCGGTGGTGAGAATAGCGGTGTGCCAACTACTTGCACGAATTGCTTTACGCAAACAACTCCTCTTTGGCGACGAAATCCTGAAGGTCACCCATTGTGCAATGCTTGTGGCCTGTTTTTGAAACTGCATGGCGTTGTTCGACCGCTGAGTTTGAAGACGGACGTGATCAAGAAGCGGAATCGGGGGAGCGGAAATACGGTGCCGGTCGGTACTTCACGATCCAAGAAAGCAGCGAGCCGCAAGAATTCCGTGGCCCAAGCACCTGGAAGTACGCCCACCTCTGGCAAGACGGGGCCCGCAGATGCAGACTCGCCCAAATCCGGGACGGGATCTACTGCAACTACACCAACAAGCTCTGGTGCTCCTGAAGCACCCAAGAAGACGGTCGTTCCGATTGCGCCTGGTCCTCCGAAGCCGACTACGCAACCACCTGCGAGCGCGCCAACTCGCCAAGTCGCTCCCAGGCGGACACGAAAGACGAGTCGAGCGAGCAATGCACTCAGCCAAGGGGACGCTGATATGATGGACATCGACATTGCAGGTACACGAGGTGGTAGCAGCGGCAGCGGTCCGAAGAGCGGACCGCCTGCTCCCACACATCCCCAACTCGCTCCGAATCCCAATATGAAACCTAATGTGCCCGGGATGCACGCAGATATGGTCCCGGCGGGCGGAGGCTCTGGACAACCGGCGCAGCACCCTGGAATACCACCAAACATGATTACTGGACCACAGGAGTGGGAGTGGCTCACGATGAGTCTGTAAATGCAGCTACAGCGACATCGTATCTGTCACCATGACGATCCGACGGAGCGTCGCTTTCGCTGCGATTTATGCGGCGCGCAACAGCGCCCGGCGTTGAACAGCAAAGAGGAAGAGTCGCCTGCAGGCGCTTTCCCAACCGTGTGATACCCAACATTTTCTCTGATTTTGACGCTCGATACCCGAACCCTTCGTTTCCACGGCTACGATAGAGGGTGCTTTGGATCTGAAACTTTTTCATCTTCGATTGTACATACGACTGGGGGGAGAGGCTCTTGTGGAAGTGAGAGGCTTCATCTTCACGAAACGCTACGTGACGATGTCTTTTTTCGTCTACTACTAATGCCCGGTCGGTTTGGTGTGATTTGCTTTGCTATTGACTTTTACCGCAAGGGAAATGGGCGCATTTGAGGAATAGAAGGGAGAGGGAAATATGATACTTTTCTAGGATGGACCGAGAGGCGAGAGGGATTGTCGACCGCATCTATTGTTGTTAGTGCAGTCGCTTTTTTCATTTTTTTTTATCACGAGGTATGAAAGCTTTTGTGACAGCAGTCTTTTTGCTTCGTTGTTTTTATCCTTCTTTTTCCCAATGAGACCTATCCTAGTACGTAGGTACGGTTCCCAAATCCGTTCGAGAGAGCAGCAGCATCGGACGACCTCGGTACTCTACTCTACCCCTTCTCCTGTGCTCCACCATCCTACCGCTCCGATCGGAGTAATAATACCTTTGAAACTGGAACCTTGAAACCTTTTTTCCCACTAATAAATAAGGTACACTCAGCAGCAGCAGCAGCAGCAGCAGCAGCGACGGGACTACTTTGACTGCTTTCCCTTTCTACACGGCAATCCACGGCAATCCACGGCTTAATGCGAGATGATATCATATCATATACCCTTTTGCACCTTCTTCCCCCTACACTTTTTTCTTCTTCTTCTTCTGTGTTCTGTGCTTCTGTCTTCTGTCCTGCAAGCGACAGGGCAAGCGCGGCAAGCTCATCACTCCTCCCCATTCATTCATTCATTCATTCATCCATCACTCATTCATTATTCTTCCATCACCGATTTCTTTTTTTCCTTTCCTTTCGCTCCTGATTTGATTTGGAGTTTTCTAACGGTTGAAATGCAGGTTGGGATGGTATCTTCCACAGTTCTGTCTCGGAGTTTTCGGAGTTTTCGGGACGGGAGGGGGGATGTGCATGCATGCAAGAGCAAAGAAGGTGCACATGAGAGGTGAGAGGTGGTGTGTGGAGGGGGTGGGGTGGGTGGGGAAGTAGGTCCGGATTTGGACATTGCCCCCGGGTCCCGGGGGCCGACCAATGATAAAACTGGGGACGGGGTTGGATTGGTTGGTTGGTTGGTTGGACAGACAGGAACGCACGGGTTGATATTTTCTTTTTTTTCTTTTCTTTCTTCCTTTGCTGCTTCTTCGGGATCAGGGTTTTGTAGGGGTGTGGGAGCGGTTAGGGCAGGCTTTTCTTTTCCGTTTCGCTTATTTAGATTTTGTTCTGTGCGTCTGTGTGTGTGCATGTGGTGTGTGGTTGTGTGTGTGTGCGTGTGTGTGTGTGTGTGTCTGTGTGTGTGTGAGTAGGTTGTGTGGCTTTTTGGGGAGGGAGGGACTTTCCTTCTTTGCTAGCTGTGCTAGGGTTCTCTCTTTCACATGCTCGTAATAAGGTTTCTTCGGGATTGCCGAGGAAGTTTACGTGGGCGGCTGGCTTGGATGTGTGATTTACCGGGAGAATGGGAGAGGATCTTGCTGGGTTGATGTGAGGGGTCTAGAACAGTCTGGGCACATCTGCTCTGTCTCGACGCTTGATGGAGCTCGTGTTGATCGAGACGCGAAAGTTCGGTACTTGAAGAAGTGCTGTGAGTTGGGGATGGCTTCAAGCAGGAATTGACGGTGGCTTCTTCGCAACCTGGAACCCTCCGTGCAAGGACGGGTTGGAGCTACCTCGCAACTCTTACTTGTCACACGTGCGGTATAGTTTCACAGCTTCGACGCGCCGCGCCTGCCAAAAGTCATCAGTCCCGGAAACCTTCACCGGTATGATTTACCTGAGACCACCTTATTAGAAAGAGAAGAAGGTTCGATGGAAAGAGATGAGGGCGAACTCACAAGTTCTCGTGGAAGAAGTTCAAGAGCAGCTCGTAAGCCTTCTTGTAGTCGGCCTCCACAGCTGGGTCCTTCAAGTCTGCGCGAGCAGCCATGAAGCCATGAACTTGATTTGGCCACCACTGGACAATGTTCTTGGTCTTGACAGCCTGCTGCCACTTCTCAACATCCTCCTTCGGCTCGTCCTTGCTGGGAAGCATGGCGAATGGGATGGAGATGCCCGGGGCGTCGTTCGCGTCAACCATCGCTGGGTGGCAGGAAGCCGCAGCCTTGAAACGGGTACCCTGCTGGGAGGAAAGATTGACGATCTTGCCGCCCCAGCAGTAGCCCACAATCCCCCACTGCTGGATGGAAGAACGCTGGCTCTGGATCTCGTCCAGAACCTTTGGAATGCGCTCGAGGGTCTTTGGTGGTGTCGCCTTGGTCTGTTTCACCCGGTCAGCGTTGTAGTTGGAATGCTATGCACGATCCTGGTGTTCTGCCCGAGCATACCTGGAAGAACTCGCCGAGCTTCTTTCCCTTCTCGTCGGTGTCTGGTGGGTACCAAGAGATGTCTGCCGGCTTGCCGTCAAAGAAGTCTAAGTCCTTGGTTAGCAGGGCCGAGTTGCTAGGAGCTCTGTTTATAACTCACCTGGCATGAAGACCTGGTACTGATGCTCCTTGTCGCTATGTGCGAGGATATCAGCTCCCTGGAGTGTCTGCGGGAAGAAGCCTACCGAAGCCAGATGATCAGCATGGCGAAGAACGTGACAATCTTAATGCGTTCCTTTATACTAACCAAAGATGTCGTAGACGACGAGAATGGCAGTCTTTGCGTCCTTAGGGCCGGTGGCATACGTCTCTGCAATGAGGACGGATCGTTAGCGGTGATACTTGCTTGGGTCACCTTTGACAGCAGCTTGCTGGATTCCACGTACTCATTCCTTGGATAGTCGTCCATTCGCCCTTCTCTTTGTAGCCGTCGGCCACGACAGGCGGGACTGTGCAGCAGGCATGCGATTGGGTCGACATGGTGCTGGCGTATCTAACGCGGGTGACGGTCGGTCGGAGTGATCGGTGGAAGCTGTATGTGACTGCTGGAGTCACGAATGTCGCTGCGGCGGGAAGTGGAAGTCGAAGGTGAGAGATGGAGTTGACAGCTCGCGTAGAAGGACGAAGAAACATTTGCGCTTCTTGGGCCTCTGGCAACACGTCGTCGGCGAACCATTGAGGGGCAAGAGAGCTCCAGGCTGTCGGAGGTGACGCAATGTCTGAGCCTGAGGCCCGAATTGTGGGATCACAGGATCGAATCTGAGCGAGCTCGGCGATGGACGCGGATCTCTCCGGATCATATCTCCGCATCATCTAACCACTAACACGCGAAATATCATCCTACTCAGACCCCTTCCAACGCGGGGAGAATGGTCTTGTAGATTGGTCCACCAGGCCGGATGATGCCTTGGCGTGCCTTCTCAGCAATCCTGATTGCGGCCATTGCCGTCCTCTACTATTCCGACAGTCTCTGGTGGGGCTTCAATGCCCTGTGCTACTCAGCATCCACAGACAGGCAGGTCAACTGGACGTCGTGACGGGGCTGCAGCTGCTGACTGGACTTAGTGAGCCAACGTGGAGCTCTCTGCGCCATCGCGGAGGCTATTCTCCATGGTTCCAGAAGAAGGACGGAGTGCTGGACTCCGGCATCGACCTGCCCATAGGTTGTGCCGTCGATCAGATCCATATCAAGTCAAGACACGCTGAACGATATCCAACCATGCAGCCCGGGATACGTAAGTGAGTGCGACCGAGCAACACAGCCAATGCCTCGAAGCAGGAAGCGAATCGCTAAGACCAGAATGAAGGCATGCTTGAACTGTATCAGCGTTTACAGCATCTGAACTTCACATTGGAGGGAGATTTATCATTCGTTAACTCCTGGGACTTCTTTGCGCCGCATCCGAGCGAACAATTCGAGCAGTTGACATCTACAGGCCCCTATGCAGGGACTCTGCAAGCCTTCGCGACAGGCGTAAGACTCAGAACTCGATACATGAAATTACTCGAACAGGCTCTGGCCAAAAATCAGACCACTTTCTGGGCGAGCCAGTCGGACCGCGTGATTGAGAGCGCCCGACTGTTTGCGACAGGATTTCTCGGTCTGGACTTCGAGGAATTTGCCACGCTGGAAATCGTCCCAGAGACACTTGATCGAGGAGTAAACACGCTGACGCCAGGGCGTGCATGTCCGAACTATGCAACGGACCGCCAAGGCCATGGAAGCGGTGCTGAGCACTGGGATGCCTTCCGCCAGACATATCTATCGGACATCAGTTCTCGTCTGCAAGCACAGAACCCAAGCATCGAATTCTCCAGCTCCGAAGTCTATTCCATGCAAGAGATGTGTGCCTTTGAGACTCTCGCCAAGGGCTCATCGGAGTGGTGCAATGCCTTCGCGAAAGAAGAACAGTTGCAATTCGAGTACGCTCGAGATGTCATGTACTATTACAGATCCGGTCCTGGAAACAAGTATGGACCAACATTAGGATGGCTTTGGCTAAATGCCACAGCGAACTTGCTGCACCAGGGACCTGAAGCCGGACCCATCTTCTTGAGCTTCGTTCATGATGGCGACATGATTGCCCTTCTCGCCGCGATGGACGTTTTTCCTCAGAAACCTCACCTGCCGACTTCGCATCTCTTGCCAAATCGTACCTGGAAGATGTCAGATGTCACGGTATGTCTGTGTCTTTGATGTAGACTTAGCCTCAAGCTTGCTGATATGGACACAGCCAATGGGCGGTCGCTTCATTCTCGAACGCTTTGTCTGTCCGGCACCGCAGGTCTGTTGGGATAATGCGGAATATGGCTATCCGAATCACATTTACTGTAAGAAAACTCAGAGAAACCACGGACCAACTACACGCTGACCTAATTCTCCAGGCGATCCGCCAAAGAACGATACCTACGTACGGCTCAATATCAACGACGGCATCGTGCCAATTCCGGACTGCACAGACGGACCGGCTGGTGGATGCAGTCTGGACAGGTTTCTACACCGAGTGAGACAGCGTGGTGAAGATATCGACAATTACGCAGAGCTTTGTGGCCTGTCTGAGGAGGTCCCAAAGCGTCTTACGTTTCTGCATCAATAGGGGCGACTCTGATAAGAGAGCCGGCCTTTCTCAAGAAGTGTGTCGTTCCATCTTTCAATCCCAGCAGTGTTGGTGTACTGGCTCTTGTCTCTCAGTTGCGATCTATCCAGCAACATGGTCCGTAAGATACTCCCTTCATGCCATTGAAGTGCTGACCGACAGTTCGGACCTGCTCTCGTGTGTCAGCTTTCCAACGCGCGACGAAGACGTATGCAGTTTTATGTGGGTCGAATTCCACCAACCCAGAATACCTACTCGACGGAGCTAGTGGATATAGCGGGGTTCGGAATTGGAGTAAAACCGGCCAAAGCCAAGGCAAGTCCTGTCAGTCTCCAGGCAGCAATCAGCCTCAACTTCAGCCCATGAGCAGCCGTTGACGATGATTTTCGACTAGAACCAACATCATACAATAATCAAAATGCCACCGTCAACGCCATTCACAATTCGCCCGGCGACAATCGCCGCCTCAGACCACGAGCTTTTGATAGACTTCCAGCAATCTCAAATCGCATGGCTCTCGAGTGTAGGCAGCTCTGATCAATGGGGCACCGGAGTGATACGGGAAACCAACCCTCGAGTGTCGGACACGACTCGCGCTTGGATCGAGAGGAGCGAGCATAAAGCACCTTGGAGCAGTGAATGGTGTCGAGCGTTCGTAGCGGAGACCAGCAGCGGGACTCCAGCGGCTGGCATGGTACTGGAATCCAAGTCCAACAATTACACGCGCGACATCCTCCCGGAGCAGGATCCAGGCGACCCTTTCGTCTATCTGGCGTATCTGATCTCCAATCGCAATGCTGGAAGCGAAGCCAAAGGCGCCGGAGCGGCTTTGATCGCTCTGGCCCGGGAGCAGACGCTCGCTGCCGGCGTGAAACGCATTTGCGTTGATTGCTGGGCTGGGAATCATCGGCACTTGGTCAAGTAATAAGGATCGCGATGGGTTTCCAATGCTCAAAGGCTGACGTTGCGGTGTGCTCTTCCAGGTACTATGAAAGCCAAGGTTTCGTGCCTCTGGGTGATTTCACAGGACCGCGGCCAGGCAAGAGCGATTGGCATGGCTGTGTTCTCGAAATGCGGCTTTAGCATCCAGTTTATCAGTACAGGTAGACCCATTATTGACAACGGAATCGAGGTAATGAGTAAAGAAAGTTGAACGTCTCACGGGACAGGCGCTTAGATAAGCCAAATGCCACTTCCCCCGAAGTTTCACCGACCTCGCCCACCTTACCTGCTTGTGCCGCGCGACCTTGATGGACCCCGATCGGGGACGGACCTTGATGGGTTTTGCGTTCACACTTTTGACTACAGTTTCCCTCCCTCCTCATCCAATCTGCAACCCGCTATAAACCATGGCTCAAAATGTCGCCCTCGAGACTTCCATGGGCCAGATTGTCGTGGAGCTCTACACCACTCACGCGCCCAAAACCTGCCAGAACTTCGCGACGCTCGCGGGTAGAAACTACTACAACGATACGGTCTTCCACCGGGTCATACCGGATTTCATGATCCAAGGTCAGTCAGTCAGTCAGTCCGTTGCCCTCTCACATCCGCACATTGCAGCCGATTGACACGCACCGAAAAACAAAAACAGGCGGCGATCCCACCGGCACCGGACGAGGCGGGTCATCGATCTACGGCGAGAAATTCGAAGACGAGATTCGCGGGGATCTCAAGCATACGGGCGCCGGGGTGCTGAGTATGGCCAACAGCGGGCCCGACACGAATGGGTCGCAGTTCTTCATTACGCTTGCGCCGACGCCGTGGTTGGATGGGAAGCATACGATCTTTGGGCGTGTGAAGAGTGGGATGCGCGTTGTGCAGAGGATGGGGTTGGTGAAGACGAATGGGGAGGACAGGCCGGAGGGAGAAGTCAAGATTGTCAGTGCGCGGGTGCTGCAGGGCGAAGACGACGTTTAAGTGGGCGAGGGACATACTCTTCGGTCGCTGGAGGCAGAGATGACTAGGTGAGAAAGAGCCAGTCCGCTCGGACCGCATCCGGCCTGGAAAGATATGCTGCATGGGCCGAACCTGTACTACACTCGGATCACAATGGCGACATTGAAAAGGCTCGGGGTGTACGACTTGGCTGTTATTTGCTACGGAACCATCCGACAAACGCGTGACCATCTATGCGAGTGGGCCGTTCGGGTGCAGCAAGACCTTGGTATAACCCTCGATACGTTTGTCGAACTTCTCGTACCTGCACAGAGAACGTCAGCACACCAGCCACACATGCGAACCGTCGATACATACGCCATGGGAGCATCCTCAAGGTCTAGTTCGTGCGATACCACAAACGACGGCTTCGCGCGGCCAGCAATGATGAGATCGCGGAGGTACCGATTGTATGCCTTCACGTTGCATTGACCAGTAGCCAGTGAGAGTCCCTTCTCGAATAGCTTTCCGAATGGCATGGAGATCATTCCCTTGGAGGACTGCTCGTCGGGTGCACCAGGATCCGATGGGACGTACAAACCCGGAATACCTAAGCCGCCGCATGCCCGGGTCACCATGATCATCTGGTCCAAGATGATGTTTGGCTGCTCCTTGTTGCCGCCCGAGCTCACGGCCTGGTATCCTACTGCATCTACCGATCGATCGACCATTCCGCCGTTCTTCTCGATGATTGCCTTCACCGGATCGCCGTCTCTGAAGTTGATGGGTATGCAACCGATCTTCTTGGCTTGGTCAAGGCGTTCCTCGACCTGATCCACGACGAAGACGTTCGAGGCTCCGCGGATGATGCCAGAATATGCAGCCATGAGACCGACTGGACCTGCGCCGAAGACGACCACACTCTCGCCGGGCTTGAACCCGGACAGAACGAGTCCGTGCCTAAAATCGAGTGATGGAAGGTCAGCAGATGTCTCAGACCACGAGCGTCTTCGCACAGCGGTGGCAGCCTCTCAGACGCCCTTCCAATGGGCGAAGACGATGCAAAGGGGCGCCTCTCATCTATGCCGTTACTTACCATCCAGTGGGAAAGATGTCTGCGAGAAGAGCAAAGTCTGCCTCATGCGCCGTGCCCTCTGGGAGCTTCAACCCGTTGAAGTCTGCGTACGGCACACGCAGATATTGAGCTTGTCCTCCTTGATATGGACCCATTGCAACGTAGCCGTACGCGCCGCCCGCAAAGCCCGGGTTTACACCTGTGCAGAATGCTGTCTTGCCCTCCTCGCAGTTCCTGCACCGGCCGTCTGCAACGTTGAATGGCAGCACAATTCGATCGCCCTTCTTCAGGAGGGTCACTCCGGGACCGACCTCTGTGATGACACCCATATTTTCATGTCCAAAGACCAGGCCGGCCTCCGCTGCCGTCCTGCCCTCGTACATCTGGGAGCGCAGGCGTCAGGATCTACTTCTTCTGCTACAATGGGACAGCGAGACTTACATGCAAATCGCTACCGCAAATGCAGGTGGTTGTGACCTTGATAATGGCATCGTCGGGATGTTGGATCTTGGGCACGTCAATGTCCTTCACGGACACCTTGAACGGGCCGTCGTAGTGGAGTGCCTTCATCTTTCCCGCCATCTTGGATGATAGGTAAGTTTGTCCTTTTTTGTTGCGTTTCCAATTGGTTCTTGGTTCTTGTATTATCTTCTCTTTCAATCCTGTCCAGTTGGTTGAGTGAGTCGAGTTGGAGAATATTCGACGAAAGTGGAGGGTTTTCCTTTCAGACTGCTACGCGCTACAAGGCCACCTCAGCATAAGATTGACCTCATGCGGGGAAAGCTCGCGTGGTGGAGCTCTCTCTCTCTCTCTCTCTCTGGGTGCGCCTGTGGTGATCTCTGCGGGGTGCGAATACCATTTGACGTTTGGGCCCAGAGATTTGGAACCATTCACTACACGCCACTTTCTGATATCCAGGATACGGATTTGTTTTGCTCGCACTGGCTGGTCTGAGAGGGACACTGGCTCCTCCGAACATGCGCATGTCAGCGGCTCAGCAGGTATCATGCAGCGCGAACTTGCGCGGTGGTCTATGAGGCCGAGCACAAGAATACTTACAACGCGGAGAGGGATTCGAGCTGCCGGAGCCGTTGGCGCGAAGAGAGGACTGGCGTCCAAGGGTCCATCTTCGTCACGTGCTGTCACGAGCGGAAAGCCAGCGGTGGTATGGCAAGTTTCCCAGCCTCTGCTTCGACGGGCGTACTCATCACTATCATCATCATCTACATCCGAGCCGGACGGGAAACAACCCGGCGTCTTCCACCAGATTCAAGACATCCCCTCATCATCATCATCATCATCGGGAGGCCAACATTCTTCTTCCTCCATTGCAACAATCACCATCTCGAACCCGACGAAACTCAACATCGTCAATACCCGCATCCTCCAAGACCTCTGCACAGTCTGCGAGGAACTCTCGAACTACGATGATACCTCCTCCTCCACCTCCTCCCCCCCTCTCCGCTGCGTCATCCTCACGGGCGCCTTACCCTCTCACGGGAAACCCCCCTCCTTCATCGCCGGCGCCGACATCACCGAAATGAAACTCCTCACCTCACCCGCCGAAGCCAAAACTTTCATCACCAAAATCCACGCCGCGTGTACATCCCTGCGCCGCCTACCGGTGCCCGTCATCGGGCGCGTCGACGGCTTCTGCCTCGGCGCCGGCCTGGAAATTCTCGCATCTTGTGATCTGCGAATCGCAACGCAGCGCAGCACGTTCGGAATGCCCGAGGTGGCAATCGGAATTCCGAGCGTCGTGGAAGCAGCACTATTACCCGGCTTGATCGGCATGGGGCGGACGCGGCGATTGCTGTATCTCGCAGAGCGGATCGACGCCAGGGAAGCGGAGAGGTGGGGGCTTGTGGAGCGGGTGGTGGAAACTACGGAAGCACTGGATCAAGGGGTGGAGGACTGGTGGAGGCGGATTGCGGATATGGGGACGGGGGCGGTGAGGCTTCAGAAGCGGTTGATGCAGCGGTGGGAGAATTGTCATGTGGATGGGGGTATTGCGGCGGGGGTGGAGGTTTTTGCGGAGGCTTTTGAGGATGGGGGGGAGGAGGCGAGACGGTTGATGGGGGAGAGGTTTTTGGGGAGGAGGAGATGATGTTGGCTTGTGCCGACGGGGAAGGGGGCCTACAAGAGAGGAGCGAGTGGCTTTGTATATATGAGAGGAACGAAGTCTGTGTGTTCATCGTGCTAGGGCTGATGCCATCCAGCTTGCTGCCGCTCGCATTCTGGAACGTCCGGCTTGGGAATTATCCCAGAGCCCCAGGCCAGGGTATTGTTCGTGGCGTACCATGTCCTCTGACACATCCGAGCCACCACCATCATCTTCATCGTCGTAGTAGCCCTTACTTCCCGCGGACTTGGCCTGCCTCGCGAAACTCTGTCTCAGCAGGTGCGCCAGCTCTTCGCTCTGACTCGACAGCGGCGACGCGACACCAGCCGACAGCAAGAAGCGCGGAAGACGCAGCCCGAGGGCTTTACTCGGGTACCGCCGTGAGGTCTTCCTCTTTTTTGCAGGGGGAACTACTCCATCCGACAACAGCGAGGGTTCCAGGAGTCCCCGCACCGCGCTCAGAGCACGCTGCTCGCGGAGGAAATCCCCTCTCTCGAAGCGTGCCAGTTCATCGAAATCATCGAGAGGTCCTTTTTCTTCTTCTTCTTCTTCTTCTTCTTCTTCTCCTTCGACGTCGACGTCGACGTCCTCTGGGATCTCGCTTCCCGCCGTGCGAAAGAAAAGCGCCGGCGATGCGAAGGGGTCGTAGTATTGCGCCGACTTCCGGAAGAGCTGCGCTCGGAGTCTGGCCAGGATGGCAGTTGTCAGAGCGGTGTTGGAGGGAGTAGTAGTAGTAGTAGGAAGTGGCGATTTCTTGACGGGTGACCAGACTTGAGCTTCTTCGTTTTGGAAAGCTACCCAGTCGACTATGGCGTTCCCGACGGCCGCTGCCACCACGCCGGGCTCGCCGGCGCGACATTCGGTGAGAGCGAGCATGGTGGCGAGTTGGCCGCCGACGAGCTCGCCGCAGACTGCGATCCGGCCGACGTGCTCGGAGCGGCCTGCCCGGGCGATGGCTCGCTTGGGGAGGAGGTGGGAGACGATCCAGTCGTAGCCTGTCGCGACGTCGTGGATGGGCGTGGGGTACTTGTTCGACGTGCCGCATCGATAGTTGACTTGGACGACGTGATACGGCAGGATGGACTGGAGAATGGATACGTTTGATGCATCCTGGTGCGGGTCGTTCAGGATTGGCCCTCTGGGCAGGTATAGCGCGACACCTGCTGTCGTTGTAGTCGGCGGTGCGGTCAGCGGATGATGGATGCTTGTCTCTGTGTTAGCATTTCTTCCTGTGGATATGGGACTTGGGGGCATTACTCCAGCGTGATGCTGCCGTTACTGGAGCAGGGGATGGTGATGGTCTCATGTCCTGCTCGTCTTGCACGTGTGGAGCTGAAGAGCCGCAGGAGCGAGGGGCGGCAACGTGAGGAATCTCGGACGTGGTGGCGACATCTCAGCATGCCACAGACGGAGCCTGTCGCGACAACAAAGGTGATATATTGGTGTGTGGGAGTGAGAGAGAGGCGGTGGTGAAAGTTGCACGCACAGCGTCGGTGAGAGATGAAGTGGCGTCGGAGCAGCCGATTTCTAATAAGGTAAATGGTACTACAACTGTACATTATTCGGCATATCTACTCTCCCCCCCTACGACTTCCCCTGAGGATGTTCCTCCTGCTTCTGCTTCGCCGTCTGCTCCTGCAAATCCGCCATATGCTCCCCGTGATCCCGTACCTTCTGCTGATCCGCGCCCACGGCAGCTTCCGACTGCGATTTCAGCTCTCCCTTGCGCCTGCCCGTCTTCAGCTGCTCCTGCTTCGCCGCCTCAATCTCTTCCGCACTCTGCGGCGTGTCCTCCTTCAACCGGAATCGTGGGGTCGACGTGAAGGCCCTTCTTGTCGTCGTCGTCGTCGTCGGGGCAGAAGGTGCGACGACGCCGACGACGCGCCGGAGAGGTTGCGGCCGTGGGATGATTCGGAACGGCATCGTGGGTGGTTCGATGGATGTTTTTGAAGACCGAAGAGGATGTATGTGATCGTGTTTCAATGGCTCTAGAATAGACCATCAGACCCGTCGTCGAGCTCTTTGGAATGGAAAGGACGTGGGGGAATACCTTCTTCTCAAGCTCCTTCTCTTCTCCGTTCCCACTACGACGGATTGCGCTCAGCAGACAGCAATTCTCTGCACTTGACACAAGTGAAATCCTACACCGACGACCGTTCTCACTTCTAATTGTGAATTTTCACCTTGCTCCTTGGTGCAACAACACCGACTGCGTTTTGTACCTCGCACCAACGGCGGGGACGTACCATGACCAAATCATGACGGTACTCCCACGTGCTCGCTCGCACGCATCAGCTCGCTTTCGGCATCCTCCACCTTCATACAGCATCGATACCATATATCAATGCAAGTGTTGATGAATGACTTCCATTCACTCAACACGCCAAAGTAAACTTCTATTTCCATCACTCGTCTCAAAAGCTTCCTCCTCATCATGATAGATACTGTGAGAGGAGCACAAAGACCAAACCATACAGAAAGAAGAAGAAACTACCCCTCCCCTCCCCTCCCCTCCTTTCCCACAAAAATCAAACTCATCCATAAAACGGGGCATGGATTCCCTCGAGGAACAAAAGTGATCCAACCCTGATCTCTCTCTCTCTCTCTCTCTCTCTCTCTCTCTCTCTCCCTCTTGATCACGTAGTAGATAGATCCTCCTATAATTTACGACACCAAACACCTACATACGATGCCGTCATAAGCACAAAAATCTCGCCGAGAGCTCGTGTGAGAGAAGAAGAGAAGAGAAGAGAAAAGAAAAGAAAAGAGGGAGAGAATCGTTATCGTTCGTTCGCGCGTGCGTGTCAATGAACGGATCGCTGCTGCGATTACCATGACCCGAAGCGCGTTTTGATCGAGGCTATGAGAGACCTGGCCTGGGGGAGGTCGTGGAAAAAATATTGGAATCGGACATCAAGTGAGTGGACCTACATTGTCAGTCTTGTCACGCTTGAAAGAGCTCGACCATTCGCCACACTCGAGGGATGAATAGAGTAGGCGAGGTGTTCTGCCAGCCTTAAAGATTCGCATGCCGGGCGGCGAGAAGTGATATGGCCGCAAAGAACACAATGTTGTAGAGATGTACAATGTTTCCATCGACGACGTCGTCACCACAATTCTTCGCTCCGTTCCCCGTTCTCCCACAGACCCTGCTGATTAGAGTATCCCAGGTAATCGTGCGTACTGGCAACACTGTACCCCGAGTCTCGCTGCTGATCCCCGCCATCGTATTGTCCTTGTTGCTGCTGCTGCTGCTGCTGTTCAGCACCCCCTCGTGATGATGCGTGTGATTGTCGGCCGTAATCCTGAGCACTCCCCCGCTCCAGTTCGTTACCCGAATCCCCGCCATGGACCATGTCAAAGCTCGTGCGACCAGCGCCCGAGGCGGCCTCTTGAGCAGCTTGTTCTCGTGCTTGTTGCTGTTCAACCCATTAGTTGCGCCCCACTCCATTCCAACGCGCTTCTTGCTCACCTCTTGCCACCTCTGGTACTGATTGTACTCTGGCGGCTGCTGGCTTTGCTGTTCCTGCTGCTGCTGTTGCTGCTTCTGCTGCGCCGCTCTCTGCGCAGCGGGTATCTGGATCTGAGGATGCATCATCTGCACCTTTGCAAGATAGGAATACATAAAGTTCGACAACAGGACCTGGCTGTACAATGCTCGTCGCGGGTTCGCGAGTTTGATGTGAGCCATTCGGTAGATGGCCCGTTCTTCCAGAATGCTGAATCGCGTCCAGTTGTAGTCAATGTCAGGCTTCAATATCCTCGGTGCCACTTCGGCCGAAAGGCCGCTGTTGCGATCGGCTTTTCGCTTCTTCTCCTTGAGATCGCTGTCCGAAGTCTTCTTCTTGCCACCGAAGAGCGTCGAGAGGAGTCCGTCCTTCTCCTTTTTGGGTTCTGCAGCCTTTTTGCTGTCCTTTCGGCGCTCATCCTCCAATTTGATGTCTTCGCGATTCAATACCAGGCTTTCTCTTCCTCTCGCAGGCACAGTGCCATCGATGGAATTCTGCAACACATCCAGCCGAGCTTTGTCCGTGGATCCTTTGGCTGTTTTACCCCCCTTAGATTTGGAGGAAGATGATTCGGCATTGGCATCATCTTTCGACTTCTTCTCCTTATCGTTGTCGTCGCTGCCCAGGATCCACTTCCAACTGCTCTTTCGTGGAGGATCTTTCTTCTCAGACTTCTTTTCGTCGAATGTAGGCACGAGAGTCAACGCGTCCGTCCGAGTGTTACTACTTCCAGGCAGAGGCGAAGGATGTGAGGATATGTCATCGAGTGAGGATTGCTTTTCTCGTCCGGGAACCGGTCGCATGTGTGCTCCACCTCGTTGGAATTGGCGAGGAACTTCGTGTGATGACTTGCGCTCGGGGATGTTTTGAGCCAGATTTCCCACGGGCACTTTTGTGCCGTCGGGGAGAGTTTCGATAATGTTCGGTAGCGGATTCGTGTTATTGTACCCAGGCAACTGGGCTGTCGTCCGGCCAGACGAAGCAATCCGTGATTGAAACTGTGCAGGTTGCCGCGAGGCGCCCTGCGCATGTGACTGGGGTCGATCGTCATAGTAATCCTCTTCTCGTTGTTCGTCCCTCGTTGCAGGTGGTGGTGAGACTGTTTCTCTCCGTTCTTGCTCCGCAGAGAGGTCTTCCGAAGAGTGAGATTGCCCCAGTCGATGCGATCTGCTTGCAGATGATCTTGAGTAGTCCTCTCGCGCTTCACTTGGAGGTGTCGGCTCGGTCTGTATCCTCGTCAAACCTAAAACTGGAGGCTCAACTGGAGACTTCATTGGGTTTTCCTCGCTATCTGACTCGGCATGCCGCTGTACCGTACGCTTGGAAAATGGTACCCGCTCGCCTTTCTTTAGACTGCCTCGCCGGTACTGTGTCCGAGTGGACCTCTTCAAAGAACCGGTGGCAGGAGGCAGTATGGGCATGTCGGCGTCCGCTCCCGCAGCGCCTGAATCCAAAGACCGCCTTTGAGTGTCTAAGCTCATGCGACGTATGAGCTGCGACGGATCGTTCACCAATGCCTCCAGATCTGACAAGTTTTCAACCGTAGCCTGACCTTCCAGTGTCATGCCGCTCGAGCGCTTCCTCTCCAGACGATCGGCTCCATCTTCGTAACTGCCCTTGGTATCGATTTGGTGTGAAAGCATGCTCTTCTTTCGCCGTAGACTGCTACCAGAGCCAGATCTTTCCAAGCCGTCCGGGGAAAGATTATCCTCGCCGCCCGATCTCCTCCTGATCCTGTCCACCTTGTCCTCGATGAATGTCTTGAACTCTTTGGGCGCCAACTCGGGATGTAACCGTGCGGGCACCCAGAATAACTTGGAAGGATCATCGTCGTTATCTGACTGCTTCGGCGCAACAGTTGGGATGCTGCTGAAGGTCGGTAGATCTGGATCTACTGCTTCGATGTTCATGGACATGCGGCGCAGCGCATTCAGATTGCTGATCTCCTGCTTGACCGCTTCCGGGCTCGATTCGTAATCGATATCATTCAGCGGAAACTGCTGCACCGCTGCGTCGGAGGAGGGCTGCCGGCTCAGGGGCGGTGAAGATGTTGGAGACGCTCCGTTCATGTTCTCGGAGCCCAACGAGCTCATGCGTTGCAGTGATTTGGGCGAATGCGGGCTGCCGTTGCCTTCGGTAGGAGCGGTCACACGCTCGTTGCTCTGGGTATGGGCCAGCGGTGTGCGTGTTGTCGGGCCGGTGGGAGGAGTGGGTGATCTGGCAGCGTTGGAGTCCAGCAGAGTGCCATGTCGTCGCTGCCGCTTGGCTTCGAAGCTCTCCCGCTCACTAGGGCCGCCAATGTAGCTCAGCGGGCGTGGGTCCCGCTTCTGATATTCTGTGCCTGCCATGCCTGCCATGCCTGCGGACGACTCCTCGTGGCCGTACCAGCTACCAATCGCCTCTGTCACGTGGTAATTGTCATCGCTGATGGACGGCTGCGGCTGGTGTGTCGGTCTCTTGGGATTGGCGTTGCTGCTGCCGGAGGGGGTAGGGCTGGAGTTGTTGCGGCGGGCCTGGTTGGCAAGATAGCGACGCTCCAGCTCTTGCTGTCTGACCGACGGCGACGGGGTGGCCATAACGCGGTGTGGATCTGGGATTGAGCCGGAACGCAGCAGCTGGGAAGGGTTGGAATGCAGTTATGTCGCACGTTGCTGACTCGCACTGCTGCGGCGGTCTCGCGGTCATTACCACCTCACTCGCGCCGCACGGGGGATAGGGATAACATGTCGCGGTCGGGAGCCAGGACTGAAATGTCGGTCGTCGGTCGGTGTCGTATGCAGAGTCGGCAGGCAGACGGAAATCGGTGTATAAGAGCAGAACAGGCTGTGGTCGAGTCGAGAGAGTTTGGAGCGCACTCTCCGTGGCAGGCGGTCCTCCGTGTGGTCGCGTGTATGCGGCGGCTGTCCCCGGACAAGGATCTGACTGGGGGGTGGTGCTCAAGCCTCGAACCGGACCTTTTCCACTTCTAGACCTCACCACTCACCACTCGACAACGCCCTTCCACTCCGGAACGTCCATTCACCTACGCCCCGGGCGCTTATTGTTATTATTATTATTATTATTATTAAACACGTGTGATCCTTCCACATCGCCGCACGTCTGCGTGTGCCACCAGCAAGCATCCCCATCACCATGACGCTCGTGCGGGAGCCTGACTTTGTGTGCACCCATCCGAGCGGACGCCAATGCCGGCCGTTCAAGTCCGCGTGACCGTACTACTACCATCGCGTCTTGGAGCCATGTCAAGACTGCAAGACATATCTGCCTGGGCAGTCCTTGCATGCACTCTCGGAATCAGTCACGAAATTGCCATTGAACTCAACCACTACATAAGTATCATCGCTGATGCCGAAACACGCTCAATGTTCATACCATGGACTTCGATGGCAGCCTCAGAGTGCCAATGACCGGCTCCAGCAGCTTCGGGACTAATTCAGCAGCGTCTCCCTGGAAGAACCAGTCTCCCTGTTTCCACCCCCCTGGCGGACGATCGTTTGGATCTGCCTCTGGTCAGCCTGACAAGAAATTTGACGATTGCATACTGGAGCGACTTACCCATGTTAATCACGCACACGCTGGCACCCTTATCTCGTGCCTCCTCGGAGTATCCGGCTGCGGGATAGACCTTTGCAGAAGTGCCAATGACCATGATCAGATCGATACCTTCGCGTTGATCCATGTACTCGTCGACCTCTTCGATGGTCTTTCGTGGCAGATTCTCCCCAAACCACACCACGTTCGGCCGAAGAAGACGGTTCTCGCATTTTGGGCAATGGGGCAGCTGGCTCGTGGTGATCTTTTCAATTGGTACAGAAGCATCGCTGATGTCGAGTTCGGTGCCCTGCTTCTTTGCAGTCTGTGCTTCTTCCAGTGCCTCCCTGGTAGTAGGGTCCTTGCCGTCTGTGGGGATAGCGAGCGCCGGGACGATTGGGTCTTCGTAGTTGTCCTCCTGATAATCGCACTTTGGGTTGTGGCATCGAACTTGAAACAAGCTGCCATGCAAAAGCTTGAGCTGTTCTGGCGGATGGCCTGCACGTGGACTTAATCCATCGACATTTTGACTCAGTGTCAAGAATCGGGGCTTGCGACGAGCCAGCTCGGCCAGGGCATAGTGGGCGGGATTGGGCTCGGCTTGCAGCGCCTTGTGACGGCGATCTTTTCACGATGTCAGTTGGAGTGTATTTATGGTCCGATCTTATCACTCACATGAATAGAATCTCCAAACGAGCGCCGGGTCCTCTTCAAATGCTTCAGGAGTGGCAATAGAAGTCGCGTCATGGTTTCGCCAAAGACCTCCGGCTCCTCTGAACGTGGCAAGCCCGGATGAAGCGGAGATACCAGCACCTAAGAGCGCAACGATTCTGTTGGACTTGTTCAAATGATCATGAAAGGCTGTCAAGTCTTCCTTCATATTCGAAGCTGTTGCCATGGTTCGTTTTGGTGGTGCGGGTTGAGTAGCTCTTCTGGTAGCAGACGTAAAAAAAAGAAAGGTTGGTCTCGATGAGACTCGAGGCAGCAGTCTGCTAGGTATATATACCGTGCAACGCATCTGTAGGAGGCTGTGGAGGCACAGTCGGGTATGACTGGGTGTCACTTGTAGCTTCCTGTCCAATCGCTGTGGGGACTTGTCTAGTCAGAACCCAGATGCCTGGTCGAGTCACCGATCCCCAAATACGTGTGCATGTACCTTGTTGCTCGCGAGCTGGTGGCACAGCACCCGATAATAACTCCTACGAACAACAATCGAGCGGCCGGGGTAAATAATAGGGTGGATTGGAGGCGCGAACGGGGAGAGCCGACAACGGCTAGCGCAATGATTACGTGAGCCAATGGGGCCTTCCCGAACCTCTCGTGGAGACGCGCGACATCACAACACTGCAACTCGATTGAATGCCTCGCGCCTTGTACACGTACATGCCATGTTCTGATCCCTCGCCCACCCGCTATCACTCGATACCTCAGACATGCGACAGTACAAATCAGCGCGATGGAAGGCGACTGGAATGAAGCCGCTCGGCTGACGCTTTCGCCGACGCCCAACCAACCCAACCAAGGGCCTGCTCTGACCACATTTGCTTTCGATCCCTCCCACGAGCTGCTCTGGACGGGTACCGAGCATGTAAGTAGTTGAAGACATTCGATTGTTCGCCGTCTCAATCTCGTCCCGTCTCCATTCGATGCCCTTCGTGCCTTGTCTGATGACCTGCAGGGAAGAATCACTTCCTACTACGGGCCTGAACTCCAGAAGTACACGTCCTACCGCGGCCACGTGAGTGTAGCTCCACGAACTGCGCCGAGTAGTGCTGCCGTCAAACAACTACTCTTCTGCGACCGAGGCGTCATCTCTGTGTCCGCGACAAGCGTGCATCTGTCCTCCCGGCGTGGCTTAACACAATGGCACACTGGCCACCACGGTATGCGCGATTTGCGTTGCATGAGCTTCACCGGCCGCGACTCCAAGGAACTAGTAGTCGCCGGCTGTCAGACTCTCATGTATCGCATTGATGTGGAGAGGGGAGACGTTTCCGAGGCAATTACGTCCCAGAGCCCAGTTCCATACACCATGATGCGGCTTGCCGGCCAGCATATATGCGCTGCTGCCCATGATGGCTCCATCCATCTACTCGACTCAAAAACACTTTCCATTACGCACAGCTGGACACCGTACGCGGGCAACGTCAACGACATGGACGCGAGAGGCGACTATCTCCTCACGTGCGGCTGGTCACAAACCCAGTATCACGGTCTCACTCTGGAAAGAATGGTTCGAGTATTCGATCTAAAGACCGGCAAACCTGCACCGCCGATTCCCTTCCACCAAGGTGCTGCTTTTGTGCGCATGCATCCAAAGCTCTCATCTACATGTATCATTCTTGCACAAAGCGGATTGCTCCATTCGATTGACATCCAGAACCCTGACGTTCCGAGTATAAAATACATCAATGCATGGCCCGATTCACAGTTCAGCGGTCTAGAGATGATGCCTTCGGGTAAGGGCTTCGGATTGTCTGATACCACATCCATTACACTCTATGGTTCCGCCTCGAAGCTGCAATTCACCGAGAACTCCAAACCAAGCCCATTTGCCGATCCAGCCAGTCCCGCGAAGCAGCTGGATTGGTCGAAGAAGACACCACTGAACCAGATTGGAATGCCATATTACCGGGAACCGCTGTTTTCTGGGTGGCCGAACAGGCTCCTCCATCAAGTCGGTCTACCGCCTGCTCCACCTGGAAACGTGGTGCATGACGAGAATTTTCGGCGATTTGAGTACGGTAGAGTCGGCCCAAATTCACGGAAAGGTAAACGCAACGAGGCAGCAGACATCAAGTCTCAGCAAAACTCAGCAGACTCTCTCAAGGTAAACGACGAAAATGCATTGAATCCGAGGCAAGATTCTGATCTATCGACAGACGCCCAAATTCTTGAGCGAAAAACTCCGGGAAGAGAACTCGAAAAATGAACAGCGACGTATGAGCGAGGATCTCATCAAGGCTCTGGATACAGCCAGGCTAGATGGAGGCTCGACTGCTGATGCAAAATTTCTCTACCGAGTAGTAGAGATCAAGTATAGTCGGTTCGGCGTGGAAGATTTCGACTTCCGATACTACAACAAGACCAAATACGCTGGCTTGGAGACGCACATCGTCAACTCATACGCCAACTCGCTGTTGCAATTACTACGCTTCACCCCAACCGTGCGAAATCTAGCCCTGCATCATACAGCGCGCGACTGTCTGCTGGATAGTTGCTTGCTCTGCGAGCTGGGTTTCCTGGTTGACATGCTTGAGAAAGCGAGGACACCGAATTGCCAGGCCACGAACTTTTTGAAGGTCTGCAAAGCTCAAATCTATCAGGACGCTTTACAAATCGTCGGGAAGGTGCCTGCAAAGGAGACTTAATTGCTGACTCTCACGCTAGACACTCAGCCGACAACCCGATGCCGCCGGTCAAAATGTGTTAGAAGAGCATGCTGCCGGCACTACTCTGAGCGGCATGCTACAGAATCTCAGTAGATTCTTGTTTCAAAAGTTCGAGGTGCGTTGGACTTTGAAATTACATGAAGTGTCTTGCATGCTCACGCCAAGCACAAAATGTCCAAGAAGCCACTCGGATGTTGATTGCTGACCCATTGAAAAGCACAATTATAGGTGGGTCTTCCCAGCGCTCGACTCCTTCCACAATGAGTTTGGCACGATGGGTTTGGAAAAGACTCAGTGTGCGCATTGTCAATACCAAAGCAGAAGCGAAAAGGTTTGGTATACCCACGACCTCTGGTACCCTCCCAGGCCGAATAAGGTTCGGCATGGTTTTCGACAGACGTTCTCGCAGCTCCTCAAGACATCAGTGGAGCGAGCGAGTACGCATCGAGGGTGGTGCCTGAGATGCAATGGGTACAAGCCCATGGCGTCGAATCGAGAGATCCACTTTCTGCCTTCGACGCTCGTCCTGAATGCAGCTGTCACCATGCTTTCGCACTCGAGGGATGTTTGGGCTCAGCGCGACTTTTTACCAAAGGAGATTGGCATCATTGTTAACAACGGTCGGTTTTTCTGCTATGAAGGGCAAGATTTGCAGCTTCACATCCAGCGAGGCCAGTTCAACATCATTGTCTACGAGCTTGTTGGAGTCGTCTCGGACGTGAAGACGGGCGAGAACGAGAAGTCACATCTCGTCGCGTCCATCGACGTTGGAATTGCCGATCGAGATCCGTCCCAAACAGGCAATTGGCATCTCTTCAACGACTTTCTTGTACACAATATCTCGACCGAGGACGCTTTGTACTTCAATCCGTCCTGGAAGATGCCCTCTATCATCACTTATCAGGCAAAGGGAATGTGCCACCGGGTTGACCACAGTTGGAAGAACGCAATCGATACCAGCGTTTTGTACCGCAGTCCAATGCAGCCCGCCCTGTCACCCTCCTACCAATTCCGGCCTCTCTCGCAAGAAGAGCCACTCCCTGGTGTCAGCTCTCATGTCGGAATTGACGCCGAATTTGTACGACTTCTGCGCGAAGAAATCGATGTCCACGCGGATGGATCGCGAACCATGACACGACCGGCCCGATCTGGGTTGGCAAGAGTATCAGTGCTCAGAGGCGATGGCCATGACCAGGAACTGCCTTTCATTGACGACTATATTGCGACTGATGAGCCCATCGATGACTACCTGACGCAATATTCCGGCCTCCAAGAAGGCGACCTCTCACCGGAAACAAGCGGCTTTAAACTCGTCGGCCTGAAAGAAGTCTACAAGAAACTCTGGGTTCTGCTAAATCTAGGTTGTTCTTTCATTGGACATGGCCTGTCGAGCGATTTTCGGATCATCAACATTCATGTTCCCGAATCACAAGTCATTGACACACAGGAGCTCTTTTCCCTTGGATCTCGCGGACGACGGAAGCTATCCCTGCGTTTCTTGGCTTGGGTGGTCTTGAAAGAAGAAGTGCAGAAGAACGCGGACATGGGACATGACAGTATCGAAGACGCGAGAACCGCACTCAAACTGTGGAGGAAGTATCTCGAATTCCAGAATGCAGGAGTCCTGGAGACGATTATGGATGAGGTGTGGCACAAGGTATGTTTTGCCGTTCTCGGCACCCAAAAGACCGTGAAAGATGTCGCTAACAAGTTTTTCTTTTCTTCCTGCTCTATAGGGACGATCAACGGATTTCAAAGTCCCCATGGACCACCACCACCACAAGGATCGACGTCTGCCGGAGACTCCCAATGCCAGTGCGCCGGGGACGCCTCGTCCGGCCGCGCGGTTATCGACCCCGGCACGCTCGGATCTGGGGAGTCCTTCGAAGCATTAGATGCGTGGGAGGAGGAGGAGGCTTTGCGAGGTTCCCACGGGGCCTTGAAAAGAAGACAGACGGGTTGCAGAAAGCTAACTCGTCTGCACGGACGGACGGATCTTTTGATTTTTGTTCGATCGGAGAGGTGATTGCTCTCGGCCGTCGTGCACTGACTGGCACTGGCTGCGGAAGGAGGAGGCGGTGATTGCTTGCGCTTGCGCTTGGTTCGGTTGTCAAACCACCATGATGATGAAGTTTGTGGAATTGCGTATGCAGGGTGCTTCTGATCCTGTCTGTAATCGGCGGGTTGTTTTTGTCTTTGTCTAAAGGCTTTCTCGTTGTCAGTAGCCCATTTTTCCAAGCCTCTACTCTGGAGAAGTAATCCTGTTTATAAGGAAGAAGGACAACCTGAAAACGGACATTTCAAGGTGTCAAGCAAGCGGCGGATGTTCATGCGTGCAACTGGTCAATCATTGGCATGAAGCTTGGAGATTCCCCACAAGATGAAATAAATAGAGCGAGACCTTGTGAAGCGGATTCATTTCGAAATGCCGCTTGGCTGGCTGGCTGGCTGGCTAGCTACGGTGCTATTCTACTTCTCCCTACTCCATCCATCCATCTTCCATTGAAGCCGCTAGCCGAAAGAGAACTCCTCGATGCACAATCCAATGCAGCTTTTCCCGCATTGATTCTTCTCGGCCCGTCCAGTCGCTCATCTTGTGATGTAGCTTTCCTCGAATGTAGCTACGATCGAGAAGACGCAACAACCTCCCTCACTACAACTACTACAACTGTGGACCGGCTCTGGAAACGAATCAAGTCAGCTGAATCTTCTTCTTCTTCATGTTGCTCGAACAGAACGGGAAAAACTTACGCGATGACGTCTGCAGTGGCCTCATCGGAGTACTTCTTGAAATTCTCATTAAAGAGCTCGCCGAGTTTCGACACTTCTTCCTTGAAATCTGTGCTGCCCGACCAGGACTTGGCTGGGTTCAGGAGCTCGTCGGGGACGTTGGAGCATTGCTTGGGCACCTGCAGATTGAAGGTCTCGTAGGTCTCGTACTCGACCTTGGCGAGCTCGCCGCTGTGGATGGCGTCGAGGATGGCTCGGGTGTATTTCAACGGACATCTCTTTCCGCCCGTGGTCGCTCCCGCTCCAGTCCACCCGGTGTTCAGGAGCCATGCGTTGGCGTTGTGGTGCTCGATCTTGTCCGCAAGCATCTTGGCATAGCGCATCGGATGCAGAGCCAGGAAGGGCTGGGCAAAGCAAGACGAGAAGGTTGCTTGCGGCTCGGTGACTCCCTGTTCTGTACCTGCCATCTTCGAGGTGTATCCGGAGATGAAGTGGAACATAGTCTGAGCGCTGTTGAGCTTGGAAATCGGTGGAAGGACACCACGGGCGTCACAGGTGAGCAGGATGATGTTCGAGGGGTGGTTGGTCGAGATGCAAGGAATCTTGGTGTTCTCGATGTATTCGATCGGGTAGGCGCAGCGGGTGTTCTCGGTCAGCGTAGTGTCGTCGTAGTCGACGACACGGGTATCTGGATCGAAAACGACGTTCTCGAGGATAGAACCGAACTTGATGGCGTTGAAGATATCGGGTTCCTTCTCGGCCGACAGACCGATGCACTTGGCGTAGCAGCCACCCTCGATGTTGAACACACCAGTGTCGCTCCAGCAGTGCTCGTCGTCTCCGATCAGAGCACGCTTGGGGTCCGCAGAGAGGGTCGTCTTGCCAGTTCCAGAAAGTCCGAAGAAAACGGAGACGTCGCCATCCTTACCCTCGTTGGCGGAGGAGTGAAGAGTGAGCACATTGTGCTTGACTGGCATCTCGTAGAAAAGCACAGTGAAGATACTAGAGCGATAGAATGTCAGCAGATGTCTCAAGGCATAATTTGGTTCTTCACAAAGGGGGAACTTCTCACCCCTTCTTCATCTCTCCAGCATACTCGGTACCCAGGATGACCATCTCCTTCTCCTGGAAGTTGATGGAGACGGAGGTGTTGGATGTCATGGAAGTGGTGTATCTGTTGGCGGGGAAAGCTCCAGCGTTGTAGATGACATAGTCGGGGTGGAAATGCTCGAGCTCTTTCCGCGATGGGCGGATGAGCATGTTGTACATGAAGAGGGCATGGTAGGCACGCGCGCAGACCACACGGACGTGAAGGCGGTAGCGCTCATCCCATCCAGCGTAGCCATCGATCACGTAGATGCGATTTCTGGTGTTCAGGTAGTCGACGGCTCGCTCGCGGTTGATACGCCAGACCTAGATCCGCGGGGATCACATGTTAGCCAAGCTCGGAAGAGTGAATGTTCGGCAGGGTATGGGGGGAAAAGGTTGGGCGCACGCGACCTGATCCGAGATTTCGCGGGGCTGTGGGGCTGGGCCGGGGACAAGGCGAGACGCGGCTGAGACTTCGGCTATGCGAGGTGCCCCTCGACGCCGATGACGTCCCGCGTGCCCCGCCAATCGCTTCGTGAATGTGTGTGTGAATGCAGCGCAACGCGTAGAGTACTGCGCGATCTTGCGGAACGATGCTCATGGCGGGGCACAATGCATTGTGGTGTGGGAGAGAGAACGTTCACTCACCTCAGGCGTCATGGGCTTGTTTACCGGTCCCCACCACACATTGTTCTCCGAGTTCTCCTCCTTCACGATACGCTTGTCCGAGGGAGATCGTCCTGTTCAAAACTTATGAGCTAGTGTCTCTCGCATTGTATGCCTTTCTGTCTGCGTACCAGTCTTCGCGCCTGAGTATGCAGAGAGCGCTCCGCTCGAGGTGATGGCCGATCCGGTTTCGTACACCAATGCGTCTTCGTAAAGGGCGGCAACCGAGGGATTGGCGATCTGCACTCCGTTAGCGGGGAATGCCTGCTTCACATGAACCGCTGGCTTGGCTTACAATTGCCACGCGGTCGTAGTCGATGTGTGCGCGGTCGTGAAGCTCCTCTTCTAGTTCTGTGTGCTCGTGGCGGGGCCTGGAGGAGAGAAAGGTGTGTCAGTCGGGTTCCTGTCATCGGTAGATGGGTCTTAACATACGCGACACCGGCTGGATGAAGAGCCGTCTTGTTCACGCGTTCGGTAGCCATGGTGAGTTAGGAGGCCTTCAATGAGGAGGTCTGGAAGTTGCTTCTTTGTTGTTTTGGGATGTTTGGACGAAGGTAGTCGGCTCCGTTTGGAGGGTCCGGAGCGTACTAATGACTAAGTGTTTGTTTGAGAATTCTTTGTTTGAAGAGTGGAGAGTGAGAGCAGAAGTGAAGCTGTTGTACCTGACGGACGGGGGCTGCTGGGCGTTTTGAATTCGTGCCTTCAGACATTTGCTTGAAAGGCCTCGGGATCGAGAACTAGCTCCACAGCCTGGTCTTCTCCTTCGATTTAGAGTTGCATCGCCGGTGATTGGCTCTTCCGTCCCTCAGGTCTTGAATCTCGCGGGGGTGTGTCCCGGTCAGTTTTCGTTGCCTTGGCCGTGCGGGCGGAAAGAAACGGCTGAGCGAGAAGCGGCTATCAGTGCGGTATATTCACTCTTGATGCCTCTGCCGGTCGCTAGACGCAAGTGCGATACCGTATAATTGTGTGCTCACTGCAAGTCGGGGTGCAGTACTCGTTAGTCAACCGACGTCATGCAGCCCCAAATCGCGGGGCAAGGAAGGCATGTTCGTGACAGTTTCGGTCTTGGCTTGGTTTCGCCTCGACTTTGCACATGCTCGACGGGGGCACGGCACGGTCCGGGAATATTATGGCCCCCTTCCGAATCCATACTCTTCCGAGGCGAGCGAGAGGATTTGCCCGCGCCTGTTAAGCGGGTAGCCATACAGTGCAGTGCACGCTATCGTGGCCATCTGAGATCGTCAACCTGGAGCTTCTCCATTGTTCGACTTTCGACTTCACGTCATCGTGAGCAGCCAAGTCCAGGAAGCTGCGGTGGAGCGGAAGCAAATCTCACGATGCATGGACGGTCTACTCGTCTGTGTGCGATTGGGCGGAATACAAGCATTCAGAGAAAGTTGAAGCTCTTGAATCTCAAATCAATTGGGACAGAGTGCGACACGAGGTGACTGGAACACTATATTTGACGAAGGGCATAGATACACGACTGACCACAGCGCCGTACACTTGGAGACTCGTCCTCCGTTCCGAAGAGGAGGTCAGGATAGAGTTGCCAAGACTTTCAGAACCACAGCAGACGGAGGGAGGCAATAGCAAGCATGAGAACAGGGACGGCAGGAGCGATGGCCGAGTGTTCGCAGCTACGCGGGACCTCTCGTAGGCTGGCCCTACAGACGGTAGCATGGCACGCTGGCTCCCTGATATGACTTGGTGCTTCAATTTTCAGCATTTCCAGTTCGTGACGGTCGCCAAGAATCGAAGAGATCCTTGAAAATAGTACGGGGAGGAAAAGGTCACAGGCTGACTTAGGCACAACATCGGAGGAGAGAAACATTAATATTCTACATGCCGAGTGGAAAAGTCCTGATGCGCATGCTAAAAAGTTAAGTGAATGCCAAGCACTTTGCACCATGATCACTGCTTCCTCTTCAACCCCCTCAACAATTTCCTCCCACCACCCAAATACAGATAACTCGCCAAGAACACAACCACAAAATTGAAAATACAAAACCCCCAAAAGATACCGTAATCCCTCCAGACATGCGCGGAAAACGCATTGAAAGTCGCAGCGAACGCATCTCCAGTCGCATACTGACAGAACCCACACCTCCCATCCTCCAAAGACGTGACGTAGCCGCCGGTCCGGTTGGCGTACGCCCCAGCGTAGGCGTCGCAGGTCTGACCCGCGGGCGGCGAGAATTGCGCGAGTTCGCTCGCGTCGCAGCGAACGGGAATTCCGTGCGTGACGAGGGCGAGCATGCCTTCCAGCAGGTAGTGGAAGGGGGTGAGCCAGTACATCCAGGACCTCCAGAAGTAGGGCAGGCCGGCGTAGGGGACGACGACGCCGCAGAAGGAGACGACGAAGAGGAAGAAGAGGGGCACGAGGATGGAGGCCAGCAGTTCGTTGGGGGCGAAGGAGGCGATGGCTTGGCCGAAGCTGACGTAGTAGACTTCGAAGAGCGCGATGAACAGCCACATGGAAGCGGAGGCAGAGGTGCCTCGGGGGAACCAGGTGGCCCAGTACCAGCAGCACCAATACATTGTTCCGGCGAGGAAAGACCACGGCAGCTCGGGTACCACAGCTGCGGTCGTGAACGCCACCCAGCTGTAGATTTTGGAATTCCTCTCGCGGGACTGGTAGATATTTCTCAGATTCAAGAACCGTGGCTGCAGCTGTTGGATCAGAGGCGGAGAGATGGTCAGCGTCATGAAGATCGAAAACAGGCGCGACTGCATATCGATCTGCGAATTGCCCAGATGCCAGAAGGTGAACGTGTTGAAGAGACCGGTGAAGATATGCAGCATGAACTTGCCGATCAGATACTCTGGACTGCGCCAGTATGCCACAAAATTTCGGTACGTCGTCGAAGAGACCTGTGTCCAGATGGGCATGGCGTATTCTCGTTGATCTTTGAGGTTGTCGGACACCGGCGCGTTTCGTCTCTGCTCACTCATGGACTGGATCTCCTCTGTGCGGGCCTGCTTTTCTGCTGATGCCGCCCAGGTATCGCCCCAGTCTGGGCCGTTGTAATCGGGGTTGCCGCTACCGATTGCTTCGAGCATGTATTCGGCCGGGTTGGCTTGGGGAGGACATTTCTTTGCTCCGTTGCCTTCAAAATAGTCCAGCATTCTGCGGGAGTCATTTCCCAATTCTCCGTGATATACGACACGGCCGCCTGATTCCAATTAGCTAGGGCGGATTGCTAGTGCACTGCATCAACTTCACCTACCCGACTTCAACAGAATGAGTTCATCAAACTGCTCGAACAGAACGGCCGAGGGCTGATGGATGGTACACAGAATCGCTTGCCCAGCATCAGCCAGCTTCCGCAGGAATCTCACGATATTGAACGCCGCTCCAGAATCGAGCCCCGAAGTTGGCTCGTCGAGAAACATTAACAATTCTGGCTTCGAGGCCAGCTCAACGCCTATCGTGAGTCGCTTGCGCTGTTCCTGATTCAGACCACTGCCGACAGTCCCAATCGTCGCGCCCGCGATATTTTCCATTTCCAGGAGTTGCAGGATTGTCTCACAGTATTCATACTTCTCTCTGAGCGGTACCTCACGGGGTTGGCGGAGTTTTGCGCTGAAGCGCAGTGCTTCCCTTACGGTTGCTGTGGACTCGTGGACGTCCATCTGCTCTGCGAAGCCGGCACAGCGCTGGAACGAGCGTGGCAAAGGTCTGCCGTCGACGAGGAAGTCACCTTCGACACGGCCAAAGGTGATGCGCTGCGCAAGCGTGTTGAGAAGAGTGGTTTTACCTGTTCTCCATCAGTACCCTGCACCAAACTGCACTGCAAGCCAGGACGACATACCTGCACCGCTAGCTCCCATGAGAGCCGTCAATTTGCCCGGCCGGACATAGCCCTGAACGTCCTGGAGGAGTTTCCTCTCGTTGCCCTGGTAAGGGATCGTGTAGTTGACCTTCTGCCAAGTGAAGACCGTCTCATTCTTAGCCACGGTTTCCACGCCCTCTGAGCTACTCCTGTCCCTCTCCAGCTTCTCGTTTGAACTATCAGCGTCTGACGGTACAGCATCCGTTGCGGTATAGGGAGTGTTCTTTTCAACATCATCCGTCTCTCCTCCACTCTGCATAGCAGACTCCACGGACTTGGGTGCCTGTCCCCTCTTATAGATCGTCACCGCTCCACCGCCCTTATTCGGCTTCTGGATCTCCATGCCAAAAGCCGTCAAAGCAACGAAGAAGACGAAGAAGGCACAGATGAAGCCCACATTTCGCCACAAGTGACTCCGACTGTATTGGTACGCAACCTGAATGTATTCCGCCCCTTGCACGACTGCGGAACCGGGAGTGCTACCTTGAATCGTACAGCCTTGATGTTCAGGAGTCGCACCAGGGCCCACCGGCACCAGGTTTGGTGAAACGCACTGGATTTCCAGATTGTAGAACTCGTTCGACATGAGGCATTCGAAGCCGTATTGAATTGGATTGATCCATCTCAGCCAAGAAAACCAGGGGTGCATCTTGCTCGGTGGGATCAGGTAGCCGGTGTACACAATGAGCGCTTGGATAGCAACTCCTGTGATTCTGGCTGCTCCGTCTAGACTTCCAGACAGAGCGCCGATAGCACGGAAGAATGCGTACATGGTCATTGTCAGCAGGAACAGCAGGAGCAAGCTGATGAAGAATTGCGAGGCCGTCCGAGCGAGGTTCGACATGAAGTAGACCACAATGTCGAAAATGAGGACTTGTACCAGAACGAGGGGGACGTCCACGACAGTTTGAGCGATTGCGAACGCGGCCGGCCGGTAGAACTGGAATGATTTATGCTTCAGAAGGATCGGCCGGGATTCGAAGGCAGCCGTCAGTTCCGCGAGGGCCAGGAGAGCATTGAAGAGCAGCATGAAGAAGAGTACACCTCCTCTGGGGAATACGCCAGAGCTCGTCGGTTGGAGATCGTAAAACAGACTGCCCACAATAAGCGCCTGGAACAAGATACCGCCCCATTTCCCTCCCAATGATTGCTTATCCCCAACCATCACGAGAAACTGTCGCTTCGTGCAGGCCCAGACTTGTCTGTGGAACGGAATCGTGTAATTCTTCCTCTTCGTCGCCTTGCCCTGCTGCTGCTCTCGCTCTTCGATCTGTGCACGCGCCTCACGCTCAAAGTCCGCAATCTCTTCCAAGTTCCTCTGATGCTGTTCGCTCTTGAGAAACATATCTCCAAGCTCATCCGCTGTTCGCGGAATCCGCCTTTCCCACCCTTCCTTCACGTGCCGCTCGTGTGGATCCGTCACAGAAGTCAAGAAATCCGCCGAGGTCCATCGCGGAGGCTGCAGAAATCCAAGCTCTTTGAAGTACGTGACGGCTTCGTCTGCGCTGCCGTAGTAAGCGCATCGGCCTCCGTCGATGAGCAGCACTTTGTCGAATTGTCTGTACAGATTCTCTCCTGCCTGGTACAGGGCCACTGCTGTCGATATTTGGGCCATATTCGTCAGGCTACGAAGAGCGCTGACATACTCCAATGCCGTGCTGGCGTCGAGACCCCGGGTGCTGTTATCCCAACATTGAGTCGATGCTTTCGTGATCATGGCCTCGGCGATCGAGACTCTCTTCTTCTCGCCTCCCGAGACTCCACGGACATATTCGTTTCCTACCTTTGTTCCAAGGGTATGTTCAATCCAGAAGAGCTTGACAACAGCCTGAAGGAAGTTGTTGACATATGCCGCTGCGCTTTCGCCTTGGTTTCTGCTTTCTTGTCCGGGTGTTTTGCATTGCAGAGCGAACCTCAGAGTTGATTGGACTGAAAGCGTTGCGTAGTGCAAGTCGTCTTCTGGGTTGTAGAGCACCTCTCCTCGGTATTTCTTCAGCATGGTCTTAGCATCGGTACCTCCATACATCACATCGCCATCGATCGACTCGTATCCGAAACGCTGGTTACCGATAACTTTGAGAAACGTGCTGCAACCACTTCCTGGGCGTCCAAGCACCAGGCACATCTCGCCCGGACGAATGACTCCAGAGAAATCGTTGATGATTGTCTTGATTGGCGGCTTGCCAACAGTCTTCCTCCCTCTGGTGAAAAGACCTCCAATAAGGCGGGGAAGAGCGAGGAATGGATCTCCGAATGTAGGTTGCAATGCCGCTCCGAGGCCCATACCTCTCACAGTAAGATGTTTGAATACGACACCGACATGTCTGGTCTTCTCTTCTTCCGAGTGTTCTTGTCGAGTGCGGCCAAACATCCTAGACATGAGACGATTAATTTCCGCTTGCTCCTCAGCATCAGCTTCGGTCGTCGCGCGGCTGAGGTCACCATCTTCGCCGTTGCCGGTGATACGCCTCGACAGGTGTCGAATCAGATCTTCATCGGTCAGTTCTCTCTTGCCAGGCCTCTCCGAAAGTCGTAACGGTCGCTCCTCTGCTGACTTCACCGGAGAATACTTGGTATCGGAACCTCTACTTTCAAGGTCCTTCTCATCCTCTCCAGAGCTAGCAGAAACAGGCGATGCGGGTTCTTCGATTCCTCGTCCGTGCGTAACTTCAGGGTGTACTTGGTCTCGAGATTCTGGTCTCAGCACTCCGCTTGCACCTCCAGCACTGAAAATCTGGATGTTGGTAGGGCTGTCTTCGGTTTGGCGATGATGTGTAGTTCCAGCAGACTCATAGTGGCTTCCCTCATCTGCGTAACTTGGTCCTCTCAATGGCCAACCCCCAGGAACCTCACTATCAAGCGGCGTGGGTCGATCGTGTGAAGCCATTTTCCAGCCTCTAGAAAAACCAAGCAGAGGCCTGCCCCGCCACCTGTAGAGCTCTCAGAGGAACCGCCGCAGCTAATAAGTTAGAGACACCAAATGGCCGATGAAACCATGTGTCACATCAACCAATCCGATCCGACACAGTGGCACAGGAAAAGAAAAAAGCAAAAGCATCTTTTCCAGCAAGAATAGGACGCGTTCCACGTCTCGGATAATGACAGAGTACCTACCTACCGGTCTGCTGCTCATCTCACCTCACCTCGCCTCGCCTAACTCATCGCGACGAATGCGGTCAGCAGTCAATAGGGCTGCCAAACAACGCAGCAGGGCAGCCAGAAGGAAAGCAAAACTTGCGTCGCACCAATCGATGAAAGCGGCCAGCAGTCGTTAGGGCTGCCGAATAATGCAGAAGGGCACACATGCAGAGAAAGAAAACAAAATGTCGTAAAGAGGCGCTTGGAATGTGGCAGCCAAAGCAGCCGTGGTTGGCCGAACAGCCCGGATCCGCGGGTCGGGAAGATTGCGCCAGACCTTTTCCGGATGCAAGACACGTGAAAGTCGGCGCTATACGGGCCGATGGCCGATGTCTATGGGTGGGGGGTACGGTGCAACTATATGCCCGTTGATTCCCACGTACCGTCAGATGAGCGAATAGGCCACCAACCGTGGGAGTAAAAGACAGGCAGCGCAGTGTAGCGCGTATCTCGTATCTTCTTTCTACATGCGGTCTGCAGTCTTCCCTCTTCAATGCAAGGCAAGGGACCCTGCCCCTCGCATATGCTTGCCTTGGCTGATTCGGGAGAAATCAAGTATTGGTAGGCACTCGTTGAATTTTAGCTTTAGCGAACCGTCGTCCACTCGTCTGCGTGTATCTCTCATTCTACCGCCTAGTTATAAGACATAGTATCCAAAGTCTCTGCTTTCAGTCATAACACTGCTGCTGAATAATAATTCTCCTCGAGCCCATCGCCGTCGCTGAAACGAACCCGTCCGCCCCCCTCCCCAACTCCGGTACACCCGCTCGAATTTTAAAACCCGTCTATGCGTGTCTCCGTATCGTCGTACATCTCAACAATGTGCCACACAAGAGCCGTATCAGTAGGTGCAAATGGAGGGTGCCGAAGAGTGGTCGTATCTCCGAAATCGCTCTGTCTTTCTAGGCCCGTGAACCGCCCGGTGTCTGGTCCCACCGTCCTGTCTGGTCTTGGCGATCGTATAGCGTTCGGGCATCCAAGGCAAAGATTGCGAAACGCTCGTCCCTGTCGTATGGGTACCTTTTGTCTGATACAGATAACTTTGATGCATCCGAGAGCAGATTCTGTGCTCAACTCTGCTCGGGGAGAGTCGTAGATGGGTCGTCCTTGGAAGCATCACCTGATGCCTCTGACGACCGCTGTTGATTCTTCTCCTTCTCCTGTTCTTCGATTAGCCGGATCTGTTCTTGGCTTTGTTCACTTTCGTTCTCCTCCTTCGTCGCTGGCCCGTCTCTTGCTGCAGCAATCTTGACCCCTTCGCTGGCCGCCCCGGCCTCCAGAGCAGCCTGAGGTGGTCGTCCGCTCGGTCTTGTGTCCGCCGCGTACGCGTCTTTCTGTATTTCATCAAACCAGCCTCCAAGCTCCCAGGAGCCAGGCTGGTATAGGTTCTTTAAACGGACTTGCCTGTCCACAACACCTTCCATTATCTCCGAGAGGCGAGCAAATGAAATAGGTTTGAGTATCCAGCCATCAAACCCAGTATCCATGTACATGCGTCGTTCTCGCTCAATGAGAGAGGCCGACACAGCGATGATCGGAACACGCCCATTAAGCGCAGCACGAGTGGAGAGAAGCTTCGTGGGATGTGTCTTCTCGAAGGACCGGATCATCTTCGTCGATGTAAGGCCATCTACAATAGGCATCTGAGACAGTCAGTAACACATTGCGAGCAGTGTATCTACGATCATCACTTGCCTGCATATCCATGAGGACGATGTCGAAGAAGCCCGTCTTTTCACAGTAGACAGTTGAGCACTCCTCGCCGTTGACGGTAAGGAACACGCTGTGACCCAGCTTCTCTAGACGTTTCTTGATGATACGGCTGTTGACGGGATCGTCCTCCGCGACTAACACGTTCATGTGCTGGGAATCCGGTGGAGATGCTGTCTCGGGCAGTTGCTCAAGCCCTTTCACAGACGATGGAGCCGAGCCAGGCCGCTCCAATGATGACGCCGGTGGACTGAAAGACTCATCCTGCATCTTGACTGGTCTGATAGGCTGGCCCTGGTCTGTGACCTGAGATTCGCCTGGAACGTTCTTGGCGGATGCTGGTGTAATGTCAATGGTGCTTGAACGACCCTTAATCGGCGAACCAAGCTCGTTGACGCCCGTAGATGTGTGACGCTTATCGAGCTTGGGACGTATAGACTCGCCGCGTTCAGCGGACAATCGCTTGGGACTGTTCTTGCGCCATCCCTCCACTTGATGAGGTTCCTGTATGGCCTCGATCAATCGATCAGCTTCGCTCCTGTTGCTGTGGGCAGAGGAGGCTTTGCTTAAGACGCTGCGATGACTTCGGAGACTGTTCCTGCTCTCGACGCTCTCACTGCTGTCTTTCCGCAACATGCCCGGTTGACTTCTATCGCCAGAGCCACGTCGAGTCCCACTGCCGCGCTCGACCAGGGTCATCATATCTGCGTTGGCAGGAGTCTGTGGCTCGGCAAGACTTTCGGCGTGCGGTGTCACAGAGCCGAGGTCAGAGCCGGGCGCCTCGAGAGCTTGCTGTTGTGGCTCCGACCCAGCAAGCTCGAAGGGGAATTGAATGATGAACCTCGAGCCCTTGCCCTCTTCAGACTTTAAGCGAAGCTGTCCATTCATGTTTCGGACGATACGGGCAACCACCGCCAAGCCAAGACCAAGTGTCCGATCTGCATTCTTCGGTGCTTCCGGTAAAGCCTTATCTGTGATCATGGATCCGGCCAGCGTGTTGTTTTGCTCCGTCTGCACCTGTTCAAGCTCTCGGAACAGAGCATCGAGCTTCTTTGAATTCATGCCAACGCCGGTGTCTGTGATGCTAACCTCCACCTCAGCATGGTCGGCTTGCCGAGAAGTAAGATACATCTCGACCTTCACACCACCCTGCGTGGTGTTCTGTATTGCATTGGCTGTGACGTTACTGATGGCTTGTCGGATTCTTCGCTGATCTCCAATCACTTGGCGAGGCAAGCCGGGCCGATCTGTCACTTCGTACGTAAGATTCTTCCTGCGCGCATCGCCCTTGAACATATCTGTGGCTTCGTAGAGCGTGGCGCAAAGGTCAACCACCTCGTCTTTCGTCAGCTCGCCGCCTTCTTCGGTCTTCGTGAGATCCAGAAGGTCGTTGATGACATAAATCAACGACTTTGAAGCCGAGTGGGATTTAGCGAGGTTGTCTCTCGTCTCTTGGTCGAGACTTCCCTCCAAAGCAATTTCCAGATAGTTGATGATGGCGTTCAATGGCGTCCTCACCTCATGCGCGGAATTGGCCAGAAGCAAACGCGTGAGCTGACTATTTTGCAGTGCAGCCTCCTTTTGCCGCCAGACCTCGATGAATTTTCCGTAGACCAGACAGAGCACAGCCGCAGTCTCAATCTCTTCTTCTGTCCACTCTCGGCACTTCCCGACAACAGTCTCACTCCACGCCTTGAAACTCTTGCGTGGTTCCAGATAGCCTTCAGTGCCCTCTCTGATGTGCTTCAGATTTGGATCTCCTGCCCACACTACTTCCTTCAATTGGCCCTTTCGGAAGAAAACGATGAAGTCTTGGCCCCCAGAGGACAGCGGAACAAGTAAAAGACCGGCAATCTCGGTGAAACCTGGTGGATATCGAAGGTCTGGAAAGTCTTCTTTGACGTCCTGTGAAGTCATGACGTTGGTGACACGTCTCATGCGCAAATACTCCAGCAGTGCAAGGGCTTCTTGAGATTGCTCCATATGCCCGAGAATCTTCGTTTCGTCGCGGATAGACAAGAGGCCAAAATCCGCATCGAACAACTTCAACAGGTCTTCTGAGGACGCAATGATGTATCCAGAGGGATTACTTTGGGTTGGGACGGTGTTGATGAGCTTTCTCGCTTGGAGACGACTCGCGTAGGACAATCGCTCAATGTTGCGTGAAGCCGAGTCGCCCACAAGCCGACACATCTTGCGAATTGGGAAAGAGACACGCATGCCCTTGGAGCCGTATGTGTGACACGCAATGAGTCCCCACAGCTCACCGAAGGCGTTGATCGATACCGACATGGATGAGCGCACTGCCATGTTCGCCAGGTACTTCAGGTGGATGGGCGACATCGCCCGTAGGTAGGAATATGTGAGATCGAGGGGTGTTTCGAGGTCCTCCACGGTACGACACACAAGGCGAGCAGTCTCATGATCTCTGTCGAAGAGCATGCGGACTTTGTTGAGCTTGTAGAGGTCGCGAGCTTGTTTTGGGATATCCGATGCCGGGAAGTGCAGGCCTTTGTAGAGATCCTTCGTCGCTCGAGGATCAACCAGCTCCGTGACGACTCGTCCATTCCAATTAGGGTCGAATTGATATATCATGACGCGATGAAAGCCCGTTAGCTCTTTGACAACACCGACCAAGACTTTGAGAAACTTTTCCAGATTCGGCGCGCTTGCCAGCTGTTCCTGGACTTGTGACATGATGTTGAACACCTCCATGGCGGCAGCCTCGCCTTTGCGTTTGCGAGCACTTCGCAGAACCCTCAAAGGTTTGCTCGAATTCTCAGTGCTCTCAATGAACTCCTCCTGAGTGGGATTGCTGTTCAAGGTGTCTTCTGGTGGCTCGGGTGTTGTGTCGTCGTTTGGCGGAACGAGAGGATTGATTGGGTCGTCTTCAAGCTCAAACTCGCAGATGATCAAGTTCGGGTTCCGCTCGTTGATATGCATTGCGCACCAGAACTTGTGACTCTTCCGTTGCGGGCTTCGTATGGACATCGTGAAGACCTCGGGTCCATTGGTCACGACATCCGCATCTTCGTCTCTGATGAAGTCAACGTGATCCAGTAGATTGTCCGCCTGTTCCTCCGAGAGAATGTCTGTAAAACTTTCCAGACCAAATAGCTGCTTCGGTGAGTATCCAATAAGCTGTTTCGAGTTTTCGCTGACCACCCGAACGAGAAGTTTCCCTTCCTGCTTCTCCTCCAGTGCGATCAAAAGTCCAAACCCTTGCACTGCACCAGGAATGTGGATTGGCTCGTCTTCGCAGCGCTGTAGGGTCTCACCATCTCTGCCAGTAATGACAGCGTGCCCGCCATCTGTCACCACATGTTTGAAACGCGCAGTTACCAGCGGTCCCGTATCATCCATACTGCTTCTTGCGCTTCGCGCTGAGCCTGTGCGAACAGCACCACGACGTTCACTTGGGGCAGAAGATCTCGCGTCTCCGCTATCCACGCTGCCCGTCTCATTCATGATGTCATTGATTAGCTGCTGGGGGTTTCGGTTCTGTGCCGGTGTACTGTGCGAAGATTCGCCCTGGGTAGATATAGAGGCATGGCGTTCGGAAGAGCTCGGCACATGCTCACTCGTTCGATCTGCGCTCGTGTGTCGGTCCTGGCTGGGCGTTTGTACTTGCCAATTCTCCCGATTAGAGCTGGAGCCGCGGCTGTAGGACTGGCGTCTTGCGCACGCAGCGTTGTGAAAGTATCCTTCCGAACGAGTACCATGTTGAGTAGGAGTCGGGGAGGGGTCTACTGATATGACCGAGCGTATGGGGAAGATACGGTCGGCAGCAGCAGGACTGAGCTGGCCTTCTGAAGTGGCAGTTGGTGATCTTGGGTCGTGGGTGGAGTTGATGTTGGGCCGGGGGAGTGGGTCTCTCCCCGTCTGCGTCAGATTGCTAGGCCTCTTCGAACGCGGTGGTGATCTGAGCGGCTCTCGCAACTCCGACTGTGGCTGCGCGTCGTCGGTGGCAGCAGCGGAGGTAGCGTCGGCGGGCGCGGGCACGGGCGCGGGCGCGGGCAGGGAGGACACAGGTGAATGTTCGGCGTTGCTGCTGGGTCGCTGGTCCTGCTCCGGCTCCGAAGACATGGCATCGGCCGCTTCAGGCCGTAGTCTTCGACGTGCGCAAGTCGGCGACTGAGCCTCCTCTTGTAGTGTTCAACAGGGATGTGACGCCACGCTACTCCGTATCCATCAACTGTGAATTGTCCGCTTCCCTCACAATGAGAGCCTAATAGCCCGTTGGTTGTCTACAGGTATTCGCCACCTTCTGCTGTACATCTACTCCAAATTGTGATCCGGCGCAGCATTTCTCGCGTCTCTTTCGCTTGCGAGCCGGCAGGAATTCGTAGCAATTCGGTCGTTCGCCACGGGAGTCGCGCGGACCAATTGGTCGGAGGAGGGAAAGGACGCGCGTGTTTCTCAGCGTCGGCGGCGAGAGACAAGACAAGGCGGCAGGGCGGACAATGCGCGGTTTCCAAGAGGTGCTGGGCTTGCACCAGGCGTGCTCGTAGCAGCCGGGAGAAGCGACGACCGGGCGGTGGACGGTGGACAGTCTTCACGGCGAACCACAGTGGAAACGGCAGCAGACGGGAGGTGTAGGTGGTAGTCGTCGACGTGTGGAGAAAGTGAGGAAAGTACAAAGTTTCACTCGCGCAGAGGAGCAGTGCGCGGCGGGAAAAGGCGTTGCTGCTTGGCCGCTTTTGTGAAGATTGGCGTCCCGCAGGACAGGATGCAGCCGTGGTGATGATGATGACGATGATAGATGATGGATGGCACGCAGCAGAAAGACACTACATTGAGATGTCGCGAAACAAGCAAACATAACGGCTGTACCACTGTATTGTCTTGGAGGATGTCGCTCTAGCAGCGAGCCCGCCGGCCAGCAGGAGCACACGCATGACTATTCCGGTCATTCCGCTGGCAAGAGGGACGATCCAAACCAGGAGACACCCTTCCCCGTCGCCTGGCTTGGGATGCGAGTCGTGGCGCCGAAGATGTGGGTCTTGACGTTGAAGATTCAGACATCTGCAGAGCTGCCTCATTCGAAGCTGAAGCCTCCCAAGATGCCTGTCACCGGTGATGCTCTGATGTGGCCAGTGGTGGCGTCCGCCCTGGACACCACTGGAGATACCAGACAGTCCAGGCAGTTGTAGTAGTAGTACCCACTTGCCACCTCCGCCTGCGCACACTTCGGTGCTCCTTGTAGCTCCAGGGACTTACCCAGATCGACATGTCACAAGATCACGCGTGGGCAACGCAGTAGGCCGGAGGTGTGAGTGTAGGGATGGATGTACGTATCTGGTCCTCGTGCAGCGCGATGCCTCGACTCGCGCCGCATCGAGGCAAGCAGCAATCCTCCTCATCAGGCCACAGAGCATTGATTATTCACTTCCTCTGTTCGTCAATACAGCCATCACATTGACGCTACAGAAAGCTGGTAGTGGTGCTAGGAGGTATCGTGTCGTACGACTCACAGACTGGTACCTGTGGTACTGACCCAGCGACTCGGCGCCGCCGAACTCTGTCGCTGGCATCGCGATGGCGTTCACGTGCACACGTGCTTTTCCACGATCTCGCGCCTTGGCACACAGGGCAGCAATATGGGGATCCGAAATAAGAGACGCGTGTACGCGAAGGTCCATGGCAGGCATCAGTATGCTTTCACAGCGGGCAACACTAAATTTGTGCAACGTATAAAAGTGGTCCGTGCTTCCTGATCAAGTCACAACGTCACCTCTGATCTCGAAACATTTTCCGCTGTTCAGCCTCACATCCATCCTTTCACACCAGTATGCCAACATGCCACTCTCATGACATGAGGTGATATCAGCAGCGGATGATCCGCAATGTCTAATGGCGCTCAAAAGCAGAAGACGAGTCTAGGTACATCCACCTCACTCCTCCAGCAAACAAACAAACAAACAAATCACTGACCACATCTCACACGCAACAGGCTTCCACTTCCTCGCCGGATTAGGCTCCGGCATAGCAAGCGCCGCCCTCCTCCAACCAGCCGACCTCCTCAAAACCCGCGTCCAACAATCCAACGCTTCCACCCTGCGCCAAGCCCTCCAACATGTCCTCAACGGCCCCAACCCCATCCGTCAACTCTGGCGAGGAACCACCCCCTCCGTCATCAGGACCGGTCTCGGCTCGGCGCTCTACTTCGGCATGCTCAACCAGATGAGACAATCCATGTCCTGCATGCCCTCGATCCTCCCAACCACCACCACCAGCGAGAAGAGCGGAAACCAGAATGCCTCTTCCTCCTCCTCTTCTTCTTCTTCCTCCTCCGCCCTTCCCAAATTAGGAAACCTAGCAAATCTCTCCACGGGCGCCTTCGCCCGCGTAGCGGCAGGCTTCCTCATGAACCCCGTCACAGTCCTCAAAGTCCGCTACGAGAGCACCCACTACGCCTACACCACCCTCTCCTCCGCCGCCAGAGACATCCTCGCAACCGAAGGCCTGCGCGGGTTTTTCGCCGGTTTCGGCGCGACGGCCGTCCGAGATGCCCCCTACGCGGGCCTCTACGTCCTGCTGTACGAAAACGCAAAGACTCTGCTGTCTTCCTCCGCTGCGGTGGGAGAAATCGTCGAAGCACGCTCCGTGTCCAGCTCGGCTACGATTAATTTCGCTTCCGGTGTCGTTGCCGCCATGGCTGCGACGACATTGACGAACCCGTTTGATGCGATCAAGACCAGACTGCAGATTGCGCCGGGTAGGTATCGGAATATGCTGCAGGCGGCAAAGGTCATGCTGCAGGAGGAAGGGTTCCGGAGTATGTTCAATGGACTCAGCCTGCGGATTGGACGGAAGGCGATCAGCAGCGCTTTGACGTGGACGGTGTACGAAGAGCTCATCAGAAGGGCGGAGAGGGTGATTGTGTAACCACTGGCATGTATATGTATGGAAAGCTTCACTCCGCACCAGTCGTACCCAGAGCTTTCATCAATCTATACTCCAAGAAAAAAAATGTGACTGAGGTTTGGAAACGGAAGGATAGAGAGCAGAATGTACCATAGCTGTAGTTAAATGTACGACAAAAACATTGCTCAAAACAATTTCGAAACAGATCAAGGCCAATCTCGGGGGTATCGATCGCAGTTGGAATCTCTCAGCAGCGGTACGCCAGTTAAATGCAATCAGAAGAATGACCGTCCAGTTGTATCCTCTCTCTCTCTGCTCAATGCTCTGCGAGGTCCGCTTGACCTCGTCGAACTCAAATCGCATTACAAATGAGATGATGTCTTCGTCTCTCACTGGGTGCATCCAGTCTAGGCCACTGCTTCTGTCTCTCCTTCCGGTTCTTCGAGCTCGTGTTCCAGCGAACGGAACGCGGGCGGCTGATGGTCTGCAACATCATCGAGGTCGTCGTCTTCGAAATTCGGCATCTCGGGCTCGTTATAGTCGGCATCGCGATCGTAGCTCTGCTCGCGGAACAAGGGCGTGTGCGGACGCTCCGAAGTTCCGGATGCATGCCTGCTGCTTGGCCTAGCCTGCTCCGCGTTGCTGCGCGCAGACGACTTTGACCCAGGCCTAGAATTCAATTGGGGCCGAGACAGCGCATTGGTCTCATCTGGCAGGGGCGAGCTCCGAAGATTGCTTGCAGGAGGCGTCATGAGACCGCCAGAAGAGTAGCTTGGGAGCGGCGGCCGAGACTGCGGCTTCGATGGCGTGTATGACCGAGCTGGTGCTCCAGGACGAGCCTGCTGATTCTTCAGAGCGGAGCTTTCCATACTACTGCGCCATTTATTGAAGGCCGAAGTGAGCTGACCGGCTCGAGGAGTAGCAAAACTTGTCAAGTTGGACAGAGCCTGTCCACTCAGAGACTGTTGAGCACGGCCAAAGCGCTCCTTCTCCTGCCTCTCCATCTCGAGATTGGTCTGAATGCGCGTGGCAGTATCTCTAACAGCGACTCGATCGAAATTGGGCTTCTGGAGTGCGTGTACGACATCATTAATCTCGTCGATGCGCACGTCAAGCAGCTCACGTAGCCAGTTGATCTCGGTGTCGCGCTCCTTGAGTTTCGCCGGGGCCTCGTCGATCTTGGCCTGCATGCGCTCGATGCGAGATTCGCGCTCTTGGAGTTGCTCCTGCAAGACAAGGATTGATTCCCGGAGTGCTTGGGGCGAAACCTTCTCAGGAACGCCGGCGGTTGAGGTAGTAGGCGCGGGAGCCGCCTTGGACGTCTTCGCGTTCATTGCGGCAGCTTGAGCAGCCGACGTGGCGACCTCTAGGCGTTCCTCGAGATGTGCCGTTCTTTCTTGATAATGGGCAAGCTTAGCATCCGCAAGCGCAAGTTTCTCATTCAAGAAACCCTCCATTCGCTGCTTGTCCTCCAGAGCGTGTGAAATGGCACGGGTGTGTTGAGCAGTGAGATTTTGGATGGCAGACTCGTACTTGTGGCGGGCCTCGTCCAAAGCCACGCTGTTGGAGTGATTGACTTTGCGCAGAGCTTCTCTCCGGACGCTCTCCTCTTCTTCCATGAGGTGTTCATGTCGGGCCCTGGCGGTCTCCGCTTCCATTCTCAGGTTGTCAAGCTCACTTCGGGTCTTTGCCAACTCACTCTCTAGCTCAGCACGAACCAGGTTTACCTGGTGATTGGCAGCCTCCATCTCAGTTTCCAGCGACATGCGTGTGCGATGGACTTCAGCTCGACCAGTTTCTTGAGCATCATAGAACTGTCGCTCGTAGCGAGCCGCAAGTGCCTGCTGCTCGGTGAGATCGCCTTGCAGCCTGCGCACCATCTCATCCAGGGAGTTGTTTGCTTCACGAAGGTGCTCGACGCTGTGCCTTGCTTCCGCGGCCTCCATGGCGTTATTGCGAACGATGCGAAGCTCATCTTCCAGTTGCATGCGCTCCCGGTGGAATGCGGACTGTTGGTCCTCCAGAGATTCGATCCTGGCGCGGTAGTCTGCTTCCTTGGACTTCCACATAGCTTTCTCACTAGCAAGCTGGCCAGCTGCGGTGGACATGTCCACATGGAGCCTTTCCAATCGTCGCTTCATGCTAGCAGTGGACTCTTGATACTCCTCATTCCGGCGCTCAACGGAGGAAAGCGTGTTTTCGAGCTCTTCTCGCGCTCGCTTGCCTTCATCCAGATCTTGTCGCCACTTATTGCTCGACCTCCTGTACTCTTCTAGAGTGGCCTGCAAAGCTTCCTTCTCAGCTTCTTCGGCGTCCAACCTGGCCTCAGCGTCTCGGCGCGCCTCCTCCTCTCTTCGACAGCGGTTCAGCAGATCTTCGTGTTCGTTCTCCATGACGCGCAGTCTCGAAGATTCGTCACGAGCGGTATCCCGCAACAGTGACAACTCTTCCTCAGCGAGGCGCAGATCCCGTCGCGCTTCAGTCTCCCGAGCCTCGAAGGCACGTCTCTGGTTGGCTTCTTCTAGCGCGCCGGCAAGAGTCTCGTTCAGGCGGCCTTCGAGCTCCGAAAGCTCACGTTTGTGAGCTGCAGTGCCCTCATCCATCGCGATAGGTACGAGTGCCTGGCTTTGGCGGCTAAGCGAATCTTCTACGACTGCGCGAATGTCATCAAGCTCAAGGCTGGCAGAGGCAGCTCTGGCAAAGGATACCTTCATATCTGCCAACACTGCATGAAGCTCAGTCAGATCTAGATTGGGCTGCAGTTGTTGTGGACCCTGCTCTCGCAAAGCGTCAGACACCGCAAGTTTGATCTGATCGGCCTTCTTGTCCCTGCCACGGGATATGGGACGCTGCTTGAGCTCATCAGACATCTCATCTTCATCGTCAGCATCGCTGTCCACATTGGAGACGCTGCGTTGGAGCCTGAGGTCTGAAGATCGAGCTGAGGATCGAGCACGCTTGTTGACAGTGCTTTGAATGCTGCGAAGGCTGTCTTCGAGCGGCTGGAGGCGCTGTTCAACGATACGCCCGATAAGCTTGTCGATGTGGCTGTCGAAGAAGTGGCTGCGTTGCTGCAGCTTCTCCTCGTCTTGAGGCGAGAGTATACCAGACCAGTCGCTTGTTGGAGCGTCCTCCGCTCGATTCAATTGACGCACTTGCGGCCAGCCATTAAGCGTTTGATCTCCGTCGGTCTCATCTTGCTGTGTTTGCACAGGGCTGGGACTAGGAGCATCGCTACGTGGCTGCTCTCGTAAGTACGTGACGCCCTTCATGGGGTGAGCGCCAGGACTTGGCAACTGTGGTGGCGAGGGCTTCCTCTCCTTCTCCCTCTCCGAATCTTCGGCATTCAAATGTCGCATGACAGCGTCGATCTCATCAAATGATGGCTCTGGCTGAGCAACATAGTCGATCCTTTCGCTAGAAGGGATCCCGGAAGGTCCAAGAGGCCGGTTATACGATGAAGCGAGGCCACTGTCATGCATCGAGATATTAGGCACGTGCTCTGAGGCACGGATCGGAGACACAGACCGCGAGTCATCCTCTGGAATCTCTCCTTCTTCTAAATCGCTAACGGAGTTAACCTGCTCGTGCTGTCGCTCTGCAAAAGTGGAGCTCGTAGCGGAGAAGGGCGGCTCAAATGGCTTGGCGACTGCAGACAGCGAGGCGGAATTGTTGTGGCCATTCTGCTTGCTCTGAGACTGTGCGCGCTGTTGACGTTCGTGATGAGCCTTGTCAAGTTGATCAACGACCGTGTCTTCAGCCTTCTCCGCAAGATCTTGCAACCCTTCCTCGACTTCCGCCTCGATCTCGTCCACGGCAGACATCGGTCTGACATCGTTCGAGCCAAGGATTTTCTCGGGTGGAGGTAGATCGGGCTCAGGAGTTGGCTCGGCAAACATGGGAACTGAATCTCCATCGTCACCGATCCTACGCTGCTGCTTCCGCTTAGCTTCTCCTTGTGCGACGCGACCTTCGTCGTCTTCAAAGTGCTCTGAGCCCGAATCATCTGTCTTGCCCTCTTCGGGTCGAACGATTGGAATTGCCTTAGATCGTCTTGCCGGCTTGACGACTTCTGGAATCTCAACTTTTCCGAAGATGCTCGGCAATTCGTCGATGATGGTTCGCCGGTCTTGCTTGGGTGGTTGTGGAGCTGCATCAGGTCCAAATGCTGGACCCGAGGAAGAAAAGCTGAACTCGGAACTCACAGGCTTGAAGGCCGGGGCAGCCACGTTGAAAGATCCAGAAGAGCGATGACGGTTATGATTCGAGGCGTTCTCTCCATTTGGTCTTGCTGCTTGCGCGCCGAATGTAAAACTCGATTGTGGCGGCGCGACCGACGAGCTGGGCTGGGATGGTACGCTGGGCTGGAAATTCGCATTGGGATTGAAGGTGAATGACGGTGCAGCCACGTTGAATCGTGAGGAACTCTCCTTCCGGCGGTGCATGGTCTCTTGTGCTGGGTGAGCGTCGCCAAGCGAATCTTTCTCCGCTGCGCTTGATAAGGGCGGTGGCAGTCTCTGAACGCCATCTGGCTTCTGGGATGAAGCGAAAGGGGCACGGTCTTCCTCTTCTTCGGTGACCTCAATCCAGTCCCGACTGGCGCGCTTTTGGCGTTGCTCGGCTTCCAAAACATCTCGCTCGAGGCCTTCACTGATGTTGTGGCGATGACCACGCGGAGTTGGGACCGCAATTTCCGTGTTGGCTTGGAAACGCTTTTGAGGTGGCACATAGACGGGTGGCTCTGGTGCTGGTTCCGGCGCCGACTCCGGCGCGGGTTCTTGATCCTCTTCCAACTCCTCGTCCTCGTATTCAGGTAGCTCGGGGAGGGCGGGAGTAGGCCGCACGTTGGGACCTTGGGACATGAAGGTATTCTGCATCATTGGCTGATGCATGGATTGAGAATAGGCGTGCTGTCTCCGCCTCTGGTCTTCGATCAAGCCTCTACTGTAGTCCTGAGGCGATTGCGGGAAAACCTGCTGAGCAAGAGGAGAACCAGGGCCACGCACAGTTCCAAGGTCTTGTCGCAAGGCGGACATCTGTGCTGGTGAGCCGCCACGCGGCAGCCCAGAAAGCGCATACTGCTGCTGCGGGGAGAAAGCCTGGAAGCCGGGGATCCCAGGAGATTGCTGAGGCGGCTGCGATTGAGGCAGCCCAATGGGACCCGTGAACGTAGAGTGTCTGTGCATATGCCCAAAAGGTCCGTTCAAAGGCGAAGCTGGACTTGCAACCGACATGGTGTGTGAGTGGCCTCTCACCATGCTAGGTCGGCTCATACTACTGGTCGACGAGGTCGGTATCGGCGGTGAGAATGGCAAAGCCGGGTATTGCTGCGCAGAAGACTGCCTGGACATGTCTTGCGAGGGAGCTGGCGCTGGTTCATCACCTCCAAGAGTGACACCCAGCGCCGCGAGCTTCTGCTCAGTAAGCCAATCCTCGTACGCCTTCCATTTCTCCAAATCTGGCAGTAACACTTTGGCTTTCTCGTTGCTTGCGGTCGCGTGGCTGTCTGCTTCGTCCGGGAAGATAGCCCTCACTTGCGCAGGACCATCTGCCATCGCAACGTCGTCCTGTTGCAAGTCGTAGCCGCGGACATCATATCCAGCCTGCTCGAAATGCTTCAGCCGATCTTCAATCTCTTCCTTGCTCAAAGGCTTCAGAATTCCCGCAGCGGCGTAGTCGAACCGAGGAATAGAGATAACGATGTTTCTCCCGTTCCAGCTCACGCGCTTCTTCAATCGAGGTGGCACTAGGTGTACAGATGTATTCGTGGGCGCTGGCGGGGCATTGTCTGAACGCTCCGCTTTCTCTTCCATAGCTGTGCTTGCTGCAGATTGCTGTCCGTTTGCTTCGGAGGGCTCAAGGGCCATCACTTGAGTTTCCGCCTTGCCACTGGGTTGGTCCTGCGCCTGTGCGTCTTCCTTGTCTTCTCCGACAGGTTTCTCTTTCAGAGACTGGTACGACTTGTCCTCAACATTTGCACCGCTTTGGATCCCCTTGTCTACCTCATCCTCTGGCTCTGGTGTTGCCGCCCATCGCGATGCAAAAGCCCCACTGGTCCGCTTCTCAGATTTAGGAGCATCGTCAATCGCCTCTGCGGATTTCGGTTTCGGCTCAGGCGTGTCTGCCCGTCGTGCTGCAAATACGCCACTGGCACTCTTTTCTGACTTTCCAGTGTCCTTAGGTCCTTCATCCCCTTCAGGCTCAGGAGTATCTGCCCAACGCGACGCAAAGACGTCATCCTGTGGCTTCTCAGTCTTTTCGGTAGACTGAGGTGCTTGCGGCGCTCCCGCAGGCGGCTCAGGGGTCGCCGCCCACCTTGACTCCAAAAGGCTGGCCATATTGTCTGGACGATGTTCTCGTATTGTTTCCCAGAATGATTGCTGGTCCAGCGTCTTGTTGTTTTCGCGTGTATTATGACCTAATCTTGCTCCTCGGTGCTCAACACTGCGTACAGAACAGTTGAAAGATGGAGCGCGAGCCTTTCTTCCTTCACTCTCCGACACACTATGCACTGAATCGTCACTCCACCAATGATTGCGCTCTGACTGATTTTCTCGCTGCGGAAGCTGTACCCAACGCTGGGTTCGGGAGCGCGGCGTCTGGGACGGATCGAATGTCTCCTCTTGAACAACAAGAGGCAATACGTTTGCTTGAGGAAGCGTAAGGTCGCTCAGACGGCTTGGAATGAGATGCTCTAAGCCGAAGCTGGGCTCAGGCGAAAGCTCGCTCAGGTCCTCGATGCCAAGCTGTTCAGAGACAGCTGTACGCGCAGATCTCGAGAATTGGGACGGCGAGACGTCGTAAGGAGATCCCCAAGCCGCGGTGAAGTATTCAGAGCCGGTATCTCTGCTTCGGAAACTCGCAGGCGTCCGCGGTGCCGGGAGACGCGCGAACTCTGGGCTCAGCGACGCCCGTGGCGGAGAAGAGTGCGCTTGGTCGTAGGAGTCGGCTACAAGACCATCGTATCTGAGGACCGGCGGCGACGTAGGTAAAGACGCTGAAGGGGACGTGGTGCCTGGCGATGCCCCTGTCGTTAGCCAATTTCGCTGCCATCACCATTCATCACCCAGCTCAGGGCGAGATTTCCTTTCCCACGCACCTTCCACGTTGTTCAACACCTGCTGAGCGACCGAGTATCGCTCATGAAGTAGCACAGCGCATTCAAAGACCCCGAAGCACACTCTTGACGCGTCGAAAGGTGTGCGTTGGCGGCGAACTGGGCGGTTGTGACGCGCAGACCGTTGGTCCTATTTTCTGGTGAGCCAAAATTATGCCCGGACAAATGAAAGACGAGGGGTTGCTTCTAAACGAATCAAGGAACGACAAGGGCATCAAAAACACAGGGCAACGAGAAGCATCATGCACGCATCGCAATAGAGCATAGTGTATGTAGTAGGGGAGAGTTAAGGTCGTGTGGTGGGAGACAGAAGTCGTGCTGGCGTTTGATGATGGTGCTGGCAAGGCCAGGGGAAGGGATAAGGGCCAATGAGAAGCCTCCAAGGCGCACCGCTCCCTCCATGGACTCCCAATGTGGGCTGTCCAAATAACCTAATGCTCTACTGTCGTTCCTCTCTTCTGTTACGCCTGACGCCTGCCACTTTGAGTACTTCACCACTGGACATGACACGCGACCTATCGGATACATGTAGTAAAGAGAAAAGACATTGCTCGGACATAATTCGGTTCATGATCAATTCCGTCGTCTACCGTCTAAATGCTCACCTTCTCACATCTGTTTCTCAACGCACTGCATCAACACAAGCGTACGACAAACACCACACATGTCATCCTCAAGCAGGTGCTGTGGCAGCCATAGCCGCAGCCGCAGCAGTCGTGGCAGGATCCAACCCGTCGCTCGACATGCCTTTCAACCAATCCATATCCATCGTGAATCCACCGCTCTCTCCGCTCATGGCCGCATACGCACCATCTTCTAAGCCCCATACATCTGCGGCAGCATCCAAGTTGATCAGAGATTCGAAATCAGGCTCGGACTCAGGAGGAGGGATCGGAAGGCCGTGCAGGTCGGAATGATCGCCAAAATTCTGGCCCTCCGAATCTGGCGGCGTCGATGCCAAATACGAGTTCAGCTTCTGGGCGATGTCATCGTCGGTGAGCGGGCTGCCATCGCGCTGATGCTGCGGCTGTTGGCGCGATGCATCATCCGGCGGTGGAGTTAAGGCTCCAGGATCTGGAGCTGCTGAGACAAGACGAAGCCGTCTACCAGCGTCTACTAGTCCTTGAGTGGACGTGATTACGTTCCTGGGCTCCTTGACCTCATCCGATTTTTGGGGCAGCGTGATCTCGGCTTTCCGGATCGCAGCTTCGAGAAAGGCGGTCGAATAGTCCGCCGCTGCGTACATGTCGCGCAGCTTGCCCATGATCTGCATGCATTGGCAGAAGCCCTGCAAACTCGACCGGCGTGTGGCCTCATCTGGAGCTTTGATGTCCAGAAGATGGATGATGATTGCTGGGAGCAATACAGTGATACCAGTCGTCGGCAGGAACCGCACCATGTCGAGATTGAACAGGTTGTAGGCGATGCTGGTGATCTCGCCAGCTGCCAGTCTGACAGCCTTCCGAGAGAGGTCCAGCATATCAGATTGCATTTGTCGAGGAGGCATGGCAGTCGATGGAAGGACCTGCGGACGGTGCAGAGCTGACAGTGTTGCGTAGGAGATCATGTGTAGGAGCGATCGGTTCAGCACAATGCTCTCATTGCCAGCGTCCACATCGTGCCAGGTCGGAGGCACGTAAAGAGCCTCCTTGGGCAGCTCATCACGCCACTCTTGGAGCTCCTTATCGCAGGTCTGTACTTCGTTTACTCTCGGCTCTAGTTTCTTCGCGACCAAGCGTACCGTAGTCTTTGTGCTGCCTTCGTCATTCACGACTCCGTGGTTGTTGTTGAGCACTGAATACTGCACCGAAAGCACGTGGCTCATACAGACACACAGCTTCGCGCTCTCGATGCACATAATAGCAAGCTGTCTCTGCGTATCGAGGTCCCGGAGGACTTTGCAGTCAGCTGGGATGCAAGAAGGCCCCCCTGGCAATACCGCCGACTCGAAATCGCTGATGTTCAGCATTGGTACATCGAAGTCAGCCGTCTTGATGCGTGTCGGTCGTCGCATGCCGAGTGCAACCAGCCGATCTCGCATATATGTGCACCACCAGATCCTCTTCCAGAGCTTCTTTCTCGGCTCGTCCATCGCTGTGGACTTTTCTGGGTTGCGGTGCAGGCCAATGGTGTGGGAAAGCGAGACGGCGATCCCCATCCAGTGATGACTGTCCTTCTGATCGTCTGGTGTTTCATACCAGTATGACATGAGGAGTAGCGACTGGATGAGCGAAATTCGATCGATTTCGACGTCGAAGTCGTAGAGAAGCCTCGTCTTCTGGAAGAAATCGCGTCGCGCGTCTCTGCGAGTCGTGTAGCCTGCCGCCTTCAAGTGACGAATGTCTACAGTCGCGATGGCAGAGAACATGATCGCCTGGAGCAGTAAAAGGCTGACAGGAGCTGCGCCATCGTCGCGATCGATGGATGTCACCAGGTCGTGTACATCCAAAAGTGGCATGTTCGGATGGACAAACTCGACAAAGTTCCGCAAAAGCTCATTCCTCAATTGTTGACTGGGAATGGCCAGCGCACCCTTCTTCTCCAAGTATAGAATATCCTCTGGATTAAGCTTCGACGGGAGCGGTTTGATGTACATGGGCAAGCTGTACGCGGGCATTGTTGGAGTCACAAGGCTAGGGTGCAGAGGCGTGGGATCAGGAATGGAGGGCTTTGGGCCCATGCGCTGGAGATTCATCATCATATCGGGCGTATACATGGATGATCTGGCGGTGTTGTTGGTCAAGCTGATATCTCTGCCCAGATCTTGGTCTGCAATGGAGATCAGTACGCCGCGCCAGACTCTGCTCGGATGCGGAAGATAACCCACACAATGCGTGAGGCACATGTTCAATGCGCTTCAATGGCTCGTACGGCGGTTGTGCAGACATTGGGAACATGGGCGCCTTGAATGGCAGGCCTCCCTTGGTGGGGTGGGGCGAGCTCTCGTTGCCTCCCGTAGACCATTTCCTGCGCAAGGTGAGCCTCAGGTCTCGAGTGGCTTGCAACGCGTACGTTTCCACTTACTTCTTGCGCTTGCTCTCCGACACGATGCACTCAACTTCGTCCAGACGACAGTTTGTACAGGGCGGGCCCTGCTCGACCACATTGCAACGCACCTTGCGTGCGCGACAGCACTGGCAGGCCTTGGAAGCTCGTCTCTTCACGCTCTTGGCAGGTCGGACGCCGTTGGCCTTCAAGCCCGCATCTGCGGCTGTGCGCTTGTTGGTCGTGGACGCTTGGGTGTGCAGGTCTGTTGTGTCTGGCGGCGAAGACGAGGCATCGGAAGAGAGCTGCGTGTCCATGGCCATTGAACACATGTCTCCCATCATGAGAGTCGACTGCCCGATCCAGAGCAGTGGGGTTGAGAGAAGACAGACGGAGGAGGGGACGGAGGAAGAGACGGGGACGGGCAGAGGAAACAACAGACGTCGACTAAAAGGGTAGACTACAATGGAAGCGCCCAAGCTTGAAATTATACTATCCACCAGAGCGGAGCGGCGGCAGAGGGGCAGGTGCGAGTTATCTCCGCCACAGGATTGGACAGGTGTGAGGCCTGGGAGAGAGATGCTAGTACGGTAGATTAGTGTGGTCCCTACCTCAGCCTTTGCCGTCGTTGGCCGTCCTCGCAGCTGTGAGCACCTCCAGCTCTCCCTCTCACGCATTCGATCGCTGCTGGACGCCAGCATGCACCATACAAGGACCCGACAGTTGCATCCCTTACGCCATGTTCCCCGCCCTATACGGCACATGCCGGCTCAGCATCCAGTCGTGGCGCTCTGCTCTGCTCTGCTCTCACTACTCCTCACAGCGACAGCCCAAGGTCATCACCACTGCACCTCGTTGCTGACAGGCGCGCCCGTCACCCCACAAAAGACCAGCGCTAGCGCGCACTGGGGAACGGTGGAGGCCATTTCTCCACACGCACAACGGAAACGTTCTACTCGTGCGCGTGCTCGGTCCTCGTTTGCCCGCCACCGCCCGGCGCACGCATTGCCCAAACACGTCCGTCTCTCCGCGGCCCTGTTTGGCTGCAGAGAAGTGCAGACGACTCTCGCAATCGGTACGCCATTATTAACGTGGAGCGGATCGTCTTCGATGCATCACCCTTGGTAGCCCGGAGAAAGAATGCCGGCCCCTGCCTCTTCTTGCGGTCAACATTTTGGAGGATGCGGCGAATGTGGACGTCCTCTTCACAATCCATGTACACAACGGCAGAGACGGCTATCGCCACGAGAAGGAAGCGAAGTAGTCACCCGACCATGCGCATGCGGAGTCTGAAAGACGGTTTCTCCGTTCACCCTGTCCGTGCTTTACGGCCGAAAGGCGATCCAACCGAAGCTAATCGCTGATTCAAAACTTGATTGCATTGCAGAGAGTAACAGTGTTACGGTTTCGAGAAGCAATACATGTCCAGCCATGCACATAAGGCCCCGTTTACTTCGCAGGTTATAGGTTGTAGGTTATTAGGTTATAACCCCTCTTAAATAACCTAGGGTATTAGAAACTAAGCTGAACGCTTCGGTATATTAAGAGCTCTACTATATAGTCCGATTTTAGTATAGTTCCTTAGCAATTAAGACCGCGTCGTCGCGTTGTCTACTACCTATTTTCTCTCGCGTTTTCTTATGTCTCGTATATGTTACTACTCGCTCTTTCTAACTACTACTACTCGCTCTTTCTAACTACTACTACTCGCTCTTTCTAACTACTACTACTCGCTCTTTCTAACTACTACTACTCGCTCTTTCTAACTACTACTACCGTAAGCGATATAGTAAAAAGGAAGGCTACTACGGAAGGCGGTAGCGCGAAGAAGAAGGGCGGCGGCAAGTAGGCTCTAGTAGATCTAAGCGCTCTACTTATAGAGAGGTATTCGCCTTTATCGAGGTATACGCCGTTAATAGTCTAGGACTTCTTAGAGCGGTTAAAGGCGCTAAAATCGGTACAAACGGACTCGTATAGTTATCGACTAAAGGACCTAAATATAATAGCTAAGGCTATGTCGTAGAAGTTCGAGCGAGCGATTACTACCGAGTCGTTAAAGAATAAATAGCGTACGCTAAAAGAGGAGTGGAAGCTCTAGATTACCTATAAAGGCTATATTAGTAGGTAGAACGGCATACTACTACGCGGTAATCCGGCGTTAGAAGAAGCCTATAATATCGCTTACCTAGACTACGTTTACTTCCTCGAAGAGGCGCCGGAGTATATAGATCTAATAGATAAGATTATAGGCGACAATGTCGCGACTAGCGCGTACGTAGTAACTAGTACTACTCTAGGTGTCGACTCGGAACCGGAGAAAGTAGGTAGTAGCGATTCGGAGGTATTACTTTCGGATAAAGATCTAGAGGGCCTATTAGAGTTTAAGCGTAGTATAAGGCTCGCCGTACGGAACGAACGGCGTAATAAGAAGAAGAAGTAGAAGTAGCTACCGAAGAAGCGTAGTTACCGAAAGGTTAATAACGAGGCTAGAGTATAGGCCGCCGCGGCGTAAAAGGTACTAGAGCTATTAACGTCTACCCTTACTAATTACCTACGGCAAAATAAGGCCGTATAGTAGCGTCCGACACGGCTAATAAAGGATAATATAACCCTAGTATTTAAGCGTCTTTTAGAGGGCGATATTAAGCTACTATTTAACGATAAGATACTAATTTACGAGGAGCTTAGGTAGACACCGTAGCGAGCGAGTATAGCCGTAGCTTTGTTATTAAAGGATAAGATGTCTAAGTTAAGAGCGTAGTGTACGGATCTACTCGTTAAGATTAAACTACCGCCGCCGCCGCGTCTAGGCCTTCTTATAGGCGATTATAGTTAGTCGCCGACTCCTTACTATAGCTTTTAGCCTCTATAGACACCCTTCTCGCACTTATAGAATAGTTTATTTAACTATAGCGATAGTAGATATAATAGTAGATAGTAGATAGTATTAGAATTAGAGCGACAGTCGACGAGGTAACGTTAAATATAGTATACTATACTAGCTTACGGATGTATCCGCTATAAGTTTTACGGTTTAGTTAATATAAAGGAAGTAGACGGGAAGTACTTATTCTACAAAATGTCCTAGGATTTTCTATACTATAAATTTGTATAGAGGTGTTATTAATTTCCGGTACGCTAATTAGCCGAAAGCTCGTTACGTAACACCTATCTATATCTTTAGATATATAAAAATTATACGGTTTCCTAACTACTCCCTCTTCTACGACTAAAAAGTAGTATAAGTTATAAAATAGGCTCTACGGCTAACGTTAAGACTCGCTAAAAGAGGAGAAATTAGCTACGTAACTGTAGTAGATAGAGATATTAATGTAATATAAGACTATAGTATCCTATCTAGACTACCTACTACTACCTATCTACTACCGTAGATAGCGCTAAGACTAGGAGGACGAGCTTACATACTATTTCGACACCTCCTACTAAAACAAAGAGTCCTACGGTAGGCGTTTGTCGCGACCGGATACCTACAAATACTCCTTATACTCTATAAACATATCCTCCGCTATATTATTACGAAACCTCGCTCGCGGATACTACTTATCGTTACTAACCTCTTCTTCGTCTTCCTCTTAACCGCCGAGAACGCTATCCTTACGAATTTAAGCTAATTCTAGCTCTAATTAAAGCGGCTAGGTACTATACTAAAGGATAAAGTTATAGATTATATAGTACGACATTATAATCCTTTTCTAGTCTAGTACCGAGTAGCTCTCGCGTAGGCCGTTTACTACAACCTTAAACCGCTTCTTAACGATACTAAATATCCTCTCGACGTAGTTTCGGAGCTACGCGTACCGTAGATTAAATAGCTCCTTCGGTATATCCGGACGACGATTAGCTACCGCTTGTTCTCGTAAGTAATACCGCGTCTTTTAGTACGGAACTAACAGTCGACTGTCCTTAAAAGAGTATCTACTATTAGCTAAGTAATAGCGGCCTCGCGGTACTTTAAAACCGCTCTAATAGGCCTTTCGTAGTACTATACTATCTGTCGCCGAGCCCTCGTAACTAACTAATACGTACTAGAAGCGGTAATCGAAGTTATAGGCCGCTATTACATTCTAAGAGATAAACCTTTACGGTTACGCTAGGCGCTCTATTTATTCTCGCCGATAGTAGCGTAGATAAAGGTACTATTAATCGCTCCGAGAGCCCCTTAAAAACGCTCGAACCGTCTATCTAAGAGCTTTAGATAGACCTTATCCGCTACTAGTAGAGTAATATACTCGTCTTACATTCGATATACGGCTTTACTAACGTCTTTAATAATTCGAGATAAGGTTACTAGCGCGTACGAATACTCCTTTCGAAGAGCTCGAATCGACCGGTTATAAGCGACAAAGTCTAGGTATATTACTACCTACTAATCTATAGGTACCCTATCCTTACTATCCGTATTTAATCTACCTTCTTCGACGACTACCTTAATAAAGGCCTTTAAAACCGGCTACTTTATCCGCGTAGTATAATAGTAAAACTCCTCCGTTCTATATAAGTACTTATATACCTCTTTATATGCCTTACTAGGCTCTATCTACGTCTATCGGACGCCTATAGGCCTTACACCTTGTCGACGCTTCCGCTAGTAGAGAGTAGGCTATATCGTCGTTAGCGACACGCCTACGAGTATTATTAAAAGTACTACGAGTTAGTCTATAGTAGTAGTAGTAAAAGAGGTGGTTTAAGAGTACTATATTAGACAAATTGGCTACTACTACTACTAATAGCTAACAACGCGAGATAGTCGCGCGCGGTAGCCCGTATAATAACCTATCTTCTTCTAAAAAGAAGGAACATAGGTTATCGCTTCTACCTTCTAGAAGAGGTAATCCGGCTACTAAATAACCTACTATCTATTCACCTGGAATGGAAGCAGGTTATGAACTGAACGGTTAGGTTATTTCCAGGTTATTGGCAGCCGAGCTCGGCAACACGCTCGAAACGACCTAATAACCTAAAAATCTCTGCGAAGTGAACGGGGCCTAAATAAATGTGCAAGTCAAACGCAACAAACGTCATGAAGCAGGGCCAGCGACACCGAGTTTCGGAAGAGATTCCTTCCGCAGTCGCGCGAGGTGCTGTGCAGAGGTGCTGTGCAGAGGCTTACTCGACCCAGGCGACTCAGGCGATTCTGGAACTCGTCTGCGCCATGTCAACCGGAAGCCGCGTCTAGCCCACGCCGACGACGATCGAAATGCCTCATGCGCTACACTTGCCTGTCACGTGTCGTCGAAAATCTCTGTTCATCGAGGTCTATGACACCACTTCGCTAGCTCGTAATGCGTCGGATCATTATTTCATTTTCTTCGCAAGGCCGTTCTGATGCACCGGCTGTTTGCGTACGATTCGTGGTATCGAAGAGAAGGTTCTTGGCCAGTGCAGGTCGTACTCATCCTGTCGTCCGTTCAGGCAGTGTCGCAGCCACACTCCCCAAACGATGTAATAATAGGCTCCTAAAGTCGCACTTCTGTTAGCAACACCCAGGTACGTCTACTAGAAATGTTAGGCGCTCACCTAGCCCAGTTCCAAGGTGCCACCATCCTAGACTCGTCAGCAAAATAGACCTCAGAGGACCTCGCTGGACTGGACAAGAGATTCGACTCACCGTGTCCCTCCAGGAGAACGCCCCAAGGCAGGCCAATCTCCCGCCTCCAGCCGCGAAGCTGTTGGCAGTACATGTTGTCCAGGTTCCAGATCCCGTAGCCACCCAAGAATACCGTCATGCCGAAAGCGATTATGGTCCACATCTTTTTCAATATCCATCGATCTCTGTCGTCTTGTCTCTGCTCTTCCGCTTTCTCAGCCGCCGAGGCTGAGCTGCTCTTTTGGACCCTCTCATGCTCCACATGCCTCTTTCTAAAGTACGGACGAATGTTCATCTCCATCATGTACATGGATCGTAACAGGACGAAAGCCGTGAGGATCGCGTACGCATTCTGGTGGAAGGTCGGGTCCTGGAGATAGTGATAGTAGAGGGTGATGAAAACGGCCAGTCCAAACACGATGACGCCGACGAGGATTTTGAACCCTAGAGGCCGACTGTGCTCCATTGACGCCCATGTCATGAGACACGTGGTGTATATCATGGAGAGCTCGTCGACGAGTTGCCAGGGATATTTGAGCGTTGCGTGGAAGGCGAAGCTGCCGGATCCCACGAGCAGATAGCCGGCGAACGTGACGAAGAATATTCGGTCGTGACTATGGCGATAGCAATTGAGCATGCCCTCAAATGCCAGCCACATGAAGAGCAGGTTGGTCAAGGTGTTGACGATCTCGGCAGCGTATGGCGTAGCATAGTAGTTCTATTTCGCATTAGAGCTGTTGTCATTGGGGCTGCATTCTTCTCCATACCTCTTCGCACCAGTCGATTGTGGCCGTATGAGGAGTCCAGAAGCCATGCTCTTTCTCTGGACCGTATGGAATGGAGGGTAGCCAGGAAGGCATACTGCTCTGGTTGTCAAGCCCTTTGTCGCGCGTGGGCTCAATAGAGTGCTTGAGTATTGGATGCAGCGTAAGCCGAACTGGAAACAATGATAGCTCTCCTAAGCGGACCGGTCCTGCGTGCTTGCTGCTTGCTATGGGAGCGCGAGCAAGCACGCGGCCAACAACAAATGGCTCCAGGCAGGAGTTGGCAACCTCCAAACACGTCACTGATCCCGGGATCCCATTTGGGCAGCCGCAAACCTCCGGGCAAACAACGAGCCGAGGCTTGGCAGGTGCTGAGTAACAGCCAGGGCAGGAACGTGGACTTCCATCTGACACGTGACTGCAGGCCTCCTTTGCAGCCAGTCATCCGCGACGACTTCACTTCATCGCCAGACTGTCGTGAGCATGGCCATTCCCAACGAGAAGCTGCAGCAGGTAAGGTTCCCTGCTTCTGAACTGCATGGTGGTCGCCGGCTTACCCTCTGACGCTGTTGAAAGTTGCTGCAAGAGATCGAGCAAAAGTCGGCATTCGCCCAGCAGCAGCTAGGCATCGTCAAATCGCAGATTGCGTCCAAGAATCGCGCGAGCCGGATGTTGCAGCTTTCCTCGAATGAACTGGACACTCTCCCAAAGGACACGCCTGTTTATGATGGAGTGGGCAAGATGTGGGACATCTCCTCTGCATTGCCGGAGGCCTCGGCTAACTATGGCTATAGGTTCGTCCTCACCTCCACCGAAGACGTCAAGGCACGCCAAGCCAGGGAAGCCACAGACGTGAAGAATGAGATCTCCAATCTGGAGAAAAAGCTTCACTATCTGGAGATGACCTACAAGAACTCTCAACAGCACATGGAACAGCTATTCAAGCGTGGGGGTTGAAGCCTCGAGTCCTCTCCACTGGCATCGCACCTGGAAGATCTTGTGAAGTCCTCCCAGTCATCCTTTGACCAGCGGCACTTCACCTTTTCCGTCAAGACCGTGGCCTTCATACCACTGACTGCCATTGCATCCTTGAGACGTCGGCTTTCCTCTAAGCCTTCGTTCACCAACGGACCACACGTTTCTGATGGTATGAGAGAAAGATCGTAAGCCAACCAATGGCAGGAACTCCAAATTCCGCCCAATGCATGTGTATCAAACCCGAGACTAGGATTGTCTTATACGTTGGGTTATCGGGCACTGAAGGCAGCGGAGTACACACCGAATCCGGCAACTCTTTTATACTAGCTATAGCAAATCAACACATTTCCCAGTTTAAAGAGAATTCTAGGTATCATACGCTAAGCTTAACTACATTGATCTTTCGCGTAGTTTCCTACATTATGTATTATTTTGACAACAGTATTATATTGAATCTATCTTCATAATACGTAGACTATTACATTAAGATTAATACTTCCTCGATCCCAGCGATAGAAGTAGCTATATTATGCCTAATTGTCAAGCCACTAAACCGGATCTGGGCGTCCCAGCACGAAACAACACCCGCATTAGGTTGTGGGTGATGTAAGGTAGCATGCTTACAACAAAACGCTAGAGCCGCTCTACCGCCCGCCCGTTTCTGGTTGAGTATTCCACTTGCTTTCGAATTTCAGAAAGGGCATTGACTTGGCAAGCATTCACACGGCTTGCAGAACTGAGTCTTCCACGATGGCGAGTGTTCGACGAATCAGCTGGCTGCTCGCGCTTGCCGCCATACCAGCAGCCAGAGCATCTTGGGATGAGCCATTCTACGGCTCCTACCAGCCTTTTGCACCTGGCTACACGTATGGTAAGGTCTCTGGAAGCAGAAATTCTGCTGTCAGATCACTTTGTTGACCCGTTCTCAGGCGCATACCCTCAAGATTACGGCGTGTCGGGTCCGCCATTGGAGCCGGTGCATGAGTCTCAGAAAGCTCCCACGGGCCTTGCTGTTGACCTCAAACACAACCTCTATCTCACGTCCGCGCCGCCTCAACGACATCGGTCGAAATGGTAGCTAATCTGATGCAGATATCCCAGGAACTCCGGCCTGACGCCGAACAATGTTGTCATCTGCAACAGCTTCAGTGAAGAGAAGCCTTGGCCTAATGCCCAGATCCAGAACTGTACCGCGGGCCAGGATCCGTCGACGTGCTTTGTCAATGTGCAGAATGTCGTTCTGGATTCCCTCGGGCAGCTGTGGATAGTCGACAGCGGCATTCCCGCGGGTGCAGCGTCGGGGAGCAATGCGGTGTACGGCGGCTCCAAGATCATGGCGTTCAACCAGACGGGCGAGCTCCTGCGAACCTACGTGATTCCACGAGAACTCCTCTCCTACCAACAGAACGCCAACGATGTGCGAATCAACAATACTCTCGGTACCAAAGGGCATGTATTGCATAAGAACTTTGTCTTCGAACAACCGAGCCTGCTAACGTTTTTTGCTTACAGATACGCTTTCATCACCGATGAGAGCACCAACTCAAGTGTACTGTCCATCAACCTCGACGATGGCAGCGTCCTACGTCGTCTGTTCAACACATCCGTAGTCCGAGCCGATGAAGGCTACGTCGGTTCCTACGACGGCCATCTAGTGTACTGCTGGAACGGTAGGTCCGTCACTCCGCTTCCACCACCACCACCAACTAACAATCTGCAGGCACCATGAAAGGCTATTGCACCACCGGCGCAGACGGCATAGCCCTCGCAAGCGGAAACATCTACTGGGGGGTCCTCGCCTCACGACGCTTCTACTTCGTTTCCCAAGAGACCTTTGTCAATCCTTCCCTCACCGACCAACAAGTCCTAGCCGCCGTCCAGTTCCCCGGCCAATGTGCCTCCGAGCAAGCAGGTCTCACGGCAGACGATCGCGGGCGTGTGTATATTTCCGCGTCTGAGCAGAACGCCATTTACTACGTGGACACGCAGCAGTCGGAAGTCAACGAGACTGTCAATGGCACTCCGCCTGGCGGCTCGGGCCCAGTGGCGACGGAGAACTATGTTGTCCAAACTCTGGTGAGAAATGCTATGATTCAGCATGCGGATTCGCTTGCGATTCTGGATGGATGGCTTTATTTCACGACGAATCAACTTGAGCTCAGTCCTGGAAGGACTTATAACAATACGGATCTGAGGAAGGGCCCATTCAGAAGCTACCGTGTTTGGATCGGAAGAGGGCCGGCCGCGTAAGAAGATCAAGCTGTGGATAAGTAATTTGGTGCCATTGCTCACAGCACGAGATCCTCGCAACGTATTGTCTTCGTTTGAGTCTTTCTCCCGTGTCTTTGCAATTGCACTACTTCTCCAAGGCCTGTGTCAGTGGATTGTATACCATCAAGCCACTACACCATCTCTGAACGCCTCGCTAATTTGATTTGAGCATTTCCACATCTGCCGTATGCTTTCATCGAACTCATCAAACCCTCCCTGCTCTGCCGGCTTGGATGATCTCCCCTGTGTGAGGATCATCGGCTCTCAAGACAGGCCACCCGAGACCGTCAGCTTTGGCCAGCGTGAGCTCAAGCTTGGTTCCCATGATCTTGAACTTGCTCTCTGCAGGTTTGATGGGACCGTACAACTCCATCGCCGTCTGATATCGCTTCCTGTCGCTCGTGTGTAGATCCAAGTTCACGCTCTTGCCGTCGTCGGAGAACTCCACTTTTGATTGTTCTTTCTCAATCTTCTTCAGGTACAGCGACGCAATGACACTCGTAGCGGTCTGGTAGAAGTCGTTTCGCACCTCCATGAGCTGCTCTATGGCATCGGCATCCTTCTTTTTGCCGACGAAAAGATGTCTGGTCGTTGTCCTGCAGCCCGGAATTTTCATGAAGTCGTCGAACTCCAGCACCCTCCTCTTACAGCAGGTCCATCCCTTACTGCCCTCGTGGAACAGCGCCTGTCCAGGGTGGTGCACGCATTGCTCCTCGTCTCTGTTCTGTCCAGATTTATACGTTGCCCCACAGCTCTTTCGCTTACAGCTCGCTCCGTCTGGCACTGGTAATTCGGGATCATCTTCCTCTTCCTCCGGGGGAGCTGGGCTTGGCGACGGCCGTGGAGACGATGCAGCAATCGGTGCTCTGGCAACCGGTGGTGGTAATGTGTCCTTCTTCTCTTGCTGTGCTTGGATCCTGGCCTCTACCTCCTCCTCAGTGAATCCCGGCTTTGGTTCCTCAGCCGGCGTATCATCGACCGTACTGTGCTTTCCGGTGGTGCATGGTGGTATGCTCATAAATTCATCGAAGGTGAGGACCCGGGGCTTGCAGCATTTCCAGCCTGGGTCCGGTCAGTACAACTCGCTATACAATCCGCATGACTACAAGAGGGAGGCAGACCCACCTTTCTGGCCTTCGTGGAAGACGGGTAGGCTATAGCAACACTTCAGTCAGTACAATCGAGCGCCGAAGTTCATCAAGGTGGGACCAAACGAACCCTGGATGGTAGACGCATGCTTCGTCTGGATCGTCGAACACCTTCCCGCAGCCTTTGTGCACACATTTCTGCGCCATCTTGTGGATCCGTACAAGTAATGCTTCTGTCGCTCGATATTAAGAAGGTGAAGTTTGGGGAAAGACTGAAGACAGCATAGAAATCGTCTAGAAGATCGCAGAAACTCATCCCAACCGGAGCTTTCCCACTTACCTCATGCGTGGCGGTGCGATGCGTAGTGTGGCTGGTGTCACTTCCTCTCTCTTTTCCTCCCCACCTGCACACCACTTCTTTCCATTTTGGGGATTTACATTATGCAGCCTACATCTCGTCTGCTACAGCATGCCCTCCGTCTTACGCTATTTACTCATGACCATTGCTCTCTGTGCGTCAGCGTCAAAGATGTGATGTCGAGAGTATGGGATAGGAGACACTTCGAATACGGCGAAGTCGATATCCTGGCCCCTGAAAACAAAGGCTGGAAGCACCTCTACGAGTTTGACATTCCCGTAGTATGCAGATCTTTCGTCTGTAACGCCGGGCCTGTCCCAGAGCTGATGGTGATAGGTTCATATCGACCGAACGGCTGCCTTGGCTACGAGAGACGGCCAAACCACCGCGGCGGCACGAAAGCTCAAACATCGATTTACCGAAGCTGAGCTTGAGCGAGCCATGGATGAGGTCGAGGATTCATGAAATTCCCAAATTGCCTCTGAAATTAATAACGCCGCTTGATGCCGAATAAGCCGGCGCTTTCCAAGCCTCAGTCCAACTATTGCCAGGCGGAATGAGAGAGAGAGAGGACCTTGATCTAGGGTATGGCTCTCATCATGATAGTTATGACCGTTGCTAATTCATATCATATGTGTAGATGAAGTCTATGCTTCGATCAGGGCAGTTCAATCTTTGAAAATTGTTCGCAAAGGATCGAAGTCTGGCCCTACGCCAAATTCGCGAGCCCAAGTCTCCCTTGTTGGAAGCATTTTCGGGAGCACGCCAATGACCTGAGCTTCCCATCCTTTGCTGCCATGGCCGCTCGTCCTTCAAGCTCGGCCCGTGGTCGAGGCTATTGGCATGACAGACCCGTCAGAGACTGAGTGTACTGCAGGCTTGGTCGTACGAGCGGTAGTACTGCACAGCAGATGGAACAATGCGCAGATCCAGTATGTAACGCTGGGTGGTAGCTCTCACTGCAGAACAATGCAAAGCCTCCGTCGTGCTCTCAAAGATGTTCGTACACCCCGAGCAGTGTGGATGTTCATGCCTGAGGCGTAAAGATTGGTCGGTGAAAGGTTTTGCCGAAATCGGACACATTCCCGCATCTTGCAGGTTCCTTCGCCATGGGGAACCCGCACCTGCTTCCTTCCTTGCCCTTCATCAAACTCCACGAAATGGTATCCGGTCTCGAGCCGTTGGCCACGACGGCTCTGATCTTCGGAGGGTGTTGTACCAATGTCTTTGCGCTTGAGAACATTGTCAAGTATGCACCCCCTCTGCACTGACTGAAACATTGCAAGCGCTAATGCTGTGCTGCAGGCTCGAGGCGAGCAGTGGTATGTTCTGATCGATGCCGGACGCAAAGGCCGCATCCCTAATCGTCATGGCCTGCAGGTCTCATCATCACCTTCTTTCAATTCGTGTTGACGACTGGCTTCGCGTACTTCACGCAATTTGAGCCCGGCTCGCCACTCGCGGTCAAGAAATCCAAAGTGCCGTTTCCAAGATGGGCCTTCATCGCGTTCATGTTCTTCAGCATCAACATGTTGAACAATTGGGCCTTTGCATACGACATTAGTGTGCCCGTGCACATCATTCTTCGCAGCTTTGGCAGCGTCACAACCATGATCGCTGGCGTTCTCCGTGGTAAACGTTACAGCGTGTTGCAAGTCTTCAGCGTTGTGCTCCTCACTGTGGGCGTGCTCGTCAGTGCGTGGGCCGATTCAGAGAGTAAAGTGAGTCCTTTGGAAACCCTCAAAGCGCCACATCCTATACTGATTTCTCTTGCAGGGCAAATCGATGTCTGTCGAGACCGGTGGGTCCACGTCGGAATTCACGAAAGGCCTTGCGATACTGCTCGTCGCTCAGTTCATGGGTGCGTATCAAGGAGCATACACAGAGGACACGTACGCCATGTACAAAGCGAGTTGGACGGAGAATCTGTTCTATTCGCATCTCTTCAGCCTGCCGCTCTTTCTGCCTCTGTCTGCAGTGCTGCAGGATCAATACAGGAAGCTCGCAGCAACGCCATACGTCAACGTACGACAGTACCTCCTCGGCGCCCTGCCAGATGAGCGCACCGGCGCGGCAGCCACCGGCAAGGCACTTGAGTCACTCAGAGTGTATCCTGAAACAATGCCGAAAGGAATCTTGTTCCTGTTGACGAATGCGGTCACACAGCTCGCCTGCATATCTGGGGTCAATCTGTTATCTGCCAAGTCTTCAGCTGTTACAGTGACGATAGTGTTGAACGTCCGCAAGCTGGTGTCCTTCATGCTCAGCACCCTGATCTTTGGTCACCAGCTCAGCGGCAAAATGATTTTGGGCTCCGCGCTTGTGTTCGGTAGCGGCGCGCTGTACGGGTGGGAGACGAGTTGGAGGCTGCCAAGGGAAAGACAGGCAAGGGCGAAAGCCGAGGGATCATCATCAGCCTCGAAGGAGAAGTAAAGTTTGCATGGGCACCGCACACAGCGTGGCCTCAATAGCCATGTGGCGGTGATGATACTGCCATGCTTGTCAGACTACTAGATAGAACCATGGCTGTCCGCCCCGCCGCACTCGAAAACATGATGGCGAGCTCGCGGTTGCACCGTTTGACTGCTACAATGCAGCAGACCTTCCGCCGTATCGTGTCGCGCATCACTGTCGCGGCTGTCTGCATCGGAAATCGAGCCAGGCTTGGAGGTCGCGGAAGAACAATGGGTCGTCACGATACCGTGCCACCTGTATTCGGGACAGCAGCACGATTCAAGTGACATGTACAGCATGCGTCAGCCGACCGCGATGTCGGGACCACGGAAATGAAAGGCACGTGCTATGCAGGCAGGACCGTTGAACATCATCTGATGATATGATGTGATGAACGGCCAGCCTGTAGCTTGTCTGTGGTGCACAGTGTCGCCGCAGGGGGGGGGGGGGGGGGCCCTTCATCAATATGCCGTAGTCTGTTGACATTTAGGTAGCTTCTAGAATGCCCGGTAACCAGGGAGATGCAGCTAGGCGTCGTCTTGTACTCGCGTGTGGAACAGCGGCTCCGGTGCACAGAAGTTTTAGAAGATTCCCCTCCGTGGCCGCGGACGAACAGGGCAGGCAAGACAGGGTCGACGAGGGGGACAATTTGGCAGCAACATGGGGAAGGATAGTCGTGCTGAGCCGCAACCGAACGCTCGGAAGGGGTGGTGGCGCCACCTGCGGATCTCACATGCTAGCGGTGGCTGGATGGTGCAGCCGGGCGGCACGCCTTTCCGACGCAGAGGCAGGCAACGCATCTACAGTAGGCCCAGGACTGGACGCCCAATCTCAAATACGGTGCCACAATGCGGCAATCTGAAACTCACGCAGGCACGTGGAGCCGAGCAGGACAGCTCCGACTTCACCACTCGGTCGTGGTTGGTCGACGGGCTGCTGCTACCAATGGATCCGAGCCGGCGGTGCGTGTAGTCATGCCATTATTGTCGAGCACGCCGACTGCACGCGGGGCGCCGGCAAGAGGCAGCGGTGATTGAGGCAGTTGTCGCTGTCCGGACGGACCCGTCACAGTACGTACATGTACAGTAGTACATGTACGTATGTGCGTAGCCGGGCAGCGTCGGGCTCGTCCCCCGAATCCCTGTCGAGATGGATGCTTCGGTGCTTGTGTTGTGGGGGCACGCGTTGTCCCTTGAAATCTCGTGGCGGTCGATCAGTGCTTTGCGTAGCTCCGCCCGCGATCCGCCTCCCCCTAGGTACTGCTCCTCCTCCTCCTCCTCCTCCTCCTCCTCCACTCCACACGCCGCCGCCGCCGCCGCCGCAGTACCTACCTTAGTGTTGTATGTAGTCTGTTGTAAGCCTCCCTCGGTCTCTTCCTCGGACCCCGTGCGCACCTCCGTGTCCTCCGCACGTCTAGCCCTCGAGCGACAGCGATACCGTATCTACCTCACCATCCATCGACGCCGAGGGCACCTGCCATCGCCGGTGACCGTCACGTCACCTCATCAGCTCATCTCGCGGCCCGGCGCATCAGGCGAAGCTTGACCACGGCTTCACCTCTCACACTCACCACTGCAGTGTGCACTGGCCGCCTGACTGTCCCTCTGCTGGGGTGGGGTGGTAGCACAAATCGAGCGAGCGTACTGTACCTTGCGTCAAGTCACCAAGACAAAGAGCAGCACTGGCCCGGCGTAACGCGACGGGAGTCTCCTCCTGTAATCGCCGACGTGTGAAAAGCGACTCCCGGTATCCACACCCACCCTCCGCTGCTGCTGCTGCTGCTGCTGCTGCTGCTGAACCCTCCCGTCTGCATCTCCGGCCGTGCAGCGCGGTGCAGCTGGTCGCCGTCTTCCACACATTCTCTTGTCTCTCTCTCGCCTGTCACTCTCCACTCACCACTCGACTCCTCTGCTCCCTCCCGCAATCGCGATTGCCGCCCGTCTGCCATCGCGACACACGACACACCCCCTACCACCACCACCACCACCACCACCACCACCACCGCTTGCTGCTGCTGCTGCTGCCGCTGTTGCAGCACTTCCGCCAAGTCACGTCACCCGCTCACCACCCCCCCGCCCCCCCCGGCGCATTTCTTCGCCTGATCACTCGATTGCTGGGCGTTGGCTGGTTCCCCTCCCCAGCGTTCCGCTGACTGAACACACACGTGCTTGGGTCGGCGCGTGGCACTCCCGAAATACCTCCTGCCCGTCTGCTCTGGACCTCCGCCATCTGACCTCTGCTGTCTCTGCCACTCGACCTCGCGACACGACTGGTCCCGTCGCCGCCGCACTTGGGCCCCCTTCCCAGGTTTGCTCTGCCTCTGCTCTGCTCTGCTCCGCATTGCGACGTCGAATCGGTGCGCCGCCCTCTGCAGCCTCTTACGCTTTCAGACCACCCTGTGCGAGTGGACCCACGAGCCAGAGTCTCGCTGCAGCGCTGGGAACCTACTACACTACTGCCCTTTCGTGCTGCCTCTCTCCCTCCTCTGCGCCCTGCACTCCTAAACTACCATCGTCTCCGTCCTGAGCTGCGCTGCGCTGCACTGCATTGCATTGCGCATCGTACTGAACTGCTGAATTGATCTGTACCTGTACGTACTGACTCCCTTCCCGTCACCCACCGCTCGTCTCCTCTCCTCTCCTCTCCTCTCCTCTCGTCTCGTCTCGTCGCGTCTCTCCCTCGAGGCTTCGAGCTGTTGCCCAGCCCCGCACATCACCACGCCGTTTCTAAACCTAACGACAGATCCTCCCTCACCACCACCCATCGTCGCCTCCCATTGCACGCCATCCCATCGCAGGGCCGCCCGGATCTGCACTACCATCGCGCGACTCAGATCCTCCTCATCGACTGCCGACGCTGCTTCTGCAGACCTCAGCTCATCACATCGCATCGCATCGCATCGCATCGCATCGCATCCCATCTCGCCGTCGGTCAAGACACCGACACCATCCCGCCCTCGCGCTGAGCGTGCCTCTCCCTGCCGCCTCGTGAGAGCGCACAAGTCCCACCATGGCGTCGCCGATTTCTGCTGCTCAACACCACCAGGGCCAAGGCCTTCCCTCCATTAGCAGCCTCACCAATGGCTTGCCGCCATCCGCGCCCATCTCGCCTGATCAGCAATCAGCCACAGACTCTACGCGAGATTCGGGCACCTGGCCCCAACCGCACAGCAGCAAGCGTAAGTCGTCTCCACCCTCCGCCTTGCATTCCAATCCCTCCCGCAGATGTTGTTCAGACCCACTACGCGTCCTGGCCATCCATCGCTGTATCGCCCCGAAGATTCGCTCCAGGCGCACTTGACCCTGATGCTTCTGTATCCCACATCCATCTACACCGCACTTACGCCATCTTTCGTCCACGACATCCATACTGATGCGACGTCGAACAGACAACTCGGCCAACAACCAAGGGCTACAGGTACATACCTTGTTGAATCCCGATGACTCGCCAAATCGACACTCTGTCCCCAGCACGCCGCATTCTGCGCGGGCTCCGAATTCCGCGCAGTCTGCAGGCTCTGCTCTACCGTCCATCAATCAAGGCTTTCACGATGGCGGGAACCGGGATAGTTACAATCGCGATAGCCTAGGACGAGAACTGAGCCGCGACAGCTTCAACCGTGACAGCAGAGAGCTTGCCCCCCAACTCGACTCCCGACGCAGTAGCGTGGACAGCCGCATGCAGCAAGGCTTCAGCAACATGTACATCCACGGGCCGGCTTCCCCCTACGAGAGCGCCAACACTTCACAAGTCTCCCTGGCTGCTAGTCTTCGTCGACCAAATGGCCAGCCGATGTCACCGCTCAGTGGGCGCGCCAGTACTCGTGGTCCGGGTCACCCAGCCCCACGGATCGCGCCCCCGATTATGCCAGTTGGACGAGGTCCTGGTGTTCCAGATCCCACCGCCGCGAAACCCACGCAGGGTTTCGCTTGGGCCTTTCCAGACAGTACTGGGCCGATACCCGAGGAGAGACGCGGCTCTGATAGCGGCGAGTCGAGTTCTCACGGCATATCAAGACAGAACAGCTTCGCGGCGTCATCGGTACGGAGCAGCATCTTCTCCACAGACTCACAGTTACCGATGGGCCAGAGAAGATTCGATGAAAATGCCGATCCGAGCACCACTCACCATCACACCATGCAGCACCGAACGATACAAAACCTGCAAACGGAAAGTATGCCTACGCAGAGCGTTGGCAACTACAGTCGAACGCCGGAACTGCGAGTCAGTCACAAGCTCGCCGAGAGGAAACGACGCAGTGAAATGAAGGACTTGTTCGAGGAGCTCAACAAGGCGGTACCTGCAAACGGTGGAACGAAGGCGAGCAAGTGGGAGATCTTGACTAAAGGTTTGTTCGACTAGGCGCCGACGGGCGATACTGTTGGCTAACACAGGTACAGCGATTGACTATATAAGAAGCACCCAGCATAACGAGCGAAACCTTCACGCGGAAGTTCAGCGCCTGCAGAGGGATTCCGAATACCTGAGAGAGGCGCATAAGGAGAACGAGATGCTCAAGACGGAGGTCCAGGTAATGCACCAGCACTTGCGGCGTCTGGATCCGAACGCGCCTCACGTCTATGGCCACTTCACCTCACAGCTGAGCCAACAACAGTCGCAATCGCAGAGCAACGGAAATTCTGGAATTTCATTACCGCCACTGAATTCTCAGAACGGCGGACAGGCACCTCCTTTTGGCGGTGTAGCGCCAACTGCGGCCATGCAGGGCGTGGAATACGGCTACGGAAGATAATAGCTTCCCCAAAGTGCCAACACGCCAATATTCCAGGACTTTATACGCTTTACCGGATCATCACTGCCACGTCTCCAGCTGGTGGTATGTCGAAAGCGCTTAATGTACTGGCTTTTACCGCGGAATTGCTCTCAGCTAAATCACCGGACCGGCGTCTCTCGACTTAGCACTATACCATATGCGCGAATGCTTTTTGGGAAGCAGTGGCCCTGAGAAACCTTGGGCGTGGGCTGCAGGGAGTTGAAGTGGCTTTGTGTGAAGGTTGCTCGCGTTCCAGCGAGGTCGGCTTCCCTGAGAGAAGAGGGGGCAACAGTACAGCTCCCAGGGCGGCGCACTCCGGCGTTTTTCATCATGTAATGTGCATTAGTTCGCGGTAAGAGGTGGTGGGCGGTCATAACTGTATCTTAGCAGTTTCCCAGGGTGGAATGGCCTTCAATCTGGCCTGCCAACGATTTTATCAAGATTTGGACGTGCAAACGGGCATGTACAGAGAGGTTTCGAGGTGAACTGAGGGTCCAAGAAAGGGATGATGGGAGTAGTAGTTCCAGCTTCATTGTTAGACAAGCTACCTTGCTTTATATATATCTTCTTCAGACAGACATGTCTTAGACAAGTTTTTTGGACGATTGTTTTGAAACATTTTGAATTCTCTCGTTTCGTTGAGTGCCTGTCCATGGTTGTTTCGCGATTCTCCCTGGAATCTGCCATGCAGCTCGTCAGGGCATCCTGAGTTGATGTGACGTTACGAGCCCGAGGCACCAGAATTCCAGCCCCATGCTGCTACTTCGACGGCGACCAGCGCACTCACTTCGAATGCCTTGATTTCTATTCCAGATATCACCTGAGGACCCTAGGGGCATGTCGACGCAAAAGTACGAAGCCGTTGTTGACGATGATGATGACCAGCAGCGGCGGTTCTCCGTCTCGGAGGAGGAGGACGACGATGATGAAGCAGCCTCGACGCGCCGCACGAGGACTTCAGAAGACCTGAGAAGGCACGATGATGAGACTATTGGTGCTGAAGAGGAGGCGGAAAGGTTATTGGCTGGGGAAGAGAAGGGCGAGGGCGCTGGGGGTTTTCGAGGCCGGCGGGAGCGAGATACAAGACCACCGCGCTCATGGCGGAAAGAGAGATGGAGAGATGACGGCGATGGAGGCAGAGGAGGTGGAGGAGGAGGAGGAGAAAGGGGGGAACTGATGTACAAGGTCGAAGAAGGGAGTAGATCTGGCCGGTCCAGCGTCGAGAGTAGTCCCAACTCGAGCGAGGTGGACATGGGCAGAGTGCAGGCCAAAAGGCAGAAGAGGAAAGCTTCCATCTTCTGTGGGAGACTTGCGGCGATACACGTCGTGATCATTGTGGCCTTTCTGGCGCTGCTGTTTGGCGCATACAGCGCCTCGCGCTCTCTGAAGCCAGCAACGGCCGCCAAATCTGCGATTTCGCCGCAGGTACTCTCCAATGGAACGCACAGATTTGCGCCTACTACGATTCTGATCTCTCTGGATGGGTTCCGGGCGGATTTCCTTCATCGGGGATTGACGCCTACGCTGTCCTCCTTTGTCAAGCAGGGTGTATCACCTAGGTACATGCTGCCGTCGTTTCCCTCTTTAACCTTCCCTAATCACTTCACGCTCGTCACGGGCTTGCATCCACAGGATCACGGTGTCGTGGCAAACACCTTCTGGGATCCCACCATGCAGAAGGAATTCGACCGGAGTATGGATCCTGCCTTCTGGAGCGCCGAGCCATTATGGGAGACGGCAGAACTGCAAGGTATCCGAACAGCCATTCATATGTGGCCCGGGAGCGAGGCGCATATTGGAACGAAAGAACCGGCTTATGTCGACAAATTCAACATGGACGAGCCGCTTGATCGCAAAGTCGATCGCATCCTCGGCTGGCTGGATCTGCCAGGACCGAACGAGACAGATGCTTCAACGGAATCGCCGCGACCGCAATTGATAGCGGCATATGTTCCCAATGTTGATACAGACGGACATGCCTTCGGTCCGAATTCGACTTACATTCGATCGACTATCTCAGAAGCCGATGGGATGCTCGGGTCGCTCTTCAGGGGCCTCGAGGACCGGAATCTGACGAATGTGGTGAATGTGGTGGTTGTGTCTGATCACGGCATGGCTACTACGTCGAATGACCGCTTGATTCAATATGAGGACTTGATCGATACTAGTCTCATTGAACATATCGATGGCTGGCCACTATATGGCTTGCGGCCGGTCGATCAGGTTGAGAAGCAGTTGCAGAACATCTACCAGCAACTACTCAAGAAGGCCGAACTGCCCCAGCATTCGGGAAAGTTTGACGTATATCTCCGAGACCAGAACATGCCGGAGCGATATCACTTCAGCCACAGTGATCGCATTGCACCGTTGTGGATTGTCCCGAAAGCCGGCTGGGCGATTGTCGCCAAGGAAGAGTTCGACATTGCAGCGGCTACAGCTCGAGGTGATATCTACAGCCCTCGAGGACTCCATGGCTACGATCACGAACATCCCCTCATGCGGGCCATCTTCGTCGCCAGAGGTCCTGCCTTCCCCCACCCTCCGGGTAGCATCGTTGAGCCTTTCCAGAACACGGAAGTCTACAACATCGTCTGCGACTCACTGGGACTTGATCCGAAGCCAAACAACGGCACTATTCGGCTGCCGTTCAACACCAGTGCTCTGCACGACCCCGACGCTGAAGTCGAAATTCCTGACGACCCGCCTCCCATTGATACTTCAGTGCCGGTCATTGGGCCGGGATCGGATAGCTCCAAACAGCTTCCTGAAGGATCGCAGATTCTCCCGCCCAGTCTACCTGGTGTCGAGAAGCTCCCACCAGCTCCTGAACAGCCCGAAACACCTGCATCGCCTGAGACAGAGCCTGAGAAGCCAGCCGCCGGGGAGGACGACGTGCCGGACCAGAAACAGAACAGTTCGATGAAATCCTGGGCGGAATGGATCAATGCCAAGCTCCAGAATGTCAAAGTCTGGGCGACTGGGCTCTTTGGCGGGAGCAAGGATGATACTACTCCGTCAGCGGAAGGCACAGGACGTGGAGACGATTCGTGAGGAGCTTTGGCTTGGATGCATTACTTCATTACTTGCTTGCCGTGAGATACCCTGTTTTTTTTAAAGCCTACAGCTTATAGATCTTTAACTCCGTCCGTCAGTGCAGGCAGCTCACCCTTTACCCTTTCCCGGCCTTCACATGTTGGTGGTTCGGCTTAACTTCGGCTAATAATAGTAATGTCGCCGCGGTGCACCTTCCGTCTCGATTGGCCGTCAATACGACTGGCGCTATGTCTGGATGCCGTTATTGTTGGCGAATTCGTGGACTCCTTGGGAACCTGCGACAATGCATCTTGATAATAGCATTTGAGGACAATATCGAGTGGAGAACTTCGACAATAGCTATTCGACCTATTGTGGCCTGACTCAATTGCCCATCAATACCATTAAAAAACTCCTGCGCGTACGGTCGTTATTGTTGTCGGAGCTGTGCGCTGGAACGCCATTCGCGACAATGCCTCTTCACAATAGGGAACAACAACTGGAGAATTCTCACAATACCTATTCAAACCTATTGTGAGCTCTGACTCGGCCGGTGCGGGTTCAGGAGTACATATATTTCTTGCCTTCTCAATCTCTTCTCTCTCTCTCTTACTTTCTTACTTTCTTTCTTCACGCTGTAGCCCTTCTTATTCCCTCTCTCTCTCACCCACCCACCCGCACAGAAGAGCATTTCGACTTTTTTCCGCCCCTTTTCTTCAACCGTACACACATTCTTCGACACCACTCACAAAGAAGACCAGCTCCACTTCCTGCTTTCTCTCCGCAACCACACACCCTTCGCCCGCACAAAGAAAGACCACCACATCCAACCCAAGAGCCAAGAACAAAAGAACAAAGACCACCATCCATCCAACCATTCCATCAATCGCTGGCGATCATGGAATGCGCACGGAAACCCTGCATGGTTCACAACGCCAACATGGTAAGTCTCACCTGCCCCAGCCCATTCATCCCCGCGCGCGCGCCATTGCGCCTTTCAGATATGGAAGCCATCTATCTGGAAGAGTACAAGCAGCGGATGCGAGAGAAACGCCTGCATTATTATGGGAACTCACATCCTGAACTCGATGATTGGCAGGCCGTTCTCGTGCGCTATAAAGGCCCCGCGTACCAAGTCAGCGACACGTACAACCGCATCACGGGCATCGACGAGATTCCCGTCCCCCCAGTGCCCTCCGACGTCGTCGTCGTCGATTTCTCCTGGCTCGACCGCCTCGCCTCCCTCGCCGCTACCCTCCGCATGCTCCTCACCTCCCTCTTCTGGCTCCTCCGCTACGCCCTGCACTACGGTTTCCGCTACGTCTTCCTCCCCGCGGCCGCCCTCCTGCTCCTCATGAACCTCTACTCCCTCCTCCGCCTGCACCGCGTCGCCCTCCGCCAGCACGCCACGACCCTCCTCGCCGCTCTCTTCTTCGCTTTCCCCGCCCGCTGCGCTGCTTTCTGCTCCCGCAACTACGCCTTCTACCGCTACACGGACCGCGAGATCCAAATCTGGGACGGCGCGCAGTCCCGCGCGTACGTCTTCAATCCGTGCGACGAGCTGCGCCTGCGCGTCCGCGAGGCGACTGCGAAGCTCTGGGAGCGCGTCGTGCGCTGGGTCGTGTATTTCGCCCTCGTCTGCGTCGTTTTCTGGCCGTTGTTGCTCCGCCTCCACGCGACTGCCTCCCCTCCTCCTTCACGGCCCCAGGTGCGCTTCGTGAGCTTGGCCGAGGCCGCCGGTATGGGCTGGGATGTGCCGCTGTGGGCGCAGATGGCGCAGCATAGGGCTTTCCAGGGGGAGAGGACGCACTTCCCCCGAGCTGTCGCGGCGTCCCAATGGGAGCGACCGACGACGGCGGAGGGGGAGGGTGCCTCGACGGTTGTGCCTATGGCCCCGTCTGTGGAGGGCAAGACGTTCTGTGCGCAGTGCCAGCAGGCACATTGCTGCGAAGTGCCTTCTTAGGCCATTGTATGTACATAGCGCGCGCGCGCGAGAGAGAGAGAGAGAGAGAGAGAGAGAGAGAGAGAGAGAGAGAGAGAGAGAGAGAGAGAGAGAGAGAGAATATCAAATCAAATCAAACATTCCAGTCATAAAAATCCAAAAAAAAAAGTCACTCCACTTCCCTCCTCACTACCATCCCATCCCATCCCATTCCGGCTGCCCTCGTAGGTAGGTAGCTAAGCGTCTAAGGAATGTGCTTGGTTACCAAACCCCCGGGAAGCCTGGGAAGAAAAAAGCTCTACTTTCTTTGTGCTGCGCGAAAAAGCTTGCCGGATGAACGTAGGACAAAGGGCACCTAAAGCAACCAAAGCAACACCGAAGCGAAGAGAAGAAGACATGGCGGGCCTTTTCTCTTTGCTGCTGCTGCTGCTGCTGCTGCTGCGCGCACAACGAAATCTACTCACCGCTCCCAGCGGGTTCTCCTTTCGCAGCACCCGCCGCCCGTTGCCGATGAGATGAGATGAGATGAGATGAGATGAGATGAGATGAGATGAAATGTTCGCCCCCCCTCCGCCGCCGCAGCTCACCGTAGCCGAAATCGAAACCCGCCTGGCCGCCGCGCAGAAAGAAGCGGCGGGGATATCTCCTGCTGCAGCGTCGTCGTCGTCGTCGTCGTCGTCCACAAAAACCAAAACCGAAACCGAAAGCGTCAAGTCCCGTCTCTCGCTTGCGAGGACCAGGTCGTTGAGATCTTCCTCTGCTTCTGCGGCTTCTGTCTCGTCCTCGTCCACTTCTACGTGGAGACGAGCAGGTCGCGTCAATGCGAAAGCGACGCAGAAGAACGCCACCAGAACTGCAGCAGAGGGAATCAATCATCATCCCTCACTGCCTCAGATCATCCCACAAACACCACAACCACCACCACAACAACCGCATGAAACCCCAGCAGAAAACTTCCAAGAATCATTAAATCTCCCCCCCTTCGAAGAACCCCGAAGAGCACCGCAGCCGCCCAAACGACCCCCACGGCCTCCCAGCGAGCAGCTCTTCCTGCCCTCCTCACCACCACCACCACCACCACCACCGGGGATTTTCCAATCCGGCAGCATCGTGAGCAGAAGGCCACAACGCACGGAGATCCTTCCGCCTCTGCCACCTCCCCTCCCTCCGCCTCCGATTCCACAGAAATCGCCCTTACGACGCGCGCCCGCGACCAAGAAGCAACCCGGGCCTCGGTCTCCCGCAACTCCCTCGACGGAGAACTCTCCACCACCGCATTCCGAAACGGCGCGAGATTCTTTCAACACAGCACTACGAGCGCACACGCAAGCGCAAGCGCAGGCGAGGAGGGAATCCGCCGAATCTTCCCTCTCCCTCTCCTCCGACACCTCGCAGTCGACGACGGCTTCTTCCGTGGGAGAGCGCGTGGGTCGGATGGCGAGATCGGCCACCGCGCCTGCGGGAACGCTCACTCGTGTCCCGAGAGATTCCCCGCTGGCAGCGGTTCGCACGAGTCTGCTGATGGGGAGTGGTGGTGGTGGTGGCTCCTCACGTAGTCTACCGACGAGATCGAAGCATGCTAGGAAGATTTCTATTGCTTCTTCTCGTTCGTTGGATGCTCATCTTGCCAGGGTAGCGGCCGAGGGAGAGAAGGAGGGAGGAGCGGCGTCGTCCAGCGGCGTCGCGGCTGCTTCGGATGGAGGCGCCGCGTCGCTTCAGCTGGTTGGCTCACGGAGGGAGGAGAAGCGCCCGAATGCCGTGCTGAAGCCTACCAGATCACCACAGCCCCTCGACGATCACACCCGTGGGAAGCGGAGGAAGAAAGGTGAAACCATGAGCATGCTGCTAGAAACCGGATTTTTCCCCATCGAGGAGATAACGTACGGAACGGAGAAGGAAGAGAGACGACCGACATCAAAGGACGGTCGCATCGACTTACCGCCGCGCCTCAGTTTCCTCAATGAAAGCTTACCCAGCACGCCAGGGAGCAATGCTCTGACGCCCACCGAGTTATGCCCCAACTCACCATCTCCTACCACTCCAATAACACCCAGATCAACAGGGTGGAAGCGAAAGTCCGGAGCGGCGAAGAGAAGCCTTCTATCCCAGATCCCAGAATATGACTGCAAGGCGAACGGTGGCGGGATCAAGGACGAATCCGAGTCTATATCTCCCAGTAGACTAGAAGCCATCCCCGAGGATAATGGGACAGGTGAGGATTCGCGTCCAGCGTCCATTATTGAAACGCCCGTGGCGACGCAGATACATCTACGAGGAGGATCCGTTGTGACGGTCACGCCTCCAGAGCTCACCGCGTGGCAAGCGACCGTCTACTTGCATGGCCCGATCAAGTTACCCAAGCCCGCCATCATGCCCCGGAAGAACTCTGTTGCCAGCCTGGAGGCGTTTCAGGAAGCAATCGACCGCTTGTATCAGCATGCGCTACAGATTCCGCGTCGACGGAGCGACGACGCCGTGGTGGACGACATCTGCGACTTCTTCGACGATTTCGGGTTCGAATGGGTCAGCTTCGAGGGAGACCGCTTGAGTGTGGATTACCTGGATGTGGATGAGGTCGAAGAGATGGCGGATGCTGAGGCGGAGCAGCCCGAGCGTTTCAGCACGCCGCCATCGGAAGCGCCGGCTGCCAGTCCGGTCGAGGTCACGATTGCCAAAGAAGTGCTCGACACGACGTCCAAGGTGCCGTTGATGACAGGATGGAAGGGCTCGGTGGGATCCATTCCTCAGGTCGTGGTGCCGCCGGTGGAAAATGAAGAGACGCTGCGGGCCAAGGGCATCGCGCGGCTGTCGCGAAGTTCGCGTGGGTCCGCGAGCTCCAACCCGCTCGATGCGATGGCAGAGCAGGGCAAGGATTCGCTCACGAGCAAGCACGGAGGAGCGGGTGGATTGCAGCTTCTTCCAGCACCGGAAGAGAGCATGCTGGATGCCGTGCTTCAGGCTGGTCGCCGCAGCAGCAGCTCCGGCCGCGGTAGAGGGAAAGGAGTGGATAGCGGGAGTGTTTCTGGCAGCGTTTCAGGAAGTCTCTCCAGCAGCAGTGTTGGCTGGATGGGAGGAAAGGGAGGTCGGGGTCGGGACAAGGCCAGCGTGCGCAGCAGCCAGCGCAGTGCGGGAGAGCAGGGCTTCGATTGGGATGACGAGGTGGAGGAGATGGATGCGGGTTCAACCTGGATGGCAGGCGTGGCAGCGCGCAAGAAACCGGTCCGGACGAAGAGGCGCAAGTCGGGGTCGAAGATGAGACGACTGGTCGCGACGGCGTCGACGATGCTGTAGCCTGTAGGGGATGGGCTTGTTCGCGGGGCAAGAATGATGAATGTTTCGGAAGGGTAGATGATGTGGTGGATGATTTGGTAGATGATGTGGTACATGATGAGGATGATGAGGATGATGATGATGATTGAGGACAGGCACGGGACAGCTTCGGGAATTTTTCATGTAACCAGCGTATTTCCTGCAAGAGCAACAGAAGTGACAGGAAGATGGTGGCAGCGTTTCACCCACCAATAATTGGCGGACGACTCCCGCCATTCCTCTGCGCTCGTATTCGGATGCCGGCCGTGCATTTGCCAGTTGGAGCGCGAGAGGCATGTCCTGCACAGTCCTGGTTCGCTGGTCGTGTAATGTGGGAAGTACTCTTCTCCGATTGAGATGCTCGAGGGATTGTCGAGGATTCTTGATGATTCTTGTTGATGATTTCTTGATGATGTCGTTTGCACGACGACATGTGTCCGTCCGAATGTGGCGCCGCAAAGGTGTCTTTACTCCCCGGTTCCCCGGCCGGGGTGAGCATGTGAGGATGGGATGCCTGAGGGGAGTGTGACAGCATGTGAGAGGTGAGGTGCGGCTGCTTTCATCACGGTACCGGTACCTTCCCGTACGAGGTGGATCGCTCCTCCCTCCAGTTGGATGTGATGGGAGCGAGTAGTACGTGAGTCGTCGGATTTAGCCAGCGTTAGGCAATGATGTCAGGCAGGCAAGCAGGAAGGAGCTGCCCATCACAAGAGCGCCACGGCATCGATGATGAGAGGTGCACAGGTGTTTCTGGTTAGCTGCGTCGGGGCGTGCTTGCCCTCGGAAACGTGGACCTCGCTCCTTCCTCTGACCGTGCTCCTCGACCCCACCCACCGGGGTGCGGCGCGACGTGTGACTGGCCGCCCGATCTTTCCAGGTTTCCCCCCATCCCCAAATCCCAAATGACCTTCCAGCTGCCACCGTGTCTGTGGTGTGGTGTGTGCTAACGTAACGACGACGAGCGACTCTCGCTCTGGCCTTATCGCTCTTGGCGGCACAGGCAAACGCCTGCAACCCGCTGCCATACAGTACGCATCCCCCAACACCCATGCCACCCACGCCCGTCATGTCCATCCCGTCGTATTATAAGAACATGCGCCCGCCCCGCCTCACCTTTTTCCACATGCCATGCCATCCGCCTGCCTATCCTCGAACATTGGATTCTCGCCCACTCTCGACGTGGCTCACACATAGACAGACCAGCTTAACATGTATCCGCAGAGTAACTCCAACGCCCCGACTGCTGTAGACGCTATAGACCTACTGCACTTCGACCACTCGCCGCTCTGGCACTCCACCGACACCTGGTCACCTGACCATCACCACCTCCACGCCCACGCAAACCTTTTCGCCGACTCGGGCGTACCGCGAACTCTCCCACACGACCCGGCTGGCACGCATCTGGCCCACGCCCACCCTCACCCTTCCCGCGCTGCCTACGCGCCCTCGCCCTCTGTAGGGAGTCTCTTTCTTTCTTGGCTGACCGGCCATTCACCGTGACTGATCATGACAGGACCCCTCGACAAATCCCGACTACTCCGGGATTTCCACCTTCGACCTCCACCACCAACACCACCACCACCACCACATCCACCCCGTCGCCATGTCTCGAAACACTTCGGTGCCTGCCTCTCACCGCGGCTATCGATCCGCGCCCTCTTCTGCACATCCCATCTACTCGAGCAGTAGCAACAACAATGGCAAACGCGACTTTCACCACGTCGACATGGACTACTCCAACAGCTGCACCTACGGCGCCATCCCCTGGTCTTCGACAAGCACGACCACCACCACAACGCCGCAACCGCAACCGCAACCTCAACATCATCTCGGCCACGTTCGGATCTACGATCCAGCCGAGTATTGTTCCAAACTCTCGAGTGACGTCGAGCCCGGCTCAGTGCAGTTTGCTGCGAAGAAGCAGAGAGTAGATGGGTATGACGAGAGTCTCCAGCCGTCCTCTCACCACGCTTACGCCCCAAATCTGTCTATGCCGTCGACCCACGACGTCTCGCCAAGTACGAGTATGTCGACGACCAACCTGTCGCCGTGCTCCCTCACCTCGGGTGAGGCCATGAGCCGACAGAGTAGTGTGACCTCTGCGTCCGTCATCGATGCTTTCGACATGATGCGTGTTGAGTCTTCCTTCTCCAGTACCTCTGATCTCTTTCGCGTTGATGATATTGATCGTTCTTTCGTATCATGTATCACTGAAAAGCCACAAAGTAGTCAGCCTACTGTCGCCTTTCAAGATGGTAGTACCTCGCAGCACTTGCTGAGCAACGTGGGCTATGGCTTAGGTTGTACGGACTTTTCTTTTGTTGTTGGTCAAGATTTTTGTGCTGCTGCTGCTGCTGCTGCTGCTGCTGCTACTACTACTGCTAGCGGTCAACAGGACGCTCATGAGACTACCCTGTCGCTCGCGCAAGCGCAAGACATGGTGCGCACGGCATCGGAAGAGAGCAACGCCAGCGATATCAGCAATCACTCGACGGACCAGAAGGCCTCGGATCGAAGACGCAAACACATTGAGAATGCTCGGCAATCCATCATGCCCAAGAGTATCCCGGACGGTCCGACCTCGAGCAACACGACAAGCCCTGCCGAGACCAAGGCACGACAGATCAAGCCGCAAGATTTGAGCGCTCAACGCAAGGAAGCCATCTCCAAGGCTCCGTACGTCCGGCCTCAGCACCCCAAACTCTACTGCAACATGTGCGACGAATTCCCCGGCGGTTTCCGCGGCGAACACGAACTTCGACGACACTGGGACCGCGCGCACGCCGAATGCCGCAAGGTCTGGATCTGTACGGAACCTACCACCCGCACAGAATGGTGGCCCGCCAAACCGCTCGGAATCTGCAAGCAATGCAAACAGCAGAAGCAGTACAACGTGTACTACAACGCTGCAGCGCACTTGAGGCGAGCCCATTTCTGCCCGCGAAAGCGTGGACGGAAGGCGAGAGGGGAGGAAAGGGAGTCTCGAGCTGGCAAGGCTGGAGGCGACTGGCCGCCGATTGAGTGGCTGAAGGCCAATGGCTGGTTGAAGGAGATTGAAGTCTCGTCGGACCAGGTCTTCGGAGACGCCATACAGCACGTTCCCGCGCTGCCGGCCGACGACGAGCCACACCACGACGAATCCCCTACTACCCCTGCTTTCGAGCAAGACTGCCCCGCGACTCGCTTCGACGATGCTCTCGCGGCCGATACTCTCGGTCTGCAGATGTACGCGCCCTCGACCACCGATTTCCATTCCGGCTACCCCACCCCCATCGACGCCACCACCACCACCCACAACATGCCATGGCCCGCTGCCCCCGATCTCTCCGCCCCACTCATGCAGACCACCGTCTCTGCGCCCTCGGCAATGCAACAACAGACCACGAGCAGCAGCAGCAGCATGTGCCTCTTTCCCGGCAGTGCGTTCGTTCCTGATGGCTGTGAAGGTTTCGTACTCTGATGATGATGAGAGTTGAGTAGAGAGTTGAGAGAGATTTTTTGTTGTGAGGGGGATGTCTTTGTGGGATGAAGAAAGCTGCAGGTGGAATCAATGCAGCCACTTTTGTTTGTTTTGTTGTTATCATCATCGTCAGCGGAGAGGAATTTTCCCCCCAACTGTATGTACATGGCGGCGGCGGCGGCGGCGGCGACGGCGCAGGGCCGTGTTTTTGGCTGGATTTGCTAGAGCGAGAGATACCCCAGATGTTGGATATACATATATGGATGGGAAGGTGGGGGACATGTGTGCAGGATGGATCATGGAGAGTTTTGGTAGATACATATATACCTGGATTCCATTTGTCGACATTTTTGTTCCATTGTCCATTGTTATGGTTATTACGGGCTATTTATGATCATTACATGAACGGCCGAGGAGAAGAGAGAGAGAGATATATATATATTTCGGCTAGATGTGGAATGGGGATGATGGAAATGATGGAATGATGAATTATCCCTCTTTTCTCGCTCAATCAATTCTCGAATTTCATGTTAGAATTTGATTGAGATTCTTTCTTTTGCTATACTACGCTATGGTGGGAGAGGGGGGGGGGTATCATATCTTACGCATTCATTGAAATTGTTGTTCCTCTCTCTCTCAGATCGATTCCAATCTCCTCTCTCCTCATTGTCTGTGTCTGGCCTACAACTTCACTTCTCTGCCATGTCCCGAAGAATTCCCGTCATCTCGAGTCGAGTCGAGTCGAGCATCTCATAAAAAGCCACAACTTCGGCTCCAAAAAAAAAGGGGAGAGTCAAGAGACCAGAACAACCCTCTTCCCTTCTTCTTCTTCTTCACAGCTGACTTTCCTCCTCCCAATCCCCATCCTCCTCCTGCATCGTCGTCCCCCCGGACTCCCGCTTCCACCTCAACCTCGCAATCACGCTCCGATCCACCTCCCGCGCGGCTTCCAGACTGGCAATCCGCGCTTCGAGCTCGGCGATCTTGGCCTCTTTGGCGCGCACGGCGAGGCGTGAGATCTCGCGACCTTTCGTCACGCCCTGGGTGCGGAGATCGTGTCGCGTGAGGATACCGCGGAGGTGGGAAAGTTTCTCGGGAGGCAGGGGGAGGGTGGTGAGGCAGGAGAGGACTTGGTGCGTCAGGGAGCTGGGGGCTTCGGCGGGGTGGGAGAGGGCGTCTTTGTAGCGGGCGGGTGGGGAGGGGGAGGAGGGGGCGGCGGGGGGTCTTGCTGAGGAGAGGGAGGGGGAGGGGATGTCTTGCACGATCGGCTTGGGGGTTGAGGGGGATGATGTTGACGTTGTGGGAGGAGGATCTTGAAATGTCACCGTCTTGGAGGGAGGTTTGGAGGGGGTGTCGAAGTAGTCCACAACCGTCTTCTTGGAAGTCCCGGGTGTCGCCGGTTCCGGTTGCTGCAGCCATGGGATCGTCCTCGGGCTCTTCCTCCCGGTCGTCGCAGGTGTAGCGTAGACACCCGTCTTAGGAGCCTTGGACCGCGGCGTCGTGGACTCCGAGCTGCTCGCTACCCGCAAGAGTTCTTCTTCCTCGTCTCCATTCAGGGACCATGGCTGGGAGGCGTCCTCGTCGTCCAGCTTCGCTTCGGCCGCATTGCGCTTCCGACTGCTGTTGGTAGGGGGCGTCGGAGAGGGCGTGGGCGTGGGAGAGTCCTCCCTAATAGCCGGTCCACCCCGTGCGGGCGTAGAGAAGAGTCCTCGACCCTCTGCCACTGCTGGCGTAGCCGTCCGCCCGGCGTTCCACCCTTCCTGTACATGCGATGCTCTTTGCGGCTCCGTCCGGCTGTTGCTCATGACCGCCGCCTCGGTGCGGAGTTTCGCATCTTCGTCCCAGAGGAAGAAATCACATCGTTTGCCCTCTCCCAATTGGCAGGTGTAGAACCATCTTCCCTGATTCTTGGACTCCTTCTTCACTTTGAAATGCTCCCTGGAACATTGGCTTGTCAGCCCATGTTTTTTTGTCCGAGAACTCGTCAGTGTTATCGGGGACTCACGCAGGTAGTCTCGGCGAGCAGTTGCAGTGCCAGATTCCATTCTCGAACTTCCCTTTCAGTGGTGTGATGGACCCTCCCGCTCGTGCTCCGCCTCGTCCGCCTCGGAATCCTCCTCTGCCGCGACCTCCCCGGTATCGTGCTGTAGACATGCAATATCGATGCAATATGAGGATGTTGTAGTAGGCTGTCTGTCGGAATGTGAGCTATCCCACTGATGATCTGGAGCTCCCACTTCGGGTGTTGCCATGGCCGGGTGGTGGCTGGATCGACCCGCGACGTCATCGCGCGCACGAATGCCGGCGCTAGTGTGCTAGCGTTCTCGAAACATCAAACTTCACCGCACATGTCTTCCGAAAGAGTTTCACAGAATATCCTCATCATGTATGCATACATCAATTCATACCAATTTTAAGTAGGCCCGTCGCCTTCGCCTCAGCAATATACTGGAAGCAATATGCACAAATAATTATCCTTCACAGTACACGAATGTTGTAATACGTGAACAGAAGAAGTCCAGCAAATAGCAAAGCTACACAGAGAGATAAAATGGCTCGTGCAAGGGAATTTCAGGCCGTAGTGTGGTAGCACACCGGCCGGGTAGATCCTCATTGGCAATTTCGTGAACCTGTCGTCTCAGAATGGGCCAATGCCTCGATGCCATCGCCCAGGTCGCAGAGGACTTGAACGGCAGCCTCTGAGATGATATTCCTCCTCTGCTGCGATCTCTGGAATAGCGGGCTTCATCAAAAGCGCCGCAAGCTCCATCGCTCCGCAGAGGAACTCGCTGTCGGGAGCAACATGAAAATCGAGGTGTGGGTAGAGATGCATTGACTTCCTCGTGAAGCATACTGCAAGAATTTCCAGCAAGGACTGTAGGAATCCATGGCCACGAATGAGCAGCATCAGGTTATAGAGTATTGATTGTCCGAGGCGGGAACTAATCGGCGGTCGAGACTACATGGCGTCCAGTGGGCATATAGAGAACATTCAGCACTTGCCTGCGTGAACAATGTAGATCGCTCTGGCGCAGCTTCTTGCCCCCCGGCGGAGGCCTAGATGGAGCCTGCAATGAAGTCGCTCATTCCCATCTGTCGGCCACGAATCTGCGAGACCTGACCTGCGTAGGCCAAAAGCAACCGGGTCCAACATTTTGCATCGCATCTACCCCTGCGACGGAGGTCTCATTTTCACGAACTCAGCTCGACCGGCATCTCCAGCGGACCCTTTCGCTGAAAAGCTCGCAATCTCCAAAAAGCGCATAGTCGATACCTCTGACCGCAACACCTACCAATCAGTCTTACAGCTCGTCGTCATCCCGGTCGTCTAAGTTGGCGTCGTCGTCGAAGACACAGCCACTTCAACAACGCACCCGAAACACTGGTGTACAGCTCCATTGCCGTAAGTGAGTGAGTGTGCCGACGTGAACAGACAGTAGTACTGCCTCGAGATGCCGACCGAGCATTGAGTCTCATCAATCATCAGAGACTTTTACGTCCAAATCTCACTGCCCCTCACTACCCATTCGTTTCACTTTTCACCGGCAGCATCCTGCCTCCCCAGCCGAAAAAAACCAATAGACCTTTCCTTTTCCGAAGGCGGGAAATTAAGCCGAATTCATTGTGTGAGAAAAGATTCGGGATCTCTGTTTCAAATCCCCTTACGTCGATGGAAAGCGCCGGAAGGATTGCTGAGGTCTTTTGCTCAGTTGACAGAGATTTTTCCCGAACCTGAGGAGGACTTTGAGCGGTTTGAGCGGGTTGAGGGAGAAGTGGAAGGGGTGATGAGCCGTTGAGATTTGAGGGGATGGTCATGGGAGAGGGGTGTGATGCGCAGGCGCCTGGGAGAGCTGAGATGACCTGCCACAGAGTCGATGGGCGTGGTTCCTGTTCTTGTTCCTCGGGTGGTGGTAGGAAAACATAATCGCCAAATAGCATGAAGACGTCATGAGATATAGTGGTAGAAGGAAAGATTCCGAGCTCAAAGGTTCAAAATGGTTCTTCTTGCGCCAATCGCTATGGGTATACCATCCTCTAAAGACAAGAAGGAGAGAGAAAAGAAAAAAGAGCAAAATCCCACTCAATCCTGAACACTTGCACTGGCTGCTTCAGGCTCCTTGGCACTCTGCTCCTGCGTCTTCTGATCTTCTCCAACTGTGAGATCCGCCACACCCCTGGACACGGCATCTTCGCCTTCTTCCTCTTTCAGAGAATTCGCGCTTTCGATCTCCTTGATCTCATCCTGGGGAGCATCAATCACGTGACTGCCGCGGTGCTTCTCCTTGGCTTCCCTACGTTCCTTTTCTTCCGTGTCTTCCCCTTCTCCCTCCTCTGCAGTCTTCGGCGAAGCAGTCTCAGATTGTATCCCCGAAGCCGGAGCAGAGAGGTGTTCCTCCGCAGGATGCTGCTGCTGCTGCTGCTGCTGCTCTGACGACGCAACCTCCTTCGCCTTCTCAATACTCTCCTTCTTATCCTCGGGCGAAGAAGTGAGAGTTTCCGGATTAATAGCTTCCAGAGTCGAAGGTGGAGGAGTCGCCGTCGTCGTCGTCGTCGTCGTAGCTTCCTTTGCCTTCGTATTCCTCGCAGCCATTTCTTCCGCACCAGGAAGCGGTATAGCTTTCGACCTATCAAACCCCGGCTGTGGAGCCTTATTGATAGGCGCCGCAGCAGCCTTCGCAGAATTCCCAGAAAGCGGCGGAGCGATATTCACACCCACCTGCCCTCCAGCAGGAATAGCATCCTTCCCACTCACCGACGGCACGGGTCCAATATTCTCTTTCAGCTCCCCGAATTCATTCCATTCTTCTACTTCGTTGAGATCCCCCAGCACGAATCCTTCCTTGACTAGTCCTGGCAGTTTCCTCTGTCCTGCTCTGCGCTGCCATAGTCGGCGGGCTTTCTCGTCTGTTGCCGTGTCGATTGCTTGGAAGGGGATTTTGTTGGCTTTGAGGATCGTTTCCATTCGTGAGGTCGCGGTGATGATGTGTGAGGATCCGGCCGTGAGGGAGGTGTAGAGGAAGAGGCGGGGGTCCTTTTCGAGGTCCGCGAGGCTCATTGCTGATGCGGCCATGTTTGGGAGGATCGGCAATGTGCTGCTCTGGTGGAGTGGAGGACGCAGAATGAGAGCGGTGAACGAGAAATTCCAAATTGAGATCTTTGATATTGGTATCGTGGTGAAGATCGCGGTAGTGATGTTTGGAAGTTGTTTCGAGTTTAATAAGCAGCTGTGACAAGCTCGTTGTGTGTATACTGACGTAGCTTCGAGCCAGGCATCAAGGCATCACCACATGCGAAACGAGGTCTTTATCTGGGATCCACCATCGACTCTTGCGATACAGGGGCTCGTAGTAGAAATCGGTGGCATGTTTATACAGCATGCGCGTACACACACACACTACGTTATATGTAGATGAACCGCGTTGCGATAATAGTACAGCGTCTTTCCACAGCGGAACGTTATTGTCGTCCCGAGACTCCTAGCAAAACCCAAGGCGACAGCAAGTTGCATAGCACTAAACCAGCGGTGGCTGCCGTCGAGATACCACTCCGACGTGCGCAGACGCTGTACAGTGAAGTTTTCGTTGGGCTGGCGATGTGCTCGGCCTCCTTCCCTTCATTTCGTGCACGCGAAGTGCTCCGGTACGCTGATACGCTCAATGCAAAGCAAAAACTCTATGAAATTACTGCATTTCTTCCCACCGGGACCACAGGCGGGAACTGAAGCAAGTCGAGTGAGTGATGCTATCGCCCACGAATGTTCTTCCACGCTTTTCTGAGGCCCCCTGAGCCGGGCTGAGTCTTGATCGCAAAAGCTCCGTGCGCACCCGTGTGGTCATCGCAGACTGAGAGAGTGGAGAGCGCGAGTGGATCAGAAGTCTCGACGTCGACTCCCGATACTTCCTTCCTCTGATGTGCGTACAGCTCCTGCTCAGGTGCTCGGAGGTCTGGTCTCGTGAGGGTCATGCGAAGTGTCATCTCTCGTCCATTGATATCCGGTGATAGGCTTCGAGTGTTTCTCTTGCCAATGTTGACAGGAATTGCTACGCCCGAATCGAGGGAAGAGTGGTAGGTCATGCCCTGGGCGAACGTTTCGTTGTTCGTGGATGGCGTCTTCGGTGACACCGCCGAGCCGTCCTCTTCGTCCGCTCTGCTGTCGCCGAGAGACACATTGTCCATATCCGCTGATGGAGGGTCTTCTGGATAGGGAGAATGAGACGCCGCCCGTTTCGCCGCGCCAGCTTCTGTCGGAAAGCCAAACTCGAGTGCCTCGTCGAATTTCTCAGGAGAAGCCAGATACTCGCGAAGCTTCTGTCTGGCTTGCGAATCCTTGTAGTATCTGGTGAAAGGTGCATTCTCTATCGGTGTCGTTCCTGCAGATGGTAGCGCCTGGGACAGGCTCTCAGGGGCGACGTTGGAGTGGGCATACGAGCCAGCTGGTCGAAGAGTCGGCGGTGGCAGTGGAATGGGAGCGAGCGAGAATGCTCGTCGTTTGGCGAATGATGGTTTCCGTCTGGTCCCAAGTGTCTCACTTCCACTTCGTGGCAATGCTTGTGGTGGTGCGCTAAAAGCCGAGCTAGCGGAGCTCTGGCGTCGCGGAGACGCTTGCACAAAAGCGGCATCATTTCCATGATGTTCAGCGCTATTGATGGAGCCCGTCTCCGACTCCGACCAGTCCTTTTCGATATCGTCACCGAGTTCGTCTGAGATGGAGGATCGATAGCGGGACGAGCACACACTGTCCATCCGGTCCACGATAGAAGTGCGTGGTGAGACATCCTCTGCCCGAGGGGAAGGCCAACGCAGTGCCCGCTCCGAGCTCTCGGTCAAGAGCATCAGTTCCTCAGGCGTGAAGTGCGAGCGTCTGACCTTGTCGGGTAGGGAAAGAAAGCGCAGGGCCTGCTGCTCGTCGACGTCGGCTTCCATGCGGCGAAGAGAAGCGGACTTGTTGGGCGGAGGGATGGCAGCGTACTTGGAGCTTGGAGCATTCCAGGATGGGATGGAGTCCATGGAGGGTCTGGGAGAGAGCCATGGGTCCTTTGGCTGAGGTTGCTGTTTCTTGCGCTTCTGGACTGCGGACTGCTGGGCGATACGCAAGCGCTCCACGGAGGAGAAATACTTCTTTCTGCGAGTTGCATCAGCACGGGATCACATGTGTCAGATGGGGCAAGACGGATTCCGCGGACACGTGGTGTGGACGGATGGCAGCAGCAGTGGCGGTTTCACGTTGAGTGCAGCTTGTCCGATGGTTGCTGAAGAGGAAGAAAGCATTGCAAGCACCTTTTGTCTTGGGCGGTGACAGTGCATGCGTTCGTGTGGGCCTGCTCACGTGCGTGTGGTGTATGTAGATGGCGGGAAAATCGAAATGGGAGCGGAGATGGAGGAGGCAACTCACTGAATGGAGGGCGGCAGCGACTCATACTCCTCGGGCGTGACCATGTTGGCGGAGCGCAGGGAGGCGGCGGCGCAGCTTGAGGGACGGCGGTGGGTGTTGGAGCGGCGAGTGGGTGTCGCTGCGAGAGGGAGGAAAGGGCGGTGATGTGAGGTATGTGGTGGGTGAGGTGGTGAGGGCGAAGAGTGAGTAGTAGTGCCGAGGTGCAGGTGCAGGTGCAGGTGCGGGTGGATAGGCGACGACGGCACAGCGCATGCTGGAAGTGAGATGGAGATGCAAGATTGTCCCGTCGCGCCTGCCTTGCGGACGGCGATAAGGTAAGGTAGGTGGCAGCGTGGGCTGTGCCTTCTCTCTCCCAATGCCGCGGTCAGGTCAACCAGGTCGGGCGTGCACTGTTGCAATGTTGCATCTCTTCATAGGTAATCAAACACTGCTCGCAGGGAGGACGGCAGCGGACGACAGCGGACGACAGCGAACAGCAGCGAACAACGGCGAGCAGCAGCGAACAGGCGCACGACAGGTACCACGGCCACGCTCCCCGTTGGTATAAATATAAATAGTCGCGATCCTGGAGGGGGTAAGGTCTCTCTCTTGGAGAGGGTGAGGTCGACGTAGCAGGCAGGATGAACCAACTCTGCTGCTCCATCCATCATCGATGCTCATCAGCTGTCAGACGCATCAGCAGCAGCGGCGGTGCCCTGTCCAATGCCAGGCAATAATAGTGAACGAACATCTGTCATCCATCCATCCAATTGCCTGGGCCGCAGGAGCTGTAGCTGTATCCTCCTAATGAGGAGCGTACCGGGGTTTCATCCCGCTGACGACTCGACCTCTTCTGCTCATCACCTCGCCTCGCCTCACCTCAGTCGACCTCACCTCGCCTCGCCTCGCCTCGCCTCGCCTCACGTAATCACTCAACTTCCCCTCCGTCCCTACCATCGCCACGGCTGCGTCGCCGAGCTCTACTGCGTCGTCGTGTCGTTGGAAGAGGGTGTGGTGTGCTGGTCGACGGTGAGCCTGACGCCACTTGGCCGCATGCCTGGTTGTCGAGGGCGCCGCGCTGCATGCAACAACTGTGAACTGGTCCACCATCACGAGACACGCCAACGCAGATCGCGAGGAACGAGCCTAGCGGCTTGGCGGCCACCCTCGCTCCCTGGTCCATCTCACAATCTCACTTTGCTGGCTCTAGCGCCCCGTTTCCACGCCTGCTAGCGCTGCATGGCACAACTTACAACCCCCCCCCCCACACCCCCCCCAAAGCCCACCTCACACCCAGCAACGCTCGACAAGTCTATCGACACGTCACCTTCCACCCCACCGCCAAACAACTGCAAATGCAAATGCAAATGCAAATGCAAATGCAAACACAATGCCCGCTGACTCGACGCACTGCCTGCTGTAGCTGGAATGCGAGACACTGATGCCGCTCCCATTCTGCAGCCCTCAAGACCCGGTATGCACAACATGGACATGGTAACCGGTACCAGGGAAACTCAATTCGCCATCCTTCTACTCTACAGTACCAGCAGCCCTCTCACGTTGGTCTTGATGATGGTACCTCGAGGGTAGCGTGCCCAATTTACATGTCATCCTCTTCCGCATTCGTCCAAGGTCGGTGCATTGTCCTATTGCTTCCTCCATCTCACACGAATGGAAACCCGCTTCGAAAGGACCCATTCGGAGACGCCGTCCTCCCTCGTGTCGTGCTCACGCGGAAACATCCTCGCTCATCCACAGCTGACGATACGGGCACGTACCCATGCGGCCGCCGCGTCTGCTATGCACCTTCGCGCCTGCCTCGAACGGAACCATTCCGATGTCCCCATCTCGCATCGAAACATTGCCCAAACATCGAGCAGATCGTGCGGTGCCGATTCGAGAATGCCACATATAGGAGTCGAATGAAAGAAGCTCGTGCATTCATACCAACAAACGGCTCCGTGCTGTTCAACTCCCGGCGCGTACATCCATGTTGAAGATCGACCTGAATGCTGAATTGGCAGCCGCTGCGGCCGTATCAACCCCTTGTCAGCGCACTCGTCAGTATGGCATCTATGCGCCTGGACCGTCCGGGAGACTGCCTCTTTCCTTGCGCACCCATGGACGGAGGTCACGGCCGTCATGACCCTCGACGTGTACATATATACCACCGACGACGACGACTTTCTCGGTTGCGAGGCCGAACGTTGATGATGACCATTATTCTAACAGGGTACACCGGACTACTCCGTGAAGCTGTCAGCAACAACATTCCAACAACTGTCAAGCGAACGCCCTGCAAGGATGAACCGCATCGGACGAACTTGGGTTCATTTCTTCGGTTTCATCTTCTACCAGCAACAGCCAGCGACCTTGACCATTCCCAATTGTATCCATCTAGCTGAAGTTCCCGTTCGTTTCCACGTATGGATGGTTGGTGCTCGAGACGGCGGTGAACTCGCGACAGACCTCTTGCATTCCCTCCTGCATCCTTGCTACATTGTTGCGATAATACAGATTGCTATTATGGCGGTGAAGGTGGGCTTTGAGACGACCTTCTATCTACGCCCATCATCACCGCCTCCGCGCTTGTCTACCGCTCTTTCCCTACGCGACGCTACGCAGCAGGTACTAGTCTCCTGCGGCTGATCCGATCATGCAGGGCAAGAATCATCGGCACAAGCCTTGCCTTCCACAAAAACATCATCCTCACCACCATGGGGGAATCTCCGGAACAACAACAACAACACGCCGCCAATATAAGAAGAAGAGAAGAAGAAAGCAAAAGGAGGAAGAACCAACAACATCCAATACTTCCGCGGAAAACAGGTGCTCCATTTCTCTCCCCTAATTTCCTTGGCACCGCGCGCCAGAAGAGTAAGGTACATGTAAGAATAGCTAACAAGGTAGATAGGTAGGGCCATGGACAAACAAAAAGGCAAAAGCCTTATCAGTTCCAATGTTAGTACTTATTCTTACTACGTTTTAATTCCTTATTTTCAACCTTTGCCGTTCACATAATGAAGAAGAAGATGATGATGATAATAATACATGCATATATGTACTCTCTCAAAAGAATAAATAAACAACCTCAAGAATCAACCTCATCCGGCAGCGCATACCAATACGCATCCTCCGTCCCCGCCCTACTCGGGACCGGACGGCGCGCCTCGTCGCCGCCGCCGCCATTGCCCTTGACGCTCATTTCCAGCGCCTCCCAGTCCACATCTTCCCACCGAAGGTTCAGCATCCGCAATCTCACGCCCCAGTCGACCAGCATTTCGATCAGCCGCGTCGTGCCCTTGGTGATGGGGTGCTGGTTGAGCAACATGAGGAGCCCGTCGAGCCATTCGGAGGCCAGGTGGGCGGTCGGCGGGAAGAGCTCCAGCAGGACGGTTTCGCCGCCCGGGGCGGCGCCGGCGCTGGGCGGCTTGGTGGTGCTGCGGGGCGAGGTTCCGAGGATGGCAATTTTGGTGGTGGTGGAGGAGCCTGGTTGTTGTTGTTGTGGTTGTCGAGCGATCGAGTCCCGCGTCGAGTCTTTGAGCGTTTCGGTGCTGGAGTTGGTGTTGTTGTTGTTGTTGTTCCATTGGAGCAAGGGGTGTTCGGCGGCGGACACGTTACTGTCCACGGACGTCACGGCATTGAGATCGATCTTCTCGGACAACTCCGTCAGTGGCGGCTCAGTATCACCTCTGGCCGAGTAGTTCTCATAGTGTAGCCATCTCCGATTATGGCTCAGCCTCACGTAGCGCCAAGCCGCGTTCGCTGCCGACGAGGCGGATGTAGGGAACCACGACCCTTGCAGCAAGCAGCGGATACGCTGCTCTTTCATGAACTGTAAGCTCTCGTGATGCAGCTGCTCCCGGACCTGCTCCAGATGAGGGCCCCAGGCATCCCGATATACCTCGTTCAGGTTCTCCATCTGCCATTTCCTCGCCGCATCCAGGCTGACCACTCGAAGTTCCTCCTCCACCTTGCTCACCTCCGTCTTCCGGCCAGCAGACCCGACGATGCGCTCGACGATGGTCCGGATCACCTCTTCGATCTTATAGAAGTCCTCGGACTCGGCGCTTGCGTCCTTCCAGAGTCGAATGAAAGCGTTCAGCGCAGCAGCGTGTACGCGACCCCATTGGAGTAGCAACGGCTTGTACAGCTTGTCGACGGTCTGATCTGCTCTTCCATAAACACTGTTGCGGTAGTCATTCACTCCCGCCATTGTCGTCTCGTCGATTTCGAAGTGCTCGTAGAGAATCAGAGTTGCGCTGAGACTTGCTCGCGCAAGAGGACACCGTTGTGCCTTCGGAAGCACCGACTGCTCGAGCAGCGTCTTGTGATATGTATCCTCATTCCGCCGGCAGTATTCGACCAGATCCATCATACCGAGGTATCCCGTCTCGTCGAAATCCCAAGCAGGCGACTCCGACTCAAAGCCCAGACGCCGCCATTTCTCCGGGTGATGTTTCCTCACTCTGGCTCCCTCGATAGCCGGAGGAGGGACATAGGACTCGGGCCGACTGAGCAGATGGATCGTCTTCAGGGCCCTCTTGTGTTCCGCAAGTTCCACGTTCACCATGACGTCCCTCCACTTGCTGAGCAGCACCTTGATCAGGCTTTGAAACTCCAAAATGGCAAACGCCAGAGGGCTATCCGCATCACTTGCTGCATCCCCCCGCATGAGCATGCCTACGCCTCCTATCACGCCCAGATCCTGTAGTCTCTTGATGAACTTTGGCCATTCGTGTTCTCCTCCATGTACGATTGCGTCCCTCATGAGGGCATTCACCAGCTGCAGTGCATTGGCGCATAGGGTGTGGTCGGACGCGTTTAATCGCTGGACGAGGGATTCGAGAAAGGTAGGATAGTTGTCCAGCACAGGCTTGATCGCGCGAAAACCGGTAGGCGTTTCGTAGTCGGCTTGCTCGGCGTCTATCGGTCTCGAAACGACGAGGACGAGGAGCGTGAGGGCATTGCGAACGATATTCACAAGCGGATGCGAGACGGCGAGGGAGAGTGCCTGCGATGTTCCAACCCGTCAATCAGAAAACCCACCTCTCTCTCTCTCTCTCTCTCTCTCTCTCTCTTCTCCCCCTTGGTGGGTGTACGTCTCACTCACCTTCTCCAACACCTCCTCATCACAACACTCCCACCCCATATCCAGCTCCAACAACGCATCCAAGCTCCCCAGCGCGTAGGCCTGCGTATTCCCACTCGTATCCAACACCGCCTGCCGCAGCGGCACCAACCCATCCGCCTGGATAAACGCATCCGCAAAACTCGGATCCCCCAGGAGACTCTTCAGTTTGAAGACGGCATACTTTCTCGCGCTCTCGCTCTCCGCCAGCAAGCCCGCGACCAGAGTTTCCACGTCCGGCGGTTCATCCATCCTCTTCTCCTCCTTCGCTGTCGCGGTCCGTCTAGACGGTAAACGTTCCCTTCTCGCTCAGCACCTGGGAGATCTTGCAAATGGCGATGAAGAGAATGATGGAGAGCAGGAATCGGAAATGTCGGAACATTACGAAAGGGGGAAGGGAAGGGAAGGGGAAGTCGACTGTAGGCCAGCCACTTTGGGAAGTATCAACGCGGAGGAGCAGATGTGGATGGATGGGCGCGTTTTCTCCAGATTGGGTTTAACCTAAGGCATAAATCGTGCGAACCGGCCCTCGGATTCCATGGAGCCAGCGAGCGTGGGAAAATAAGAGCAGATCCGAGTCGTTAATAGTGAGGAGGAAACAGGGAAACAAGTGAGAGTGATGAGCGATGTTGAAGCCGGATTGCGATGTCGTGTGGGACCCAACCCAACAACTCGTTACAACCTACACACACGCCCACGTGCATGCCGCTTGCGCGGGAAACTGCTCCACGAAGACCACTGCTAAAACGCAATGGCACTAGAGGAATCGTTGAATCGACCCGCATGCCTAGAGCCGCGCGGTGCTCAGAAACCAGGACAGCTGACACTCCAATCACCTGATCATCTCCAGGTGTGTCCAAAGGCCTGGTTCCGTCAGCTTACAACCGAAACCGATTGAGAGTTCTAGAGCCCAAGAGGGCGAAAAAAGAAGAACAAATCTGATCATAGCATTTCTGTGAACAGGTCTAGAATATACGAATTCTGTACAAACTGTACAAGGCATTCGTATGTACTTCGCAAACAAAATTACAGATCGGTCGCTTCTTCCATCCGACGCGCCGGTCGGTCATGGCAATGGCAATGGACAAAGCCGATCGTGGAGCCACTCATCTTCCAACGCCTCTGCTTTTCGCTGGCAAAATTCACATGAACCAAATTACACGTATCGTCGTGCGGCCGTGAGAATCATTTCGTGAGCTTTGCTCTTCATTCGTGGAACCGCCTTTTCCATTCGTGATGAGATCCTCTCCATGTTTGGCTTCGAGACCAGGTCGCTGGAGGTATACGTTGCAAGCGATTACTTGCACGTCTGTGTTTCCTGGTCGTCTCCGAGCCTTGTGTGTCCGGCAAAAGTTCCAAGTAGCTGTTGCGGAAGTTGCGGAACCTGTCGCAGTTGTGTCGGGCTTCATCCAGACCTCCACCCAACGTTCCTACTGTTGATTAGCACTATTCGATAGAACACATTCATATTGTTTCTTACCAGATGACGTGAGCGATATCGCGCGCAGTGTTGATGGTCTCGCTCACTCGGCCAAAAAGCCCGGCAGCAACCACATCGTCCTCATCCTCATCGAGAGGCATGAACATGCCGCTGGCGGTTTTTCGCATGCCCTCCATCTCGAACTCACTTGGCGCTGGCGTGCTACTCCTTCCCAGCGAAGACTTCGGGTTGCTAGCCCCAAAAGACCAGGAGGAATCTGAATCCACGTCGTCCTCATCATCGTCATGGGAAATCCGGAAATCGCTGGAATGATGCGAAGGCCTCAACGTCTCTTGAGATGGACTCGGGCTCAGCTTTCCGACATTCCATGAGCGACCAAATGTGTGGTGTTGTGCCTCCGCTGTGATGTCTGGACTGTCCGTCCTGTATTTCAATGTGGTCGCTGGCAGCGTCTCGATGATCTTTCTCCCGTTGGTTGAGCTACTGCGGCTGCCATGACACTTCGATTTCTTCGATCCAGGTCGTTTGTTGCGTTTCATCATCACAATTCCATCGTCACTACTGGAGTCAGAACCAACGCTGTTGATGGGGTCCTCTTCTTCCTCGCTCTCATCTTCCAACTCGAGAGCGGGGTCTTTGCAATCCACGGCGATACACTGCTCAACTCGTTCATCGAATCGAATGTGGCGTTTCTCGTGTGTCTCACAAGGCGTGCCGCCGGTGCTAGTGGTCTTGCTGGTGAAGTAGTCACCGTGATCCCTGCTTGGAGTTTCTGACTGCAGCTTTGAGTCGACCAGATCAACGCTGGTGCCGGACCTTCTCACATATCGACCCTGAGCTTGTACACGATCCGCAGCCTGCTTCACTAACGAGGAAGTAGAGAGCGATTTCTGAAGCATTACTTCAGACATGCTGCGCTTTTTCAAAATTGGCTTTTTGTTCAGGAACGAATTGCTCTTGGAAATCAGAGACTCCGGTCCCGAGAGTTCCTGGGTGATGGGATATGAAGTTGCTGTCTTCAGTGGGCCGTATAGCCAAGTCACGTCTGATTCCTTGAGCCTGTTCAAGCACATGTCAGCGGACTTGTGCAGTTGTCGGGTCACAGCTGTGGTGACACCTACCAATTGAGCCTCTCCGGGGAGACCGTTCGAAGGTCGAACTTGGTCTTCGCCCATGTTCGCCACGAGGCGTTCTCTAGTCGTGATTTTTCACCGTACACAGTCTTGCGTTGCGAGACAATGTGTCTCCAGGATGACCATATGTCCTCTTCTCGCCAGTCGTGACTAAGGAAGTCGACCTGCCTTGATGGTTCTTCCTTTACGGCGGTATCGTCGACGACAGTAGGCGTGGCTAGGGGAGAGTCCGAGCGTGTGGTAGCGGTAGATTCGGTACCAGCTTCTTCACCGAAGGCAGGAGAGCACGTAGGGACTCCCTTGGCCTCATCGTGGCAGGCGAAAGAGGCATCGTCGTAGTTGGGGAAGTCGATGTCCGTGTCGAGAGACAGATCGTCCGTCAATGACGAATTGTGGCTGTAATAATATGAATCTTGTGAAGATGCGGCATCTGATATGGTCGAGTATGAACTCGCGGTAGACGGCGGCAGAAGCGACGAAGCGGGCGTTGGAGTTCTCAAACGCTCTTGGTGTTCGGCCGGAGGGGTTTCAGTGACCTTGGGGCTCGGTGGGAGGGATGGAGCGGCATCGAGTAACAGTGATGAGGAAGAGGTGGGTGATGGTCGAAGGCCAGGGCTTTGGTAATACAGATGACCGTCTGGCTCCCTGGGGACTTGGAGAACTTCCGTCATGGCGCCAGTCGAGGCACTCGAAACATGTGCCGCGGGGTTGGTATGGCGGGATCAAGCGAGTGTGGTGGAAAACAGGTATCACGACCTGTTCTCGATCTTGCCCTCCTTCACAGCTGCCAAGGGGGCGCAGTTTTGTTCTCACAATGTCCTCCTCACTCTTCACGGCCAGGCGTGCTCACCACCATGCGTTGCACGTCCCCTATCGGCGGGCGAATGTTCTTGGCTGATAAGGCGGTCGATTGGCGTGTGACGGGGCAGGTGTATGTGCTGATGTCGGTGGAGACGGGGCGATGGATATGGAATGCTGACTTTGCAGGTATGGGTGGAAGCAGCGTCGAGTGTATGAGGAACAGAGTTCTGTGGCAGTGGTTCCTTGGTAGGAAGAGGGTCTTGGGTCAGGAAAGAGCGGTTGGCCCGTTGGCGGTGATGTTAGTGGGAAGGAAATGGGCTAGAGGCTAGAGGCAACTTTCGATCGGGAGCGCGGGAGGACTGGGTCGGACTGGCGAGTGGACGCGGAAGAACAAGGAACGCCCAAGCAGGCGGCGGCAAATGGGACAGGTCGCGAGGTGCGTGGATGCGTGCGGCAGAAGTCGTCAGTTCGGTAGCTGGAGATGAATAGCCGGCATGGTGGTTTGTGTGACTGTCGTATCGGTGATGATGGCAGCAGCAGCAGCAGCGGCGGCGGCGGCGGCGGCGGGGGCGGCGGCGGCAGGATGATCAGAGGCAGAGGAGAGAGGGGAGCATTGCATGGCATGGCATGGCACGACGGCGGCGGCGTGTAGGCGTGCGCATTGCAGAGGTGAGTGTATTATTGTAGTGTGTAGGTACATGCAGAGTGGAGACGGCGACAGACGCAGACGCAGACGCGGGATGGCAGCGATTCGATTTGCCAGGCCTGGACTCTTGGCTGCGGAGAGACCCCGACTCTTCCCTGCTCACGATGCACAGATGGTGCACGATGCTGGGGTCGGCGAGGCGGTCTGGTCTGTGCACGCCCCCGGCCCGGCAGCAGCATCATCATCGCCCCTTCCTTCTGTGTTCCATCGTGGCCTACTACTGTGCGACTGTCTGCGGTTATCGAGATCGCCTACTCTCATACTACTACTACTACTATTACTGCTACAACACTACTTGTCCATTGACCGCTTTCGTCCGTCCTACCCACTGCCACCTTACAACCAGTCTTCTGACGTCGCGTACACCGCCCGACACCACCGCTACCTCGTCGTCGTCGTTGTCGTCGTCCGCCTCCTCCTCCTCCCCCACCCCCACCCCCTCATGCTCATGCTCATCTCATATCCATTACCTCACATCGCCCGGTCGACCCTCCTGCTGTGGCGCCACACTGCGCGCTGTCTGTTGTCCGCAAAAGCCATGCCGCACCGCCTTGGCGAATTCGTTCCGGGACTTCGGATGTACACGACGACGTGGAAAGTACCTTAGCCCCGTACCTCGAGCCAGATGCTCCTCCCTCCCACCCTCCACACTGCTCCTCCAAGGCCAGCGCAGCACACAACAACAACCACTCGCACCCACTGCCTTGATAGGCCCACTCTCCTGTCGCTGTGGCCTGCACCGCCGACAGCATGGACCTGCTATCTCGCGGCGCATCGGCCTGCTAGAGCAGCCGTCCCGATGCGTGCCACAGCTGCCCTGCACGGTGCTGCAATTGCCCGGCAGGGCTCGAGCTACGTACCGGCTCTTTGGACTCTCAACGTTCCCACAGCGGCACAACGACTCTCCCAGATGCGTCACCTCGCATTCTCCCGCCCATCAATCGATTACTAAATGCCCTGCTGCTCTGGTCCTCGAGAAGCATGTCAAACAAAACTGGAGACCCTCCCCGCCAAAACCCCTGCATGTGTGCACTCTCCAGAACCGCAAACGCCTCCTCCATACTTTCTCCAACCGCAGATGGGATCCACATCACAACATTGCTGACTCTGGACGCGCAATTCCACCGTGAACCGCACATATGACCCTCCTCCACACAGTGAAACGGCTAACAAGACTTTCAATACGACCCTCTTACGTGAGCCTCCTCATCTCCTGCTGAACATGCATGCATGCACCTCCCCTCTCACTCCAATGGCTGCTGTCTCAACGAGCTCGCGCTGCCAACCGAAGACTTTGCAGTGCTCCTCGCCATCCCTGCTCGAGACGGCTTGCCAGCAGAGCCATATCCTAGGTGTGTGGTGGTCCGCCGCCCTTTATATCCACCGGCATATACCCTAGGCACCACCTCGCTACCGCCAATGATCCCTTCCCTTGCTTCGACTGCCCGCGGATGGCGCTACTAACTTCGCCGGCGACGATCGCTTATCCGGCTACCTGACGCTTATCAGAGATCTCGTGGCTTAGGTTGCTACTAGAATCCAGAGCTACCCGGTCGCTCTCTCCCCGGCCCCGTTATCAGCTCCAGGATTCGTATCAAGTACCATGGACAACATGCCCGCTCTTCTCCCCGTGTCCAATCCATACACCGCGTACACAGCGTATGCGTCGGTGCATGGCGTGATGGCGCCCGTCATTACTGCAGCTCCTGGCGGGACCGTTGTAGCTCTATCCACATGTGATAAGCAATCTATGCCAGAATGGAGCCGCACATGCTTCCACAAAGGACTGAAAGATTATGGAAAGGCTGCCAATCCAACTTGCTCCAACTTCCAGAAGTGGCACCCTCGGTGCGTTATAGTTCGGTTGTCGCGCTAGGCACCAAAGCTGGCGGCGGCCTAGCTGCTCTCACTTGTACTACTATCGGCATCTCCGCACACCCTCTGGTGGCAGACAGGTTACACCCGACGGTACCAAATGTGCAAAGATCGCGTGGCAACTAGCAGAGTGGAGGTGGGTTGAATCTCTGGGGGGCGTCGCCACCCGCAGCCGTCTGCGGCCGCTTTGTGCATCGCTTGCAAGACTTGCACCCCATCTGGGAAAGATGAACTTCATGAGAATCGAAGTCATTTTCTATCTTTAGCATGGACACATTGCCATTACCCCGCAAATGCCTTCCTCACGAGCGTCGTCCGTGGCATCCTAATGTGTCTGGCTGTTCCGCGGGGAACGACGGCGTACACATCTGGCGTTCCGTCGATGAGGGCTTTTATTTAATTCCCGGAAGCGACGCAGTAAACGATTTGTTCTATGCAATGCGGACCATCACTCGCCGCCACTCGACCAGCGCCGTCTGGAATACAACTTGTCGCCGCTCGAGCAGCCTCCGCATCTTTCCGAAGGCGGTTTCTCCCGACGAGCTCGGCTCTGAACACCACGGGCCTATTTCGCCGACAGTCCTGCCCCGACGTCGCGACGACACACATTGACGAAGCATTGCTTCTGCAAGCACGATAGAGGCGGATATGAGATAAGTAACGCTCGCGTCTCTTTTCTTGCTCTTTGAATTTCCCACTCCAGAATACCTTCTTTTTTCACTCTCCTGCTATCCACCTTGCCATGCACTCCTCTAGAAGATTCATGTCGCCTCGATGGGACCGAAGATGGCCGACCATTGCAAGCACAGGCCATGGACAAGCTCTACATACGATTTTACTGGTCTTTACCCCAGTCAACTGCAATAGTGGTTTAGTGGTAAAATTCGTGCTTGCCATCTTCCTTTAACACGGGATCTGCGTGCACGAGCCTCGGGTTCGATTCCCGACTGTTGCAATTCTTTTTTGTTTATTACTATGAAGTCCTGCTAACCTTATTACCTCTTTGGGGTTGTTTGTCAAAGCCCGAGGCCTTGGTGGGATGCCAAGGATGGGCGTAGCGGTGGTCCTTTTTGGAAGCCGAAGTATGAGATGGAGGACTGAGGGACTATTGCCAATGCCAATAGACCGTGACAATATTGAAGAGAAGAAGCATCAGTGGGCATAGTGACCATGTGAAGAGGTTGAACTGATCCTGGCTACTTTTCGATTTGGGGAGAGTAAAGTTCGTTTCCAAGGCACTTTTGTGACTCGGACAAGGCACCAATGAAGGCTATGAAATGTCCGATACGGCTTGCTCATGGGCGGGCAGAGGAAGTGCTGTTGTAACGAAACAGAACATCCTCCACTCATTACTACTTGCTAAACTTTCACATGCGTCGAAAACACGTGGGGAGCGCGTTCCCCGGATTTGGTTTAGCTCAATCTATGGCTCGAGCTCGCACTGACAACTTCGTAACAATTCCATCCAAAATCTTGACTAAAGAACAGCATACCGTGCATCCCAACCAGGCGTTCAAAATCCTCAGCCCCTTCGATCTGGCCATTTCATTCTTCGGCTGCGGGACGAGCACTTCAGCGTCAAGGACTTGTAAGACGAATTTGGAGACGCGCCTAGTCAATTACCAGACATGACGACACTCTCTGGCGTCCATCCACCACGCATGGCACTCTCACGTTGCGCAATCGCCATTGATGGCATCAACTACAAGCACGTCTGATCTAAAGCGGTATCTTTACTACAAGTAAAGTCCTGACATGACCCACCACAGTGACGTTTGAAGGAGTCATACATAATGTCTCGTTGTTTGAAGTTGTCACCTTTCTTCAGCTTCTCAGTCTCGAGATCAACCAATTCTTCTTTCCTTCAGAAGCATCGACTTTTCAGGATGAGTTCCACGATTCGGGCAGCGCAGACGACTCTCTCCGAGAACTTGGGAGGCATTGCCCAAAAGGCAGCTCCGGCGGGGACAGAGTTCTCCCTGGAGGATGTCCCTGATCAAACGGACAAAGTGGCCGTGATCACTGGAGGTAGCGAAGGTACAAGCGACCCTCATGCGTTTCAACGAGCCATAAGCTGAAGTCTACCTACAGGTATCGGATATGGTGTTTCCCACACCCTCCTCTCCAAGAACATCTCGAAACTCTTCATTCTCAGCGTCTCCAAGGAAGTCGTCGACAGTGCCAAAGATGCCGTCAAAGAAGAGCTGGGAGAAGACAAGGCCGCAAGGACGACATGGATCCAATGCGATCTGAGTGATTGGAAGAGGGTGGTACAAGTCGCCAAGGAAATCAGCGATTCGACAGATCGCCTGGACATCTTGATCAACAACGCCGCTCGAGGTATCATGTCTTTCCAGCTCACAGACTACGGAGTGGACAGACACATGGCCGTCAGTCACATGGGCCACGTTGTGCTCACCTCGCACCTCCTCCCTCTGCTGAAGCAAACCGCCCAAAGGGAGGAGTTTGTCCGCATTGTCAACATGGCCTCGAACGCCCACCAACAAGCACCAAAAGAGACCAAATTCCAAAGCCTCTCCGAAATAAATCAAGACCACGGTCCCACCGCCATCTACGGCAGGGCCAAACTCGCCGCAATCCTCTACAGCAAATACCTCTCCAGACACCTCCCCCCGAACATTCTCGCGAACGCTACCCACCCCGGCGTCGTCAACACCAAAATGTCCCTCGAAGACATCCACGAACCGTACCCGCTAGCTGGGTATTTGATGAGCACGGCTCTCCGGCCTTTCAAGAAGAGCCAATTCGAAGGAGCACTATCGACTCTGTACGCTTCGACTGTGACGACGAGCTCTGGAGAGTATATCTGCCCACCCGCAGCGCCGGAAGCAGGTAGTGAGGCTGCGAATAGTGACGAGCTAGGCGAGAATCTGATGAAGTTGACGCGAGAGGTCACCGTACAGAAGGGAGGCTTGGAGCCTTTCAAGGACTATTGAGGGCCTGACTGATATGATCGGGCCCATTCAAGCAAGGTCATGATATCAGCATACAAACATATAAGGCTTGCGCCGAGCCGTTCTACATCACCTCCATACTTCGTAGAATCTCCTTTGAACATCGAACGTGAAACTGTCGCGGTGAGTGCGAACCGGCCTAAATGGCATTTCTTTCATTGTGCAAACGTTCCGGTAGGCGAACAAGGCCAGATGATGGAACTGAAGTATGACAATGATCAGCGAGGGTTACGGGAACGACACGTTCGCCGTAAGCGCTGACGTCGTTAAAGTGAAGAGCACTTATCGCGTCTTTGGGGGGTATCTCGCTGTTGAGCAGGGGGGGGGGGGAAATCTTTTCCATCTTCACACCTCCCCTCTCGAATTCGTCTGTCTGCCAACCCACTTCTTGACGGCTTGCCATGCATCGCCCTTCGTGTCCCCGCCCCCTAGTTCGCTTCCCACTTCGAAGACAGTCGTCACGCCATCCAGACCACCGACCGCCACATGGCGACCTTGAGTCTTCTCCCAGGCCAATTTGTTCAAGCTCTTCAGCGCGTAGACGTCCTTTTCTTGGTTACTGGGCCGGGCGCCACCGACGGGGACTTCCGAGCTGGCGTTGATGTCGTAGATATCCAGGCGGCCGCCACCGTCGACGCAGCCAAAGATGCCCGGCTTGGTCGGCGACCACTTGACGTCGTAGACGCTGTCTTCGCGTTGGATCTCGAGAAGGGGCTTGATGACTTCCGTGTTCCCCGAAATGGTGCTGGATGTAGTTGATGGTGGTCTAGCGCGCCAGACTTTGACACTCCAATCGAGGCCGCAGCTGACAAAGAGATCTCCCAGGTCGATCTTGCCTCGCGCGGGATGGAAGTCGATGCCGGTGACGGGTGCTTCGTGGCCCCTGTAGCTCGTCCGGACATCGACACCAGACTTGGCACCGGCGCGTTCGTAGCGATGAACGGGGAAGATGGACCCTTGTTCGGTGCCGGATAGGAAGTACGTGGGATCCGAGGCAGGGAAGGTAATGCAAGTCGGCGCAACATCATCCGTCTTGTATGCTGACGGATTCGGTGCATGCAATTCCAGGTATTCTTGTGGCTGTGTCAGGATGTCGGTGCTCCAAGCGCACACGACCCCATCTGTGCTGACAGACACCACTGAGCTAGCATTTTGGGTGCCAACGACAGCGAGATTGTACACCGGATGTGCGTGTCCTGTGCGTCCTCCCGTCAGCGGCGTCTTCTGAACAGGCTCGCCTGTCCTCTGATTGCGAGCTCGTGTATCCCAGAGACAGAGTTGCCCACTGTACGTTCCTCCAAGAATTAGTGATGGATGGTAGGGATGGAACAAGCAGGACAAGAGATCCGACGTGGCGTGCAGGCTGTACTCAGGTCGTCCCTTTAAGTGCATGTTCCAGACGTTCAACAGACCAGGCGGAGTGTGGGGCGATTTCTGCGACTTGGTATAAGCCGTACAGAGCAGCTCCGGAAACTTGGGGCTAAAATCGATATCGCTGATCATGCGCTTGCTGCCCATGACATCGTTCAAATCAAATTGTGCCACCTCTTTCACCCTCCTTCCTCTTCTTCCGACGTATTCGTCATCGTCTTCGACTTCCCGTGAGTCCAAGGCGTAATCTGCCAGGACGTCATATTCCTCGTCCAGTGCACGCTCTATGACCTTGCTGCTCCTTTCCACGAAATCCAGGAAATCTTTGCTGCTTGTTACGGCATTCAACTCGTCCGGTGCAAGTGCACGAGCCGGAAATCTCTCCTTCTCGGGTTCCACCTTGTCTTCCAATTGCAGTGCTTTCAGCTCCTCTTCGATCTCCTGCCGCAGACGCTGGCGAATCTCTTCCTCCTCTAACTCCTTTTCGCGCTGACTTAGCTTTCTCCGTCTTCTTGAAGGACTACGCGATACACCATCTGCTCCACTTGATTCTCCGCTGTCGTCAAGCTGCTGCCATGGTTCCGAGGTCTGTACACCTTTGCTGTATGATATGACTTCGGGCTTTGATTCGACTGGTATTTCGTACACTGTCGTCAATCCGGTGAACGATAGGGTTTGGGTGTCCGTCCCTGTATCTCGGTACGTGGCTGGCGGCGACGATGCATCATCGGAGAACTGCTCGTGCGCGCTCGTCCCTTTCTTGCTGGTGGGCGTTCCAGGAGTCGCAGAAGCGGATGAGGGTCGATCGACTAAAGAGGATATGAGCGATTCGATGTCTTCTCGTCTGGCGCTGCTGCCACGGAGCGGAGATGGCGCAGCTAGCTATGCGTCAGTTAGCAGTCCGCAATACTTCGTTGGAGCGTCTCTCCAATATCCTACCTCTGAAACGTCGAGACTCTGGCGGTTGGTGGTGAACTCCTTCTGCCGAAGCTCTCGTTGTTTCTTGAGCTCGGCGAGTTTGGCCTTTTTCGCCAGAATCTCTTCTTTGCGCGCCTGTATTGACGACATTTCGGTGCGTGTTCGTCAAGGATAAATTGACCAACGCGAAGTGAAACGCGCGAGTTAGCTCGAGGTAGACGCTGTCGGCGTTCGGAAGTGTTCCGCCGATCGCAGTGAGAATTGGATCCGTGCAGCTTCAACGACAACACTGCAGCTCTCTCTTGTCGACCACGCAATCCTCGCGCAACATCCAGCCTTTCCTCGCCCGCGCATTCTTTGCTGCTTCCTCCAGCAGCTTGTCGAGCGCGACACTCCTCTTCCGACCGTCAGCTGCGTGTAGTCGGCTTCTCAAAGATCCACAATGTCCTCCACGGGGGTAAATGTGAGCCTCCTCCTTCTACCAGACCATCAGATAGAGCCATTGAGCTTTGCAGAGTGGACAAGATGAGCCATACTCTAACAAGATTACACTACAGGTCCTCCGGTGGGGCGCTCTCACCTTTGGTATCTTCTATGGCTTCACCCACCAGCAGGCCATTTTCGCAAAGGACAAGACGGCCGCATACCAACACGAATACGACCGAAAACAGAAGCTCATAGATGAGGCGAAGGCGAAGTACGCGGAGAAGACGACACCTAAGACTGGCGATGGTGGTGAGTACTTCCAAAGGAAAGACTACTGGCGCAATCAGGAGGCTGGGAATAATCTCCGGACTGTGAGAGGACTACAGGAAGGCCGCAAGAGGACTACAAGAAGGACTGGAGACTACACAGAGAATCAAGAGTGCTAACAGACTGCTTGCAATACAGTAATAACGAACCCTGACGACCCCAAATTCGACCTCGAAAAGTACCTCGACAAGGTCTCGAAGCAGAGCCCATGATTTGTTCGAGGGAGTAATGTATGAGGTTCAAAGCGAAGCAGAGAGCACGATCAGAGCATCACGGTGTCAAGCGCGGATATGATGGGTTAAGGTGATTAGCCTCAGCCTACCAGAACTAGAGGAGCCTGCGATTCTTGCTCGTGGAGAGAAGATACCCAAGTGCATCTTCGCCAGCAAAAATTTTTTATATATCCCTGTAAAACACCGAGTTCAAAAGCCATCCCGACGCAGCTTTGGTGGCTATAGCAGGAGGTAACTTGTTGCAAGGACTAACTCAATGGCTCTCCAGGCTGGTCACGTGGGGACAGGTAGCCGGGGAGAGCCGGAAGCTCTCGATGCATCTGATCTTGGGCCGTCGATCCTACACGAACCTGCAAAGATGCATCTTAGAACATCGTCTTCCTCGCACTCTGCCAGGTACACCAATCGACAAGACTCAATTTGAATGCTTGAGAACCAAAGGCCGTGTAAGAGCCATAAGCCTCTGCCCCCTCTCGACGGCATCGGCAACTGCGTTCCAAACCAACGGTTGCCACGGGACTACTACACTCGCACGTAAACATGTTCATCGTTGAAACCTGATACTGAATCATATGCAAGTACTTCACCAAGTGCGGAGCCACGCCGGATTGTTAAGATACCCACTTGCCCTTGAGCTCTAACTTCTTCTCGACTGCTATCCCGTCTAAACTCCCTTGGAAGTTGGAACGTATTCTCTCTGCGCCTCCTATCAAGCATCTTTCCTTACTTCCCAAATATGTCAACCGTCTCATTCACAAATTCGGCGATTGAAGAGATCAAAGCTCGGACTAGCGAAGGCGTCACGCAATTCTTGGGATTGCAATATGCGACTTTGGTCGACAGATTTGCACCCCCGGTTCTGAAGCAGTACGACGCAAACAGCGCCATTGATGCCACCAAGATTGGGTGAGACCTGGACCATCCGACTATGTTTCCCATGAGAGCACTGACCTCTATACCTGTAGGCCTTCCCTCCTCGATCATGCTGAAAATGGTGCCGACGTCGAACAAAAGCTCTTTCAGAATCACCTACAATACGGTCGCAGCGCACATCGTATGCCGGAATTGCAGGGCTTGAGCTTGAATATTACACTTCCCGCCGGTCCCAAGAGCGATAGAAAGCTGCCTGTGCTTGCCTTCATTCATGGTGGAGATAACGATGTTGGATCGAGCTATTTCCCTCAGTACGACCAGGCAAGGCTGGTGAAACTGAGCGTAGAGAACGAGGGGCCGATCATTGCAGTCTCTTTGAAGTCAGTGGTATCCCTTCATCAAGAATCATGTGCTTGACTGATGACTCCCAGCTATCGACTTAATGCCCCTGGCTTCTTGACCTCAGAGGAAATGAGGAACGCTGGATACAAACCTAACAATGCCATACGGGATCAGAGGACTGCTCTTCATTGGATATAGGTCAGTGCCCTCAACGGTGCGTCTTCTTAACATGTACGAGCTGAGACTCAACAGTGATACATCTCGGGCTTCGGTGGCGATCCAAGTCAAGTCCACTCTTGTTGGCGAGAGCGCAGGCGCCGTCTCTGTCTCCGTCTCTTTCCATCTCCAGTCAAAGGAACCTCTCTTTCGCCGCTGTATGCTCATGTCCGGCTCCAGTCAACTATTCCCACCAGCACCCGCTAACCTTGCAGAGACCAACTATAGCAACGCGATCAAAGCCTTGGGTCTCGAATGCGCCTCGCCAGCCGAGCGAATCCAAGCCTTGAACACCATGGAAGTCCAAGCGCTCTGTTCGCAGATAGTATTAGGGAGTATCCCCATGATGCCAGTCCTAGACGACAACATCATTACTTTCAGCCCAACATTCACGCGTTCGAGCTGTCTTATTGGTGCGAAGCAGTACCATCGGGGACAGCCAAATCGACGGCAGCATCCCAAGATTCCGCCTACGAGGACGAAAAGCAGGGATAGCATCTGCTTTCCGCTCTTCCATCACCTCCTCTCTCGGTCAGGGACTAGCTTCCAAGCTCCTTTCCAGCTACGACGTAAACCCCAACACGTCAGACGATGAAGCCTTCTTCCACGTTCTCCAATTCGCAAATGACGTCCAGTTCTACTCTCCAACCCTCACAATCGCAAAAACTCTCTCCCAGAAAATGGATGTATACATGTATCGCTTCAACGTGTCGAATCCGTGGAATGGCCATGCGGTACATATTCAGGATTTGATGTGGTTATGTCAGAACTGGAATGAGTCTATGGAAAAGTTCCAACGCAAGCAAGTAAGGGAATTTGCAAAGGGAGCTATTTCTTTTGTAAATGAGAAGGAGCCGTGGCAGACTTGGAGTGGAGAGAACAAAGTAGCAAAGGAATTTGGGCCGAAGGGAAAAATTGAAGTCTTGAGAGATGAGCGCCTGGGAATGGCGGATGGCGATCACACATGCACTTGCTCAGGAGGCCAGTGGTTTGGAAGTGCTTAATGACGCGCTGGACGCGTTTATGAGGGCACCTTCACCTTCGTAAGAGAGTCATATCTAGACTTTCGTCTATTCGATAGTAATCTCCATTTTCTCCACCGAACACTCGACGGTACCATTAAACTGTTTTCCTTGCAGCACCGCCTGGGCCAGGTTCTCTTCTCTTTTCATGCCTCCTCGCCAATCCCACTATTTGGCCTTCCCCGATGAGCTTTTCCGGAATGCTTCAGCCGCGTTGAGCTCAAACCACAATGTGTTCGTCTCCATATTTTACTTCATCTTCACGAAATTCAAGATGAAGCAAACCTGATTGTCAGATCTAAACAAAGGACGCTCAAGTTCTGGTCTGGAAGATGACTGGACAACATCCGACAATTGACGTCTTGCCCATCTCATACTTCTGAGAGTCTGCCGCGCTTTGCAGATACCATTGAGTAAAGATTCGATTGGTCTTCGGAGGTTGAAGTCTGCTCGTTGAAATAGCACCTCGAGAGCTGATCCGATACGGGCCACTTTCCTCCGTGATCCTGACAAAGCGCCTCGATTTTGCCGTGCTATTGCGAGGCTTGAACGCGATTTGATACGGACGTAGCGATCTTGCCGACCCGAATCCAGCAGCGGATATCCCTTCATCCCTCCTTCTCCGGGTCCTCCTCGCCATACATCTCCTCTTCCTTCTCTTCGTCCCGCTTCTTCGAGCTCCTCTCATTCGATTTGTCCTCCTCCATCTTTTGCGTCAAGAAAGCGTTCACATCGCCCTGCAACTTCGACACGTTGGCGCGCAGCGCGGAGAGATAGGAGGTCTTCTCTTCTACGCTGCCTCCTCCCTGGGGAAGCGGAGGGAGCTCCGAAGAGAAAGTGTGAGTTGTCGTTGAGGACTGATAGATTCCCAGTAGTTGAGTGCCGGCCATGCTGAGACTATTGTGGAAGTGTTGTAGTGGTGTATCTTGCAGCATTCGGTGAGCTTGGATTGGGTCGCGCTAGAGCGGAGTTTCTTTTATCCGCCACAATGTCGACGGGACCTCTCCATGCGCACGGTCTTGTGGCGGGCCGATCCTTAGCGTCTCATGTTACTGATAACGCCGATTTCATTGTGACTTGCCTGCCGCGTTCTTTGTGCTGAACACTTCCATCTTCAACCTCGTGCTCCTCTTCACAGCGACACTCAATCACATTCGCGAAACCTCATATACCAAATACCGCGCAAAATGGTCGACGTCAAGCCTGAAATCAAGGTAGATTCCGCCGACATCAAGCTCTCCGACATCGACCAGTTCGAGGAAGACACGGACTTGCAGTTACCGTCCGCGGACGCGCAATCATGGCTGGTCAAAGTGTCGGAGGATATGTGGAAAGCATGGAACGATATCTACACCAACACTGCCGTGGGTACTGAACCGGTGGAAGTTGGCAAGCTGCGCGTGCGGCGCAAACCTGGCGAGCCTGACAGGATACAAATCCGCCTCGACAACAGGTTCCACCAACATAAGCTACTTCCACGCACATACGAGCTCGAAATGAAAGCATCCACATACAACAACACGGTAGTCTTTTCAGAGAAAGACTTGCCAGGACATCGCGCACAGCAATACGGCGGGAGGAGACAACAGAGTGGATTGAAGCCTTCCGGCATTCCGAACAAGAACGACCGCTACGGAAACAGGAAACCAGGCACATACGCCTCTGCGATTCCCAAGCAAACAGCTCTCGCGCCACGCATTGTGAATGAGGCTGTTGCGAAGCCTGTCGAGGATGAGACATCGCTCGACTTCTTCAAGATGCAATACGATGTCGCGCTCAATGCGGGCAAGAAGACGAACTTCAGTAATGACGTCTACAAGAACTACACTCGTAATTCGGCCTTCGGATTCTCGGTTGGCTCAATGACATCTAAGCCCAACAAGTCCAAGAAAAAGCAACCGAAGGAGAAAGCAGTGCGTATCTCCAAGGAGGAGTTACTTGACAACCTGCAACAGTGCTTCCAGCAGTACCAGTACTGGCCACTCAAAGCTCTGCGCGAGCGTTTGCAACAGCCTGAGGCCTGGATCAAAGAAGTACTGGATGAGATCGCTTACGCGGTACGCAGCGGAGACTACGTGGGAACTTACAAGCTCAATGAAAGCTCTGCACGATTGCTGCAGATCCAAGACGGAGATCTCAAAGCGGAAGCGGCGCCGATCAAGAACGAGTCGGACCAGGGAACTGGGGATGAGCTGGGAGAAGCAGATGACGACGACGTGGACGAATTCGAGGATGTGAAGATGGAAGGCTAAATGATACCCCGGAGACTTGGAGTCAACAACGCGCATGGAGAATGGGCTGCTGATGCATTGTTTTCACGCTTCAACGGTGTCACGGAACGTTGAGAGATTGTGAACGTACAGATCAGGAGATTCAGCACTCTTGTGTACTCTGGTCTCACCCAGCTCTATGTTGCGTCTTTGTGTCGATCATCTAGCGCCTTCTGTATCTCTATTTTGCTCGTCATGAAGGAGTGCCTGCCTCTCTTCCTCTAGTACTTTCTTCCTCTAGTACTTTCTTTTCCGAGTCACCTTCCCATCCCACTCCGGCTTGCACAACTATTGTGCCCAGTGCTAACACCGCAGCCGCGAGCCACAGCGTCCTGAGAGCGTCCTCGTAGCCTTTAATAGCAATTTCTTGCTTTACGCCTTCAAGCTGTTCGACCAATGCGGGAGATCCAAGCAGCTTCCTAATAAGCGTCTCATCCCGCAAGCCCCTCTCGGCAAAGCGAGTAGTAAGTGAAGTAGACAGCGTTCGTGTGAACAGGCCTCCGCCGATGGAGGCTCCAAATGACCCTGCGAAGCCGCGGAATGTAGCGATCAGAGCCGTCGCAACGTAATGCGTTTCTTTCGGCGTGAGATGGAGTAAATGGGCAAGATTATAGTTGAGTGCCGCTCCGGTCGTGAAACCGCAGACGAACAGCACAAGCACCAAGGCCACGGGTGAGCTTTCCCTGTGGGCCATCGTCGCCAGTAATACGAGTGTCACTGGGAAGCAGGCGTAGCTCACCAGTGTCGGAAGGTAGAACGAGCCGTTTCGTCGAATGTGCAGCCAGCCAACCAAGAGACCGCCCATTGCGAATCCGCCGTTTGTGGGTATGAGGAGAGAGCCGCCGATGGATGGAGACCATTGTCGTACCGCGATTGCATAAGTTGGCGTGTAGAATAGGACTGACCAGCGAGACATCATGTAGGACACAGTACCAAGGCAGGTCAGCAGAAGTCCACGGGATTTCAGCAGCGTGACGGGAATGATGGGATCATGCGCAAAGTAGGCCTCGATCAAGACGAAGACCACTCCAACTACAATTGATAAAACAATCGGGGAAATCGGAATACTCTTTGGCGAGCTCAGAGCGTAAAGCAGAAGGACGAGCGAGGCCGTCAAGCTAATGCATCCGAGATAGTCGATTCTGCGCAGCCGTTCCCATGTATTGCGGCCGACCATCTCTCCAGCAGTGAAGTCATGCGGAATCGCCAGTAAGAGTATCAGGCCACCGACTAGTGCGATAGGGGCCTGCACCCAGAAAAGGGCCCTCCAATTCAGCCACCACAGAGCTTTCCACCATGGAATGTCGAGGAGTGCTCCTGCTGCTATTGCGCCGATGGCCACGCCCATGGTGTAACCTGAGTTGAGCAGTCCAATACCAATGCCCTTCCGCTTGGAACCAGTGAGTTCCAGCACGATAATGATCGAAATCGTGAAGACGCCGCTTGCGCCAATGCCAGTCACCACTCGCCCAGCAATGAAGCTCTCGAAGTCTTTGGCCCAAGAACACAACAGCGTCCCAAATGCCAGTATCACTGATGAAACAAAGATGCAAGCCCTCGGTGAGAAAATGGAGCTCAGCTTCCCATTGACGGGACCTAGGGAACTCATGGCGATCAGGTAAGCGGAGGTGAACCACGATGTCTTCTCGAACGAGTCCAGGTCTTCCGCGATGGCGCTTTGCGTGGTTGTGAGCATGGAGATGTTCGTCGCTTGGAGGAAGACCAGAAGACCGAGCCCAAATGTACAGCAAGCACCACGAAAGAGGCTGATACTCTGATTTGCCACGGTGTGTTCAGTGTGTTCATAGGTATTCGTCTTTGGTCGATTTCTTGGCTCATTCGCATTGCCAGATGCGTATATATGAGAGGTCTGATCCCGGCCATCGCTCGTCTGCTGCCCGAGGAAGGTTGGCGAAGGTGGCAATAGAGGTGTTTGCTCTGTTGAGTCTATGTGATGGGACCTTGAATTTGATGTATGTCCCTTATTGACAGGGCTCCTAGGATTACTGCGCGCTGCCATAGAACGCAATGGTACTCTGATATCGTAGTGAAATTGACTTGACGAAAGTATCGTCTAGATTTCCCCGCCGCCAGTTGTGTGTGACTTGTTGCAACGCTATCGCCGCTCACTGGTTGCAGAACGAGCCAATACCAAGTTCAGCGCGATTTCAGACGGCCAGAAATAGAATGAAGTACTGTAGGATGAAGTAACATGGACTGACAACCGGCAGGGTGTTGAGAACCTACCTCTGCCTATCGACGAGGGTGCTTACAAACCTGGTCTTCCGCTTTGGGTTAGCGCTAGATCTCGTGAACTGGGCGAAGTACGAGCCGGATGGTGGTCAAAGCACACAAGCATCGACCACACCTCTCTTGGTGCCCAAACTACTCCATCAGTACAACAGCACAGACAGGAATCACGTCTCAACCGTTCTGATCACCCTCGGGGCACTCGCATTCGGACGCATGGAAAGTAACCGACAAGCTTTCTTCGAACATTTGCCTAATAAGTGGGTCAGGACTGGTAATGGAACAGCTAAGTTGCGGGGAGCGAGCGTACGGTCGCCATGTGCCGAGGACTTTCTCCTTGCGAGTGTGGACTGAAGGATGGAAGAGTGTGGAGAGATTCCCCGGTTTACTGAGCATGATCGTCCGTCTCTCCGAATCAGGTCTTGCTTCTCTGGAGATCGTTCGGACTTCGGAGCACAGCTCTTATACCGCCTATTGTACCCCTCTTGCTCTGGTCAAGGGATCACTTGAGACAGCAGTGGTATGAAGATGTGGACACGCCTCCACTGCTCTCTCCGGATACTGAGTTCTTCCATTGTTCGTTCAGCTGAGGCACTCGCCACTCCAGTATGGCGAAGCAGGAGTTGCACGTCGGTATCGTCGGTGCAGGCATTGGGGGTGTCATGGCCGCCATTGCGATCGCTCGAGCCGGGGGTACTGTCACAGTGCTTGAAGCGGCAGCTCAGCTTGGCGAAATCGGCGCAGGCATCCAGATGGTATGAACCACGCTGAGGCCAAGGAGGTCTACTAACCTCAGCCTGACAGACGCCGAATGTTGCTAGACTCCTCATACGATACGCCGTGGACAGAGCCATAGGCAACAACTTGGTCCGTTTTGAAGAGCTGAATATGCGCGCGAAAGACGGGCGGAAGATTGGATATACCTTGATCAAACGGGTCGAAGAGACTCTTGGATATCCATGGTGGCTCGTACATCGACACCACCTTCACAATGGACTCGTGGAAGTCGCGAGGGGATGTGGTGCCAACCTCGTTATAAACAGCAGAGTAGCAAAGCTGGAGCAGCAGTCAAATGGCAAGGTCTCGGTGGTTACTGATCGGGATGTTTCTTACAGCTTCGACTTGGTCATTGGCTCCGACGGCGTTCAGTCAATAGTTCGGAAAACTTTGTTCCCAGATATCAGACCCAGGCCTCCGACTGGGAACTGCGCTTACCGCGCGATCGTGCCCTATGGAGAGGTCAGGAACGACCCCCTGACCAAAGAGCTCGTTGAAGACCAGCACGGCAATCTCATCAAGACCATGGAGGTCTGGATGGTAGGATCCTGGTTGTAGTGGAAGCTGCGTCGTCATACTAACACATTTATCGAGGCTCCGACTGGCTACATCATATCGTATCCGATCTCAGATGCAAAGGATTTCAACATGGTGCTCAGTCATTTCCGTGACCCACCCGTGCACGCTGTGCAAGAAGTTCGCATTGAAGAAGTCCGGAACGAATACCGAGATTACGATCCAAGGATACGTCGAATCATAGAGAAGATCAAACCACCGATCTCCCGCTGGCCTCTTCTTGTGACAGGTCCTCTGGAGACGTGGTCCAATCCAGAGAAGAACGTCGTTCTTATTGGAGATGCAGCGCGTAAGTCGATAATGATCTTCGGAGGTCGATGCCTGGGGCTTCCATAGCTAAGATGCCCAGATTCGATGACCAATCATATGGCACAGGGTGCTGCTACCAGCATGGAAGATGGAGCTTTCCTGGCCAAATGCCTCGGCGCGTTCATTGATGGACGTGTCCGCCTTTCCGAAGCCATCGCAATATACGAGGGAGGCAGAATGCCGAAAGCTAGTTACAAGCAACAGGTCTCGTTCCTGAATGGTTGGCTTTGGTGAGTGCAACGAGTAGCATGAGGCTGAACTGCGGCTGATCGTTGTGTCTAGGCATCTGCCTGACGGACCGGCTGCAGAAGCGAGGGATAAGACTATGCAGCCTGAGCTGAGTGGCCAAGTCCCGATGAAGAGCGCCAATCTGTACGGAGATCCTACCACGGTCCTGGAATGTTATGGATATGATGCAGAACAACATGCCGAAGATGAGATAGCCACCTTCATCAATAACGGCCGTCCAGTCAGGGATGCTGCGACCACTGTGACAAGGACCGAAGTTGACAGTAAGTTCTATCCTCATCCGACGTCGATCATGGCAGGGCTCCGCCGCTAACATGATGAAGAAATTGCGAATTGGTGTCTGCCTGAGGAACACAAGTTTAGGATCCAATCATGACTACAGGGAGTGTGTCATGTTGGTACAACGAGGCTATGTCAACTCCATTGACGCGAAGACAGCTATGTCTACGTCACCGTCAGCATGTGAAGGGGCTTCGTTCCAGCTCCCGAACTCTTAGTCTCCTGCATTGCACGTCGACTTCGCAATCAAACGGTCCTCGCAGACCGAACCCTGTACAAATGTCTTGATTCAAAAACGCGCCTCACCTGTGCTTGCGACTATGGATCAGGTGACTTCGGCGGGGAATTCGAAGGATTCTCGAGCTCAACTACGTATGTACAACAACGTCCGGCATCATTCGGGCGCCCGACAACTCAGCAAACAGTTGCTCCGCCCTCAAGAGAGGAGGCTGCAGTGTCGATTTTCGGGCCCGTTGTCATCCCGTGCGTGATCGGGTGGCAGGTTCTTTAGAAGGCAACGACTAGGCAGATGTGCCCTAAGCCCTCGAGAAGCCCGTTTTGCGCCCACCTTAGCGTCTGGCGCGACACCGCCAACACACTTTCTGCGTGGTGTTTTAGACACAGTCTGGGCGCAGAGCGATAAACATACAACGCTTGGACGCCCACGTGAGTGAATGCTCAGCGCTGCGCTGGGAAAGTACCGCGTACGCGACGCTTAAGCGATCCGGTGGGCAACGTGCTCTTGGTCTCGGCCCCCATCTTGACTGCGCATGGCAATTGCTTTAGCGAACAGCCACGTTTATGTGCATAAGTCGCCACGAAGGCCGGAGATGATACGGAAGCGAACGATTGACTCCATGGACCGACGCTAAGAAAGGACTCCCATCTGCCTGGGCTCAGAGCACAGCAGGATAGACGCATGCCAGACGCCCTCCTGCTGCGGCAACGCCCTTCTTCCCGCATACTGATGTGAAGGATTTGAAGCGTCTGTGCAATTATCTCCGGGAGGGCGGCCACATCCTTGTCTGCTGCGACGGAAGAGGCAAGGATTCAAGAGTAAAATTGCAGCTGAATGCGCTCTATCGCCTCCGAGCCGCCCTGCACAGCTGATTCGCACTCCTCCTACACCGGTCCCGCAAGTACATCTCCACCCGTCGGAACGGCCAGTGCGTCCGACTGAAGGTACGAAGTACAAGTTTGAGGCTCTGCGGGCTGCTAGAGACTCTGTCCAACAGCGGAAGAACATAAATGCAGATGCAGGTAGGCTGTGATGACGCCCAAATCGAGCTCGTCGAGGACGCTTGTTTGTTTTTTCTACCGCACTTTCGGCTCCCGCACGTTGCTCCGCCCCTGTTCGTTGGCGTCCACTAAGCCAGTGCCATACCATCATCGTCTACTGCGTCCTCTGGCTCTATTGCTCCCGAGTTCAACTGAAGCAGCCCCTGCAACGACTATATGTTCTCGAGTTGATTCCCTCTCAATTCACCTACCCTGCCTGATAGACCTCCTGAAGAGTTGACGCTTGGCGTATCTCATCGATCAAACAATCGATTGACATACAACATCTAGGCGTTGCACGGCACTTGGAAACCCCACTTGATCGCCCCTTGCAGGACAAATTGTTGCAATGGCCTTCGCCCGCTTCCAAATGTTCACGCTGGAGTCCGATCGAAGCTTCCAACGGCCATACGAACGTTCGTGCATCGTCGACGACAATTTCGATGGGTCAATATACAATCCTGGATCTCAATTAGGAGATGGTGGAGTGTCGACAATCCAACGTTTTCTCCTGGAGCCACATCCGACGTTCGGTCCTCCGGTCGTGCCCAGGACTGACCAACATATGTTACACACTCTACCTGGTCCAATGCCAGGACAACTTCCTTCACCGGCGCTCAGCACTCTCGAATCCTCGTACATGAGCAGTGGTCTGAGCGACGAAGACAGTATGCCATTCTCGCCTCATCCCGTCTATAGCCCGTATTCGTCAGGATGCCTTCACAACGACGGATTCGCCTTCGCGTACGGCGGCGTCCCTTCTACGGACAGACAAGACTCGATTGTCGGTAGCGATTGCGTCGCCATGCCAGATGTGCAGCAGTGGACCGACGACATCATCAACAACATGGCGTCTGACGATGCGATACCTGGCTATCCATTCGCCCAGGAAGGTTACCAGCCCATGGAATTGGAGGAAGAGCACGACCCAGACTTGAGCCACGACATTCCAAGCCCAACAGATCTACCGACACAAGATATCGATGCTCAAGAACCAGAGACGCCGATGCTTCGCAGGCGAAGTGCACAGGCTTCACGCTCCACGGCCCCGTCGTCGCTCTTGAATACTGGCTCACGCGTCGCGAAGCGCTCGGGTGTAGGAAGACGGTCGTCTTCCTACCAATCTGGCAGCGACGCAAATGATCAAAAGCCCTTCGGCAATAACAGAGCCTTTCCGTGCCCTTTCGCCGTCTACAGTTGTTCATCTAGCTTCGGCACCAAGAACGAATGTAAGTAACCCACGATCGATAATAACCTCATGCTAGAAGATACACACGCTTAACCCTCCGTCTTTCTCCTTCCAGGGAAACGCCACGTCAACACCCAACACCTGCGCCTCACTTTCTGGCGCTGCGATCAATGCCGCTCGCAGAAACCAAACGACTTCAATCGCAAAGACCTCTTCATCCAACACGTTCGCAGAATGCATTCGCCCGGCAACGAGAGTAACTTTCCCTCGAAACCCAGGAGGAGATCATCTCCAAGTGTCGCCAGACCCGCGACGAGGAGCGGCAGCAACGCGGACGACCAAGTTTTCCAAGAAGCTGCAAAGAGATGTAACCGAGCCCTTCGCTCCCCGCCCGAGCGCAGCTGCTGTCTCTTCTGCGACGAAAAATTCAGGGGGAAAGGCACCTGGGATGACCGCATGGAACACATTGGCCGTCATCTGGAGACGGCCAAGAAGGAGGGCAGAGAGGCCGCGATCAATCCGGCGACCTGGAACATGGACGAGTACACACACAACTGGCTAATCGAGCAAGATCTCCTGCGACTGGATGGAAACGAATGGTCGTTGGCTGCATGATGCTTGCGCCTTTGCGTTTGCGTTGTCTTTTCCTCTCGTTGTTATGTTTTCAGAGACACCCTTGAGATACCCTTTCCGCCGTTCGTTGAAGCCATGATCAGTACAATAATTGGATTTGAGATAGCATAGATTGCCTTCAACCATGAGGTGCTAGGAGGTAGCCCTACCTAGGTTTTTCCTCTAAATGCAATCGTCAAAAGTCAATCTATCTAGTGCGCCGCCACGTGGGAACAGCCACCACAACCTTGTCTTGTGCAGCGGGTAGTTCGATAGAGCTCTAGGTGATATCGTGATAAAAATGTGGAAAGTCTGCACTGCTTGCCAAGGCATACAGTGCCAGCAGCACACAGGATCACAACGTCAGTGAAGGCGCAGGAGTAGGCTGGTCCGTTTCGGTTGCGTTCCAGCTTCCAGGCCGTGGCTTGGGGTATGCAGGTCCGGCGATCATCTTTGCCCCTCGCCCCGAAAAGTGCGGCAGAGCAGAGGAGGCCTCTTCGAGGCTGGCGGCGGCCTCTTTGTGACTTTCTGGCACTCAAATTGGCGGTCGAAGATATACTTACTGTTGGACAGCGGAGTTACCAACACCGAGGAAGTATTGGTTGGTGCTGTCGATCTTGGGGCCCTCTTGCTACAGAGTAGTACAAACATCATCGCAGCCCTAACTAGGTCAGCCGCTGGAATCTTCTATGATGCTGGCAGAGCAATAGCAGCCAAGCCCTCTTCAGCAGTGATCTCCTTCCCAAGCAGTCAGCCAATACCCGTCACCTATGAAAAACGGCATCGTCAGTTTACACGGCGAATAGACTGCCAGCGAAGCAACCCACTTGATCAGCAGGGGTCCGGTTTGATATCTCGAGACGCGGAAAAGAGAGCCAATGAGCGTGTGGACATCCAGGATACTACATGTGCTCAGCTTTCAGCATCTGAGGTCAGGACCTTTGAACAAATCCACTTACAAATTCGATCCGCGGTCTATGAATTTTGATCGTACTCTGACGGCCATCTCTCACTGGAATGCCATGGTCCTCTTCGACTAAAGACGACTCTGAAGGTCTAATCAATTCGAGAGCGTAATGCGCGAGTGCTGTCAGGTGCGCACAAACAGATTGCCCATCACGCCAACGGATCGAAACAGCAAGCCATTCAGCAAAGGTTCCAACTACCAGTAGATGATTGTACCAATCCTCAGAGTCCAATGATGGCACTGGATTCGCTTGAGCGACTGTGGTTCATGTGAGAGTGACCGGATCAAAACTTTACTCCTTGTCGATCTACCTCCAAAGCGCGAGAAGCTGGGACGTGAACAACACCTAAGATGATGTTCTGACCAAGAGCGCTGTTCGCGGCATTGCGTCCGTACCGCCGAGGCCGGCCAGTCGCAGTTACTGTTGACATCCCAACGCCAACGAAACTTCCAAATGTTGTATCCTACTGGTAGGGCTGATTGGTGGATTCATGATTGACGAATTTCGTCTGAGCCAGTCCACCTCGCCGCTGCGAATCCGAGCGCCGGATCTGATCTGGCCGACACCAAGTAGACCTTGAACTCATTGCCGATGGCAATGCTAACGAGTGTCATTGGATTGGAGTAGTTGCCAATTTCGCTCACTTGGGTCTTGGCATCTGCACGATGACTGTGCCTTCTGAATCGATCCACTGAAGGCCAAGTCTTCGAACTCTACTCTTGCTCGCAACGTATAGCATCAAATATACGTGCTTGACGACTTCTCCCCAGCAGTAGACTCGGATGGGTCCAACAGAAGCGGTCTCAGTTGCCGACTTCGTGGTCCCGCCAGCCTCGCCGTACCTCTCTGGACTGGTCTTGTCCTCGCACTGAATAGGAGCACCTCGACTGCACCAGACGCCCCATCCGGCTCTTCCACTACCACCGACATCTTGCAAGGTCCGCCAGAAATTCACCTGCTCCTCGAGAGGCCAAGGAGAGCAGTCGATACTCCAATGCCCTCGTTCGAGAAGCTCTGGCTCCCTGAAGATAGCGACTGGCTTGAAGCAATCACTAACAGCACTCTCCTGTGCCAGATGCTCCATTGCTGGTGTCACATGAGATGAGAATGCACGAAGTGATACCTCCGGACTCGGAGGATGGATCGTTGTTGACAAGGATTGCAGGAGACACAACGTCGCATCATCGATTGCTGGCTGTGCCGGCTGTGCGTCTGTTTCTGTCAAAGGCGCCGGTTGACGACGTCTAGCAATGTTACTGCGGACCTCGCAGCCCGTATTCTTATCTGGTGATCGGTCCTGCCCTCGGAGCTTCGATGCGTCAACTATGTCGGCAACCAAAGCACCCAGCTGAGGTCCTGGGTCACTTGCGGAGCGCAGGGAAAGCTGCTCGCGCTCTTTCGAGCTTCCGGAGGTGCCTTCACTCAGAGAATAAGACGTCGGCAACTCTGAGGTTGTCTCATTTGAGCCAATGATTTCGTCGGGGGTGCGCCGATCAAGTGAGTTGACGTGGTGCTGATTCCTATCTTCACGCGCTGAAGAGGATAATGCAACTCCTGATTCTCTGTTTCCGGAAGACTGACGAAACTCGCGAGGGTTTTCCCGTTGCCTTTGACGAGAGGGCGTCAATTCAATGCGTCTATACCCATCTTGTGAAGACCATGTGGCTTTCGATCCACGAGCTCCTGCCGTCGAGTTATTGACAGACAATGCCCTTTTCGTTGCAGACCTGATCGGAGCCAGAGACGAAGTAGGCAACTGAGACTCCAGCGCAGTCCAAGCAAGCTGCGTGTCTTCAATAAAGGACCCAGAAGCATGAGGATCCGTGACCTCTTCTTCCTGTTCGTAAACATCAGGTCCGCCTTGCGAGCGTTGGACTTCGGTGCTTGCCACCGGCCGGGGGGCAGCTCGGCGCCTGCGTGTGCCAGAGCATCTCAAGTAACTCTCAATCTGCGCCCTGTAGCGATCATCGTCGCCTCGACTGCTCGGTGCGCTGATGTGAGCGAGCAGGTGCACATCTCTCTTGTCCGTGCCTCGCATCGCGATCCATGGCGGTTCGGTGCGACGGAAGAGGCCAGCTATTGGCTTTGATCCAGCTTAATATATTTGTTCGCCGTCGTATGCCGTACAGGATCGTGCAGCAGAAGGACAAAGTAGGCGCATAAGTTGAAAGTCAAAGTGCTGTTGGAAGGAGATTGTATCGCGTTAGGTGGCGTCACGAACCCACGTGACCCGACCGGGCTTTCCAATCCCGGCGCTCCATTGACATGCTTAGCTCCCATTGGCTGTTTCGACACGGGCACTAGCGGTCGCCTGTTCTCACACACTACGGGCAGCTCCCCAGCATAACGTTAATGACGTATCGTTCTCCACACCTACCGTATTGATGTAGCGTATCCAGATTCCACTGTATATCCCGCCTCGTCTATCCTCCAAATTGTTCACTACCATCAGGCCATTCTGTTAGAGGTCCTGCAGTTCTTCTAAATCCTCCTATCCATCTTGTTCGCTGCCTGCTCGAGGTTCGTCGCTTTCCTGCTGCCAGCACTCGCGGAGAAGGAATTGGTCTGACAGTCGCGAGCTGGCTCTTTGTTCAATACGAGTCTGGAAGCGAGCGCCAGGGCCATCAGAGGAGATAGACTCTTCGCCCTTCCGTGCCCTCCTTCTGAAGAAGACCTGTGGTCGCAAGAGACACACGCTTAGGCTCGGGGCGGCAAAGCTAAGGTAGTTGCGTCAAGGGTCTAGGCGGGTTCCTGCGTTCGTCTTCACTCGGCGGGCTCTTCGGCCCAGGGAAAGGCCAGATAAACCAGTCTGGCGACAGCAATGAGCACCGCAAGACTGTCTTTCCAACCGCCTTGGAGACTGTCATTGCCATCAATAGCCGTCAGAAGGCGTGAGCACGTGAGACAGGCCCCGTTGACGCTTGAAGCACAGCGGGACGGCAATGCACCCCGGATTGCGGGGAAGGGACTGACGCGAGCTAGCCGCTGTAGGCAGGGTGTCTTGCGTTCGATTGGGTGATGGCGTGCAAGGTCGGACGACCAGACATCTCACCTCACGCATCACGCATCACGGCACCAGGCCCAGGTCACCAGGTCACGCGATTGATGCCCCGCTCAGCTAGGAGCTCTCCCAAGTACACCTACCCCCTCTCCTTGCTCTGCTCTCCTCTCCCGTCCATTCAATCAATCCATCCATCAAGCACTCCCAATTCTCCGTACCTGACTATCACTACAATCCCCGTTTGCTCAGCCAATCCAAACACCAAGCCACAATGTCCGCTGAAGTCCAGGAAGTTCCTTTGTCCAAGGTCGACTCCGCCATTGACGACGCACCAGCATCGCCCAGCGATATCAAGCCCCAGAAGCAGCGACGAAGCAGCAGCACCGTGAGCGGTGTCTTCAACATCAATGAACTCGGTGAGTCGTGCAGAAGCGTTGTACTCGTAGTCGCCCGTTGCTGATAAGAATGTGACTTTAGAGAAGGAAGGCACGGATCTTGCCATCGCTCCGGAGACCCAGCGGCTCAACTGGTAAGCAAACTCCTCATCATCCCACTTCCGGTGTCTGAGCCCACAGCGATGTTCACAAAGTGTCTTTCCAAGCTGATACTGATGGAATGTCCAGGAAGCTGAACGCCTCGCCATCAACGGTCGACGACCCGACTGTCCTCAAGAAGCTCCTCTGTACCCCACCCATCAAGAAGATCGACCTCCACTTCCCGCTAGGCCTTGAGGTCACTGCACGGAATCTCAAGGGAGTAACCATCAAGGATGCACTGGATGCCATCCACAAGCAGTTCAAGAAGAAGGCAAGTCCAGCTCATGCCCGCCCGTTCCCGGAAGTTACCGCAGCTGACTTCTTATCTCAGCAAGATGACGAGCTCGATGCACCCTACCTCGCTGGATTCGAGTGGGACAAGGAGGAATGCTATACCAGATTCGTCGTGCACCAGAAGAAGACTGGCGACGCTCCCTCCGGCGGCAGCTCCAAGAAGAAGGGTAAGAAGGACAAGGAAGAGGCATTGTAAGATCCTCGCCAGATCCACAATAGACCACTGCATCGAGCTTCAACGGCCGTCGCTCTTTTTAGCCTTGGAGGAATCTGTATTATGTGATGCAGTTGGCTTTTGCTCCCAGCAAGGAGAGAGGAAGGAACACTGGCGTCTTGAGCGTAAAGCATCTGCTGGTGTACTGGTAGATACCGTCAGCCTCTTACGTCGTAGGGAAATCAGATGTACCACAAGTAATCCACGGCGGCTACCAAATCCCCCAGCCTGTCTCTTGCACAGAGCCGAGACGGTACGCGTTGACCAATTCGATTGCCGAAACTCTCGGCGCTCAAGACGGAGAAAGAGGACCAGAGCTGGTAGAAATGCTGCAATGACCATATATATCTCTAAGAGCTGTACAGCATAATCAATGATTGAGACCTCAGTCTGACCTGAGATTACTTCATGCCTTTCATGCAGAGCATCAAAAGTTCACGAGGAAGCTGGGGAGGTAATCCAGAACGCCATCGCTCGCTCGCTCGCCCATGGGTATTCAATCCATACTCTCGGAAAAGTTCGCTCGCTCAAGTCGTTGCATGCACCATGAAAAGGATTAAGTCAGAATAGAAAAAATTTCGGGTAAAGGCGGCGACGGTCCCCCTTTTGCCAATGTCTCGTTGATTCGCGGCCATGCTGGCAAGGCACCGGGCTGATGGGTCGCGGGTTGTAGGAGGCGCCGCGACCTGTTGGTTCCTGGCCAGCACAAGGGCGTCGTGTCTCTAAGCGTCTGGTTTGACAGCTCGAGCCGAGCCAGCTGGCGATGCTGAAATGCTTACAGCAGTCTGCGAACTGTACCCCGAATCCGCGTGAAGAGCCACCTCCGAGTGGGCGGGAGAAGCGGTCAAAGGCTTTTCGGCAAGCCAGTGGTAGCTCGTCGTGATCAACCTCGCACGGTCTGCTTCCACGAAAGCATCGCAGTCTTGGGTCAGGCGGTTGAAAAGCGTCCTGAAATGTGCAGGGAGGAGACCCACTCGTACAAGTCCCAGGAGCGCCTTCCGAGCAGTTCGGAAGTACCCATCGGCCCGCTCGATCAGCGGCGCTTGTAGGCCGTCAATACTAGCGTTGTTGGACTCCAACATCACAAAGCCGGAGCTTTCGAGAGCCTCCTCCATGCTGTGTGGCGTGGGGGTCCCCACTGCGCCGATGAGCGGCTTGATGCGTCGCATGAGTTTCTGGTGATGAGGATCCTCCGGGTTGTATGCCTCTAAGCTCGCCCAATCCAGCAGTGAAAGCCTCGCGCCTGGTCTCAGGACCCGATAGAGTTCCCGACACAGCTTCGCATGATCCTTTGCCAAGCTGAACGCCTGGATCTGGTAAAATGCATCGAAATAGTTGTCTGGAAAGGGCAACGGTAAGTCGTTGAAGTCGGCGGTGATGAAATTATTCGAGAGGTTCATGGCCTTGTCGAAGGCTTTGGCACTAGCAATTTGGTCTGCATCGATGTTGAGGCCCGTCACCTGAGCATTCCCTGTGATCCTGGATATATGAGCGGCAACTCGCCCGCGTCCGCAACCTAAATCCAGTATTTTTGCGTTGGGAGGCAAATGAAGTTCCTTGGCGATGCTTTCCTCGTAGAGTATCTGGTTCATCGTAATGCTTTCCTTGAGGTCCATTGCCGGAGGGATGTACATCTTTTCCAGCTCGCCAATCGCACAAAGATGATTTAATACTTTGTAATAGTCCGCAAGGCATGCGCCCACTTTCTTCTGATAATCTGGGCCCAGAGTCTCAATCATCATCTTTTCGTCTGCCCAATCGAGGTCGTAGATGACATATGAGTTCATAAAGGAATCCACTTCTTCTGGCGAAAGTCCTCTCAGGACGCGAAATGACCGGATTGCTGTTTCGATACGCTGCATTCGCTGATTGCCGCGACTCTTCTTGCTCAAGTCCAGCCTAGTGGCCGCGACGTCGAGATCTGAATGCTGCGGAGCCATGTCCGATGTTATCCTGCTGGTGGTAGCGACTGAAGGTGAAGTGCAAGCCGGCTGTGTGAGATGCGCTTACGGATCGGAGCTCGGGTTAGGATTAAGCTGATGAGCCGAAGGAGATTGTTCATGCAGCAGACAGGTGACCAAGTAGTGGAGACTGATGGAGCGGGTGTGCTGTATGCGCTGTGCTCTACTTGTTATGGCGGCTCAGGTGCAGGGGTGGGCTGGGTGACTTATTAACGAGTGTCCCGGTTTCTGTTAATTGCAAACAGTCATAAAACTCCAGCTCCTGGTGACGATAGTGACCGTAACCGCTCGGCCTTGCACTAAAGAACACGGCAGGATTACAAACCATTCTGACGGCATCGCGTGGCCATCATCCCGTTGGAGCGGTCGGATCTCGCACGCTGACTTAGCCAGCGAAAGAGTGGTGTAAGACGAAGTGCGAGCAATCGGAACTTGTTCTCCAAGCTGTTGAGTTTCAGAAGGCCTCTTTCCAGACAAGCGTTGGCGAGCACTGCCTTCATTGCGTGAAGATCCCGGCAAGCAGAGGTTGTGTGACAGCTTCTATTTCGCTTCTGCAAGCCTTGCATGCCAATTGCAGGGCAGCGTCTGGCTGCCGACCTCCGGATCCGGGTGTCTCATCGGGTTCTGTCACAGCTGTCGCGATGAAATGGTGAGAGGACCCACTTTGCAATAGCGACTGGCAGGTATAGCACACGATTGGTCTGTGGTCTGTGCAGGGAGGCGAGGCAAGGCAAGTTCTGTGAGTTTTGCGCTGACAGATTCATGACGTCGGGGCAGCTTTTGACCGGCAGCGAACCGGCAGCACGATGCTGACACGCATCATCTCGCGTACATCCTGTGATCCCATTCGGATAGTTCGGAGAACTGTTCGTGAACGCTTCTTGCTTGGCGCAAGAGATAGGCCAAGACGCGGTCGCGTCGGTAGACACGGCGCGGCTCTGACCGGCGGGAATTGTCACTGAGGGGAGGCTGTAGCGGCGGAGTCACCTCTTTCATCTCTCCATAAGGTATGAGTCCAGGATGCCAGTTGCGGAAGAAACGCGGATGTCGCCAAATGGACACCAAGAACCAGGTTTGACGTGAAGATGTTGTCGGCTCGGAAGGAGAAATGACGCCAAGTCTGTCAAGGGAGGCGCCGCCGATGCCGTACTGGAGCCTTGTTCACACCTCAGACGTCGCCCATGGGACGTCTGGTTACTACTTCTGAAGACCTCCCTCCACGCGCGGACTATGTCATCGTCGGGTGCGGTATCAGCGGTCCCTCCATCGCATATAACGCACTCTCCAAGCAGCCAAAAACATCCGTTGTCCTGCTCCTGCTCAAGGTGAGAGGCGCGTGCTCGCGTGCAACAGGTCGAAATGGAGGTCACACTGAGGCCGCATCTTCTCGCGCCTTCCGAAGCACGGACGAGCACATGGCCTTCAAGGAGCGATCAAGACCGCAAGGCTAGAGTATGCCACTATCAAGCGGACTCACCAACTTGCCGCAGAGTTGGACATAGATTGCGCCGCCAACTTCTGCGATAGCGCAGACATCATCTACAGTCAACATCAGCTTGACATGGGCCAGGCAGCCATCCGACGCATGGTGGAGACGATGGGTGCAGATAATCCGGCTGCCCAGTATCGTCAAGTATCGTATCCGGACGGCAGAAGAGGCTTCCAGTCAGTTTCTGTCGCCGAACGCTCTCGGCGCTTTCTCACATCAAGCCGGAAGTATCAGCGCGTATCAGTTCACGCTAGAAATTTCTGAATCTAGCGCTCGAACAAGAGCTGAATCTACAGCCCGATACACTAGTGCTTGCAATCGGACAGAGTCCAGGTAAAAACGAAGGGCTTGATAAAACCTCACGGGAATCGATCATGACTTCAAATCTGATTCTTACTACTAATGGCTATACTGCTCACATTCTCCCAGAATTGCCAGGCCTTATAGTACCTCTGCATGGCCAAGTCGTTGCACGGCGATCTGGCACTGGATTACCTCGGAAAAGCTTGCCTATTACTTACTTATACATCCGTGAGAACAGATACGAATACATGATAACACGCCCTCCGGCTCAGTGAACGAAGGCGACATCGTTGTCGGTGGTCGTACTCACCAACTTTCGGATGACGGCGCATCTCGCTTTGGCAACACAGATGATACCTCGCTCGATCCTACTATCTCAGAATTCCTACGCAGTTGCTGGCCGATTGCTTCGGCTCGAAAAACTGGAGCAAAGACCTCCCTGATGGCTGTATTAGACACGAATGAAGCGGTTTTATGGGTGCCTCGGCGGACAGGCTGCCTTATGTTGGCGCTGTTCCCGACAAGCAAGGTCTGTGGATGTGCGCCAGTCTCAATGGCCATGGATTGGTCTGGTGCTTGAAATCTGCCGAAGCCTGGGTGGACATGGTCACTGGACATGAGACATCCCTGAGGAAGCTGGATGAATGGTATCCTTCTTCGGCACTTGTCAACGGAGACGTCGAGCCCAGGACTCCAGAGCGGGGAATGTGCAGCACCAGATCTCTTCTTCTTCGCCGCCACCAGCACCACCGTCCGTCCGAAGAAGACGCAGTTTGTCTGTCCCTCAGCACCAGCGATCTGAAAGACCAACCGACCAGAATAGTTTTTTGGGTGTTGGAGGCGCGTATCTTTTCTTCTCCTCCGCCGTCTTCTTCTACTTCTCCTCCTTTCCCCCCGAAATATTAGACTTCTCCCCCCGACGTAGACTATAGTATCTTATTCGTAAGCGGAAATCTTAATGCCCATACTTAACTATATATATAATTCTCCTCAGCCCCTCATGCATGTTGTCCAACATACGCCCTTACGACGTCCATGTGGGATCTTCTCAGGCGTATCGCTGATGTTCCATCTTCGTGATTGGCGGGTGCATGTCTATGGAAGATGTCAGAGAAGCTGACAAGACGGGGACTATTAACACAGCATCACGTGAGTTGGAAGCTGACTCACCCATGTGAAAAGTCTTGGCATTCAGTCGCCTGAGGTGGTCTGCAATTACGCGCCCACGCTACACAGAGGTGTGAAAAAAATGGAATATTCCTGATTCCAAAAGCGGCCATAAAAAATGGCGTTATCTTTACAGTCCCTTCGAGTTCGGATCGGACGTACTATCTATATACAAAATTTTCGCGACTCGTGTGCACACTAGCACCGGATCGCTCGAAAGGAGGTTTTCTCTTTCGCTTTACGGACGGGGGGTATCTTTGTTTCGTGCCATGTTTTCGTCGCCATCCAACGCGACTGCTAAAAATCTTCATCGTACAAGAATCAGTAGGCCGGCCACTGAGATCTCTGTTGTGGCGGAGGCGAGTGACGTCTCGCACGCTCTTCGTCGTCGGACGCGCCATATTCGGCAAGAATATCGTGTGCGTAGTTGGAGTGGCGTGGTTTCACGGGTGTCACGGCAAGAGGTGCGGTTGCACTACGCTGCGGGACATTGTGATGCGCGGTGCTAAAGTAGTCACCCGTGCTCTGAGCACCGCTGACTGTTATGTTCCGCTGAGGTCCTTGCTGCCATCGTGGCGCCGAGGCGTTGCTGCCAGGGGTGAAAGCCACATAGCCATTCTGTTGTTGCGGCGGCGGTCGCTGGGCATGAGACGGTTGAGATTGCATCTCGTAGCTGTCTGGTGATGCAGATCGAATCTCTGGCAGTGCCGGAGCAGCTGCGGCGAAGGAACGGTTGAAGCTTCCTTGGGAGCCACGCATAGGGCGACCAAAGGAAGGCTGGCTGTGGAGGCTACTGGTAGAACCGCTGTGCTGCAGCGGTGCTGCGCGAAAACCGTCGACTGTATTTGAACGCACTGGCGGAGGATATTTTCTGTCGTACGGACCCTGCGAAGGATTTGACATCGCTGAAGGCGGGCCTTGTTCGAAGCTGAAAGCAGTATTCGATCTAATTGGAAGAGGGATTCGCGGGGCTGGTGTTTGTCGAGGATAAGGATTGCCATTGTTTGGAGTAAAGGGTCGTGTAGACATCGGTGTTTGTGCTCTCGATCCTGACATTGGTGGCCCTGGAGCGTAAGCCCTCCGGGAGCCTATCGTGGTTTGCGAGTCATTGCGACCATGGTATTGATCAAAAGACAAGTTTGAGTCTTGTCGAGTGACCGCGGAAGGCGGTACTGGATAGCCGTCAGGTGCACCAGCGTAGCCTGCGTTCGCAAGGAGAGGGGCGTTAGTAGAGTAGCTGGGCGCTGCCGACCAAGTAGACGCTTGGGTCGTTGTGCGTGTCATGTCTGGTCTACCGCCAACCGAGACGTTGGGCAGAGTCGGCTGTCTCTGAAGACCATCGTTGCGAGTAGGCGGTTGGCTTGTATAGGGTGGAAGGGTGGCTGTGCTTTCGACGGTATCCTGACGAACCAACGGGAATTCCGGAAGCTCATCTTGCTTCTCAGTTTCTGGTGTATCACCAACATTAGGCAGCGTGGGCAAGCTCTTGAGATGAGGTTGTGCCGGCAGAGACAACTCTCCCGTCTTCTGTCTCTTGATTTCTTCTTTTCGAAGGTACTTCTGCTTTTTGCGCTCTTCGTCCTCCAGGGCAGCCTTCACTTTGTGCTCGACAATCTTGGCAAGACGCTTGTCGACCTTCTTCTTGCAGTAGACAGAGAGTCTGCCGTCTCGCTGTGGGATGTAGTGCAACAAGAATGTAATGTAAAGGATTGCCGCCACGATAAGCGACAACGCACTGAAGACCCAGATGACCAAGGTGACCAACATGGAAATGTAGATCATCGCTTCGGTCAGGTCCTGATTTGCAAGCTCTTGAACATTGTACCAGAACTGATCGAAGGAAGAGCGCTCGGCTGATTTTTTGTGGAGAAGGTCGGCCTGAAGGACAGCCCAAAGGGTCATGGCGTTGACGCATTGACGGGGAGCTTCCGCGAGAATGATTCGGATGGCACCTTTGAAGGAGAAGTAGACAAACAATGCCACGTAATCGGCTCCCTTCTTGCTCTTCGTAAGCTCGGTGAAGACCAGGAAGCGCTTCCATCCTCCGCCGGGTCGGGTACTGAGAATGGTGACGGCGGTCGGGTCGAGGAAGCTCTCGGCAACGCCACCTCGTTTGATGACTCTCCATGCGCGGATGAGCTCGTAGAATAGGAGTACGAAGGACAGCAGAATACAGACGGCAAAGATCCATCTGCTGTACTTGAAATCAAGCGCAGGCTTGACCTTGGAGCTCCAATGATTAAAGGCCAGCAAATTGACGGCTGTGTAGGTGTCAAGGGCAACGACAGCAGTCCCGACGAAGGCCATGAACCACAGCCATACGTATGCGGCAACAGTCCAGCCGGAGGTGCACTTGAAGTCGGTCAATGTGAGATAGTCCCATTTCGCCGTCTCTTCTGGCGAGCCTTTCTCGCGATCCGCAAAGCAGCCCATAGTCAGTTCCGTGGTGTTGTTGGATTATTTTGTGGTGTGCCCCTCTCGTCGCCGAGACCAGCAGTGTGAACAGAGGGATCAATTGAAAAGATGTGCCGCCAGGACGGCTCGTGAAGGATTGTGGTCGGTGGTATCGAGTGATGCGAATCGTGAACGAGTGTCGCCTGACCTGCAGACGTGGGGAAGGAAAAGGCCGTTGGCGGTAATGAGTGTGGTCGAGTTCAGAGCATGCGTCTGGTGGGAAGGTAGAATCGCATTGCGTGGAGCGATCTAGCCTGGGTGAAGCGAGGGACAATGGGCGCTGGGCGGGCGACAATGGCAGCTTTTGTTGCGCCTTCGTCAGCGGCAGGAGGACAATGGACCGGATAGAAACTCGGTGAAGGAGACAAAGAAGGCGAAGGGCATCTGGCGAGCCGCTGGCAGCTGGGCGTTGCGGTGTCAGAGGTGTAGGGGTTGGAGTGACCGTCGCCCTCGCGGTCGCGGTCGCTGTCGCTATTGTCGGCTCGGCGCGAATGGAATTCAGCAGACATGCGACATTACAGGGTCCATGTGGCCGGTGAACGCGCTTTGGCCGGACTGGTCGCAGAGGAGCGAAGATGAGTGGCGCCCGCGCGCGGCAGGAGTGCAGCGGAGTGGTGCAAGGAGATGTTGTGTGATGGTGTATGTGTGTATGTGCACCTCGTGTTTCGACGGCTCACGCCCGGCGGCACACACCGCGGCTCCATGCCCGTTTCACCTTAGAACTACCCTCCCGGCGCTAAGCATCAGACCCATCCGACGTCCAATCGCTGCTACTCCTGATCAACGTTCGAACGCTTCGACACACTCGCACAGTGTGCAGTGCTCGGAGAATAATAAATCGCTTATCACAACCACAATCCACAGTCCTACACAATGGAGGATAACCAATCGAGGACTATCAGCATCATCTGCCGATGTATAGACCCATACACTGAGTGACGCTGTCGGCCTCTCTGGTAGGTAGAGGACGGGGATATGCAGCTGTGCAGTGTCTGGGACATGCTAGCTCGCCACGTGTGACGCCTCAGGCCGAAACCCCCACTCTCGCGTCTGGGGGCAGATATTTTTCTGCTGACCACACAGTCACCGACATTAACATGGCTTCCGAACACGCTCCCATCTTGTCCACGCCCGCTGAGCATATCCTGGAGGAGGCTGCTCCAGTCGTCCTACCATCAACCGAAGCCCGTCTCACGGAAGATCAACTCCATCTCCAATATGAGATCAAGAGAACAATCAATGAGATCCGCCAAGGACGGTGGAAGCGCATTGCTTTGCAGTTTCCCGATGCAATGCTGAGTGACGCGCCACGCGTGTTCGAAGCTCTCCGGGATGGCCTGAAGAATTCGAGGCAAGCATCGCGGCCTCAACATCCTTCGTCCCACACCAATGAACCCACACACGACGTCACCGAGACACTGCAGAGGGCATCGTTGAGCGATCCGAGTCTTGTAGGTGACGCTGGCTTTGACGAAATCGACGAGAAGCTCACCATCCTCGGCGACACATCTTACGGTGCATGTTGCGTGGATGAGGTCGCTGCAGAACATGTCGACGCCGACGTGGTAGTGCATTATGGAAGATCATGCCTGTCGCCTACCGCGCGGCTACCAGTCATCTATGTCTACACTTCGAAACCACTGGATCTAGACATGGTTGTTAAGAGTTTCCTCTCCACCTTCCCGAACAAGCATGACAAGATCTGTCTCATGGCCGACATCCCTTACGGCCATCACCTGGATACCCTTCAAGAGCGACTTGTACGAGATGGCTATGGTCACATCTTCAGCACGCAAATCATTCGGGATCATACGTCTCCTTTGCCAAATCGGACTGTACCAGCGCAAGTTCAAGAGAATACCGAGACGTTGAAGGAGTATTCCATCTTTCACATCTCCAATCCTCCTGCCTCTCTTCTACTCATTCTCTCCTCTCGTATCAAGAGTATACACATTCTCCCTACAGATACTTCGGCGCCAACGACCGTGGAAGCTTCGACCGCTCAGCTCCTGCGAAGGCGCTACGCACTGCTGACACGTTTGAGTACGGTCCCTATCTTCGGCATCCTGATCAATACTCTTTCCGTGGCCAACTACATGGACGCCCTCGAGCACTGCCAGGGTCTCATCTCACGCGCGGGGAAGAAATCATACACTTTCGTGGTCGGGAAAGTCAACGCCGCCAAGGTTGCCAATTTCAGCGAAATCGGCGGTTGGGTGGTCATTGGGTGCTGGGAGAGCAGCTTGATTGAGAGCAAGGAATTCTTCAAGCCCATCATCACCCCATTTGAGCTGGAGATGGCTTTGACAGACGACAAGGAGAGGGTGTGGGGTGGCGAGTGGGTGGGCGATTTTTCGCAATTGCTTGGCAAAGAGCGCAAGCTCACCATGAATGGAGGGCAAACCGGCGAATTGAACGGGAATGATGAAATCGCAAGCACAGGAGAAGGAAACTGGGACGATCAACCTTCCGATGATGAGCCACCTGAATTCGACCTGAGAACAGGCCGCTACGTCAGTAACAGCAGACCTATGGGCCGGCCGACGAGAGCACAAGCTACAAACGGCGAGAGCTCCACGGGGAAAGGCAATGGCGCCGCACCACCTTCGTCGGCTCTGGTACAAAGAGCAAAAGGCGACGTTGCGACAGTCGGCGGGCAAGTCTCTCCTGCTGCCGAATTCCTCCGCTCTAAACGAACGTGGCAAGGTCTTGGAAGCGACTTCGAGATTGCGTATGATAGAGACGAGGATGGAAAGATTCAAGGCGCGGCAATGGAAGAAGGGAGAAGCGGTGTTGCCAAGGGCTACACAGTTGGTGAGAGTGAGAGGACTTGAGTTCACATCTCAATAATCTCTTCCCCAGCAGTCTAGCAAAGTCTCAGGCCTACGGCAAAGTCCGAGGGCGCAAAACGACCGGTGACAAACAAGGGGTGCTGCTTGATGTGTGCGTAAAGCTGTTCAACTATCGTTGGCGAGCTCCGTCCATGGCTATATATCTCGAGTCCACTCTGGCTCGGTGCTCCCAGACAGTCAGCATCTGAGTATCTCCCCATACCTCAACCCGTCTACTTCCTCAGCAGCGGACGCCAAGAGCGAAGTCATCGAAGAAATTCGCTCTGCCGCAGCAACGTATTGCTTCCTCCAAATTACCGGACATGGCATCTCCCGCGACTCCCAAAGAGAAACAATCGAATGCTGTAAACGCTTCTTCGCCCTCCCAGTAAAAGGGAACGAAAAGTTTTAAGTTCAAGTAGTCCGACTCGGCAGGAGGATAGGAGGACGAGGGAGCAGGTTCTGGATCAGAAGGCTTTGCCTGATGACAAAGAGATAAGTACACAAGCTTTTCTTTCTAACAGTTGTCGCCTCGACCGTCTCGCTTATGATGGGGATGGGGAGGAAGAGAAAGGAAAGACGATGGAAATGCATGTGAGGAGAAAGTTTGATGGTAGTTATGGGTTGAAATGAGGGTTTGTTGTATGGTGTGGTATAGGGGAGGTGTTTCTCTTATATGGACATGCCTAACATAGTTGATCGTATGGCTCTTGGGTTGCATGGCTGTGACAGGGCCTATCGAGATCGATACCGCTGCCTGTCTTTCCATGTACTGTCTCCCATTTCACTCCACACCAGGGAATCATTTATAGCCTCTCCGCAAGCGTCATGCCATAGACCAACATCGCTCCAAGACCGATGACATTCGCCAACGAACTCGCTCCATGCAACTTGGCGAAAGAGGAATTCAATCGTTGCATCTCTGCGCTCTTCGGCCCTGGGTCGTAATACTTCTTTCCATCTCTCGTTTCTATCCCACCACATCAGCATCTTAATCAACACCTCCTCTCGTCACTCGATTCCAAGACAAGACTCACCCTGATGTTTCCTCTCCTTCATAACCTTTGTCGTCGCAGGTCCCAACACCAAAAGATTCGCCAAACTCGTCACAAACATCGTGGCAATCGGCAGCATGGCTATCCATCTATTCTCTTCTTCTAACAATCCCATCGGGCCCGCATTCTTTCGTATGGAGGCGATCTTCTCGCCGGGCCATGTCAGTGCTAGCACTAAGGGCAAGACCGTCTGGAAGCCAAAGTAGGGCGGGAAGATCGCCTGTTGGAGGACGCTGAAGGAGGGTCGTGGGAGGGCTTTGAAGGCCAGGGGACCCGCGAGGAAGGTCTGGAAGAGGTTGGAGCCGAGGAGGGTTCCGTAGGTGAGGATGTGGTAGTTCTTTGGGTCGGCGAGGGATGAGAGGGTCGGCATCGTAGGCGAATTTTTCCGTTTTGGATAAGTCTTGGGTGGGAGGTTAGAGGTTAGTGGTGGGAGAGACGAAGGTCGGTAATATAATCCGAGGCACGTCTTGTGGTGAGAGCTGTCATGAGATCATTGAGCTTGTGAAGAAGTCCGATTTATGCACGCGTCCTGGTCTTGGTCTTGGGCTTGTGCATCAAGCACCCAATTCTCAGGTTCAGACGAATTTGCCGTGTTACGAATTTGCCGTGTTGAAAACAGCTGCAATGCATGTCGCTGTGCTTGCGGTGCGAATGTCACGCTTTTGCCGGAGGAATTCCAATGTATCTCGTCGTAGCTGCCCAAAGTGTGCGCAGAATCATGTGATGACGCGCACTAGCGCGATTGCTGCCTCGCGAGGCGTCTTGAACGTGTAACATTAAATTACATTAGGTCGCTTTGATTTCGGGACTCAAAGTGTTCATTTCATCAAAGTGACAGCCATCATGGCGGCGAAAGAGGCGACGGTTTACATTGTCGATGTCGGCAAGACCATGGGCGAGAAGGTGAGCGATGGAACGCTTCACGAAACAAGCGGATTGCAAGACGCCGCCAGATCCATTGATACATAGCTGACACTTCGAAGAGCCATGGCCGGACTCAAACTAACCTAGACTGGGCACTGGAATATGTATGGGACCGGATCACTGCCACAATATCTACTGGACGTAAGACTGCAATGCTCGGCGTTATTGGCCTACGGACAAATGACACAGTGAACCCACTGCAAGATGAAGCGGACTACCGGCATATCAAGGTTCTCAAGGAGATCGATCAAGCGCTGATGCCGGATGTGCGACGATTGCGAAACGAGCTGGTCGTCAGCAACAACAGCGCGGGAGACGCGACATCGGCGTTGATTATCGCAATTCAGATGATTTCCGAAAAGTGCAAGAAGCTGCAGTACCTCCGCAAGATTGTGCTCGTCACTGATGCCCGCGCCAACATGGACGTGGACGATCTTTCCATGATCACAGACAAGATCAAGGAAGACAAAATCGAGCTCACGATCCTTGGAGTGGATTTCGATGATCCGGAATATGGTTTCAAGGAAGAGGACAAGGACGTCTCGAAAGCTGAGAATGAGGAGATTCTCAAGACTCTATGCCAGGACTGTGATGGCAATTGTGGAACACTGGCTCAAGCAGTGGACGAGATACAAATTCCGAGATTGAAGTCGACCAGGCCGGTGGCTTCGTACAAAGGCTATCTGACACTTGGCAATCCAGGTGAATACGAAACTGCAATCACCATCGATGTTGAGCGGTACCCTAAGACCATGACCGCTCCAGCTCCAACAGCAAGTAGCTTTGTCCTTCGAAGCGGTGTTCCTGATGCCAGCCAGCACACCGCGACGCAGGAGAACGGTGACGGCGGGCAAGAAGACGGGGACGGCTTGTCCAATATCAAGAGAGCATACACATATCAAGTCGTTGACGAAGAAGCTGCTGGTGGCAAACGCGACATTCCGTATGATGATCTATCGAGGGGCTACACGTACGGCAGAACCGCCGTTCACATCTCGGAGAGCGACCGCAATGTGACAGACTTCCCTACCTCACCCGGACTTGATCTCCTTGGCTTCGTCGACAAGCACCAGTACCATCGCTACCTGGACATGGGCCGAGCACACATGATTGTCAACCAGAAGACCAATGACAAGGCATCAATGGCGTTGTCGTCACTCATTCGGGCTCTGTACGAGCTGGATTCCTATGCTGTGGCCCGACTGGTACCAAAGGAGAATAACAAACCTCAGATGGTGCTGCTTGCGCCAAACATCGAGCCTGACTTTGAGTGCCTTTATGAGGTGGGATTACCTTTTGCCGAAGATGTGCGCAACTTCAAATTTCCTCCTCTTGATCGTGTCATAACTGTCAGCGGCAAGTCGTTGAAGGTTCATCGGTGTGTGATCACCCTACAAAAAACTGCAACCTTGCATACTGATACCACGGTAGGAACTTGCCGAATGATGACTTGATGAGCTCTATGAGCGATTACGTGGACAGTATGGACTTGTCTACCTTTGCCCGAGACGATGAAGGCGAACCAACAGAATATGCTCCTCCGGATGAGACGTACAGCCCACTCGTGCATCGACTTCACCAGGTCATCAAGCATCGCGCCATCTTCCCTGAATCACAGCCTCCGAAACCCTACGAGATACTGGTCAGATTCTCTCAACCGCCTGGAGATCTGGTGGAGAAGGCTGAACCTGCGCTGCACAAGGTCATCAAAACTGCCGAGGTTAAGAAGGTGCCACCAAAAGCTCGAGGCAAGCGCTGGAGCCGAAAAGATGCTCCAAAGCCGCTTTCAGATCTTGATGTCGCTGCCTTGCTCGCTCAAGATCCCCAGCGGAAAGGCAAGCAGATTGATCCGAAGAATGCCATTCCAGAATTCAAGCAGATACTGGAGAACGCGGAGAAGATTGAGGAGATTCATGATGCATGCAAACAGCTGAAGTTCATCATCTTCGACTGGATCAACCACTCCGTCGGCGACTCGAAGTATCAGCAAGCGCTGGAGGCCATTGGGGTCATGCGTGGAGAGATGCTCGAGCTCGAGGAAGCTGCTACGTTCAACGAATTCATGAAAGAGCTCAAGAAGAAGATTCTAGGAGGAGAGCTTGGAGGCGACAGAAAAGAGATGTGGTACAGAGTGAGGACAAGTCGACTGAGGCCGATCGTGAAAGGCGAATGCCAGGGAGCAGAGATGACTGAAGAGGAGGGCAAGCAGTTTATGATACCCCAGTGAAAATTTGATTAGTGCGGCGCTACTGGTGAGTGAATGAGTAGTTTGACATGATGAGCTTCGGGAAAACAGCACCGCATCAATGAGAGAACTTTTGACGCAGAAACAGTCAAGACTCTGCGGGTAACAGAATCATCTCGAGCTCATGATAGCACTTCCGAGCCGTTGAGGATACTGTGCGCTGTTCATGTGGCAACAAGACCCGCCAGCACGATCAGGACAATACTCAAAACAACATCCCGAGCTCACAATAGCCCTTTGAGCCATTGACAGCATAGAGAGCTATTCGTCTCGCAACCAGACCCACTGGGACATTCCAAGGCAACAGAAAAATCCCAAGCTCACAATAGCTCTGGAAGCCACTGAGGGCATGAAAAGCTATTCATTCGACAACAGGCCCACCGAGATACTACTCACAATAACAACGTCCCGAGCTCACAATGGCTTTCTGAGCCATCGAGAGCATTGATAGCTATTCATCTCGCAATATGACCCACCGGGATAGTCTGGACAATAAGAACATCTCGATCTCATAACAGAAATTTGAGCCATTGAGAGCATACACAGCTATTCATTCGGGAACGAGACCCACCGGGACAGTATGGACATTTCCGGTGACAATAGCTAATCGAGTTCACGTTACGTTTGCTAATCTACCGACAATACAGCTCACAATACAGCGGGTTGACCCGCGGATAATAGGACTCACAATACAGCGGGTTAGCCCGGGGACAATAGAAGCGGGAGCACAATAGCGAGGGAGAAATATATCTTGCCGGTGAATCTGCCTTCCTTTCCTCTTTCTTTTCTTTCCTCTTCAGGTCCCTCACTCTCTCTCTCTCTCTCTCTCTCTCTCTCTCTCATTCATCCATCGCCAGCGCCCCCGGCATGGATCCCCTCATCAACCTGCTGTGCTTCATAGCACTCCTCACCATCCTCTTCGAGATCTCCCTCCCGCAGGTTCGGGAGAGTTTTGTCTACCTCGCCGTCTCCGCCGCCAGCAAGCTCTGGGTAAGTCTGCCGGCCTCACCTACATGGCTCCTGACATACGTGCTGACTTTTGCTTGCAGCTCCTCTTCGTCTTCTCCGGTCTCGTGTATACCTGCTGGATGGGTATACAGAATCTCCTCCTCGACCTCTCCGCCGCCGCCAACGAGCTCTGCTCCGCGGTCGTTTTTTGGCTCTCCTTTTGGAGATACGCCCTCGCTTGCTTCCTGGCCTGTGGTCTTTTCTCTCTTCGCTTGCTCGCCGCCAACAAGGTCTTGCCCGCGCCACCGCCGCCGCCAACTCCACCAAGAGCGCGCTCTCCACCACCTTGCAGACCTGCCGCCGCCCGCCCGCCGCCGCCGCCGCCGCCAAGTCCTCGCCCAGCAAGCAAGCCGGCCTCTCTTTCTCGCTTTGCCTGGCCAGTCTACGATCTCGCATTAGACTGGCCGGAGAACTCGGACCGGATGGCGAGCGAGAAGAAGATCCGTCTCCTCGCCGAGCAAGCGCGCCTGAGGATGGGTATCACCCTCCTCGGCATCACCACCACCACCACCACCGTCGCCGCCGCCGCCTCTGCTCCTGCGACTGCTCCCGCTCCTGCTCTCGCGCCTGCGCCCGCTGCTCCCGCTCCCGCGCCTGCTCCCGCTGCTGCTCCCGCTCCCGCTCTCGCTCCCGCGCCTACTCCCGCGCCTACTCCTGCGACTGCTCCTGCTCCGGCTCCCGCGCCTGCTCCCGCTGCTGCTTCCGTTGCCACGGTCCCGAGCAGCGCTGCGGAGGTGCAGCCCGGCTACACGGCCGGCAACTTCTTCTTCCATCGCCAGATGACTCTGCGCCTCGCGGCCGATACGGCCATGAAGATCCTCATCAAGGCGCGCGACGCGTTGGACGGTTGGTTTCAGCACCACCAGCACGACTTCCTGGTCCTCGCCGCCGCCGAGCCATCGGCCAACACTCCTCTCCGCCTCATGATCCGTGAGCTGTCGTTCTTCCTGGAACTCCTTCAGCTCGGCAGAGAGGGATGGGCGTTGGTGGACCTCCCGCACCGATTCTACCACGACGCGCTGGGCCAGACGGCCATGGTTGAGATGCTCCTGGTCGAGCTGACGGGGCTGTATGGCTGCCCGGTCTGGGTGCAAGAGGAAGGCCTACTGACGGTGCAGCGCATCTCAAGAGAAGTCCAGAGCCTACAAGCTGAGCGCCTTCGCCTTGAAGGCAGGGCATGATTGATGGATAGCATTGATGAATGAAGCGCCAGTCACGGCATGTCGACGAAACTGTTCAATTGCATCCTGTTCAATTGCATCCTGTTCAATTTCATCTTGTCCAATTGCATCCTGTTCAATTGCATCCTGTCCAATTGCCAATTGTATCCTGTTCAATGGCATGCTGTCCAAGAGAATTCCATGTAGTCTCGTGAAGAGAGTGAAGTCAACGACATGGTAAAGTATGGTGCCGGTGCCTGTGCCCGATAGCTCCGACGGTGGAGCCTCGGCAGATACTCCGAGTGGCGCGCGACACGAGTGGAGCTGACAGGCACAGGGTGCACAGGGCAAGCCGGAAGCCTGTCCCTGAGCAAGCTGACAGGGACAATTATTGACGGGAAGCTGACAGGCACAAGCATTGTCATTAATATTGTGGCAGTGTGCACGCAAATAGAGACGGGCATTACCTAAGTTGCATCTCCTGGGCCTGAGACAGCCAAGACAGGGCACTGCAGCGACCAGGACACCGGCGGCATTCTGACCGTGGCGCAACTTCGAGGGGAGCGACGTCTCATCTCCAGCAATCATTCCATTTCCTCCTGCACCACCTCCATCACATCACACATCTCAGTCCGATCCTCCACGACACGACGCGACACACTTCCTCCGCCGCTCCATAATCTCCATCCGCTCGGATACCGACACACACTCGCTCCATGATATGCTCCTAACCTCCATGGGCAGAGGCCCCAAAGTGGCCCTCTTGGCGGCCGTCACACTCACTTTCCTCCTCATCCTCCACATCATCTCGCCATCCGCTTGGCGTCCCACCTGGCGCCTGCCAACCACTACTGCACAGACTGGAGACGGCACATCCTCTCCGCCGCCTGCCGCAGCACTGCAGCAACACGACCACACGTCCGGCAAATTCAATCCACAGCAAGCTTCACAACAAGCTTGGTCGCATTACGATCCTAATGATTCTACCGCGGATTCCTCGTCGCCAAGGCCCAAAGGCTCACACGCGAACAAGCCGAAGCCCAAACCGAAGCCCGACTTAGCGCCATGTCAGAAGCTCGAGGGTGGCGAGGATGTCCTCGTGGTGATGCGTACTGGCGCCACCGAAATCAAAGACAAGCTACCCGTACATTTCAACACGACATTCAAATGCTACCCCAATTATATCATCTTCTCCGACTACGAGGAAGACTTCCATGGTCACCAGGTCCACGACGTCCTCAAATATATCCCCGATGAGATCAAGACGACCAACGTCGATTTCCAACATTACATGCATGTCCAGGAAGTCGGACGTCAAGGCCTCGACAAAGCCGAGCTTTCCGGTCAAGTCAGCGAGGAGAGTGGGCCGGTGGGCAAGCTTGACAATGCTGGCTGGAACCTCGACAAGTGGAAGTTCTTGCCCATGGCAAACGAGACCTTGGCTCGCCATCCCGACAAGAACTGGTTCGTTTTCGTCGAGCCCGACAGCTATCTCGTTTGGTCCAGCTTTCTGCAATGGATTCCGAAGCTGGATCCCTCCAAACCACTCTACGTGGGCAGTGAGGTCATGATAGGAGGAGATATCTTTGCCCATGGAGGCTCGGTCTTTCTCCTGTCAAAGCCAGCCATGGAGAAGTTGGCCAAAGTCTACAATCACCAAACGGCTGAGCTGCATGAATACACCGCTGGTCACTGGGCCGGTGACTGTGTTCTCGGAAAGACGTTGCATGACGCGGGCGTCGATCTTACCTGGGGTTTTCCAATGTTCCAAGGTGGCAACCCATCCATCTCCATGGATTGGGACGATGGGAAAGGGCCCAGAAAGCTTTGGTGTACACCCGCCATGTCCTACCACCACTTCATCCCCTCCGAGATTGACGAATTCTGGCACTTCGAGCAGCGCTGGATCGAGGAACAGAAGAGAAATTCGCATGTGAAAAGCCGAGCAGCATTTTCGCTTTGGCCCAAGGATATGAGTGGCGTGCTACACCATCGGGATACATTCAAGCAGTTCGTATTACCGAAAATCTCATCGGAGCTTAAGAATTGGGACAATACGCCGGACTGGATACACCCGGATACCATGGGGATGAAGATGAAGGATTGCCGAGAATTGTGCAGAGCCAACAGCACCTGTCAAGCGTACTCCACGAGTGAGCTCGGATGCTCGATCGGACCGAAGCCGTACACAGGTAGGAAGAAGAAAGGTGTCTCCTCTGGCTGGTTGATGGAACGCATAGAAGCGTGGCAGGGGACGATCGATCGTTGCAGCGGACAGGATCGGTGGGTGACTGATTGAAGCGGGCTTGGATTTAAGATTTGAAGATCATGCATTCTGAGGTTGAGCGAGGTCGCTCTCTCATCATTCTGGAGTCCAGTACAGTGAAGAATCGGTGCCGGCAGAAGCACCGCACGTCTCACTCGGACCATCACAATCGGGCCGCTGGCAGTCTGGGCAGTACCAGGAGATCTACGCCCTCCCTCATCGGCAGAGTGATAAGGTACGCACTCGTGAAGCCGATTGTTGACGCAGTTGTAATTACCTTACAGACGACCATAGAAAAGCCTCAGAAAGACACCATCTGTCTCACAGCACCGAGCGGAGCAACGTTTCAGCGAGCGAGCGAGATTCTCAGCGAAGCCAAAGGCCAACTCAAGATTCTTCTCTAATCTTTCTCTTCGGTATTGCTTCTGGTCACGCAGTGCATCCTGCCGTCTCGTCGGCAGTCGCGGGCTAGACTCTTGTTTTGGTGAAGACACCCAGGACCTCCGTATCTCCCCGGTTTACCCCAAAGTAGCACGGGGACATTGCTCATCCGAATCGATGCGATGGAGCCAAACTATGTCAGGGGTTTTTCGCCCACTTCATCGCTCTTCTCACACCTTATGATACCGTAGCGTCTTTTCCATCACGCCACCCGCGCTACGGGGTCAAGAGAATGATCAATCCTTCCTTCTCAAATCAATAATCCTGTCCGCATCGAGGACAACTCCGCCACCATCCTGTCGCTTTCTTCCTTCTCTTTCTCTTTCTCTTCCAATCCACCAATGACGCCGGAAAAGAACTCCGAACAGTAACAACAACAATAATAACAGGAGGAAGAAAAAAGATGTCCTGCACTTCCTCCCGACAAGATATCTTCACCACCAGAATCGACGCGATAAAGGACCAAACCGTCATCGACGCACAAGAAAGGCTTCCAAGGCAGAAACAGAAAATGTCTCTCCTTTAGGGATTCCAAATTATATTCCATAAACACTTTTCGAATCGGGACAGATTTCAACAACGCGGACAAGACGGTAGCTATGATGGTGCATACTACTAGTACTGCTCTGGAACAAGACAATAACTCAAGGAGCGAAAATTCTGAATGGCTAAAATTCTTTTTGGTATTTATTCGACTGTACATCCACCCCTGGAGTGTTTCTTTCGAGTCATTATCTTGTCTGAACTTGTCATATTCTCATCTCTTCGTTTTTGGGGTATCAAAAAGGCCGTCTCCGATTTGCGTTGTCATTGCTCTTGAGTGTGCGTGGAATTCGAGCTTTCAGCCGGGATGAAACGTGCGTGGTCGGAGGCTGGAGGCACGCTGGCATTTCGAGCTCTGATTGCCGATTCTTCTTCACAGGTCGCCGTCCGTTGTGCGTACTGAGAACGTCCTTGCCGGATTCAAGGGCCTCGCGGGTCGAGGTGGCTCTCGGTACGCACCTTGGCTGTTGCGGCACTCGACGGGGCATGGTGCCAGTCGAGGCAAGTGGTCATATGTATCAAGCAATCATCCTCCCCCTTTCTTCAGTCATTTTCCTCGGGGTCTGGCTCATCTAATCCACAATGGCCGAGTGAAGGACACATGTCAGTGGGTGACATGTGTATCTGCCAGAAATTCGCCACTTTCGGGTAGACGTCCTTGATTTTCTCGTCGTATTGAGGATGCGTAGGTGGCTCGGTCAAGATACTCTGTCGGTGTCCAGTCTCGAGGTAGTGCATGAACTGTTTCGAAATCTTCACGTACAATAGAACTCCTTCTCGGGCGTCGACAGTCGATCCAGTCGTCCAAGATAGTAGCAAAGGTTCTACCAACGGCGCATCGGTGACCGAGGGATGTGTAGTACCTTTGGCTGTGACGAACCAAGCAAATTTGCGTCTCTCTTCGATCAGTCTCCGGGCGATGTCCTTGACAACTTCGAAGTGCGGCCTGCCGTTGAAGATGGAATGCTTTGCCGACCAGGACTGAGAGTGAACGATGACGATCGGCACGTTGATATCATCGTTGAGAGGGCCTGACTGCTTGCCTGGGTCGAACATTAGGCCGCCAACAAATGGCCTGTCCTCATTTGGCGCGGTCTTCAATGCCTGCAATGCGAGCGTTGCGCCGTACGAATGTCCCCCAATAACCATGCGATCCATCATGAACCTTCCTTTGAAGGATACCAGGCCTTGTCCTTCCATGCGCGCATTGCTCTTGAATACTTCCTCGCCGTGACCAGTGTGTATTCTCTTCAGTACCCGCACCGTCTCTTCTACTTCTGCCTGTCGCATGGCCAGCTGCATAGCTTTCAAGTCCCCAGTCTCGGGCTGCGGATCTAACATACGCGCAGTAATATGAAAGCGAGGTTTCTTAACACCCTGCCCTGGCATAACTATGCTGCCTGGTCCCGATCCGTCTCGGTGTTCGATTGCTGCTACGATGAACCCTCTTGAAGCCATCTCGCCGCACCATTGTGTATAGCTCGTCCTGCTGCTAGCCATTCCATGCGAGAAAACGATTACGGGGAATTGTGGGAGGCCATACTCGTCCAATGGCTGCTCCGCCTGGTATTCGGAGTCGTGAAAGCTCTTCGTGGTGCCCTGCAACGGTACGTCGACATTGGCGGGTATTGTAGTGCTCCCGGCGAGCATCCATAGCCCAAACGTGAAGAGGCCGTTGGTGAAAACATTGTTGATACGCGCGAAACGCGCAAGGCCTTCGCCGGCGAGCGCGAGCGGCTTCGGTATCCACGGGTGATGTGGCACTCTTGATCTCACCCCCTGGACAGCGGGATAGTATAAGGAGAACAACACCGTCTCCAGCTCAAACGCTGGATGTGTCGTGCCCTTGAAGACAGCATCGGCAGCCTTTCGCTTCTCGCAGGGCACCTCAATGTCGATAACACCGACCTCATGGGGACCCGAGTACCGGGGCAGCTTGCTGCTGAGCAGAGGCATGTCCAGAAGGAGGCAGATGGCGGCGTAGAAGGCGAGAATGAACAAGAGGTATTTTGACAAGGTCCATGAAGTAGCCCTTGCTCGTCTCCGACGAAAAACGGCAGTGCATAGTGTCATATCCGGCGGGTTTGGTGCCTGTGTGATTGGGGCTAGTGGGTGCCAATGGGATGATGATGTCGTCCTCGTCGGCCGCGATCAGTAGACATCCATGATGCATCATGTAAGGTGGGTCGTTTCTTTTGGCGTTCTGGCCTGACAGCGCGGCGAAGCTTAACCTGCCAAGGCATCCCGTCAAAGCCGGCGCTCCCCGCCTTCCATCCCTGCCGTGAGAGCTGCGCGATCTCACTACGAATATCTCCGCCATCTTCCGCTCGTGTCGGTCACCCCACATGGCAGCAGAGCACGTGTGTTGTGAGTGATAGGACTGTCTTGACGCGGTGGCTGTACAGAACGCGTAATCCATTCCAACAACAAACGTTGCGCACGACGTGAGCAATTTGACACACCAAAGCATAACGATCCGCCTATCGCATCGCCCTGATATCACCTCCGCCGAGCTCCGGGCTGACGCGCAGTCGACCGTCTTCTTCGCAATCTGCCCTGTTCTACGAGAGCGAAGCTTTGATCCACGCGAAGTACGTCCGACTAGTAATGAACGCACATGCTTATTTCGACTGGCCAAGCCGAGCCTAGCGACCAAGAGCTCGTTTGCTTCGGATGCATGTCGATGTCGACTAATATGGCATACGCTGGCAGGCAGTGCCGGTGTCGTTGAACGGCCGCAGGGCTGTGGTAGTCGCGCGTCCCGTGCAAACTCCCACTTCGCGATGAATCGCTTTCGGTCGGTGCTTCCATCGCACGGCCGTGTGAGATGGCTGTTTCCACGCGGCAAGAATATCTCGCTCTCCGTCTCTATCGATGCCTTTCCCGCTCGTAATAGCTCTTGCAGCTTGTTTGGACAAAGACGCGTTCCTCTCGTTGCTTTGCTGGAGCTGTGGTGTATCCGACGATCGACCTCAATAGTTGCCTTTTGGTGCTTCACCCCGTGCTACGCAGCTCTTTCATTCCAATCTTGCTGATGCCTGCCCAATACCGCTCCTGTCCATGAGTATTGATAAATAACGTCTTCAAACTCCATTACCATCCTCACTTCATCTCGACAACATGCCTCAGCTCCTTCTTCACACTTTCCGCCGCATCCCTAGCCACCTCTTTTGGGATAGTGAGATCCGGCACATTGCCTCCATTCGTAGTGCTCTTGGTCTCTTCATTCGGCGACTGCAGCGAAACAAGCTGCGACACGGCCCTCAAAGCCTCATCGTACGTCGTTGCCTCTCCACTCCGGAATAGCTTTTCAACATAATCGCGTACATGTTGTGTCCATCCTGCTTCGTCTAATCGGCGTTCGAAGGTCTCCTGGATTCGTTTGACGCCGCCGCCGTCTACTAGAGCGTGGTTGATTTGGTCTTGTGTTGTTGGGTTATAGCCGGACGTGCTGCCGTTGACGGCGACCTTTTTGGTTTCGGGACCGGCCATCTTCTTGCTTCAAAGGTTCAATGGAAACGCGAGAGGATGATCGTAATTGAGATTGAACGCGAGGTTGTTGGAAGAAGAGAAGAAAGAGCTTCGTATCTCGAAAATGCAGGAGCCTGGAACGCTAGCGCAGGTACCGACCGACTGGATTGCGCTTGCCGTATACGGCGACAGTCACATGCTACCCTGGCAAAGACTTCTTCCTTCTCACAGTTCTCAAACTTCTGTCGAGAACACCGACTCGCACGAAATCCAGTTTTAACTCGTCTTTCGCATTATCAGAGGATTCAGTCTCTTTTCGTTCCGTGCATATCTAGGCAGCCAAAAAAAACTCCCAGTCTCGCTGTCATCTCGATAGCCGCCCTTCTGCGACGCTGCCAAATATGCATCAACGCTTGCCTGCTTGGCCAGAGAAGCTCCCTAAGCGAAAGGCGAAGCGCATTATGTCTGCCGCACTGCCGACCACCGCACTTGTAACGATAATAAGCTGAGCAATTTGGTCTCTATCCTGCCGATGAATAGGCCTTTCCAGCAATCCACAAAGCATCCTATCACATTGAGAAGTTATTCCGATGGGCACTCCAGCGTATTTGCCATTGTCCGACTGGATGTTGCCCATGTTTCCGCAACAGCACTCTGGAAGCAGATCGTCTCCTACTGCGCAAAGATTCTGTATGACCAGAGTGTTTGCAGAGGACGTCCGCTTGCATGAGACGTTTGTTGAAGTGGACTCACTACTGATCAATGACCTTGATCCTCTCCACGCCCACCCTATCCGCTTCTTCATTCAGAGCATTCACCTCAGCCTCAACATATGGAATGCCGGACTTTCGTCTCGACTCTTCCGTTATCTGCTCAATTTCACCAGGAAAGTAAATCCGATCAACGCCTGCCATTTTGTCTGACTCGACGACACGCTTGTACAGATAATCCATCCGCTCACGGAAGTCGTCCAGAGACATGAACAGATCCGGCTTAATGGCAATAAGGAAGTGGCCGACGTCTGCTGGTTTGCTGGGATCGTATGGATTGGTGACGTGTCCTGCGAAGGCACTCCCGGATAGCACGCCGGAGAAGACGTCCATCACTGTCAAAATGTCAACTCTCGACCCAGAGCGGAAGTCTCCAATACTGACTTATCGACAAAGCCGACCCCTTTGGTCCTCCCATAGGCAACATGACGCCGTCCAATGCAGCAGCCGGATCATTCGTCTGCCTTCCCTCAGCGTCCAAGGCCCAATCTATCGGAATCTTCTCTCCTCTTCTCTTCGCCTTGTAAATCTTTCCCCTCGCCGCCACGGACGGGGCCATATCAAGTATGAAAGGCTTCTCCTTTCCTCCGGGAGCACCGCAAGCAATAGGACTCACACCCATAAGTTTCTCTTTCCCGCCCCAGACCGGTAAAGCTGGCGACGAGTTCGTAAACACCAAACTCATCATCCCAGCATCAATAGCCTGCTGAACGACCCAAGCCGACATGCCGAAATGATTACTATGCTTCACACTCGCCATTCCAATCCCGTACAACTCCGCCATTTGAATCGCTTTTGCCATCCCGTTGTGAGCGGCTATGAATCCGAATGCATTGTTTGCATCTACCTGCGCGACTACAGGGGTGATTTCTCGGAGGGTAGGTTGTGCCGTGGCGTCCAGGACTCCTTGACGGATGCGAGCCATATAGGATGGGATGCGATTGATGCCGTGGGTGTCTACGCCTCTGAGATCGGCTGCTACGAGGCATTTTGCTACTATTTCGGCGTTCTCCTGCGGGACGCCGTTGCCTTTTAGGATTGCTTCTACGAAGGATTGGGCGTCTCGGGGGTTGACGTGGTATTTTTGGGTTTCTTCTGTTGGGTTTGAGGCCATGGCTGATTCCTTCTTGCAGATGGATCGCTGAAGATGTTGAGAACTCTTGATCTCTTGCTGCTCTGGTCTGTCCAATGTTCAGACCGGGTTGTTTTGTTGATGAGAACGAAGACGACGATGGCTTGGGAGAGTGTCTTGACGAATGGTGCTGTCAGCCCATCTGCGAGGTCGGAGATTCGTGCATGAGGAGGCTCGCAAGCATTGCTTCCTTCGTGAAGAGCATGGCATCTGTAGGCGGCTCAATTCACGTGTCATTAGCCTATTCCCCCGCTCATTCTTGATATAGTCCAAATTGTTGGCGATGACGCCGTAAGGGCATGTGATTCAATAGTCGAGGCGTGTTCTCACTTGGCCCGGAGCGATCGGATTTGATGCAGAATCGTATCTGATGCAGATGCGCAGGGGCTCGCGGCCATGCATATGCCGGGCAACTCTACGTGAACGTCGTGCTCTGTCGACGCGTCCGAAAAGGTCACACACCGCTTACGGATAGAAGTAATGGTATACGTGGGAGAGTAGTAGTGTGTTTAGTAAGTCGCCGAGTCGGAGCCGGTCATTTCAGCCTCCTTCCTGGTTCGTGCAGCCCATCCCACGGCCGTCGGGCGGCTTCTTGGAGACAACCAATGGCGACTCTCTCGCTGCACACCCACCCGCCTGAATCATTCCTTCACGTCACGGGTCCGAATATCCACGACACGGTACACCTCCACGTTATCCATATCTGTCCTTCTCCCGCCAAACATACCCCGCGGAGGCCGCCGTGGCAGCGCGCAGGAAGACCAACACCCTGGAGAGACTACGATGGAACAATAGCACCTACTCCAGGCTACCCGCGCCCGTAGCCGATCCGTCCTTAGTAGACCTCGAGCTCCAGCCGCTTCCACCGCCTCGACTATCCTACAGCGAGGCACATCCTCCGCGCCTCCGCGCCGCTTCTCCGCATACCCTTCGGTGCAGGCGGAAGCTCTGCGACCTCATCGAGCGCGACATGAAGTTCTCCCACAGCATTCAGTTTAACGCCGTCCCGGACTGGTCCTCGAATTACATTTCCTACTCGAATCTCAAGAAGCTGATATACCAGCTTGAGAAGCAGCTTCACCACAATGGCCAGCCTTCTTCGAGTAACCAAGATCCGGAATCTTCGCCTCTACTCGCCTCCGGGTCTATAGACGACCCGGACAAAGTTTTCTCGCGGAAGCTGGATGATGAGTTGGAGAAGATCTGCACTTTCTACCAGCTGAAGGAGCTCGAGGTCATTGGCGAGGTGGAAGCGCTACTCCGGGATGTGGAGGAGTTTGAAGCGGAGCATGCAGCCGGTGAAGACGACGAGGATGGGCTACGGAGACAGAGTGTGTTCGCGAGGGCTAGGCAACACAGCATCTTCAAATCATTTCAGGCTCCAAACAAGCGGAGAAGGACTTCGACAGCGGGAAGCGGTAGGGATGGGACGATAGAGGAAGAAGACGAGAGCGACGAGGAGGACAACGAACAGACAGCGCTCAACAAGAGTCAGGCATCCTTAGAAAGACGGCCTACGAAAGGAAAAGACTACGCTTCTGAAGGGCAGCACAGTAGCCATGAATTCTCAGCATCAGATTTCCGGCGGAGGCCGAGTACCGCATTCAACGATTTCGGGGATGATGCGCTGCAGGCCCTCTACGACGAGGGAATAACTCTGAAGAAGAGGATCACAAATCTCTACGTGAACATCTGCGAGCTGCGATCTTTCATCCAACTCAACGAGACAGGTTTCAGCAAGGTCCTGAAGAAGTACGATAAGACTCTGGACCGCAATCTCAAACGCTCGTACCTCGATCAAAATGTGAAGCCTGCGTACCCATTCCAGCCCAGCACGATGGAACGCCTTGGAGAGCATCTTCAGAGGGTAGAAGAATCTTATGCGACAATCGTGACCAAAGGAGATGTAGAAGGCGCACGACAAGAGCTGCGTCTGCATCTGAGAGAGCATGTCGTTTGGGAACGCAACACGGTCTGGCGAGAGATGATTGGCATTGAGAGGAAAGCGCAGGCTGCCAATCTAGGCATTCGGAATACGATGCTTGGACAAGACACCGATCCCAAGAAAGCGCGGCTACAGGGCGATCAAGAGAATGGAGCACTGAAGGAGGTTGTTACGCCGATTGGCAGGTATCAATGTCCTAAGCCTTTGCTCTCAGGTACTTTCTGGGTGTTGGTTGCTATCGTGGCGGTCTTTGCTGTGCTTCTGGCTGTTCCGATCATGGACAAGCCGGAGCAGCAAAACTGCTTGGCACTTGTCGTTTTCGTTTCTTTACTTTGGGCGACAGAGGTAAGTTCTGTGCAGAGGACTGGAGAAATCAGCTGACATGTTCACAGGCGATACCCTTGTTCGTCACATCGCTGCTCGTGCCGTTCCTTTGCGTCGTCTTGCAAGTCGTGCGAGAAGACCGCAAGCCATACCGGAGACTGTCAAGCAAAGAGGCCGCTGGATATGTCTTTGCCTCGATGTGGACTCCGGTGATTATGCTCCTGCTAGGTGGCTTCACCATTGCCGCTGCGCTGAGCAAGTACAATATCGCGAAGATGATGGCAACTTTCGTATTGTCGAAGGCTGGCACGAAGCCCAGGACGGTGCTATTGACCAGCATGGGTGTCGCGACATTCGCCAGTATGTGGATCAGTAATGTCGCGGCGCCGGTGCTGTGTTTCAGCATCATTCAGCCGATCTTGCGCAACCTGCCGGCAGACAGCGACATGTCGAAAGCTCTGCTTCTCGGCATTGCACTGGCTTCGAATATGGGAGGAGCCGCTTCGCCTATCGCATCACCGCAGAATCTCATCGCTCTAGAGAATATGGAGCCTCAACCAGGCTGGGGTACATGGTTCTTCGTGGCGCTGCCCGTTTGCATTGTCACAATCCTGCTCATCTGGCTTCTACTGCTGGTGACCTTCAGACCCGGACGAAACACAACTATCGTGCCTATCAGGCCGATGAAGGACAAGTTCAACGGCGTTCAGTGGTTCATCTCGATAGTGACCTTGGCGACTATCGTCCTGTGGTGTGTCAGCCATGAGCTCGAGGGTATTTTCGGCGATATGGGTGTAGTCGCCATCATTCCCATCGTGCTCTTCTTCGGAACGGGTATCTTGACAAAGGAGGATTTCAATAACTTCCTGTGGACCATCATTATCCTAGCGGCAGGAGGCTTGGCGCTGGGAAAAGCTGTCAACAGCTCAGGATTGCTGACCACGATCGCCATCTCCATTACGGATATGGTGGCTGACCTGTCACTATACGGCGTCACCTGTGCTTTTGCAGCTCTGATTGCCGTCGTGGCTACATTCATCAGCCACACTGTCGCTGCACTCATCATCCTCCCTCTCGTCCGAGAAGTGGGAGCTGGTATGGCTGAGCCGCATCCGAACCTGCTCGTCATGGGCTCTGTGCTTATGGCTTCTGCCGCTATGGGCCTGCCCACGAGTGGCTTTCCAAACATGAGTAAGTTGTTCTTGCATCTATTCGCTTGCCCTTCAAAGCGTATGCTGACTTTCCTGTCTTCCCTAGCTGCCATCATGATGGAAGACTCGCAAACCGGACAACGATACCTTCAAGTCCGACATTTCCTGACGAGGGGTATCCCGAGTAGTATCATTGCCTATGCTGTGGTTGTCAGCGTTGGATACGGACTGATGGTTGCTGTTGGATTCTAGAAAAGAGGCGTTCATGTTTCTTGGGGGGGATTGAAGCGACAGTGAGAAGACTTGCATCAGCTGTGCGAGCTTTTGCATATCTATCTCATGCTTGTTATATGCGATGTGTGATTTAATAAAGAAGAAGATCATCAATTCGTACGCGCTGATTGTCCCTATTTTTACCCAGATTCCATCAATATTGATATTGTGGCTTGGCACTGTGTGTACATAAGCAAGCTGATTTTACAGCTTTTGAGTCTAGCTGTTCAGTAACTCTAGTGTTCTCACAATTCATTACGGAAACAAACACGTGAAACGCATGCGCGGACAGGACCTCGATCTGTCTGGGATACTTCGCTAGAGGTCCGGGCGAATCGGATCTCAGATGATTGACGGGGATGATCTGTCCTGCGTATCGCTGACCTCAGAAGTTAGCTTCCTAACTTAGCTTCCTACACTCAACTCGGCGGCACGCGCTACGGCTCAACCCACCTGCCCACCCTCAGTTCCGGCTAGATATGCGCGTATTTACGCTGCTTTTCAAGCCTCTGTGATGATGAGGTGCTCGCGCCTCAAGAGCGTCCGGGCCCCTCCAATATGAATGCATGCAAAGTCATCTTGACCGAGATTGGTGCTCGGAGGGTCAGTCAAGCAATGCAACTGGATGTTATTTTTCCGGGTTTGGAGTACCTGGTCTTTAGCTCTTCGCTCCTCATTTGTGGTGGTGAAGTTCTGTCGACCAACTTCCTTTTGCGCCAAAATGCATATATGGGGTCCGATCATACTATCCAGTATCGCTCGCGCCAACGTGCACGAATCGATCTCTGCACTACCGCATGGATGGAAGCATGTAGGAAGTCTTCCTCCGGACCACCGCGTTAAGTTGCAGATAGCAATGGCAGCATCCGAACCGACTTTGCTAGAAGACACTCTATACAACATCTCAAATCCGGAGCACGACGTTTACGGTCGCTATTTGAACGCTGAGTCGGTTAAGCGATTGCTGCTACCAACTTCGAAAGCCACTGAAGCTACGTTGGAATGGCTTACTACATCAGGCGTAAGCCTTGAAACGATTGTCGACGACGGGGATTGGATCAAGTTCGAAGCACCGCTCCACGTCGCCAATCGAATGCTAGAGGCGAATTTTCAGGTTTATCAGAGTCTCAAGGGCACGAGAGCTGTGCGAACGCTAGCGTATTCTGTTCCGGCTTCACTTTATGACCACGTCGACATGATACACCCAACTGTACGCTTTTCTGATATAAAAGAATGGCGTATTCCCGACGACAATCTGGATGGGAGCCAGTCGACTGCAGCTTCAGTCACCAATGAATGTGATCCCCGGTCTATCACGCCAGCTTGTCTGCGAGAATTGTACAATATCCCGACTACCGACTCGGCAGATAATACAACTACTGGATTCTTGGCTTTCGCGAATTTTTTTGGCGAATATCCGCGGTACGAGGATGTAACATCATTCGTGAACAATTGGTTTCCCGTGGCGACTGGTTTTAACTGGACCGGTGAGAGCATTGCCAATGGAAGCATTGACCAGGAAACACCAAAGAAAAGCTACGAGGCTAACCTGGATGTTCAATCAATGCTCTCGATGGCGTGGCCGTTGCGTATACACGCGTACTCCACAGGCGGTTTAGGAGAGTTCGTGCCTAGCATCGATCAGCCAACGGAGGCATCCAACCAGAATGAACCTTTTCTCGATCTTTTGTCTCATTTATTAGCCAATGACGACAATGAATTGCCGCATACAATATCGATCTCTTACGGGGAGGTCGAACAGTCGGTGCCCTTGCGATATCGTAAGAGAGTATGTGGCATGTTAGGTCAACTCGGACTCCGGGGAGTGTCAGTGTTGATCGCATCTGGAGATTTCGGACCAGGCAATAGCTGTCAAACGAATGACGACGACAAAAGAGCCACGTTCGAAGCCATTTTCCCGGCGGCCTGTCCATACGTCACGTCTGTGGGTGCTACAGCAGGTACGAGCCCCGAAGAGGGCGCTTCATTCTCATCCGGGGGTTTCTCACAAACATGGACTCAACCTGAGTATCAGAAGAGAGCGGTGTCGGGCTTTCTCTCGAAGAATGGCAACTCGTGGCGTGGGTTGTTCAATCCCGATGGACGAGGATTTCCGGACGTCGCTGCACAGGGGACCAATATCAGTTTCGTCGATGAAGGCAACAGAACGCAGTTCGATGGAACTTCAGCTTCTGCGCCAATTTTTGCTGGAGTGATTGGGCTTCTGAATGCGCAAAGACTCACTTCAGGAAAGCGTCCGCTTGGCTTTTTGAATCCGTGGATCTACAGATACGGATATGATGGATTCACTGATATCACAAGAGGCGGTTCGCGAGGTTGTACAGGCGTAACTGCGACTGGGCGAAATGGTACTTATGTACCTTTCGCATCGTGGTGAGTTCGGCATCATTTCTTTCTTGTATTGGGCTCATCTCTGCTCCATTTGCAACACTGCACTTCTGCATACTTGCTAACTCCTTCAAGGAATGCAACAGAAGGCTGGGATCCAGTAACTGGCCTGGGCACACCAAACTATCTGGACTTGCTACGTCTTGCTCTAGAGTGGGATTGAGGAGGAAATGTGGTTGCGCATGTCGCTTTACAAGTCTCCCCAAGCTGTTCTGTTACCGCCTTCCCGGTGTACTTCAGCACTCGTGACGAGCTGAGAGACACGGGTTCGAGCTGCTGTCGGAGACTTCGTTAGGATCTCGTCTAGATGACAGGCTTTAAAAAACGATTCAACTCCTGCGCAATACTACTGTAGCAGTCTTGCAATGCCATGTTGTCTCTTTCACTTGAGCCTGTGGTAGATTGCACAGACAGTCATCTTTGTGTACACACACATCGAGGTGGAGAACACACTGACAAATCGCGTGTTCTTCGCTCATAGTGGACTGATGTTGTAATGAGCGACTAGCAGAGCATGCCATGATTCAATGTCATAGGCAAAGCAGTGTAACATGAAGTACTAGCAGCATGTCGGAGGCTTCGAATTTTGTCCTTAGTGTGGCCAGAAGAGCAAGCTCAATCCTAGACACCTAATCTATTGCTTCTTGCCTTGGTGACTGGCACATAAGTTGTTGAACCAGAAATTGATGATGGCAAGAGGACCTGATCCACCGAGAGATATTCCCTCACTAGTGGAGTAACCAAGGTCATTAGACCACCAACATTGACTCGCGGCGCGTTTCGACGCTCTCTTCACTTGACTTCCCGAGAAGAAAGTGAGATGATTGTGGCCCACTGCCAAGTCAATCGTTCCAATCTTCGATGCCCCATTTCTTTTGCCAGACATCTACCGCTTCTACGATCTGGACTCCTTCCGGCGGCATTGGGACTGCAAATTCGCCTTCTGGCTTCTCCATTTTAGGCAGCTGTTCAAAATCTTCGTCACTCATTCGGTGACTCTCATACCAATCCATTATGTCATCAAAGTTTCGACATTTGCGATGGATTGTGAATTCGGGCCATGGTCTTTTTTGGTGATCCGACCATACTAAGCGGTACACATTCATCGAGCCGGTGCACATAATCTCTTGTCGGATAATATCCAGACAATGTTTCTTATGATTGTAATACGCTGGGTTGAGCGTCTCATTGCGCCTGAGATAATCTGTCAGCCTGATTCATCTGCCAGACATAAATCTGCGGACGCTCACTGGTAGTAGTTGAACCAATTTCCCTTACGCAGCTCGTTAACGCAGTGAAGCAGGTGGAAAATGTCCATTCGAGCCACGTACGAGCGACCTGATTGATCACCTGGCCACTTTACCGCGCCCTTGGTCGGCAGATCCAGATGGGCCATATCATCTTCGCTGATCAATATCGGGTTCCACCGCACGAGGGCTTCCCACGCAGCATCGGCCTCAGGAGATGGTTCGTGCCGGTATATGCTGCTGCCGTCATCCCAGAGGCTTCTTTCCGGTGTCGCGTCAACAAGGCGTGGGTTGAGCCGACCATACAGCGGTGCTACGACTCAGGTCAATCATACTGGAGGGGAATCGTGATCATTACGGATTCTGGATTTTGCTCATAACTTACAGTTATAGTCAACAGCAGCGACAGTCTCAATATTTGTACAAGTGGATACATAGTACCACCGTGTAACGCCGCATGCAACTCCGAGACTGAGCAACCAAAGTGTGACAAGAGTGCCCAGCCGATAACGGCACTCGTGTCTTTCAAAGCGCTTTTCCTGGTCCTCATAGTGTTGCTCGTCCGACTCTTGCCGCTCTGCATCCGACAGCTTGACATATGCCATGGTGACCAACCTGTCTGACCTCCCGCGTTGACTTCTCGAGTACGTGTTGCGACCGAGCACTTCGAGGCTCCCACTTGCAGCAGCCTGACCCAGACAGCGATTCGTCCCTCGGACAATGGCTGCAACACACCGCTCCACAAGCTCGTAACGGCGCCGAGTAACGGAACATAACCCCTCAGGGAAGTGCGAAGCCCCGGTGAAGTGATCTTATGCTCTTCAGTCTAGTGAATCTACCCTGCAACTCCGTAAGACCGCGCCAGGCGGTCAGAGTGTGGAGGGGCCGGTCGTCCCTGTTGCTAATAGCCTAAAATACGGAGTACAGTCATGGTACATGATCATATCCCCAGCTAGCGTATTATGGATTACTAAGCTACTTTAGACGTCCTTGGACCTGGCATAAACAAATTGACTCCATTGACGCGTTCCAAATGCAGTTTGCTGGACTCAGACACACAAGTAGGTAAACTTATGATCACCGTATGCACTACCAGGTCTTGATGCTGCAAACAAGCTTATTAAGATAATAGCTCGAACCGAGTCGTTGTACCCTCAGCGAGGGTACAACAGTGAGATTCACCATGGATTATCTTGGATTCAAACTATTTGTTCTCCACGCAACTACTGGTCTCACATAGATTAAGCCCCCCGGTGGGGACAATGAGCGTGACTGTTACACTCTGTTGCCGGGCTCTGGGAACAGTCTGGGGTCTACCTCGATCAGCACCAATCCGGAAACTCTCAACAGGTTACACGTCTGGCCTAAGGTATCGCGGCGTGCGCCCGGGGCTTCACCTCTACTCAACCGGACTTCTGGCGACAGCGAGGTCGCTCTTGACGGTTTAGTAGAGCAAACCCGGTTATCGCCTCTTCGATATGGTCCACAAGTTCATCAGCCAATCAGATCGGCCGGCCGAACTAGTGATACCGGTCGAACGTCAGTCAAAGCTCTCACATGTGGTGAGATACGATAATCTAGAAGTGTGAAATCCTCCTGGAGTTCGTATGACCATTACGGCTCTGAAACCACTCCATCTCAATTCTCAATCGACTTGCGATATCCATCAAGTATCCCTTAGCTACCACGCAGACACAACATGCGAATCTCAGGAATCTGGCATTTTAGATCACGCGAAAGGCTCAACGAAGAGGCAGGCGAAAGACTTCTAGAAGAACACGGTCAGATTCCAGACGGGCCAGACTTCCACAGTACCGGTGCGAAATGCTCGACCAACAATCGATATATTCGAAGCGGAAATGCGGCATGGACCATGGCAAAGTTGGTCACCTTCGCCACATGTGCTACCGCGCTCCTCGTAACATGGATCTATTCTGCAATGCACTTCCGAGATGAGGGGCGCTGTGAAAGCGGCGAGTCTGCGTCCATCAGGCGTGAATGGCGAAGTCTGACTTCCGGAGATCGTCGTAGCTATATAGCCGCTCTGCAGTGTCTACGCAATAGTCATTCGCATATATACCCGACCCACACGCAGATGAGTCGCTGGGACGACTTCGCTTGGACCCATTATCAAGTCGGCTTCATTGCACACGACGCGGCCTGCTTTCTCTCCTGGCATCGATGGTTCATTGCACTGTTCGAGAGTAGTCTTCGGACCGACTGCGGATACTCAGGTCCGATGCCATACTGGGACTGGACGCTCGACTGGGAGCATCCAGAGCTTGCTTCGATCTTTGATGATAAGTTTGGACTTGGGGGCAACGGTGACAAGATGCACACTTCCACGGCGGATGGCGCTTGGTGTGTCGAAAGTGGACCTTTCGCTGGAGCACAAATCCCATTCGACTATAGCGCTGTCGCGGGGGAAGAGGTATTTTTGAATGCGCAAGGACAGAACACTTCCTTCTGTCTGTCGAGAAAGTTCGCTTTGGGAAATTCATTCGATGCATCTCAATTGGCTCCACAGCACGTCTCGTGGGTTCTGTCCCAGAGGGGGTACGTCAAATTTTTGATGGAATTGGAGGAGGGACCACACAACACCATCCCCTTCGGAATCAATGGAACCTTCTTGACTCTTTATGCTCCGGAAGACCCGATCTTCTTCCTCCATCATATGCAGCTCGACCGTTTGTGGTGGAGCTGGCAGAAATCAAGGCCAGAAAACGCGCGAGCATACAACGGACCGAGCACATCACAGACAACAGCAGTGGCCAAGCTCACCGACTCCTTACCATTTGGCAACTTGAGCGAAGACGTTATTGTGAAAGACATCATCGATACCAAGCGCGGGAGGCTATGTTATGAATACGACGAGGTAGCAGCGTAGATACATGTCTTTGAGCGGTCAGATCAACTGCCTCCAAATGAACGTAACGGCCATTCAGTTGTCAATAGCTTACCAGGCTTCGAGCTCGTGCTCCAGTAGTGCCTATGTGGAACCGGCCGTGCGCCTGATTCTGCCTTCGAGCCGGTCTCACCTCGCGCATCCGTGTATACGCAGCTAGTATGTATGGATCTACCAATCCCGAAGTAATAAGCACAACACTCGTACTACTACATGAGTGGTGACATGTGCCCGTAGTGTTACATTCGAGCGCTTGACCCATGAATGGTCTATTGCTCGGTGCCAGTTAACCCCTCTCTAGCTAGCTGTAAGGACACCCCTCCGACGGAGCCCCTAGGAACCACGCAATGTGTGCATATATTTATATAGAGAGCGCCGACACAGATTCCGTTCATGCTTCTGTCTGTACAAATCGACATTTTCCTATTACTATCCAGACTACTTCCACACAGCGTCCTTTAAAGGTCATCGCCTACAAGACCCGACGCGAAGCTCTAGAATCCCACTCAAAATGCACAGTGCTCTCATTTTCTCTATGCTCCTTGGAGCCTGCATGGGAGCTCCGATTCCAGGTACATATCGTCCTTCTTGCATTTCTACACCTTGGGTCAAGGTACAAATTGTCTAATTAGCGAGGATAGCAAGCATCAACGAGGCAAGAGCCGAGCTCTACAGGCCATCGACTGCGAGCTTGCTGCAGTTTGTCGATGACACTAAGGCGGACGATTCCAAGGATCTCGACACGAGAGCCGAGCTCTACAGGCCATCAACCGCGAGCTTGCTGCAGTTTGTCGATGACACCAAGGTCGACGAAAGCAAGTGATCTGTCTTGTTTGGGACACGAAAGCAGGTATAGGTGTGGCTGTTACCAATGTTCGAGCGCGGCTGTGCGGGGCCTACGAATGTCAGGCGACGGAACCATGGTCGAATTGGAAACATTTTCAAAAGCAACGAGCGAAGAACTAGCTTCGATTGTGTCTAGCTGTTGTCAACATGCGGGATCCAATGGCAGTTCCGTCAACAGTTGTAAACACGATCTTTACCTATAGAATACGTCACGAGTTGTGGGTAGAAAATCTTTACAATGTGTGGGAGTAAAGTGGCTTCAGTCTACGAATAGTGAAGCACTCCAACCGCTCGCTCAAAGCTCTGCACCACATTGTCGTGACCCGGTGTTTGTCAAAAGGTTCAAACTTGTTTGAGACCTTACTACTTAACAGGTTGCGATGCGAGTCGGAGCATAATGCCAGCTCATAATAAGACACTCAAATCAGGTGCTTACCATTAAAGAAGCTGCATAGTAGGTATCAAAGTCTTAGATCATAGATTCACGATATAGAGCTTATTCGGAGCGGCAACAATAGTTGCAACGCTGAGCCTACCGTAGCTACTTACTGTATCTAGCAATACGATGAATCTCGGAAAGCTTAGGTTGGAGTCTCGACGTCTAAGGATGCCTTGCCGTAAGATGATCTTACAAGCTACGTACGTAAAGCTAAAGCGCACTTTCTGCAGCGACGATAGCTGTCTGTCGGTAAGCGCGAAGATACAAGCATAAGAAGAACCGTGTCTTTCTGAAATAGGCTATCGACCAGTTATTCATATTACAGCTGATCCTCCGTGCTTTTGCCCCTCTGGCAATTGGTACGATATCGCAATTTCCACTCTAAACTGCCGTAAGGTCATGAGGTACGACGGTACGAGCCTGTGATTTCCGTAATATCCACTGCACCCACTTCACCCGACACTGTCCAACATCCCGCAAAGATAGTACGATGCTTTAGGCACTACAGCCAGGAGCACCTACTAGCAGGCAGGTACTATGACCAGAGCTTCGTTCCTGATTTGTTCAGGAGGGTGCTGAATCGCGTCCAAGATCGTTTTTGTGCAATGGACAGTATGATAGTAGGAGAGACCTGAATGGTATGGTTTCCCAGCCAGAAGCATTCGATGAAGTCGTCTCCAGGAATACAAGCAATGAAGGATGTGATTGGCATTTGTGATGTATGTAGGGGTCACATTCTTGCCGAATTCCATATCGGACTTTTCGATTGTACCAGCAGTGTCCGCATGTAGAGTCCATGTTGTGTTGGATACTAGCTCGGCGGCAAGCTCACGGTCCAAGCATCTGTCAGGCAGCCATGCGAAAGAAACTGGGTCGAATTCACAGCCAGCAGCGATAGCTTCAGCAACTGTTTCACCGCACTCGTAAGTTCTGTCGTCCCAGTCGTTGTATTGATACGAAGGCCACTGCGGATGGTATTGGTACGCCAGAGCCAACGATGCGATCCATAGACATGCGCAGAGTATAAAGCCGGCGCCAAAGAGCCACTTCCGCTGAATCGTGTTTTTGTAGGAGTTCGCGCATGGTTCCAATGGTTCATATTGATATTCTTTCTTTTTCGCCATTGGAGGTAGTGTCTTGGTTGGCATTCAAGTTCCGTGCTTATATGGAAACGCTCCGTTACTTGGTGGTTCTCGCAAGTTATGTCGGGTGCTTCACCACGCCCACGAATGGAGCAGGTCTATCGCTTACTGAGCATCGCATGCGCGCAGGGTAGACGTTACATATCGCTGAGCATCTTGGTACAGGCATATCCATAACCCGTTCACTTTTGCTTGCAAGCTTCGCCGGCAAGTGAACTTAGGTTAAAGCTGGGGTTCACTCTGCCTCAAGTCAGACCCGGCAAGCGAGCTAGTCCTAATCCGGCCGCCGCCTTGCTCCGCTCGAGCATCTGGTGTCCGGGAATGGGAGCAACAGTCGCACCGAGGTAAGTCCGGGAGAGAGGTAGCACTGTGGTAGTGCTCAGTCATCGCTAGGAAACTGCTCGAACCGAGTCTGCTTCCATAATTCCTACTATGCTAGTCACTTGCACACTTGCTAATGCGGGTCAGGGGTTGGCTGGCTCATCTCACCGCCTTTACCTGCAGCAAGGGCAAGTCGCTCCGATCATCTCAACACGCTGACCAGCATTATTAGAAAGCTCACATCGACGGGACTACACGGAAAGTGACGGAGAGAGCAATAAGTGCCCTCGGCAGCCTAGGCAGTTCGACGTTGGGCGCAAACCTTAAAGACATGCGTAAGATGTATCAAGGAGTCGCAATCCCGTAGATAAAATAGGCATGAGATTTGACAGAGGAGAAGATAACGGATTCATGCGCGCTGATTGTCCCTACTTCGTACTTAGATTTCATTTATGATTCCCAATTCGATTGTAACAAAAGTTCTGTGTTGCTCCATCTGTTTCTCTGTTCCGAGAGACCATTATCCCCTTCCTGTCTCCTCTCTCATCGATAACTTGGCCCGGCGGGCGTGACGGTGACTACGGGCTGAAACTGCGTTGTCGGCGTCACGGTAATGACAGGAATGAACGTCGTAGTAAAAGTTCCCTGGATCGTCGTCTGCAGCGACAGAGTCGAATATATCGTCGTGAGAACCGTAGTAGGAATCACAGTTGTCAGGGATAAAGTGGTGGTGGACGTGATGATGGAAGTATAGACTTGTGTTGTTACGACAGTAGTAGGGACGATAGTTGTGAGTTGGAGAGTTGTTGTCACATCTGACAGGCAAAAAGTGTCAGTTAACGGGGATTTGGGGGTGGGTTGGGAAACTTGCCTGGGAGGGTGGTTATGGATGTTGCTGTTACTGTTATGCTGGAAGTGATGGTATTGTAGCGGGTTGTGATGGAAGTTGCGGTTACGGGGTAATAAGTCGTGTAGGTCTGGGTGATCTGGGTGTAGTAGTTATAGTAGATCGTCTGGACAGCTTGGGCGTTTGAGGAGACGATGAGGGAGAGGATGACGGAGAGGATGGTGGGGATGAAGTAACGCATTGTGGAGAGGAGGTGTTCTTTGTGTAGAACGTGATGGATGAGGTCGTGATAACGTTTTTTCCAGAATCTAGCATACAATAGAGGAGACTCGCTCGTCGTTCTAGATAGAAAAAAGCTGTTGCGCAGCCAACTCTCGTAACAGGGACTTGCACCCATCTCTCGCCTTTGCGTTGATATATAGATGTCGCCTGTACGACAGTCCGTCGTGGCCGGGAATGGATTGTACAAGCGGCTGGGGAGGCGGCTGGGCGACGTCGAATTTATAGTGGCATACAACAGGTTGCAGTGGAATGTATGAGATCCAGCGTAGTGATATCTCGATCCCGCTGGGACGGCACGGCGGCGCGACGCCCAATGGCTGGCTGGAACATATTCCGCAAACTTGGTTGTGCCGTGATCCGATGTGGAATGAACGGCAGTTAACGCTGACGTGATGGGTGAGTGCAAGTCGTCATGCTCGATCCAGATCAAAGGTTGAACATCGATTCAGGGTTGCGAGCAGTACGATTCATAGAGAAGTGTGTCACAGTGATGGCAAAGGCACTCGTGTAGAGACTCCTTCCGTCCATGATTCAAGTCAGGTCGCTAGAGCCACCGTATCGAGATGATCGTCGGATAGTCTTTTTCTGCTGGTGGGAGGCGATGGAGCTTGAGCGTCATAGCTGAAGGATTGACGGCTTTCCTCGATGCCTTCTTGCCCATGATCCGGCGGAAGTAGTTAAGAAGACTCGACACTGTTGTAACTTGAGCGACGCGAGAAGATTCTAGTGAGCCGCTTGCTAAAGCTGGAAGAGGGGCTGGAGGATTTGGTCGACTTGCTGCTGCTTCTGGTAAGTTTTGAGCTTGATGCTGCTGCTGCTATAGCTGCATTGCTGGCCGATTGCTGGCTGTAGGAAGAGGATCAGTTGATGTTTCGGCTTAGTGCAGCAGCGAGTACTCACCGGTTGAACTTGTGATACGCATTGTGTCCAGCGTATCGCTCGGTCCAATAAGCCTGTTCGTCATACGGAATGACAGCGCAAGGGCCAAGCATGATGAGTAGAGATCTTGTAGAGCGGGTGTCTCGAGGAGGGCGCTGTGGTAAATTTGTCCCAAAAAGCGCAGCGGAAGCAGATGCACGTCTTCTTATATTATCACTACCATGGCAGCCCTGAGAACACTCAAACACTACCTGTCTCAAATGCTGTTGGCTTTTTAAGACTCTGCATGTGTCAGCCCCGTTCGCAAGACGCGATTGGCGCTTGTGATGCTGCTTGAACCTTAATTAGGTGTCAGCCTAAGGATTGAGCATATCATTCCTGCTTGGCTGAATAATAGACAGCCTGAAGCCTGTCCGTAGAAAAAGACAGCGCTCTGACTGGCCATAAAAGCTGAAAGCTCAACATAGCTGGGATCGAAACTCGCAGAAGAGTGCGAAGATTGTAGCCCTCAGCTTCGACGCAGAGCGCGCCTTCAATGAACCTCTTCGTCTCGCCCCGGTCTCAGCAGATAGAAGATGTTGAGGTTGGAATGGCCGTGACAACTTGAACGAAGAGATGGTGGTGAATAGCGACGATTACGGCCATAACGGCACCCTTGGCAGATATCACATGATCCGAGGCTGACGAATTTTAGAAGGATTGAGCGGGTTGCTCGGTCTTTCACCTATCAGAGTCAGTAGTTTGAATCATACGGTAACCTCCGCGTCAGCGTTGGTTTTCTCCACCCATATCGAACGTTAAGTGGCCTGAAGTCGTCTCAACAGCAGTTGATGATAACGGCAATGGCGATGTCATTCGTTGTACGCCTTTCTTGTCATGGCCATCACTTCTTCTTCAGTTTGAACATCCCACAATTCCGGCTCACGCTCGAGAAGGACTTCGTCTTTGGCGAACTCGTGAGCAATAGAACTCGGCGGAGCATCGGAGTGTCTGCCAGGACATCTTCGAGACATCCCGCGAGGCATTGCCCAAACCCACCCTTGCGGTATTCTGGTAGGGTCTACTTTGATGTAGGCAAAAGTGACATGATCCGTCACTAATCGAGCAAGACCGAAATGCTTGAGGTGCTCGTCTGGCTCTGCTTCCGCGCTTGGAGAAGGAGTTCTCGGCGAAGAAGGCGACGCTGCAGACTCTTCTCTATTGGCCGAGGCTTGACTTCGTACATTCCAAAGGTCAACGAGTGCGCGAGCATAAGGTGCAGCTGATCAGGAGCAAGAGACTTGGCCCAGTACATGTCGTCTCTCGTGAAAGCGTCGTTGATAGATTCGTAGTTCAGTAACGCAGGCGGGGTCGATACTCAGACATGAACGCTTTCTTTGTCGTCATTGCAATCCCAGCTTCTGCCGTCGAGCGCTGTCTCCGTCACGATGGCCAGTCTTAGAGATGGAGTCGATCGTTCCGGCGCATCATCACCTCAGTGTTCGCGATGTCAGAGTTCGAGCTAGGCTAAACCTTTATCCGCCGAACCCGCTAGCCCGCTAGCTCGAAATCTTGGCTTCCTCGACCGAGATTTTCCAATCAAAATCACACACCTCTCTCACCACGCACAAAATGAAGGTCGGCAAGCCCAAGTCCAAGCGCGTGTCCGTCCGCCTGCGCCACAAGATCGAAAAGGCGTCGTCGAACAAACAACGCAAGCAACGCAAAGAAGCGAAGAAGAACCCACAATGGCGATCGAGATTGAAGAAGGATCCGGGCATTCCGAATCTGTTTCCTTACAAGGATAAGGTGCTTGCAGAGATTGAGGAGAGTAAGAGGAAGAAGGAAGAAGAGCAAGTGAGAAAGAGAGAGGTTGCGAGGGCGCAGAGAGAGGGGCGGAAGGTGAAGGTGGGAGAGGAGCAGGAGAAAGTTGTGGAGAATGAGGACGAGGAGCTGCCTGACCCAGAGGATATGGATGATGTTGAGGAAGATGACGATGATGAGATGGAGGAGGATACAGACCCCATGGCTGCATTACTTGCGTCTGCGCAAGCGCGGGCGCAGAAGTATCAGAAGGAAGACGAGGATGAAGAGGACGATGAAGAAGACGATGAAGAATTTCAAGGACTAGACGCTACCAAGTCAAAGTCTGCTGCGACAACACAGCAGCCTACAAAGAAGATACTCCCGAAACAGGCGCTTGAAGATCCTATCAAGGGCGTCACCGCTCTTATCGAGCGTCTGGAAAAGACACAAGAAGGTATTCAGCAGCTTCTGGACTACTATCAACTCCCGCCGCTCGTCACTGCAGGAAGTGACACGACTACTCGCTTTCTCGTGGACGTAGCGCGGAAACGTGGTAGACTGTCACGTGGTGGTGTGCCAAACATGCACGCAGCCGCCCTGACAGTCCTCGGCGATCTTAACGAAGAACGATTGAAATTGCCGGCCTTGCAGCAACTGCCGCCGCAGACTACGAACGCCGCAACGAACAAGGGAGAAGTTCAGATCGTGTCTCAAATGGCACAACCGTTCCGCATTGAGGGGTTGTTCGGGAATTCATTACAACAAGGAACAGAAGCAACAGAGGTGGAGATGGAAACCACATGAGCTATTTAGCACTGTCCAAATGCTGCTTCTTTTCTCTCCTCTCGCTATGCATAGATACGATACACTGAGATGACCTCGTCTACAAGCGACTCGTCTGGCCAGTATGCACGTCTGCAGCTATACTTCTTTGAAACTCAAAGTCCTGATATGAACTCATCATAATCGCCGCAACTCAAGCCTTCAGTACTGTAGCTTCAGGCCATCGGTTCCGCGCGGCTTCCAGATAAGGCTGCTTATCAGCCTTGAGCTCGTCGAGTATTCGCGCACCCTCCACTGCGTCTTGTAGCGATGTACTCGGCAGATCAATTGTGGCTAGCAGTTCCTTTGCGCCTCTCGACTTGTTCTCCTCCGCTCCAGGTTTGAGAAAGTTTCGGAATCGCACCACCGACTGTACATGAGGTGCGCTAGCCTTATGAGACTCAAGATATTCCTCATTGACTTGTTCCAATGACTTGGGACTCAGCTTGGAGAGGTAGAGCTCCTGAAGAACATCCTGTGTTTGCTTGGGCAATGGCTCCGGAAGGTGATCAATTGCCAGCTTGAATCTTCCGCCAAGCTCGTGACACTTCGGGTGATGCGGGTTGAGCTTGCGAAGCGCCAAGAGACATCTAAGGGCTGGAAGGTACTTTTCTGTTGCAATATTGTCAGCATATGTTTCTGCATCACGGGAACTGGAACACCTACTCCGCCTCATGTAGACCTCGAAGCCAGCTATTTGCCCATCAACGTTGTTGGGGCTCAGCTCAAGCAGTGGGCTGAGGTACTTCATGGCCTCGCCCAGTGGTGTCTCCGTCTTCAACAGCTCTAAGCCTTGCGGATCTGGGTCCTCCTTCTTTACGTTACCCTCTTCATCTGCTTTCGGTTGAGGCTTCTTTGCGGCAGCTGCCTTGCGCTCGGCCTCGGCCTTTTCTGCTTCCTTTCTCGCCTTCTTCGCTGCCTTCTTCGCCTCGGCTGAATTTCCGCCTGCAGCGCCATTGGATGACGCGCTCTTCAATTCCGGCTTATCGTAGAGTGAGAGGTAGACCCCAATAGCAGAAAGCGCGGCTCGCGTGAAGAAAGGGTGTTCTCGTAGCTTATCCTCCCATCTCACCATATCGATGTACGCACGGATCATGCCTTTCCGTAGACTGAACGTGTGGAAGTCGAATTGATCTTCTTGCCAAACGTCGAAGATGTCATACACAGCCTTGAAGCGCTTCAGCGCTAAATTGAGCTTTCCCTGTCGCAGATAAGACTCGCCGTCCTCAGTGATGAACCATACGCATTGCATATCAAGCAGATCTCCGAGAGGGCCACCAACGGCCTCCTTTCGTGTGAACAGACCCATGGTGTCAATCGCAGCCTGGTTCTCATCGTTCCTAAGCTGATATTTGGCGCACTTAGTGTTGATGTATCGGTCCTTCAGATCCATCTCTCTGGCGTCGTTCATCGCATTAGACGCTGCTTGTGTGTCGCCTCGGTGCTTCAGTATCCGAGCGCGAGTCATCTGATAAGTGTAGTCGGTCTTGGATGGATTGAGCGAGATGGCCTTGTCGCTATACTGCTGAGCTTTTGCAAGATCGCGTGAGATGTGGTAGCTGTAGTGCTGCGCGAGGAAGTAGTTGACAGCGAGCGCCCAATTCGTTGCCTTGAGGTCACCATTAGCTTTATGTGAGCCGTCAGCGCTGCCATTGGGCTCGCTTCGTTCTGCTCCGCCGTTCGCCTGGGATCCCTCTGAGACGTATCCTTCAACGAGCTGTTGAATAATCTCGAGCTTCTCGGCATCCGAGTAGAGCTGCTTGACATTGGCAAAGGTGCTGGGAACGCCCTTGAGGAACATTCGTCGGAGGTAAGAGTCTGCCTGTTCCCGGAACGCTTCGCCGTGTAGGAAGTCCAACGGTATCCGCCTCGCGGCATCTGCGCGCTTGTTCTTATCCGCGTACGATTGATATAGTTCCCGCAGCTTCTCTTGGTCTTCTGCCTTCCCGCGATCACGCCCGAGTGCCTTTTCTAGCCCTTCGAAATATGCTCTTCGCTCGGCGTTCCTGTCCAACAAGGCGCGGTATGCCTTGGCAGCCTCTTCCTTTCTGTCCAGCCTCAGTAGGTAATCTGCCTTCAGCTCCATCACAGCTGTTCGGTCCAAGGCTGTCTTGTAGACCGCATTCAGGTGTTCCAGTGCTCGCTCGATTTCACCGGCCTCGGCAATGATCGAGTTCTTATACAACACAGCTTCGGAATGCTCAATGTCTGATCTAGGCGGGGTCTGCTTCAGTGTCTCCTCATAGCGCTGCAAGATGTCCTCGGCCTTCTCCAACTCTCCATTCAAATGTAGCGCTACAGCCAGAGCCGTCCAGTTTTGCCTGAGCGCTGGTCTTGCTTGCAGCATCTGATTGCGGCTCTGCACGAATCCCGGATAGTCCCTCATCTGCACCTGCAAAAGCGCGAGGTCCCGTTGGATCTGTTGGCTTTCCGGGTCGAGCTTCAGAGCAAATCTGTAAGCCTTGATTGCCTCCTCGTAGTTCTTTACGCTGCGGTACAGCAGCCCGTACACGTGCCAGCAGATGTGTGACTTCATCGAGTTCTTGAGCGCCAATTTGCAAAGCTCAAACGCCTCATCTTGCTTCCCCTGGTTATTCAATATCAGGGCCTTCATAGCCTGTGTGTCACCATGGTTCGGATGCTTGCGTAGGATCTGGTCGGCAGCCTTGAGGCCTTTCTTGTATTGCTTCGATTCGTAGTACTGTACAAGGTGTCGAAAGAGCGACTGCTCCTTCGACGGCAGCTGGACTGCCATGTTGAGCGATTGTGCCAAAAAGGCGGTCCGTAGAAGCTCGCGGGAAGAGATATGGGTGTCGCTCAGCCGAGTCTGTTAGAATTGGTGGGCTGCGGGTGCTCTTAGACAAGCTTCTTCGACTGTTAGCACGTTGCAAGTGTAGGCGCAAACTGATTAGACAAATGACGGCAGAAGCTAGTCTGGAGGTCAGTGGCCGACTTCGAAGTGAAACGCCGCGGAAGTGTAGAGTCGGCAAAGCAGAAGGACAAGGCAACCGAAAAGTTGTTGTTCGCGTCAAGCTCCGGTTAGGCTTCAATCGTCACAATGCCAAGACTTTGTCCATTGAACCACTTTCACCTCCTACAATTTTGGATCATCCTCCTACAGCACGTGAATGCTCTTGAGCATTCCGCGATCATGTGTACAATTACCAACGTTGTCACTCTGGGCCATCAGTCTACCAGCCATTCCCACCACTCTGGCAAAACGTTTGGGCAATATCATACCTTCACGCATGTGTTAGTGAACAGCACATTGAGAGACGAAGGCAGAAGTCTGGATAAATGCAGTGAACTTTCATACTCCTGAGGTGGTCCTCTGTACAAGCAATTCCCCCCAAATCGTAAGAGAAAACGCCTCACAGAAGCACCGTCGGATGCAGCATCAACCGGTAACGCAGCATATTCTTGGAAGAGTACACATGACACCCGCTGTTAGCTATTGCAAGATAATAGAGAGCCTTCGTTTTCCCCGATATCCCTCCAGCTAATGCAACCCCCTCTGCTTGTCCTGCTGCCGCAAACATGAGTCTGGGATCGAGGTTCTTGTGACACGTGAATCCATCTTGTGTGTGCTGAGTATCTTGTGATTCGTGCCTTGTCGTTCCAATCTTGGGTTCTAGTTGTGGCCAGCCTTGCGCAGCGAGTTGCTGAGCCACTCGAGACCTTCGTAGAGACCGTCACCAGAGGTAGCGCAGGTGGATTGGATGTACTGCGATCTATATTAGCATCAAGTCGTTATGCAGATCTCGACGTTCGTTTGCAGGACATACCCAAGCACGCTGTCTCAAGCTGTGCAGGCCGAGCTTGTCGGTGATCTCAGCGGCGTTCATGGCGTTGGGCAGATCCTGCTTGTTGGCGAAGACGAGAAGAAGAGCATCCCTCAGTTCATCCTCGTTGAGCATGCGTTGCAACTCCTCGCGAGCCTCGACAACACGATCACGATCGTTGCTGTCGACAACGAAGATGATACCCTGGGTGTTCTGGAAGTAATGTCTCCAAAGAGGCCGGATCTTGTCCTGTCCACCGACATCCCACACAGTGAATTGAATGTTCTTGTACTCGACAGTCTCGACGTTGAATCCGATAGTTGGCTAATCGCGAAAAAGGGAAGGTGAGCGTGCGTTCTGCAGAGGAAGTACCCTCGCCTCGTCGGTTGACTTACAATGGTTGTGACGATTTCACCCAGCTTCAACTTGTAGAGAATGGTGGTCTTTCCGGCAGCGTCCAATCCTACCATCAGAATGCGCATCTCCTTCTTGCCCCAGAGGCGATCGAACAGCTTCGAGAACGTGAGACCCATGTTGGCGGTGTGTGGTGGTTGTAGAGTCGTGGAGGTTCGAAAAGGGCTGAGAAGCAGGCAAGACCAGTGCAACTTGATTCAGAGTATTAGCGAAATGCAATTGATGTGTCGCTCGAGTGCCGGGGGATGTGAAGCCCAATATTGAATTCGGCTGCCTTGGGCGCAAGGGATAGGTGTTCTTCGGATTAGTGTCGTGTTGTGTTGAATTCGGCGTGAGCGCAAGTAGTAGGGGCTGACCGCTGTCTCGCTCCGAGGCGCGCAAGCCACCAGCACACGAACGAAGAGATCGCGAATACTCACCTTCAGAGGCACTCGATCCGGATGAGGTGTGTTGATGAGGGTTGGGACAGGTTGGTTTTGCAAGTCGTGGTATCAGGCCCCGTGTAAGTTTGGAAGGCGCAGGTCTGTGCACAGCTGGACCCTTCCAATCACGTGCAAAATGGCATCTTCTTTGCCCCTTGCCTACGTCGATGCAAAGTATTCGATGCGACAACAGTAATTATCTCTCACACTCCTCGGCGACGATGGATACGCGTTGTGGCAAGCTTGAAGTACTGAAGACACGTGAGCCAGCTCACCATTTGAACGATCCGTGTGTGGATGTCAATAAACACTCCTTTGTGCTGCGACTGCACCTCAGAAACAGCGATCCACTCTGCCTCACTCGCTCCAGGAGACACATGTGATTTCGAGCACTCACGTCGTGGGTACGGAAGACTGCGGCAGGTCGTTACACTCTCCCCAACCGACGACGCAAACAAGTCAAGTATTGCACGTTTACTTCCTTTGAGTTATCTTGCATTCAAGCAGCTTCAGCGGTTTGGTCACCACTCTGCAGCAAACTGCATCAGAGCTCCTCAGACCAGCAAACGAATCTCTCATTCTCTCAGATGCTTCAAATTGCTCAATAATCGGCACGAACGACCACACTACGCTCTCAAACTCGCCGGCAATATGTCTCATCAGCACCCGCCAAAGGTCGTATTACTCTTGCTTGAACTCGGGTCAAGAAGCTCGTTCCTCGACGAGCAGTTCGACATCTTGAAAGCCAAAGCAGACGTCCAGGTGATCACGCAGGCCGCAGAAGCAAGCACGCTCTTCAACAGCACTTCTCGCCCCGTCGTCTTCGCGGCAGACGAGGCCCTGACCCAGCAAAAGTATGCCCAACAGAAAGCCGAAGCAGTCACCTACATCCGTAACGGAGGCACGATAGTCTTTGGAGGCCGAATTGGAGGAAGGACCCGCTCCAGCGACATCAACGAGCTCTTTGCCGACCTTTCTTTGCCATGGCTTTCGGGATCTTACTACCGAACCGACTTCGATCTCAACCCATCGATGACACAGATCAACACCTCCAGGTTGGCTCATCGCTTCAGTCAGAAGGCCATGCAGCTCAGCGACGTGCAGCAAAACGATAAGATCTATGTGCCAGCTCCGTCTGCTCGCCTGCAGTCTTTGGTCTTCCCGGCGGTCGAAATTGAAGATCACTCGGAGACGCCCGCTGCTTTTGGGAGCTGCGGCCTGGGCAAGGTTGGATATCTGGGCGATGTGAATGCTGAACCAGAAACTGCCGAGGTACTGCTGGCGATGTGCGGTCTCTCGGGCTGGGAGTAGCTCCAAATCAGAACCTCAACGACATGACGGGCGGAAGGATGAAAAGGTTGGTGGGCAGGAAGTTGGACGAGTAGAGAGGTAATTGTGTACTTAGACTTGGCATCTACGCGGCCAGCGAAGCCTGCAAGATTGCTCATGGACTTGCTAAAAGCGGTCAGGTGCCACAATAACATTAATCCATTCAGTGCCCGACATTGCAGCTTCATCAACGCGGTAAGCCGTATTTGAGGAAATGCGATCAATTGCAGACGAGCCACCCCATGAAGGACATGGCCAATGAAAGTACGCACGAGCAAAGGCCCGGAGAAGAAAGAAGAGGCACGGTTGTTGGATGACTCGAGGCTCTATTGTCACTCTACCAGCTAAGGCGAGCAACTAGCTACCAGGTCAGATAACCACACGCTCGAAGCAGCCCATCCAGTAAGTCGCCCAGAGGCGAAACGTCTAGTAGAGACGCTTTGGTGGAGACATGCTGGCCTTGATGGTCAGGCTGCCCACGTTCTGCCAGCCCTTCTTCAAGAGGGAGACGAGGTAGTTGATAGCCAACATGATGTTTCCGATGAGCTCATCCTCCGTCATGTCCACGTTGCCAACGGCGACACCCATGCACAACACCTTCTTCAGCTGGAACTTGATGGTCGACTTGACCTCGGTGATCTTGCCGGAGAGGTCGTCGGCGTGGGAGACAGGGGTAGGAAACTTGCCGGCTAGGATAATGTTAGTACATAGTATGAGAGCATGTCATGTGTTGTACGCTTACCCTTGGAGAGACCCGGACCCAAGAGACGGGGGATCTGCTTGATGAGGGAGTCGGAGGCGATGAACGCATCGTACTTGCGGGCGAGCTTCTTGATGAGCTTCTTGTTCTTGTTGAGCTTCTTCAAGTCCTCGGAGGACATGGCATCGACACCTCCGTGCTTGGCGCGATCGATATCGTGCTGATCACCGAGAATGCTGCACGCTGTTAGCATCTGCTCTTCCCCCACGTTGCGCCGACGTCGAGAGGCTCACCAGATGGCCATGTTTGGGCGTGGGACCTTTGGGAGCTTGACGGTACCGCTGAAACGCTTGTCACGCTGCGGGTCGTAGTTCTTGAGGCCGATCTGGAGCTCGACAGTCTCGAGGAAGTTGCGCTTCTTCTCCTCGTTGGAGTACTGAAGCAGTTGCTGCACGTTCGTACGCACACCGGCGACCGTAATCTTCGACATGATTGCTGTGGTCTTCCAATAGGTATCTGATGGATGCTATTGGTGTGGCTTCGCGTACTTTGTTGGTGGTTGTTCTCTGTGGGAAGCGAAGAAGGAAAGTGGCGGCGGGTGACATTCGAAGTCAGTGGTGGTGTGCCAAGACTTCTGCACGTGGTCCGTGCGTTGTATCGCCCCTACACTCCGAGGTCTCTCTGCTTTCTTGCGATGACAACAACCACTGCGATTTTGAAGAGGAGACCTCATTGGTACAGAAACACGACCTACAGAACCTACACTACCGGATTGTACTGATGGCTCTGAGCGGTAGACTTCCATTCTGGCTGCGGCTCGTCCTTTCCCCTTTGACTCACCCATCCTCAACCTAGGCTGCTGGACAAATGCCTCTTCTCTTACGGCTCGGATTCTGACCGATTCGTACGAGTTGCGAGCTGCTCGATTATGAGAATTCGCCAGAATGGTACAGTGGAACTCTGATCCACGCCTGGAGGCTTCTGCCTGGTCCCTAGCCAGCGCAGCTTCAATCAACGCTCTTCCTAATGCAGCCCGTCTGGCCTTCGGATCTACGAACACTCCGTTAAGATGACAGGAGAGCTTCTCAAATATCTTTTGTTCGGCAGTTGGTGCGCCACGCCCGTTTCCGTCCTTTGTCAAAGGATCCTCTCTCGCAGCGACGGCAGCGCTTCCCGAGGACGTGAACGGACCGATAAGTACAATAATCCCAAGCCATGTTGCCTCCAGCAAACTCTTGAAAAATTTCTTCGGACGTATCTGGTGTCGTTGCGGACGTTGGACTGTCTGTTGCGAAGAAGTGATCCGCTGTGCCATTTTGAGACGCTCCAAGTTTGGGCAAGATCTCTTCAGACTTCCACTCCATACGAGGGTGCGAAGGCTTCAGGCGCTATCTGCAGTGCGCGCAGTCGGAGCTTCCTGTTTTTCGTTGCGATAGCTTTTGCGATTCCATTATCTTCCGTACAGTTGTCGGGAGGCAGCTTGGGCAAGCTGACGATTTGGGCCGAATTAGGTTTCGTACTCCGATTCGCCATCTTGGTGTACTATGCTCTATCGCCCTGCATCTGTTCAAATCCCCGTCTCTCGGGCTTTCACATGAAAAATGTAGTACTTTTGCCCATTTCAGTGGCAATGACTCTTTCAAGTTCTTCCGGGCAGCTTGCGCAGATCCAAGCCACCAAGCAGCTGATCAGGTACCAGGCGGCTGATCTCCTATGTCTCAGCTTCTACCTCACACTAGCAGACTGCGTGACGCCTTACCACCTTTGTCGAAGTCCTACATCTGGTCACGGCCGACACTCAATATGACAACCAGACGGTCACCGGAGCCGAGCTCCTGCAGTAGAAGTATCCCAGGTCCCCCAACTCTGGACTGAATGTTGACTTCTGCGACGAAATGGACAATCCAGACGGAGTGACCAACAGCGATGCTTCGGATGCCTACGACTACTACCTTTCGATTGGAGACAGAGAATTGCAGAGCGGATTCCGATGTCTGGACGATCCTTCCAACTTGGCGGAGTGTATGAGCGCTGTCCAAAGCACTACGACCGACAACTTTGTCGTCGATTTCAGTGATGATACAGCTTGGGGCGCATTTGATCTTCCCACCAGATCCATTTCCGCTCTGCTCGATGAGGATAGACCAGAGACAATCAGTACACGATGGGTGAACATCTGGTATCCATACCAACACCGCTCTTTGCTCGAACTCCTCGCGAAGCGTTATGACTTCTCCCCCCGTCTGCTGGCACTGATGTGCTCGGATCCCAGATTGCGACGATCTACCCCGTCGAGAACGTCTCTTCACAAGCCGTCAAGGAAGAGATTCTGGGAGCGAGCGTCTGTCTCCATCGCGGACACCGAAGCAGACACAGAGCTGAGCGACGAAATCTCGGAACACTGGTCAATCTCCAGCGGCGATTCTGTGGCGCGTTCAAATCTATACAGCATCGCAGATAACATCTGGCACTATTCAAGCGTAGACTTTGGCCGGCAGTACGTCTGCATTGGGTACAATAGTCTCTATGGGACCAAGCAAGGTTCTCATGCCGGCGGCGAAGATACCATCAAGACTGTGCTCCCACACTGCACTCGCGTTTGGACCTGGCTTGTTCTCTGCGAAGACAATACCGTGATATCGATCAACGAGGACCCGTTCCCCTTCACCAGCAGCCACCACTTCTCGGCCTTGCAATGCCGCATCCTCTCTGAGATCCGCCGGAATCTGGTCAACGTCTTCCGCTCCCTCTCCTCTGTGCACGACACCCCGCTCCTCTCCCGAAACCCCATGACCATCCTCCCCATTCGCACCCGCTTAGGCAACACCCCCGAGGAAACCGCCCACCGCTCCTCCGACGCTCCAGGCCTCCTCTTCTACTACCTTTTCGAAAACTGGCACAACAGCTACACGCTCGTCACGCGCAAGGAATCCCGCTACGGTGTCGAACTCACCAATCTTCGCGAGGACATGTTTTCCCTTCCGAAACTCGTGCACATCGACCGCCTCGATTCTCTGGGGAAAGAATTGGGTGTCTTGAAAAGACACTATGAAAGTCACGATCGGATTATAGACCGGTTGTTGGAGCCGCAACATGCTTCCGCGGCGAGTCTCCAGAATTCCCAGGTGGGGGTGGGCAGTTCTGCGAGTCAGGTTTCGGTTGATACGGTGAGGCCGGCAGTTCTCGTCACGGAGAGTCAGAGTCTGATGGGGGTTTCGCTCTCCTCTGCGGCGCGCGTGCGTTTTCGAAGGCTGAAAGATATGATTGATCTGTACGCGTTGCAAGAAGTGGAAGAGTATATCAAACAAAAGGAAGCTCTGGTCGCGATGGTGAGTGAAGCCCATCTTCCCCCCTTCTCCTCCAAAAAGGAAAAAGAAAAAGAAAAAGAAAAAGAAAAAGAAAACCATTCTTCATGTCCAAGAAAAGCTAATATCTATGTGATGTGATCGTGCAGAACTTCAGCTTGATCGCCATCAAGCAATCCCTCGACGTCGACAAGCTCACCCGCATCACGCTGCTCCTGACGAAAGCCACGTTCCTCTTCCTCCCCACTTCGCTGATGACGAGTTACTTCTCCACGCAACTCATCGGGGTCGCGTATTCGGTGCAGACATACTGGATCACCTTCGCGGTCATGTTGGCTCTGAGCTGGATGGGATTGTTCATGTTCGGGGTTTCGAGTGGGAATGTGCAGACGATGGAAGTCATGAGGGGGATCGGGCGGGGAGTGAGGACGTTGTTCAAGAAAGCGGTGGGAAAGGGGTGATGGTGATGGTGATCTGGTACTGGTAGTTTGCAGGTTCATGTTTTGTCCCTTCTGACCTAGACTCTGTGAGGTTCTTCAATCTTCAATCTTCATCTTCATCATCGCTCCCGAAAATGGCCTTGAAAACTTCATCTCCAGCTTTCTGGCCTTCCAGCGCATCATTCTTTTCCACATTAACCTCAGCAGGCCGATGAGCACTTCTTGCAGGCTGCTGTTCATGTGTTCCTCCTTCCGTCTCTCCAGAGACGGAATTCGACCCAGCCTCCATCATCATCCGATCCAGACTAGCCTGACTAACAACATCCAACCTTCTCTTCTCATCCACAATCTCTCCTCCTTCTCCCCCAGTAGCAGAACTACCCGCCGCAACGTTCGGCGGGGGCTTCACATTGAATCGTTTGCAGAGCAACCTAGTCGGGAAGAACGGTTGCCTCGAACGAGTCACAGGTCCATACATCCCCATCTTCGCAGCTTTCTCCGCGGGCTCTTCTTCTCTGGCAGGCAGAGAAGGAGCAGAATCAGGAGCATCAGAAGCAGGTTTCGGACCTGCAGATGTAGAAGTCGTGAAGCGCGCCGCCATGGATCCCGATAAAGGCTTGAAAATCTCCGCTGCGTCGGCGAACTCCTTCAATTCCTTCGTCCATTCATCGCGTGAAAATGTCTTTGGTCGTTCAGGGAGATTGGATTGTAGGCCTGCACTCAGTTCCAGGAAGTACTTGTATCGTGCGCGCTTGTCTGGATCTTCGGCATATGGCATCCAGCCGGTCCTGCCACGATAGAGAGCCGCCGCCGCGGTTTCTTTGTCCAGCGTTGGGACGAGATCCCAGAGAGTACGACGCTGCTCTGCCTCGCTTTGCTCGAAGCCAGCTGGGGCACCCTCACCAAGACCACGGGGAAGGTCGCTCCTGCCGCTTGCTGCTGCCAACCGATCTCTAACTTCTGGCTTCATGAAATCGAAGATGGATTTGCCTGGTAGTTGCTGTTCGCCCAGAAGAGCTGCGCGAGATTTGGTGTCCAATGTGGAGGCTTTGGCTGCATCTGCGGTAGACTGATACGTGGCCGGAGTGCCATCGGCATCTCTGCCTAGCTTCAATGGTTTCCAATCTGCAGGTACTCTAGGTGGTGGATACTTGTTATCGTCTTCAATGGTGAGTGCTGCCGCCGCGAGAACAAAGCCATCCAGCGGCAATCGACCATCGTGGCATCTTCTGAAGTTCGAGAGATTGGCTGTCCTCTGTGCCAACTTCTTCGAGGTTGCACCAGGCCTAATTATGGACTGACTAGCAGTGCTCGACACCAAGCCGCCCTTCTTTTTCTTCTTGTCGGCGCCAATGATTCGGTTGTAGCTGATCTTGGGCCCTACTGAGTACGGATCCTCGTCATCCGATCCGTCATCGTTCAACACGCCCACTCCAAAGCCGGACTTCTTGAGCGGCTTTGGTTTGGTTGCTACCTTGGAACGGTTGGTTCGAAATATTCTGGCATCGTCTCCGCTGTCCTCGTCGTCTTCATTGTGCGTGTTGGCGCCGGCTCCTCCACTCAGTCTGCCTTCTCCGGCGAAGCCCAATCCTTTACGATCGGTCTTCTTGACAAACCCAATCATGCGCGAGTCTTCAGGAGCGAAGAGGTGAATCTCACCTGTCTTGTCGCCCTGCGCTCGTCGCTTGATCTTGGGGCCAATCCCTTGACCTTGACGCCATCCCATTCGTTGCAAGAGCTTGACACCCTTGGTCTCGCCGGTACTCTTGAAGAGATCAGAGAACATGCCGCGAACGCCTCCATCTCCACCTGTACTCCCCAGCCCAGCAAACGCGTTCTGAGTTTCCAGCTTCTGCGACTCGGCCTGCTCGGCGAGATCCTCCTCGTCCATAAAGTCCTCTGCCCGCTGACCTTTGTGCTTGCCATCTTGCTGGTCCTTGGCACGATTGGAACGAGACGAGACAAATGTACTGGGAGTCCATCCTTCCTTGGAGCCTACCGTGTTGAAGTAGCCAGCGCTAAAGCCTCCGGTAAAGGCACCATGTAGCCTCTTCCTGCCGCGCTCATCGGTCACCTCTTGCTTCCAGACTGGCACATAGCTGCCATCGTCTCGAGCTTCGGGATCGTATGCGGGCAACGGCGTGCCGTAGAGCGCGTAGGGGGCATGATGGGGTGGAGCGGTAGGGTCGGACTCGAAGGCGGCCCTAGAGCGCTTGTTGTAGGACATCCCTCAGCACCTGCTATGACTAGCCAGCATTGAGAGGGACTGCTCGGAACTCTGGCGTGCGAGACTTACCTATAACGAGGTCACCCGGTTGTCCCTGCGCGGTCTGGCGCGGATGTGATGTAGGATATGTGGATTAAAATATGAGAGCGCGTCCCTCCGAGTAGCGGTACCTTATGTGGCGGGAGGGAAAGACAGTGCAGCGTGCAGCGTGCAGCGAGAGACTACAGCCACAGTACAACGAGAGCCTAGGTAGGTAGGACCCCTTCGACGCCAGCGTAAAGGGAACGCGTGAGCTTCCACGCTTCCCGCTGCCACCTCCAACCAACGCACGCGATACACCACACACGCCCACGCCCACGCCCACCCAAACACCGACTCCTGTCCATCGCGAGCCATTGCACCGCAGTCGACGACACCACCTCTGTCCACTCAACGCATCGCAGCAACGCCGCTGCCGCCCCCGATGCCACCTGCGGCGTAGTCACTCCTCCTTCCCGGGCAGCCCCTCGCCAAGCAAAGCAAGCAAGAAGCACCGTCGTCGCGACCACTCTCCACAAGGAGCGACGAAACAGCGGCTGACCCTGCAAACATCTGTCGCCCTGCCTCGCACCTGCTTGCCCTCACTCTTGCCGAGTCAGCGTTGAGCTGGTCCGCCACATCCCGATACCAGGAATCATCAGACCTCACTGCTCGTCGCCCTGCCCGCGACACCATGTCCGCTGCAGCGCCGCCTGCCTCACTGCCTCGCACCTCTTCCACCCGCCGACAGCAGCCCTCCTACCCTCCCTCCTCCTCCGATCGCGATCGCGACCGCGACCGTTCACACCGTCCGAGCTCCTCCCACCGCTCGGCGGCTCCCGCTTCCTCGCCCAGGAGGTCAATGTCCTCGTCGCAGCCTCCGCCCAACTCGACCGCTTCGCACAGCCGCAATCCCTCCAATAACCTCGACAAGGTTGTCCGTCAGGATTTCGAGCAGACGAACGTAGCCCGCATAGACAACCCTCGACCCAGCGAATCCCGCGATGCTCCCATAAATGGTGGTGCAGCGGCACATCCGCCGCGCAGCGACAGCATGAGAAACAACGGCAGCCATGCGCGGACCCAATCGCGCTACGCTGACCAGCCTACTCCCGCGCCAACCACCCAATCCGCTGAGACCCGGTCTGGCAACACTCAGAATCTTAGGAGGAGGACAACGATCGATGCTACCACCGGCCATTGGGAGCTGGGCAAGACCATCGGTGCGGGGAGTATGGGCAAGGTCAAGTTGGCACGGAACAAGGAGACCGGCGAGCAGGTCGCTGTGAAGATTGTTCCTAGGCAGAGCACCGACACCGAGCACCGGACGCCACAGGAGCGCGAGCGAGCAGACCACAGCAAGGAGGTCAGGACTGCAAGAGAAGCTGCCATCGTAACCCTGGTCGACCACCCATATATCTGCGGCATGCGGGATGTTGTACGGACAAACTATCATTGGTACATGCTGTTTGAGTATGTCAATGGCGGCCAGATGCTCGACTACATCATCAGCCATGGGCGCCTAAAAGAGAAGCAGGCCCGGAAGTTTGGCCGGCAGATCGCGAGCGCCCTGGACTACTGCCATCGCAACAGCATCGTACATCGCGATTTGAAGATCGAAAACATCCTCATCAGCAAGACGGGAGACATCAAGATCATCGACTTTGGTCTTTCAAACTTGTTCAGCCCTCGCAATCACCTGAAGACGTTCTGCGGGAGCTTATATTTTGCCGCTCCAGAGCTGTTGCAAGCAAGGCAATACACCGGGCCCGAGGTGGACGTTTGGAGTTTTGGAATTGTTCTGTATGTGCTTGTGTGTGGAAAGGTGCCATTTGACGACCAGAGCATGCCGCAGCTTCACGCCAAGATTAAGAAAGGCGTAGTAGAGTATCCTCCGTGGTTGACTCCAGGTAGGTCAGCTCATCTGCGGTATTGAGTCTAAGCTGACACGTAACAGAATGCCGCGGCTTGATTGCCCGCATGCTCACCACCAACCCGCAGGATCGAGCGACATTACAAGAGATTATGAACCACCCATGGATGACGAAAGGGTTTAGTGGTCCACCGGACAACTACTTGCCCGTACGAAAGCCAGTGCAACTACCTCTGGATCAGTCTGTGATCGAGAAGATGACTGGTTTTGATTTTGGCGACGCGGAAACAATAACTGGCCAACTTATGAAAGTCATTGAATCCGAAGACTATCAACGTGCAGTCCGTCTACAGGAGAAGCAGAAATACCAGCAGCCTCCGGAAACTGACACAAAAAGGGGTGTCTTCAACTTCTACAAGCGCAGAAGTTCGACGACGAGTAGAGACACTCTGAACACGCCTTCGAGCGAGGCTTTGCAACTTGGCTCTGATCCCGTCAACGCTTTCCATCCTCTGATCTCAATCTACTATCTGGCAATAGAGAAGCAAGAGCGAGAGGCCAGAGAGAAGAATCCTGGCGCACTTTCATTGCCGCAAGATCAGGGCGAGAAGCCTCTGGCAGTTCCAGACCTGCCCGCGCCCGAAGCAGCCTACACAAACACTTCGACATACGAGATGGCCGGTGAGAAGCCAACTGGCGGCAGATCGAGACCTCGAGCAAGGACTCACGGCGAGGACGATGTAGCGCAAGACCTGAAGAATGTCAACCTGAACGCAAGCAAGCCTGCGCATCCGACGATTGTAGAACCGACGGCCGAGCAGAAGCCAACTCATGCGAGGAAAGAAAGTGCTGCTGCAGGCCTGCTTCGAAGATTCAGCAAACGCGAGAAGGGAGAGAGGCCTAGCCATCCACCTTCCTCCCTGGACAAGTACAATTCTCCTGGTGAAACGCCAAAGAAGAGCTTTAGTATGAGGCGGACACGAGAGCCCAGCCAGACAAGGGAAACGACTCGACCGGAGACCGCAGCGAGCAAGCGAAGCGAACTTCTCACGCCTCCAGCCATGGGTGATTCGACCAACGAACGCAAACGCTCTCATGGATTGGGGCGATCTATCAGTGTGAACTCGAGCGACATGAGGAGACGTTTGACTAGGCGTGGCGTCTCCGAAGGCTCATCGACTAGGCCGTTGATGGGTGCTTCTGGCAGCATAGATCGCAAGGTATCGTTCGACCAAGGCAGCAGCGTAAAGGACCCTGCATCTGACGTCGAATCGACCCGACCTTCTACTACTCTCGCTAGCCGAGCGAAGTCTATTGGACACTCTCGCAAGGACAGTATGCAGATGCGGCGCGCCAGACGTCAGGATACTCGGACAGCCGACGTGCCCGAGGAGACGGATCAGGAGATGCTCGACGAGACGTACACCAAGGGGAATGGCGGCAGCAGTTTGACTGGCATGAAGCCCGTGTACCTCAAGGGATTCTGGAGCTCTTCAACCACAACGAACAAGCCATTGGACGTGATTCGGGCGGACATTATCAGAGTGCTGAAGGAGTTGGGTGTTGAATATAGGGAGAGTAAGGGCGGTTTCAGCTGCAAGCATGCACCTAGCATCGTGGCTAACAACGCGGAAGAATCCGCCGCACCGTCCGCAGCTCAACTGATGAGCCCGTCATTAGAGCCCCCCGGACACCGACGAAAGATCAGCTTTGGAGGTTTCCGCGACCGCAGTACCACAGGCGATCGAGAAGGTCAGTCATCAGGTGGACCACGCAAGAAGCCTAGCTACACCAACTCCGAAGAGGATTCCGAGGAAGACCCGCTTACCCCACGTCCTACAGCCACTGGATCGCGGCCTGCTGGAGAAACGAGTACACATGTCCAGGCTGACATGGGCGGCGACATGACGCTGCGATTCGAAATCGTCGTCGTCAAGGTACCGCTCCTCAGCTTGCACGGGATCCAGTTCAAGAAGGTTGAAGGCGGGACATGGCAGTACAAGAACATGGCGCAAAAGATTTTGAACGAGTTGAGACTATAACATGACAATCAGGGAGCGGGCTCCCGCGGACGTGTGCCTTGAACTTGGTTTTGTTTTTTGTTGCGAAGCGGGCACGGCGTGATGGGAAGAAAATCCTTTCTTTTTTTTTGTTTTACAAGAGGCATTGTATTAGCGAAGATCTGTTATAGAAGGAAACACGCGAGCGAGGAAACAGCATTCAACTTAGTTTTGCGGCGCCATGGCTGGCGGGGGTGGTCAAAATATGGCTCAAACAACTTCTTTTTGGAATCGAGGCATACTGACTGTCTGTCTGTCTGCCTTGAGTGTAAATTGCACACAATGAAGGCTAATGAAGCAAGACGTTCGTTCCTTTCTTCGTCTGATATGACGCGCTCTATGCTATGCTATGCCATAATATGGACAATGCAAAAAACATGTAACATTTCCAGACAACCAACAACAACAACAAGCTCATCATCCCTTTTTCTTCTTACTCCATGTTGAGAATCCTCCTCAACATCAAGCCTCCAAACCCTTCCTCTCCGCCCGCGGGACTTCTCACCGCTCTTCGCAAACGATTCCCACCCCGACGGCTCAGCCAGTTCCCCGTATCGCCGGCCTTCTCCCCTTCCTCGCCCTCGGCGCGCTTCCGACGAGTGCGGCGGTCGACGACACACATGCCCCGCGTCCACTGCCCGGAAGTCTCGATTCGGATGTCTTCGTCTTCGTTGATTTGCCAGGTAGCTGGGTCGGTCACTGGCTTTTTGTGTTAGATGGAGTGTGAGTGTGAGGATGAGGCTGGGTTTTTTTTGGAAAGGGAAAGGCAGGAGACGTACTGCAATACCAGATGGTCAGGGGGTCGTGGAGACCGAGATTTACGTCGTCGCCGGAAGCTTCCTGTTGCAGGGATTCGATTTTTCGGAAGGTGGATGTTAGGAAGGCGGAGAGCCAGGATGCCAGGGGAGAGTTTGAGGTCGAGGGGGAGGCGAGGATCGTGCGGTAGACTCCTCGGGAGAGGTTGTGGCGGTGGGTGATGTCTACGGGGAACATTGTGATTTTGAGTTGGCGGGAGAGGGTTTCCGGATAAGGACGTAGGACGGTCTGCTCGTTGGTGGAGGTTGGAGGAATGGGAGGGGGCATGGTGGTTTTCGGGTCTTGGGATGAGAGGGCGTAGACGCGGGCGGCGGCGATGGAATCGGCGAAGGTGTTGAATTCTGCTACGGGGGTGATCTGGTTGCGGGAGTTTAGTTGAGTTCTGATGGGTCCTGTGGGTTGTTTGGTGAGGCGGAAGAGTGGCTCGGGGGCTGAGATGATGTTCGTAGACGAAGGTGAAAGATTTCCACATACATTTCCGATGTCGTTGATGTTGCCGCCCATGACTACGATTTCTTTTGCTCGGAGGAAAGTTTCGGGGTCCTGAGCAGCGGCTAGGGCGAGGTTGGTGAGTGGACCGATTGCTACGATTGTGATTGTATCTGGTTCGTTGTCTCGGAGGAGGCGGAGAATCTCTTCGCTGGATGGCTTCTTAGAAGGGATGAAGAGAGCGTCTTTATTGGCCAATTCTTCAGCGACGGCATGCTCTTCTGGATCGGATGACTGTTGGGAGCGATCAAAGAGGGACTTCCAAGTATCGGCTGGAGTCATATGAGGATGCTTGCAAGAGTCAGCCGTTTCGTTTGTCGTACAGCGTGATAGCACCGCGTACCGTTTCATGGATTCCCGCAAGTCCATCTCTCCCATCTACGACGCTAGTTAGTACAAACTGGTATTTCCCTGAGGGAGATCATTCGTACGGAAGAAGTCGGCCTGAAATCAAAATTGCAAAGGTAAGCGATTATTTCGCCAAAAGTGCCTTCCGAGTCTTGAAGCACTCACCATCATAGTTTGTTCAGCCAACGGATGATCGGGTCCAACAGCAACGATCGGCTTCGTCTTTCGAAGCGTCTGAAAACCGGGATCGCGCCCTTGAGACTTGCGCCATTCAATCTCTTGCTCGACATGATGGAAGAGAGAAATCACATTCCGAAGGCAGTTGCGAACGTCGATATTGCCGTAGGTCACCGAGATGAGCAAGATTTCCAGCTCTTCAGGAGTGGCAGCTAAGGCCAGCAAGAGGGCGAGGACATCGTCGACACCCTAGAAAAACCTTAGCTATGTCGATGCATTTGATGGCGTTGGAAGTCGTACAGGATCGGTGTCGATGATGATCTTTCTGGACATGGCAATTGCCTTGTTAGATAGATTTGGTCGTGCCCTTTCTTTTCATGTGATAAGAGCTAGCGTGAAGCCAATTTCTTAATGTCCAACTGGAGATCAGCGTTCGAAAAGTGGTGACGAATGGTCGGTCCGAAGCGTACCAAGAGCGAAGTCGACGACAAGCGGGTGAGTCGAAAGAGGTCAAGAAGCACCTGAGGTTCAATGTCACGACTTCTGACTGCGGTCGTCGGGACTTTTCGCACCGACTTGGTCCACGAATTTTATACAATCCACGCACGGCTTTCGTGCTCTCCTTCTCTTCTTTCTTCTTCAACAATGTCTTTACAGGCCACCAATAGAGTCTCGGTGCGAACGATCAGTGTTTGTGCAGGTCTACAAGGCCTCTTTGCGTGCTCCGGTAGCCTAAGATCGAGCACGCTCGCAACAAAACTTCGTTCCAAAATTTTCAGAAGGGGACGTGAGATAATACTGCGGGCGTGACATACTTCCTTCTACACACATTGAGCTACGTACAGCATCGGATCCTGGAGCTCTCCGGCTGGGTCGAGGTGGCTACCGCCTATTTCACACCCTCGGCTCGCTGCTTCATCTTGAGTCTGGTGCAAGATTTGGTCAGAGAGGACTTGGTGGGCAGAGAGAGTCGAGGCATACCGGAGGAGATTCGCCTTGGGACAGCTCACGGTTGACGCATCATCGCCATTCTGCTGGTAGAACAGATTGCAGCACGCGTACAGAGCGTCGATCTGCTGTGGTCAGCACATGACATATTCGTGGCGTAGAGGTATGCTCGTCACGAAGAGGTAACCGGGGGCCACGCACTTGCTTCTGGCACTTCTCCTCCTTGTAGTTGTTCTTCTGGATGCAATCTAGGCGCGTGTCAGAAGGAAGGCGACCATCGCTTTCCCATGCTTGCAGGATTGGACGCCCACCTTGAATTGCACATGCTTGGGGATGGCACGGTGGCTCGCTCTTCAGTCCATCTTCTGGGCTCGTGTTTGCCTGTGCTCCGAGCACGGTCAGTGACGCACCGCCGTGCTCAGCGAGGAACTACCCACCATGTTCAATAATGTACCAATTCCAACACCAAATACACTCAGAGTCCAAGTTCGAATGTGTCTTCCAACACAAGCAGATTGAGTGAAGTCGACGTGTGCAGATGACTGATATGTTTGTGCATGTGTCGGGCGAGAGGTAGAACGGCGTCAGAATCAGAATCGCAACCCCACAGGAAGGACATCAACCCTCCACCTCCACACCGGCACCTATTCTCCTCTTCACTTCTTCACCCTCTGCCACTCACAGTTGCCTTGTCTTGACTGTGCTCGCAATAGACTCGTAAGGTGAGTGGGCGGATCGACTAGGCAGCGGCGACTTCACATGCCTTCTTGCGCTCCTGCCTCACTTGCCTCATACCGCGTCTAACGAAACCTCACGGCGCGCCACCTCAGAACACACCCTTCTACAACGTATTGAGCCTTCACTCACACGTGTCTTAGTCATCGCGAAACAGCTATAAAAGGGCCTCCACGCTTCTCAATTCCACCTTCGACCTTTCCCTCCACTCCACACTCCGACAGCAGCTTGTCTCCCTCCCCAACGCTCCTCCATCTCGACCGAACAACACCGCAAACATAGCAGTCGACATGTCGGACGGCAATGGGACCCCAGGCGGCGACAGGCCCGAAGAGGCCCAAGCATCCGAGCATCTGAACATCAAGGTCACGGACAACAACAACGAAGTCTTCTTCAAGATCAAGCGGAGCACCTTTCTCAAGAAGCTCATGGATGCCTTCTGCGAGCGCCAGGGCAAGGCGCCGCAGAGCGTGCGGTTTCTCTTCGATGGCCAGCGTGTGAACAATACGGACACTCCGGATACGGTGGGTACCATCGGACGAGAAACACACACATGCATGGAACATGTGCTAACGGCAGGCTGCGACCAGCTGGACATGGCGGACGGCGACACCCTCGAAGTCCACCAGGAGCAGATTGGCGGTTCCTGCTGATCGCCATTCCCTCTCCTCGCACGGAAGAACGCCGACTCGGAAGACTCGCTCTGCTTCTCCCGCGGGAACGTTCGCGACCGGCACACGATACCACACAGCATACGGAAATGTTTTACGGAGGCACGAAGGAGCGGAATGGATACTTCTCGGCGGCGGCGGCGGCGGCGGCGGCGGTCGCGGACATGGATCTCCTCATCTCAGGCGCCCTCGGCGTCACTATGCGGTGCATATCTATGGCCTACATTTCTGGGTCTACGGATTGGACTGAAGCAGAGATCGATTAGCTCCGGCGTCTGAAAGTTCACCAATATTTTTGGCATGCTTGATCCCTTTGCTCTTCCTCTTGCTTTCCCTTTCTCTTTTCTCTACAGCACTCTGGGCAGGGCAGGTCTTTAGGCCTTTTTTTTCCTACTCGCATCACGAACACTGCATCCGAAGCCTGAGACATCGCTGAAAACGCAGGGTCTATTTGCCGCGCCACCAGCACTCCAAAACTGAGCACCGCATAGAAGACTCCCAACTGCAACTTTTCACACGCCCTTTCCAAACATACTGCTGTAACATTCAAGATCTGCATCTCTGCTTCTACAGGCGCCAAGACACCACCGGCTAAATCGAACCCAACTCGGACACTATATACAACTCCCTCAACCTCACTCCTAACAGAGCTCTCCTTCTACCGACGATTCGCAATCTCAATAACCTTAGCAGCAGCATCCTCAAACTTGTCAAACGCATCCAAGCCCAGCCCACTCTCCGCAATCGTCTTCTGTCCCACTTCCTCATTCGTACCCCGTATCCTCACCACCACGGGAACATTCTTCATATCCACCTCTTTAAACGCCAACAGAATTCCATTCGCAATCATGCCGCCGTCCGTCAGACCGCCGAAGATGTTGACGAAGATGACTTTGACGCGGGGATCTTGCAGGATGACTTCGAAGGATTTCTTGACGGTTTCCGAGGTCGCTTTGCCGCCGGTGTCGAGGAAATTGGTGGATCGGCCGCCGTGCAGACGCAGGGCGTCGACGGTGTTCATGGCGAGACCGGCGCCGTTGACCAGAGTGCCGATGTTGGCCTGTTCATCCGGGAGACGGACGTACACGATACCGTCCTGCTCCGCTTCGAGCTCGGCGGGGTCTTCCTGGTCTTTCTGGCGGAGACGGTGGACGTCTTCCTGGCGCTTGCTGCTGCGGTACGCGGAATCATCAAACATGAGCGTGATGCTCGGTTGATGGATTTTCAAATTGCCGGAACCGCCGATACTCACGCAGCCCGTGAGGATGATGGCTTCCTTTTCCTTGTACATTTTTGCGAAGGAGTCGATGAGTTCGTGGACTTGTTGCTTGGCGTTTTGAGGGGCGGAGCCCATCTGGAGGTATTCCATTGCTTCGTTGATCTGGGCGTCTGTGGGACCTTTGGCCCAGTCGTAGGGAAAACGCTTGACGTGGGCGTCGATGGCGGTTTCGTCGGCGGTTGGGGCTACGACAATGGCTGGGCAGCGTTCCGTGCGGTCGACGAGGATTCCGAGGTAGTAGCCATCATTCGGTGCTTGGTCCAGGGAGAGGGAAACGCCTTGAATCTTGCTCAGGTATGGATAAAGTGGGACCGGAATGAGTTCAGGAGCAATGAAGAGGCTCCTCTTTTGTTGCTGTTGCTGTTGCTGAGCAAGACCTGCATTCAGTCTAGGACGCTGTGTGGCTCTCGCCATGGCAGGACTTCTCCTCCATGTATGATATCCTCTCTTTTGCTGGACGTTCGCCTGGATCTTGTTGACATCCCTCCCAGACTGTTGGAGCAATGTCTTCATGACACCACCAAACTTCTCAGGGTGGTCGACCATGGTAGCTCCAGCTTCTTGGAGAATGCTGTACTTCTGATTCGAATCGTTCTCGCCGCGAGCCGCCCAAGCACCTGCGTGACCCATGATTCGTCCTGGCTTAGCGTTCTTGCCGCCTACAAGAGCGGCAATTGGCTTGAGGTTCTTCTCGCGCTTGTGGTAGTCTTTGATCCATTGTGCAGCGTCTTCCTCGGCTCTGCCTCCGACTTCGCCGATCAGGACGATGCCCTCTGTTTCTGGGTCTGCTTCGAAGACCTTGAGTGAGTCTACGAGGTTGGTGCCTGCAATGATGTCGCCTCCCATGCCAATGCAGAGACTCTGTCCTAGCCCAGCACGGGTGACTGATGCTACTGCTTCGTAGGAGAGGGTGCCCGACTTGGCAGCAATTCCGATGTGCCCTGGAGAGAAGGTGGGTAGAGGTTGGAAACCGATTCGGCAGAAGCCAATGGGTGCAATGATCCCGGGTGCGTTGGCCCCTACTAATCTAGACTTTGACTGGGTCTTGAGGATACTCGAGATCTTTCACAAAGCTTGTCAGTAGCTCGCTCTCCATGAATTTATTGTGAAGCATTTTGAAGGTCTAGGTACGCACCCTCATAATATCATGCACAGGAATATGCTCCGCAACAGCCACAATCAACGGAATCTCTGCCTCAATGGCATCCTCAATCGCCTTTCCACATTGCTGCGCAGCGACGAAGACAGCAGTGGCATCCGGCTTGAGCTGCTCTTTGGCTTTCTTCAGATCCGGTAAAAGAGGAAGACCAATGTGTTCTCCTTCTTTGCCGGGAGTGACTCCTCCAACGACATTGGTTCCATACGCAATGCTGTCCTTGGCATTTCCGGTCGCTACGCGCCCCGTGAAACCTTGGTAGATGACACGCGTGTGCTTTCCTATCCGGAGATTGTGGACTGTGTCGTCGTAGCTGCTCCTCAAGGCCGTGGAGGAGAAGGTGCGTGATGCTCTGGGTAGGGATCGTCTCGTTGTTTGGGTCAACAGGGAAGCTTGCGAGCTCCGCATGGCTGCCATGGCGAGGTTCCACGTCCTCGAGAAGGACGTAGGAAGTCTTGTGAAGAGGTGAATAGACTGCAAGGGAGGGAGGAGATACACGTAGGTGGGAAGGAAATGGATTCAGCAAAACAACCTATACGGCTTCACGGCTCTAACAATGCCCCCAGCCGACGTTATAGCAGGCCGGGAATAACAGTTGTGAATCAACCATGAGCTCGGGAACGGGTAGCTCGCGTGAGAGCCCTGACAGCCAATAGTGAATAGTGACGCGGGGCGACGTGAGGTCTTAGGCGGCAAAGCGGGTATCAAATCCAGACAGTGAGGGGGTCTCCCCTGCCGTTATCGGCACGCTGCTCCTCGGGACGCTGACCAGCTCGTTACCTGTTCCTGAGGCTGTCAAAGCCGGGAAAATATGGTCCCAAGGATCGCGAACAGAGATCGAATTCTCCCTTGGCAATGTAAGACGGAGGCATTGAGGTCTCTGCTCGGTGTCCTCTCGCGGCGATGACGTCGCCGTCGGCACGGGAGCGATTCCGAGGTCCCGATCTTGTGGGACAGCGCATGTGGGGCTCTGCGCTAATCCCCAGCAATCTTCACGTGCGTGTCGAATTCTAGACCTCGAAAACGCACTACCTGCATAGCTCTATACTCTTCCAAAAGCGACTCCCACCAGCCAACCCAGCAACAACAATGTCTCAAGAGACTCCCGCAAAGGCCATGACATCCTCCCTGAGCAAGCTGCAAATCCAAAACCAAAAGAAATCCAAAGCTCCAGAACCAGCCGAGTCCTGGGAAGACGAAGCAGACGCCGCGAGCTCCGGTACCGAGACGCAAGAAGTCTCAATACCAATTCGACCGGGCACGTCGGATTACCCGGAACCTCCGCCTCCCACGCCATCATCTCCGGACTCCGCTGCCAAGAGAAGAGAGATTGAATATCAACCCTTTAGCTTTGACGGAGCGTCCTTCTCAGACCCGCCAACATCCCGCCTCACAGGAGCAGAACGGCGGCCAGATAAGACCACTTCGGTGGCTTCAAGATTGATCGCCGCGGGCATAGGCCAGAAAGCACCGAAGCGGACGCAAGAGCAGAGAGAATATGATCAGGCGATGAGGGTGCAGGAGAAGAAGAAGCGGGACCAGGCCAGGGCGGAAGAGGAGAGGAAGAAGAGGGAGAAAGAGCAGGCGCAGAAGGATATTTGGGGAGACTGAGAAGGACGCATTCTAGATCGGTGCAATGAGCTCTCTACTGGGACAACTTCTGCATACACCGTGTGGCTTTGACAGGTTAGCGCGTAAGAACGGCGCGGAGCATGACCTGAGGAACGTCTTCACCCGTAGATGCGTCGCTGGAGGCGGTCAGAACTCGGAAGGTATACATCGACAGGGACGTAGGACATAGCCGGAAAGGCACTAGAACAAACTAGGCGCTAGGAGTTGGTCCGGGTCAACGCATACAGGACAACGATGAATGCTTGCCACTGCTACCACCACGCTATGGGGAGGAAGCTCAATGCGTGCAAAGCATTTCTCGTGTCGAGTAAGTCGGGCGGTACAAGACCGGCTAGAGAAGTCATGCGAGGAGATGGTACAGATGTGAAGATGCCGAGTTTTGATCCCACATCAGCAGCTGCTCAAAGCCTCGACCCAGAGCTCTTCTCCAACTCCTTCAGCTTGCGCTGGTAGTTCTTTCCCAGTTGCCGCACCATAAGGTCAAGCATCACATCTTCCGATCCGCCAGGAATCCTGTTTCCATTCACTTCTCTCCACATTCGTTCTGCGATTTCGCCTTGCCCAGAGCGAGTGTAGCTATCACAGCGGTCAGTACATCTTCTCAACAGTGAGACATCAGACATTGCTGCTGAAACTCACCCATTTCCTCCAAAAAGAAGAGCCGCGCAGTCCGCGCACTCCTTCAACACAATACCAGCATTGGCCTTGGCAGCAGCAGTCAATCCACCCAATTCCACATCCGCCTCTTCCTTCTTCATATTAGCCATTTGATACACAAACAACTCCACCCAAGCACTCTGACTCTCCAACAGCGTGCCCGCCTTGGCCAAGCGATGTCTAACGACAGGCTGCTCGAATAACGGCTTCCCAAAAGCTTCCCTCTTCAATACATACGCAAAAGCAGCTGATAACGCTACACGTGCCTGCCTCGTTGAACTGATAGCGATGGAGAGTCGCTCGTGGTTGAAGTTCGTCATGATGTAGCGCATTCCTTGTCCTTCTTCGCCGATGAGATTTTCGACGGGGACTTCAACGTCGTCCAGTTCAATGAAAGTCGTTCCGGCACTGATTTGGCCCGAGACTTTGAGGCGGCGCATGTCGACTCCTTTGTGGCCTTTCAGTGGCACGACGAGCAGAGATAAGCCGCCGGGCCCTGATCCACCTGTTCGCACAGCCATACAAGCCCAATCTGACCAGACACCATTCGTGATCCACTTCTTCGTGCCATTGACAATGTACTTCTTCCCGTCCTGGCTCTTGACCGCAGTCGTTTGGACATTCGCCACGTCAGAACCAGCATCAGGTTCTGTAATGGCAATACAAGCTCGTTTCGTACCCTTGAAGAGATCCGGCAGGAACCTTCTCTTCAGTTGCTCGTTGCCGAATTTGATAATCGGTGGTACACCAAACGAAATTCCAGTCGTCAAACTACCTGAAGGTCCCACCAATCCATTCCGGATCATTTCGTCGCCGTAGATGTAACCATGATACTGAGTGAAGTCTTCTACCTTCGTGCCGAGAATGTCGTGGATGCCGCTGGCCTTCAATTCCTTGACTGGTAGAGGTGCAGGTAGGGACGGGATTAACATGTGATGCTTTGCAAAAACGCCATAGACATGCTCAGGCACGGTCTCTTCCTTCTCCCAATCCCAGGCATGTTTCGTGAGGTGTTCTTCAATGAACGCGCGACACTTCTTTTGCCATTCCAGAAGCTGAGGCGTGACCCATGGAGTCGGAAGGCCTCGGAGATAAGGTGGTTCTGCGAATGGCACTAGGACTTCGGTGGCCATTCTAGCTGATGCTGTTCGCCCCTTGACTGGGCTCTGGGACTGCGTTGAAGTGTGTAGTGTGAGTATAGATATAAAAGTCTAAATGTATACACAATTAAAACATTTCGATTGAGGTTCAAGTTGGTAGGACGTGAGAATTGTGGGGTTGTGGAGGTCCTCGGCTGCTCGGTCGATCACTCTTCCGACATTTTGACGTGGTTCCCCAGGGCATTTTTATTTCCGTCGCTTTCCCTTGGCCGCTCCTCGGTATATACATCCGTGGCTGGCCCCCGAGGTACGATCGGCTGGAGATGCTTGGGAGCCAACGACAGAACAGAGTCATGGCGTTTCGTCGGATTCAGTCAAGCGCCACGATGTTAGGCAGCTCCTTCACATCGACTGTGTGCCGACTGTCCAAGTCCACGATCCGCAAGGTTCCCAGATCCAGCACCCCAGTCGTCATCGCTCGAAACTTGAGATGAGTTTCGAAGCATGCACCAGAAGGAAGTGGTCCTATGCGTACGTCAGGATTCAGATCAAGTACATCTGGCAGCTTAGCTTTTTCCAGAGGAGGCGCATTGAATATGCTCGCGATCAAGTCGGTGTTGGCAACGGTTGACTGAGCTGTCATGCTTTTTGGCCTGCTGGGAAGAATCGAGATCAAGGCAAATCGGCGCTTTCGACCAGAGTGATTGTTGCAATGAACTTCGAGCTGAAAATTGGTACTTTTATGCGTCGTTGCAGGCGCACTGAAGCGAAAGGTTATACCTGCGTCTTCTTCCATGCGTCGTTGAGGCTCTTCAAATGACACAGGTCCAGGGTGTGATGATGAGGAGTGACCTCTTCGATGTCCTGATGATGTGCTGAGCGGCCGTGACCATTTGTAGACAGGTTTGGTCGAGGTCTGCGACAGATCGACCTGTGTATTCCAGCTGGAATTGAAAGTGATGTGAGACCCTTGGTCTAAAGAAGCGTTTGCAAGTATCGAGACAGAGACGGGTGACATTCTCTGTGATGCAGCGCCCTTGGCCATCTTTCCTAGAGTCAGTCTGTAGAGTGTGATGGTCTCATCTCCTCCGCGTGTCTCGAGCGGCAGCGCAACATTCGTGAGATGTTCCACCTTGGCATTTGGAACACTCAGCTTCACATCACTAATAGTGACTGTTCCAGCTATAACGTGGGACGTTTCCAGATGTAAACTTGCAATGGTGGCATCCGCAAGTACTGTGTATCTGATCCTACTGAAAATCGCAGGTATCGCAGGAAAGGCACGTTTCGAGGCACCGCGGATGGGTTTTACGGCGTCCTGGAGATTTGGTGCCTTGGGAGCGACTTTTGTGATTCTCGACTCTGGTAAGTAGACATTCGATCGGCTCAGAGCTGGATCGAATTGCAATGGCTCCAGAATGTTGACAGGCAGAGGCTCGTAGCTCTTGAGATATTCTTCTTGAGTTTGACGAGGCCCTTTTTGAACGTTGTTGCTTATCGTCAGAGCAACGGTGAAATATATCGCCGGTCTCTGAAGTCTGGCGCGTGGACGAGCGAGATGCAGGATTGGCTTCCAGATAATGTATGTCGTGTCCTCGAGCGAAAGCACGCTGGCGAACGATGCCGCAGGAAAAGACTTGGAGTTCAAGTCATGCTTTCCGGAGGCAGAAGCAGCATTTCCGCTGCCCTGGGGAACAGCATCGGTAGCATGCGCAGCAAGGACAAACTCCAGATGCGGCAGGACTTCGCGCACTTCCTCCTCGGGCCTGGCTGTTCGGAGTATCACAAAGACGTTTGCTTGCTCGTCTAAATCGCTAAGACTCAGTGATCTGGGGCGATCGGGCGAGTTTCCGGTACAATACCAAAGAACAGGTTGCGCCTCATCGGCACCTGGGAGAGGGCTTCAGGAGAGCCATTACGAAGCACATTCGCAGCATCGAAATCCGGCGTCTTGGGGAGTAGGACGTCCAGACAGGCAGGTGAGAGGTCTTCGAAGCGTGTCTTGATATCCATGTCGTGTTATGCGGGTGCGTCGCAAGTTTCATCGTCTCATGGTTGGAGCATGTTCGATACATG